CGAACAACACGATGAGACTTGGGAGGAAAACTCATGAAATGCGACCAAATCCGGGCTTGTGAATGTGTAGGATATTTGTGACTATTCACCAATAGTAGTCTAATGGTGGTTGGAAGGCTTCCTTGATCGTGCTTGAACAATACATTAGGATGGGGATTTGTTTGAACGAGTAGCACTATACCCATAAATTCTCGTGTCTGTTACTATATCAGAAATCCGGCCTCGAATAACGTAGACACATACAGATACGCCTTTGGTATTGGGGCAGTGTCTTCTTTTCTGTGTAATCGGGGACAGCCAACCTGTGGTACTATGTATATAGAGAAACAACAACAGCTCACGATAACGACTGTTTACCTGAGTTGATAGGACATTGCCGCTGATTGCATACTTCTTTTGTATCTGAGCGCGTTATTTCTGTTCTGATTTATATGATACCTTAGACAGGAGGCGAGGCTTGCCTACGGCGAGGCACGCGATGGCACACTCTGCTCAATGCCTCAGATCCTCATTCTATCTCGGTGCTCTTGGCAATCGGAAGAAAGGGGGGATTTCACCATGCTTTACCCAACCACCAGAGTAAACCCGACCAAAACGCTCTACCAGGAAGTAACGTAGGAAGACCAGGATATCCCGGCTTGGTTGTACGGCATCGTTTTCTCTTTCCGCCTGCTGAAACCAACAGAGATATCGACAGAGCTAGGTAGCTCACCCTGAGTTCACGTTGGAAGGCAGATGAAAGAAGCGGACGCAACGTCGGCAGCGCTATTTCGGAGGAAAAGTTTCTTTCCAGCCCAGCAGCCGATACTCGCCCAAGACATTAAGCTCATCCTGTCTCCGCTTCCAGCCATTTCAGAAGATAGTGCCCGGCCGGCGAGGCAGTATGAGCAGCCGGCCCGACTGACGACAGCACAGAAGAGATATAACAGCTGCAACGCACTAGCTAGCTAAGGTGTCTATGGCATGATAAGAGAAGCGATGGCGAACCAGACGCAAACGAGGCGTGCATCAGCCACCAAATGAAGAGGCAAGGTCGTGTCTGTCCGACTGCAAGGTAGTACGGCATTCTCAACACAACAGGCGTGCCCAAAAGAAGGCCCATAGACCCAAACGGGCCGAAAAGACTACGTCAACCATGCTGGATTTGCAGACTTGAAACGAAATGTATGCAGAAGAATCTGGGCGCTTCGGCTTTTCTTCTATTTCCCGCCAACATCAACATGCACATCTACAGCGAAGGTCTACCCGGGCGGACTGCCTGGTTACCAGACATGTACATCTCGGCATTTCGTATCAAAGGATAAGCAAGGTGTTGATGCGTACTTGCCATCTCAACCCACATTGGCCCAATATCAAAGTTTCAAGCTCTTGTGACTCGGGTGACTGGGCTGTCGCGCATCGTTCCTGCCTTGGGCAATCAAGAAGAATCGGCCTAAGGCATGAAGAAGGAGCGTTTGGTCTTGTCATCTACGAGGTACCTCGACTAGTACTAGTAGCACGGCTGTTTGACCATTCTGGGATAGGGTAGCCGAGATCTAACCATCGTTTTATCTCGGCTCTTCTTGCCTTCCGCGAGGTTTTTGTTTTCGTTCTGATTCTCGCCTCCAAGCCGGTTCGTCAACCCAAGCTAACAGCTTGAAGACAAAGCGTTGGACACATTGGCACTGCACTACCTTAGGCAAGCTTGGCTCGCGATGGGCGCCGTTGTCCGCCGTTGTCCGCCCGGTGGGCTCCCCGATGAGGAGCCCCTATTCCTAACAGCGTCGCCGGCCGATCCCTGGGAGACCCCGTAGCGGACATTTTGTGGACCAGCACGCAACGTAAAACCGCGCTACCATCTCGAACTCTGGTTCTGACGGAGCTCGACACCTGCACTCCTGGAAGGGTGCAGACGGCTCCGCTCACCCACGTTGCGTCGAGGTTACCCTGCATCATGCTCTCGAAGTGGAATCTCTAGTCCGGAACAAGAATTTCGGACTGACAGAAGGCGGACATTTGCAGGCACCTCACCTCTATCAGGGCAGGGAAGCGCGCTGGTAATCCACTTTCGGTCCCGATATACATACTAGTATGGAAAACGCGTCCTACACTAGCACGCATCGACAGTTGCCACGTGTGGCAGACACCTCTTATTATTCCGTATCAAGCGGAGTTTTGACCTCTTCGTGCATACTACTGCGTAAGCTTGCCTCCCACCCACCAAGCGCGTCAATGCGTACATTCGTAGGCAAAAAGGGACGCGCACAGTACCCGGTCGTATGTACCGAGTTGCGGATGTTACTCTGTACGCTGCATGACAAGCACGACGAGGTCAGAAGCAGTGAGAAGAAAGTTTTGGTTCCCAAGTTGCATTTCCGCAAATTATCATTTTAGCCGCATTCAAGATAAGACTGCAAACAATGCACACGCCGCACACACACACCGACACAGCTAGTTCCCCCGCAAAAACCTGGAGAATGGAAAGACGCATCTACGGTACTTGTTACGGAGCGCAATCGCAATATAGCCCGTATTAGTGGGTTGTAGGCAGAAGGAGTGAACTAACGGCCGGCACGGGTTCTTATCCCTTCCCCAGATGCCGCACAACCTCGCCGGGAACCAATGGAATATTCTCCTCTACGGAGGTACTCATACAACCAACCCGCACGCATCGATAGCCGATACCCAGAGGCACAGCCTCCAGGCCTAATAGCACATGTGTCTGCCGATATCTATCGGCTCGGCGTCATGATGCAGAGAAACACATTCGCTTCGATATCATGCGAGAGCCTGGTGGCGAGCTCGAGACGAGACGTATTTGCGTATCTGCAATTGCTACGTACCAGAAACCCCACGCTACAGTACAACACAGATGTGTGCTTCTGCTTACGTAGTAAAGCGAAAACGAGACTGTTGATTACCCTGCAAGGCGCGGTTGGTGATGATTGCAATCATTCGACGGCTTTGCGCCCATGTCAGTCCGTGCGGACAAGGCACATGTCATGGTGACATGGGACGGATGGCAAGTGTCCAAGCCGGGACATTGAAGCTCATTGAAGTGCGTTTTTTTGTGTAACTCCGACGTCAGCACAATAATTAACAAATAACCCCCTGAGACTGATGATGGTGGCCATGACGTGATTTGAGGCGACAATAACAGCCCAGACAGCCGCACTCACATAATTTATTAAAGCGTCTTATACGTAGCAACCCGCAAAGGAAAGGATCCCGATAGGATTGCGTTACCAACAAGAGAAGAAAAAAAAAGGGTTGGCAAAAGTACCGTTGTCATCGAGGATGTTTCATGTGTCCGAGCTCTGCAGTTCCTAGCCCCGCCCGCGCCCCCCTCTTGCAGTTCCTGGCACTCGATCCTTCGGGCCCTGCAGAACGGGAGACGGACGGACCTCCTGCGCCTCCTAGGTATTCACGGAGATCGACCCGAATCCCGTTAGCTGCCCGGCGCAACATCCAACGGAGTGGCGGCCTTGGCTTTTACTTGCTTTTGATGACAACTTTTTTTTCTCTTTTTTTTTTTTTCTTAAAAAAAACTTTTCTTTTTTCTAATACTAGAGAGGGGAACACAAGGTAAGGAATACTAGCATTCGGTACCCCGTGCGGATGCCCAGTAACTGGCGAATCGTTAAGCAGTTCGCCGCTCCTTCCCCTGGAGAGGCAACGGCAAGCCCCGTCATTCACCAACCTGTTTGCCGTTATACGGATACATACGTCGTAACCCGTTGGAGCTAAACTTGCAGGGCATTGAGAATTTGAGATTTGGCTCGAGCTGAAAGGCGGAAACTCTGCAACTGGAAAAGATGCCCGAAAGGAGATATTTGGCACAGACTGACTGCCTGCCTAATGCACGCCAGTCTTGGTGTATGTAAGATAGATGAGAGAATGAGAATTAAATGAACAATGACGGTATTGCCGAAAACAAATCACGGCAAGAAAAAAACATAGGTACCGTGCAGTGCACCGCAGCGTATCCATAGGCTGCTGCAGTGCCGCGGGAGACGACGTCTGTGCCATTGCGACAGGTGTCAGTCTTCAGGGATCGGTGTCTTCTTTTCTCGTTTTTCTGGGATGTGAGATCGCTCATGGAAGAGAAGAAGAAGAAACAGGGAAGGAACCAACAGTACGCACACGCCTTTTTCTTTCTTGCATCAGCGTGGCTAAGTCGTATCCTGCTGCCTTACGCCATACATACTATAATACCACTGCTCATAAGGCGAAGAGAGGCGAAGGGTGGCACAGAGCTTTTCGTCAGTGCAGACGAAGGAAGATGCAGGCAGGATTCCTTCCGTCCTGACGGGACCGTCCTATCGTCACGGTTTTGCTTGTTCTGGAAGCTTTCTTTTATTCCTTTTACTTTTATTATTATCTTTTCTTCGTCGGTCTTTTAGGCGGTGTACTGGAGCCCTGTCGTTCGATGACTACTATTCATATAATACGAGAGAGAACCCATCGCGAACCCTTCTCAAGGGCGTCGACTTTGAAGCTCTGGCCAAGATCGTAATATGCCGCCAAGAACACTGTAGATGGAAGACGGGGGTGGCGCGAGCACAGTGCTAGACAACTGTGCCTCTCTCTTTGTCGTCTCCCATCAGACCTCTATTTTCCTCCCTAGTTGCGTATGACAAGAGCTGACTGACTATGCTCTCTGCCGTGTATTGCGGACCGCGTAAAAGGCGTTTCATCATCATGTCATGAAGCAATAGCATCCCGCGTCCGCGGAAAAAAAAAGAAATACACATAAAAATAGGGGAAAAAAAAGGAAACGATCAGTTTGGTTATCTAATGAGGGCGTTGCGCATTCGCTTCCGGAATAGGGAGGTGTAAGAGAAGAGAAGAAAATCAGACCAACCAGGACCCCAGATTCCGCTGCATTGCGCTCAACGAGGCAAGGCACGCCGAATTGATCCCGAGCCGCGCAGCGCAAGCACGTCTCGGTCTCAAGCGTACTCAGGAGGTTTCTTCGATGGGACTTCCAGAAACAAGGGTCATTTTTATTTTACGTGTGGAGGAGACGGAGACTAGCGTTCGAGCTGCACACCTGCATCTCTCTCCCAACGGTAGGCAGGCAGCCCCCCTGCTTTCCTTCTGGCTGACTGACGTGCTGTTGCTGATGACTGCTGCTGGTCTCCTCCCGCTACTCCTCGCAAGGTCATCTCCAAGAAAGCAAAAGATTGGTTCTCTTCTTCAGCCGGCTTGGAACTGTGGATGGACTCCAATTCTGTTCCCTGTTGAATGTGAACTGACTTCTCTTTAACCCTTTGACCGAGGTTGCATTCGCGTGACAGGCGATGCACCAGCGCGCGGGACCAAGATCAACCAAACCAGACAAGAGAGAGTCTGGGACTGAAAAGAGAAAAAAAGGAACGCTAGGAATAGCTCCCCACAACACCGCTCGGCAACCCGCGCCGGGACCAAATGGATGGTCTCTCAACTGTCGCTCTGACCCTCCGCGGGGGAGAGACAAGGAGGCCCTGTTTACCAATCGCCCCGTCCCAGTGGGTATGGTATGGGTATCCCCCTCCTCCCGTCCGTCGAGCGGCGTTGGACACGCAAGCAAGATATAAACTACCAACAAGCGTTGTACGAAGATGTTCTGCAGACATGGCCTCATTCTTGCCTTTGACCCGGCAGTTGGTTGTCCTGTCGCTGGCCATGTTTTCTGGGACACTATCTGCTACTTGTTGTTATGCGTTTCATTGTGCTAGGTCTAAAGAAAACCCGGGACTCTCCTGCATGCCGCACCATCACTTGGGACGACATTCGCGAATGCGTCAAGACCGAATTTGGTAAACGCAAAACCGCACGGCAGGACTTCTAGCAAGCGCCGGGTCAGTAGGTGGTGCGACGCCGAGCCACTAACTAACTAGCTGGGTTGTCTGAGGACGGGAGTAATATATCGGCACCTACATGCTGTATGTGCAGTACACCGAAGCTGAGCATAAAAGTTAATTAAGGTAGCTTCGTAGACGAGGTCGTACTTTGTATGGTTCGGGATCGGCGCCCCAACGTCCAACAGCTTTACACGGACCGATTACCAGAGGGCTGGCCGTAGCAGTCTGAGACCGGATGAGAGAAGCCAGATTCTCGCCAAAACAGTCTTGATACATCCCAAGGCAAAGTGGCAAGTCTCATCAAGCAAACTTATTGGAAGAGTAAGAAAAGCAAAACTTAGGTACGTAATATTAGAAACGGAATAAAATAAAATAAAACCGAACATTATGGGCTTATCAGTCTGTTTCATTGGACTCCGGGTTAGACCGATGACAACTCCCAAGCGTCCATGTCGAGGGAAGAGGTGGACATCCTGTACTGTACGGAGTAGAAAGCGCCAAGCGTTCCAGGCCTGTCCAACTCTAGCGAAGCCATCGCAAATCGTGGTTCCCCCCCTAGTGGCGAAATGGCTGCACCGTGAAATGGGGCGCTAACAAGGGGCAAGGCAGGTGCACTCACTGTGTGTGATAAAGGCGCACCCAATTCGGTTAACTCTGTAGAAGCCACAACCACTGCCCTCAAGCCACATTTTTGGTGATCCCCGCTCCTTCTGGGCTTCACATGGCAGAGAAACCACAAAGTTGAATTCACGTGAAATTGCGGAGTAGTTCAAAAGCTATTGATGCTGTCAGGAGCTTAACCCCGCATTCTTCAAGATGCAGCTGGTAGCCTCCCCTACTCTGGCCAATTGAGCTTCATCTGGTATAGATCGTTGGCAGGATGCGTTAGTAGATACCTGGAAACCTGGAGTCGTCCACACCCAAACATCGTCTTCTCCCGTCATTGGGGGGGTGGGGGGGTGAGAGGATGGATAATGGGGGGATGATCTAGCTAGTGCCGTTGTAGAATTGGGTCTCAGAGCCATCATGGAGTAGCGCAGTCTCTCTTTTCCCACGAGGCAAGCTGAGACATTTTCACGAACCGCTTCCACTAGGCGATGGTTATTGGCAAGCCTTTCCATTCTGTCAGAAAAAAAACGGCACGTGGTATTTCGATGGCTGCGTGTGGAACGTCAAGCCCCAGGATTCCTGGGCCTTTGCTTTGGGCGGGCGGGCCAGGACGGGATCCCAACTGGTGGGAAAGATCGACACATCTTCGGCCAGTCAAAATGCCGAACCAGGCTTCTCCCACCGCGAGATGGCAGATCCGCGCAAAGGGCGGTTGGAAATTTGGCCACACAGTGTGCAGGACAGAGCTCCAGATGAGGAAAATGAAGTTGCTGCTCCTTTAAACTACTCTTCCCCAGCTTTTCCCCCCTTTAGACCTGTGAGGTATACGCTCTGATGACATTTACTATGGACGCCATCCCGGGGAACTCCCAAAAAAAGAAATACAAGGGGGCGGGAAGAGACGGGAAGTTTTTTTTTTAAATAAGAGCCGCGTCGTGAATAAAGCGCGTCAAGACGCCAATGGAAGCTATTTCGAGATGCGGCAGTCTAATACCCACCTCACCCAACCGTTCGTAAACGACTTTGACGGCATGACAGATGTCTACAGTGCCTTAGGTACTCCACTCCTAATTTATTTAGAGAGACCCGCTTTACGGTCTCGTAGTCTCGTAATTGGGATTTCAGGGGCGACTAACCAGTGTGTAATTAAGTGGTCGCATAGGGAGATTGCACTGGAATCTCGAGTCCACATAGAGGACTAAGTGTTATTTGGCATCCAAGCCCGTTGGCTGGAATTGATGCTGCATTCGATCTCTTCATGCTCGCTCGGAATTCCGCCCACCTCCACCAATCGTCCGGCTCTGCGTGAATGCTCACTGTCACCCCGCCCTCCAGACCCTTCTGTTCGACCCGAACTTTGGCGGGAGAGGCCACGACCCAACCACTCGAGATCACGCAACACACTTACAGGATCTGACTACCTACCTGAGACAGTCACCGCGAGGTCAAGTAGGGCTGCAGAGGCGGTTTAGAAGACAAAAAGAAGACATGCGCTATACGGATGCCCTCACCGACAAGAGGCCAGCTTCAGTTTCAGCTTCTTAAGCAGGCAGGCAGTGTATATTTAGTTTCTCTTGGTTGTTGCTGCACTAGTAGAAGTTGCGTGGGACAACATTCTTGGTTTCTAAATTAGGAAGGCACGACGAATGTCGAGATAGCTAGAACTCGTGGCAGCCCTCGTCGTTCGGGTAAGTACTACTAAATTCGTAAGGGACTAAGGTGCCTGCAAGGCAGGCGCACTTGTGGTTTGCTTTTTTTTTCGCCGTTTGGCACGATATCGATCAAGCCCTTCGTGACGCCATTGCACCAGGGACCCCAATGCCGGCCGATCGCCCAGCCACAGGCTCCTCCCTCGGCTCGATCACTTCTTTGGAAGCATTAACAAGAGCGACTCGAAAGAAAAGGGCACCAACGAGCGGCGAAGTTGCGGGGGGCGTCAAGCTCCGCGGCCTCGACAATCTTGAGATTTTCGGCACAGGCGATGGGCTTGTGCCACAACCAGCCATCCCAGATCCTATCGCTCGGCCTTGGGATGGAGGTGGAGGGCCGCTGGGTGTGCAGCCATGCTCGCTGCCTTGCATTGTTTGACTCGGCCTGGTCCGAGACAATTGGCAGCTATCGGACACCAGATCGCCGCGTGGGGGGTGCTCGCCGCCACCTTGATGCTGGATCTTTGCAGGCAGGTGAACAGAGATTCTAATAACAGACCTGAATGTCAGCCAGACTGGCTGTATTCTTGTGCCGAGCCTCTACTCCGCGCCTGTGGACGCTCCGATAGACACTCCACCAAAGTCGTCCTCGCAGACCAATCTCTAACCAACAACTCCACTAACAAGCCTGCGGCAAGCGGATGGCCTGTCTCTCCGGCTTATTGTTATACAAAATACTCGTGAGGGACCGCGTGCGATGGAGGGGTATAGCACCACGAGGAAGCAGGCGGAGGGGTTGCACTGCGCTTCCGGCCGACCGAGACATTCTCGTCATCTAGGCTTTTGCACGCCGTGATCTGAGTCAAGACGTGAGAAGAGAGAGGAGACACCACACCGCCGACTTGCAGCTGCGGAGTTCTTAGTTAGGATTCGGGAGGCCGAAGGCTCTCGGCCTTCGACTTTCAGCCCCCGTCCCATCCATCCCATCCCATTTCATACGCTGCGGCGCTGTTCCGTCTCGAAAAAGAAACGACAAACGAAAGCCCGCTGAGCGATGGGAATCACGATGGCCCGCCTAACTAACTGAACCTTTTACATACATACATACACTGGCAGTTCAAGCTGGCCAAGCCAAGGTGGTGGACCTCAAGAGCGGAGTCTTGGGTAGGTATTCAGACAGACCGACCTTCACTGCACTACAGTCGTTGTATTGGCGCAGACACCGCAAATTCGGACAGCAATGCGCCCAGAGTTCAACAGCGTGGTCGGACAGTGCGAAATATCGAGCGGCCGCGGGCACAGGTGGCACCCCTGGACGAGTCTTGGACCAGCCAGGCAGCTCGGACCAGGAACATGGCTGTGGCTTTCGACACCCCTGCACACCCTCGCCCCCTTGAAGGACCATCCCTCCCATCGTGAATGGACCCCACCATCCTGGTCCCGTCAACAGGAAAACGGCACGTCCCAATGAGAGCCCTCTTTCCTGGATCCAACCTCGGGCGAGATGACCATTTGGATAGCACGGCAGACCAGAAGCCTCCCACTCCGGCACGCCGATGCAACAACGCCCCGCATCATCATGCCCGGCTCAGCTACGCTAGTTGGGGTTGCTGGCCCTTGTCCCTCGGCCTCGGTCCACCAAGGAGAATTGGGTAGTGCGTTCGCGTGCCTGTAGGACCTGCGAGGTCTGGTCTCTTGCCCTTCCAGGCGTGGCTTGGATGTACCTAGCTTGGCTATACCGAACAAGACAAGCACAAACAGTTCAGTAGCCAGACGGCCCCCCCGCGAAAAGGGCGCGGAGATCTCGACCTATCGACTGTACATACAACACAATACTGTACATATGTGCCACCCTCCCTCTACCAACCTGTCTTTGCCTCTGGTGGGAACTCTTTCTGGTCTTCTGTCTGACTCCGTTCTTACGCCCACTGGTGACGTGCAACTCGAATTCGCTCCTTGTTTGAGACTTGCTCGGCCATTTTATACAGCCAATAATCCTTCATCCTCTGGCCATATTCGAATTCTAATAGTCTGCTTACTGCCTACACGTTTTGTCACATCGGCGCATATCTCTTTATCACCATCACTCGGAGCCGTATCCTTCAACTAACAGGCATACGAGGCCTGGACCCCTGAGAAGGTCAATGGGCACTTGAGCCCCGAGAGCGTCACACGTACGCCCTCACAACGGCGGTATCCGTATCCACGACACCCCGACTAGTTCGAGACTTGGGAGTTCTTGGTTGAACTTTGGAAGGACGCTGGGAACTCGGGATCTAACTCTACCCACTGTTAACCCGGATCGATTCTGGGGACGGTTCCTTTCGGTATTCGTAACCGCCAGGCGGCCGGTTGAACGCAAGTCGCGCGCCCCAAGACGGGAGGCCGTGGGGAGATATATATCTGGAACTCAAGCGACGGGGGACGATCGAACAATATTCAAAATGTCGAGCAGTCGGTGTCCTACGCCCTTCCTCGAGGAAACTCTCTTCACCAACGGAGGCTGTAAGCCGCTCGAGCTCCAACTCTCTGCAACGTGTTGCTAACCAACAGTCTAGTCGTGGATGGAAGACTGTGTCAAGAACTGGGCAATGGGTTGAGCTGCTGTCTGCCGTGCCCAATGACCGACTGGGCGTACCCAGACAGGTTCGTCACCTTGGGCGTGGCAGCAGAATGGGTGGCAGTCGTGGGCACAATCTGTTGCGCCTTCCTCTTAGTCTCTTGGGCAGTTTTGCCAGTCGACAAGACGTATAGGCATTACCTCAGCATATGCCTAACTACAGCTGTCTTGTTGATGAACGTACGTTCGAAGTTGTGATTCCCCCGGTATGAGGGAGGGGCCCTGCTAACTCTGTCTTACAGCTGGGCTTTGTTGTTCCTCTGGCAGCAAAACCGGACCAGTGTTTCGACCGCATCACGCCCAACTACCAGAAGACAAGCTCAGTATGCGGTACATCAGGCGCACTCCTGATACTTGGAGGCTGGTCAGGGGTTATGTGGGTGTTCTTGCGAGCCATGTCGCTCCACCTGCAGATTTGCTGGCAGGTGGTGGTCGGCCGCAACTTCATGTGGTTTTCTCAAGCCCTAGGCTGGGGCATCCCGGTCCTCGGTGTCATTCTTGCCCTCACCTTCAGCGGCGTCTCGTTCCGATTTGGAGCAACCTGCCACATTAACCACAAGAACAGCCTTGCAGACCTCTGGATCCCGTTGCTGATTTTTGCGGGGTTAACTATCATCATCCAGTTTGCAACATTCGGCTACTGCATCAAGGTCTATCTCGCCTCGCTCGCCGACAACAGCGCGTCTACCGAGGGCTCCAACCTCCCTTCTTACACGAACAGCATCCGAACCATGACCCCGAAGCAGGCTTACCGACGAGTGCGGCGCGTCATTTCGCTGCAGTGGAGAGGTATCGCCATCGTCCTCATCATTGTTTCCGACGTTATTTTCTTCTCCGTGGTGTTTGTCTTCCAGGACAACACTGTTCAGTCAGTCAAGACGGACCAAAACAAAGCGCAAGATTGGATCGTCTGCATTGCCTTTAGCGGCGGAAACAAAAATGCTTGTCTAGACAAGGCCGGCTCGCTTGTCGTCAACATCGCAACAGTCGGCGCAGTCTTGCTGCTCCTAGCGGTAAGTCTATTGTCTTACGGCGGTCTTTGCATCCTGATAGAGGGCCAATTATTCTAACAACCCCTTTCGTATAGATGAACGGCATCTGGCTTGTCCTATTGCTCGGACGCTGGACTATGATTACGGGCTGGCGCGATTTGTTGAGCCCTGCGAGCCGGGCCAGGAGAGAATTCGTCTCGGTCGACGCGCGGCTGGACGATCTCAAGAAAGACACACGTTCGTACGAGATGCTGTCCCGGGATACCGGGAAAACGATGGACGAAGCAGTAACACCCTCCGTAGTGACACCCATCTCGCCGGCGCACATGAGGTCGCCCTTTGGGATCCCGCTGGGCAACCAGGAATCCATGACCGACGACGACGGGCGGCGAACGCCTGACTATTTCGGGAACACGGCGAGATATCACGCGCCAACAAGGTCGTTCTCTAGCCCCCGACCACCGACACAGACGGTGACATGGGATGCGCGGGAGACATACGCGCCGAGGCAGCAGCAACAAGGACAGTCACCAAATGATGATTACGTCAACCCGCTGGGTATGAATAGGATATGAAGGATGAAATACATTAATGGAGGCGGAAGAGGCGAATACCCACGGCAGAAAATAGAGAGATAAAAAGAAAAGGGGAAGACCCGAGATGAGAGCCGAATTGCGACACGACCGCTTGGATTCTTCTCGTCAGATCGCTCCGAAAGGCAGTTTCGGTCACTACCAAAAAGATTTATATTATGCACTCACGTGCTTTCGTCAATCTCTCTCTTTCTCCGTTTCGAGATCGGATCGGGATCAAACACGCCCTAGTGGTCGGCAGCCGACTACGGCTAGGGCCAAACCACGAGGACTTTCTCGTTAAGCGTCTAACCCATGTGGTCAACCCGTCTTCTTTCCTGCAGCTATATAGTATGTGGCTCCGTTCTAATGCGTCTCGGTCGAAGCTGAATTTGGCACGCGATCAACATGCATGGAGAAGACAAGCTTCGCGGCGAATTTATTTGTTGGAGGCAATACGTGTGCGACGACGCACGGTCTTCTACGGAATATCATGTTGGAAGAAATCTCGCATGCAGAGTCTTGTTTTGCGCAAACAGCACAAGCGACGGGCTATATGATAAGTAAGCGCGCGGTGGAAACGGGACCTCCTTGGCTCTTCTCCCGCGCGCGGGATCTCGATATTTTAGCTGGCAACAACTACCGGGTCGGAATGCTCGGGACATGCGCGGAAGGCTCGGGAGTGTGGGGGAGGGCGGGGGACCACCAGGCCGGCCACCTGATATGGCCTTGTCCGGGGCGCGCCGATGGTCGATGTTTCTGACCGATTCGCTTGGCCCAACCACCTACGTCAAAGAAATTTATTGCCGGCGGGGATTATAATGCAGGAGGATGCTTCCCCGAAAACCCCGGTTCTACGGGGAGTCCTAGAGTCGCAGAGTCCCTCGGGGACGGTAAATGCTCGATGACGGATTACGACTAAGCAGCAACCCACCTCTTTTTTCCGTGTCACCCTGTCTCTCTGTCGGGTTTACCGGTTGCGTTCGGAAAAGATCGGGCACGGTTTTTTCTTGTGTCGGCTGGCCCATAGCATGCCGACTCTCAGCCGCACACGGGAGCAAAGCTAAGAGCGAGGGCGAGGGCGAGGGCGAGAGCGAAGGATAAGGAAGAGAAATACCTCTACTGTAGTTGAGGAAAAGGGCGGTGGATGGTTAGCTGAGGCCCCGGGGGACGGGATGCATGACCTCGTGCTGTGCCTGTACATACATACCCACATACATAGATAGACCTTGGACATTGGACCAGACACGTAGGCTTGAACTCAAGTGTGTACACAGTACGTCTACGACGCATCTTACATAATAATCCTACAATAGATAATCCCAACTTCTTCTCTTCGTTGAAACGCAGAAGAGAAACGAGGTCACAAATTTGTTTCCGAGAGATGTTTCGGAGCCTGGTCTCGCAAGGCTAAGAGGTCGAAGAGGCCGGCGGCGGTTACGGAGTGCTGAGGTGTTGGCGGGTTGAGATCTAAATTCGGCACCCGCCGGGGGGCGGTCGCTGGGAGGATGACTTGCTCACATGATCACTAATAACCCGGAAACCCCCCTCAAACAAAAAGAACGTGATCCAACCTTCGCCAGGACCGCCGCTTTTGTTGCTGTGCAACCTACGGACAGGCGGCTGACAGTTTCCTAGGCGGGCCGAGCCAACGAGTCCATTAAATGGATGAAATGTGGCCGTCTCCGGGGCATCCAATACCCAAGGTATTCCAAAGGATTTGCACACACAACCAACTTGGAGGGCACGGGTGTAGCTGGGTCATGATTAAGCTTTACTCGGCCTCGAATGAAGGCCACTTTGCGTTTGACAAAGCACTGAATTGAATCCTTCCGCCGGCCGGCAAGATCTATACCATAGGTACACACACGCCTTCCGCAGTACGGATGCCTACCTAATGGAAGGTCTATTGTTAGTCGAGGCTGGGCTGGGTAGAGGTGGGCAAGCCTTGGAGACGGCCAGGACTCTGTTTCTTCCCCGCTGCCCGCTGCCCGCTGCCCGCTGCCCGCCGCAACGCAACTCCTGTGGGCCGTCCATGGCACTGGGCACTGACTGGCATCCACCATTCCCCGTTGCAGTGGAGTGACTGACTGACCTGCATGCTTCCCGCCCAACACTGGGCTCCTTCCACTGTTATCCCGGACAGGGGTCTCTTCAGGGCAGGGTCCGTCCATACCAACTATAGGTTAGTTATACCAGGTCAGGAAGGAACGGACATCGAAGGTAGAGAGGTATATGTAAGCTGTCCCCAGATCCGTCGCTTCCATAAGCACGCATGTCGGTATGCATCCGCGTCTCCGTCTTCTCGCGCTTCTGGAACTTGCTTTCCTCAGACCTGAATAATTCAAGTTCCTCTTCCTCGGACAAAGGCCAAGCTGTTGGCGGCAGTCGTTGCTAGGGGTATATGAGGCGCCGCCCTGGCCGCTGAGAATCCGAGTTGCTCGGCTGTGACACCCAGTTCCGTGGCGCCCCGCCCAGGCCCAGGCCATTTTGGACGTGGAAAAGGCTCAAAGGCCCAATACCCGCAGCGCAGGGCATCTGTTACTAAGGCTGCGGCAAAACCAACCTCCCCGGGCAACCCTGACTGGCGGCCGGTGCTGACTGTTAGCCATCACATCACCCCTCTCACCGCAACCGCCGCAAGCTATCTACGGGCATGGTTGTACATACGCTGTGTGCCTCTTCATTAGGTTTCCTCGTCCCTGCCTCGCTCAAAGAAGCTCAGGTTTCTCATCTACCGAGCGGACCGGTATTTGATACCCAAAGCGCTCTAGCAAGCCTAAGCCCAAAAGCCCAGCAGCCACACTTCCAGACGCTGCTTTCTGTCTCCGACCAGCCCGGTCCTTCGACGTTGCTTCATTGTCAAACAAAACCCACCGAAGACTAAGAGTTGCGCCCGCCCGCCCCACAAGACAAGTTCCCACGCGGGTACGTTCCATTGCCGCGCAGCGACTTCTTCCCAAACTTCTTTGAACCCGGCATCCCTTTCGCTTTTGTCGCGTATAATATATAGCTTCTCCACCCAGGCACCAACCTCGTCCGGCCTTTTCCCTGCTCTGCCGCTGGAGCTGGTTTTGGATTAACCGACCATGGCGTTGACGCCTCTCTCATCTTACAAGTCTAGTTCAAGCTCAAACAGAGAATGAGGTGGAACCCCCGACAGGCACCCGCGCAAGTTTATTAATCTTGAGCTACCCACCGACTGCGGTGCGGTAGCCACCATCCCCCCCTCCGATGTCGAACCAACTCGATGGCAGCTGCGAAGAGGACAGCTGCCCGACTCCCACCACAACAACTCCTATATTAACACCAATACCAGCGCGCAGACATCGCCGCTGTCGCTATCTTCCCGAAACAAAAGGACGCTTCTCTCTCGAGCGAAATACGCCTCGCATGTTTCTCTTCATTGCCGCCCTCTTGGTGGGGGCCCTGTTCTGGTACATTTCGAACAGGGAGAGGGCTCTGAGCGCACCGTGGACCCCGACCGCAGACGCCCGCATCTTCAGCCAGCTACCTCTACAACCCCCCGTCGAATCCTCTTTCCTGTCGTCGGGAGAGTACGAACTGCCGCTCCGGACTAAGGGCCGTGATATTGTGGACAAGAACGGCCGCCGCTTCAAGCTGTCGGCTGTCAATTGGTACGGCGCGAGCGACGAGCTCTTCATCCCCGGCGGTCTCGACGTGCAGCACCGCGACCGCATCGCCCTCACCATCCGCCACCTCGGCTTTAACAGCGTTCGCCTACCCTACGCCGACGAGATGGTTATCTCAAACCCACACATCCTCCCCCACCTATTGGCGGCGAACAAGGACCTAGTGGGCCTACCGGCCCTGAAAATATTCGAGGCCGTTGTCAAGTCGCTGACGGATGCTGGCCTCGCCGTCATCATCAACAACCACATCACACACGCCACGTGGTGCTGCGGCGCCGACCCCTGCGATGCCGGCTGGGCTAACGACCACCTTGGCCCGATATGCCGCATCCGCCAGACCGAGGACGAGTGGATTGACCACTGGCGTCAGATTATGGCGCCCTTTGTCGACAATCCTCTGGTAATTGGCGCCGACCTTCGCAACGAAGTGCGCGGGCTTTGGGGGACCATGTCGTGGGACCGATGGGCTACAGCAGCCGAGAGGGCGGGCAACGCACTCCTTGAGATGAACTCGGACTGGCTCATGATTGTGGGCGGCACCGAGTCGGGCAACGACCTGTCCGGTGCCTTGCAGCGGCCGGTGAAGCTCGACGTGAACCACCGTGTCGTCTACTCGGCGCATGTCTATGCCTGGAGCGGTTGGGGCAGCTTGGGAGGGCGCTACGCCCAGCGCAGCTACCCGTCGTTTGTCAAGTCGATGCGCCAGAACTGGGCCTACCTTATCGAGGGTAACCTGGCGCCCGTATGGGTCGGCGAGTTCGGCGCACCCCACAAGCCGTCAAAAGGCGACGCGAACTACTGGAACAATCTCATGCGCTACCTCAAGTCGATCGATGCCGACTTTGCCTACTGGGCTCTCAACCCACGCAAGCCCAAGGAGAACGAGAAGGAGTCATACTGCCTTGTCGAGGACGACTGGATCACCCCCGTACTCGACTACCGCATGAAAGACATGACGGATCTCATGAGGGGGGGTTGAGATAACCCCGAGGTGTACACCCGGAAAGGGATATCAAGGACATCGAGGGACGATAAATGAAATTTCTCGCCCACTCCCCTTCTGGCCGCGAGGCTGGACGATTTGGGAAACAAAAGCAATTAGAGTGCATGGCTTCTGATTTCTTCTGGCGCCAAACGAGCACGGCTGTCGCCGATGGGTCAGGCGGGCTGGGTCTGGAGCTGCAATAAGAAAAGCAAGAGAAGCGGGGCATGATTTGTTGCTTTCCATCAGCGCTACATTGTATTGCATGGAGTCTGCTTTCTGGGATGAGTTTCCGGGATATTGGGTATGCGAGAATTGTTCTTGCTGGGCTCTAGGATCGCATGCAGTTATACCGCATACACTTAGCGATGCATTTTTCCTTATTTCCTATCGTTAGGTACTAGGGGACACTGCAGCTGCTTTTTTGATACCAAGGAATTGGGATATTGAGGCGAAACGAGACATGGGATGGATGTTTGAGGGCTCAAAGATGTTAACTGTTTGTTTTGAAGCAGCGTTTGACTCGGGTTTTATACCACGATAAGCCGATAGTATATGAAAAGGGGGTTTTTTTTTATTCTTGGCATTTTGCTTGAATAATGCATATATAGTCCCTAAGGCGTTTATTCACATTCGGAGCATGCTTCTAGCAGCCGACATGGAAAAATTTCGATGCCGATATGTTCCAGTGTGTATATCTTCCGTCTATTGGTAGGCACTGTATTCGGTACGCGTGTAAAATGCAGCGCTCCCGTCCCCGGCTGTTCAGGACTGAAGCAACCCTGCTGTAGATCGGCCCCACCGCATTCCGAATCGCTTGCTTTCCCGCAACCGTTTTCTGGGGTAGCATTGAGGCCGGGTCTACCACCCCGCCATTTGTTATCGATAACACGTACAGCGGAAAGCAACTTTAGAGGGAAAGCCTAAAGGATAGGTACCTTAAAGCTCGCCCGAAGCAATCAGTCAATTCTTGGCTTCCACCTTCCGCCATCAAATGCGGCCCCAGCACCACACCACAGCACAAACCAACGTAGAACTTGGAAGGAGGAATGATTTCATTCTTGTCTCTTGAATACCTAACACAAACCTAACCTACAGTACACCAAACCTAGCCTCGTCGTCAACCTCATTTCTCAGCGCCCACCCATCCGACCATGTTCGGCACCCCGCCATCTCTCTCCACTACCAAGTCTAGCACCAGAACCAGAACCATCAGTGCCAAATATTAAGGAACGCCGGCGCCAGAATCAATGGACCTATCGCTACCGCCAGTGGCAACCGGCACTCCTGCTGTCGCCACCGCCGCCGAGACTGCCACTGCTAGCCCAAAGACTCCTGCTAGCGATTGTACTTCTCCCCATACTACCTCCCTTCACCAGGCGGCCGCCTACTCGGAGATCTACGTCGGCCCAACGTGCCATGTCCAGACGGCCGAGAATCGGGTAAGTGACAGCATTATCTCCGCAGTCTCTGTTTCTCTTGTCTCGTCCTCGCTGCCCTTCTTGCCTCCATTTTGCGGGCTTGCGCGCACACGCACACATCGCCACCCAGGTGTTTGGACAGTGGGGAAGGAGGGAGGTGTGGGTTGGGGGGGGGGAATTCGTTTGGTAATCAAAAAGAGAGTGCGGAGAGAAACACAAGTGAACGACGTACCAATTCTCCTCCCGGTCCCGAAAAGACGTTTATACACAATCGTGGTTGTACACGACCACATGGATGGGGCGGCCGTGGTGGGTTGGGGGTGGGGGCGCTCCCAGCCGAAATAGCCACTCGACTTCGCCGTGCCGCTACATCTCTCAAACCTGGCCTGGCCTCGCTTGGCCCGCCCATTGGAGGCTTTCGAGTTGTTTCGCCATGATTTGCCGTGAGAGGGGACATGTAGAAAGACGAGAGAAGAGTGGGGGCGGAGCGGATCGGGGCAGTGTATGACTTTGTGGACATGTTCTAACCTCGTTGTCTCTCGCTGGCGATAGTTCGGCTCGCACATTCTTGAAGACCTCAAGAGCTACGTGTTCGAGGATCCATACGCCAATAACGGGATGGATCTCGACGATGACGACGAGGAGGAAGATGAAAATGATGACGAGGAGGACGACGAGGAGGACGACAATGTTGGATACGATTTTATTGACGATGGCTTTGACGCCGTAGATGACCTCGCTGATCTATCCCAGCCCATCTTTTGGGTAGATCTGGTCGAGGGAATAGATGTTCCTCAATCGGCGGGCGTGCACGGAAATTGGTTCTACCCCAACCACGAGACGGATACTCCGGTATCGTGGGGAGCGCCTACCACTAATAGCCCACAGCATCACCAGCAACAGGGCTTTCCGCGAGTCGCCAGGCTCAGATGTAACTTGACGGCCCTCTCACAGCGCTATAATGTATGTGAACTCGCTCTCCGAGTGATGGGACAGGCGTGGGATGGCAAAACGGTGAGCCAAACAAATGTGCTAAACATCTACGGAACAGCTATATTTTGCGGCATACCAAGACAAGATATATGTCTACCAACCCAAAAAGGCGCCTCAGATCCTCCCCCCGCCGTCCCTCATCCTGAACCCGCGCCAGACAAAGGCGGCAAAGTTGATCGGGGGCGCCCTGGACAGGCAGTTTCCGCACCAGATGAACAGTATCATGGTGGGGAATCTGGGAATCCACGAGGTGGTCTTGTTTGCCTACGACGACGGCGATGTCGGCGCATACTACACACACACCATAGCCCGCTACATCAGGGTCATCAGCGAACAGCACCGAGGCCGCCGCGGCTCCCTGACCTTTCGTCCAGCAGTACCCAAGGAGTGTTTCCACGCAAACGTCGGTCTGTCGGCGTGGGGTCTCGCCATTCACGAACAGTCGCGGTTGATCGCTGTTAGTTCGAACCAACACGAGGTCCATGTCTTTGCATTCGCAATATACACCCCTCCAGGTCGAGGAAAGCCGAACCCGCGCCGAGAAAGTGAGTCACCTCTGGTTGACGACTCGCCCAAGGTACCGTCGGGCCAGACAGCCTTGGAGCTTGAGAAACATTTGAAGGAGAGGACGAGAACCTGGAGGATCGTCTTGACCCTCGGCCCAAACGGTCATAATATCCCTACGATTTCGTTCGCCGACGACGAGTTTGGAAATGCAGACAAGGTCATTGCCGTTGACGTTGACGGCAACACTTGGTTCCTGGACATTTGGAAGATCGGTGCCTTTCCTGTACTGTACCCCTCAACTCCGCTTCGGGGATTTCCGACACAACGGTGTGTTTCTTCTTTTCTTGTCAAGAAACCGTGGCCTTGAACGCAAGCTTACACGCGGCATAGATACTCGGGCTGGGGCGTCTTGGTGCTCTCAGACAGCCATTTCAAACCGACTAAGAATCTGCGTGAGGCACTAGGGCTTCCGCCGAACGAGATCATAGTTGGAAGGTCGGCTCCGGCCCCGGAAACCATTACCTGGCTAGACACCACCTGCAGCCTGTGGTATGTAAAGGATTTTGCCCCCAGGCTGGATGATTTTTTCCGGAACCGCAATTGGAACCTGTATCACAAGACACATGCCGGAGTAACGAAGGGGGAGGATTTCCCTCAGGGCTCCCCAGTCCACCCGGCCGGATTGTTGGATGAGGACGACGACGACGACGATGACGACGACGACGATGACGACGATGATGATGACGATAATATAATTAACCCCTGGGAGGACGCCAGCGAATCTGAGAGCGATTCATTTGCGCGGGACGAGTCTTTCCCAAGGGTGTCGTCGGATAGGAGGTGGATTCATCTAAGCAAGTTTCCGGGCCCTGAAGGATCCCAGCTCAAGGATATCGGCAATATCGTTCAACTCGCCCGAGCCATCGTCCCAGGTCTCGGACAGACGCCTCCACTGGACGGAAGCATGCCCAAATTCATGGAATTTATTTCGACTAGCGCTTTGCGGCAATCAAAAACCAGACCCGTGCGGTACTGGAAGACCGAGTTTTCGCCTCACATGACCAAGAACCTAACCATCCTGCGCACGACGGGTACGGATATTGAGCTTCAGCCATTCAACCCGATGGGAACGGGCGTGATGTGCAAGAACGTGCTCGGGCACCACAACCATCACCGCCGGCGGGTGGAGCCGTACGATCTCGCACGCATCAACTCGGAGCGGGCATGCATGGTACAGCACGTGCCCGAGTTGAACTTGGTGGTGGTGGGCTCGCGAAACGGACGAGTCGCGCTTCTGACGCTGACCAAGTCGGTCAGGCGGGTCGATGCCAGCACGCTGCGGTATGGCTTCCGGGTTGACCGCGTGCTTCCCCGAAAAGCTGACGAAGACCGCCGCCTACGGCCCTGGTGTGCCCTCCATGGCATCGCCATCTCACCCGTGCCTGAGCCTCGCGCGAAGGGCGTCGAGCTCTTTGCCCGGGGGGGTGGCCGCCGCAGTTCGGCACTTCCCGCGGCGCAGTATCGTCTCATTTTGCACTACATGGACCACACGATTCTCATGTACGACATTGCGCGGCGGGCGGACGATGAGGATTTGCTAATTTTCTAAACTTGTCGGCCGGAAGTGAGCAGCGAGATGGGAGAGAAGGATTTCCAGCGTGTGTACGTATATGTAATGTGAGGGTAATTTTGTGTCTGTTTTGTTTTCCCTTTTAACTCTTCATTTTTATTCTTTACTTTAATTTTCTACCTTCCGTGGGGACATGACAAAAGGGTAGATATACAAAGTCTGTGATGAATTGTGGTGAGCGAAGCATACTGAGCCGGTTGCATTTAAACCTCTTTTTTCTCTTCTGTTCTCTCGAGCGGCCCTAGGGGAATGGATGGCTGGCATTTGGGACAGAGACAGGGACAGGTTGGGTCTCTTAACTGCCTTAGGTTGTTTGGTTGGTTTGGTCTAGGGGGGAAGAAAGATAAGGTGGGATAGGGGGCGGCAGCGCTTCAGAGCTCTATATACCTTATTCTCTAATTTCCTCTAATTCTTCGACATGGGAGGAAACAGACTGTACTTTTTCCTGCCTCTTTTGACTGGGCTGAGCTGGGCTGGTGTCCCGATTTGTTGGGTTGGGGGGAACATGGCTGCTGTCGCTGCACCTAGAATGAATGGATGGAATGAATGGAATAGATGGATGGAATGGAGTGGGCGTTTAGTTTCGATCATCTTGTGACTGGGACGGAAGGGGAGATTGGGTTGCCGACCTTGACTTTTTTATCTAGCATCGAAATGGTGGTTGCCCGCAAACAAATTGCAATATAATGAGCGATTGGCAGTGAAAGGGGATTTCTCTCGTCCTTACACCTTTTATTGACGAGTAGCCGTGGCCGTGGTAGTGTCCCTGGCAGTATCCTTGTCTTGGAGGATGGACCAACACATGCTTACCTAGGTGTATAGAAGAAAAAAAGGGGATGGCTTCAGTGTTGAGTAGTGAGTGTTTTGCAAGCGAGGGAATGGGTACCTGCCAAGTGAACGGTCGTGTGTCTTGAGAGCGCAATATCCTAGGTACCTAGGCTTCAATGTCGATGATAATATTTAGAGGAAAGAGTAGTGGCATCGAACATCGGAGAGAATGAAAAGTACACAGTAGGTTTTCAAAACCAGAAGAACCATATCTAGCCATGCCCAGTATCTTCTGACACATTCCCCAGCTTGTTGCTTATTCCCTACCATTTTCTTTTCTCTTCAGGTTTTTTTTACACGCTGTCAGTCTGGGAAAAAAACGTACCAAAAATAAATACAAATATACACCATTCAGAAATCAGAGCGCTCCTTTTCAATGCCCTACTCCGCCTGCAGCCCATTGCCCAAAGTCGGGATCACCTAGCTGGGGGAAGAAACCTCGCTCTGCTTGCTGCTGCTGCTGTATTTGCTGCTGCTGCTGTTGATGTTGTTGATTCCCGAGAACGCCCTGCTGCTGGCGCTCGTCCTCGGCGCGCCTCGCCGCTTGTTGCCTTTGCTGTCTGTATAAAAGCAACCCCACGAGGGCGCACGCGAGAACGACAATCACTAGGCTTTCCACAATGCCCTCATCAATGTCGCCCGCCAAGCCCGGGTCGCCGCCCGGCATCGTGTCGTCATATATGCTGTCCTCATAGTCATCACCTTCGTAGTACCCCGGCATGTCTTCCTGCAAGAAATTCGCAATCCACTCGCTGAGGGACCAGTCTTTCTTAGGGGCTAGTGGAGGGGGAAAAAGGTATGTCAGTTTCGTCGTGTCAGATTCAGGGAGACCCAAGAACCATGCCCTAAAGTAGGCCCGTGAGAGTGAGACTTACTGGGCTCGTCTTGAATAGAGTTGATCCGCCCGTTCGTAATCGTGTTCCATGCGCTCCTTACCCGTAGCTTCAGCAAGCTCAGAGCGACGGGGAGATAGGCCTCCTCGTTCGTCTCCAGAGCCAAGTCGTAGTTGCGCTTGGCTAGGTGGAAGTCCTGATTCAGCCCCACGCCGTTCTCGTGCATCCATCCCAAGTTATACAGCGCCTGTGCGCTCTGGTGGTATTCCGAGGCCGCAGTATAGCACTGCACGGCTTTATCGACGTCGGGGTATGCGCCGATGCCGTTGAGGTAGTAGTCTCCCATCTTCACCAGGGCGTCAATGTTACCCTGCCTCGCCGAGCGCGTCCAAAAAATCAAGGCCAGGGTAGGATTCTGGAGGACCGAAGACTTTGGGGCTCGGGGGTAGAGCCACTGAGGAATGATTAATCGGGACTTTTCGGGGTCTAGCATGTAGGCAACGTTGTTCTGCGCCCGCTCATACCCCTGCTCCGCCGCGCCCAAGTACTCGAGGAGCGCCAGCTCGTGGTCGCCTTCTTCGAGGGCCAGGTTGGCCTCGGCCCAAGACGACACCAGAGGCTCGGCTTTCTCGGCCACGTTCTTGTAGAACCCTAGAGCTAGGCTGCACGATTTCTCACGCCCAACCCCAAAGTTGTTCATCTCTGCGAGGTAGTACAAGGCCTCGATGTTGCCATAGCGCGCGGCTAGCTCAAAGTAGTGGTTCGCGGCCGAGAGGTCGTCAGCGTAGCCTTGATCAATGTAAAGTGAACCATACTGCACCTGGGCGGGCGCAAAGTCTTGGTCCGCAGCCGCCTTGAATAGGTTGGTGGCCTTGACAATGTTCTTCTTGACGCCGTATCCGTGGAGGAGCAACAAGCCCAAGCCATAGTGTGCCTGGGCATCACCAAATTCGCTTCCGCGGTCGAACCAAACCTTGGCGCGCTCAAAGCTCTGGTCCACGCCCTCGCCTCTCGTGTACATGCGGCCGATGAACCCGGCTGCCTTGCTGGCCGTCTTGTCTAGCCCCGGCTTGAAGTTCTCGACTGGGCGCCCTTTTTTCCAGAATTTCTGGGCGACGGTGAAGAAGTACTTCCTGGCCAAGTCAAAGTTCTTGGGAAGACCCCGCTGGCCCTCGTAGTAGATGCGGCCGAGGTTGAAGGAAGCCTTGAAGTCGCCCTTCTGGGACATGAGGTCGAGGTACTCGATGATGTCCTCGATCGACGCATACGCATCCGAGTTGGGGTGCGCCTTGATGGCATTCATGCCCGCGCTCGAAACACTGGCTCCCTCGCCATAGACGCCTCCGGACTCGTCAGCGATCCAGTAGGCTTCCGCGATCCAGCCCATACCGCCCGGGGGACCCGACCGATACCAATCGATGGCCTTGTCTGCGACGCGCTTGTAGTACTTTGTGGCCGTGGCGCAATTCTTAGGCGTCCCGATTCCGGCATGGTGCCGGTATGCCACCGTCATCTCGGCCCTCGTATGCCCCTGGTTGGCGGCAAAGGTGTAATAAAGAAGGGCCCGGGCCTGGTCTCGCTCGACGGAGCTTCCCACTCCGGTCGAGTACATGAGCCCTAGCATGTGCAGGGCCGAAGCGTTTCCATTGAGGGCGGATAGCTTATGGTAGTAGTCGAAGGCGGCCTTGAAGTTTTTGGGGTGCGAGTAGTTGCCATAGAAATTCAGCTCGGCCAGCAGGTAGAGGGCATCGGAGTTGTTCTGTCGAGCAGACTCCTCGAGGAGCTTGGCGGCGTGGTGGAGGGGGCCAGTGAGAACACTCTTAGCAGGCTCGGCGGGAGGAGCGCTGAGGCGGAAGGTCGGAAGCGCCTTGAGCGCCAGGTGTCCCAAGGTGCTGAAGATGCTACGCGACTTGCGCGTGTGGTGGTGCAGCGGCTGGTATATCTTTCGCAGTTCGACGAGGGCCGAGTCGACTAGGTCGGCGCCGGGTTCCCGAACCGTTTGTCCTCCGGTTTGCGCGGCTGCCACCTCGGCGTGGAATGTATCGCGCTCGCCCTTTGTTTCCCCTGCAGAGTCGGCATCGAGGACATGTTGGGCGACCTGCGGCCCGGCGCAAGAGAAGAGGACAAACTGCAAAAGCACTGCAAAATTGGGGGTAGAGTAGGTTAGCACGCGATAGCGATGTTTTACTGCGGGCAGCAGGGCAGCGCGACTAGGGCAGGCAGGCCGACTTACGAAACAACCACGAAAGATGTCGCCTCATCGTCGACCAGTCGTAAAAGAAAAGAAAGGATGCCGAGATGTTGTCATGTCATGGTTGAATCGAGGCTGTCGATTCTGAAGGAGAAGAAGCTGGTAGTTATTCCGTAACTGTAGTGTAAAGTGGGATGTTGGTGCTTGATAATGCCGGTACCTGAGTTAACACCAGCTGTCCAGAACGCCTTCCCGGAGCTGCAGGCAATGATGCTTTGCGACAGGGGTGGTACCAGAGCTGCCCGCTTTTGGACTGAAGACGCAGGTGGCAGACAGCCGGTAGAAACCAAGACGGCTCCAGCTCCAACCCTAACCCTACACAGCACCGAACGACAACTCAACATCTCAGTCTCGAAGACACGATAGACAATACGTGGTTGGGTTTCACTGTTTTAGTAATAACAGGTTATGACCAGAGTGTTTTGGACAATGTGTAATATTTGGAGGCCGTCTTCTCTATCCGGTCCCGGGAAGTAGAGTATGATTATCGACATGTGGAGAAAAAACTTGATAAAATCCCAATTGAGTGTTCAAATTGAGAAGCAAGAACTACCTCAGCATAGTATATAAACCGTGATACCGTTGAATATATGTACTATACTTCGTAGCAGTCGTAGCCTTCACCTACTCAGTATGTCATGTCACGCAGCCGTCCGCCTTCCTCTCTCTATATCCATATGCCGTTCGATAGAGACCAGTCGTTACTATTCATACAGATTGGAAGAAAAAGAACAAACGCCCACATCACCGATTGTCGCAAAAAGGAACACTGCCTCCTTTTTTCCACCTAATACAGTGAGCCCCAGCCTTTTTAAAACGCCGTTCCATGGAAGCCCCGCCCGCCAGAACCGCCACCAGACCATTCCATGTCGTCAGTGCCATCCCCTACCATCTTGACACCATGCTTTGGCTTCCAACCCAGAATTGATACCTCGCCCCTTTTCTGAAATTCCCAAAGGCCCCCCAAACTAACCATAAATAACATCGCATCCGGTGCAAACCTCGTCATCATATTCATCAACATCTGTGGGTAAAAATAAGAAATGGAGATACTGAGACTTCCAATTCCAGCTGGTTTTCCCAGCTATTTCTCACGTTAGTGCTTGGATTCGTTGCTGGCAGCCTTTTCCCGAAGCGATATCTCTCTGCAGCACACATATAAAATGCAGGGCATGGGATAGGTGGCTCAGGCCCACCAGAATAATCCAAAGCAACAGCATTTTATGCATCAAATTCTGAAGGGAAAAAAGGAGTGTGTCCTTCAGTGACGTTTCACAGGCGCATGAGTGTCGTAGTCCCACGAACGCTTGAGGCCGCCTTCGTAAACACTGGCCACCGACTCTCGCCACATGGCAGGGGTAATAAATGTTTGCACTTGTGCTGCTGAGAACTGCTGCGGCGGAAGTTGCTGAGATCCGGACCGTAACTGGGCCTGGGCCGCTTGGATGTCCTGGAGCGTCGGGGCCTCGACAGCGCCTGAAGAGACCGCACTTAGAGAACTGCCCTGGCCGGTGACCGAAGTCGGGGAAGATTGGGGCGGGGGCGTACCAAAAGAAGTATTCCACTGACTGTGATGGGGTAAGCCTCGCTGTCGTATACCTTAGTTTGAAGACATTATGGCCACTTACTCAAATATTCGCGAGGGGTTCCACGCAGGGGCGTCCGCCAGAGGCAGCGTCTGTTGCAGCTGCTGCGGCTGGGAACTGTGGTTTGAGGCTATCATGGCCAAGGACTGTACACGAGGCGAGTCACTTTTCGAATCCAGTGGACCCGCAGAAATTGGCGGTGAAATGGGATGACCGCTATAACTGACATGCGATGGCGGCATTTGTGTGTCTACTTGTCGGCCCATAGTACCTGTCCGGTATGACGGCCCAGGCGGGCTCGGATGTGTAGATGACGGCGGGCTGCCATAAGGGAAGCTCGGTTTCAAAACAAATGGCTTTCTGACATCCGCGGAAAAGGCCAGGCGGACTGAATCCACCTGCTTTTGCATGTCAGGCATAGGCCATGCACCCATACACTTCTCCAGGATTCTCATGTGACGGGTAAAGTAGCCTCGGGCTTCAGAGTTCAGGTCGGGATCAGGCGATGTTAAGGCGACCTATGTGAAATTTTAATTCTGTGCCCGGAGGATCACGCTCGAGAAGAAGAATCTGGAGGGCGAAGAAAGGTGGTTGGTGCCTACCAAATGTAGCACGATGCAGGCAAGCACCGCGTAGATCGTGAAGTTGATGCCTCGCTGCATGCACTGCAACCCGGGCAGTCCAAATGAACCCATAACCGACTCCTGGAGCCTGCACAGCATCTTAGCCGCATTATAGGACACCAGCATGTTATGCTTCCACTGGCCGCCTACGCCGCCTGGCGTCAGAAACGCTAGTTGAGGCCGATGGAACAAAATTATGCTCAGGTAGTAGTACGAGTGAAGATTTCCGATATAAGCCGAGGCGAGCCAAGGCGGCGACCCATCAGGCGGGTAGCTGACAGCCAGATCTTCGGGAAGTTCGGCCAACCATTGGTCGAGTGCAGGCCTGATTTGCACGAACTCGGGGTCGATGCCCCATTCCTTGTTCTTCTTGAGGCGCGCATAGGCCCTTCCCATTTTACTGACGTTGCGTACGACCTTGGCGAAGTATGAAAAATTCCGAGACACGTGGTACTCTGACCCATCGCTGTTCGGTGTTGTCCGTGGGACGTTGAAGTCGACAGTGTCCTCGTCAACCTGCAGATCGGTTCGGCCTAAACAAGGCGTTAGTCAGCTTAGACAGGAGAATTACGAGAGCCAAGGTGTCCCTACCTTGAGGAGAGCCAATCATGACTTCACAGACAAAGATAGTCTGCCAGATCCTATTCTTTAGCAGACATTCAGACGGGTCAGAGTCGCACGGCCTCCCGGCCTGGTGGTCTGCGAGATGCTCGTCCAAGCCCAGGTCCTTGGCCATCTGAACACACTGGACAATGCTCATCCATGAACGATAGTAGTAGCCCCTTTTCGGCGCCTGCTCCCTCGCTTTCAATATGATCAGCAGCGCCTGGAGCGTGCTCAATCTCGGCTCGTCCATAAAGGAATCCGCGTGCCCTGTGGTTGTTAGCGTCCGGTTGTCATTAGAAATAGTGGGGACCCATCATACGCGTTACGAGTGCGAGCCATTGCTGGCCCTGTGCGGGCTCGTCGGCCAAGCGACCAGCTATTGCAAAAATCGACTCGAGAAGCAGCGGAGAGACAGCCTCTCTATTCTCGTGCCATTGCTGATAAAACGATGTTTTGTCCAAAACGGGAACATAAGGGTGAGCATTGCTGAAGTATAAATCGAAAAAATGGAGGACTGTTTCGTCATCTGGCATCAATTCGGGGGGTATGCGGATTTTGAGGCCAGGGCCTGATGTGAGAGGCGGCAAGGGGCTCTTGTAGTCATCTGCATCCTCAACAGCGGGCTCTTCCGCCCTCTTCGATCGTAATTTGCTGTTCAGGTAAGGGGCTGGATTTTTAACGTTAGCTAGGCTAGACAATCACCACATCTACGGCCTTATTTTCTTACCTATTCCCGCCTCGTTCACCTTTAGAGACCCCAAGAGATCAGCCAGGTCTTGCTGTGCGTATTCGGACTGGTACGCCTCTGGAGATTCGGGCTGGGACGAATGCTGCAGCGGTGGTGTCGGGAATGAGTTCTGTGATGTATACTGTTGATCAACAATGTCGACTGGAGTATGGGCGTTGGCGTATTGCAGGTTATGCTGCACCCCCTGGGACTCTGCGTACTGTTGCACGTCGTGGTAGAGGGCCGGGTTTTGGTAGGAGGGCTGCGTGGTGTAGATGGGCGCGGGCTTTGGCGCATGGCCAAGAAGCTGCTGATCCGCAATGGGTAGCTGTTCTCGAAAGTCATCCTGTACATGTGAGGCTTCGAACTGTGGCCGCGGTGGCTCGTAGACTTGGGGCTCGGCCGAACCATCGTACCCGTTGGGACGAACACAGTGAAGCTTCAGACGAATGCACGCGGTACAGGGCCAGGTGTTTGTCGTGGCGGCATCACATTTGATCTTTCTTCTCCGGCAACCCTCACATGCTCTCATCACTGTGTAGACGAGTCAGTCTCGCACTTAGGCATGGCTAGGACGGTTGGGGGCCGCTTCCATACCCTTCAAGCGCTTGTGGCGGTTATGCTCGTCTACAAAGACATAATCTAGCAACGGCGAGTTAGCACCCAGGAAGATGCGTTACACGTAGAGAGTGAGGGAGAGAGAGGTCTCGTCCCGAAGAGGAGGCGTACTCTTTTGGGTTTCGCGTGGCTGCTGGTAAGAGGATTGCGGTGCAAACGAAAAGGCTCCCATTTGAGAGTTCTGGGGAAGCAGGCGGCGCACTGTGGGATCGTTTGACATGTTGACGACGGACGACTGGCACGGACGCTCGCAGGCGTGACGGTTGAGATTGGCGACTCCGCATCCAAGTCAAGTCATGGGCACGACTGAGGCGAGTGGGTGAGTGTCGTCACGGTCCCCTCTAGCGTTCTCGTCCTGATGGCGCCGAGAACAGAACGGGGAGGGAGGCTCGCGCAGACAAGAGCGCTTTAGACGTTTCTATTGTCGTCGGGATGATGCAACGGCAGGGAGACTCGATCGGCGCAACACACGAAGGTGGGTTTGGACGGGATTTTAGTCAACTCGGGGCTTTCGCAAAAGCCCAGGCTAGTGACCCTGGTCCGAAATGGAGAGAGCTAATAAGGGCGGCCTAGGTAGGGGCCGGGCTATAAAAGAAGGGGCAACCCTTGTTGCAAGACTGCGGTGGAGGGCCTGCGGAGAAGGGACCTCGAGAGAAGACAGACCTAGGGTCGAGCGAGTGGTAGATGGCTTAGGTTGATCAGGATCAGCCAGGGCCTGTCATGAATCGCACCTTTCCTCTAGGCAGTGACAGTGGACAGAGACACACACTAGGGGTGGGCATTCGGGGAGACGAGTTTCGCGATGCTGTGTCAGGGACGAGCCTCAGAGTGGACTGGACCGTGTGCAGTAGATACGTACACGGCATACATACCTTGGGAAGTGAAGAAAGCACGAGATGCTGCAGGCGCTCCAGCCCCTAGTACTGTACAGACCCGAGTAGGGATGAACTGACCAACACCTGGAATTATCTTAGCTTTACCTACATTAGGTGGGCAAGGTAGGTATAAGATAGGTAAGGCAGTCAGGTAAACCGAGACTGGCAATCCAAGACTAAAGAGAAGAGCTGTACGTGCTGTGTGTAGGTTGTTGTTTCGACGAAAGCTGCCCGGACACCAGGAACTACCTTACCTCTCAATATTCCAAGCTCAAGCTGCTGCTGCTGCTGCTGCTGCCGCTGCTGCCGTTACACTGCCTTTACCAATTGCCGCCATATCTCAAATGTCTGGCAATTAGTGTTATTATCAGCGGCGGCCTGGCATCCACATTAGTGGGCGTCGTATAGGGTGAAACGACAGGGAGTCGTCAAGGCTGGCCCAGCGTAGATTCCGCAAGACCCTTTCGACAGACAATGGATGCTTTGAGCGGGGGAATGTGTCGTGAGGGCCAGCCTGGAAGCGAATCGTGTCGATGCGCCATTCCTGAGCCCAGAGCAGGAAAGCCAGGGCAGGGGAGCCAAGGGCCCATCGAGTGGGGCGATGAAGGGGCGGGAGGGGTCACCCTACCTGAGGCGGACCAGGTAGGGAATGGTGTGGGGTTATCAAAGCACGACTCGCCCACACTCACAGCGAACCAGGGTTCGTCCCCCTCCCACAGGCAGGGATGTTCCAAGGAGGAGCGCCAGAAGCCCAGATGGAGAGAAGGCGCACTGACGGCGGACTCGCACGACTGGGACGGCGGTCTTGCCTACCTCAAATTTACTAAGATCGAGGAGGTGTGTTTGGGTGTTTTTGACAGCCTGGGTCACAGGGTCGCGTGGGAACCGAAGTTTGACTCTCGGCTTTGCTTTCTCTGTTCTGGCCACGCCAATTATTAATATCCCAATGCCTTTGGGGCCGAGGTAGGTAAGGTACGTAGTTTTTTGCTCGTACCTACCTAGCTGCCTAGGTAGTAATTTCGCAGTGCTGATCGTCAACTCGGAGTTGGATGGAAGGCAGGTGGAAATGGCAAATCAGGATTGTAAAGCGCTGTTCTCCCGTTGGCGATCTCTCACTGGCTCCCTCCGGCCCGACACCACCTGCATACCTCTGTGTTCTGTGATGCATCCATAGGTATGTACTTGGACTTGCCCTACAGCAGGGTGCACAGAGAGAGGCCGCGATGCCCGGGAGGCTGGCTGGCTGGCGGGTAGTCTTCCAGGTTGTTGCCAGGCTACCAGGCTGATTGCCAGGCCGGCCGCCTCGTGGTCGTGGTGGTGTGGCGGCCTAGCGGTGAGTGAGCGTGGCGACAAACTCAAATGCCTGTCGCCCTTGATGTGGACACATTGATATTAGATATTACTGCAGATTTATCGACCAGGGGTAAGAGGGTGTCGGTATCCGGGTGTCACCACGCACTTTACCTCTACTGCTTGGATTGAAATATGCAATTATAACCCGCTGAACCCAACAACGTGGGGAGCCGCTGGGCCCTTGCAACCCATGGCAAAAGATTGTGCATGTCCATGCAAGCCATGCCATGGAAGATGGTTAACGACTTCTAGTGGGAAAAGAGAGTCTATTTCCTGTCTCTGATGACATCTTTCGGTGGAGTATGTCCAGCCCATCCATGTGTGCCAGTCCGTCCCCGCATGTTTCCAACTTTTCTAGAAGATGGAATCACCTCAGCAGGGCGGGCCGGCGGGGACGAGCTGCAGCCATGAATATCGTGACTTAATCCGTACTGTGTCCGTACCTGCCTTATACTTGTTCCAGATGGGTAGCCAATTGACTGGCCGTGAAAAGTTCCTTCCTCTTCGCCTTTTGCCTTTTCCACGCCAGTCCAAAGTTTTTACTTGATGTCAACAAGTGGGATGGAAGGCAAATCTCAGCTGCGGCAACGCCCTCGCTTCCTTTTGGCCCCGGGCGTTGTTCCATTTATATCGCTTGGCCCAGGCACATAATGAGAAAGTCAAAATGCGTGTCGACAAATGTCGCCGTGGGAGGGTAAGTTCTCTTGATCGTCAGGGGGGCATCGGCAAAGGACCTTCGGCTGGAGCCCACTAGATTCTAAGATCTTCAAGGTATTATTCGGGGACTCTTGAGATGCAGTTGGACCCCGAAGAGCTCCCCGGAATCCGAATACGTGTGTGTGATGTTTCTACAACTTCCCTTGTCTCACTAACACTACCCAAGGTAGGCAGTTCCAGGTAATCTGTCTATTTAATAAGCAACGATCCTTGAATATCTACCATATATCACTGCGATAGTATTGGACTCCGAAAGACGGGTGCACCGCATAAGAGCAGCCGTATGCGGCCACTCTAAAGACCAGAAAAGAGGGCCATCACTAATAAGCTGACGGAAATTTTCCTTCGCCTCCATCTCCGGGCCTACCTTTTTTCAGTCCGTTGCTACTGACACGTCACTACCGACTCGCTGATCACGGCGACTTTAACAATGAGAAGTGACTGATCTCACACGTGGATGTCGGAACTTAAAGCCGTTCCTTCCCGAGCGGCCATGAACGAGAGGTTCCAGCTACGAGTTCAAGTTTCGTGCACAACAAACCTCCGCAAGATTTCTCGATCCCGCCTAGTGTTAAAGGCATGGGTATCCCGGACCACCCACGATCACATGCCCAAAGGGCTGGATGAGACACAATATCCTCAGGACCGAGGGCAAAGCTTTGCCGGCGTTAACCTATCAAAGAAGATGGCACACTGTGACGCGTCCAATAATAAGCGAGGGCGACTGAAGAGAGAAATGTGTGGTACATAGAACGCCGTTGTGACTAGCGTACTGCCTAGAACAGAAGGCGCTTCTTTTCCCAAATACTGGAGACGTTGTCTTTGAGAGAGACCGAGATGGTTGCTGCGAGTGTGCTGCGGGACGCCATGGTCCATGCGTCTTTCTATGTCTGGTTTGGCGTCCTACGGGCCTGGAATGCGGCGCAAGTCACATGGCGGGGTTAGCGACCCAGGCATATCGGAGCATCCTCGCAGGTCATGGCCGCGAAGCGAGCCCTGCGCTGTGCTTGGTCTAGTCTAGAGTCTGGACCGGAAAGGAAGGACGATGCTTCCAGGGATGCCGCATGCAAGTCACTGGAAAAAGAAGCAAATAAAACGGGAAGAGCGTTGCGGACGAGACCTTCGCGCTAGCATTTATAGTAAGATTGCGTACCTTAACGTGTGTCGGGTGTTGTCGAGGTCAAGGAACAATCCGTGCCAACGGAACTGGCAGATGTCAGGTACAAGGGCCGCCGCTACGATATGCGTTGAATTTAAGGTTGGTGATCGCAGGCCCCAATCTCATCGGTTCTTTTGTTCTCATCGCACATTCCAGGCCTGTTGTAGAAGGAACTCCGAAGATAGGTGCGTCATTACCGCCCGTGAACGTGGGGAGGGCACGAACGCCCGAACGACAGCAACGGACGCCTTGGCGTTCTTCGGATCTTCTGCGCAGGGGTTGTGGAAGCTTCCTGCGCTATTGGAAAGCTCGCGGCCTCCGTGCATATCGGCCAGAAGCACACGTCTCAAAAAACGTAGGTACATGTGAGGAACTGCCGGACAAGGCCGCGTCGCCAGGGCGGGGAGCCCGAACTTCGGAGGCTTTGAGAACACAACCCCGCGTTGGACCTAGATACCAATCCTTAGTCCAAGGTTTTCGGAATCGATAGGTGTTCCGGCCGTCAAGCAATACATGAATACCAAAGGTACGGACCATGGTACGGTGCTCCATACCTAGGATACATATTCTGACTCGTGATTCAATCAGTTACCTCGGGTAGTTTCGTGACTGTAGACGAGTTATAGTAATCAGCAAATCCGTGAGGCAAATCCGCAAAGGGTTGACAACCAAACCGCCACTTACACTCACCAGCGTTCATGTTCGTTGATACATAGTAGATCGGCCTCCTTCAATCATTCCTCCGAGGGGGTGTGTGGGGGTGAGGGTGGAGTGTCCGTACGAAGATCGGAAAAGGGTGCAGCCGTTTACAGAATCTGGGCACCCGGGCACCAACCTACCCATTGCGGCAGATGCCGTCGGCGATTCCAGGCGGCAGGTGGCAAGCAACAAGCTTCCATCGTCATCAACCTCACCCTGCATTTTGCTTTGCACGTAACACCACACACTCTCTCCGCATCTTAGTCAGAAAACGCAGAAAAGCCCGACGCGCTACTAGCTTCGTCGGCAGAGCACCGGATTTGCATCTCGACAATCTCGGAATTGCCCAACAACAGTCTCATCTCCTGGGATCGTGACGCAGCCTTCCAAGGCCCCGCCTCGACAATGCAGAAGTCGGAACTGGACAACGCCAACCCCACAATCCTCAGTGTCTCGCAGCTCCCGAGTAGGAGGGCGACGGGAGGCACAGCAAGGCACGGACCCGACTCTAAATACGACTATGCAGCTCTCGCTTCCCTGTCGAGTGACACTCCGTCGTGGCACTCGGACGATGATATCGATGGCGACTACGGCGATGCTCACGACGAGATATGGGAGGCGCCTGTTGACGAGCAGGAAATCTATGGTTTGTTACCCTCGTTCGCCCTGTGCAAATTTACCCCAGCGTCTCGCTTGGCCTACCCCATGCTTCCTCCTCTCATCAGCCCCCAAACCTCAAAACCAGCAGCTAAGCCGCTTGCTGTCTTGACCCTTGGCGCATGAGAGAGACGGATGGACCCATGAGCCTCCGCGTGCTAACGCAGTCAAATGTTTCACGGCCGATTGTCGCCTGCTGGCTTGGTTGATGCGCCTGTTCTGCCTCTAAGATGCTATTTTTGTAAGTGACCTTGAGGGCGATCAAACGGCTGACGTCTCATAGACCTGATCTCCACAATATCGGACCCTGAGCATCCCAATACCCTAGGGGAGTTGAATGTCGTCAGGCTTCCTGACATCCGTGTCACTCCTGCCGGGCAGCGGTCAAATTTGACCACGGTCCTGGTTGATCTCACGCCCACCGTCAACCACTGCTCGCTGGCCACCGTCATTGGCCTGGCGGTGCGGTGGAGGCTCGAGCAAGCTCTGCCACCGAGCTATCGCGTCGACGTCAGGATGAAGGACGGCTCGCACGCCCAGGACGACCAGGTCAACAAGCAGCTGGGCGACAAGGAAAGGGTCGCTGCAGCCCTCGAGAACGACACGCTTCGAAACGTCGTGGACAAGATGCTCGAGACGTGCGCATAAATAGAAATGCACGGGCGACTTCTGTCGCGTGGCCATTAGGCTAGTGAACGGTGGACCGGGTTGGAGCCGCTTTGCACAGCGTGGACGGCGGACCTACTCCGTAGGTGCGGAGTAGCCACTTACGAAACAGAATGGCCCTTTGTTCATCAGATCGTTGCTTGTTTTGTGTAATCAGTTTACAAATGCACTCGCAGACTTTGTTCATTATTTCTTTTTTTGCGCTTCCTTCCTGCAACTGCGTCTGCCTCGACAAATCACCCACGCTAGCGAGAGGGTTAGATACCCACTCAAGGGCTACAGGTGCCGTCATTGGCGGGGCCAATTCGGTCAAACCCCAACCACCCACTCGGGAGCTCTCCTTTTCTGCGGTCCGTGAGGATGTGGCGCCTGCACGTTCTCCCGTGTGCAGGGTTCATCAGACGGTTCCTCAACCTGCCGTCGTGCCACATTTATTTCGATATTGCACACTGCACAGGACAAAAGATCCCTTGCTCTCTTCTTTCCCTGGTCCTTCCAGGGTTCTTTATCACCGCGCGCGGCTGCCGTTTCCGCCTTCATCAGCAAATTCTCCCATCTTTTTATAATTCCAGGCGTGCGCCGCATGTTTTCCAGGGCTGTGTGTGCGCGGTGTGTAGTAGGTGCTTCCCACCTCTGCTTGATGGGAGTTGCCTTTTCATGCGGAGACCCCAAAGGGGCCATTCGGTCACAACCTATCATGCCCATCAGCCCGTCCCAGCAGTCTGGTAAAGGGGTTCGGGCCTTCGAGTCTCGCAACATGTTGCCCGGTCCTTGGTTGGAGCGCAGCTTCTTTTTATTGCTGGCGGTGTGCTTTTGGCACAGTACATGCACCATGTAAACAGTACTCTCTCTGCAGACTGGCCAGCCACGTCGCACGTGCGTGATCCCAACCCTCGATGGATGCACTGCGGTACGGTACAGCTTGTCTGTCTTGCTTCCCATCTCGACAATGCACGCCATGCCACATGCCCCATGTCCCCATGCCTGCCAGCCCGCTTGGCTTGACGACGAAAAAGCCAGGCCCGCGCGTCACGTAATTCCGTTGTGGGGAGGAGATGGGGTGCTTCAAGGGGGTGTCTGAATATCCGGATGCGTACCCTCAGGGGGAAGGATGGAGAGGGTTGATACTACTGCCCAATTGTCCATGATCTTGAATTCAAGACCCCATTTTCAAGGCCGTTTCGCGTATTTGATTGTTCTTTAAAGCGAAAAGATACAAACGAGTTTCGATTGATTGCAGAAAAGGAAAATAGAAACACAAAAATAAATAAAAGGAGATAAAGTGAGCTTTGCTGCCGCTCCCCCCACTCTCCGATCGATGATCGGCAGGGGCCGTCGTTTCGAACAATATATAACAATATGAACAAAAAAGGAGGAACCCCCAACATCTACCGCGTTTTTCGTCCTCCCCAAACCAGAATTCCGTTAGAATGAGTGTGGTATCATATCAAAACACACCAAAAGCTAGCTATATGTGACAACGAGGCCGTTCTGCGATCATATTTGATGGAAACAAACTGTTGCCAAATACTGAGTACAGCTTTCATGTCGCGAGGTGTCAGATGCGAGACGGCTTTCTTTCTGCCTTGAACCTTGAGTTACACAGAGGACATGCCCGATGTATTGCGAGCAAATCGAGCCTAGAGAGCGAGCATTGGTTTAGCTGACAAGACAGAAGGTTATCCATACAACACCTCCTACTATGCATCCGTACTGTGCTTGCAAATCCCGATTGGCTTCGGGGTTTGAGTAAGACGCGGATATACCGTCACTTAAGTCCCGATAGGTAAGAAGTGGGTATTCTCTTCCCCGGGCATTCCGTAACTACATATTCCCCATTAATAAATAAGAAATTAAGAAAGGGGGAAAGTTACCGGGTATGTTGACCGAGGAGGGAAGGATTGAGTTTGCGACAAGTCTGTTGTTGTTGGCGGACAAGGCCGGGCAGCCGGACGGCCGGGTCGTCGGCTTTATTATCTTCAGTTCAGTTGACGTCGTGTGGAAACATTCCGCAGGCATCCCAAACCACTCAAAAAAAGACAAGTAATAAAACCAGGCTCCGATAACCAAAGTTATTAAAAGGAGAAGGGTGCTTTGGGGGGGTTAAGTGGGGGCGATGGGGAAGGGGACTTGTTGGTTTGTCGTTGTTGCAACTTAGCATATCGATCGATCACTTCCGGGATTAATCTCGGCCGCACCTGTTTGGCTCTCGGTGTGGCTTTCAGGAAGGAAGGACGGATATGGTCGGCGAGAAGGGGGCGGGGGGGACGGGCGGAGGGGAAGAGCGCGCCTTGGCGACCAAGATGGAAACCTCAACTGGCGGGGAAGGGACAGGTAAGAGCCCCCCCGCTGTATCCGTACGCGCATACGGAAATACAGCACACACATGCCCTACAGTACAGCTACCCGTGCCTGCCTGCCTCCCCTCCCCACCTACCTAACATAATGCTATGGTAAGCTACGTTACCTTGGCGTTCGGTCTTCGGCTTTTAGCAAGTCCTCGGCACTGCAAGTCTGGAACCCTCGAATATGATTTTGTTGCCTCTTTTCGGCGGTTTACCAGCAGGGAATGTCCGTTTGTTAATTGGGCCTTGGTGTGGGAAGCCAAATCCTTCCCACCTCTAAACCACAATTAACTAAACTCAACCCCTCCTTTCATGCCCAGTCTCACTCTTGTCACCGATGATGCAAGTGGCTGCCGGCTATAACCCGACGAATCGGTTTCCCCGCCTTGTTCAATATATCTCACGGTGTAGGGGGAGGACGGGGAGGGGGAGGGGTGCAGCGGTTGTAAGATTTACCAAGTACGGTAAATGTTACCAAAGATAGGTAGCGTAGTATTCGTTGACGTTACTATTACTAGGTGAGCAACCGTACTTACTGATTCCACTTTCTGCACTCAACATCCATAGATCTAGCAACAAGAAAACAGCAAGCAAACTACCTACCTACCTACCTAGGTAGGCATTTTATCTCTTTTGTTATCAACCTCCTGCCTCATGCCTGGGTAGGCAGACACAAGTCCACTGGGTCGGGGGGTTTGGTTCTGATCTGCGCGTCGGGGACCCCTTGAAGCAATTTCACTTCACCAATAAACACATCAACCGATACGGAGTACGGAATACGCACATACGGATTATGTATACGCACCCCCATACGCACAATCACAAATCTCTTCACACACATTCAACACCCAACAGCATCACAAAGAGTCAAAACGCACATCATACCGCACAAAGAACACGAATAAAAGGTGGACAGGTAGCACATGACCCCCCATGCACACAGGCCATACATATCCCGTATATACATACACACAGGCTTCACGCACTGCTGCTAGTCGAGGTTGACAAATAGGAACCATCCCTCCACATAATCTGCAAAACAACGCTCTGTCTCTCTGCACGCTGCCTGCTCTTCCCGACCACTAACTGGCCGCTCTGCCTATCTTGAACAGCGCACCAACACAAGTGGTCCGTGGCGTGTGTGTCCAATAATACATAATCCATGGCCTCCACGGCCGTGGCTCCCTCGCACTTGGTCCCGGGGGAATGGGCATTGGACCGTGTGGCGCCCGCCGTCTTGGCTTTCTCGCCGCGCCGGGGGCGCCGGTCGGTCAGCAAGCAGCTAGCTAGCAAAGTGAGGAGACGTGGGGCGCAGAAAGATACTTAGGTTGTTGCCGCCACGCCCTCGCAGCTATCGCTCTCAACGCACGCGCCTCTTGACTCTCGAACAAAACGAATACTCCTCTTCTGCACATGGTATGTATGCATGGCATCTTTGACTGTGAACTGGAATTTCGCACGCCACCGCTGGTACAACCGGCTCCTCGGAATATGCTCAGGTATTTCATGTCTCGTCAATATACACTAGGCAGGTAGGCCGTCTGCCAGCTTTCCGTAGCAAGACCGGCGGGTCCGATGTGCGTGCTATATCGAGTTACAGAAGAATAAAACACGTATTTTACACCGCCGTCCTCCTCTCATTATGCCGTCATGGAAACCTAAAACGCCAGAAGTCGCCCCGCTAGATTTCCCGAAAATCACATTTCGCCCAGGGTGCCGCTTTCTATCAGACTCTGGTAGAACTCCGGCTCGAGGAATTTGGCGACACTAACGTCCTCACTCAAGCCCTTGCGTCTCCTCGTCTTCAGCACAAAGTCTCGCGCAGTTGCTTGGACGCTCGCCATCTGGAGGTTGCGAGTGATCATCTCCTTGTCGAGCGGGTCGCCAGGCACAATGTTCCAGCGGTCGAACACCAAGCTCACCATGGCTTGGCCGGGCGTGTTGATGCGCAGATCCGTCTCGAAGCCGAAGCTGTCAATGACAGGAATCAAACCACTGACACGATACAGGGGCGTTCCGGCGATTGGCCCATCCGATAGAACGTGGCCACGGCGGCGAGCCAGGATGTTGTAGACCGTGCTGACTGCGTCTTGGGGACCTGTCATGGACATCGAGTACAGGGGCTCCATCAGCCGTGGTGATGCCATCAGGAACGAGCTGTAGCAGGCTCGACGGGAAGTGGGAATGATCTGGCCCCCACCCCTGAAGATGGCCTCCTGCGCCAACGACATGTCGATGAGGCGGAATTTAGTATTGCGTATTGCTAGAGTAAAACAAGGTTCATTAGCTCAAGGACAGAAAGCAAGTCTGCTGTCTGCTGTGGTGTGTGTGAACGAGACGAAGGTAGGCAGGGTTGATCCATGTCTTGCTCCCGTGAATCCCCCGCCAGAAGACCCCTGCTTTGCAGGAGCCCTGTGGGATCCACACCGCAATCGGCACAGATAGCCATTGCCGCTTCTTCTCTCATTGTTCTAGAGTGCCTGCATCCGCCCTCGACTCGCCACACTGTTTTAAGCAGGTCGGCTAAGCCCGAGAGCGTTATCTGCAGAGCCTGGGCGACGATAGAACGATTGATACCAACGGCGAAGCCCACACTGCCGAGCTAATGCGCCCGGGACAGGGCAGCAATTGGTCGTGGCATAGATGCGAGACAACTTGAGATCTGAGCACTTACGTTCTTCGCAAAGCGGTCCTTCCCGCGTCGCCCAACTGAATCCTTGCCGGATGGACTCTTTGACCGTGTTCAGGAGTCTCTTGTCGACCTGTATACTCTGTCAGTTGTCTGTTGGTGAAGAAGGCCCGAATTGAACAGCCGGGACTGAGAGGCGATAATACCGGGGTTCCCGGTGATGCGGGGGATGAAACTCTACAACTCACCTCTGACGGAAGAGTGTCGTCCTGCAGAATGTTCGGGCCCATCTCGTCCGGCCCGAATGCCCAGATGCTTCTGGCCGCAAGAAGATCCCAGCCATACTTCTCCTCAAAGAACTTGGCAGTTTTCCGCACGGGATCGCGAATCTTGACGGCTCCAGACTCGATGTCCCCGGCAATTTCGTCATCGAGCGGCTCCGCCGCCATCGTGATTGTGTTCTTCTTGTTTGGTGTGACAGCATAGCATTTTGTCGCCGACATTTCCTGCACAGTCTCGCAGAACCGGACGACGGGGTCGGACACTCTGATTTCCATGTCTGCGTAGAGGCGCCGCAAGTCGTGCAGAACACAGTCCATGTATAGCTCTCCCGTTCCAAGGATGATGTGCTCGCCCGACTCTTCCACTTTCGTGGTGACCAAGGGATAGCTCTTGTTGATCTTTCGAATGCCGTCAAGCATCTTTGGCAGTTCGGACGGGTTGATAGGTTCAACAGCCACCTTGAAAACGGACTCGGTGAAGTGAGAAAGGGGCTTGAAGATGTATGCCTCCTCGTCATCAGCGGGCTTCTTGTCCATGATGGTGGCTGTCTTGACGATCGAGTTGTCAACGCCGCCAAGTAAGACCCAGTTTCCGGCCGGCACACCGTCGGTTGGGATGTTGTATCGAGTTTCGGCAATGAAGACGCTTGAAATCCTAGCCATAGCCATGTCTTCCTCATCGTCGAGGGAATAGCCCTCGCCGAGGACGCGAACCTCTGTGCCTGGTCGTGCTATGCCGCTCATCACCCGTCCAAACGAATTAAACCCCTTGGCGTCAACCGTATTGAACAGCTTAGTGACGTAGATGACCAAAGGGCCGTTTTGATCGCAAGCTTTCATCGACTCTGCGACCTTGGAATCAAGCGGCCCCGTATAGTAATGCTCGAGTTTCTTCTCGGCAGCTTCCACAGGCGACGGGATGTGTTGGCAGACCATGTCCACAAAGCCAGTAGCAGGACCTGTGAATCCACGTTAGCACGCCCAATCAAGTCCATACAAGGTCTCCAAACAAGAAATATCCGAGATCCACATACCAAAGAACTGCTCGCAAACCAACTTCAAGAGAACCCTGGGGTCGGTCTTGAACTGTGACGGCTTGAGGCAGATGCCAAGTTTCTCTAATGTTCTCTTCAAATCCCCGGGGCTTTCGCTGATGGTGTGCGAGTAGAGTTTATATATCGGCTCCAATATGAAGTTGACAAATGATCTCTTTGCACCTTCTTCGAGTGGTTTCCTTGTGAAGGTTCGCTTGCGCGGGTTGAAGTAGACGTCACCCCAGAGTCTCCGGGCGAATTCTTCCGTGTTTACACCACCACACCCGTCCGAGTACATTTTGGCAAACGACTGCAGAGTAAAGCACCAACCCATGTCAGTAGAGGCGAAGAGCACATTTCCCTTCTCGGGGCTCAGTCTCTTTAGCTCGCCGCGGCCGGGAATCGTATTTTCGATCACCGTGTTGACTTCTTCGATAACATGTTTGAGCTTGTAGTACGCATCGTTGGGCGGGAGCTTGAGCTCCAGGATTAAGCGGTCCATCTTGTTGACAATCAAGGTTATGGGGATGTCTTCAAGAACAGCATGCTTGATGATCTGCTCTGTGTTGACCTGGACGCCCTCCACAACGTCGACCACAAGACAGATACCGTCTACCAACCTGATGGACGCGGCAACTTCGTCGACAAAATCCACATGGCCCGGAGTGTCGATGATATGGAAGAGGTGCGACTTTCCTTTGGTACTGGGAAGGGCCAAGCTCATGGGCGAAGCCTTGATGGACAGGCCCCGGTCTCGCTCGAGCACATGGACATCGGTATATCGCAGCTGCTCATCACGTTTCTTGCCCGTGCGGTTCTCCAGCCTGTCTGCGATATCGTGGGTCTCCAGAACGAGCATGTCCATAAACGCGGTCTTGCCATGGTGTAGCTGCCCTGCTAGAGCGATATTTCGGATCTGCTCGGGAAAGTTCATCAAATCCGTCATGAAGCTTCGGTCGAAAAAGACGGGCGGAAGATCGGCCTCCTCGATGCTGAACTTTTTCTGCTCCAGGGGGGCAATGATGGGCTGTGTTAAAGGCTGTGCATCCTCCTCTTGGACCATAGTCTCGACACCCTCCCCGTACACCTGAGCGGCGGTCGGATAGTATTGCTTGTCCTCGTGCAGCACAACTGCGTTCGATGGCCCTTCATCTGTAGGCAAGTAAGTCACAGTAACACAGACAGCACCCGTCGGCGACTTAGGATCCGGCAGCCGCATACCGTCAACTTCCATCAGGTCCTGACCAGGAACTTCTGGGGCTTCCTCTGGGTATTCATCGTAGGCGTAGTTGCCGGCGTCGATGCCATGCTCGGATTCTAGCTCGGACGTCTCAGCCTCCTCGCCACTGCAATTGAGAAGGTCAGCACCTAGTATCGTAGCAGTCAAATAATGACAAGGACAAGAGGCCAGGAAGAAGAGGGGGTGAGGGGTGAGGAGGGGCAAGCACTAGCTAGGACGAAGCGGCGCTCGTCGGTCTCTGTCTGGCTGGGGCGACAGAGGATGCCATCGACAACCCAGCCTGGACGGGACTGCACGTACATGAAGTTGCCGAATTCATCATAGAGATCGTCATCCATGATTGCTGAGAGTTGGGGTAAGTGGTGGCTGTGTCGGGGGTCGGTAGGGGCCTGTCGCGTCGTCGTCGCAAGAAGGCTGAGAGTCGCGAACGCAGTTTTTCTCAGGTAGGTTGCGTTGCGGCTGCAAGGCTGAATTGATTTAAGGTATTCCGGGCACTGATGTCAAACTTCCGCGTAGCGGCCTAGCCTGTCTGAAATTTTAGGCTTGTACTCGCCTCTGGTCAGGCCCACCCCCGCACCCGGTCAACCCTGGGCCTTTGAATAACCTCATCCTTATCCGTATCGATACCAGACTCGAGGTAAAGGTTCAAGAATAACATATAGCTTAAGGTAGCTGGACAGGCACCCCTCCTTGTGCCTCAATATCTTTAATGCGACTTCACGACCCATCGCCAGATTAACCGTAACGTATTCATACAGCGACCAGTTCCAAGCTACTTAGGTATGAGCCGTACGGAATGTCCCAACCTACAACCCCTCCCAGAAAGATGCCAAATTGACGCTATATCATGTTATGCCGGTGCCCATAGCATGCAAGGCCTGTTTCCGGGGGAAGCACCTGTTTGCAATAACTTGACTAGTGTGATTTAAGGCCAATCCAATGTGTTGCTACTGCGAGCCTATTGAACGACTATCCACCTTGCAGGAAACCCCTGTGTGTAGAGGAGACGTGCCGTGGCCGTCAAATTGAGATCGATAGATTTGACTGCACTGAGTACTTCGGAAGTAGGAGGCAGCCAGAAGATACCTGACGAAAAGTGATGAAACCCCCAGAAAGAAGAAAACGCCAAGTTCATGATGCCTTCATTGTATAGACTGCACTTCCCATCTACACCTTAAATATCCACAGAGAATGCCTGAATCGTCTCGGCGCTCATCTCGTCATTTCTTACGAAGCGCCCTGCGCGCAACCTCGCTTTCGGCGATGGACCGCACCAGCTGCAGAAGGAGATCCTTGCCCAGAGTGACTGCCTGGTCGGTGCTGTCCGAGGGCACATGCAAAAAGATGACATTGAGCGGCTCACCCGCCTTGTCCAGGTGTGCGAGGCTCGAGAAGTAGATGAAATCGCACAGGTAGCGGCCTGCGTCTTCGGAAACCCTTAGGTCTGCGTCGTTCTTCAGAGCGCGGATCCCAAGGGTACGGAAGGGGGACTTGTTAGCTCCCGCTGCCCAAGTTGAAAAGTAATAGAGAGTGAAATATGAAGTGTGTTACTCACCGGGCTGTACTTTTTCCACCGCCTCAGTACATCGTCGATGTCCAGGTCGGTAAGCAGCTCCTTTGGTGCATCCTCCCACACCCAGTCCTTGCCCTCGCGGAGGCGGCGCTCCGTGTCGTTGAGAAATTTGCCGTCGACATCCTTCATGGCGTAGCCGTCGCGGTGGCCTCGACGCTCGATGGAGTAATACGGCCGCGGACCCGCCATGCCAATGTGCACGGCGACGTCGATCTTGGGCCGCTCCGGGTGCAGCTGCCTGTCGAGGTCCCAGAGGCCCGGCACCAGGTCCCGCACCACGTCGTAGCTAACGTGAATAGCCTCGGGATGCACCAGCAGCCTCACGGGCGGCAGGTAGGGCGCTGCGTCATCCGAGGTAGCGCCAGCCGCGCGCGTTTTGGCCCGCAACGGCGGCAGGTACTCGGGAAGCTCCTTGGCAATCTCCCATGAGGGGTTCACGGGGAAGTCCTTCTTGAATGCCTGGTCATGCCGTTAGATAAGAAATAATCAAGGTAGGCAGTCTTCTTTTGGCGAATCTCCAAGTTTAGGTAGTTCATCAAAGGTGGAGAATATTTTGCAATGGTATTATTCGGTTATCTTGGCTTTGCAACGTCCGGCTGCCGCCAAGTATCGCCAGCTTTAGCTGAGCGCCATCTTGGGTTGCGGCGCCGCCCAGTCAGTTGTGCCCCGTGGCGCCATCTTCCCCGCAAACCCAAACGGCCGTGGTCAGAAAATAGAGAGTGGTAAAGTTTAAGAAAACTCACGCCAAAGCCGGTAATCAGCACCGTCAGCTCGTCCTGCGACGTATCGGCGCCAGTGGACCCCATGGTTGACTGATAGAAGGATTGGGACTTGGAATTCTTGGTGTTTCCCTGATCGTTGTACGGCATCTAACAGCCGCCGCGGTGAAGCGAAGGGAAAGGAAGGGAGGCAGATGTGCGAATCGAACAAGGAACAGCTCAGCTAGTATCAGTACTACGTCTCAGTAGGCCGCCAAATAGCCTTTTTACGACTGAGTATGCGAAGCTCAACTCAGCTCAGCTCAACACGGCTAAGAGCTAAAGACGAGTGCATCAGCAGGTGGACAAATAGGTGGAAGGCATCAATCCTACCTAAAGTCGCGTTCGCTGGCCGAAGGCGCGTGCAGCAAAGTGCGGGGCATCTTCTTAGTCCCCTCTATTGTTAGTAACGCAGCTGTATCGTCGTATTTCGTGACCCTTGTTGCGCGCACTTTAGGAACCACCTGTGAAATATCATGTATTCCTTGCACGAGAGTTGTAATTCCCATTTGCGTCAAAAACACTGAAACAGTACTAAGAAACTCAATTCCCACAACCTCGCTCCTTCCACTCAACGCCATATCCATCTGCGGCTTGCCGCCATGCGCGATAATGATTCCAACCTTCGCTGCCCTCAACGACCTCGCGAACAACGCCGTCATGGTTACGAATCTGCCTATGCTAGCGGTTGTCTCACCCACTAGGGAAGAATCCCCCAGGCTCAACCATCGAAACATTGCGGGTTGACGGGTTCTGCCTCATGTCTGGGCACGATCAAAGTTCGAACACCTAGCAGATTTCCTGCTGCAGTCAGAGCCTTCTTCGGTTCATTTGCCAAATCAAGCGGCGGTTAGACATGCAGAAATGAGCTGATGTCGATATTTGACGCGCTCCGTGATAAGATGTGATAGCATTAGTATGGCTGCGAGACCTTTGGGACGCATTGACCGGGCACCAAGTCAGCCACAAGCAGTCGAAGGAGCCTGGGAAATAATCGCCCGTGGGCTTAAACAATATAGAGAGGCTGAAGAAGAGGATTGAGTATTTTTTTTAAAAAAATTTTTTGCTAGTTATTTTGCGTAGAAATGGATAATTTGCGTGGGTTTGGGCATGGTGTGGGTCAATTTCGTTGATGGGCGATTTCGTTGTTGGGTCGGCTCGGTCTAAACGTTCAGCATCTTTGAGATGCTCAAGTTAGCCCACGAGAAGGAAATATCTCTCCATACGTTTCTTTTAGCTCAACCGCCATGCATCCTGCCATAGAAACCAAGTGGTACTACTACCTAGGGAGAATGTGGGTACAGATGTCGTCTTGCGAATGGAACCTTGATTCGTTAGTGCGATCCCCCGTGAAGGACTAATCAGAAGGCAGCTTTCCTGTAACCACGCTTCGATTACCTTTCCCCGACTGATCGACTACTTACGCCTCTTTACCCCCAGCTACACTCGCGAGGCTTGAAGTATTGGATTTTCTGCGTTTCACCTGCCAAATCCAGACATCTGCAAGATTGGGGTCGGGTGAGGGGCCGCATCAGATGCCAGCCGTGTCAACAGCACTTGTCTCTTTTGCCTTGGCGATCGGCGCTGCAGGAACTCCTCCCCAGGAACCACCAACTCCAGGTTGCCAAGCAGAAAGACAGCTTCAAGTTAATTGACCCACACCACATAACGGGTACAGTTGTCGAGAAGCAGGGTCTCCCGACTCTCAAGGGGGTTCTAGCTCCACTTCTAACTTCTCCTCTACCTACCCAGAACCCGCATGACTGGTCTTGCGGCCTTATCCGTGATTTTGTGGCTTCGTCGTCCGAGACACATACCCCGATGCCCTCAGGTTCGATCAAATACTGTACGCCGGGAATATCTAGTGAATACATTGTGTCTTTATGTACCAACACGAGAACCACTTCTCCGCCCACCCAGAAAATGCGGGTGAACTGTGAAGAACAGGACGAGCTGGAAGTTTCCGGCTCCAGATCCTAGACTGGCTAGAGTCCCTTATTTCTGTCTGTCTGTCTAGCCGGGCGGGAGGGAGCATACGGAGCTCGCGGGAGGGTGGGGCCGCCGCTCATGTCGCTCCCCAGTTCAGTAGTAACATGTAGCCTGTGGGCTTAAGTGGACCGGACCTATCCCTAGATCTTCACTGTCTAATAACCCTAGACTAGGAGAGAGACCCGTCCATAACTGTCCCTTCCCAGAGACATGCTAGCTCTTTGGGGCAGCATGACTTCATCGAATGGATCTGGCCCCCCTCTCCAGTCAAAAAATCCCCTCCTTGGGCTCCGACGAGCTTGGATACGGGAAAAGCCATGTGAAATTTTTATTGCAGCTCTCGCCAACATGTCTCCAGCCTCGAAATCGTGAAGGGAGACGCCACACATCAGGTACAGTGCTCGCCCTGTCCGTCCAGAATGGACAGCATGCATGGCCAACTTTCCCCACCTCCAGCCAACCTAGGAATGCCGTTAGTGGGCTAGGTGCGACGGTGGGCCACTGAGAAGCGCGAGAGCACTTCTGTCTCCATCATCACGGCCCCGCTGGGTGGTCGTGCTTGCCTTCTCCAGAAAGAGGAGGATGGCAGGGGACGAGTGAATGAGGGGAGGATGCGGAAAGGTGGTGGATATCGCCCTCGAGCTCGTTTTCGTCGTGGCTTATAGTCCCCGGCCGGTTTGTTATTTGTTCATCCAGATTCCCTAGTTGCAGCTGACTCTCCATCTAGACTCTTTCTCTCCCTGTTTGCTAAAAGTAAACATTATCCCCATACCTCTCACGCGTACGCGAACACGGTTTTCCCCAGTTAATGACATCTTGATATCTTGTTTGCTTGCTTGTTCCTCTCTGCCCGTCTCGGAGACACGATGAGACTCTCATCCGCACAGCTCGTCGGGGGCGCGCTCCTGCTCGCCACCCGCGCCAGCTCGTAGTTGACCGGTTGCGCCGCCGTAGCCGTCGAGGCTATCCCGGGGTGTGCTCAGTCTTGCTTTATCGACGGGGCGCCGACCATTGGCTGTGGCGGCTTCGATTTCGCCTGCCAGTGCGCTCAGGAATCGGCCATGTACGCCGCTATCGAGGGCTGCGTGGCCAGCTCGTGCGAGGAATCAGAGGCCCAGAATGTCATTGACGGCGCCACAGAAGGTGAGGCTTGAATCTACACCTCGAGACAGGGAGTGCTGGAGTCTGAGGCTTGAGAGGATCAAAGTTGCTGACGCAGGCATAAACCAGTGTGTGAATGTGCCCCGGGAGGCTCTGAAGGCGGCAGTCAAAGCTCGCAGACCGTGTCCAGGACCCTGGTGCGGCCTTCTCAGACAGCGAGCTTTTGGTCGTCGTCGAACACGGTTCTGCCGCTATCAAACACCGTGCTCCCGAGCCCCATCCCCATCTCGCCGACAAGTGAGAGCGGCGACGGTGGTGGTGGTATCCCGATCACCACGCCAACCTATTTTGCAATATCGTCGTCTGGTGCAGATCACCAGTCAATATTCGGACTCGGGCTTGCATGGTCGATAGCATGTGCTGTGGCCTTTGTCTTCGTGGCGCCATAGACAGCTGTTTGAGAGGTCGCAGCGAAGACTGAGCTTTCAGCAACCAAAAACGGAACCGATGGGGGAAAGGAGGTGCAGGTTTCCTGCTATTTCATGCTTCGCCCTGCCGAAGTCGAACGTCCAGGATACCGCACAGTAAGCTGAAAGGAGGAACAAGGATCAAATTGATCGACGTCTACAAGGGAGACGGTAACAACAAACGACAACACTTGCTTACCCAGCCGACATTGCCGAGCGATATGAGCGTCCCTTTTCTTTCCTTTGTATCCCTTTTTCCCCTTCCCTCCACCCCATGGCTTTCCAGGGGAATGGGGGGGGAAGTACTATGACGACTCATCACGCCGAATGCAATTTACGATACCACATCAAGAACTACCAATACATACATACCCAGCCTCAACGGCATTTTATTAACATTCTCTACATGCCAACAGTCTCGCGTCAGAGCCATACACGTCCAGTTTCTCTAGTCAGGGGACGAGCTGGAGATCAACAGGGCGGGGATTCTAGTAATTCGGCGACGGCGACGTTTGGATGAAATTGGGGTCCTAAGTTTAGTAATTATTTTCTTTTTACCTAGGTGAAGACGCGGATTAGAATAAACGTATGGGCCTATTTGAAACTCGATACCTAGCCATCTTATGAAACCATCTGCTGCTGCTTATATCGCCAGTCATGGTTTCCACAGTTATCCGTGTCAAGACTTGTCTACCTATTCAACAACAAAACCAACAGCTAACATTTTCACAGAGTTACTACTAGCCTCTAGTCTGTTGGTACCGACTAATGTAAAATACGCTGAGTCAAAGTAGAGAATACCCTTTGATAGCTGGTACGTAACCTACCCTAATCCCAACAATATATGTCGGGTACCTCGGAAGCGGATACGGAGTTGGTCATATTACTGAACTATAGCCGACTTCGCTCAGCTCAACGACAACACATCCACTCATCTACCATTCTGCTTCTACAAATAGTCTAATGTTTTCTGCAACCGAAACACACACCGACTCCATTTTATATCAAGAAAAAAAGAGCCCCCTCTTGTCTTGCGCCGCCGATCGGGCCACGCCAAAACGCCCGCAACAAACCCCCCAAAAAACGCCATGGTCATGATGGAACACCTGTCCATTTATATATTTTATCGAACCCTCAGAGTCTTTCTCCCGTGGTTCCCAGAATTTCCCGTGCGCCGTGGATAAAATAATCGCAGCCCCATACCTATATTCGCCCAGCCTTTTCATCTCCCCTCACGCTTACTAATTAATCTTCGTAGTCTGAGAAGCCGGCGGTGGGGCCGTCACGGTCCAGCAGGTAGCGGAACCTCTCCCTGTTGTCGAGCAGGAAGCTCGGCACGTCCTTGTTGTCGTCGATGCGGTCGTACAGCTCGCCGGGGCGGTCCCAGAGGTCCCTGCCGTTGCGGACGCGGTCGGCGATGCGCCGGCGGTCGCGGAACTCGTCGGCGTTCATGGACACGTGGGCGAACGACGACAGCTTGGTCAGCAGCTCGTCGACGGTGGCGAAGCACGACGAGCAGTGCCACGCCGCGTTGGCCAGGCTGCCCTGGTCCAGCCACTTGAACGGCCACGCGCCGTCACCGACGCGCAGGTCGTTGGGCAGCACCGTCCGCGACCCTTGGTAGTAGGTTGCTTGTGGGTGGCCCCACTCCTCGCCCCGGTGCAGGTACTGGAAGCTGTAGTAGTAGAAGCTGCTGCGCAGCGTCAGCCGCCGCGGGAACCAGCAGTCGCGCAGCACCGCGTACGTGACGGGCCGGGGGACCTCGTCGACGTCCGACACCACGATGACGTCGCCGTACGTGGGCGCCTGGGCGCCGGCCAGCTTGGGGAAGACCTGGGTGAGCATGGCGTTGCGCTGCAGGTCCTCAATGTCCCAGGTGCGGTGGGCCACGAAGCCCGGGGGGAACGCCACCTCGTGGTAGATGATCTTGGACCGGTAGGGCTCGAAGCGGGCCATGTTGTCCTGCAGGACGAGCGGCTTCTGCAGGTTGGTGAAGGTGCGGGCGGCCTCGACGAGCACGTAGTAGTCGACGGCGTGCCAGGTCGAGTTGAGGCGGATCTCGAGCCAGTCGAGCTCTGTGTTGACCATGATGAGGTCGTACACCTTGCGCGGCGTGTCTTCGGATGCTGGCTTGAACGACTTCCATCCGTGGCGGCGGCAGCTGTCGTGCCGGCTGATCTGGCCCGAGTTCCAGTTCTTGGTCGGGCTCAATGGGTCGAACGGCGCCCAGGACGAGCGCATCGCGAGGTAGAGCATCCACACAATGCCAATCACTGCGCCGGCCCTGACCCATCGCCAAAGGTGTCCCCATTGCATGAGCATGGCGCACGTGCCCGTCGTCGTTGTTCACACAAAACCAGTTCACCTCTGTCTGCTAGCTGGGCCAACGCGAGACGATGTCCAAGAACCGCAAAATTTCGAAAAGTCGAGGGCTGGCTGTAAGCGCGCCACGGCAACAGCGATGGCGATTATTGTCGGTTCTAGAAGAAAGTAGCGGAAAGAAGGAAGCTTAAAAAACAGAACGGTGAATGAAACGGACCAACGACAACGACCAAGAACGTTTCAATCACACGCCATGATGTCTGTCTTCCTCCTTGGAGCTATCCTTCCTTTTGAGCTCTTTCTCCCCGTCGTCTGACGGAATACCACAGTAGGTGCTGCTAGCCCCTAAGCCCCAGGGGGACTTGGCGCCATGCGTTGTAGCACGCGGCGCAGTGATTGGGGCCTGGCGCGTGTGTCTCATGACAAGTGGATGCGAGGCGAGAGCGAGGGGCAGTGGTACTGTACTGTGGTAGAAAGTTGCGCTTGGGGAGTGTGTAATTACAGTACTACTGGAGAAACCATTGAAATACTGTCTGACCGGGACTCGATAATTATTGTGAACCGCTCTGTAACCTCGCTCCCGTCCGCGATGCCAGACTCTATTCTGGTATGTCAAAGGACCGCGCTCTAGCTAGATAAGGTAAGTAACTGAATTATGTTCTTTGCTACTAACATCTCCATTGAAACGGATCCCACAGCTGTCGGTTTCACGTCTCCTCCTTGGCTCCTACGCCTTGCGCTAAACCCCTTCCGGTGAGCTTATGATGGCCTTCCCAAATCCTGAGAAATACCGAATGAAACCACGGGACTGGGCGCCCAGGGAACGGGGAATAACGACCTCAGAAAGAAATAACAGAAATTCTAGAACGACTGTCAGCTTCTATTATTATATTACTGATCGGACAGCTTGCAAGTCAGATCGCTGCTGCCTGCGTCTACTAAATATGTACTGTACCGAATATAGCGTTTTAATTAGGCAATTCGAAAAAGCTTGTCACCAAGCTGATCACTGATCGATTCTGCCAAGCGCGGAGCTTGGGGCAAGGGAAGGTACGGGGGCGGCCCAGGGGAGAGGAGAGTGGAGGATGGCGATCGTCCCGGATCCCCACCGCGGCGATCTCTGACAACGACAGCCAGCGAACAAGCATTGTCTCCCGTCTCCCGAGAGTCAAACCAACGACTCAGCATCGCTTTTAAAGACTAACGTGACCACACGGCGGTGACGGAATTCCAGAAATAGCAGACGACCATGTTCACGGGGATAGTCGAGGAGATTGGCGGTGCGTACAAACTCCCTCCCACTCCAATTACCCCGCCATGACCACCGCCGCGGGGTACGATTCAGAAGCTCTCTCCCTCCTCCCTGCCCATGTATCCCGAGAGAGAAACCCCCCCCTCCCCCCCAAAAAAAGGCCTGGCTCATCGTATTTGACACGCGCAACCCGCTCTTTCTTTTTACAGTCGTCGCCGAGCTCAACCCGCACGATGAGACGGGCGGGACGTCGCTGACGATCCAGCTGCCGGCGGGGTCGCAGCTGTTGTCGGACGCGCACCTGGGCGACAGCATCGCCGTCAACGGGTGCTGCCTGACCGTCACCACCTTCGACGCGGCCACCGCCTCCGGGGCGCCGCCGCAGTTCACCGTGGGCATCGCGCCCGAGACGCTGCGCCTGACGAACCTGGGCGAGCTGGTGGGCGGGTCGCGCGTGAACCTGGAGCGGGCGGTGCGGGCGGACACGCGCATGGGCGGGCACTTTGTGCAGGGGCACGTCGACACGGTGGCAACCATCACGCGGCGCGAGCCCGACGGCAACGCCGTGACGATGCGGTTCGCGCCGCGGTCGCGCGACGTGCTGCGCTACGTCGTCTACAAGGGCTTCATCGCGCTCGACGGCGCCAGCCTGACCGTCACAAAGGTCGACGACGACGAGGGCTGGTGGGAGGTGATGCTCATCTCGTACACGCAGGAGCGCATAGTCACCGCCGCCAAGAAGGCCGGCGACACGGTCAACGTCGAGGTCGACATGACGGCCAAGTACGTCGAGAAGAGCCTGTCGGCCTACCTGCTGAGTCTCGAGGAGACGGGCGCCGGCGGCTTCCCGCTGCTGCAGAAGATGGTAGAAAGGATGGTGGCCCAGAGCTTCTCGTAGACTGTTGAGCTCTCGCTCTCTCTTTCTCTCAATTTCACCGCTAAGAACGCAAAGAGATCCTGCGCCTCCTCCCAAGTGATATGCCTACATGTCGCTGGTTTGTGCCGCATCTATAAGTCTGTCAAGTCCTGTTTACCCCTGCCAACAGACTTGAAAAGGTTCTATAACCCGTCCCTATGCCACGCTATGCATCACCCCATACCTCCACGATCTTTTGGATAACCGGCTTTGGGATCTTCTTGCAGCCGACAAGATTTCCCAGTCGTGTCGATACTAGACTAATCCTCTGCTTTTTCCCATCCTCGCCCGACCCACATTGATCGAGGGCCTTGATGAAGTGGTTGGGCGTTTTCCATACCTTTTGTATCTCGACCGCCTTCTCCCCCGTGACTCCCTTTGTGCACATCAGCATCTTGAGATAGACGTCTCGCAGCGTCATCATGTCCGACTTGGAGGCCAGCGACGCGAAGGCGGGATAGCTGATGTGGTGGCTGGCCGAGGGCTGTTTCTCCCGGATGTGATTCAGCAGCGGCATGTAGTTCTTGGCCGTGAGGATGTGCGTTGGGATGACGAAGAGCGGCTTGGCCTCGTAGAGCTTCTTGAGCAGCCTGGTCATGGATGCTAGGTAGCGGATCGTGTCGTCCATCTTCTGCGTCTTCTTCAGGAAGTAGCCATTAACTACTTGGATCGACGCAGTGGCCGACTGCACCGCCTCCTCGTACTTTTGGAAGTGGGTTGAGTCCATCGATATCTCCTCAACCAAGTAGATGACGTTCTTAACCCCCGACCTCCGCAGCCGGAATTTTTGTTCATGGAAGCGTCCATCCTTGATGCTCCCGATCAGATCGTCCAGCCTCTTTCTCTCGACGATCCAGTCCAGCACCACCTCGTCGCCTTCTGCGCCTTGTCGGGCGAGCCAGCCTGGGCGGTTACATTTGGCGACCCAGAGGGCATCGCCCAGTTCCAGGGCCTTCATGATTGGCTTGACTCCTTTCTTGGTCAGTTCCTCCTGCATGTAGTCGCGGTCCGTCTTGGCCCTGACTTCGCGGACGTCGAGGACCAACTCGACGGTAAACATGCCTGGGTTCAGTCGAATGGGCGTAAATGTAGGTAGAGCCGTACCATCAGGGACCTTATCGCCATCTGCTACGACGCTTCCGTACTCTCCATTCTGAACCCGGGCTGCGATATCCTCATCGTCGACGCTGCCGTCGTCGTCGTCGTCAACAAAAAAGGTAAGCGGCGTTGCCGTGCGACGAGAAGAAACCCCGGTTGCCATAGCAGCTCCACCAGAATGCGGTGGTCTCGCAATCGAAGTTGCAGCTGCATTTCCGCTTCCACTTCCAGACGCAGGCTGAGCCACAGTGTTGGGCAGGTTTACACCTCCAGCCCCGGCCCCTGCCCCAGTCTCGGTGCCAACCAAAGTCCCGTTTGCGATGGCGGCCTGTCGGATGCGTTTTGCGACCTCCCATCCTTCGTCTGTCAGCCCATATTTCTTCAGGGGCCGGCCCTTCTCGTAGACGAGGTCCTTCTGAGCCAGAGTTTTCATGGAGGCCCAGGCTGTGTAGAACTTTGTCGGATCAGAAGGGGCGGTGAAAGACGAGTCGCAGTGTGGCTGAGCCTTTTCTATAAGCTCGGTCTTGGTCATGCCCGACCGCGAGGTCTCCTCGAGGGTGGAGAGAGCGAGGACCAAGGCATAGGCTCCAGAGCGGTATGTCGGCATATATTGTTTGACCTTCCTCGGCTTCTTGACCGGGCCTGAGGACGCATCTTCTTCGTCATCGCCTCCGAGGCTCGCTAGATTGGCGCCCCGTTTTTTACCCCTGGGAACTGACGGCATAGGCAGCCCATTCTCCTCGCAGTGCTGCTTGAGCTTATCTGTGAGACGTTCACACAGCTTCGGCCCAAAGCCTTTCAGTTGCTGCAGCGACGAGGGGTGGCCAAAGGTGATGGGACACGCTTTCAGAGAGTCGTATGCATGTTTGAACGTGGTAACGCCTTTGGAGTTGCGCTCGCGGGCGGTATCCCACCATTCTTTAACCCACCCGAGCATCAGCGGGTTGGCACAGGAAGCTTGTGCCATGACGAGAGGCTAGATATCAAAACAGTTCCGTGGTAGAGGCAAGAGATCAAGAGCAATAGAATAGAAACAAACAAGCTAACGAGGCGGACGAGCGAAGTCTCGCAAGTGCTCAGAAGGAAGAAGACAAAAAAACACAAAGAAAACACAGGAAATAAGGGGGGGAGGAAAAATTCAGCAACCATGTGCCAGAAACAGGCGACTAAAAATTGTAGCTACAGAGACCAAATTGGATGGGTGAAATCAAACGAACACGTCCGTTATCCCATGGAGACAGAGTTCAATTGCTTGCAGCTTGTTAGACATGATCGAAACTAGAAGACGCGTCCGTCACGCGATTAGCGTCCAGTAACGTTTCCGCCAAGTCACGTGCTAGGATTCAGTGTGATGTAATCAATCCAAGCGGTTGGCGGGGGCAACCGTCAACCAGGGGCAGTGGGGCTGCACTAGCCGAGACCCTTGCTTAAGATTCTCTCCTCTTCCGCGCCTCGAGACCCAGTTCAGCTAGCGCGCCTTCCTTCTTCGTCGGTTCGCATTCTCACCTTGACCTGACCTTGCACCCCGCCAAGGCCTTCATCCCACTTTCTCTCGCCAACTGGTAGTGCGGGGCAGCTCGTCCACGTTTAACCTTCTTCACCTACCGCACACTTCCTGAGTTCGAGCGGGAGTGAGTGGTCCACCTCTAAAATATCGTCGATCGCTGCTTTCCTTCCTCTTCCTCTCTACCTCTACTTCTACCTCCTACTCCGCACCCTTTCTGCGAATCGCGACTTCTACTCCCCGTCCGATTCACCGATCCATCCTTCATCTCAGGCTTTCAAGTCTTCCAACCTCATCCCACCTTTTGTGCCGCTGCTAGTCCATCCATCCACCCCTCCTGCTTTCCAGATAGGTATTCATCACCATGGAGCTGCAGCACGCCACTATGGAGGCTGCCATCCTTGCAACTTCACAGAATTACCCAATTGTGCCCCTTGGTGGAGGTCAAGCGTACACCTATGGAACGGCCGGTTTCCGAATGAAGGCCGAACTTCTCGCGCCCATTTGTTTCCGGGTCGGTCTGTTAGCATTCCTCCGTAGTGCGTTCATGAATTCTCAGACAATCGGAGTCATGGTGACAGCCAGTCACAACCCTGCTCCCGACAACGGTGTCAAGATTGTCGACCCCATGGGCGAGATGCTCGAGCAGGACTGGGAGAAGTACGCCACTGCCCTTGTCAACGCAGCCACTGATCAAGAGTTGGTCAAGATCTTCAACCGGATCGCGTCTGAGCTCAAGATCAATTTGAAGCTGCCTACCAAGGTCATCTGTGGCCGCGATACCCGACCTTCTGGCCCGAAACTGGTCGCGGCGCTGACGGACGCTCTGGCCGCCACCAACACGGAGTTTATTAACTACGGATGGTTGACGACCCCGCAACTGCACTATCTCGTCCGCGCTACCAACACTGAGGGCAACCCGCTCTCGTACGGCAAAGTTTCAGAGGATGGATACTACGAGAAGCTTGCCGATGCGTTCATCCGCGCTATGAATGGCAGAAAGATCAACGGCACCCTAACAGTCGACTGCGCCAACGGTATTGGTGCTCCAAAGTTGATCAAATTTCTCAAGTCCCTCCCTCAAGACAAGGTGAACTTTATTGTCAAAGTCGTCAATGACAACGTCGTCAAGCCAGATGTTCTCAATCTCAATGTATGTTCTCCTATATCCCCTTTCTCCATATCTCGTTGAATTCCGCCGCTAAAATTTTCCTTCTAGTGTGGTGCTGACTTCGTGAAGACGAAGCAGAGAGCCCCCCTTTCCCCTGAGCCAGTGCCGAGTGGCAGATCCTGCTCCTTTGACGGAGATGCAGACCGGCTCATTTACTACTGGACCGACGCTGAGAAACGGTTCAGCATGCTAGATGGAGACCGCATCTCCTCCCTTGCCGCCCTTTTTCTTGGCAACCTTGTTGAGGGCGCCGGCCTCAAAGATGAACTCCGCATTGGAGTTGTCCAAACTGCCTATGCCAATGGGGCCAGTACGGCGTACATTTCGCAGCATCTAAAGCTGCCTGTTATCTGCACCCCGACGGGCGTCAAGCATTTACATCACGTCGCCCAAAACTTCGATATTGGAATCTATTTCGAGGCGAACGGACACGGTACCGTCCTATTTTCGCCTGATGCCCTCAGCGCTTTGAAGACAACGGCACCGCAGTCGCCAGCTCAAAAGGATTGTCTCGATATCTTGCTGGCTCTGAGCGATCTGATTAACCAGACGGTGGGTGACGCAATCTCGGACATGTTGTTAGTCGAGGTCATCCTGGCTCACAAGGGCTGGACACTGAGCGACTGGGCCATGACATACATGGACCTGCCCAACCGCCTTGTACGCATCGAAGTCGGCGACAAGGACTTATTCAAGACGACAGATGCGGAGCGCCGCCTGTCGCGCCCCCAGGGCGCGCAGGATGAAATCGACAACGAGGTGAAGAAGTTCAAGAATGCACGCTCGTTCGCTCGCGCCAGCGGTACCGAGAACGCTTGCCGCGTCTACGCCGAGGCTGCTACGTGGTCCGAGGCCAACGAACTTGCCGAACGCGTTGCACGCATCATTGAGCGATACGGAAACCAGTAGGGTGGCGACCGAGAACTTCGTGAGTCCTTCCAGAGTGCACTGGTTTTGCATGATCCAGACAGACTCGGCGGCGAATTCAGCTTTGACGATGTGTTTGCCAGTTCCTCGGCTGACGATACGTATGGAAGTCCCTCGACTGACAATGCTCTTGTCCTTCACGGGAGCTCTTCAGACAGCTCTGACGGTGTTGAGTAAGCAAGCGACGACTTCCTTGATGAAAAGCTACGGATGACGAATGGCGTTATATCCTGCCTGGGGCGAGGAACTTGCATGGAAAGGAGGAAAAGTCTTTGTTTTCGATTTGCCACCCTTTCCATACCGTTCGGAATACTGAGCGCGAGCCTGCCTGGGCCTTCGACCCAAAACACTAAAACTTCAAGAAGAAATTTCAATCGATGTTTTTTCAGTCGAAAAAAAATAAAAAAAATGTTGGTGTACTTTTTCCCCCCTTCAAGGACGGCAAAATAGGTTTATCGCGGCTGAAGATCTGGAAACGTGGGGAAAGGGAAAGAGAGATAGATGTCATGCTAGACAAGGAGCAGGATATCAGACTTGGGAGGGATATACGAACTCATGATTGATGCAATCTTGTGTGTTGGGCTCTTCCTCGGTCGGTCTTTTCCTTTCCTTCCTCACTACATATCGCAGCTAGCCACTCACCTCGGCTTAGAACTTTCCCTAGTTGTATCTACCTCTCGGGTGTCACAATCGGGCACTGTTGCGTCGTCATTGGCGCGTAGGTACATTAGGTAGTAGACCAAGCAGTCACGAAAGGTAGTCGGACAAATCAAATGCCGGTACACTGACTCACTGGCTACGTTCTCTCATCTAACCGCGTGTCACACAATTAAAAGGGTGAAGAGAAGATAAGTTTGGAACGGTAAGGCCTCAGCCAGTACAATTAATACTAGTAATCATCACAGACACTGAGAAAGGGTGTAAATTTATCAAGGGGGGGACGATGAACACTGGATTTCCCCTTTTATGGTTTATATCCATTTTTGACTTAGTATGTATGGCCATGGTCTTGGCGCAATAGGCGTGCACAACATTTAAGGGGGGGACGAACACGCTTCAAACAGTGACTTCTTTTTGCTCATTTATACCATGAAAAACATAACAGGAACTGAGATACCAAAACAAGGGAAACGCCCAATGAACCCTGGTCTAGAAAAAGCCCAGCAATGCATGCCAAAATCCTCTTTGCCATCCCATGCCGATATTGTCGTGAGTCGCCGTGCCCCTTCCGCCCCCTCCCCCGTATGCCAGGGTCTTCCAATGTGTGCGCCGTATGTAGGTCTCGCTTGCACCATAATGAACCACCACGCCGTTCAGTTTGTGTACCCATTGTTCGCTAGCACATCTTGTACAGGCATGTTCCTTCTGCCTGTCTCGTCGAGTCCTGAGTCTCTAGCCGGTACTGGATCTTGATATCGAGATCACGCTTGTTCTTCTCGTTGGGCCGGTTGTGGAGCGAGCACTCAATCTTCTCGCCTTGCTGCACAGTAAGCATGTCCTTGAGGTAGAAGACGGTCTGCTTCCAGTGCGTATACTTAGTATGCGGGCCGGTGGAGAAGCGGATCGGCTTGTGGCAGGCGGTGAATTCGATGTCAAACCACGCCACGAGGGCGTGGATGAAGTCGTCCCTCCGAGCCGTCAGGTCGAAGGGGCAGCTGAAGGCCAAGTCCGCGGTAGTGCACTTGTAAAGATCAAGCGTCAGGACCGGCGTCGGGTCTGTCACCACTGCCTTCATGTCGACAGTGTCCACCAGCGGCTCCGAGAGCGCTGTGAGCTTCAGTGGAGAGTAGTTGAAGCCATAGACGTTATCCCAGACTAAAAGGGTTGAGCCAGGTTAGCTCGCGGGCAAACTCCAAAGTGTTTCCAAAGCATGGAACACAGGGTTAGACGGTTCGGCCCAGTTCAGATTCGCTGCTGTGTACTCACATCCGATCTTCTCCTCCTTGTATTCGCCGTCTTCGATTCCGGCAACAAAAATGGTGGCCTTGTCGGGGAAGATCAAGCCGTCCTTGGCCAGATACTTGTCGCGTGCGTAGAGCACGGTGTCGAGCATGCTCTCGTACAACAAGAAGTAGCCCATCCACTCCGAGATGATGATGTCCACCTTGGGGAATGGCATGTCAATCTCTTCCATCTTTCCCTGAATGAGTGTGATCTTGTCCGACATTCCGTTGACCTCGACGATCTCGCGGGCCTTGAAGATGATCGTCGACATGTCGACGCCAATGACGTGCTTCGCGCCAGCCTTGACGGCGAACCTGTGTGAGTTCCCATTAATCCAAAGGCTCACGATGGCGCATTCGTGCGCCAGAGAGGGCTCTCGGCGGGGGAGGGGGTGCGTACATGGACAGAATCGCGGTACCGCATCCAACATCCAAAACCACCTTGTCCTTGAAGAGGTGCTTGTTCTGTACAATGGCATTCATGTATGATCTCGTCCGGACCTCATCTTTCTGCAGGATCGCAAAGGGACATTATTAGCCGGGAATTCTCGAGTTGAACGAAAAAGACGGGGGTTGGGCTGTTTTTCGCTCTTGCTACGTACCAGCATTTCCTCGTGTATGCCTGAATTTCAGGGAACACAGCAGGTGTTAGCGAGCCATTGCAGATAACAGGGCAGCAGCCAATCCAGGGGGGCAGAAGTGTATAAGTAAGAGGCGAGCATGTTCTTACCATGGTGGTTATAGCTGCACCCATTATGTTAGCCTCGTTGAGATGCGCCAGTGCAAACAAACGTAAAATCGGCGGAGGGGGGGCCTGAGGAGGGAGGGACCACAAAGGAACTAGAGAGAGAGAGACATATTGGTGGGCTTACCTGTTGAAATAGTGCTGCTCGGAGTTCTCGAGGGCCTTGAGCCGCTGTTCGGCAGTCTCGATATCCATCTTGTCGCCGCTCATCTGAAATGTGATGAAGATAAGTCAAAAGAGAGACCGAGGTGTTCAAGAAAATTTGCGAGACTTGACGGAAAGGAGCGACTGTCGACGGGAACGGCCTGTATTGAAAGAATTTGGGTCGCAAGAAAATCCAAGCAGGCCAACCCGTTAACTGCCTAACGGGGCTTGCCCCGCAGCCTCTTCCCTGTCGTTGGGCCCGCAAAGCTTTGTCGTGAGGGAACCTTGCGGCGCAACAAGCGAATAAGGTTCCAAAAAAGAACGGCCCACAAGCGTCCAAAGACGGCAAAGCATGGCATCATGCTCGATTTAGAACACCAGGTAACCCCGACACGACTGTGACATGGAATACAAACAAAAGCCGAGAAACGGCGGTAGATTCCTTGGTTTTCTTTGTGGCTAATTGTCTTCCTAGCGAAGCCAACACGGCCAGCCCTGTCCCTAACAATTACCACAATCATCGATGGTCCGCCAATATTTGTGCGGCCCGAAACAGCTCTACACTAGTATCGGCAGCTTCTGTTGATGACCAAAGCACTGTACCTGCTCAAACGACCTGGACCGTGTGTCATTTCTGGGCTGGAACTAAACCCCAACTCCGAGACACCTGTTTTTTTATCAAAAAGAAATCGACCATGATCGAGGGTCAGGTAGCCGCTAAAATCGAAATTGCCAACAAAGCAGCCGTCTCATAACTCAGCTCGTAGCCCCGTGCCTCCCTGCCCACACAATCCTAACATATTTTGCCTTGTAGATGGGTATAAACTCCGAATCAGAACACGGCCCCTCTTGCTGTCAACATCCATCGGGCTCGGAGATAGTGTGGCGGAAACGGACCCTACCGGACCGGGGGCGTAAAGGGTAAACTGGCAATAATGTGCACGCGATCAACGCGGCGCGGTCAAGCCATGCCCCCAAGCTGTAAGAGAAGATTCCCCACCTTGAGGTTTGCATACTCGTACGCTTTGGATTCGGGAGGGAAGGTGCCATTGGCAGCCCAGAGATCAATGAGAGGCTGCATTGGCTCGAGCTCTGAGGGCTTTAGCAAGTCGAGGGCGGTGGCCGTTAGCACGAAATGGCTGAAGCAGCTGTTCAACTGCTTCTCTAGGTTCAGGTGGTAGAATGGGTCTATAAAGTGAGCCCAGTAAAGATGGGCGTAGACTCGGAACATCTGGAGGAAGATGGTCTGGCAGATGCTGAAAAACTCCTTGGGAAACCCGCTGCGCTTTCCGACCCATTCATCGGGCCCGTTCAAGAGTGATGTGGTTGTGATTTGAGGGTTGTGTGCGAAAGAGACTCCAGACGCCTCGGTGGGGAACATTTTGGTGTCGTCGATCTTGCCAGAGATCCACCTCTGCATCAGGGTTATGTATTCAAAGGCCGGCAGCTCAATGGGCTCGAAACGGTTGTTGAGCCACGTGTACGAGTGGTTTCTACGCAGAAGATCCAGGTCAGAATGGGCAGGCAAGCAGATTAGAGGAAAGAAGAGAAGCTCTCACGTTCCAGCCGACATGCGAGGGCACGACGTAGCATCGCAAATAGACTTCCCGTTCTCCTCCTTCTCGTAGATGACGCGGACAAAGTTCCACAGGTTACGGTAGTGCTCGACAACTGCAAACAAATCAGCAACTGCGCGGTTGAGTTGGCAATGGCAGAGTAGGGCAGAGCAGGTCAGAGCAGGTCAGAGCAGGTTAGGTCAGGTCAGGTCAGGTCAGCAGCTACCTTGATGAGCTATCCACTCTCCTTGTTCAACTGTCTTCGGCCGAGCACTGAGAGTCATAAAATTGCCTCTCACTATGTGCTTGGCATAGCCAGGGTTGAGCCACACGGGAAGGGGCTTGGGCAGCTGGTACGAATTCAGCGCCTCCTCAGCAGTGCCCATTATGCCCATCGACTGGGAGAATGAAGGCGAGGCGGGCAAAGGAGGCAGCTTGGAAGCAAGAGCGTTGGACGACTGGCTTGCTTGAGACAGGTAACCAGGGAGAGGCAGTTGGCCGTCATCTGCTGTAGGAGTCAAGGGACTTTTGTTCCCGGGCTTGTTCGCCGTCCCCCTCAGCCGGGCATTGCTGCAACAAAGGTCAACATCCAAAGTCCACCGCACTCATAAAAGTCTTGATCTAAAGTTCAATGACCGTTCCAGCTAGTACTAGCCCAACTTTAGGCAGTGAACAGTATATTTTCAAATCGACTTCGTTTCAAGGTAAATGCATCAAGCCCCAGCGCTTACGGCAAGTTCGTGATATTCGAACCATAAGCTGGGGTTGGATGGAAGGGATATAAGAGATTCATTCTCGACGTAAAAGGGAGGGAAACTCGCAAGCAAATCGCGAGCATGCCTGGCCGATCGCGCACAGGTCTATGCGGGTAGGTAGGCAGGAAATTTTAATCTGGGTGTCTCAAGATTGGAAAGGCGATCCTTCGCATCGCAATGAAGAAAAGCTATAGACGAAAATAAAGTTCAAGGTCTAGAACGAAGCCGCGGGCACTCACATTCCAGAAAAGAGGTTCGCCATAGTTGGGGATAAAGTACAGTACCAAGCTCGGAAGCCCGACCGAGTGCCGAGGGAAGGCGCGTCTCGTTTGGGGCAGATCTCACGATGTGAGGTCGGAATGAGAAAAAACAGCAACAGTTGCCGTGCTGCGGGGAGACAAAAGTTAATCGGTACTGTGAAGTGATGGCAGGACGGTTTATTAGCTGCAACGTATAAAAGGGGGAAGTGCGGGCGTTTCAATGGGTATGTACAGACCGCCTACCCCGCCATCGGCCAATGAAGGGAGAGTGGGATTGAAGTAGTACGTACCGAGGGTACCTAGAGCACCGAGACGAGCGAAGTGCGGGACGTTGCAGGATCTAACGTACGTACGAAATGCCCTGTGTACTGTATAAAGTATTAGGTCTGTAACGGCCAAGCACTTTTACTACAGGCGCACATTGGATTGGTAATTAACACCCAATTATTCCGTTGAATGGGCAGATGCACTCGATGCACGTGCCGACGTTCTACTTTCGCGAGAGGACCCTCCCCTGGGGAGCCCCCTGACATGGCTGCCTGTCGGGAGAAATCCCGTTACTCGCGGCAGGTGGGGCAAGGGTCGTCCAGTCGCGACTGGGAAAATCAACGGCTACAGTAATTCATATAGGTAACCTTGGAGCAAGAATAGCAACCCTACCTAATGAGAAAGCGAGAATTTATTCCGGTATGTATCGTGAGAAAAAGCGAATGGTGAGAATAATGGGATTGGTTCGACGTGTATTTACCCGTGAAAGCTTCGTAAATTGGTGTTAAATTTAGACGATTTGGGGCAGTTGCTTTTTGGTTAGTCTCCACTTTACAAACGCTCAGAATAATTGCGCTAGAGCTAAGCTGGATTGTCAACCTAACTAAAGCTGCACGCAATCCCGCCCCGTCTCGTCCATGACATCCATTCATGACGCGCAAGGACCAACGACCTTGAGGCTCACGCCTAGGCAGCAAGTAACTCTAGATGGAAATGGACTCCATTGCTAGGCCCTCGTCGCTCATATAAGTGAGTGCGTGCGTCGGACGGACCCAACGCCCAACTTCACATCTTCCTTGGTGCCAATTATTTCCCTTGTAATTATCAAGCACAGCAAACCGGGCATCCACGCTCTAGGTCACATCAACAGCCAGAATGGCTTGCCAATCACTCCAGGAGAAGGTGGCCTTTTTTGAGGCCATGGAAGCACTCGATGGCCTGAGCGACGGGGAGGACCAGGTCGGCATTGAGGAGCGCGACCACCGGGCGAGATCGCGGGCCTTTTTCAAGCCGGCAGAGAAGGCAAAGCCTCTTTCTCGACCATTACAACTTGCCAGAGATGGGACAGCCTTCCATCGCCCTCGCCGGATTGTGTCAGCGCCTTCGCCATCCACAACCGCACTGCCTCCTGACGTTATCAAGGCCACCCCCACTGCCCAGAAACCCGCAGGCCGGGCGCTCGGCAGACTTGGGCGAACCCCGTTGGGCGCCGTGTCGTTCATCGAGGAAACGCCAGTCCCAGATTCAAACCGCCACATAGTCGCGTCGCTGCGGAGGACGGCGACGATGCCACTTCCTGCCGTCTCGTCTGCACTTGTTGACCAGTCGCCCTCGATGAGCTCTGCTCTAAGAAAGCGGAAGCGGAAGCGTCAGGAGTCAACTATTGCGGTACCCGAATCGGGCCGCATCTTCCGAGACCTGTCATTCTTCTATATTCCAAACAACGACATTGCCCCTGCCAGGAAACTTCGCATTAGAAGAGCCCAGGAGTATGGCGCCAAGTGGGTTCGGGAGTTATCCCTGGCCACCCACGTCGTCGTCGACAAGCGCCTGGAGCACAAAGACATCCAACCTGTTTTGGGCTCCGCCCTAGCTCCTTTTCTGGTCCTTGTGAATGAGGATTATCCACTCGAGTGTATTCAGTTCCGCACCCTCCTCAATCCGCACCAGCACCGATATGGTGTCCCTGGCTGCCCGTCCCAACCTATCCCCTCAGAGTCGGCTCGGTCTGCGCTGCCATCTCGGGATAGGGAACTTTCACTGCCCCTAAAAGAGCCCCTACCAAGCTCAAGAAGACACGGCCATGCTTCTCGGAATGCCACGCCGACGCTCAGCGCGGAATCATCTGTTCAAATTAGTGCCAATGAACCAAACCCACAGGCAGACATTGGTCTGAATAATTCCGAGGACACTCGGAATCTAGTTATTATCTCTGCCCAGGCCCAGTTTGTTGGTCACGGATTGCAGACGGGCGAGTCTATGTCGGGCCTCCCGCAAACTCTTGGGACGGAGACAGAGACTAGTGCTCAGGATGAGCTATCAAACTACATTGAGCTGATGCAGAAATACAAAGATCTCCCTTTAGATGCGGACGAAGATGAGCTTCAGCCTTCCGAAGGCGGGCAGCAAGCTATCTCGGAGCAAGAAGTGGAAAGTGGCTCAGACAGCGATGACCGCACGAGAAAGAGGCAATCATCTAGACTTGGTCGCCCGGGAGGCAAGAAAGACATTGTCTTTGCGGATCGCTTTGCCTGCAACCACGGAGGAACGAAGGAAACCGCAGGCGAAGACCAGAACCCAAATGCTCGGACAATCGACGTCCTACAGAGCATGCTTGACTACTACACCAGGATAGGCGATCTGTGGAGGACCCTCGCCTACCGAAAAGCCATATCAACCCTCCGCAGACAGACGGTCAAGATCACGACCGAGGAAGAAGCCTACCTGCTTCCCAACATTGGCAGACGGCTCGCCATGAAGATTGAGGAAATCGTCAACACCAATAATCTGCGGCGCCTCGACTATGCAAACGAAGAGTCGCTCGACCAGACGCTCCAGACATTTATGAAGATCTACGATGTCGGGACCAGCCGAGCCAGCAAATGGGTCTCTCAGGGGTTCCGAACCCTCGAAGATCTAAAGGAGAGAGCCGATCTCACTGCCAACCAGCGCATTGGAATCGAGTACTACGACGACCTCAACACACGCATTCCGCGCCACGAGGTGGCCGCTCTGGGCGAGTACGTCAAGAAGACGGCTCGCGACCTAGACCCCGCAGTCGAACTACTCATCGGGGGCAGCTACCGGCGCGGGTCCAACAGCTCGGGCGACATCGATCTGATCGTTACTAAGAAGGACACCACGTCCGCCAGCGAACTGGTCCCGTTCCTCATGGACCTCGTCGACGTCCTCACGAAGAGGGGGTTCCTCGTGGCGGAGCTCGCGGCGCTGCACAGCCATCGCCCGGGTAAGGACCGCCCGGGCAGCAAATGGCACGGTTGCTGCGTGCTTCCGCCCGGCGAGATGGCCATTAACAACAACGACGACAACGGCGCAGAGACGGCGCCAAGACGAACCCCAATCTGGCGGCGCATCGACTTTTTGCTGGTCCCCGAGTCCGAGTACGGCGCCGCGCTCATCTACTTCACCGGCGACGACATCTTCAACCGCAGCATGCGGCTCCTGGCGTCCAAGAAGGGCATGCGGCTCAACCAGCGGGGCCTGTACGCCGAGGTGATGCGAGGGCGCGACCGGGCCCGGGTTACCGACGGCCAGCTGCTCGAGGGCAGTGACGAGCGGAGGATCTTTGACATCCTCGGCGTCAAGTGGCGCGAGCCGTGGGAGCGCTGGTGTTGATACATGGCATCAAGTTGGACAATATCTAGGATATGGTTGATTTACAGTCCAATCCCCGAATGCTTGTTAACGTGGTACCTGGATAGGTACTTAATGAATCATGATTATTGCAAGTAAACCGGCTAGGAAAAGCCTTTGATGGGCATCTCTAGAAGAGAGACACTCCTTTAAGATTGTATAATAGGGATTCCAATACCTATTACCTCCCTCCTCGAAAATCTTTAGGGCAAGCTGTGAGATATTAAGGCCCAAGTCCAGGTCCAGGCCACACCGGGTGAGGTGGCAATGCCTAGTTTGAGAAAACGAGACCGCCCGGAAATAGGGGTCTAGAGAGTCGCCGAGCCCATCATGTATTTCCTCCTCGATCCTCACTCGCCGGCTGAATGGGGTCTAGATAGGTATATCATCGTACGCCGTTGGGACCGGCTGCTATTGTGCAGTCCGGTAGCCCCTGCGGCCCAGGAAGGCAGTCCCGTCCCTGCACTGCATGTACTGTGCCGTACGCTCCTAAAGCCTTGGGAAATCCCCCGCTAATAAACATTCAGGGATAGGTTTGTCAGGCGGGGAGACGAAAATACCGTTGAATTTGCGGCACACTGTTAATATGACCGTTTCGCCAGCTTCGCCGTTCCGGCGGCGGCGTAGTCTATTTAAGGGGAGCTGGGCCTCCCTATTTGTTAGCAGCTCTCGCTATCGCAAACATTTCGTAACGCGTGTATATATCATTACTTCGAATTCAGCTTCAATTGTGGTACGGATCCGTATGGATGGGTGGATTCTAAGATACAAGTTTGGTGCAACCCTAATGAGGGGTCAAAGGGAATGTAGAACGCTAACAAAATATAGTGCAAACGACTTCCCCTCGGCCTCTCGTACGGATTCAGAGGACCCGGGCACCCTGGCGAGTGACGAAGACTTTTTGCCCCATATTCCATATGTACAAAATAACCACAATGCCAAGGCCAGCGGCCAGCTAGAGATATCGTTCCCTATCAAATCATCATTCACCTAATGACCGGCCTCGGACTCCTGCCGATCCGCAAGAAGACGGGCCTTGCGCCCGACAATCTGAGAATTCCCGTTAAGTGTAAATTGGGTGCCTGGAGGGATCCCTTTATAGGGAAGTAAGGGCCCTACGGTTCCGAGCGTCGGCCTCGATACGGCCACGCTTCCTCTTGGGCGGCCCGGATAGCCTGGAAACCGCCTGGTGCTTGGGGAGTGGGAAGAGGAGGGCTCGGTCGAAGTCGATAATCATAATGCAACGGCGCTCTGCGTTCCAGAGAAAATTGCCGCTGCAGTGATCCATAGGATCAACACCCTTCCTCAAGATGGCCGTCAACGACTTGTCCTTCAGCGTCTTTACGTCTTCTACGCTGGCGTCTGGTGTCTCGCCCGCCCACGACATAAGCATCATGTGAACGACGAACTTGAACCCCGGTAGGATATAGCCAGGATCGAGGCGCACGAGGCCCAAATGTACTGGTACTAACTCGCCCTGGAGATCGTCAAGTCGTGCGTAGACTTGGCCTTCGTGCTTCAGACGACCGAGATGGCATCCTAGCGTCCCTTTGCCGACAAATGTGTAGCCGTATGGAATAAGCTCCAGCTTGAAAAGCCAGCCTATCGCTCCTCTCTTGCTCCAGAAGTCCACTATCTGGCATTTCCAGTAGGGATCCCGGAGGAGCTGCTGCTTCACCAGATCGGTAAACTGGTCAGCATTGACGGGATGCCGAGAGGAGCCGTCGGAGCGATGTAATAAGATATTGGGGCAATTCTCGTCCAAGTCTTTCCGTCTCTTAAGACCTAACAGGCACGCTTGTGTGCAGTATTGCCTGGTGGGTGCCGAGTCGACTATGGCGATATCCTCGTCCTCGCTACCACTCGACGGACCGTCCTTCCGCTTATTGGCCGGTAGGGATTGAGATGGGTCGTATTCCGGATAGTCCTCTTCGTCATCCTCGTCATCCTCATCGCCTTGGGGGAGCATACTTGCTGGCTTACAAGACGACCGAGGCCGCAAGCCCACCTTGCGACCGGTCGGTTCCGCGTCAGACTCAAACTCCGAGCCGTCCGAGGCCTGCGATGACGGCGCGGACGATGACTGCGTGGACGATGACTCGGCGGGCTTGAGCCCGGGATAGGCCGCATCCTCATATGGCTCCGGCCATTTTTGTAGTGTTGTCTCCGCCATAGATAATGTTGTTAGGAGTGATGGTCCCCTAAGAGCTTCGGACTGAAAACTCAGTAGGCAAAAGCTGGCTAGCTGAGCTACTGCGATACGGGACAGGCGGTCGGTCCAGTCGCCGGTCAGCTCGCCCACATCGTCGGCCGGCAGGCACGGATGGCAGTACAGCGTTTGCGGGTCGTTCCTATCGACATAGAGCAGTAGTAACGACCGTCCCGCAGCGATATAGCCATATGATATCCCGTAGGTAATCATATAGTCGAAGACTTGGGTCAGTGCCATGGCGATGAATGCCTCGGCCTCCTCCCGGTGTTGTACTTTAGTATCGCGGCTGAGCTTGACACCGTTGACCCGGGTGACGACCTCGCGGAACAGGTGCTCCTTCGCCACGGCTGACCGAAGATGCTCGGTAGCGACTTTGTGGGCTGCCTTATAGTCGTATACAAAGGCCTGGGTCTGGCCGCCGTCGGTTCGTGTTCGTAAGCCGATTCCGTCCGGTTGTATCGTTGGGTGTTTATGCTTCTGCTCGAGCGCGAGACGCTTGTTCGGCCCAGCTTGCCGTCGTTGTTCCGAACCACCCTCGCTGGTCTCACCCTCTATCATCCCACTCCAATTACTCGTTTGTGTGAGCTCGCGGAGGTTCCCGCTAAACCGAAACCCCGTAAAGTCGTACGCGACGCGAGCTTCCTCGTCGGTCGCGAGGACACCGACGATCTCCGCAACGGGCTCCTCGACAGCAAGCTTCTCGAAGTATTCGATCGCATTTTCGTTACCAGCTGCCCTCCGGGCAATTACCGCCCCCAGATCCATGGTTGTGCTCTTTTGGTGGAAGCGTCGCTTCTCGCCACAGATCCTGCTCATTAAACCGAAGTGTCGTGGCAGGAGGACGGTTTCGAACTCGGTCCAAGGACGAAGTTGCTTAGGGTAGTACTTGCCCAAGACATTTGTGAAGCCTGTTGAAGATATGGATGCGTCGGCAAGTCGTAGGCTGTCGTAGAGAAGACTGTGGCAGTTCCCCAGGTATTCGTTGAGCGTGGTCCGTCGGTTCTCCAGGTGAAGCCGCTCCTTCTCTTGTCGCTCTCGCGCCTCTCGTACCTTGGCTTCCTCCTCTCGTGCCTTGGCTTCCTCCTCTCGTGCCTTGGCTTCCTCCTCTCGTGCCTTGGCTTCCTCCTCTCGTGCCTTGGCTTCCTCCTCTCGTGCCTTGACTTCCTCCAGCTCGCGAAGGAGCTGTGCAATCTTGTCTTTGTCGGACATTGTATTTGCTGGGCTCGGTCGCTTGGGGCTCGGGGGTGAAAATTTGTCGATGGAATAGCTTGTTTTCTCTAAGTTCAGTGGCCGAAGGCCCGAAGCTACGAATACCAGGTGAATCCCCCAATGTGGGGCCAACCCTAACCCTGGCGGCGGATGTCTGGCGAGAGCTTCTGTGGCGGGGGTGCCTTACACATGCCGAGGAGTTCTCGCCCACACATTTTGTAGGGAGATTTCCTCCTTCTAGTTTTAGCTTCCCAATGCACTCATTACTACGGATCCGTACGTAAGAACCATATTAATAGCGGCAAGCCACTGGTATTGACCTAATACTCTAGCGCTAGCCAAGTCGCCGCGAGTGATTTGTATTCGACTGCCTTTAATTGCTCGCGCAACGATTAGACAACGCTGGAATTTCGCTCGAAGCGAGAACATAGCGGTACGCCATAAAGGCATGTACGCTGGGGCCCGTATTCTGACCGAGCCGGCTAGCTATTAATTTGGCTTATCGCGAGGTCTCTTTCAGCGGGGCATAGGGTAGGAGGCAGCCTGTTCGAAAACGGAAGTCACCGTTTTATAACGGTTAATTTACACAGGTCCGTGGGTCACTAACAGAGGGAAAGAGGGACCCGTTTTTGGATCCCAAGTACCCCCGGTTTTTGACCCCCTCTACCTCGTAGGGCAAGCTTCTAGGGATTGGTTTGTACTTTCCAGGATACCATGCATTTACATGCACTGTGCTATTAAGTCGACATGAAAATACTCCACAAACAGAGAAAGCGTTATTCTGGCCGCCGAATTTGGCAAACGTATGCTGCCATTTTCGGCGGCTTTAACACCAGGCGCACAAGTCTCTTACACGTACCATTGGTGTACCTATATCATAGCGGCCTTCCTAGCGCATCTCCGTCACGGTCGAAAGAGTATCTAGGTGGGCTTCAAGAGACAGCACAACATAATTGATCAATTCATCCGTTCTAGGGGCATTTGGGATCTGGGTATACGCCGCCCCGTTTCGAACTTAGATGGAGGACTTCGCAACCAATAAGCCTAGATTCAAAGCTACAGAAAGGAAGAAGTACAGAGCAGGAAAAGGATATGGTTATGGCTACGTATTAAGGAGCGCGCAGACTATAGCTTAAAAATATATATATGGGGGTGGCGCCCAGAACCCAGGATCCACGGGTCTAAATATTCTACAAGCTCTATCTTTGCCACCTGCCCCAAAATAGGATCCTACTGGTCGCTAAGCTTCCTCTTGACTCTTTTCTCGGCTGCCTTAAACAGCTCCTCGCCTGATTCTGCGAGTTGCTGTGGTGGTGACCGAACCCTTGGCCGCTTCAGATGATTCTCTTGCTGGATCTTCCTGCGCCCACGATCCCTGCACTCCGCTCTAGCCTCAGCCCCCTGTACTATTTCGTAAAGTTGAGAAAACGAAACAGTAATCTCCCCGGGGATGTCATCGATTCTGAGGTAATCAGGCCAGTACCAAAAATCTTTGAGCCCGATGCGAAGGATCCGTTCCCCATCGACCAAACTACCATTCACTGCCCGAAAGATACTCGTTTCCGTCTCAGCTGCTTCAAGTACGGCTTCCCCATCTTCCTCAATATATCTTGGTCGCCACACAGTGACCCTGGCTTCTTTTCCCTTCTCCTCCCGGTATTCAAGGTCAACCCCAATAACGACTTGGGTCCGCCCATTTGAACCTAGGATATAGTCATCTATAAGGAATGGCATATCTTGTCGTTGTTGTGAATGGGAGACCTCCAAGATAACACATTCTACCTCCGCATCTTCGTGCGCAAACGACCCGTCTGGGTAATGGGAACCACCATCGCTCTCAATCTTGGGACTTCCTACTACGGATACGCCCCGAGCGAAATCGGCAGCGACTTGGTCGTTACTCTGCTTGATAATATCTAGCTGTTGTGTAACTAGGTGTTCGAAATTTCTGACAACGGCTTCGTGGATAGTGCCCGGCATTCGCAAGACGAACTTGGCGAGCTGAGGGAAGTATCATACCTAATCAGAGGTTAGCTAATGTAATGCTAGACAAGGGGCAGCTAGACGAAGAGGGGCAGAGAGACAGAGGGACAAAGGGATAGGCTACCTACTTTGGCTAGCGGTAGTCCCCTTCGGCTTCGAAACGCGCCTCAAAAGCCTTGAACTCGTCACGGTTGAGGCTGATGCACCACCACTCCTCTTCGACCTCGACTCGGCCACAGATGCGATTGCGAATTTCGGCGATAATCTTATCGACACCAGAGACCGGTAAGCTCACGGATGGTGTGGGGGAGTTGGGGGATGCCGTCTCTGGAGGCGTTGCCGGGTAGAGAGTCAGCCGATTGAAGGGGAGCCGATTGAGGGGGAGCCAATCGAGCTGGGCGGTGTGATTGCTTTGCTATCCATATGGGCGGATAGCTGATGATAGAGATAGAATGTTGGTGCACCCAGGGCGACTTCAAGGAGCAGAGCTCGTTTGCTTGTTGACGACGGAAGGAATAGGTGTTGTAGAGCAATTGCTTCGGTTACCCCGCCGAAAATGTAGTGTTTTAGGTGCCGAGATTAGCGGGTCTAGGCTGCTAAGAACGGCACCCTAAACAGCGATACAGACTAACAATTAAACAGGGGTTAAGGATCACACACCGCCGTATTACATGCTGGTGCAATTACGAAGAATATGAGGAGAAGAGCAAAGGTCAATAATACAAGAAAGAGACGCCGGGGGAGGTAATTTTATTTATGTTTAGGCGTAAGGAATGGCCGCGCTAAACCAAATGAGGAGAATTGGGGGAGGGCGCCATTCCCGGGGCGTGCAGCACCGTGTTCGCTATTACGGAAAAGAATCTCAACCAAGCACGCGCAAGTGTTTCCACCTGAGCGGTAAAGTTTGCAAATCATTAAAAGTGAAGGACCTCGGATTTAGCTCTATATATTTACATTGAACAACATCTTGTCGGGATATAAATTCCGTTTACGATTCCGCGGCGAGCTCGCCTTCCCATCCCGTCATTACGCATACTCTTCTCACATTTTCGGGGCTGCGTCTAAATTTGAGCTGACCCCTTTCCAAGACCCGTCTTGGATGGGCCTCATTTGAATGAAACTTCCACTCATTGTTGGCCTGTTCTTTGCGATTCACGGTAACGCCTTGTTCTTCCTTTCACAGGCCAACCAAGGAAAGGAAAGAGATAATAATAAACACCATAACTCCCCTGTGTCGCTCCTGTATTCCCCGCCCAGAGTATGACATGTATACGAACAAAAGAAAAGACGAAGGGGGAAAGAAGTGGCCGTTTTGGCAACATGAAAAGAAACGAGGGCACCTTGGTGATTATTGACTAGACTGTCCCGCTCCATACATGCGTGGATCCATCATGTGAATGGCGTTCTTCTCCCTCCCGACCGGAGGATAGTCGCGAATGGCACTGTTACGGTCAGCCGCCGAGAAGACACTACCAGTCTCGCCGTCCACGTCGTTGAGCACTTCGCGGGTAAGCTCGACGTAGTCGTAGGCGAACTCGCCAATCTCAGCGTCGTCAATGCCAAGAATCTCGGCCTCCTCGGAAGCGCGGAGGTGCAGGCCCGGGATTAGATTCATGGTGAACAAAATCAGGGTTGTACCGACAAACGAGTAAGCGCCTCCCGTGAAAGAGTCAGCCAGCTGGATAGGAAGCTGGACCCAGTGTTGATTGATCCATCCGCCCGGAATTACCGCCACATTGTCCAGGTGGGCAATGTAGTCAGCCGCGAAGAAGGCCGTGCAGATATTTCCTACCAAACCGCCGATACCATGGACGGCGAAGATATCAAGGGCATCATCGATGCGTAGGATGAACTTCAGCTTGGTACCATAATTGGCAAATCCCGCGCCGAGGATACCGTAAATAACAGCAGCCCAAGCTGGAACAAAACCTTTATTTGCAAACCATATTAGGGATGTGCACACGAAACACCACTTCAGGGTTATCCAAACAGATAACTTACCAGAGCCGGGAGTAATGGCAACCAGTCCGGCAACCACACCGGAGCAAAACCCCACAGTCGACCACTTCCGCTCCAGTCTGTAGTCGAGGACACACCAAGTGATGCCACCGACGCAAGCAGCGAGGTTAGTAACCACCGCGGCCATGACGGCGCGCATGTTGGCAGCGAGAGCAGAGCCTGCATTGAATCCGAACCACCCGACCCAGAGGAATACAGTCCCGATGACGATATGGGTGACGTTGTGCGGCCGGTAGTTGAGCTCGTGTGTGCCGTGGCCGCGGCGTTTCCCAAGCATCATCGAGTATGCAAGTGCGGCTGAGCCCGAGGCAATATGCACGGGCGTGCCTCCGGCAAAATCAAGACCTCCCATCTTGTTCGACCACCCGGATGTGTTCCACGTCCAGCAAGCGATGGGATCGTAGATAATCGTGGACCAGACGAACATGAAGAGGACGCAGGGAAGCATCCTGCCTCGCTCAGCCACGGCACCAGCTGCCAAGGCCACTGTTATGGCCGAGAACATGCCCTGGTAGATGGCGAATAGGAGATCCGGGATGCGAGACGAGCCGACAGACGGTTGGGCGAGAACGTCCCTGAAGCCGAAGTTGGCGAGATCGCCAATGAAGGGGCCGGCCGTGTGCGAAAACGTCAGGGAATAACCCCAGAAGAACCACTGGAAGGTGGTGACGGCCGTGGCCATAACCGACAGCCAAATCAAGGATAAAGCGGACTTTCGCCGCGCAAGGCCAGAATAGAAGAAGCTGCATGGTGGGTGGGTTTCGTTTGTTAGAGAGAGAGAGATGAACAAAACATACAGCCAGGCCAATGATCCTAACACAGAAAGGCTTGGGACGAGCACGCACGCACTTGGGGAGGGGAGGGTTTGATCTGCAGTCCAAACATTGAAACTTACCCAACACCTGGGATCATGAGAAGCACAAGGGCAGTTGCTATGATCATGAATCCGATGTCGCCTGACTGTAGCAATGCAGATATGCGGCGTCAGCGTGTCCGTCTCCCGGCTCCCGTCTGATCGATCGGGTATCCGCGATCTCCATGCGGCACAGGTGAGCTTACTTGGTACCAGATGTTCAGATCGTCAGTCAGGGCATTCCCTCCTGCTGGGCCGGTGCCATTGTACGGCACTAGAGGTATGAAGTCTTGCGGTGGGCTGTCGTCTGCCATGGTAGGAGAAACCTCACCGGCTGAGGCGGACAAGGCTGGGTTTCGAGAGCTTGTGGTGTATTAATGACTGACAACGGCGTGTGTACTGCGTATTGCAGATGGACGAGGCTGATACTGCTGACAATGCTGCTGGTGTTGCTCTCAACCTCTTCGCTCAGAGTTGTGAACCGACTTGTATGGCCTGGGCGTCTTTTTAGCCCGAGATACCGTACTTCATGTGGTGATTTCTCTTCTTGTTTCCGAAATTAGAGAACGCAAACAGACAAGAGGGCATCGGGCAAAGAAAAAGAGCAGCAGCGTGGGATGACACTAGCTGCGAGTAAAAAGACGCTCACGATCAGAAGGAAAATGGGGCTAAGCAGGGCCTGGCAGCCATGTTCCTTTCCCCCCCCCCCCCCCCCCCCTCCGACTTTTTCGGGCGAAGAAGCAATTCGCTCGGGCCAATGAGGGGTGGCACGACAACAACCCGGCCCTCTCTAGCTTATCGATCAACGCAACGCGAAAGCACAACTGAACATGCACGGCAATGGAAGGGGGGAAGGAGGCACCTAGTTGCAGGCAAGTGTGGCCACACTTCATGCCTGCACTTTCCATGAGACCCGCAGACAGACAGACCACTGCTAGGCTGGGCTAGTCTCATTCAACTCTGCCGTGGTGGTTGTGAGCGCGACATCAGCACCACAGCACGCGGCAGGCGCATTGCTCTCTCTGAGAGCCATATGAAATACGTGCCTGCTCTGTGCCTTTTACTCGGAACCAGACGAAAAGGCGGGGGTCAACCCCAATTATGCTACCAACCCGACCCGTCCTGCAGCAAGAGGAAATTGGGTTTCTGATACAAATTAGAACAGACGGCCATTGATGACAAAGTGCAGATTTTAAATCATGCAGTCTTGCTGACTTGAAGTCGACAGGCAACTGTCGCTTTGCCTGTAACGTACATACACGAGACTTGCAGTGACACAAGACTTGTGAGAAGGGTCGAGAGAGTATAGAGAGGGGTTGGCACTTCTCGGCCCCCCATTTCTCTCAAGGAAACGAAAGCCACCGCTGAACAGGGACTGGACTCGAGTTACGCGAGGTTCTGGAAGACGGCATCATCAATGCGCCACCCGAGCAGCCCCGCTCTCCCTGGTCAAGAGCAGTGGGTCCTCGGACCACAACGGGCGACGGTTGCTTGATTCGTAAAAAATGTGAGCGTAAAGATAAGCCAGCGGCTGGCTGATTGGACGGGCTGGCCCAGTGTCTTGGGTGACAGCAGCTATCTCGGCGGTGCCCCTCTTCGCGAGGGTCCTCAAGTGGGGGGACACACCGTTGAAGAGACGATTAGCTCAGCATTGAGCATTCAAAGGCCGCTCGACTGAGAAGGAAGGAGCGACATCCCAGCCCATTGGAACGTGACTTGGGCTTGGGGGCTTCTCCTGGCGTGCGGCACTTGATGGACCTGCAGAACTCTGTACTCCAGATTCGAGCATCACATCAGAATCACCTACAGGACACAGACACCCCGCACAGTCAAACACGAACCCAAGCCCCTGGAATCAACGAGCCGAGGATAATCTATCTCAGTATGTCGTAAAGAGACGAACTCCTTATACACGACATCGACACAGCTTCAAGGCAGGCCACCTCGAAACCACTCGCCCGCTTGACCTGCCGTATCTCCAGATGCTGTAAGTCAGATGCCTGGTGGAGCTGGCTAGATTATATCACCATCTTGGTACGTTGCATCAATGCCGTGCCTAGATGCTGGAGGCTGGATGATATTGATTACCTACTTGCTCCTCCCTAGCACCACATGTTCCTGCTGCTGCCGCTGCTGCTGCTGCTACTGCATGCATGTAATATGCTTGTTCACTTTCCACCATCATCCTGCTGCAAGGCACAGAAGCCATCTTCGGGTCCTCGCTTTTTTTTTTTTTTTGGGGGGGGGGGGGGGGGGGCGAGATGGGGGGGTTGTTCCCAAAGCAGCAAGTGACGCTGGGGTCGACTGATGCCTCGTTCGCCATTCCCCCAGACCTGTCGTCGTCCCACGAACACCACACAACGCAAGGTACCCGGCACGCACGGCTGCGCGCCACCTCCGTGCCCCTCTCCCGCGAGTGTGGGCGGCGTGGCGGGAGTGTCTTTTTTTCTTCTTCTCTCACCGCATCTATTCAGTATCTGTATCACGTACACTTATAACTCGGTGTGGCCCGTTCCCTGGTAACACGGCATTGGAAAATTTTGTTGCGGATGATAATTGACTTGGCTATAGGTATATGACAGAAATTAAGGGGAACCCCCCATTCAGTCCGAAAACTTCTGTATCCAGGGAGCATGAGAAAAATAGATATCGAATGTAATATTCTGCATCCGTCTTTGGCCACCTTATGTGCTCCGTACTTCTCAGTCTAATAACTAACTGCTAATCGGTCTAGACTTGCCACACTCATAGCGGGCTTCATTGATTTAGCTATCTCTCGCACAAGAATCGGACAGTCCGGCCAGATCAGCGCCGCTGCCACCGATCGATCGCTTTTCCCATGTTCTACCGTTAGTGTCCGCATCAACAACATTCGTCCGGGTTGTTGAAATGGCGTGTCTGTTGTGCACTAGGGTAGCTTGTCGAGAAGATTACAATCTTGCAATCTTCTTTTTATTCTCACGCCCGATCTTATCACCACTGTCGATGTACTTCCCCCCTCCTCGTCCCTTCTCCGTGTTTGCACCGTACGGGCAGCACCATGGCATGGCGTTGGTGCTATCAGCCCAACGGCTCCTGCAGCAGGGTCCGCCATTGGTTTCCCGTGGGGTGAGCGAGCGAGCGGTCCCCATTTTCCAAGGGGGAACTACTAGTACGGAATAGAGTGACGTGACGGGAATAAACTGCCCCTGGGGAAGATATATATACTGTGGGAGGTGATTCCAGGTTCTAAAGAGACGAAAACGGTCGACTGGACCTGCCTGGGCTGAGTGCTCAGTGCTCGCTCTCCTTTTGCGCTGCTCTGCTCTGCTACCAGCAGCACAATCTTGACGGGGCCATGCAGTGACTAGAGAATATGTCACTTTTATTGAATGTCTGCACTTTACGCGTTCATCCCCAACACTAGGACGAATCCACGGCTTACAGTGAGCACTAAGGTACGGAGCACGGAGTACCTGCAGGTGTAGGTGGTTGTATCGAAAAAGCGTTCCTGGTTCCTTGCCTGAACAAATTATTAGACCAGGGCCATGATCCCACCCCCTCTGTCTACTGCTCTGATGTGCGTTGTACGCTACAATCTTCTACTTCCTCTTAGAACTTCGGAAGTGCGTCCTTGAGAAGACGCTTGAGATCAATTTGCGGGGAGGATAATCCTTACTTCGGAGAATGAAAGCACCAAATGCGAATATACCTCAGGCTAGCTGCTTTTGTTTCCTGCGAAGGATGCGCATCCTCGTCGTGATAGACTGGTGGCGGCCAATTCAGTTAGCGCCTTACCTTTTCCGCACAAAGAGGCTTCTATTGTTCTGCTATCTCGGTGTGTCCGAAATGCTTCCCAACAGAGGTTATAGTAAGAAAGTGAAAAGCATCTACACGACAAGACACCCTTATCAAACTCTGAACTAACGTAGATGGCGCCCAAAACTCACAGAACGATACAAATTTTGACCAGAGAAAAGTGCCTGTATCAAATGGTATGTTTAAACATTTAAACTAAGTTGAAGCTGTGCACCAACCTGTCCGTACAGAGCTTTTCAACCCCCTCTTTCCAAAATAAGTGATTTAATCTATACAGTGGTACATGATCCAAACTGTTGCCTCTCCAACCTGTCCGGCCGCACCTCATCCAAAAGTAGTTATGTTTGTGCAAAATAATTAGGGCATACAGCCGCTGCCATCTGGGGCAAGAATCGAAGAACAGTGGTATACCAGCCGTTATATGTCGTACAGTGTCGTGTCACCAGACCGGAGGGTTATCCAGGTGGCGATGGGTGCTGTTGTGTGTTGTACAAGTTGAAATGCTCCGAAATGCTATGTTCAAAAAAAAGAAGGGGAAAGCACCCCAAAATTGCGCCGATCCAATGCAATGGCCTCAGTAAGCCGATAAAGTGTCGAAGGAAAACCGCGAGATGAAGTGCTCAGGTCCACGAGAGCGACATTGACATTTCGCCGCCAAGTCGTAACTACCTGACTTGGGTCGTGATGTTCTTGAATTGATCTTCAAACACGCGCACCTTCTCAGCTTCTACGACGCGTTGCAACCTTCGGGTCTCGCGCATAGCCTCCTCGCGCTCCTCTTGGAGCATCATGACCTCGATCTGAGCCGTGTTCATGCGGCCGACCACCTCTTGCATCTCGGCATCCGCAGACGCCAAAGCTCCCTCCAGCTCGGCGACGCGTCCCTTGAGCGCCTCAACCTGCCCCGCCATGTTGCCGGCGCTGCCGTCGAGGGGTGATGTGCTTGACCGCCGGATGCCTGGTCGATCGACTCCTGGAGAGAGGAGAGGTGAGGACATGCGTGGAGATCGGCCCGACGCGCCGCTTCTCAAGCTCATCAAGGGTGTCAGGGGCGACTTGGGTGGGAAGAGACGGGGGCTCCGCGGGCTACGCATGCCGCCCGAGCCATCCCGCAAGCGCTGCAGCTGGATATTATGCGCATCTTTGAGGGATGTAAGTTCTTCCTCGTGGCGTGCCACCCTTTCCTCGGCACTTGTTTGGGCTGCAATGACTTGTTCCTCGAGCTCGCGCAGGCGGCTCTGCAGGGATGCAATGCGCTCCGTACTAACACGCTGGTCGGCTTCGCCCCGTGCGATCGTGTCAGAAAGGCGCGTTCGAAGCGTCTCATTAGTCTCGAGTTGTGCCCGCACCTGTTGGGCAAGTTCCTCGACCCGGCACGCCGAATTCCGTAGCTGATCAGCCAAGTCGTTCTCCACATCGAGGTGCCTTTTCTCTGACGCCTGTAGAGACTCGAGCTGGGTGCGATACGTGGCGACCTCATCCCGGGCAAGATCCCGGTCCGAGACGGCGGCCGAGAGCGACTGCTCGAGGTGTTCGATTGCGAGTCGCGTCTTTTCATCCGAAGTTGTGCTCTCCTCGAGCGTCCTGACACGCTCAAGTGCCTCTGAGTAGGCACTTTGCAACTCCTTGAAAGTCCTTTCAAGCGAAGCAGATGTTACGGGGACGGCAAGCCTGGCCAGGCTGCTGCTGCTGGATCGACCAATCGCCTCAGGGATTAGTATGTCCTTCTCCCTGAGCAGGCTACGCAGCGAGGCAACTTCTTCCTCGGCACGGTCCAGGTCCATCTTCAGACCACTCAGGCCCTTTTCAACCTGCCACTTCTGCTCAATTGCCTCCTCGGCCCTGCGACGAAGTGTACTGATCTCTTCGCGGAGATTGCAGACTTCCCTCTCGTAGCCCGCCTTTCTCGGCGATGCAGCAAGAAGGCGGTCTCGTTCTATCTCGAGTTGACGAATTCTCTTGCTGTTTTCGCGGTTCTGGAATTCCTGTCTCTCGAGTAGGTTCTTAAGCGCGTTGTGAAGCGCGTCACGCTGTGCCTCGACGTCCTGGAGCCTGTCGGCAAGAACTTCGCGGGGCTCGCTCTGCTTGACCGTGTTTGACCGCGCGACGGATTGCGGCCGCATCTTCTTATATGAGCCCGTCGCAACAGAGGCCGACCTGGAGAGTGCAATTGACACACGAGATTCCGACTCTTTGAGTTCCGTGTTCTCGGACCTGAGCGATTGGAGTTCTTGCTGCATTTTAGATGTTTCGTAGGCCAGTTTGGCACCCTCAGCTGCCTCTGCTTCTAACCCTTCCACCCGAGCCCGCAGCTGGGGGACAATCTCGTCGCGAAGATTGTCGCGCTCGTTGGTTGCATTCTCAAGCTCTCCTTTTAGTGCGCTGAGCAGGCCCTCGAAGTTGTCCTTGACTTGGCGCTCGTCTGATAGCTTTCGGCGCAAGTCATTGCATGTGTTTTCTAGTTCCCTGACGCGCCCACTCGCGCCACTGCTGCTGTTGAGTTGGACGAGGTCTATTTGCGATGCTTTCCTGGACAGTTCTTGTATCTGCTGGTCCAGCTCCCGACGCCGTGACCTTTCATCTTGAAGCTTGTCGGTAAGCTCCAGTCTGATCTGAGCTTTCTCCTGCTCTGCCCTGCGTTGTACCTGTGAGATCTCTTCTTTGACGTGATCGTACTCGCTAAACTTGGTTGAGCTATAGCCTGAGTCCGAATAGTAGTCACTCGTCCTCTTCTCGGAGGCTCGGGGGTTGTTGATCTGCTCCTGTAGTCTATCGACGAGGTCCTCTAGGTCCATCTCACGCCGAATGGAGCCAGCCAGTTCGGCGCTAATGGCCTTCAGCTCATCCTCCATCTCCTCGAGCTGCACTAGTAGAGGAGTGGCAGTGGTGGTGGTGTGAACGGCGGGTGTGGTACCGACCGGCGGTGTCTGTAGGTTGCCCTCGCAGTATCGCAACGGGCTCTCCTCTGGGGCATCTGTGAACGTGGAGCTCGGTACGTAGGGCGTTGATTCATGGGACCCTGTCGCAACCGTGGCCGGCTTCAGGGAGTAGGGCGACGGGAGCGGGGAGAAGCTTCCGTCCGAGAAGTCGGCTGAGGACGAAGGGGAGGCGGCCCAGCCAGGGGAGGTCGCGAGGTTTGAGAAGGCGGGTGATTTTGGGAGTGGTTTATTAAGAATACTGCTGCTCTCTGGGAGGCTTGTGATGGTTGAAGATCGGAAGCCAGTGTCGACCGGCGGCCCAAGAGTTAGGTGTGGAGGGGGAGACTTCCGGGCAAACAACGACATGGTAGTAGTGGCCGTGTTGCGCTTGTCCCGTGACTCTGGCGAGTCGAAACGGGGGGCGTCAACGAGGTCGAGGTCGCGGGCGAACTCTGGCGAGGCCGGGCTGGTGGTCTCGGCGCTTAGGCGGCCTTCTGGTGAGTAAGGCCTTGTGGCTACCTGGGCCGCTGTAGGGCCACTTTCCGAAATGTTTCGTAGCTGTAAGTCAACCGTGCCAGTCGGAGACTGAGGTTCCACAGAATCTTGGGAGACGGGAGACGATCTACTTGACATTGGGATCCCGTCAGTCGGCAGTTGGCATGGCTTTAGCCGGGAAGGTATGGTCATATCACGGGTACATGGAGGGAGATTTGAGTCAGGGCTACGACGTACGATTGGCTAGTCTCGGAGCCGGCTGGCGGCGAGCTCAGAGTGCTCAGCAAGCCAAGTGCGTCGAAGCCGTAATGGCCAGGAAACTCGTACAGGGTTGGACTGTCGAGTGAAAAGGACCTCGCAAACCTCTGGTCAGGCCGGGCGAGTTCGAGCTCGAGTTCGAGCTCGGCAGCCGGGCCCACGCCGGCTTTGGTCTGGGTCTGGGTCTGGGTCTGGGTCTGCGACGACGAGTACCTCGTGGCCAAGGGCGAGGCCGTGGCAGACAGAGGCTTGCGGCGGATGGGAGCAGCGCTGTGAGCGAGGGTGTGAGCGCGGACGGTCCTTGGGCTTGGAAGTGGGTGTTGTTTCGACGGCAGCGAGGCCAGCACGGCCAGCGGCGGAAACACTGAGTCGCCCGCTGGGTCGGATGTTTCGAGGGGGCTCGGTGGCGAAGGGACCGGGCGCGGGCTCGGTCCTAACGAGCCGGCAGTACCTTCAGACGATGAAGCACTTGTCGTATCAGATGGCCCAGATGCCATGCCAGATGCCAGTTGTATCTCGGATATGGTAGAGGGGGGGTGTCGGGCCCCCGCGGGCGGACTCTCGAGGGCGGTCATAGTATGGTATAGATAACAAAGAGTAAAACAAGGAGGCAATCGGCTCTTTGCTTGGACTAATTCATTCAATTAGCAGACCAGCAAACCCGGGACCACATGCTTGGCAGCGCGGGATTGGCTCTGCGACAACAAACGGGAGAATGTCCAAATTAATTGCGAAATCACACATCAGAGTCGGTCGGCCGACAGACTAGAGGGTGGGAACAAAGAGGGAGAAGAGAAAGATTGCGGTCGCAGTTGCAGTTGCAGTTGCAGTTGCAGCCAGTCCAGTCAGGTTAGACAGTGGAGGTGCCGTCTTTCTTTCAGTCCGGCCCTCCGGGGAAGGCACTGTAGTGTAGCAGCGGCAAGGGCTCCAGTGGGCAGCAGCAAGCGAGCAAAAGATCGAAAGGGGGCCGTTGACGCCCGCAAGGGCCTGGCACTGGCAGCCTCATTACAACAGTCGCCCGCACGAACCAGTCGTTGTCGTGCTTTTGCGCGCAGGGTAGGCACACTAGCCACACCCCAGAGGCGCCATCGCCATCCTCTGATCCGCTTTTGGCAAATCGAGGAAGGGGCCAACGACAGGACACCCCTGGGTACCCTTGGGCGCCTCCAATTGGCCCCGGCCCCCGACCCTTTGCGGCCTAGATTGCTTGGTACCTGCATGCTGCAGCACGCACGTCCCTCCCGATCCCAGGGCCTCTTGCCAGTTTGAAGCACCAATGGAACCTCCTTTATCCTCCTCCTGTTCGATATTCTGGTGTGCCCCTGCGTCAGCGAACCAGCAGGTCGAGAAGGAAAGCGCGGGGCTGGCTGATAAAGATTCACTTTGTTCTGCAGAAACGGGAATCATCATGTAAAGGATCCCAAGCTGCCGTCAACGTTGACCCTCGAGTCTTCAAGTTAAGAGACAGAGACCCTCAATGTTCCCAAAGTCCAGCTGGGCTGATGGGATCGGCCGATTAAATCAACAAGCCGATCATGTCTTTTTGGGCCGGCGGCACTTTGGGACCGAAATGCAACTGCAACACTGGAAGCGCCGATAAACCATCAGAGCAAAAGCAGCCCATCACCAGACCATCATCATTATTGCCTGGTTAATTATTCCGTAATTCGAGAGCGAAATGAATCCCAAGCATGAGTGGTTGTCAAAACTCCAAAGCTGCTGGTTGGTGTTGCAACAACCCTGTGGGTTGCGCGCGCGCTTCAGCTGCCTCAGCTGCCTCCGGTCTGGCTACCTAGCAGTCAGGGCGCTTCGCCGACCGATACGGTGAACACAAAGTCGCAAACAGCGTCACGTCCCGCCGCCCGGCGGCACGCAAGCCCCATTGTGCGCTGGGGAAAGGTTGTGGCACAACTTCTGTTGTCGAGGTTTATTTTCGGCAGGGAGCTGGCCAGTTCCCCAAAGCCTTGCCGCATCCCATCCCCATTCTGTGCGATCCGTGCCCCTTGATTATCCGTCCGCTTGCCTTTTTCCTCGCCGAGCGTGCGGCGATGTCGAAAGCGGGGTCGATCAAGGGGGGGCTTGCTTTTCTCGATCTTGAAATCGCGCCGCCGCGATGATCGCTAGATGTGTAATTATTGAATTCCGCAGGCGGCAGAACAGATCCGCAGGGAACCAGCCCAGAGCAACCCACAAAAGGGCTCCTGAGAGAAGATATTTTTAGGGAAAACCGGCCTCAGGCCTTGGCGCCGACCAGACTTCGCCCTGTGGCCGCCCGCGCAGCTGGTCGTCGGGGCCCCATTCGAAGGGGTGCAGAAAGAAAGAAAAAAAGGAAGATCCGGCTTTGTGATCGAATTGATCTGCGCTGAGCTACCCGCAGAACGACGCGGCATCGGATCACCAACTGATGCGCCGAGGGCGATTCCCTGGTTTTCGGGTGCCTGCACACGAGAAACGGCATTGTCTCACGGCATTATCGTCTCGAGAAAGCTGGATTTAGTGCCTGTCGAGGCTCGGTTGAGCCCGGTCGGTTCTCGCTATGGGCCGGCCGGGTTTGATCGTCGAAACAACCTACCGCCGCCGCCCCTCATGACCCTGTCTCACTTAGCGAATCGAAGCCTTCCACTTGCACGTCATTCCGCAACGGCCTCTTCGGGCTCAAATCAGTCGGCTCCACCGACAAGAGACAAACCGCCACCACTGCCGTCTTTTAAAGGCCGAGGACACAAGACATGTCGCACCAGGACATCTAGCTGTGGCAATTGAACCTCACATCACAGGTCGATAAAAATTGCCATTTTATTTTTCATTTTATTATTCCCCGACGAACGCACAACCAGACTTGCATGTCTTAATCACCAGCGGCTGCAGTGCCAGTGAGTGGTGTTCCAAGGAAACAAGGCGACAAAACAAAAGGTCAAGGAGTTGCATCGTGACTCGTACTGCCAGCCTGACTCGTTGCTCTTGAAGAATCATGTAGAACAAAAAATAGAAGTGATTGAAACATGCCAAACAAAGCCGGGCTGGCTTCCGACCGCTCAACGCCAGCCATCAAAGGTGACCCCCATTCTCTCTCATGGTCCACCAACGCCCGTCGAGACCACTCATCCAACACCCACCCATCCCGGAAGCAGTTATTATCGTCACCAGGAATTGCATCTACCTACCTTTATTAGTGCGGGTAGAGGTAGATCGCAATCTGACTTTTTTTTTGCCCAGGAGCCAAAAATCGCGGGAACTATACGGCAAATATGTACGCAACACTTATCCGTGAATATATGCGTCCACACAAACAAGACCCCAAGCAGCTCATGCAGCCCATTGATGCCTATCAAAACACAAAACACAATACGGAGCACATCTCTCACCATGGCAACGAGTCGCTTTTGCGTATGGAAGGCAGTCAAAATAGGTAGTACGTATAGAAATGCAGCTTGACTCGCACTCTTCACTCTCAAACAAACAAACATGCGACAGAGTTTCTGTCTCGGGATTGGTGATACCACACAACGGACACAGAAACAGTTCAACTGACTCGCTTACACGCTCAGCAGCACCCCTAACGTACCTCATACCTTTGGTGCTCACAAACATGTCAATTAATTGCTTCGCATCAGTTTCCGCCTCTCGATCCACTGCGGAGAGGAGAGGAGATGAAAGGTCAAAGAGAAAAAAAGAAACAAGAAAACTACCAGTGTATTCCCTGCGATCAAGTGTCGTGCCGGGTGCCTGCTAGCCTAATCCCTAGTCGTCATTTCTTCTACAGCATATTATCTTCTTTCTAAGGAATACTGAATTAGGAACACCCTGTTTTGTTGACCAAGGCCCACCAGCCCGGCGTAAGCAAGAGTTGTACCCCGAGCCTTGCCTTTCCCACCATGACAAACAAACACGATGCGTTGCACTTTGTATACCGACATTATCGTGGTCTCATCACAAGCAACACCCCTCCTTGTGCCGTCTATTCGGGCGAAGAAAAGATAGGAAGCGAGAAAACAACAGAGACGCCTCCACTGGCCATGAGCCCGTGTTCTCTGCCATTTATTTACTAGCAGGTTGTAAAAAACAAGTATGAGACCGCCACACGTCCGAGAAAACTGCCGCCGTGCGGCGCCCAAGAAATCAAGGGTATTTGGACGAGGAGATCCTCGAGGATTCTTTCTCCAGTCGGCCGATATTCTCCACTGTCAGCGCCTCGCCGGTTGACAACAAAGGCGAGGTCATCGAGTGCGTCGATGCGCCACCACAGCTTGCGACATCGATCAATTTATCATCGCGGCTATTCATGGCCCGCTCGTCCGTTACGATGCGGCGGATGGGCTGCAGCAAGTCGGCTTCCACCTGGCAGTCCGAAGTGGGCTTGGACTCAGAAGGTGACATTGTCGATGGTGGCGGTGTCGGTGGCGGCGGTGGCATGGCGTAGTTGCCGGGGAAGGGGTAATGGTCGGTAGCGTCATTGAGTGCGAGGGGACGTGGAGTGTCGACGCTATGCTTGTCGTCCAGTCCATTGTAGTCCCCGGTCATGACGGGCGTCAATGCATCTTCGTGGCCAACCCCGGGTATTTCGGTGTTATCGCAACTCTCACCCGTCTCAGCGCAGTCTGAGATACTGCTCGGGCCGCTTATTGGCGGCGTGTCTGCCCTCTTCCGCCTGCTCCACCTCACCAGCATGCGCTCCAGCGTTTTATTCTTGACGGGCTTTGCCAAGTAGTCGTCCATTCCTGCCCGTTTACATTTCTCCTTGTCTCCTTGGATCGCCGAGGCCGTCATGGCAACAATCGGGACAGCGCTGACAAAGGCCTTATATGGGAGGTGGTGTCGTAAGAGATGTGTACATTTGTAACCATCAATAACCGGCATTTGGACGTCCATGAGGATGATGTTCGGCTTCGCTTGTATCCCTTCTTCAGCCGCAACGAGATACTCGAGGGCCTCCTTGCCATTCCACACCGCGGTAACTTGAAATCCCAGTTTCCTAATGGTCTTGATGGCAATCTGCTGGTTGATTGCATTGTCCTCGACCACCAAGACCTGGATGTTGGCCCGCTCGGATGCCGAGAGATCCTCCTCCTGTGTCCCTGTCGCCGAGGAGCTAATAGATAAATGCCTCCAGGACGACCTTCCTTTTTCCGGCAACCTTGCTCCTTGCTCCGCGGGACCTAGCATCTGCTCATACTCGGAGCTATTGCAAGACACGCTCATCTCAGATTGTAGTCTGTCGGGTAGTGGTCCTATTCGAACCAAGCCTGCGGACTGAGACCCATGAGGTTTGTTGAAAGGTACCCAGAATGTCGCCGTGGTCCCGGTCCCTATTGTCGATTCCATAGTCATCCTCCCCTTCATCAGGTCCAGGAGGTTTTTGCATATGGTGAGCCCCAACCCTGTTCCTCCAAACCTTCTGGCTGTGGATGGATCGCCTTGACTAAAGGGTTGGAAAAGACGTTTCCGAACCTCTTCCTCGATGCCTATCCCTGTATCCTCGACGACAAACCTGATCTCTATAATGTCAGGTGTCTCTTTCTCCTTCAAGACGGAAAACTTGACGCAACCCTGGTTGGTGAATTTGATGCTATTCGTGAGCAGGTTGGTGATGATTTGTCTCACCCTGCCAGGGTCGCCTATGACCACGAGATTGCTCTCAATGTCCGAGGCAATATCGGCTTGAAAGTCGAGGTCCTTTCTTTCGGCTGCAAAGCTAAGCATTTTCCCAACATCTCTGACAATGACCGAGAGCGAGAACTGCACTTCCTCGATATCGAGTCGCCCAGATTCAACCTTTGAGAGGTCCAAGATGTCGTTGATCACAGTCAGCAAGGCGTTCCCGGATCGATATATATTCTCGGTGATCTCGAGCTGTTCTTCTCCTAACTGCGCATCGAGTAGTAACTCAGCCATCCCGATCACGCCAGTAATCGGTGTCCGAATCTCATGAGACATCTGGCGAGCATTAGTATTGGTTTCATTTTTTTTTGCTTCTGTTAAGAAACTGACATTAGCAAGAAATTGGCTCTTCAGTCTGCTGGCTTCTTTGGCAGCCGCTTCATTGGCTACTAGTTGCCTCTTTTCTAGAACTTGGTCTTGGATGTCCTTTTCTCGGGCCTTCAGCTCTGTAACATCCATGATAAGGCCAATTACGCCCTCAATAACAGTATCGTTTGTATCTTTGACACGGCTGTTTTTGGCAGTAACGGGCCGGAAACGGGTTCGGTACCAACGTCCCTCTGCTCAGGTTTGTCATTAACTTGATAAACAGTTAAAGAAGCGGTTTATTCTTGTTTGGGATGTGCCTACCCATCTCGTGCTCCTGGAAATCCTCGGTCGCCCTCCCAGAAAGGATACAGTCGAGAGGTATTAGGAAAGGAGGCATTTGCCCTTCAGGTAATTGTGAGTTAAGGCGGTTGAAAACATCATAGACGTTTTCCCCGATGTACCAACTGGATCCGTTGTTTTCGCAATTCGAACCCCAGATTAGGGCGCCTTCTAACATGGTGACCTTATAATTGACGTCGATAGTGAACATTGTCATGTGCGAGAGAGCAATGACGCTGAGAAGCTGCTGGCGGATTCTCTTGGCTTCGAGCTTGCTTTCAATACTTTCGTGAACGTCAGTGCAGGTTCCTGTGTTTCGTAAGTAAAGGGTTCATAAGTCGGGTTGGTTTTAGGTCGGCTCACCGAACCACTTCTCGATTTGTCCTGTCTGCTTATTTCTTAATGGTAAAGCCCTGCCCAAAAACCACTTGTAGTTACCGTCTTTGCTACGGCACCGGTACTCTGTCATATAAGGTTCACCAGTTAAGAGAGACTGTCTCCATCTCTTTCGGGCCTCGGGGATGTCGTCGGGATGAAACGGATTCTTCCACCCCAAGCCGAGTGAATCTTCCTCTGAAAGTCCAGTGTAGTTATACCACCTGCTGTTAAAGAAATCATGCGCGCCGTCCGGGGTAGCCGTCCAGACGAGCTGGGGCATTGTGTCACATATGAGTTTGAACCGCTCTTCATCCGCTGCTTTGATGCGACTGATTTCTTCTGTCATGCAGGTCACGTCTCTGCAAGTGACCACACCAGCCAGGAACTCGCCCGTTTGGCTATCCCTGAGCGCTGTCCCCTCAGCCTCATAGACGGCGTTCCGTCCGTCACTGTCGCGCATGCCGATGCGGCGGCCAGTGAAGGGCGTCTCTGTCCGGTTGAGAACAGAAATGGGGTACTCGCTTGGGTCGAGCTGCCTGCTAAAGTCTTCGGTCCAAAGAGCCCAGGATGGAAGGAGTTCAAAGCCATCCAACACCTTGTCAGACTCGGGGGACTTGCTGAACAGATTGCGGGCGGCTCGATTCGGAAGAGTGACACTTCCGTCTTTCCACATTGCTAGAATTGGAGTCTGCGTGCTGTCGAGCAACGTGTCTTTCATCAGTGTAATCTTTTGCAGCACCGAAGGAGTGCTAGATACAGAGGATTTTGATGGAGGCCCGAGGGGCGGGAACGGGCTCGAGGAAAGAGAAACAGCGCTTGGGCTAATCATGAATGAGGAAGAGGCAGAGCCGTGACTCGAGGCCTGCGAAGGAGGGTTAGACAGAGTGATGGCGCACTTTCTGTCAGCGGCATCTACCAGGTGTGATCTGACTACCAGCTCCCTCCCGGCTGGCAAGGAGGTCTGTGCCAAATCGGTATTTGTAAAGGTCAGAGTGAAGAAGGTTTGGCTCTCGCTGATGTTCCAAACCGAGACAATCATTTTAGCATGGGCGTGGAAGTCGGCCGTCTTTGAGCGGGCACGGGTGTCGAATGTAGTCCGGGTGATATCCCTTCGTGATATGACGACCTCGACGACGGCGTTCGGTGATGAGCCGCGTCGAGTCGTCTTGTCTGACTGGTGGATATAACCGTCGGCGACCGTCGGGACCGGGGTGGCGTCCCCGTCCGCGTGCTCTGAGCCGCTTCTGCTGTCCATGCCCGTCTCATGACTAATCTCGGTGGCAACCTGTTCGAGGAACTGTTCCCAGTCGACCCATACAGGAACTTTGTCCTGCACCAAATCAATGCCAACCTGCGACAATGACTGGCCCCGAAGCTGGTCCATGACGGAGACCATGCCGTCCATCTCCTGCTCCCCATCCGGGGCCATGCCTAGAAGCCTTCCCATGGCGGCGTTGGCAAGGACAACCGTTTTCCAGCCGTCAAGGACGAGCACTGGCACCGGGAGAAACTGCATGGCCGAGAATGCGAGCTGCCCAGGCGTGATATCGGGCATAGTTAGACGGAAGGGGCTTGTTGACTGCGACCTAGGGGCGCCCGGGGGAAGTGCCGGTGCGTCTCGGACGAAACGATTCCCTCCCGGCGAAGCCATGCTGCTATTATCAAGGTCAGTGGCAGGTCCTGATGGCTGGCGCATGCGGTCGTGGTTGCTATCATGGAGACCTAACCGCAGCTCGTGGTGCGGGAGGCGGCGACGCGGCGGTGCGACGGGGTCGGCTACGGCGGCATCGTCGCTATGGGAGGAGGAATCGTCTGGCGACATGTCGCCGTTTGGAGATCATGGGCGACGCTGGAGGCTCGCTCATAAGCAGGTTGCCGTTGCTGAGTAAGTGCGCGCTGGGTGGGCGGCAGGTATTGGATGATGGGCGTGCACCGAGGGGGAGGGGGACTGTGGAATCGGGCAAAGCTAAAGTAGAGGGAGACGGGAACTTGGAACTTGGTAAGTCGTCTTCCTCAGCTATCCGCACAATCTCCTTGGCTGCACAACATTGCAGCTACGGGACGGACGAGTGGCAGCGACAGAGACAGAGACAAGCAATATGAGGTAGAGGAGATAGAGGGCAGACGGATTCCTAGCAGGTACCATGAAGTTCCATGGACTAACGGATCTTGTTGTTGGACTGTGGGCCGGCAGTGTGATGGTGCACTTCTTCTAGGACACAAGCCTATCTTTAGGTTTGAGCTGGCCGCGACTCCGGTGACTCGGACTCGCAAAAGCAAAGGGGCTAGACTAAAAGGCGAGACGAACTCTTCGCGCGGCGGCTAAGGTAAGGGGGTGCCTTAAATATTAAACTTGAAGCAAGTGGATTTGAGAGTCGAATGGGTGTTTCCATTCACAGCCTATACGATGGAATGTCTGCTTCGAGTTTCTTGGTTTGGACGGTAGTAGTCTAGTAGCTTCGAGCTGTGAAGACGTTCCGAGTCTCACTTTCCAAATCCGTCCAAGTACGCAAGGGCGTCGCTCAAGTTTGGGAAGGAACACCTTGAAGTGTAAATAAGGTGCTAGCTAGTCCTAGTGGACATAGTAGCAGGGGGGATGTGGAAAGTTTGAGCAGGCAAGGTAAGTCACGACGGGTGTGTGATGATTACCACACTGCATATGGACCCACCTGACTGGTCTGGGAGGTCGGGAAAGCTGTATCACCCATTGGCTGAACAAAGGGTCGAGAGTAGACGACGGGGCTGCCAGTTCTTTTAGGTTTGGGGCTCCAAGGGCGTTATGACCTTTATTCTCATCGGAGCTCCTGACAACCGAGCTAGGCCCGGCAAGGGCTGGCGAGGCCAGTGCGAGGTAATGAGAGGACAGACAACGATGGAAGTGGAAATCACCGACACATACACCCTGCGAGATGAGGTCATTCCCTGATATTTCTTTTTTAGTGTACGACACAAGAGAAGACGGCCCTCAGCTGATGCGTGTGCCTAGCCATTGAACTCGTTTGCCTCGTTTTCTGATCCCCTCAGCTCAGAGAATTATTGCCCAGGCAGTCCGACGAGTGTTATTGCCATGTGACGACATCGATCCTAATCAGGGTTGTTGGTAAAAGGAGGGCGAATCTGAGGCCAGCTGACACCAGCCGTGACCAGCTGGAGAGCCTGATTGCCACCGCCAAGGCCCCGTCCCAATGGAGGAGGTACGGAGGACCTGAGGGATGTACGGAGGATAAAGTTCTCTCTTTCGTAGTTCTGTTCTCATTCAACAACACCTAAAATTGTGAGATGCTCAAAATGGCATCAAACCCGCCGAAACGAAAGCTAATCAAGGGACCGCTAAGACTACCTCAGCGCAAGCTCGCCGCTCCCTCGTACACCCAAGCTCCCGTCTCGAAGAACGAGATATCCATTGACACGCCTGGAACCAAGCGAGGTATAGCATGCAGTGCCCGGCTACCTTATCCAATCCGCCTCAGCCAATCTCGATGCTTACACGAAGGGCGAACGCAGTCGAGTTCAGAGAGGTTTCTTTAACTTCGCTTCCACAGCCATTCGTGAACCCGGTTGATGCCTTTGGGTATTCCAAGCCTCACACCTCATGAGTGCACGGCTGCAGACCAAATCCAATCTGCAAGTTCCGCCGCCCTCTCTGGGATGGTATCGATATCGCGACCTTGCATATAGCAAAGGAAGATATAGCTACATGCTACAACCAACTGTTACCTTGCTTGCTTTGTCCTCTGCGCTATATTGAAAGCGACAGGTGTCCACACTGGCCTGACCAGGCCAGACTGCCCCGAATGCCAACACGACGTTTACGGCACCAAGGACTGACAGCTGCTGTTCACCCGGCCCAAATACCCACCCAGTCCTACACCCCTCACCTAGGTAGGCATAAATATTCTTGGCATTCTTGAAGCCGGCGGCGTGTGAAAGGTTTGGCCTGGACTGCATGGCAGATGCCGATTTCCTTCTCCGCTTCTCCAAATACCCACGCGAAGGCCCCGCACGGGGAGACGGTGCCACGATGTTGCGGGGGAGTTTCAGGGGCTAACAGTTGACAGAGCTGCCGTCTGCCATCTACCCACGTCTTCGTACTGTTTGTCCACCGATTTATAACTCTGGTGCTAGGGTTGCAGATCCAGGCGTCTAGGGCTCATGTGATTTTTTTTTAATCCGGACGGGGAAGCACTCGGCAGTAGTCCAGTGCGAGATGGCTCCCCTATTACCCACCCCTCCGGCATAGTCGGTAGCTTCCATGGACCCAACCTGGCCCCAACCAACTCGGACTCACCCCCCCACTTTGTTGATAACCTGGACGTTTCACTTTACCTTCCTACATGAGTGCCCTGTCTACTTTGTAGACTCTTCTCCTTGTTTCTTCGTCAACTCGTCTCAACTTTGTTGTTCATGCCTCGGTTGTTTGATACCCCCTACTCGCCGTATCCACCTCTCCTAGACCTCGCCAAGAACCTTCTAGAAACAAAACACCATGGGCGACATTCCGGACAGAGCCGCCCCGGCGGTTGTGACTGGGGGTTACTCGGTTCCTTTCTTTATCAACGGCGAGGAAGTTCACCCGCAGACCAAGTTCCAGATCACATCGCCTAGAACTGGCGAGGTCGTCCACCACTGTGGCAGCGCAACCGATGTCGAGGTTTCGGCTGCCGTGGATGCAGCGGCAAATGCTTTCAAGACGTGGAAGAACACCCTCCCACGGGAACGCCGCGACATTTTCCTGAAGGCCGCCGATATCCTCGAGAGGAGAAAAGAGGAACTTGGCGATTATCTTATAGAGGAAACGGGCTCCCCGCGGCAGTGGGCCGACTTCAACATTGGCGTGACAAAGGAATTCCTCATCGACGTGGCAGGTAGGCTCTCCTCGCTGGAAGGGTCCATCCCCACGACAGAGGACCCGACTGTCGGCGCCATGGTGGTGAGGGAACCGTTTGGTGTCATCCTCGCCATCGCCCCCTGGTAGGTTCAGTCGTGCCAGAGCTTGGCAGAACCACCCAGGCTGATTATTTGCAGGAATGCCCCCTATATCCTTGGCATGCGCTCAGTGCTGTTCCCGATAGCAGCGGGCAACACGGCCATTCTGAAGGGATCTGAAGCCTGCCCGCGAACCATGTGGGGGCTCTGCTCGGTGTTCCACGAGGCGGGCCTGCCGGCCGGAGTCTTGAATCTGATTGTGCACGAGCCGGCGAATGCGGCGTCCATAACCCAGAGGCTAATTGCGGACCCCAACATCAAGAAGATAAACTTCACTGGCAGCACGGCAGTCGGGCGCATTATTGGCAAGCTGGCGGCCGAGCACCTGAAGCCAGTGCTCCTTGAGCTCGGAGGCAAGGCGCCGGCCATTGTTTGGGAAGATGCTGATCTGGAGAATGCGGCGGTGCAGTGTGCTCTGGGAGCGTTCCTCAACTCGGGCCAGATCTGCATGTCGACCGAGCGCATCCTCATCCACAAGAACATCCGTGCCGAGTTCGAAAAGAAGTTTGTCAGTGCCATCGACCACATCTTTGGCTCGGAGCTGCCCGTCTTGATCAACAGTCTCGCCGTAGAGAAGAACAAGAAGCTGGTCCAGGACGCCGTTGGCAAAGGTGCCTCGCTCCTCTATGGAGACGTGAGCGCCGAGGAAGCCACCAAGACGCAAATGCGCCACTTCGTCGTCAGCGGTGTCAGCCCGGACATGGACATGTATAAGACGGAGAGCTTCGGGCCGACTGTGTCGCTGATCGAGATCAAGAGCGAGGAGGAGGCGTTGCGGATCGCCAACGACACCGAGTACGGCCTGTCGTCGGCCGTGTTCACCGAGGACTTGAGAAGGGGGCTGCGGTTCGCCAAGAGGATTGAATCGGGGGCGGTGCACATCAACAGTATGACGGTCCATGACGAGACCGCCCTGCCACATGGCGGCGCCAAGGCGTCGGGGTACGGGAGATTCAACCAATCTCACGGCATGAACGAGTGGGTGAGAACCAAGACCATTACTTACAAGTACTAACTAGGCCAGACGCTGCTGGAAATATATTGTGTCGTCGTTGTTGTTACCCGTATATTTCTTGCCTTTTTTAAACGATTCTTTTACACAAGTACGAATACATATCTTCTCTCATAAGCGTTTGTTGACGCCTTCGGATTTGGACTTTGATGTCCCACCACTTTCTGAGGCGACCGGGCTTTCCCAGGATTCAGGACACCTGATGCAGTCGGGTGCCTGCTCCGCTTCTGCTGGCGAGCAGAACAGCCAGTCGAGTATCGCCGAGCAACAAGCGGTCACTCCAGACACCTCATTCAGTGGGGCAGCAAGGAGGAGGAACTTGGCGGACGGATAGTTAGGATTTCTATTCTATAATGGATTTACTGCGTGATGGCTGCCGCCTTGCGACCCTGCTCTCGCCTTAGCATGAATGCCTGACCGCACCCCTCATTAGCTGATGGAGTTGTGAGTATGTGGCGAGGCGAATGAGACGCCTCAGGGCCCGAACCCAACAAAATCGCGTTTGCCACTGCCTACAGTACAAAGACTTTTCACTCCAATCGCACGACGAAATTGCGAGATTGCGACACGCTCTTGTAGAGGAGCAACACAGGTGGAAGTAAGGGGAAGACGAATTCAAGAAGGGCCTTTAATCCGTCGCAGAAAGCCTTTCGATGTGTTTTGGTGATACTCTGCTAAGTGGCTTGGGATCATCAGTGAGCAGCTCGACGCACATACGATGACGGAGCAGTATGCACCGGGAAGTCTGCTCAGCGTTGCTCAGCTGGCTGTCCGCCCGCTAGGCGCAGAAGCGGAACCGGCATCTGACTGCATCTCATTAAGCCCCAGCGGCGCTTACGCGCTTAAGCACCCCACATGTGACCATCACCAACGTGAACCTGGAAGTGGGCCCTTCGCGCTTCTTACTATGTACACCTCTTCAGTGGGGTGGCAAAGAGGAGGAAGGGATAATAAGGCTGGAAGTTGACGGACGGATAGTATAGAATTCCATTCCACAGTACTATAGTTACAGAACGTGTTCAGACCTGCGCAGAAGATGGAAAATTGTTGACCAGTCTACAGTGAGTATACAGTCGGAGCTCGTGGGACTGAAGCTGCCGAAGGAAGAAGCTCACCGTGTTGGCATGGCGGTGGAATACAGTCTTCCCAATCCTCCGCCTTGAGTCCAAAAAAAACCGAGCTCGCGTGGACTCACCTCGTTGTACAGTTTCTATTCGTCCCTCCAGTCGAACGCGTTCCACAACAGAAGCTCAAAGTATAGAGGGAAAACCTCAGCAAACTCCTAGTCTATTATCCTGACGATTTGAAATGTATCAGGACAAACAAATATGTTTTGGGGTCCGAGATCGTTATGACAGAGGCAAAAGCAATCGGTTGCTGATGATATTCGTCCCCAAGGCCGTCGGTTACGGTCGTACACCCGCTGAGGCGGGAACACCAGAATAGAAGGGTCGACGCTCCCAATGTATTTTCGACGCAGCGAACGAAGTTGTGGCAGGATAAAGGGGTTTATCTGTTTGCCGACGGCTGCGGCCGCGGCGGATCGAAATTCTCCACTTATACCTTTCAGAAGAACTCCATTCGTTATTCGTTTCGACTCGAGGTGGAGAAGCCCGTCCTTGCTGTAAAGTTGGTATTGTGGAACAGGTATGGTCGTATTCAAAGCGATGAATTGGACAGTTGCAGCCTCGTTTCGGAGCAGTTCTTTCGCCCAGAAAGGTCGGAGAACATCATTGTTTGGACGACGTATCGGCTCCTACTCACTAAGCTCCCTCTTGATAACCATATCCAGCCCAATGATCACGCAGCGCTCCCAAATCTTCCAGGTCGTCTTCTATTGAGCGCCAACATCTCTTTTTGTATCCATACTGGATTCTGGCGCGCAAGACTGCGGCGACGGTTCGCACCAGGCTGCTTGCTCGACACTGCAAACCTGCTTCTGCTGAGAGTTGGCAAAAATGTTCCGCCTGAGTTGTGACAACGGTGATTGATGGTTGTTGACGAAGGATCTGCGGCGTCCTGGAGGGTCGATGTGTCATGCGATTCCGACGGAGACACGGTAGGAATACCACGTGACAGTATCAACCAAAATACCACTGCTTCTGCTTACAAAAAAATCCGTCCCGGGCAAACTACCCACATGCGGCAGAGAAACTCCTTCGAAAGTTCTCCATCATGCTGCCTCTTCTTGCCGTTAGTAATAGCATTTTAAGAGGCGATTTATCTCACCATTCTCCCGAAACCTGGCAAGGAATACCAACTCCTTATTCCTAGGCGTGTGCTTTTCAGCAGACGGGCCGCACGCAGTCCGCGTAGCCGCACACTGAAAAAGGTAGTGCGTTGCAGGTAGGGCACTTCCCTTTCCAGGGATGTTTTCGTGCGACAATAGTAACATTGAGAGGTAGGCATCTTGAGTAGTTGTGAGTGATGAAAAAGTGGTATTAGGACAAAAGGTTTGGGTTTTGAGAGACGGTATTGTGACGTAGTCTCTGTTACAGACTATCGTTTGTTACGGCAGGCATAGGGAAGCTCCGGCCTCGCTCCGAAATCACCTAGTCCTTTCCCCTCCGGGAATATATGTATGTACAATACATACGTAACTACTTTTTTTTTAGGCGGGGGCCCGCTTTGCGGCGGCGAAACTCAAACTGCAATGACACTTTGATCATTTTCCGTCGCGAGCAAACAGTAAATACGGCAAACACCTATCGTCGCTGCTACAACAACTCCTACACATCACACAGCCAGGCCTTCCCCTCGCACAATTCTGTGTAGCGGTGGATTAGACGAGATTCCCGGCACGGAACGAAGGGGAACCCCGGGGGTATCCGCATTCCGTACCTTTTTCCCGCTCTCCCTTTCTTGCTGCAGGATCGATTCGGCTTTGCGATCTTCTATTGCCGAGAAGCAATGAGATAAAACTGATCAACAAATACGCCGCCCACTAGCCACTCTCCGCAAAAATGGCTCCCTTTGGGCCAAGAAGCACAGAGCCCTCAGACGCCCAAAACCACGAAAGAATAGCCCACGACGGCCATGGCGACGGCCATGGCTCCTCTCTTGGCGCGATACCGAGTGCTTTGCGCCACGTCAATGACGAGCCTCTACCCGACCCCCTCGAAATCACGGCCGCCCAGAAGATGCTCTCGGCGACGTCGGGCAGTTTATTGACGGGCTTGCTAGGTGAGCTCGTCTCTTGCGTATCTCTCGCTGCGACTTCGGTATGCTAACCCGCGAAAAACTCTAGTTACGCCTCTCGATGTCGTGCGTGTTAGGTGGCAATCGCAGAGCATTTCGACCGTCGCTCCTGCGCCGCTCCCGGCTGACTTCCAACGCCTCGCCCTGTCGACTCCAAGCGCCTTCCGACCGTCAAATCTAGGCGTGACGGCATGCTGCCGCGAGGTCTTCTTCATGAATAACACGACTGAGGCATGCCTCGCCGGCCCGCGCATCGGCCCCGGCATCGTCCACAACAGCGGCGGAGTAGAATGCGCCGTGGAACAGACGCGGCAGCGGGCCTTCACCTCGACCATCGACGGCCTGCGCAAGATCGCGCGCAACGAAGGTCTCACAACCCTGTGGCGTGGCCTGTCGCCGACGCTGATAATGGCGGTGCCGGCCAATATCATCTACTTCACGGGCTACGACTGGCTGCGATATAACACGCGGAGTCCCATCCAGCGGGCCGCTGTCCGGGACGAATACGCGCCTTTGGTGGGGGGCGCCCTCTCGCGCGTGCTCGCCGCCACGGCCGTCGGCCCTATCGAGCTGTTCCGCACTCGTATGCAGGCCTCCTCGTCCGGCTCGTCCACGGGCAACCACTTGGCCGACACGTTCCGCGACATCAAGCAGATGGTGGGCCTGCAAGGCTACTCGGCGCTGTGGCGGGGCCTGACGCTCACCCTGTGGCGCGACGTGCCCTTCTCGGGCATGTATTGGTGGGGGTACGAGATGATCCGGGGCAAGCTGACCGACGCGCGGGAGCCCTCCAAGAGGGCTAGCAGCGACCCGTTGGATCTGGATGTCGCCAGCAACACCACCATCAGCCGCCAGGCCCGAAGCAGGGCCAGGCGCAACTCGCAGAGCCGCGAGAACCACGCCGAGACCTTCACCGACAGCTTCATCGCCGGCGCCCTGTCGGGCGCCTTTGCCAGCGTCGCCACCATGCCCTTCGACGTTGGCAAGACGCGCACCCAGGTCTTCCGCGACACGGGGTCCGCCGCCGCCGCCGCCGTGCCCGAGGAGAGGAGCATGGCCCGCCTGCTATGGCATATCTTCTCGACCGAGGGCGCGGCCGGGCTGTTCAAGGGCTGGATTCCTCGAACCCTCAAAGTGGCTCCCGCCTGTGCCATCATGATCAGCAGCTACGAGGTCGGCAAGCGCGCCTTCAGGGGCGTTAATGAGCGGTCCTTGCTAAAGAACGAGCGCGAGCCTTAGTTTCTGCTTGGCCCCCGGAGGCTCTTGATCTTCACCAGTAGAAGATAATAATCCTCTTCTTTCCATTTTGCATTTGGTATTTTTTTCATCCTTTTTTCTCTTTCTGTACTTTAAATACACAACAGGGCAGCATGTTTGGCGTTTCTTATTCATTTTCACGGGGAGACCTCCAGGAGAACCACGCATACATAGATAGATAAAAGGGGGGCGGCCGGCGCCGCGGTTTTATGATCTCCCCTCTCCTCTCTCCATATTTTTTGAGCCTCTCGGCTTCCCATTGGTGCGGAATTGCTCGGGCAAGAAAATAAGTTTCCATTGTTTTTTTTGCTCGGGTTTTGTGTGTTTTCCTGAGCCTTTCTCGTTTAAAAGAAAACCTCTGTCCGGCGTGGGGCTGGTCGGGATGGCTACCGAACGGCGATGGAATTAGGTTGCGGAACTAAAGGAGAGACAAAAAGGAGAAACTGGGAGAGGTTCTTGGGCTGGTAACCTGGCTTGTCTGCCGTGGCATTGCACTTAAAAGGCGCCGAAGAGAGATAGTCCAAGTACAAATGCGTATATATTTACCTCCTATTGTTATAGTTTGGTTTTATGACAATAGATACCTACCTGACTGAAAGAAAGGCATTAGTAAGTCTACATAGTCTCTTCTGCTCATTTCCTCACCCAAATGTAGTGGTGTTTTGGGCAGTTATAGACGCTAAATAGCATGGTTGTATTTATCCATTTATCTTTGTGTCGCTGTACTCGACAGATTACTCAACAAACAAGCTGGCAGTGAAATTGCCGCAACATTATAGTTGAATTTGAACAGGAATGCCAAATCCATACGGTAGCTTGCCAAGATAGCTCCTCTGTCCCATTCCTCTGGATATTCTCTACTCGCCTGCCAAAGATGGCTACGGTAGGTAATTTCTATAGATTTCTTGTTGGACAGCATCAGTTCTTCCCGCTAGCCTGTCTAGTATTCCAAACACAGTTACCTACCTACCTAGGTCCCTAGGCAAACACTCCTCAGTGGTAAAGCCTCGGCATGGAGCGCTGTCAGCAACCATGCGAGAGGGTGAATGGGACGGGAGCAGGATTCCACGGTCCATGCGGGCCAAGGACGACAACTGTAAACAAAAATAGATCAACAAATAGTGCTCCAGTCTCTAGAAAGCGGATAAGTAGCGTACGCAAATTAGATGGAACTAAAATAGAAAATATATTTTATTGCGCTGTACGACTTGTTTTGGGGTCTGCCTGCTTGCTAATATTCCCGGGACAACAACAGCTGTTCTAAGAATGGTATCATCGGGGGGTTGGGGCTGAGAAACGATAGAAAAGCACAGAGTGACGATAAAGAAAAAAACCAAGAAACCCCGAAAGCCTCGCAAAACCCATGAACAGAATTAGTCGAAGATAAGGGGAGCAATGGTATATTACTAGGTCGACCGAGAAAGCGTGACCCATTAAGCAAGGGGTGGATTTTCCACATCAGAAAACAGGCAGGAAAAGGGAAGAGAAACTCAACCGGTAACTAGAGCGAAAAGTAAATGTCTTGGTTTTGTGTGTTCAGTCTTGGGTTTTTACTCCTTCGTCGATCGCCAGCATCGGCGGGGCCTTCCCGCACTGATGCAATTGCATCGCAACTAGCGACGGACAACGGGCGACGGGCTGCCAGGTCCGTTGAATCCTTCCGTATTACCAGTCAAGACGGCGACTCGGGCCTTGATGCGGGCGACGCGGGATTCGATTGCTAGAACGTGATGTGTTAACCCGGCCGAAACAGCCATTGGTGGATACGCGGTTCTCGACTTACTCTCTTCTCCGCTCGTATCATCGTCCCCATCGGCAGTCTTGATGAGCCCTCCAGGCGCCCGTTCTTCGGCTTGGCCAGGCTGACGCTGAGCAGCTAGCTCCGCGGCATTTTTGCGAATCTGCGCCCACCTATTCTGCGGATCGACCTTGCGGGGCGCTGGCGCTTGCTCAGCTAGGTCTTCTTCAGGCTGCGGCGGCTGTATCGGAGATCTAGACGCATGTCTTGCGATAGGAGGCGGCACCGCGTCATCATCATCACTATCGGCATCGGGAACGAAGGCGGGCTGGTCTAGGAGCGGGCCTTGGTTGAACTGAGAGAATGCTTCCTCGGCTGCAGCAGCATCGGCCGTGTTGACGCGCGAAACATCTTCGTGCACAGACGGCTCGTAGATCGGTTCCATCTCAAGCTCGGGAGCAGGCGCTGCTTCGACGCTGAGAACAGGCTCCGGCACGAAGGGGTCCTCCACCGGCGCCGCGAACCGAGCTTCTTGCTGTGTAGCGGTTTTCTCGGGCACCGCCGGTCTCTCTGCAGTCTGCAGCTGAGCCGCAGGAGCGAGAACGGGGTGGGCCTCAACTTCCGCGGCGGCCACGGACTGAAGTTGCTGGGCGGCATTTTCCGGAAGTTTGGACTGCCTGTTCTTACTGCGGCCGAACAGTTTTCTAAACGCACCGCCCCCACCAGCAGAAGCAGAAGCAGCAATACCTCCCTTCCCCATATCTTTATGAAGCTTCCTTTGCTTCTTACTATCGGGGCTGAGATCGGGCTCTGAAGAGATCATGGTCTCCTGTGCTAGCTCGATGCTTTCGGGCTCCTTTGGCGGAGGCACCGGAGTGGTATGGGATGCGTCGGATACTCGCTCAATAGGATGCACATCCTTAGGTGCCTCTAACGCTTTTTCAATTAGCTTCGGCGGCTCTGGCTCGGGAGTCTCGATGTGTTGAATAGGCGTAGGCGGCGCCGGCGCGACAACTGCGGAACTCTGCGAGAGCGGAGAGGGCGATTTGGGCGGCAGCTCAGGCGGCCGATCGTAGCCGTTTGTCGTCGGGGTGGCATTGCTATTTGTATGCGCAGGTGCGGCCACGCCGCCGCGGCCAGCTTGGGCGTTCGACAAATAGGCCTCTCGTATCGCATCTTTGTCGTACTTGTTAGCCCACTTAACAGCGGGAGACGCTTCGCTTAGGAAGGCAGCCGACTGAAGCGTGAGGACACTGTTAGTCTTCTCCGACATCAACTCCGAGTCGTCCCTCCCCCGTCGCTGCTGAACCTGCTGCTGGTTCTTTTGCTTCTCGAGCATCTGGAGCTGCAGAGCTGCAGCCTGGATCTTGGCCTGCTGATCCGGTCCAATACTGGTCTTACTATAACCCATGGTACTACTAGACTTCAGGTTGTGCTCGCCCCTGTCGAGGGCGTTCTTGCCCGTCGACTTCCTCCTGCTGATCTTACCCCGGCGAGTCCAGCTAAAGAAGCCTTTCTTTTCTGCAATATATGCGCCCTCTTGGGGATCTGGAGCCGCGCCTTTGACAATCTCCTCCATCACTAGGAAACGGCCGGTTCGGATCACCGTCTCGACCACCGCACACCGACCAAAAGTCGCCTTTCTCTCCGGTGTCTCTTCGGGCGCCAGACTGCTCATCCAAACCCACCAAAAGGCGTCGTCAAGATCGAACCTCACAATACTTGCCAGCTCGCCGGGCTCGAGGTAATTATCCGACTCCAGTCTCGGCTTGTGCGACTGGGAGCTGCGCTGCCGAACCGTGGTCTCAATTGGCGGGAGAACCTTGTCTGGGGGCAGTAAGTGGTTCGATGCACTGGTTGTCCGGTCGTCCACGAACCCCGAAGAAAGGAAGTCTGCCCATGACGGCGTGGTTGGCCGCCCCAGGTCTGTAGTTCCAGACGCTGCTGTGGTTCGCAAGCCCTGTCGCCGAGCTGAAGCAACTTGTGGATTGTCCTCCTCGTCCTCTTCTTCAAGTGCGCTTGTAAAGCCAATATCCTCAAAGCGAGACCAAGAGGCATCGCGGAGGCTGGTCGAGTGTTTTGAGCTGGAAACAGCTTGTGACTGGTTTGCGGCAGAGACCGCCCTAAGGACTCTGCGGCATTCTTCTGTCAAAGCCTTCAATGGATCCTCATACTCTGACCACTCTCGGAGTGCCCTGTCTTCGTCATGGTACTGGAAGTTTTTAGCTCGCCGAAGAAGAGCGAATGGCGTAGGCGACACCGTATCAACAATCATGGATACCCTGTTGGTTGAGGATTGCATGAGGGCAGGTCGTTCTGGCGGGTACTCAGTTTCCTGGAGCAGCTTCTGGAGGGACATGGGCAAGAGTGAAATCCCTCCCCGAGTCTGGTGCTGAGGCGCCAGAGACCGCAGGTATGCGAAAAACAAATGGCTTGTGGCATCGGCAGCGCTGTCATATGGTAGTTAGCAACCAACGTGCACGTCCAAAGCAAGAAAATAAGGGGGCAACCACTTACTTTAGCCATGCCTTGTACCCACCCTCAAAGCCATTGCCGTTATCTTTCTGCTCGAAGGCCCACCACGCGGCCATCCTCGAGAGCTTACGTCCGCCAAAGCCGTTCGTCTTGCCATGGGCCCCAATCGCCGCGAGGAGGTCGAAAAAGGCGAAGATGATCTCCTTTCGCGACTCGTTGTCGACACTCAATGGAATGAACGTCTTGAACGAATCTCTGGCCATGTTCGAGTCTGCAAGTGGCAACATGTCAATAGTATCCCAGCAGGATGGATTTCTCGTCATACCTTGCTCTCCGACTTTGAAGAGTTCATACGAATCCCACCCGACTACACCGCCCTGAAGCCTGGACCAGCACCATTTGATCGCTCCAGAAATGACCTACAACATTGTCAGCTTCCCAAGTTCGGCGTGCGCGGGGCGAGATCAGTCATTTATCGTACCATTGGCTCGGTCATCCGTAGCTCTTGGGCAAGAGCCTCTCCGCGGAGAAGCTGGTAGCCATCCTTGCCATCGAAAAAGTGTCGGACAAATGTACGCACGGCGCTGGGGTCGGACGTCGGGCGGAAAGGAAGCAGTAAGAATGGAAGATCGAGAGCTGCAAAGACGGGAGTTAACTACCACCAATGTCGCACAAAACGCCACTGGTGCCGATTGCAGAGGCACTGTATCGGCACGGCGGCGGCGGGATTGATGTCATACCTCTAGCTTTGAGCTCTTCTGTGCAAAGCTTGACCAATTCCTCAATCTCTTCTGGTTCTACGGTCTTCCTTGTCCAGGCATCCTCCCATCGCGGTTTTGGTGGCAAGTCGGCGAGCTGATCCAAGCGACCGTTTTTCTTGGACTTCTTGGAGGAGCTGTCTTTGCCCTTGAAGCGAGAGAAGAGACTCGGCATCGTCGTTTGGTGGGGATTTTGCGAGAATCAGGTGTGGAATGCGAGCCGAGACATTCGAGAACGCGAAAGAAGACCAAAAATTGTCGCAGTAAATTGGCTGCGGCGAGATCGCTAAGTGGAAAATGAAACAGCGGACGCGATGACGAGCTGCGGCCACGAGAGGACAAAAAAAAGAATTTCTTGGCGCGGCCTGCTGCGAGAAATCGGCGTTCGACGGCGAAGACGGAGCACTAACGAGAGTAGGATAGAAATCAAGTCCCAGTACAAGGTGACTGGGCGGACGAAAGACAATCAAGGGTATCAAATAACGAACAAATCGGCTGCTGGGAGTGAATGGGATGAGAAAAGAAGGGTGGGAAAAAGTTGGTGATGCCTCTGGGCGTCGAGAAGCTCTTCAGGGGCTCACGATCGCGGTCTGGTTGAGTAGCGCAGGAAATTGCTCTAATGGCTGGAGCAGCTCTGATTCAAGGCACATGTATCTTTTTGCAGGGACCGGCCGCATAAGGCGACTTTAGGACCAGGGGGGTTGTCAGACCAATTTGGGAATGGTCCATGCGTCTTGAAGAGGCTTGCTAGCGATTTCCCTGGCAGCAGCGCTCAGGAACAGCGCATTGGGTAAGAAGGCGGCTTGGGAGCTATAAGTTTTTAAATGAAGGCTGATGAGATGGGCGCGAAATGGTCCCGGCGACGAAAAAGAAGAAAAGAGAGCGGCACCTGGAAAGGCTGGCCAACCCACTCTCTTCACTCACTCACTTCCTTCCAAGCCTCGACGAACACGCCTAACGACGAGAATCTAGGGACGAAAAAGATAATACTTACCAATCGGTGTCTCTACTCTGCTGCCGGGCAAGTGTTTTCCGATGGATGGGCCGGGGCTTAGAGATGTGCCATCCATGTTCATGGAATGGACCCTGGATGGAGGTTCCCGTCTTGGGCACTGGGCAAAGTCGTTCCTGCCTGACTGTGAGACTCTGGCGAACGGCAAGAGAGGACCCGTCGACGTTTCGTCTTCTCCCCAGTTCCCCACAGTGGACTAATACCTCAGGTGTACGGATACTTTCTGCCCAATCCGATTAGAGCTTGTGGTTTTCTCGTCTGTAAGTCTTCCTTGGTGTATCCGTACTCCGCAGCCTAGGGACACGACGACACAGCCTCCCGTTCTCCATTAATGGCCAGATTGCCGCACGGTACTGGGCCTATATGCCTACGCAGGTATACTCCGTAGCCACTTTATTTGACGACGCCCAGCTCGCACGCAGCTAGAGACGACGGCATTCGGCTTTTCGCTCAGGCCATGGCGATGGAAGCTGAGGTGCCGTCATATTCGCGGGCCCGGCCGGTGCACTTTAACCTCGTTACTTCAGCACAACAGTGATTGACAGTAACGCAGAGCAGCTGATATTGACGAGTCAACGCCAGACCGCCCCCCACGGATACCAGCAACCCCTGTCGGGCATGCATTCTTTCCATCCCTCCTGACTCGCACTGCGGGTTTGGAGGGAAGGATGCTGTAAGTAGGAGGGCATACGTAAGGTGAGGCAGCTTCAGCCGGAACAGCTTAGTTGCAAGCTGGCGTGCCTGGCGAGCTCTCAAGCGGGGTCAAGCTAGAACTCGTCCTTGCAGCGTACCTTAGGTCCATTGGAACCCCTCTCGTCACTCCTCGATATGACGGCCCAATGCGCTCCCTCCATGCATGCCTGTCGGTGCCAACTCATCGATCTAGCAAGGAAAAAAATCCGCGACAACCTGGTCAGCCCAACAGCCAGCGAAGCCGATCATGACCATGCCAGCACGGCCATTGGTCACGGACTCGCCCGTCCGTTCTAGTCTGCGTCTGAGTTGGCATGTCGTTCCTTGCTGAACCACACGCGGATCGGATCGAGTGGAGCCTTGCCCCAAGAAAAGAGCCTCCGACTTTCTTGGTGCCTTGCTGCACGCTGCGCTGTCATTCGGCATTGCCCACCTCAGTCATGGCCAAACATGACGACTGGTTGTTCTCGCGCAGCCGGCCAGCCCAGAACGAACGGAACGCATTGCGTGGAGATAACGGCTACCGACATCCGCCTCGAATTGGCTGACGTGACGGTCGGTACCTTGTCTGGGGCAGGAAAGGTGCATCCAAATTCCAAGAGCTGTTACTTCGTGCCCGTCCCGATTTCGCCTTCCGCCCGAGCCCCTCGAATCCCATTCGACGCCGCGTCGCGGTACCATCCAGAGCGTGGCCGCATTGATGCTGGGCCACCCCTGGACCTTGCATGTAGTCGAGGTTTCTTCTGCCGGCTGCCAGGCGAGCAAACTTCTGCTGGACCTGCGTTGCGTTGGGCTGGTTCTGTGAGTCCAGTCCTCGACGGCCGTCCGTGTTTCGAAAGCACTGAGCAGCCGGAAGACCTGTCGAGCATGCGAATCATAAGAGGCTGCTGTTAAACACCACACAGAAATTAGCGCGCCCTCGAGCTCACCAAGGACCCAACCGGCATTTATCTCGTCAGCGTCAATTGGCCTTTTGAGAACCCGCCGAGATGGTAACTTCTCCGCAAGTGCGCATTTCTCCGCCTAGATATGCCCCCGTCCGATGCGGCTAGGCACGCCGCGCTCTGGATCGCGCAGCTTGCCGATAGATGCTGCGAATGATTGAGCCCGCCAAATGCGGGCATGACGGGCGGGCGGGCGGGGCTTGTCGCGAAGACCCTTGATCGCCATTCGCCCGCCAATCAGCGCTCGCCGTCAACTGGGTCTCTTTCCCGTCTCGGAAGCGGCTTTTGGGTTTAGACTTCACAAACACGGAATATACTTCCCTGTCAAAAGTCGTAAACGCACTTATACTTGGGGTAGGTATTTATTAAGACTGCTTTTACTTCATACTTTGATGTCCGGTTGCCCAAATCATATTATTCATTCATTTATTTGCCTGTTTATTCCGTCAGATTCATGCTTGCTATTGTGATGTGTCTAATGGTTTAAGGTTATCTTGTCAATAGTTCCTCGTTGCACCACATAACAGGAGCGGGCTTTCTCTCGAGACCGAACCCTTTTTCCCCATCCCCATTTTCTCACTGGCATCGTCATTTATTCTTGGAGCACTCGTACGACTTGACTTACAGGAGCTTTCTTGATGATGTCACGGTTGCGGCCCACCAAAGTCTAAGTCTTACCACCACGCTCGCCAGTATCTCAATTCATGAAACGAAGGAAGGCGAAGTACGTATTGTGGAAAAGTCCCGATACTCCCCAAAAACACCTTAAGAGGAGCATGTCACGGCAACCCAAGGATGACCCTTTTCTCGTAACTCGGTGCTTGGTTCGCGGTCGACTCTGTGCATGGCATGACCCGAGTTCACGTTTCTGACTGAGGTGGCGTGTGCTCCCCTGAAATCCGTCCTCGTCGGGCAAAGCAGACGACGAAAGGACATGGGGAGGGAGCAACCAAAAAAAAAGGGAGGTGCGCTCTTCAGTTGGCGTTTCTCCTGTGGACTCCTAATGACCAACGCGCGATCGGCCGTCCCACACTTGACACGGTAAATAGCTCGTCGGCGCCAGAGCTACGGATAACTAACGCCCGCCACCACAGTCCACCGGAGCTTCAACCCCGTGAGACATGACAGCCACCGCCAGGGACCCGTTGGGTTATACCTCCTGCTCTACGTGTACATGTACATACACAGATGAAAAGGCGCCGCGTAACTAATCTTGGAGAGCATCGTACTGCACGGCTGACAATGATGGTAACTAGCATTACACAGCCTCGACGTTGAAGAGGAGCTTTCCTTTCCACCGACTTGACCATGAGCTATTGCTTGCGCAATAGATTATAATGCCGTAGAACAAGTAAGTATATGCTACCCCCCTTTTTTGGTATCTCGCGAGTTCAAGTAGGATCTTTGAAGGTTTTCTGTGAGATCAAGACTTGTTTACTTGATAAGGAGCAGCGATGATATCAAAACTCAAAATCATCTCAAATTAAAAGGAGGTATCTTCCATACCAGCCTACTACTGTACCGCGGTAAACGCTTGTGTACACTTTTGTGATAAATCTAACTGTAGAACTCCCTCCTTGAAACAGAACCTCCTTGAGCAGATGAAATAAAATATAGCAGCTTGTGTTAACGACACAATTGGTTGATGTGTTTTCTTTCGTCTAATTACCTACTTGAAGAGCGACTTCCACTTCCACAGTTAGATCTCTCACCAAAGTGAAATGATATATACCCATATCACCACGCACACACCAAAAACGAACACACCACAAATGAACACGATTAAGTTGGTTGATTTATATTTATCCAGGTAGGTAAGGTGGGTTGTGGTAAGGAACAGCCCCTCGGTATGGGGCATTCGCAGCTAGTTCTACCCCCTCTCTCCAAGCAAGACCCGACCCAGCTCACGCATCCAAGCGTCTATCATCCAGCAGCTAGGTAGTTACCTAATCGTCCAAGCCCACGTCCCCTCTCCTGTTCTCGTGTAGAAAGGAGAGGAGAGGATGGGGTATGAGACGTGGACTTCATGTATGTATAAGTTTCACAGAAAGGGGGAAAACAAAAACAGAAGAAAGAAAAAAAGTGAAACATTCGCCATGTTGCGCCGGGTGATCACACACACACACACATACGCCCCCATCTCTGTCCCTTAACTCATCCTTCTTCCGTCTTCCAAATGACGCAAGACATGATAATAACTCCAGCCCACCAGCACCATACGTGATCCATGTGTATATCTCCTCAAGAGAGATGATGGCGTTGAGAGGGGTGGCGTGTGTTTGGGGAGTAACTTTCGAGGTAGCTCATACATGGTATGATCTCCCAACCACCTATCTCCCCCTTTCTCGCACACGGCGATTCAGCAGCCACTCGGGGAATATCAAGCATAGGTAAAGCTGCCGCGCTCCCTAAAGTAGGAGACAGAGCTACACCATGCCACTGTAGCCCGCGCGTCCGCCTTGTTAGGGTCGCCTGTAGTAGTTTGGCATAGAGGTAACAAAAATCCACACGCCTGTTGCGAGGCTGGTGGCCGAGACAGACTCCGACTGTTGATACGACAACACAGTCGGCAGACACGGTTTCCTGGCCATATCAAGCCTCGACGTCGTCTTCTTCGGGGGCGACATTCTCGTCGTCCTCCGCCGCCGTTGACTTGGCGACGGAAGCGGCCTTCTTGTTGGTCTTGCCGCTCGTATTAGGCTTCTTGTCGACGGCGGCCGCGGCAGCGTCCTCGAGGACCTTCTTGGCCACGCTGCTGTCGGAAACGGCGTCGCTGTGTTCGGCGGCCTCGTCGTCCTCGCCCTCCTTGGCAAAGATGCTCGCGCCTTCGGTCAGCGCCCAGTCGACGGGCCCCGTGTCGTCGCCGTAGCGGGTGGCGAGCCAGTCGTTGGCCAGGCGGAAGTGGCGGCAGGTGAAGTAGCCGCGCGAGGCGCTGAGGGGGCTGGGGTGGACGGCCTTGAGGACGAGGTGGCGCTTGGCGTCGACCTTCTGGACGCGCTTGGCGGCGGGCGTGCCCCAGGCCATGAAGACGACGCCGCGGGTGCGCTTGGTGGCGACCAGGTCGATGACGCGCTGCGTGAAGCGCTCCCAGCCGCGGTTGGAGTGGCTGTTGGCCTCATGGACGCGCACCGTCAGGCACGTGTTGAGCATCAGCACGCCACGCTCGGCCCACGGCGTCAGCAGTCCACCCTTGTTGGGCGGCGGCGTGAACGACGGGTAGTCGTTCTTGAGGCACGTGTACATGTTCTTGAGCGAGGGCGGCGCGGGCGTCGGCGGCCGCACCGAGAAGGCCAGCCCGTGCGCCTGGTTGTGGTTGTGGTATGGGTCCTGGCCGACAATCACCACCTTGACATTGTTGAAGGGCGTGTGCCGCGACCTACATCTGTCAGTCCGGCTCTGGCGGCGGCGAAGAGGCGGATCGGGTCACCTACCAGCTGTAGACGTCCTCCTTTGGGGGGAACCACTTCTTGCCGGCAGCGGTCTCGCGGTTTAGGAACCTCTTGAGGTCGAGGAACTCCTTGGTGGTGATCTCGTCCTTGAGAAGGGCGAGCCAGCTGTGGTGGAGGGTGGTGATTTCGAGCTGGAGAAGCTCCCGCTGCTCGGGGGTCAAGCTGGCGACCCACTTGACCTTGTCAAACTTGGGAGCAGCGGGTTCAGGCCCGGCATTGGCACCCGTGGTCGTGGCAGCGGTGCTGCTACTGCTGCTCGCTGCCGAGGGCGTCACCTTTGGGGGGCCGAAGAAGGACATGATGCTGCTATTCTGCTTGGGCTTCTTGGCGTCGGCGCCTGCAGCCTGGGTGGCGGCCTTGCGCTTGAGAGTAGACATGGCGTGCCGTGAAGGCAAGAACAAGGTCGTGAGACAATGGTTATGGTCGTGGTTGCGGAGAAGCGCTACCGTCGGAGGAGCGACCACAACCACACGTCTCGGGTAGAAGAGGCGCGGGGGAACGAAGCCGGCAATCGGTTTCCCCGTCTCACAGAATGCACCCGCCACAGACAAGACAAGGCGTTTGATACCGAACGAGGGAGAAGAATGTGAGGAAATCACGAGACAATGCTGAGATGCCCGAAATCGAAATCGACCACAAAATGCACCCACAAAAACGAGCAAACAAACGATTATTATATAGGCCAGGGGCTGGAGAGCTGTAGTGGTTCGTCAAGCCAAACCCGGGCAAATGGCACACACTTCAAGGAGGCAGGTAGCGCGGGAGGGGAGGGGGGGTGGATTAAGTAGGTTGAGGTGAGGCGGGTACGGCCTTTTCGATATTCACGAATTACCCCGGGCAACTCACCTAAAAGAAGCCCCGGCTGAGTGCTACTTTTTTTTTTTTGCAGGGAGGGGGGGAGCGAAGCGAAAGCGCGTTCCTCTCTCCTGCACGCACTTCTATGCGTGGAAAAGACGCGGTTTTTGGCGTCACGCTCTCATTAGCTCGGGCAGGTCCACCTCCACCTGCAGCCTAGAGCAAGGGTTGCTGAGCCTTTGGCCTTGTCTTAGTGGACGGACAGCGCCCAAGCCGCCCCCAATTTGCAGCAGGAGCAAGGCATGGAGCTCCCTGTGCCTGCCAGTCTTGCTGCGGTGAAGCGGGACTTTGTTGAACCTGACCATATGAGATCCGGAAACGGAAAGGGGGAGCAGGGCAAACGCCCAGCATGGAAATTGAACATTGGACACTCTATGGTGCCAAAATCGCATCTGGACTTACGCACCAAGGTAATCCAAAATTACCTTCAACTTTTTCTTGCCCGTGGGGCATTCATTACCTAGGTAAACCAAGTTGTAGAATAGGTGAGCAGAACAAGAGGCGGAGTTCCGCACCCTCACCGCACAGAAGATGCTGCAGAGCAAGGCGCAGGCTGCAGCTGATCTCCCCCTGTGGAGCGCCTCGTTTCAGCCCCAACGCGACAGTCGGGGAAGCACAGGGACTGATTGATTGATGGCAGTCGCGGTCTAGCGTCACGCAACCACTTTAACGCGCCCGCGCCCGGGCCCATACCCGCGCCGGGGGTAAGGATCCATCTATCCCGCGCGTCGACGCCGCCCCTTCCCCCCCGGGAATCCAATCACCAGATAGTCTAAGCCGAATGCAAATCGCAGCCCAACAAACATCCTAGTTGCAGCAAGGAACGAGTAAAAGGAGGTTGGCAGATAGAAAAAGCAGCCAATTGTAAACGACGGCAAACAGTCTTATCCCAGAATCATAAAGTAGGTATGCATTGCGTTATGTAGCCTAGAAAGCACTTTGTACATACGAATATATGCAATCAAAACCCCCCTAAAAACAATAGATAATAGATCATGATAAATATTAATATTTGTCGCCTTTTTTTTGTCCTTAACAAGAATGCAAGCAAACAAGCATCGCTTGTTCGATCTATACTTAGTCATGAACTTTCCACCGCCCCATACTATACATTGTGTGAGAGTGCCCCAACCTGCCCTTGTCCGTATATATATATAATATAGCTACCCGACCTACCTACCTTGCGTGTGTGAAATGTAGATAATAAATAGTACAGGTCTGATTAGATATTTTGTCGCGTTTTAGCCCAGCCATGATGCAAAGGACTGTATATATGCGTGAGAGAGTGAGTGAGTGAGAGAGAGAGAGAGAGAGAGAGAGAGAGAGAGATGAAGAGAAATAGAAACAAGTCCAGCCATCGACCAGACTCCAGAGCTCATCCCTTCCAGGTGAGCCAGCCAAAGAACAAGACGGCCATCCACACAACCCTGAAGACGCTCGTCCACAGCTCGGTTGCGACGACGTTGACCGTCGACCTGGGCCTCGCGATGGCCGCCTTCCACTTGCCGCCGTCGTAGATGTCCTCGTTCTCGCTGCGAATCTCGATCCGGGGCGGCCCTCTTGACTGGCCGCTCCAGCCCCATTTGCTGCCGCTGGCGCCCTTGCTGTGCGAGTGGTGGCTCTTTTTGCTCGACTTGGGGCTCGCCACGTTGCGATTCTGCGTCATCGTGTTGCCCGGCCTCGAGCCGCCCGTCGTCACGGAGCCGCTCCGGTCGCGCGTGCCGGAGCCGTAGAGAAAGTGCGAGGCCGAGAAGCCCGCTGACGGCAGGGCGTACTCGTCGTAGTCCTCCACCTTGGCCTTGAAGACGGGCAAGATGCTCGAGTTTCTGGTTGGTTCTGGGTCTAGAGCGAAGCGGGAAAGCTTGAGCACCGGCACCAAAAAGGCGCGTATCGTAAGGAGAGCAATGCACACGAAGGCGAAAGTGGTATACCGCACGTACGTTGACGGCTGGCGGGGAAGCAAACAGAGGTGGGTTTGCAGGGTCGGCTTGCCCGCTCCCGTCAAGGGCTTGCCGTCGGCATCGATGGGGTTGTACAGGCTCAACATGAGGAAGCCGGGCGTCGACACACCCATGGCCATGCTGATGCTCTTGACAGTGATTTCGGGCACGCCGCCCTGGTTCGCACCGTGGACAACGTAGCAGTGATCGTGGTCGTCGCCGGAGAAGGCATGTACAACGTTCCCGACCTTGCCAACGAGGCTAACCGAGTCTTTCTCGCCCAGCACATTTTGATATTGATAGCCCCTTGAAATCGAGATGGCGTTGCGGCTATCGGGCACAACCGGCTCTGTCTGCCCCTTGGGAGGCTTCGTGGGGGGCCAGTGCTCTCGCAGCGGCCCGCAAGGGGTCCCCTCGGGGCGCCAGAGCGGGACATGAGTGAGGAGTATGGTGGGCAGGTCGGGCGCGCCTTCGCCGAGGGTGGGCTGGTCACCGAAGTCGGCCTTTTCCAGTTCCTCGATTTTATGGTGAAACTGCACCTCGGGGACCTCTCCGCGAAGGAAGCGCAGCTCCTTCTCCACGGCCTTTTGCTTGGTCCGTTTTACGTCGTTGAGGAAATGCTCCGTCGGCCTGTATATGGGCTTCAGGTCGTGGCGGCCCGTATCTTTCGAGGCGGCGGCGCTCATCGAGACCGTGTCGACCGACACAAATGTGTGGTTCCCCACCACGTCGACGCGGTTGCCCTCGCCAAAGTACGTCTCGAATCGGTTCCTCACGCCCATCTTGATCTCGGACCCGAAGCCCAGGTCGTGGTTCCCCGGCAAGCTAGCAACAAGCTTCCGCCGCTTCTGCGCCGCGTCGGGTGCTGCTCCGGCCGCTATCCACGGGTCGAAAAAGATGTCGCCGAACCGCCGGTATTCCCTCAGCCAGAAGTTTTCGCCGTACTTCCTGTTCCACTTCTTGAGGTACTTTTTCTCGTGGTCCGGATGGGGTCCCCATTCGGGGTCCCTAAAGTCGCCGTGCAACGTCTTCCACTCGCGGCCCCCGTCAAACAAGTCGCCGAGGAAGAACACGCTGTCAGGCACGAGCTGCCATTGCAGCTGGTTGTAGGACCGCCGCAGATAGTTGTCGGTGATGCGGTAGATCAATGGGTTGACCGGCCACGGGCGCCCGGGATACGAGTGAGGGTCGATGAGCTGCGGGTCGGCGACGAGTACGACGCGATGTGGTTCTGCGCCGGCAGGCTGCAAGGGGGGGAGGGAGGAGTCTGTTAGTCTCGTGCGCTTGTGGTAGTGTGTGTGTGTGCGCGTGTATATGTCTTACCCAGCTCTCCCAGTTGCCCCAGTGGCACTTCTCGACCGCCGAATGAAACACCCACCTCTCGCCCCAGAGAAGCAGAACAACCCAAGCGAGGACGAGCAGGTGCGGGAGGCTGAAGAGGCGGCGGAAGGCCAGGTTCTGGCGCAGGCGACGGCCCGCGGACACCATGGCAGCAAAGGTCATGCGACGGCCGCGATCGTTCCAGAAGCGCCAGAGCGAGCGAGCGCCTTGGACTAGCAGGGCGCGCAGGTCATCGAGCAGCGACGTCGAGTCTGAGTCGCCGCGGTAGGGCTGTCGACGGTAGCTGCTGCGGGACGATGGGGTGAAGCGGTTGCTATTTCCATTGCTATAATAAGGCGAAGCCATGGCGACAGCGTCTTGATGCAGCCATGCCCCTTTTAAGCGCTACAGGGCAACCAACGACACAACGCTCGAGCGAGCTGAATCGGGCGTTTTGCGTTTGAATGATATGTGGCTCGCTCAGATGGAGCCGAAACTAGTAGGAGCAAGGCGCCGAAACCTGCCTCTCCTGAGCAAAGCTAAAGTGGAGAAAGACGCACGGACATATTGGCAGAATTAACCGCTATAAAAACGGTGAGGGACATATCAACGCAGAGCACTGCTGTGGGGATGAACAAAGGGCAAGCTCCTATTACACTGGTAATCAGTCAAAGTGAATACTCAAAATATAAAATAAGCAACCTGACCAGTCAGGAAGGGGCCAGCTGAACGGCTCTTTCTCTCTTTATTGCCTCCAGCGGCCTCCTGGGGCGCCTGCGGCAGGCCAGGGCTGTATGGTGACGGGACTCACCACCGCCTTGTTATCTCTTCCCTCCCCGCCCCTGTCCCAGTGCTCCCATCCCAGAACCCCAAAAATGACGGCTCCCTATAAACCAATGATAGGACTCCGTAGGCACGGCTCTTAAGCATGTTCAGGCTGGTAGGCGATAGATTTGACTTGTAGGCCGAACGTGCGGATTTAGCTAAGGAAAGGAAAAGGAAACTACCTTAGCGGGGGTACGTAGTCTACTACAAGCCCTATAGCAAGACTTGCCTACTGTAAGGCATGCCTAGTTTGTAAGCCTTTGAATCAACGTAAGCCTTGTTGGCCGTGACTCACGTTACTCTATGGCCTCGTGGATCGAGATGATTGGATATGGGTTCTCTGAGCTCGCTTCTTCGCGCTGAGCTAGAATTACCAACTTCAACTTCTCAAACCGGCGTTTGGCAGTCGTCCACGAGAACCGATCACTGTTCAATCTCCACCTGCCGCCATCTGACACAGGGCGCGCGGAGTAGCCTCCACTTGGGAGAGTCCTGCCAAAGTTCGCCGAAGCACAGCATCCGCGACGCAGGGATTGTTTTGTCGAGGCAGTAGCTAGAAACCGGGAGAGCGGTAAGGAGGTGATGGCACTGCTTCTCGATCAGCGCGGCGCCGAAGTCAAGATCACTGAAGAGGTGGTCAAGGCAGCAGCTAGGAACGAATCTACGGGCTATGAGGTGATGGAACTGCTCCATCGGACTACTGGTATAAAAGTCACTGCTGGGGTGATCGAGGCGGTCGCCACCAGTGGTCAGGAACAGGTCCTTCGTTTCCTCGACCAGCACTCTAGCATTGGAAGTGATAAAGAGAGCTGGTTCAAGATCACACGCCTCTACAATGCCGCCAAAACGGGAGACTCTGCAGATGTTCGTCAGCTTGTGGGCAATGGTACACCTCCAGACAAGCAGAATATCCACGGCATAACGCCTTTGTGGATCGCATCTTCACGCGGGCACGAAGTAGTGGTCCAAGTTCTCCTGGCGACTCATGCCATTGCCGTTAATGTACGGAGCGTATCTGGTCGGACCCCATTGTTCTGGGCCGCGGCAGATGGCCACTCCGAAGTCGTGAAGATGCTTTTGGATCATGGTGCTGAACAGACTTACACAGACAAGGACGGCATATCACCGCTCTCCCTCGCTCGTCTGCACCGTCGGGTAGACGTGATAGACATTCTTACTAGGTACAATGCATAGGAGCAGAGAAGGCATGGTTACGGCTATGGTATGGAATAGGGAGGGCTAAGAGGATATAATAAAGCTTCTATTCTATGAGGGTTCCGCAAGTATCCGCGGTCCGAGAGCGAGAGTGTAGGTCGCTTCAAGTGCATATTTTCGCGAAGGGCAGCTGGGCGGGGATGATCTGCAGGATCAGGCTTAGACGCAACAGGAAAAGAGCTGCCTGGTTTCTGCTTAGTTTTGCACTTGAATGATATGTGGCTCGCTCAGATGGAGCCGAAACTAATAGGAGCAAGGCGCAACTTGTGTTGCGACCGCGAGCCCCTGAGGCACCTAGGTACCTACTTGCGCGCAGGTTGACTGATTGGCCCGGGCAACTGGCTTGCAATTGACTGGCTGGGGTTGTGGCTGGGTAGGAGGGTGGTGAGGAATATGGGGCACTAGACTAGATGCCGAACATGCGGCGGTCGGGTAGGTGAAGATGGACAAAGGCGTCGGATAGCGAGGACCTTGTCTTGCGGACTACGCACGTTATTGTTGTCTATGTACAGAGAGACAGATGTCTGTCAGGGCGAGGTAACAAGGAGGTGTGTCGGTGGCGTGGTGGTGATAGCAGACGAGGAACTATGTTGGGTAGCACGTTCCTCGTGGAGCTCGCCGATTTTCTCTCTACAAATAGACTAGAAATAATAATTAGGCTCCAGGCCCTCGACGAGAGTTCATGGGGTACATTGGAACTCCGTTCTTACTCAAGGAACTATTATATTATACGGGTCGGATTTAAGGAGACATATCTCGACTAAGTACACTAGCTAGAGGTTCGGAATCGAGAGTAGCGAGCCGCGTATTTACTCCCAGTACGAGATATACGGCCAGATACGTACAGGATATAAAGTGTGACGGCCCGCCTTACGAAGGTAGGGAAGTCAAAGGTTGAAGGCAGTAACGAATGTGGATTCAAAGCTAAGGAAGAGAAAGGAATCTATCGCAGGGTCCGCGTAGGGCGCGGAGAAATAGGTGGTGGTGCTGAGCAAGTGAGGCAGGTGCACAGACCACACTCTAACCACAATGCAGCCAATAGAATCAATCCTATCACATGAGCCCGTGGCGACCGTGACATAAAGTTTATAACAAGGGTAGTCCGCATCCGAGGCCTAGGACTTTCCAAGAACTAAAGGACATACTAACGGGAGCTAGCATTCTCGCTATTACTTATGTATTTATAATCGGGATCAGTGCAGCGCCGTATACACTATATTTATTTCTCAGTCGCCATTTTCTCCTAAACACAAACATGAAGGCATAGATCCTTAAGCTCTGATAAGAAGGCTACGTGGATACCAGAACGGGATATAAAGACAGATATACCAAATATCGCTACTCCGTAGTCTTCTTAAGCTAGCTAGTGGAGGGGTGGATAGGGAGTGGTTGGTAAGTCTGGGCCTTTTTCTCGGCCTTGACCTTGTAGCCGTTATCTTCTAACGAGCTGCCAGTAGACGCTAGATTTTCCTAGGAGGGCTCGACGCGGGGTGCTGACGGGCTATGGCGAAGAGGGTTTATGGTTCATATCGAGAAACAGAAGCGGGGAGAGTGGGTTGAAAAAAGCGGGGAGAGTGGGTTGAAAAACACGGGGAGGAGGTGGGAGACGCTATCGTCTTATCCTTCCTTGGGCTGATTCTAGCATGGTCTATACGGTAAGACGCCTCCGCACCGCGGAGCACCATCCTTATCTCGCACGCATTTTGCTCTAGGGGTTGGGCCTGACCTGTAGTGGAAGTCTAGATTAAAGGGGCCATTTGTCTGGGACTAGAACCGTGAGTATTAATGGGGCTTTGAATTAATATACGAGCAACGAGGGGACAATGGAGTGATTGATACTTTAACAGCGAGGCTGACCCCCCTTGCCCCTAAACGTAACGTTGTAAGCTCTTCCACGGGCCTATATAATTCCCTCGCCCACCTGAGTGTTGGATTAAACAAGGTCTGGATTCAACTTCTTGAAAGTTAAACATCCATCCATACCACGACTGGGCGGCGGAGTGTCCTTACGTTGGTTTCGCCCCTATGGCGGGAGAGGAGGAGGAGGGATATGTGGTGGGAGGTAAGCGCACGGTTAATGCGAGGGTCTTGGCGAAGCTTATAAATGAGCTGATATCGGTCATGTCGCGCGTGGATTCTGAGATGTCGCTTGCTGAGCTGGAGGCGCTGTCGTATCTTGTGAGTTAGCCTCCTTTCTTCGACTTATCACCGAATGATACGGGAACTCTGGTAACAGCCCCAAAAACAAGGCCGCTGTCGTTAGCGAAGGTCTACGCATGGGTCACGGCGTGTCGACTCGCACCCCCCGCATTGCACCAGATGAGGACTTGCAGTTCCCGCGACTTAGTCATTCTAAGTTTTGATACCAGTCCAGTTTCGTCGGTCTAGAGCGAAACAGGCGCCCGTCATGCAGTCCCATTCCGTATTCGCTTATCTAACCGACGACATAGCCGATATAACTGCTTCAAGACATGGCATATCGAAGGTGTAAGACCTAATCTGATTCTCGTTTGGGCAAATCTCGTCCGCATTCCAACGCAATAATTACATCAAATCGCACTGATGAATAGACCATAACGTTAATGATAAACGGAAATACAAGAAAATTCGTTTAATGATCCCACTGCACGTTTATTGGATGGCCGAGTCTGACCATCAAATTACGATCATTTTGGCACATTTTGCGTGTATTTTTGGCCTAGAATTGACATTGTTGTGATTGTTTGAAGAAAGAGGGTGCGTGTAAGTGGGTGGCGCAATACTTTTGGCGCCCCATTGTATGTACATGTACATACTACTGATAACTCGTCCGAGTTTCACGGCAATTTTGTTCTCCAGACGAGATAAGAAGACGGCCGACCGCCTCAACAAGAAGCGCTAAAGATGGACGACTTCAGTAAACCGTCGGAGAGTTCCCCAATTCCATACACGTAAAGAAAGTCAACAGACAAGATCAAGCTGTCTAGAGTGATGGCGCCACCAACGACTACATACAAGCTTACCAAGCAGGGTTTACGCGGCGGCGCGCGCCAGCGCGGCCGGCTGCCTGGCCTACAACGGCGTCTTCGGCTGCACTGATCGCGGCTTCTGCGGCCTGGCCGACGAGCTGGGCTACGACAAGTGGGGCCCCGTCGACGGCTGCTTCCTCATCGGGCGGCAGAGCGGCCGTCCACATTTCCCGGACGTCTCGCGCCGACTCGTGCTGGCCGCTATCCAGTAGCCACTGCTCCAGAACGACGCAACTGTCGACAAAGCTATCGATGTCTGTGACATCATTGTTGCGAAGCGTCTCAACCGCACCCCTCATGTATTGCTCGGCCACCTCGTCTGCACCTTGGCTGTGGTGTATCCAAGCTAGACTGTACTGACCGTAGAACCGATGCCAGAAGGCCTGGTCCCCCCCCTGTTCCGCCCGTTTCAAGAGCAGCTCGAATCGCCTCCGAGGTTTGTCCATCGAAGTCTCTAGCACAAAGGCTTCCTCGTATTCGAGTTCGGCGACGTCGTCTAGGAAGTCGAGAGTCTTCCAGTCGCACTCCCCGAAGCGCGCTTCGTACTGCCGCACGCCGCGTTCGGCGTTTTGGATCAACGATGTGTACGCCAAATTGCCGCTGGATCCCAGATACGTGGCTGTCGAGGTCCAGCTCCGCACTGCAAAGTAGCTGTCCTTGCCGAATATCAGGGATGTTTCGTGGATATGGCAAAGCAAGGCCGATATCGCCGTCGGAACCAGACAGTCGATCTCGCACTCATGCAATTGTGCGAGAAAATGGCCGAGGGGCTGCGTCGCAGAACGGCCGTACTCCCTGGAGAGGCAGGCTGCCTGTTTGACGAGGGATTTTGTAGCCTTGAGCCATCCCGAGCCCAGAATCACTGTCAAGCGCAGCAGGTCCTGAACTAATTCCAATGCACCATCCCGGACACTGCTCTCCAGCTCTATTCCGAGCTTGCGGAGAACCCGTCCGGCTGACTGGAAGTCCTTGGAATTCAGCATGCGTCTGCAAGTCATAGCCGTGGGGGCGAGCGTAGGGGGTACGCCTGCCAGGCGTAGTTCTTCCATTCTCTTGGTGGTCATGTTGTCGGAACCAAATTGGGCAAGGGCGGAGTCGCGGGTGGCCCTGAGAAGCAGCTCAGAATGCCGATAGAAGTCCGGGGAGAACGAGGCGGCCGGGGAAGGCGTGCGGCAGCTGATATAGCAGGCCAGAGCCTCGGAGCCAGAGGCCGCGGCGTCCTTCGCGAAGGTGGCCGGATTCAGCTTCTTGCGCTGCAGATATGCTTCGATTCGTTTGTTGACTACCGGCCGTCCGTTGTTGAGGAACTGAGTCGTCTTACCTTCTTCTTGACGTTGCTTCTTGAGCGCCATCATGGACCGCACGTCGCGCTCCCTGTTGTTCTTGACGAAACTCCACTGCTTGAACCGCTTCTTGTACATGCTGGCACTGAGGGCGGAAGAACATTAGTACACATGGTAAAGGCATTAAAGGGTTCGGAAGTGGCGCTTACGTGGCGTGAAAGCCGAATTCCTCGCCCATGGCGACAATGACTTTGCGTAGGGGCTCGTCCTGGTCCAGGTAGAGACGTTTGATCCTGAACCTGTGCCGGTTCCATTCCTCCAAGCTCGGTGGAGGCTTTGGGGATGGAGCAGTCGGAGCCGGCTCGGACGCCGGAAGAGGCGGTGCATGGGTCTGGGGTTGGGCGAACGGGGCGGCATCGCCGACGAGCATCGCGTCGTCACCGTGCAAAGGCCAGAGGAGAGACACAGTAAGAGCGCCGTGATCAGCGCCACCCCATATCGGGGGAGGCTCAAACCAATGTCCAGCCCAGTCGGTACCGGTGAACTGGTCCATCTGGAGGGGAGAGGACGGGATGCAGCCAAGGATGTAGCCGTACGGCTGGGCAAGTGGATTATACGAGGATGGTAGAATGGGGTTATCTCGCGTCTCCAGCCATGAGCGTGGGAGTCTCGGCCAAATAAATAGGCCTGAAACTGTTCGAGTCCAGAGCCTCACGCAACCTCAATTGAAGCTGCCTGACTCGCTGCAGGTGGCTGCACACCACGAAGGTGCCGTGCAGATGTGACTTCCAGCCAGATATCCGATTGCATGCTGACATCCGTCAGAAGTGCCTTGTCGTCGACGGAGGATCGGCCGCGGGCAGATTCGAGGCTTCACCTGTGGCACGAAGCACAGCGATGCTGGGCGGAGGGCAGGCCTTTAACCGCCTCACTCTCCTGGATTGATCCCGATTGGCGTCTTAAACGTTCCTACCATCCTGACGGCTACCGTGGGGGTGGACACCGAGCCTCGCACTTTACACTGGACGGTTCCCAGCCTGGCCGCCAAATTGCGGGGTTTCGAAAATGGGGCTGCCCGCAGTCTTGCAGTCTTGCAGTACCCTAACGCAACGACACGAGGGTGCTTCTCAATAAGACCCCATCAGCGTCGACGGCAGTGACGCTAGCACTTCGTCAGGCGCTGTGAACAGCCAGTCATTGGACGATAGACTCGACGGCTCGCTCTACGAGTCATCAACGGCTAACGGGCTCGATGTAGTTATACGTCATAAATGAATGATAGATGGAGCAACTAAATGGGAGGAATAGAAGTGAATTGGCTCTTTGAGTTCCTCAATTTAGTTCGCCTTGCCCTCCAGTCTTCTGATCTCTGGCGGAATTCCTATTTATTAAATCTCTGAAGGAGGGTGTGGTTTTGAGGTGGTCTCCCGCCTCATCGCTTCGAGTACGCGAGCTACCTCCCCAAGACCGGTAATTCCAGACCATGTCATGACACCGCCGATACTGTACTGGCCATGGCGCCTGCGTGCGCCCGGCTCCGTGAGCCCCAAACCACCGGTAAACACTTCCCCTCCCCCGCGCGCAATAACCACTGTGACGAGCCTCCCTGGTCAGGATGGCAGGGTTGCGGCCGAGAATGGAGATTTTGGGTGTGCTTGTGTGCGGAACGAGTGTTACAAAAAGCCGTGGCCGATGCTCATGAGTTTCTAGATGATACCAAATAAAGCTACCTAGGTCCTGCTATATACATATGTCAATAATATCAAGGGGGCGAAACAACGGGGCAGAATGTATTCCCAGCGGCTACTTATTTCCCGTAGAGTCGTGTTGCTGAATATAGGACGGACAGCAGCTTCACGCAGAACAACACTTGGGAAGTACCTTGAGAAGGACATGCAAGGGGCACAAAGCAGGGCGCGGAAGAGAATCCGCTGCAGAAATTTCTTTTTCTTGGTTCTCTCTCGGCTCGAAAAGTGCATGTTGCTGGATCCTATAACATGACATGAAGCCTCCTTTCTCTCTCACATACCTTCATCAATAAATCCAAGAAATGCAAGGACATGGCGGATAGTGCGAGCCTTTCAGACTCTGCGTGTTAAAAGACCCAAGTAAAAGACTCCTTGACGTCAAACGAAACAGAGTATCTAAGAAAGCAATTATCAATTGTCAGCGCAGCTCCAAGCAGATATAAAACGCTGAGAAGGCGGGGGAGGGGGTTTGCACGTACTTGATGTCTGCAGCCGATGCGCCAACCAACACCTTGAAGGTGCCCTCTTCGGCAATCCATCTCTGGATCGACGTGTCGTAGTACCCGACGGCGTACTTGTCGAGCTGTATCCGTAGATGCTTAGTCTCGCCGGGCTCGAGAGCAGCCTTCTCAAACGCCACCAGCTCCTTTTCTGGCCGCGGAAGCCTGCATCTCTCGTCCCGCACGTATACCTGCACAGTCTCCAATCCAGCCACGTCCCCGACGTTGCTGATGGCGACAACGAGCTCGATGCTTTCACCCTGTGCCAGCACCTTGGAGCTCAGTGACGGCCGTCCGTACTCAAAGGCCGTGTACGACAGGCCGTGGCCGAAGGGGAAGAGAGGCTCGACCTTCACGCGGTCGTAATGCCGGTATCCGATGTAAAGCCCCTCTCCGTAAACCACCTCCAGGTTCTCGCCCGGCCAGTTGTGATATGCCGGGGTGTCTTCGAGCCGCTTAGGGAATGTGCACTGCAGCAACAAGTCAGCACACACATGCGGTGTGATACGAACAGTCACATCGCAAGAGATAAACATACCGGCAATTTGCCGCTAGGATTCCTTAGACCGAAGAGAACGTCGGCGAGAGCGTTGCCGGCTTCCTGCCCCTGATACCAAGCCTGAATGATTGCCGGGGCCTTGTCAGACCAGGGCATAGTCACTGGCGAGCCAGACTGGTTGACGACAACAGTCCTCGGGTTAGCCTTGATGACGGCCTCCACCAGGCGGTCCTGACTGCCGTCCGACGGGAGGTCCATGGTTTGGCGGTCATATCCCTCCGATTCCCACTCGGCATCCAGGCCAACAATCACGACGGCCACATCTGCCGCCTTCGCGGCGTCCACGGCTTCTTGGAGGTAGTCGATCTGGTCCTCTTCCTTGAAGCCGATTCTACAGCCGCCGTACTTGTGGGTGATACCGATTTCTTTCTGCTTGAAGAACGGCCGCAGCTCATTTGTCATCTCAATGCGCAGCTCGACAGGTTTGCCGGCTTCCATTTCAACGTTGACCAGATAGTCGGCTGAGCCGTCGAACATTGCCTCGCCTTCCTCTGTCCAGTCCCAGAGATCTAGGGTCGGCTTGCCATCGACCAGGAGTCTGCCTGGACCCACAGACATGAAAGAAATGGTATGTGTCCCGGTGCTTGTCGGGGTCAAGTTCGCCGTCACGACTGCCGACCATTCGGGGCCAACCTGGGCCACAGGCGCCGAGTCCCAGAGGAAGAGATCCGTGTTGATACGCCGCTGCATCACGATTGGTTCGCCCTCGAACCTGTCGCCCTTGAACCACTCAATCGTGACACCTTGCTTCCCAGTCTTGTCGGCGCACAGAGGTGATGCGAGAGGAAGCCACTTGTGGGTGTGGCATCCTATGGCATATGTGACCGGCTGCCGGGCAACCTTCTGGATGCTGTCAAAGGGTAGCGTATTGTAGTACGGGTTCAGGCTTGCACTGCCACCTCCACCAGCGATTGCCCTCTTAGCATTGGGGCCAATGATGGCTACCTTTGTGGTCCTCGGATCGATGGGCAGGAGTGCCCCTTCGTTTTTGAGAAGTGTCAGCCCCTGTACACCAGCCTCCCGGATGAGACTTCTCGTCTCTTCGCGGTTGTCTTCTTTCTCTTCGGCCTCGACCGACATGTCGTTCCCTTTGGTACGCTCTACAAGAGTGAGGACATTTTCAACTGCGCGGTCGATATGGTCCTGGGTGATCTTCCCGTCCTCTAGGGCCTCGAGGAGTTTCTCAAACCGCCATTTCGTGGAGAAGGGAAACTCGATATCGCAGCCGACCTTGAGCGACTCAGCCGTCGAGTTCAAGCCAGTCCAGTCTGTGATGACAGTACTGGAAAAGAATATGTCAGTCCAATCCCTCACCCATTGCGTTGTTCCCCAACCAGCTCGCTACTCACCCATCATACCCCCACTCCCCACGGAGGACGTCCTTCAGGATAAATTTATTCATGTCTGAGTGAACACCATTCACGAGGTTGTACGATGTCATGATTGCCCAAGGCTTTGCTTCGCGGACAGCAATCTCAAATGGGCGCAGGTACAGCTCACGAAGCGCCCGTTCCGATATCACCGAGTTGACGGTTAATCTGTTTGTCTCTTGCTCGTTGCCAACGAAATCTGTCCGGCCAAGTCAACCTCAATAAGAGCTCGGAAGATAATGGGTGACTGACGCTTGACGGTGGCAGCGATCCCTCCTTCCTGCAGGCCCTGGATGTACTGTGCTGCCAGCTTGCCGGTGAGGAGAGGGTCTTCGGAGAACGACTCAAAGTTCCTTCCTCCTAGCGGGTGTCTATGGAGACAAACGGTGGGTGCGAGGAGGATGTTGGCCGATCTAGCCTTGACCTCTTCGGCAAGATGCTGGCCGACCTGGTGAAGAAGATCCTTGTTCCATGTTGCTGCGAGCGAGATGCCGCAAGGAAATAGGGCGGCCTTCAGACGGCGGTTAACAAAAGTCGACAGCCCCCTAGACGTAAAGCACAATTTCGAGACTAACCTTTGTACCGCCAACGAATATACCGCCTCGGGCGCCATTGGGCCCGTCACTTGTCTTCACAGCCGGAATATTCTTGGAAGGGATTGTTTTCGTCCTCCAGAAGTCTGCTGCTGTCAGGAGAGATATCTACCCCATGTTAGCACTCCCACCCTGGTTTAATCTAAAGCGGCATGGGGTAAACACGCACCTTTTCTTCCTGGGTCAATGTGGCTACTTTTTGTCTTGCTAACAGCCTCTTGCTCTTAGGAGGGCCACTTTGATGAAAGGGGCTATCTGGAGGTGAGAACTCGGTATCTGGCGTTGTATTGGTGTCGATGCTGCCGGCCAGCGAGGCATTTTGGACAGCATCACGCTCAATATCGAGGCCTGACACGGGGGCGATTAAGGCCATCTCGATGTCCCTTTTCACGTCCTGTGGAATATGTGTCCGGGGTGCGATTCGTGTGGTAGGTACGGCATACACTTTCGTGTCTGACTCTCGGCGAGCAACGTGGGAAGATATACAGATCTATTATCTCAGTACGCACATTAAACCAGGCTGACAGCTGTTGCTTTTCAATGATGAAAGCTATGATGAGATAGAGAGACTAGAGATCTCAAATGGAACGGGAAAGGGTGCCTCTGGGTAGATAACATACGCCCGTTTGCCGAGAATCAACCGCTAGATCTGGACATGATCCGGTCGATGGTCCGAGGGCACTGGACAAAGAATAATACCAAGACCAGAGATGATGCGAGGGACTAGTACAAACAAAGGAGGTCATTTAGGAATAGACAAGCACTCGATCGGCTTTTTGGGGGGGATGACATATAAAAGATACCATGTTCCAAAGTCCCTCAATGTTGAAGGGCGGCTCTACGGGGGACTTATAGCTATGCTAAACAAGGATGTCGGCAAGGCGCCGCATCCGTGGGGAGTGGGATTAGGAACGACCTCGAGACTGTAGCCTCCTGCTCGATGCAGGCCAGCCGTGTGTCACTTGACAGTTTCCGTCCGCGGTTTCCTTGATTATTCCCCTCGGGCGCAAATAGCCATATCGGTAGGAACGGACCGTGTGAGCGGTAGCATCGTTTGGCCCAGCTAGTGTAGGGCGAGATATCCACATGCGTATTGCATAAGAGGACAAGCAATGATAATTAGGCCGAGTGGGGGTGGAAACGTAAACCGTGACTCTCGTGCAAGGCCTAGCTCCAGTAGTGTATTTTCAACATCCTTGATACCAACTACGATGCGAAACAGCTTGCTGGGTCGAGTTGTCTCGATTCCAATGGCCTGGCCAAGGTATTCGACAAGTCCTCTCAGCTCTGGCATGTACTGCACCCGAGGGCACGAAGCTACGGCCTCTGGCTGCTGTGCAACAGGCTTTCGAGGCAAAGTGGTGATCGTCGAGCTGCAACGTGACACCATCTCCTCCCAAAGTTGTTTCTAGGCTCTGTAGATCACCTAGGGTATTGTAGCGTGGCAACAAAAAGCGGCTCCCCAACGGCGTGTCCGTTGAATATCCCCGACAATCCCCGTCGACTCGAGGAAGAAGTGGATTCAGCCACCTGGGCCAGCACAGCAACGCAATCCCTGTTAATGCGGCGGGGCGGCTCTCGGGTCCGTCGAACGGAGCCTTGGACCTCCATCACCAACCCAGCCAGCCGTCGAGAGACGTGCGATTTTCGGGTGGTTGAAGCATCTTGGGACTGGAAGTTCGAATCGCAGCTGAGCGTACTTGGCGGAGATGGATATCCGGGATTTCTTGTTACTCGCTGGGTAATTATTGTGCATTCGCTCCGAAGCCAAGAGGGCTTGTCATTGTTTTCTGGTGCCTTTTTCATCATCTTCTTGTCGGCCGCTCTGCACCGATTATTCCACAGAACGGCAGAATCACCAGTGCAGATGATCGGCACGGCATGATAGTAAACGCGGCAGCGACAGGCAACAAGCGGCAGGCGACAGGCGACAGGCGACAGGTGGCAGAGAGCCCTGGGATTCGCAGCTGAGAAATCAACGACCGTGGGAATAATACAGGCACGGCGATGAAGTCGGAATGCACAACCGAGGTTTCGCAAACACAGATCTTGGGGAAGAGCCATCGGAAGCCGTGAGATGGGGCGGGACTCCGGCCCGGTTCCCTGGAGATGACGGGCTAACCACTGCGGATTGAACGTGATTTGCACGACATGGAACCCCGCGCGCCATTGCTATCTATGGAACCGATACGGATATGGGATGGAGCCTACGGAGCAGATAGTCTAGCTTTGTATAGAGTAGACGGAGGAGGCAGGGGGTCGCTGACGCCGCTGACAACCGGCGAAATCGGCAGCTCGACGTTTACAGTTTCTGGGAAGCCGAGCAGTAGATGGGGTTTCGATGGAGCATCGTTGGGCAGACTGCGTTACCAGCTGGTCGGCGAACAGTCTGTATCCCAAGAACCGGATTTCCAGATAGTGGTTGATGCAACCCAACCAGTCAAAGCAGAAACGCTCCGCAGCGGGACTCGCGGCTCGCCATTGCTCGTGAGAGAGAAGAGGCGGCAGGGCATACGAATGAATGACTTGACCGGCGAATGAAGCAAAGCGAGTTCCACAGAGACGATCCGATGCCAGCAAGCTTTCTGCTCGGCAGTACTCGGCGAGAAAGGGCAGGGAGCTGACGGAACGAAACCATAGTCGGACTTGGCATGTTGATGCGGCTGCGTTGTGTGCATCGCATGTTTGGTCTCTCGGAAGAAAATGCCCCAGGCAGCGGGCCGCCCTGAAGAGCGAATCGGAGAAATTTCTTGTTCAAGCCCTAGGAACGCGCCTTCCGTGCATGTTCGAAGGCTTCCCGTTGAGAGTTACAGCCCGTGTGCTTTCCAGGGCAAGGAAGGTGGCAGCAGGAGTCTAAGGACTCGAAGTGTTCCATGCATGGACTCTAGTACTACTAGGTACATACATACCGCACGCAACGCACCTACCCGTAGTGTCACTACTCGCCATGACAGCGACTTACCCGCATGGAGGTGCCGTCGACGCTCTTTCCGTCTTCTTTCACACTACCCACCTTACTATGTAGGTACCTTAGCTATCACTTCATTTCTCTCTTAATACGAACGATTTGGCCCTAGCAGCACGGCAATGAGACTATGTGAAAATTATTGCCGATTGCGTCTCTACTCTGGCCGTCTACATCTTCCACGCCGACTAGGTGCCTACCCGACCATCCTACCTTGCCGTTGCCGTTGCCGTCGCGGCTATATCGACTGCCTCGATACCCGGGCGCTATGAACAACGTCTACCGTCTCGCATACCTAAGGTAATCTAAAGTGCCTAAGGCAGAGGTAGGCGTGCCCCCCTTGGGCTATTGGGTACCCTTCTTTCCATATCCTGGTAGCTACGGGCATGCACCGCCAATCGCCAACTTTAGTGCTACGACATCGGTGCCCGGTCAAGTCGACTAGATGTCTTGCATGCACATGGCTTTACATTGCATCCAAGTGCTCACTCACCATGTCCTACATCCTAAAGGTGACGGCATCTGTCAACAATGTTACGCTACCGCAAGCCTCGCCCCGCCGTCGGATGCCATGTTAGTCGCGTGAGCGTGGGGGACGCCTAATGGAGAAGCTTCTCCCGTGGTCAGGCCCATAGAGCAGCAGCCAAGAGAGACAGGGCCAGCAGAACTTGCAGGACAGCCTTCCATCTTTACATCAAAGTCACCTCTAAACCACCTGCCGCACTCTGTCGGGATCCTATTCCGTTCCAATCAGGAATATAAAGCAGTTCGACCCAGAATTGGATATAGACGGGGTCTACGAAATGCTTGTTTGAACTCTCTTATAAGCACATGTCAATTTCACCTGCCATCCCAAGGCCAAGACTTGCAGGCAATAAACTGCGTCGTCTCATACCGGGGCAAACGCGGGATGTTTATCCGTTGGCAGTCTCCCCTGGGCCTGCTCGCTTCCAATACAGGAGACTGCTCGAGGGTGAAGTTCACATTTTTAAACTAAGATCTGCTAGCTTCGTTGTTGGCGAGAGACAGATATCTACGTTCAAGAGCTTAGTTACTGGCTGATCAGTGTCTGAGTATCTCGGACGCTAGCCATGTTCCCTCATTTTGTGTCTCGTCGCTAACTAGTCAAACATGTGGAGGTTTCAACTGTGGTCGAGGCGGGAAACCGTGCTAGTAAGGTGCTGCAGCTCGCCCCCCAAAAATTATCTCCCTTCCCACCATTTCGGCAACATTCCACAATCTGGGCTATATGGGACCACCCAACCTGATTTAGTTCAGCCTGGTTCTTGCGGTCGTCTTAGATGTATCAAAAACACTGAAAGCAGACTCGCCAGACTTTTAGCAGTAGTATTTAGGCTCTCTCAGTCTCGCCACCAGGATTCTAAAGGCACGCCTTCTGCCGCATGAATATCTCGTGCCAGTAGCTGCCGTGTTAGAACGTCCCGGGTAAGGGCTTCTAGCCTAGCTTTAGAGACAGTGTTCCGTTGGTGTGAGCTGTCACTTTATTCTTTCCGATGACCCGGGGATCTGGCCCGATCTGATACCAGGGCAGCAGCGCATATGCAATTCTTGGGTATGACTTCACGATTTGTCAGTTTTAAGACAGACTTAGTTGAGAGACAATAATACTGGACAGACTTACGGCCATAAACAAACAACACACGTCTTGCCATATCACAGTTAACTGTCCTGTAATTTTTTTGTCTTGTCTGACGAGGTCGGAGGAAGGTATGGGACGGCGGCTGGTCAGGAGTGGAAGGTCGGTCGTTGCCATCGAACCATCACATTAATAAATTATATGCAGTATCATGTCAAGACTAACTACATACCTACATGCGTCTCCGCAAGTATCAAGATGGACGAGGCCATTCGTTGACGGCAGCCAGAGCGTCTTGGGGATACGGCAATAAATGAAGTCTATATCGGATGGCGGGTGAAGGGAATGTAGTATAGTTTGACATGGGAGTCGACATGGAATAAGATGGGTATTCAGCCTCTCGGAGCGGCTAACTGCGTGTACTAGTTAAAAGAAACAAAGATGGCTATAGAACGAAGAGTTCCCGCCCCATTTACGTTCCGTTTTTCAACCCCTGCCCCAGTCCTACTCGTCGTCACAAATAGGCTCCTGTAAATATGTACATACTCTATCTTCCCTGTTTGTGTTCTCTTCGGATCTTGTTGACAGAGGGCCGGTTGACGCACGACTTCAGTGATACTGCTACCTCTCACCGACCATCTAGGTAGTCCCGTACCCAGGAGCCAAACGTGTCGAAAGCCAATGGAACTAGAAATATCTCCGTAGTGTTTGAAGAGTCGGGGAGGTAGTTAGCGAGACGAAGAGAAGATCTAGCCCTGGAGACCCTGTGTCCGGTTTATTCGCTTGGACCCCAAAGACCGGGTGATAATTGCAGCAACTGTAACCTGGCCTGCTAGAGGCTGGGTGTGTTGACGCTGGAGGCCAACGCTGTTTTGTCTCCGTAACCCCAAAATATCTACGCAACACATTACTATATTGCTAGATTCCTTATGAATGGCCTGCACTTTGCTTCCCTGAGGCTCCTTTAGCGGAGCCCATGTAGTGTGTCGGTTTACAAGGAGCGGCCTTGGGTTAAAAAGCACATAGACAACCAGGCCAAATAAACCATCTAAGCTGCTTTCCTTTTTAGATAAAATTTGTCTTTTCTGGGTATCTAGGCGCAGGAGGGTTAAAGGAGATACAACAAAATGATTTGATAAGGCATTTATAAGCCAAATCTGTTCTAGCACGAGGCCCAGGCAAAGGACCGAGGTATTTATGGGGTAGTATGTCTGAAACAAAATAAATAAAAAAAAGTAAAGAAGAAGAAAAAGAGTGAACTTCTGGGAGCTAGTTTGACGTGATACTTGTCGTACTCCCTTCCACGACTTTTAGAAGGTGAATGGTAGGCCGTGAGGGAGGAGGTTGTTCAGAGGAAAGAGCAATTGCTGGGCAAGGGGAACTTCCATTGAAGTGTTACTAGTAGTGGTTCAGCGGGCCCCACTGTACTTCGCAACTGCTCGGCCCACCATCCAATCAAAACGCACGAACAAATTCACGCCAACCCTCAATCGCTCCCGCTCAGCAGCTCCCGAACAAATCTCGAAAATCCCGAGGGCCTTGTTAGACGACCTCCCAATTGAGGCCCGCAACCCCCCTCCAACTACAGCACAGCACCAGCACAGCGACACGCGAACGCGAGCGCGCATATAACCGGCGATGAACCGGCAAGTCGTCCACACTGCCCTCGGGCGTAGGCGGGCGCTCGACAGCTGCCGGGAAAACGCGGCGCAGTGTCTCCGCGCAGCGAGCAGCAGCAGCATCATTAGGGGCCAGCCCATCAGCTGGCAAACATACTCGTCCTTCTCTACGACCATGACACATAGCCTTGCGTCATCCGATAAAGCCCCCCCGACGGCCCGCGAGCGCTCGTCGGCCGCTGCGTCCAAGCTAGCCGAGCTCGGCGGCGGCGGCGGCGGCCAGTCGAGGCCCGCACCAGCAACATCACAGCCCTCGGCAGCAACCACACCGCCTCCCGGGCCCGTCGATGTCCGTACCATGGGTAGCTCCTTCGCTGCGTTTGGCCCCAAAGTCATCAATCTGCGCAGTCTCCGCGGTCGCCTGGGTGCCGCCGGCCCAGCTGCCAGAGCGGGACCACCGCGCTTCGCGGCCAGGCCGGCCAGCTTTGCGGGACCAGGAGTTACAGGAGGAGGCAGATTCACCCCGGGAGCGGCAGCACGAGGCGTGGGCAGATTCGCCCCGGGTGGGGCGGCACGAGGCGGAGGCAGATTTGGCCCGGGAGCGGGAGCACCAGGCGGAGACAGATTCGCCCCTCGAGCGCGAAGAGGCACCACGCGCGGCCGCGGCAGGGGGGGAGAGAAGCGCGGCAGCCGCGGCGGGAAGGGCGAAGACACGGAGCGGCTCAAGGCCAGGTGGACGCCCGAGGAGCAGGAGGTTATCAACCGGATGGAGCAGGGCGTGGTGACGGCGTACGTGCCGACGGTGACGGCCGAGTCGCTGGCGGGGTACGGGCCGGCGTTGGCGTCGGACGCGGCCGTGGCTAAGATGGAGTCGGCCATGCGCGCCATGCGCATCCTCGGCGGCGGGCGGCCCTTCGACCCCGTCACCACGGTCACGGGCGACATCCGCGAGGCCGTCAAGCGCTACTCGCACGAGAAGAAGCCGCTGTTCTTCAGCTCCAAGGAGGAGAAGGAGTGGCTCGAGAGCTGCCGCCCGGGTTTTCGGTTTAAGCCCGCCGAGGATGCCACCAAGCAGGCCGTCCTCGACGCCGCCGTCCTCGGCAAGTACGAGAAGCCCCAGTTCGTCGACGTCTCCAACGTCATGGGCACGCTCGCCAACTACCACAGCCGCGAGCCGACGTACCTGCCGTCCGACTCGCAGGCCTTCATGGCTAAGGTCCGCGAGCTGCTGCCGGCTGCTCGCAAGCCCCCCGGTGCTGCTCCAGTGAAGACGGTTGCTTGAGGGTTGCAGAGGAGAGGGGACGAGAGTAGACTGGGCCAGTGGCTTGACCCTCGCATATACTACATAGACCTGTAACAATATATACCACATTAGGCCGTCCAAATCCGTTATTGGTTTCTTTGGTTTTTATATGGACCTTGTCTCACTGGTACGACTTGTACTGTAGACAGGGAGGTAATTTATACATGACAACGGACACACAGAACTGCCTTTCACGCTCAGCCCGCCTTGTTGGCAATGAACTGCAGAATCTCCTTCTCCTTCTGGGCAATGACCTTCATGCGGTCGTCCTGCAGCTTCTGGACCTTCTCGCGCAGCTTGTGGTGGTCGTCGCTGAGGATCAGGCGGTCGGCGCGCCACTTCTTGTGCACGGCCTCGCGGCGGTGCGACTCGTCGCGCACCTGGTCGCGCCACGCCTGGCACGTCTCCTTGGCCCGCCGCACCAGCTCCTCGGCCCGCTCCGGCTCCACGGTGAGTGTCAGCTCCAGCGCATTGTCTTCGCTGCGTTGCGGCTGCTGGTTGAACGCCTCGCTGCGCTGCACCGCGCTCATGATGCCCCGCACAGAGCTCTCCTCGAACGCCAGGATGCTCCACCGCCGCCCCCCCAGGGGCGCCACCGTCGCCAGTTCCCGCAGTGGGAACGTTACTGTGGGCACGGCAGCGGCGGCGGCGGCAGCGGCGGCGGTCGGGGCTTTCTTGTTGGCTTTTCCTACCTTGGCTGCGGGCTCTGTTTTGACTGGGACCGCCGTCGCGGGCACCTGCACTGGCAGCGCGCCAATCACCTCGGCGTTGAACTTGCCGCCGCCCGTGCGCATGCGCTTCAGCTCCTCGCCGTGGTGCCGCTCGGCCTTGTCGAACGCGTACGTCACGTCGGCGAGGTTGAACGGGTCCTCGCCGTTGGGCAACGGCCGGTCGGCGTCCCCGGCTGTGTCGCTACCGCTGCTGCTGCTCTTCTTGTCTTTTTTCCCTTTCCCACCACCACCCGCTGCTACTGCTGCTAGTTCGGCGTCGTCGCCGCCTCTCCCTCCACGCTTCGACCCCTTCTTAGCGTGCGCGCGCGCCGTGTGCGAAAAGGGTCGTCGAGCTGCGAAGGCGGCGGGTTTGTTGGTGCTACTGTAGCTGCTGTATGCGGACGCAGAGGTGGAGGAGGATAGCGCCCGGCACGCGGAGATGATGGCCAGCGTCGCGGCGGCTGATGATGACGGCGGCGAGGAGCTTTTGCTTGGCAAAGACGGTGATATGCTTAGCTTCTCATCTGGAACCTAATAGCTGGCCGGGTGGCCGACCGGCAGCGGAAGCTAACAAACCGTGAGAGGAGCGCGCTGCTCGGGCTGCGCAGCAGCAGCGCATTGGTGGCGTGGAGGTACTTCATGGCGGCTTTCTCTTTCGATCGCCTGTTGTTGTGTGCTTGTATGTTGGTATTCCGTACCTGCGCAGGGAGACGCTGAAGCTGTGGGGGGAAGCTGTCGTGGAGCAGAGGAGGTTGTGGCATTGGCCAATCATGAACGGAGCACTGTGCAAGTGTGGGGCAGAGACTACCTGGTGATGGGGATCTTGAACCGCCCCCCCTTTCGCCCATTTGTTTACTTATTAAAACTGACCGGAATAAAGGAGGTAAATATTTTTGGAATGTGCGTGCAATTGCTCATTCTGAGAGGTCATCAGAAGAACAGGGAAATCAAAAGTCAACATCTTAATTTTCTGCGTAGTATATGTCGGGCTGGCATTCCTCGCCCTCGCAGACTCGATGGAGGCCCATGCCAGATCCCAGTACAGTTCCTCACAATTTATTAATTTTTTTGGCGGGTTTTCGTCAGAAAGACCATTATACTTTTGCAGTTGTCTGGATAAGATGTGAAATTTATGTTTGATGTAAGGAAGCTGAGCTTGTACTTCATCATGGTTTCTCGTATTTCTATTCTGTAGCGATGATGCTTTGTGATGAGAAAAAAGGTTCGGAAACAAAAGTCTCGATTTGATCTCGGCCAAGAAATACATACAAAAAGAGACAAACCATCAACTACCTTAGGCCTAACGACGTAGACTCAGAGACATAAAACCTGGTACCAAAGCAAAGTGTCATAACCACCATAGCTTATTCTCAGGTATACACAAGCCAATGGAACTTTCTGAGAAGAGAATCTCACAGATGGAGTCGATCACTTCTCTCTGCTAAACAAACAACCAGACAACCAGACAACCAGACAACCAAACAAAACAAACAACGAACCAACTCCATATTCAGCCCGAGTTTCCACTCCCAATCTACGAATCAAGAACAACGCCTAGTAGGCTGCGTGGCCTAGTGGTTAAGGCATCTGCTTTACACGCAGAGGATCGCAGGTTCGAGCCCTGCCGCGGTCATTCTTCTCGGTTTCATGTGTGTGTATTTGTATTCTCTATCTCTTAGTGAGTAGTACTCATTCATTCGCTCTCTTTTTGGTGCTTTTTGTTTTTGAATGGCTTTTTATCGGGGTATGATGCATACCCATTATCATCCCATGCAGACGAGCCAATGATGATTAATTGAGCATGCGTGAATTAAAGTGATCGGATGGAGATGGCTATCATCAAAGATATCAGATTATTCCCGATCTACACGTCACACTCGTTAGCCACCTTTAATGTTAAAATGTTTTTTTTTCTTTTTTATTACATATCTATTTTTTGCACATGTCATTTTGTTTACTTGCACCAATCTACACTCCAGACCGTAGAGCTCCCTGTCACCGCTAGACACCGACCGGCGCCAGCGCCTGAAACAAATCCCACACCTCCATGCCCACACCAGCAACCATCAACCTGCCCGGGGCGATGACCTCGAAATCTCCCGGGTCCGCGACGGAGCTGTACTGGTCATCGAGCAGCGCCACGGCGAAGCCGCAGCCCCCCGCCAGATCCGTCCGCTCTGCCCTCCAGAGCTTGACGCGCTGGTCGTTGCTGGCCGTCGCCACCTCGACATAGCCCGCGCCGTCGCGGCTGACGGCGCACAGCCCCGTGATGGCTGCCGCGTGGGCGTCCCTGACCCGCGCCCGGGTGCGGACGGCGAACTCGCTGGCGTCGGGCGACCAGGCGAGGTCGAGGACGCCGAGGGCGTTGTCGTCGCCACCGGTGACCACGAGCCGCTGGCCCCGGCCGTCTGGGGCGTCTTCTCGCGCCATGTCGAGGCTCTTGATGGTGCTCTGGTGGAGTTTGGACACTGAGGCGAGCGCGAACTCTGCGGGCCCACCGTCCTCACCCTTGTTGCTAGTGGTAGTGCGGACGCCGCTGGCGGCCCAGAGGGCGACGTGTCCGTCGGTAGACGCCGTAAGTATGTGAATGGCCGCCCCCTCCCCGTCGGCCGGCGTCCGCAGGTGGCGGATCTGCGTCAAGCAGGCGCCCGTGTAGTGGCCCTGGGCGAGAAGCTGGAAGCCGTGCTCTGTGGAGTACAGGTAGGACTTCAGCGTCGAGTTCGAAAGGACGAGCGAGATGAGCATGGCGCCGTTGCCGTCGCCCCCAACAATATCTCGTCCCGCTGCCTCCCACGGCTGCACGTCCAGGTCGATGATGCGCAGGTCTCCGTCGGGGGTGCGGTCGGGGTAGGCGGCCTCGCACACGACAGCGAGCGCCTCGTAGCTGGAATCGAGGCGAGTGATGCGCCATACAAACAACTCCTCGCTGCCGGCACTGCTGACGAGGCAGCCGGGGCCGACCCACTTGAGGCACTGGATGCCGGCTGAGTGTTTCTCCAGCACGGCGAGACACCTGAAGCCGCGCCGCGTGTCCGACGAGTCGCTGCTGTCCCGGTACTGCCAGATACGGATAGTGGTGTCCTCGGCAGCCGTGGCCACGTACGGGCCGCACGCGGCGGCGGCGCGCATCTCGCGGCCGTGACCACCCTCGCGCAGCGCCCGCAGCGCCGGCCGACGTTGCGAGTACAGCCGCATGTGCGCCGCCTTGGTGAACACGAAGCGCAGCTGCCCCGCGTCGGCGGCGGGCGACACGCAGTCAAAGGGCCGGTGGCCACCACCGCACTCGACCGTGGCGAGTTCGTGCCGCGACGTCTCGTTCCACACGACAAACTGCTTGCCGCGGAACCCGTGCAGTATCAGCTCTGCATCGCCCTGGCTGGGCGGTGCGGTAAACCAGGCACCCTCGATCATGCCCATGGGCGGCGATATCTCGTGCTGCAGGTGGAGTGTGGTGTTCCCGGCTCCTGAGCCGTCGGCGTTGTTGCTATTGCCAATGCTGTAGATGCGGTACCTGCCGTCCCTGCACCCCGTGAGGAAAGAGGTCTGGCTCCCAGGCAGCGGCACAATGCAGGTGACGGCGTCCTTGGTCTTGCAATCCCGCCGAGAAACGTCGGGCGTGAAACAGTTGGCGTCGGTCTTGTAAATAGTCACGGCTCCGACTCTAGACCCCAAGACGAGCTTCCCGCCACAGAAACTCGCGGCGGTCACAATGTAGTGCTCCCTGAGCGTGATCTGCCTAGAGTCTACCAGCGAATCGCCAGCCGAAGCATTAAACGTCAACATTGTGGCATGGTCCACGCCGAGGACAGTGACAACAACAGCCCATGTCTTGGCCTGTCGGTCACTTGCAGAATCCGAGAACTGCACACAAACCATGTCTGAGATCTTGCCCGGGAGCTTGGCCAGTTCCTTGATCTCGTGAAGTGGCTGAAGCAGGTAGACGCTCCCGCTTGCACTGCCAATGACGGCAATGTCCAGGGCAGGACTTTTTACAAGACTAAAGGAGTTGAGATCGCTGCGGATAGCCGGCGGGAGAGTGACCTCTTCCCATGCCAGAGTCTCGCCCACAGTGCCAAGCAAGAGTCTCCCGGCCGTTGTAGTCGCGAGCACAGTGTTGTCCGATATGAAGGCATATCTTTGGAACCCATCTTTGCTGCTCCTGTTCGGCATAGCCGCAGGCAAATCGACCGGGAGGGTCTCCTCAGGTCTGTGGAGCTTTTCTATTATTTCGTGGAAGGATTGATCGATGTCAAGGACGCCATAGCTTGGCCTCGAGTCAACATCCGGTCCATCAGTCCCGCTCCGGTCACCGGATATAGCAATCTTGCCATCCGCGCCGCCTGTTGCTATTACTGGGACTCCGTCCGCGCCGGAAGAGACGACGGCAGACCATATGTTCTTGCCGATGTGAGCAGAGCATGCGCTACGGAGTCGGAGAGTGCCCAGTGGCTTGTCCTCGGGCTTTGCAGCTGCTCCTACATCTGACAGCCCTCGACTAGGCGCGGCGTGCAACCGTGCCAGGTCAATCGTGAGCTCCCATTTCTGCCGCGAGCAGTCTTCGCCAAAGGAATGCACCTCGATGGGGCTGGCCTGCGGCGAGTGGTGGTTGGTGCGACCTGTGAACCGGACGTGCCATATCCTGGAGGCATGGCCCATGGCAACGGCTAAGCACCTGGCCGAGTCATGCTTGTTTTCCGACTTGACCTCGGAGTTACTCCCGCCGAAGCCAGTTTCCCGGGCTTCGGCCAATGCGCTCGTGTGCTGGGTCTCCCCGTTGGCTGCTCCTGTGACAGCCCCTGCGACGGCCAGGGGGCGGTCCGTAATATCCCATATCCGTATCGTCCGGTCGTCGCTGCAACTTGCGAGCAACCTCACGCTAGTGCCGTCAGGGGCGAGCTCAATCTCTGGGGAGATGGAGACGCCGAATATTGAACCCTCGTGGCCGGTGAAGACGTAGAGCAGCTCCCACTGGGGAGAAGAATGGGCGGGGGCGTCTAGGTGGTACTTCCAGACGATAATTTCGCCAAAGACGGTGCCGCCTGCGACGAGGATAGAGGTGGGTGACAGCAGGCAGAGGTTCGCCGAGTAGAGAATGGGCCGCGAGGGCGACGTCAGGGGCCCAAAGACGAGGGCGTGCGCCGGCCCCCTGCCACTTACCGAAAGGGGGACGATTTCGTTGTGGGCCGTTACGAGGGCTCCGTTTGTGGCCGTGTCGGAGGGGAACAGGATGCCATCGTAGATCCAGTCTGCGGCTCTGAGCTCGTGCGGCTGCTGCACGGGGGCACAGCCGTCGACGAGAGCCTGCAGAGACTCTTGGGGCAGGACTGTGACCGAGTGGCCGCCCCAGACGAGGACACGGCCATCGCCGGTCCGCTCGCCGGTCCGCTCAGGTGCGTCTGCTTCTGCGACTGCGTCTGCGCCTGGGCGCGAGACGTAAATGCCGTGGATGGGCTCCGAGTAGAAGATCTTGAGCTGGCCGAGCAGACGCGAGCTGGCGACGTCGTAGACCTTGAGCCAGGTGTCCTCGCCGGCAAGCACGAGCACGCGGCCTGGTTGGTGAGGGGGGCAGTAGAACTCGAGGGCCGTTACTGGGTTCGACAGGTAGCTGTGCCGCAGTTTTGTCTTTGTCACAGACTTGCTGCTGCTTCTCTAAGGGGCGGCGAAGGAACAGCCCCGGGGGGTGGTGGTGCGTGTCAGCGGGCGAGTCACTATCGATGTCACGCACGGTGGCGACGACAATCCGAGTGAATGAATGGGTGATTCAAAAACAAAGTAAAGTAAAATTGACTTTAGCACAAACTAGGAAACTGCGCACCTTTTCCGCCGCCATTATGCTGCTGCTGGGAAAATGAAAATCGGGCATCGCACCTAGCAAAGCTTGCGTCTATTTACTGACATGAAATAGCTGCCGTTATGCCCAGATTGTGTGTTCTAAAAAGACCATGTCGTTTGTTGTTGGTTGCATGTGTTGCGTTGCTCAGGACCGTCCGTCAATGAGAGGTTAGCCACATTCCATTTTCGCTTTCTGGGTTAGTGATTTGTTGCGCTTCAACCCTAACCCTACTCTACAAATATCTCTTTCAATGTGCTACCTGAAGTGATTGTTGCATATCGTCAGGGGCAGCCACGAACACAAAAACATCACTTAGCCCTTTAAGGCCTTTTAGCTTCATGCGAACCGTTCTTGAAATTGCAGGCGCCTAGTTGCATTAACAGATCTGCCTTTTGAGGGTGGCAAAATAACTCCTTCCTGTCCTTTCATCAGCCTCATATTCAGTACTTTCAGTACTTTCACCCTTACCTTACTAGTCATCACCGTATTGTCGCCCATGTTCACGACAACAGGCCTCTCTAACAAGTTAAATCAATAGACCAAGACAGCAAGTTCAAATCTAGCTCACAAAGACCTTCCACGCATTAAATAAAAGTAGACTACAACTTAGTTACAATAAGTATATTTACTGCCCATCACCAACAACCTCAGGAGGTAAGGTAGTTACGAGGTCTGTTGGTTTGGGCGTATGTATGTGTCATAATTTATCATTTCCTCCAACCCCCCTCGAGCTCGGGGTATCAATCATCCTAAATAGGTAATAACCGTATCTATCGAGGCAAAAGTGTTTTTGCCCCTGCCCTTGTTTGCGGTCGTATCAAATCCCCCCGAAACCGTTCTTAAGCCGGTTACCAGGCCTCCGCCCTCCCCTCATTCCCATCGAAAAAAAGAACGCCGGTTGAATGCAGTGCGACAAGAAATAAACAAACTCGGAATCGATAGAGCTATGAAACACCCCATCGCAGAGGAAGAAAAAAGTCATTCGCAAGAAACCTCAACACCACGCCTATTGGTAGAAGCTCCATCGTAACAAGATACACGCCTTGCTGTCCATGACATGATTCTAATTGCCTCTAGGCACGAGCGTGCGAGTAAGGCTCGTACGCGAGGTCGCGCTGCGGAGCACCGTAGCTTTGGGGATATTGCTGCGGGTACTGCTGGGGATAGCCACCGTGCTGCACTTCGAGGGGCTGGTACGGGCCTGACATGAGCTTCTCGGCCGAAGGTCCACGCTCGCGGTTCTTGCGCGTGTGGTCGGGCTTGCAGCAGCAGATTGTGAAGAGCCAGAAGAAGCCAGAGGCAATGGCGAAGGCGGCGCCGATCCAAACGGCAGCCAGGAACCTCGTGTTGAAGCTCGCCTTGACGCCGTAGAACTTGGCCGTACCTTCGACGGCACCAACCACAATGACCGATGTGGCAGTGGCGAGTGCCGCCGCAGCGCACACGGCAACCATGGCGACAAGGGCGACGAGGAACGTGACGCACGAAAAGGCGCGGCTGCAGTTGGCAAACGCGCCAAAGAAGAGCTCCACGCCCAGCGCCACGTATGCGATGATGAAGACGACCTGGGTCCACTTCGAGACGGTGCCGAAAGCCTGCACGGCGTTCATGATGCCATCCGGCAGCGTGACGTTCAGGCCCGTCGACGTGATGAGGCTGTTGACTCCCGAAGTTGTCGTGTTCAGCGCGCCCGTGGCCCAGTTGAACTGAGGCTTGGTGCACTCGCGCGACCCATTCTGGGGGGTGTAGCAGTAGCCCCAGATGCCGACGTCGTAGAGGTTGAAGAGGCCGAGGTCAGCGGCGGTGATGTTGGTCGACTTGGATGACGTATCGTCCGCCTCCTTGTTGATAAGCGACGGCACGTCGTGGAACAGGCCAAAGCCTTGCGGTTCCGGGCTCCGCACGTTGAGAATCTTCCTGACCGAGAGCGGCGAGATGGAGAGGTCCGTCGTGTTTACTTGGAACATGTAGAGCGACTTGTCGGCGACTCCAGCCAGACCAGCTACCAGCATTGCAATAATAGCGCCGATGGTGAGAAGGAACGGCAGTGCCACGCAGGCAATGCGCCCGATGTTGCCCATCTTGCTGTTTGTTGCTTGGGCTGATGTCCAGCTAACCTTTCGAGATCAAGCTGCGACTTAAGGGGATGAGAGTTTCAGCAACGGGCGGAAGGTAGAGTGGGCTTGCTTGTCGAGTCGGGCAGCTGTCAGGTAAGATACTCTGTAATGTTGCGCGATAAGACACAGTAGATAGATGGCCTCCAACGAGCGAGTGAATGCCTTCTACCACAGGATAGACAAGGCAAAAACGAAAGATGACGAAATCCAAACGAAGGTTCGCTCGAAAATCAATTGCTTGTCGATGGTGACGGGAATGCAGAAGCGGGAGAAATGCAGAGGAGGACGAGGGCGACAGATAAATAAGGTATGGGTGGTGTCCCACTCTTCAAACACTGTGCCCCAAGCCCAGGTGCTAGTGCAGATGTGCGTGCATCTAAGGTGCTTGCCCGCTTGGTTGATGCACCCGAATGCAGGGATTTCAGCTGCCCATCAGGCTGGCTGTGTGCTGTTCGGGCAAAGTGGCGCAGTCGTATCCGCCTTTCGTGTGGACGGAGCGACAGGAGACGTAATCCCCCCATCAACGAGGCCCGACCAGCCCACAACTCAGCCCCCCGCCTTAATACACGGGTGGTAATTGCAGGTCGAGAGCAGCACTGCAAGTCCGATAAGCCCCTGCCTCGGGGCGGTAATGGAACGGATCAGCACGCAAGCCAGGTCTCGCCCCGCTGTCTGTCCTCCATTGCAGGCCTCCGAAAAAAAATCCCATCTCACTTCGGAACCGAGCTGTTTGACTAGACTTTGAGGCGTTGAGCGACGCGCGGAACGAAAACGGCCTCTCACCTGTCGTCGCGAAAACTTCCATCTCAATTGCATGTGCACTAGGAACAGGTTCCAGAGGCGATATTGGCTCAGCTGAGCCCCCAGGTGCCAGACTAACGAACGTTAGTGAGTTATCCACGGATAGAAACCCTTCCAGGTGGCGGGGAAAAGGGTTTGGCCGCCATGGCAGGTCGCAGGGTCCGCAGGGTCGTCAGCGCGGCCGCTTCCAGTGTTGGTTGCGCAAGGCTGCCCTACCTGGCCAACCTCCACTTCCTTCCAGCGACTTGGGGTATGGATATCCCCAGGAAATAATCTACCAGGTGTTTGGGCAGAAGCCGGATGTAGTAACCTAGACGAAACATGCCATGGAACCGCGACAGATTCGCGCAGCACCACACACGCGCAGCTACCGTGTTTTGATCCGTGGCCGCTCGTCGCGAATTTCGACCTCAACTTCGACCCCGGAAAGAAAAATCATCCATGATCAACAGGGGGGGTTCCGTCCAAGATACAGAGCAACATGCATGATGCGGCATGGACCAAGATACCTGCTCAAAAAAATACAAAGGTGGAAAAATCCCTTGTTGGCCGCCGATCTTGGGCTGTTTCAACGGAGCCGGTCCGCTCGTTCAATTTTAGCGGTCGGGCTGGATGGGTCCCGGTTCCCACTTCTGGTCCCCTGTTCACGGGGGGCCACATCCCACGGATTGAAGTCACAGCCAAGCTTTACAGACACCGTTGCAGAGTGAAGGGCCATGTTTGTGCCTCACTACTTGGCTTCACATGTCGAACATTATGTTCCTTTCCAAGACAGTAGACACTGCATGGAAAATGCGACCGCTTGATAGTACAGCTAACTTGCCTGGCACGGGAACTGCACGACAATGCCAGCCTGGTTTCGGAAGCTCTTCCCCATCACCAACTGCATTTCGAACCGACGACGCGACGACTGCAGCATACCTGCAGGAGCTTGCTGTTCGAGGATTGGCCCTTTGCTTTCCCCAACCTCACGATACACTGCAGTTGAGAGCAAACCGCGCCGTTGAGTTGTTCTTCTTGCATGAAGCGGGGGAGAGGGACAGGCAACAGTTAAACAGTGACACCCTTGCCTTCTACTAAGCTGCTCCTTCATCATCGCAATCCGCGTATTATTCTCACTCGGTTATAACAGTTATACTGAGTAACGGAGATGGAAGGCCGAACGGAGCACTTAATGGGAGAGAAGAGACAAGAATGCGGTCAAACTATCCATGGCTCCGCTCGATATCGTGTGCACTCCCACGAGGCTTGGATGAGAGACTTCGAGCTAACTCGAAACTATCGCATACTAGGCCCATGGCTTGCGAGGCCCATGAGGCTTTTTTCGTCACTGGGCCTTGGAGGTAGTGGGCTTGGAGTCTGGACAGCCTGGCCTGGCCACTGGATGAGCCCCCGTCTAAATTTAGCTGACTTCACGGGCTAACTAGTCACGGTTAGTCTCGATTTCAAGCTCAGACCATTTATGTGGGGCTTCGTTGAGTCTAGCCAATCACATGGCATACGACATCTTTTTTTTCTTCCTCTACCATTTGGTCGCCACCACTCGTCATCTGGTATCTGAGTGAGCGAGACCAGATTTTCAGCGGGAATAAGACCGAGGAAATGGAGGACAGGTTTAAGGAATTCTCAATGGAATAGACAGTATATAACGCAGCGCTAGTGCGACAGATTGAATATTCTCTCAGCAGTCCACAGCCCTGTGGGAGCTCCATTGAATGTCAGTGACGGGCCTCTGCTCACAGATTCACTTATTCGTCAGAGCTCTCTCTCTCAGACTATTTTTGGTTGTGATCGAATATCAAACTCCGCTAGTCAATTCACAGTTGACGATCTATCTGCTCGAGTAGATTCATAGGCAGGTACCTGATTGCCTAGCTAAATATTGTAAGGAAAGAACCCCCAACCCACACACACGGCCAACTCACACGCGTACCGAGCGGGCCAAGACCTCACTCCTTTGTTAATGGCCCGCCCTGTACTCTGTCATGTATATAAGCAGTGGCCCTCGCCCCTTCCTTTGCGAGGGCCAGGTTGAAGTCTCTTACCAATACTAGTCATTGCTCGCTCTCTTCAGCACTTTCATTGTGACCACCTTGGTCAGGCGTACCTGCCTTCACTTACAAATATGCAGAACGTAATCGACCTAATTGATTTCCAAGTCCCAGCCCTGTTCGCGGCCCTTATTAGATACTTAGATAGTAATTAACGACGATACAACGAGCTAGGGTCAGACAATCTGACAAACATAATCATCTCGTTGGATGACGCTGTGTCGATTGAGAAGAGAGCCAGTTACAGTAGCTAAGGCAACCAAATAGGACTGTGGTTTAGTAACTAAGCAAACTCGACAGTTTGGGTTAGCAGCTTTTCCTATCCCCCCGTCTCATGACATCCTCTGTTTTCTACTCCGCGGTTGGTAAAGGTCATCCTTCACACCTTCTACGACATGTCGAGCTGCCCACCCAATACCTAATGTCTGCCAAGTAGATTCGGTCCCAGCAGCTGCCCCCTCGCGGGAAACACCCCTAGCATACAGGCCTCTTCGCGCACCTAACCCGTTGCTTGCCCCTTGCCTCTAAGTATGCATGGCTACTGTGTAGCAGTGCCATCTTAGAGTGCGAGCCTCTTGGCCAAGAGACAGCAGCATGCAAGGGCAGGAGTTGGTAGGGTCGGGTAACGACTTTGGTGTCAATGAATGCTGCTGCGGCACTAACCTGTGGCCCGTTACGAAGTCTTGGCGAGCCACTCACCACCTGCCTACTCCCCCCCTTTTATGTGCGAGCCACAGCCCCCCTAGGCTTCTAGCCCTCATTGGGCCGCGTAATCCAGCACGTGGGCATGGCCCGTCTTGACACGATCAGACGCGCGTTCTTTTTTTCTGCGTTGGCTTCTATCAATGGGCTAGGCATTCGTTGTCTTGGAATCCTCTATCCTGACCGTGCCTTTTTTGTGTGGTTCTCCTGACGGAAGCGGCAGCATTCGTTACCTGCAAGGCAGACTCGAAGAGTACTGGTGCCAGATTCGTCGTCACTCTTCATTTGGATAGACTTGCCGGCCGCAGATTCATGGTGGCTGGCCTGTTGGGGCACCGCCTTCAAAACTTTTGGACTCGGCATGTCGTAGGATGCCCCCCAACCCGCACCACTGCTGCTCCGTGCTTCGCCAAATCTCGTGGTTTTGTTTTTTTGCAAAAGCGTAGGTGCTCGCCCTTCTGAGCAGGCCTCAGCTTCGTTACATTTGGAAGTTTTGCTGACTCGTTACGAGCTTTAAATCCTCGAAGTCTCTTCAACCTCCGGTCTAGCATCAGGACGGTTGTAGGAATACTCTCCAAGGTGGGAGGCACTAGGAAGGAGTTGTCCAAGGAGAGCCCAGATCCCGATGATACTCTTCAGACGCTGGGTGTTCCATGCAGAGCTGTGACAGGGTATGAGGAGGGCGGAAGCGAAACTAGACATTGCGGCGGACTCGGTAGCTAAGAAGAGGTTAATTAACGCGTTGGGCAGAGAACGGCGATACTTAGTCTATTGGGATTCTGGTTGACTGGGGAATTGATAGAGCAAGACGAATTTTGGGCTGGGAAGAAGGGCTTTGAAACTGGGGTTAACATGTTTCTGTCTACTGTTAGCCAAGCTCCCTTAGGGTTCACGGTTTTCTATATCCCGTCACCGCCGCCCAGCAACAGGCCAGATTTCAAGGACCTCGTAATTATACCCGGAATTGTGAATCTAGTTAAGTCTAGAATCTAAGCTGAATATCAGCATGGCAAACCGCCTGTTCCTGTGATAAGTGATTTCAGGCTATGGCTCTGTGTCGTCTGGAATTGACCCACTTTTCATGGAATTGGACAGGCCCTGGTTGACATGCCTCTGAGCTTCCTTCATTCTTTGTTATTTCCTTCATTCTTGACTCGGAATGTCCTCATTTCATTCGGAATGCCCTCTTTCGGGCTGATTACAACGCCTCCCTTGCCCTCTCTCCATGAGTATAAGGAAGCGTTTATTTCTGTACTTTTAAACCTATTGAGCAGACAATTCAATGCGCTGCCAACTTCGATCGCGTGCAACACTCTGTTACCATGTGTCTTGCGACCCTCGTGGTTCCGAAGCCGGGTTGCTAATCACTTAAATTCAGGCTTGGGCACCGACAAGAAGGGAGGCTTCAAAGGCCTAGTAAAGTAGAAGCAGCAAAGTAGAGCATCAACTCCTCGGACTTCATTGTGTCTAGTAAAGGCCATGCTGGCCATTTCTGTTCAAGGATTGAATTTTTGAATTTTGCCTTTTTGGGGGGAGAGCGAGAGTCTGAGTGTTCCTTGATATATGTCGCCTGGAATTGACCTACTTTTCAAGGAATTGAACCACATTTTTCAGGCCCTGGTTAGCATGCCTCTGTGCTTCCTTCATTCTGTATTTTTCCTTCATTCTTAGCCTCGGAATGCCCTCATTTCGAGCTGATTACAACACTCCCCTTGCCCTCTCTCAACGAGTACAAGGAAGCGTTATTTTCTGCACTTTTAGACCTATTTGGCCAGACAATTCAATGCGATGTCAACTAAGATCACGTGCAACAATTTATCATCATTCACAGCCGAACAGAAACGATAGTGATATTCCGTTCAAAGAGTTAGCAAGAGGCTAATCAACGTTATAATGCACCTTCTTCAACTCCACCCAGTAAAAAGGTGATTGGTAATGATCGACGTCGAAAATAGTCGAATATAGTAGCTGTCACGTGTTAAGATGCATATATAATGGTTTGTCTCGGGCCCATTGCGGAGGAGGAATAAGCATGCCACGCAGTCATGCTTGGTTCGTAATCAACCTGGAAGTAAACAACCAGACAGGCCCACCACTCCTGGGTATTGGTAGGAATGCAGTTTTAGATTTTAGTATACCACCTCGGCCCCGTGTTTTACTGTCACTGCCGCCGGGTTGACTGCGGAATCCCGGCCATGTTCGCCTCCGGGCTCGGTCAAGCCTGGCCGTGCTCTCGGGAGATGGTGGGATAGACCTACAGAATCTCGAAATCTGCATATTATTTTTAGTTATCTATCCTCATCCTGATCCTAAGCTATAGGCCGGGCTCTTGGGCTGCATGCTAATACTTGCCTAATTAATTGTAGGTTGTTTCTTGCAAAATGTTTGGCTTTTATGCAGCCGCTATTTCCTCTTCATAAATACTTTGGTGACTAATGCAAGATTGCGCAGCAAAGCCATGACTTTGTGCCTTCTTCCACTTTGCGGTGAATAAGCCGCTGGGTGGGGTTGGTACACCTTAATTCCAAGGTTCTTCACCCCACATAACGTTGCCCCCCCATATCCTCGCTGCACAGTGAGCAAGCCGCGGTGGACTTGTGCGAATCGGGGACCGAGCGCCTCGTTCGGCAGGCAGCTTACCGAATCAACGGTCTGGACGAGAAAGGTCTACTTGTCGAGTGACCTCTCACGGTGCGTTTTCACCGCATGTGGGAGGTCATGGGGGAGGTCATGTGGCCGTCTCGGGCAAGGAGGAGTGTCCCTTCTCCATGCGGCCTCCTTGCTCTGGCCAGACTGGGAGATGCGCAATTACCTAAACATGCCGACGTTTTATGTCGGAAAGTCGCATCGCATGGCATCAAAGGTACATACAGCAACGCTAACTGCTCCGGACGACGTCCGGCGACCAGCGGGAGAATTGCCCCCCTCCGCACCATCCGTCCTCCCACCCTCTTCCCGGCTTGGTGTTAGGCTTCCCGCGGCTGCCATTTTCGAAGATCGACGGACATAATTGCATCAGGACTCACCCGTCCCCCCCCCTTTCACCCCCATCCCCCCACGCAGACATCCCGACGACAAGGAGCTGGAAAATGGACGATTCTCGGAAGCCCAGCACCCCCGCAGGTTTCACGCAGCAATACCTACCCGGGTCCGTTGATTGGGTAGATTGGGCAGAGGGCGGGCTGCCGCAAGTTCGCAACACCCAGAGCCCGCCAACCCGTAGTCGGATGTCTCATACCCACCATGTCACTTCATTCCAATAGCCTCGTATGCCAAGTTGCTAAGCAGCTTATATTTGGAAGATGAAACCAAAGAAGCAAAGGCTACTCCGTAATGCCAATGAAATGGGAATGGAAAGAGAAAGCGGGACGGGAAAGGGGGACGAAGCGAGACCACGACACTGTAATATCGACTATCTTGGACTAGTGAAAACTTGTCCCATACCTTGGGCACGGAGGACAAGGCAGTTCTCGGAGCTCAAGTGTAAATAATAAACCATAGGCAATAGCCAATGCAGCTGGGCAACCTGAGGTAGAGAGACGTCGGCGCGCGGCCGATGGGGGGCGGCGCCGGCGTCGTGGTCGTGAACGGGTTGTTATGGATGCATGAGTGGTAGCTAAGGTCCGAAGCACTAAATACTTGTGTAGGAGTAGCTTGACGCCTGCTTCGGGAAGTTATGGCGACTGCCCCACCTAACAAGGGGAGGCACGTGCCGTTCGTTCTGGGGGACCCAACATGCACTTGAACATTATTTGGAAGAGTCTTGCCTGCCCTAGACGTCCATCGACATGAATGTTTGCAAAAGTAATCCACCTAACTTAAACTTACTTACCTTATTCAAGAGGCCGGCGAGTCGAAGCGATTGTCTTTTGTGTGTTCAGCTGCTGTCTGCTGTATCCTTGGTTCCTGTCTGTGTTGTTGCACGGCAGTGTGTTGTTGCCCAATTGAGCTTGCCCAGTGCCTGTCGAAAGTGCAGTCTACAAAGCCCCATCCGTCATCCCCCCCCAGGTCCTTCCCACGCCTTCGGATGCAGCGATCACCAATCAGCCTCGTCCACTACCACCACCTGCGAAAAACTCTAATTTGCGTCGACTAAGCATCTCAAGGCCCCTCTTCTTGTCTCTGGCTCCTTTAATCATTACTTTCAGGCGCGCACAGGCTGCCCACTGCGCTAGGTTTCCTTCGCTGCCAACTCGCCGCTTGCGCAGCCTCGGGCCTCGATCTCGTCCTCGACCTCTTTTCGGCGCAATTGCACTGGTGGCGATTCTCGGCTCCCGACACATGCAAGCAAGCACCCACAGCATCAGCGGCCCACCCCAAGTCACGAAGCAAACTCTACGTTTACGTTGCCTCATCAGATCAAACATATCTGCATCTCGCCGGCATTCAACACTCGACGCGGCAGCAATAAACAGCTCGCTCACGGTCGAAAATATCCTCACTTCTCAGACTCCAGTCTTGGCACGTTAGACTGACAGTTTCGCCCTCCTCCCACTCTTCGTACGTTTTCTCCCCCCAACACAGCTCTAGATGTCTATCGCCCCCTCTCTTCCATCCCAAACCTACCCGCTCACTTGACATACTATACATGAACTTGACTCAGAGGAACATTCAAGGCTGACATCATCGACTCTCGCACCGAAGTCGCAGTGTTCATCCTTAACGGTATCAGCAACCCGCTTTGCCAACTGCATCCCAGCTCCGGTCCATCCTAAAGCCGACGTCCCACGCCCCGTCGCCTCTTCAACCAAAGGCAAGCGCATCGTCACGATATACGCCGCCGCCATTCCCCGCCAAGAACCCACCATCCATCCTTTATCTTGTTCTTTTTAGTCTTCAATCACGGAGAGATTATCGAGACGCCGATCCACCACCGCCATCCGCCTGCTTTTTTGCCTCGATCGTCTCTACCACCCTCCCTAGCACGTTGGGGCACGCCGGAGTTAGTATACACGTCTAGACGGGTGCAGTGGTAGGCTGTGTGGGAATTCAAAGGCGATTCTGCCGGAACCACAAACCTCACACGCGCACGCCGTCCAGCCCCGCACCTTCTCTGTCCAGAGTTGTCAAGGCGCTCTGACTTTTGAGAAATCATGGGCAACCAAACATCTAAGGACGCTGGCGCCGGACCTTCCAAGTCAACTGGCAACGGAGACCGTAGCGGCCCCGAGGGCTTGCAGTCGTACCCGTCCTTCAGCAGGTCCGACACCAAGGATTCGTCCCGGTCGTTCCGGTCCCTCCGGTCCAAGATACCAGGGTCGGGAAAGACGGATAGCCCCAGGAGCTCCACCATACTTTCGAGCGGGGACGGGACCGAAAAGTCGGATGCGGCCTCGGTAAGATCTGGGAAAAGCGGAAAGGCAGCCTCGACCCGAGCTGCCCGCGCCGATTCTGTTCCAACCCCAGGCTCGCCTTCGTCGGTCGACACTGCCACATCTCCCATGGCTGATGACCAACCGCCCCCGTCGCCGATTCAGTCGGCTTCCATACGGACAGGGATTCATGATGTCTCCGCTGCCCAGGCAAGCGGGGAAGTTGACCAAGTCTCGGACCAACCGCCGTCAGGAGGTGGGAACCCTGGCGTGTCAACCCAGCAACCCGGGCAGTCGATTCTCGTAAAACGCGAGAACACCATCAACCCCGTCTCGGATATGGCTTCACAAGACTCTGGCAAGGAAGATGGAGTTGCCGGGGTTGCAATGGGCGATATCAACGATATCGACCTCGATGATTTTATCAAGCGCCTTTTGGATGCCGCGTATGCTGGTAAGGTTACGAAGAGTGTCTGCCTCAAGAACGCTGAGATAGTGGCCATCTGCACGCGAGCAAGGGAGTGCTTTTTGTCACAGCCGGCTCTCCTTGAGCTTGACGCTCCTGTCAAGATTGTGGGAGATGTCCATGGCCAATACACCGACCTGATCCGAATGTTTGAGATGTGCGGGTTTCCACCGAGCGCCAACTTCTTGTTCCTTGGCGATTACGTCGATCGTGGAAAGCAGTCGCTTGAAACCATACTGCTCTTGCTCTGCTACAAGCTCAAGTACCCGGAGAACTTTTTCCTGCTCCGTGGAAACCACGAGTGCGCCAACGTTACGCGCGTCTACGGCTTCTACGATGAATGCAAGCGGAGGTGCAATGTCAAGATCTGGAAGACGTTCATCGACACATTCAACACACTTCCAATTGCCTCCATCGTCGCCGGGAAGATCTTCTGCGTCCACGGCGGCCTCTCGCCCGCTCTTGGCCATATGGACGATATTCGGAACATCGCCCGTCCCACCGATGTCCCCGATTATGGCTTGCTCAATGACCTTCTTTGGTCTGATCCTGCCGACATGGAGCAGGACTGGGAGGCGAATGAACGGGGCGTTAGTTATTGTTTTGGCAAAAAGGTCATCACGGATTTCCTTGCCACGCACGACTTTGATCTCGTTTGCCGAGCCCATATGGTGGTGGAGGATGGCTACGAGTTCTTCAATGACCGAGTCCTGGTCACCGTGTTTAGTGCGCCTAATGTGAGTATACTATGCCCCGTGGTATCTTCGTGCCTGTTATTAACGTGTTGTCAAGTACTGCGGAGAGTTTGACAATTGGGGAGCCGTCATGTCGGTATCTTCCGAGCTCTTGTGCAGTTTCGAGTTGCTCAAGCCGCTTGATTCGAACGCTCTCAAGAGTCACATCAAGAAGGGGAGGAATAAGAGGAACCATATGCTCAACAGTCCGGTATGTCCCGTATCTCCGTTTTTATATTCCTCTCTTGTTTGTCGTTACATGTTCGCTAATAATTGCCAACAGCCTGCGAGTGTTTATCCACAAAGCGTCTGATATTATAGCATGAGGCCGGCAACGGTACGAGACGGAGTGCGCGACTATCCGAAGATCGGCAGGAATGAGCTCTACTGCGAGTGGAGAGAACGACAAGCTTGGTACCTCACAATAATGCCCATGGCCGATCCGCGGCTTCTGGTAGGGGGCGAGTGCAGTGAATTTGACGTGCAGCTGGAAGAAGACGAGCAAGCAATTCGCACCACGGTCAAGGAATAAACGAAGCGGGTTCTCTTGTTGGCGCAGTGTTTGGTAACATTCGCGGCGGTCAATAAAGTGAGACGGCAGGGGGAGAAAGAAGTGTAGGTGGCCCGGCCTCGGTATCTGAAAGGACATAGAGAGCAGCAGTCGACTCCCTCGATTTTAATAACTGGGTAACCGGGCGGCGAGCCGGTCAGTCAGTGACAGAATCATGCATTCCCTTAGTCACGCCGACGAAACCTTTTCAGAGCACCTTCCCTCTTTCTCCTTTCTCATATGGCGGCATTTTTTGCATTTGCCTCTCTACTACTACTACGACTGGCCATCATGCCGGCTGAAATGAGCCATGAGCACTTGATGATGCAGGCGATTCCCCCCTTCACCTGGCGTGGTGGGGATGTCGCTCTGCCGAGACGGCTCGTTCCCAGACACTCTGGCCGTCTTGCATGGAGACATGGCTCGGGCAGGCAGACAAGCCGAGGGGTTACCGGCCGCGGCAGAGATGGAGTTGGGCACGCAAAAGGGGCTGGTTGCCTTGTGCACATGTCTGTCTGGCTTTGCTGGTTTGCTGGTTGGCTGTCTCTCTGGCCTGTTTCTATATCTTTGTGTTTCTCTCTGTTGTGTAAATGTGTGCGCGTATGTACAGCTGAGGTAGCTGTGCGTTTCGGGATGAGATAATGCTAGGGTTAATTCTTACAACTTTTTTGGGACTTCTCTTGCTTAATCGTTTCTTATTTCTCCCCGAGTATTTTTCTTGACAGTATAATAGTTACTATCCAGTGTTGAAGAATTGGTCTCTTCATACCTCCATCGAAAAATCCAACGTTTTGAACGTGAAGATATCGAAAGTAAGTAATCCTAGGTTGTTACCTCCTATTCTCGGGAAACCCCAGTTCGTTTATCAGGCGTCGTCCTACGCCATACTAATCTGTTCAACCTCGTTGGATCCCGTGTTATAGCTCTTAGAGTAATTAGGTATCTTCCTGTGTACTGTGAAAGATCGGCTTGTTGACCAAGGTTGAATGAAGGTAGGCAGCTGACGAGCTTAATCCAACCCCTTTTAGCAAGTACGTGTCGTTCTGGACCTTGCACTAGGGAGGGTGATCCCTCCGTTTGATCTCCGTTTTTCTTGAGCCCTCGTATATAATATGTACTCCGTACACTCCGGCCAGACTACTGGTTTGGGAAGTGATCATATTCACCAATATCGAACAAAAGTACATTGTATATTAGGCAACCGTCGGTTTGGAACCATCAATAAAACATCTAGCATTTCCCCTCGTCTTTTCTTGAAGAAACCCCTCTCCTACCCCGAATCTAGAGGTTCGGTTGGGGATGGGAGTAGAAAAGAAAACTAGAAAACCCCCCCCTAGCAGTTGTCCACTACCTCGCCTCAAACCCCAACAACAAAATAGAAGAAACTTGGTATGATAGTTCCCTTCTCTCCCCCTTTACTCGCCAAGCACGATAGAAACGGCAGCTTCCGTCCAAGTTATTACTGTCGATATGGAGCGAGCTAGATTATGGGTTATTGTTTGTCACGCTCTAAAAGAAATTCAATATTGTATCCGCATCGACGACCCCCTTCCTCAGCTGCGCAGATATCAGGGAACTATGGCTGCTCGTCAACTCTGTAGCGGAGAGGCTTCTGCCTCTTCCTAGCCGACCGATCAGCTAGCGATAAACCGTCGTCGTCGTCGTCGTCGCCGCCAACACTGCTGCCAGGAAAGTCGTCAATGAGCTGGAAGTGGTATTCGCGGTATGGGCCGCCGCCGCCCAGCGGAGAGGCGCCGCCAGTCGAGAGTGGGACGGCCATTGCCTCTTCATTTTCTGGACTGAGCTCGAGATCATCTGCTTTCCTCTTTCGTCCGGCCCCGTTAACGCTGTTCGTGCTTGAGTTCACGCTCATGAATGCACTGCCATTGCCGCCGCGGAGCGTCGAGCTTGAACCACCTTGGCCAGACAGGCGGTCAAAACCGCCTTCACTGCTGACTCGGTCTCGCACCGTCTCCACAAGCGGTGCATCGTCCGAATCTTCGGGGCCATTGGCAGCACTCTTAGTGGCCGCAATGTTGTTATTGGCTGTGCTCGTGCTGGTCGGAGTGTCCGGTTTGGTGATGATAGGGGGACGCGGGTGTTTGGGCTTGCGGCCAGCACCGGGGCGGGCGCCGCCTCTTTTGGAGGCCTTTTTCACTGGCTGCTGCCCCGGCTGTGGCTGTTTGGCGGCTGTTTTTGGCACATTGGCCTTAACACCAATCTCAGACTCGGAGGGGTGTGTGAACACACGCGCCAAGAGGCGGCGGCGTGTGGGCGTGTCGTCGCCACCAGCTGTCTTACCGTTGGGGGTGTCTCCGGCTTGACTATCGCTGATCTCGCGGGAGCGGTCAATGTCCATGACATCCGCATTCGGATTAGGAACCGGCTGCTTCTTCTTTCGCCCGGCGCCCGGACGCCTGCCACCGCGCTTCTTCCGTCGTCGGGGTGTATTCTCACCCCAGTCGTCAGCCATCTCGTCGTCCTCATCATGTGGGATGTTTGCCCATTCAGGCATCTCATCCTCGGCTGAGCTTGCGCCCGGATCTGGTGCTGTCTTTCGCGCTCTTCCGCGCGCGGCCTTAGACAGTTCTGCTTCGTTCACCTTGGCCGTGGACTTGCGCGCCGCGACACCCCGCTGGCTGTTCTTGCGCTTCTGTGCCGCCGCCGCCCCGCTATTTCCGTTGTCGTTTGGCTTGTCCTCGTCTTGTTCAAGCAGTTTCTTGGTCAAGTTGGGAAAGTTATCTCCATAGTTGAAGAACAGTTCCTCCCCAGCCTTGATGTCACGAAGGGTCGTGAACTTGATGCGATACTCGCCATTGACATATAGAATCTTGGGCGTAATATTGCAGGCCTTTCTGTCGTACTCTGAAGCGTGATTGATGTAGCGGCTTAGGTTACCGTAGATAGCCGCGTCGACCCAGATTCCTTCGTGCTCCAAGAGTGTGAAGAGGTACGAGCTGTTTGACTCCTCGTTGAACACGTCACCACGGCGGGCTTCGCGGCGGACGCCTTCGTCGTGTGTGATTAGTTCGCCCGTATACTCTATCACGAACCCGTCTTGTAGGATGTCCTCGGCAGTGAAGAGTCCGTAGCCACAGCCTTCAAGCTGGGACTTGCCGAGCATGACAACGCGAGATGCGCCGCGCTGGAGGGCGACATTTTGGCATCCGGTCGAGTGAAGCTGCTCGTCGTAGCAATTCTCAGGGTCAGCTCTGTCACGTGCCCCGCACCCCTTACAGAGAACTGGGTCACACTCCCGGTTTAGCTGCACACAGATGCATGGCTTTCCTTCCTTTTGGCGCTGTAGACATGTCTTCCCAGTCGAATGGCAAGCGCACCCCGTGAACTTGAGGGCGCATGTATCCGCGGTACAATGGCAGAAACGCTCGCAGAGAACGGGGTGCGGATAGGCCATTTGGCAAGGGCATTTATTCGCCGCATTACACGGCCCTTCGTGGTGGCAGGGTTCAGAGAGCTCTCTCGAGGCATGCTCATGGGAGGTTGTGCAATCCTGCCAGTCTCCCAGCAGCTGCTTCTTTTTGCGGTCGTACCAGGAAACCGGCTTGACCTTGAAGTTTTCGGTGGGCGGCTCAACGGGAGGGAGGACCAGATCTAACTCCTTGAATTTGCGGTACACGTCCCAGCACCGGCGATCAAGCACGGCAGCAACGAAGCAGTGAGGTTCTAGTGTCGCGCTGTAGCCAAGAGTGGCAAATACCCGCTCAAGAACTTGGATCTCGTTCTCGGCCCACGGCTCTAAAGGTTGGGCAACAACTCCAATATCGTGAGTACGGTAGCACTGGTTGTTACACGGCGGGTGAGCTCGCTTGCTGGCGCTTCCGTTTTGTTGAGAGGTTTTGCGGGCTCCAAGTTGGGACGCCCATTTCTCCTTCAGGGCCCGGGCAATACCTCCTGTCCCCTCGATCGAGAAGGTTCCCCTCTGATTTTCCGCATCAAACTCGCCGTGCTCACAGTCGTGGCTAAAACAGATCAAGCATCCGAGAATCGAATAGCTAGCAAGGGCCGACTCGATCCTCGGCATCAAATCCTGGTCGCGCTGCTTCTGCGAGCTCGGCGTCTCCTTGGCCCGCTTGTTATCGACGATGGTTTCAACTGACTTGTCGAGGAGCAGGATATCGCGGAGGTTGGCGCGGCATATCTTTTTGGAGTCATCGAAAACGCGATTGAATGCCTCGGTGAACATCTTCGCTCCCCGGATGGCTTGCGGGGAATCCATATCCTCACTGTAGCTGTCAAGAAGGCTCGACTTCTGCTGAGGTGTGATGGCATCATCCTTCTCGGTCTGACTTGCCATGTAGCGGATGAGGCTCGACTTTGTGCAGCCCTCGATGGCCAGCTTTCGAAGCCAGGGCTCCAAGTACATGGAAAGCGTGGCCGCGTACTCGTCCCGCACCCTCTTCAAGTGTTTCAGACCACGGTCTTGGGTCTTGAAGCCAGACTGGCTATCGAGCTTCTCCAGCTCGCCGAGCCAGTTGCTGTACTTCATCTCCTCGGCGGAGTTCGGATCGACGTCTCGGAGGTGAGGAACAAAGTTGAGCATGGTGTTGGGGGTGAGAATGTTCTTGCGGATTTCCACGTGATGGAATCTGTATCGAGGGACAGCCGCTTTATCGGTCTTGATGCAGACGATGGGGAATGTGGATCGCCTGCCACCGCCTTTGCCTTTCCCATGGTCTCCGTTGTGTTGCTACACAGGTATTAGACGGCACGTCAAGAGGATGACTCGAGGGGCCACCCAGGGACGAGGTGGCATTGTGAGCGGGCAAAGGGCACCTTACTTTGAACTTGATGACCATTGTCCGCACTTCAGGGGCTAGGGCGCTGTTGTCGTTATTGTCGACTGCAATTGACCTCATATCCGCAAAGGCGTCCGTGTCGCTCAAATGTCTCGGCTGAGGGGCCTTCTTCTCGGCCTCTTCAAGCATGAACTGGACAAGGCGGGAATGGCCCTTGCCCACGGCCTCGGAATAAGTGCCTAGAGCATTGACAAGCCTATCAACTGTCCAGTCTTTCTTTTTTGGTGTCTGATTCCTGGGCGTCAGCTGTCCTGCCGACTGCGGGGTGGGGTGCTGTGGAATGCCTCTGCTGCTCGATGGCCGAGACCGTGGGGCTCTAGAGTCGCCGAACCGCGCCGTCTTTGAAGGAGTTCCATCGTTGCGAAGAGGCAGCTTGCTTGCGGGGGAGGCAATTGGGACACGCTTGACGGAAGAAGAGGTGTCTAGGGTGGGCGCCTTTACAGGCGGCGGGGGCTGGTTCCGGGTCTGGAACAGGTGCTTCCACGGCGAGGTATCCCTATTCCTACCCGAGTCGGCAGACCTGTAATGAACCGTGTCGCGGGGCTCGGGGGGTTCGCGTGGCTGGTGGGTATCACGGGTGTTGCGGGTGTCGCGGGCGACGACCTGCACCGAACTCACGATAACTTCGTCACCGGCAACACTGCTCTCGGACGTGTCGCCGGTAAGGTCGACGAGATCGAAATTGGAAGGAGTCATAGCTGATTCCCCTAGGCTCTACAGCCCGACGGGCGACGCATCAATAGGGGCCCAGGCTCCCACAAGGGGTCTGTCGCGGGGGCACCTGAACGGAGACGGCGAGGGAAGGCCCGGAGGGCGATGTCGTCGAGGAGCGAAAAACCAGGCCCGCAACTGCTCAATTGGCAGTGCTCATGCCGCAGCACTAGGGTATGAAAGCTATCAAATCGTGCCGTAGATGGACTACGTAGCGCAAGTGACTATCCGTAGAGCTCGGTCAATCGTGGCAGATGGTGCCCAACTTGTTAGTGTGAGCAGGCTGTATGGCCGAGATGGTGTTGTCAATAACTGTGGAGGAGCAGACAGACGCGGCTGTGGAAGACGCGATCGCCCCGTGCAGGCGAGAAAGAACTCTTACACCTCCACCGGGGAAATACATGTTAGCTTGGTACGTTACTACTATTAGTATCTTTTAGGGAAATCTCGCTAATCACTAACTTTGCCACCTTCCTACGCTAACATGTATTACCCCGGAGGAGGTGTACAGCTAAGACAAAGAGGCGCACGGACTCATCGCCTAACACCTAGCCCGTACGGGGTAGAATTATCTACGTAGTTGTAAAGGAGGGTTTTAGGGGACCATAATGTTGAGTTGATGGTTATGCGTCTAACGATAATCTTGGCATACTCGTCATCATCTACGGATACCCGGGCAAGCGGTTGACAAAATAAAAGAGACCGCAAAAGATCAGTGGCCCGTGCGGATGATAAAAGTCTAACAGGCGTCCTGGACTGTTGCTCTATGGTCTTTAAGCTGGCATCGTCAGGAGATGTGGTGGTGGTATGATGGTACTTTGAGATACCCTGTAGCCCAACGACTTTCATCCTGTGTAGAAGTACTGCTACGGAGGTTACAGGCAAAAGTTTTCACAGTGGGTCGGGTACTGGCAAGGGTCACGTTCAGGGACCCACTGTCCCCTCCGATGTACCAACGCGTCGCGCGCAGCTGTCAATTCAGAAAGGAATACACATTCCATTGGCATCAATGACAGCCTGTTGCCGTACGGGCATTGTATCTACACGCTCTCTAAGGAATTCCTCAGGGACCGCTTCCCATGCAGTATTTACTGCTTCGCGCAGTTGGTCGTATGACATCTTTGCCGGGTAGTTGACTGCAATGTAATCCTTCATCCAGTTCCATGCGTTCTCGATCGGATTAAGATCAGGACTATAGGGAGAATGGGTGTAAACAGGAATCCCTCGAGCTGTAAGCTCTTCGCGAGTGACCTGGGCAGTATGAGGAGAGGCATTATCTTGCATAAATACCTGGCCGGGATGAAGCCGAAACCACGCATCAACAAGAGGGATAACTCTCTCCGAGTACTTCTCTCCAGTGATCGATCCCCAGTCCTTCTCCTAGAAAAGAGCAGGCCCTTTTCCATGTTTTGCTGAATATGAACCCCAGAACATCCATCCCTTTGGCCGTTGTTCACGCTCAACGATGCAAGTCGGGTCGTATGCCTCGTTTTGACGGCGTGTAACCCAGACCTTTCGATGGGTACCAGCAGTTACCCAGGTCTCGTCGGTCCAGAGGATTTCGTAGCATCGCTCGAGAGGCCAGTGTACACGATCGAGAGCGTTGTCGAGGCGGATTTTTCGGTTCTTCTCGGTAATCGGGGGCTTTCGGTATGCAACATAGCGTTTGAAGCCAGCGTTACGAAGGGCGTAGCGGATGGCGTACTCTGAACAGCTCCAGCCAAGGGCAAGAGGAATCTTCGAGTAAGGCATTCGGCGAGAGGCTTTCGAGGAGGTAATAAAGGTGATCAGATCTTCAATCTGATCGGAATTGAGAAGGCCAGGTCGACCAGAGCGTTTCTTTGGTGTAACATTTGGAGCGCTGGAAGTATATCTAACTTGGTTGTAGGTCAACCCAAGCTGCGTAACTATTTGCTCGTACGTCAAGCCAATATTGCGGAGAGTTTGAACTTGAAGCCGCTCATCGCGGGAAATATCAGGATTCTTGAAATGCTGGCAGGGTGGCGTAGAGGGGGGATCCGAAGCCATTGCAAAGGTGGTGATGGTTTTCTGGATTGACAGCTGTGCGCGACGCGTTGGTACATCGGAGGGGACAGTGGGTCCCTGACCGTGACCCTTGCCAGTACCCGACCCACTGTGAAAACTTTTGCCTGTAACCTCCGTAGGTCAGCAGTCTCTTTTTTTTTGTCAACCGCTTGCCGGGATAGCTCTCTCCAAAAGCCAACCATTCCCAATTGAATTGGGTTGTCGTTTGTTGTTTACAACTCTTGATTCTGGCTTCTTGTCGCCTCAGTTGGGCCTAGACTTGTATCGTGTCTGTCTGCAGGGCTGCACCATCTTTCAACCTCGTACCTTACCAGTACCTGAATATGCCTCACCGTCAGCTTCCGAGACCTGAAGTATTGAAAGCTCGAAAACGGCGACCAGTGAAATTGATACTTTCTGCCTTGACTCAAATATTATGATACTGGACGGTAACCTAGGTAAGGTAGTTTAAGCTTGACACCATCAGCCGCCAGAGTGCAGCATCCATCCCAGACGATCGACCAAGCAATTCCCGCAGTGATACGGAGTACTTGTGGCATGTTGGTGGCCAGCGAAATGATCAAGAGCTACCTATTCATGCAGTGCGTTTCTTGAGTTACTCCGCACGCCAATCCCAATCCAATCCAAGTGCCGCTTCGGACACTTTGGGCGCTGGTCTGTACCACTTAGAAGCATGCAATCCACCAAAAGCTGGATGGGCTTGATGGGCTTGCTGCGCCTCAGTTGCAGGAACGGGGACACCGACGTCATCCAGTTGGGTCTCGCCCTCCTCCTCGCCCACCGCATACCTATTAAACGATGGCCTGATCCATCTCATCTGATCGCAAACAAGCTTCCCGCCTCCTCCATCCAAAGTCAAATCCTTTATTTGGTGATACCCGACGAAACCTAACCGACGTCAAACCACAACGTTCGATCTAACGCATTCTCCGTATTCTGTCGCAATCACTATCAATCAAGCATCCGCTCATTGCCTTGACCAGCCTCGCAACCCAACAATAACAACCACCACCTATACCCCACTGCCGCCGTGCGCGCAGCCGTCGCAATGCATCGCACATATTCCATGCGCGCCACGAGGGCGCCGACTGCCTCCCAGATCCAGGTACGCGTAAATGCTTCTCCTAATTTGTGCACGGCGCATGCATTCGGCCGGTTACCGAGACTGACAAACACAGAACCCCCCGCCACCCCCTTCGAGCACCAAGGCGCACCGCTTTTTTGGCAGAGGCGGAATCGGTTAGTGACACCCTTTCTTGCTAATGGTTGTCGCCTGCGATCCGGTGATTTGAGCTAAAGCGTTACATCATGTAGGACATGCCCTGCGACGCAACACTGCGGGCGCCTTCGGGCCCGAACTGGCCAAGAAGCTGTCTCAGCTCGTCAAGATGGAGAAGAACGTGATGCGAAGCCTGGAAACAGTCGCCAAGGAGCGAATGGAAGTTGCTGTATGTTGTACGACCCAGGCCATTCTCTGCCGGTAACTGGCTAACAAAGCCCGCAGCAACAACTTTCCCTCTGGGGCGAGGGCGGCGACGAAGACGTCTCGGATGTCACAGACAAACTGGGTGTTCTGCTCTACGAAATCGGCGAGCTCGAGGACCAGTATGTCGACCGGTACGACCAATATCGTGTCACCATCAAGAGTATTAGAAATATCGAGGCCTCAGTGCAGCCCAGCAGAGACAGTGAGTCCTTCTCCCTGCTCCGAGCGAGAAGTTTTGGCGCTCGTTTATGCTAATCACGGCGAGCAGGAAAGCAAAAGATCACGGATCAGATTGCCCAACTCAAATATAAGGAGCCCAATTCGCCTAGGATTGTCGTCCTCGAGCAGGAGCTCGTCCGAGCAGAGGCCGAGTCCCTGGTGGCCGAGGCACAGCTATCCAACATTACGCGTGAGAAGATCAAGGCGGCCTATACCTACCAGTTCGATGCGTTGCGCGAACACTGCGAGAAGGTGGCCATTATTGCCGGGTTCGGGAAGCACCTTTTGGAGCTCATTGACGATACCCCTGTGACACCGGGCGAGACGCGCGCGGCCTACGATGGCTACGAAGCCAGCAAAGCCATCATCCAGGACTGCGAGGACTCTCTGACCAACTGGGTGACGCAAAATGCCGCCGTCTCGGCCAAGCTGTCGACGCGCGCTCGGACGCTCTCTCAACGCCGCCGCAACAACATCAAGGCACGCACCGAAGGCCATGATCTGTCAGGACAGGACGCCCCGCTTAACGATCGGGACTCGTGGGTCCAGGCCGGGCAGCACAAGGACGAATATGAGGACGAGGACGAAGATGACATTGACGCGCCGAGTCATTCGATCCTAGACAGCGAGACGGGGTTGAACGGCGAGAACCGCGGCCGCAACCAAGACCCGATCCTTGCCTAGGACTTGATTAACGTCTTTTGCTCTATTCTTTACTAAACTACGTCGACAACGTTCCCTTTGCGGGAGGAAGATGAAAACGACTAGCCTGTGCCCTATAGGAATTATGGTTTGCAGCTCTATTTAGCGGGCAGGGTTGAAGAAAAGGGTAGTTTCAGCGCCGGTTTCGCATTATAATTGGTAATGAGGCGTGGAGGATTCCATCGGCTGGGAGGTGGACCTGGCTCCTAGCAATCGGCAATGAGGAATATCATATTGATGATTAAGTAACATGCTCTTCGTGTACTACTAAAGATCAGCTCTTTTTGCTTTACGCGCGCCCGTGGCTTGTTGCCTTTCAGGTGGACTTGCTCCTTTGCAAGTTAATACTTCTCACAGGGGCTCAATTCCTGGCACTAGTGTTAACGTAGTTTTCGTGAATTACAACGTTCTCGCTATTTTTGGGCTTACATATACGTTTATCACGAGAAAGGGGCAAGAGTCACGAGTCAGATATACGCTCATAGCCTTGTCGCCTGGGATCCGTTGGCACTCCCACAAAACCATAATATTTAGAGCTCAATCAATCTCAGTACCTAAGGTAGGTGCCTAGTTGGAAGCTGTCCGCAGAGTTTATAGATACATGTATTCAATGTCTGGCACTTCCGCGGCCTAATAACGCGCCCTCTCACCCAATAGAGGCAGTAGGGGAAGATAAGACAGAGCTATTACGAAACAGCGGCACCGATAAATAGATACCAAGGCCATTCATTCACTCTGTAGAGGCTTATTTTATTCATTTCCTCATCTGGCTCACAAATTCGTCCAGCTCCATCTTGACAATGTGGTTCCCCGGCACCACCACCAAGCCCAGGAAGCGAGACGTCATGTCCGCCTTGATCGTCGCGGCGGCGGCGGCGCCCACCGCCTCCTCGACCTGCTTCTGCAGCGCCTGCAGCGACGGCTGCCGGTACTCGTATGTGTCCTGCAGGACGATGTTGCTTTCCTAAAAAAAGGGGGGGAAGGGGGCAGGGCGGGGTGAGTGAGTGAGTGAGAAATTGGTTGAGTGTGAGGTGAGAGAGGTCTTATTACACTGAGGAGAGTGCGTGAAGATGGGGGGGAGGAGGCAGGTGCATTAAAAGCCTAGGAAAACACACCGTGTCAGTGCATTTGAAGCTGCCCATGAACATGCGCGAGTCGGTCGTCGTCACGCGCAGGTTCTTGTTGAGCAGCGACCGCAGAAAGCCGCCCGCCTCTTCCCTCGTCTTGGCCTGCTCGTCCCCCGCCTCAAGGGACGTGCTGATGTCGATGCTCGTGTCGTCTCTCATCATTTTGGCTCTGTTTCCTAGGCAGGTTGGTCTTACTCCCGCCCACCCTTCGTGAGTGTGCGTCTGGGATTACTTACACACCCGACGTGTGCGTGCTCGGAGCTGAAGCGAGGCTGGGCGTTGGTTTTTATGTTGTTGGCCTTGACCTGGCCTGGTTTGGCCTGCACTAAGCAGCCCTGTAAGAATGGAGGGGCCCTGGACCTAGGGAGGCCCACTCACCGTCTAGCACCTGCGCCGCGGAGAGATGTAGTATCACCTAAGATCTAGGTGTCAGGTAAGCTGATGGAAGTATTCTTCGACTTGACTTGTCTTCAATGTGCATCAGTCTTTCCAGACAGTGCCTTAACTTTGCTCATGCAAGCTCCCGAAACCATAAATATACAGAGTAAAGTAGGATTCTGGTTAGCTGAGGTGCTCTATCTTAGCTTATTCGTATTCCGTAATTGGTAATTTGTAACAAACGCGGCTTTCGCCCCCGCTTAAGTGTTCATGCATGATGTAGGTCTGGCAGGCAGCAAGACCGATCGACATGCCGCAAATCAGTCATCGGCGTGAACTTTTAGTTATCGCGACTTGACTTTATTACTTGCAGATTGTTATGTCGTCACGCCACTCCACCACCAGTGCCATTTGCAACTGAAGCCAAGCTACCTTGAGTGACAGCAAAGAAACGACGCAGTTCAGCTCCCCGATGACTTGGCTTTGTCTCGCGGACGAGTACGAGGCTTTGTCTCGGCCGTGTTGCTCTCGCAAATGAATTATCGCATCGCATCGTCTTGCCTGGTGTGAGTGATTGATCATGGGTGTCAACGGCCTCTGGACCGTGGTGCAGCCGTGCGCGCGCCCAACAAACCTCGCCACCCTCAACCGCAAGCGCCTTGCTGTCGATGCCTCCATCTGGATATACCAGTTCCTCAAAGCCGTCCGCGACAAGGAGGGAAACGCCCTCCGAAACAGCCATGTCGTCGGCTTCTTCCGTCGCATCTGCAAGCTGCTGTGGTTCGGCATCCGGCCTGTCTTCGTCTTTGACGGCGGTGCTCCCGCCCTGAAACGTGCCACGCTGCAGGGCCGTCGCCGCAGACGCGAGGGCCGCCGCGAGGATGCCGCACGCACCGCTGGGAAGCTGCTCGCCGTGCAGATGCAGCGCCTGGCCGAGGAGGAGGACGAAAGGCGCAAGCGCCGCGTCGAGGCTGCCGGAACTGTCGGCGCGCGAGAGGACGACGACGAAGAGCAGGAGCAGCTGCCCGACATGGACAACGTCGTATACGCTGAAGAGCTCGGCATGTCCAAGCAGGAGCGCCAGAAGACGCGGGGCTTCCGCAAGCAAGACGCCTATCACCTCCCGGAGCTAGAAAACGGAATCGAGGCCATGGGTAAGCCCAACGACCCCCGCATCATGAGCGTGGAGGAGCTTGAAGAGTATGCGAGGCAGTTCAACAACGGCGAGGACATCAATCTCTACGACTTCAGCAAAATCGACTTTAGCGGCGAGTTCTTCAAGAGCTTGCCGCCGGCAGACCGGTACAACATCTTGAATGCTGCCCGGCTGCGGAGCCGCCTGAGAATGGGTATGAGCAAAGACCAGCTAGACAGCATGTTTCCAGACCGCATGGCCTTCTCCCGGTTCCAGATCGAGAGAGTCAAGGAGAGAAACAACCTTACCCAGCGTCTAATGGCCGAGATGGGCATGACGGGCCTGGATCTGACTATCAACGCACGTGTCGCGGGCGACAAAAATCGCGAGTATATACTCGTCAAGAATGAGGGCGCTGAAGGCGGCTGGGCCCTTGGCGTCGTCAGCAGGGACAAGGATAGCGGTAAAATACACAAGCCTATAGACGTTGATGCTTTGGACTTTCAGTACCAGGCGCAAAATGACGACGACGAAGACGACGAGGACGATGGTATCGAGTTTGAGGACGTTCCAATTGAGGGCGTGAACAGGCTGCCCAAGTTAAGACTGGTAGACTCTGCCGATGATGCCGACTACGGAGACGATCTTTTTGTTACTAATGATGCCGATCTGTTTGGCCACGACGAAGATGCCATCTTGGCTGACGAAGATGAAGATCTCAATCGTGCCATTGCCTTGTCCCTTCACAACCAGCATGGTGTTGAGGCGCAGAATGACGAAGTCCAAGACGAAGAGAAGGCTCCGGCGCCTGTGTGGACCCAGAGAGCGGCAGAGCCGGCGAAACCTATCGTCAGCGCAAGCGGGCGCATGGTTGCGCACATTGTGAATAACAGGGCCAACGCCACTGTCCCTCACCGACGAGACAGTGAGAGCAGCGATAGCGATGTCGATCTTCAGTCAGCCTTGGCAGCCGCCAGAAAGAAGAAACAAGCACAAAAGCCGACGACGCAAACGCCGGCAGAGAAGGCCCCTATCAAACCGAACGTGAAGAGTCCTTTTGACGGCCTGCTTCCCTTTGAGAGACTCAACTGGGGAAACATGTTCTCTTCAATGAGAAAGCCCGCGGTGGAAAAGGAGCCAAAGAGACTTAACGAGGTTGAAACTAGAGAACTGGAGGCCGAGTCGGACGACGGCGCAGGGGGTTTTGAGAAAATAGTCCTGGATAAAACCAAGGGCCGGGAGGTTCCCAAGCTGCGTGAAGAAGACGCTCCTCTTCCGTTGCCACCTTGGCTCGCAGACACGACCGATATCCGAGAGTCCCTGAGGAAACAACAGGAGCGTGACACCGAAATGGATGCAGAGGATGAGGAGATGGCTCAAGAAGAAGCCCTTCGCATACGCCGACTTCAGGATGAATTGGTGGTGCAGATTGAGTCTTCTGATGATAACAACAGCGACTTTGAGATCCTCGACGCTCCTCCGCCCCTTTATGCCCGACAAGCTCCTGCTAAGCAGTTCACCGCCAGAGAGCCTGGCGCTAGTCTTCCATCCCTTGACGACGACGTCTTAACGGCACGCGGTAAAGCTAAAGCTACCGACACAGCATCGGAAAAGTTTGCCCGTTCTACGTCTCCCGACGAAGATCCTGACGTCGAGTTTGAGGATGTTGTTGTCCCTGAGCCACAAAATCCGCCTATTTCGGGATTGAATGTGACTCAAGAGTCGGAAGAAGCCAGAATCGAGCGGGAGTTGTTTGGAGATGGCGCGGTTCTTGATACCCAGCAAGGGGCAGCTGATGGCCTCATCACCACTGATGAGGACCCATTATTCGACCCACTGGCGCCTGGCCCTGAGGAATTTGACGATTTCAGCGATCCCGAGGAAGAGGAACTCCTCGCGCAGCTGGCAGAAGAGGCACAAGAACACGCGCGTTTTGCGAGCGAACTGAACAACAAATCACAGCGTGAAAACCAAGAGGCGTACGAGGCAGAGCTCCGAGCTCTGCGGACCCAGCAGAAGAAAGACCGCCGGGATGCCGATGAGGTCACGCAGGTCATGGTCACAGAATGCCAGGCTCTGCTGCGCCTGTTTGGCATCCCCTACATCACAGCTCCCATGGAGGCCGAAGCCCAGTGTGCCGAGCTCGTGCGCCTGGACCTGGTCGATGGCATTGTGACGGACGACTCGGATACCTTTCTGTTTGGCGGCACCCGCGTCTACAAAAACATGTTCAACGGCAACAAATATGTAGAGTGTTACCTGGCCAAGGATCTAGAGGAAGAGCTGTCTCTCTCCCGCAAGCAGCTCATTGCCATTGCTCAGCTGCTCGGTTCCGACTACACCGAAGGGCTTCCGGGCGTCGGTCCCGTGACGGCAGTGGAGATCCTGTCAGAGTTTCCCGGCAAGGAAGGACTCGAGGCGTTCAAGGAATGGTGGAAAGACGTGCAGAGCCATGGCCGCCCTAAGGATGCGGATGCCTCGTCGCCTTTCCGCCGAAAGTTCCGGAAGTCGCAGGCGACCAAGCTCTTCTTGCCTCTAGGGTTTCCCAGTCCCGCGGTGTTTGATGCCTACCTCCAGCCCGAGGTCGACAGCACCCCGGAGCCGTTTCAGTGGGGTGTGCCCGATGTAGATGGCTTGCGCCAGTTCTTGACGTCGACGATTGGCTGGAGTCAGGAGCACACCGACGAGGTACTGGTGCCGGTCATCAGGGACATGAACAAACGCGAGAGGGAGGGCACGCAGAGCAACATCACGAGATACTTTGAGGGAAGTGTCGGTGCGGGCGTCAAGGAGGCATTTGCGCCTCGTCAGCGGGCCAAGGGAAGCAAGCGGATGGCAGACGCGGTGGGCAAGTTGCGGGCCAAATCAAGCACGACGGGCACCGGCAGCATGTCTACCGAGCTTCCCGTCATGTCTTTTTCTTCGGGGACCAAGAAGTCGAAGAAGCGCAAAACGCGCGAGCAGACTGCGGTTCTAGACGAGGGAGACGACAATGACGGCGATGACGACAATGTTCAGGAACACGAAGTGGATAAAGACGACGGCGACTCAGAACCGCAGTCCCGGACTGGCGCAAAAGGGAAGGCCAGGGGAAATGGCAGGGGGCGGGGCAGGGGCAGAGGCAAGAGGACCAAGGCATCTTCGTCATAGTGTTCTCAGTGGCTCTCAGTTTTGCTGCTATCCACCTTCAACCATGGCTCTGTTCTCTCAATTGACATCGCATCAAGGTATTATACAGGCGAGTATCAGTCTCCCATTTACCACCTTTCTCTTCCTCGAACCTGTTCTCGGTTTACCTCAGTCGGAGAAATGGCTAGACTGGTGGTGAAGTAGCCAAAGCCTGGTTTATCATATGGGCGAGTGTCTGTTGTCGAGCCTAGCGGTTGGTCAATTTTCGCCACCTCCTCCGTCTATATCTGGCAAGCGAGGGACGGCATCCTTTTGCATAATGTTTCAATATATGGACCGCTTCTAGAAGATCCGGCTACGCGGTTCTGGACTCGCCAGTGCCGCGCCGAGAGTGTGCCGTGCAGATTGGCATCTGCCCTGGCATGGCGGCTCCCCGGCGAGTATTTGGCGGCTAAATTCGCAAGACAACGAACACCAGTGTGGTTTTTGTTTTTGTTCCTTGTTTCTTGTTGCCTGAAGTGTCAGAACCACCAGCAAAAGAGTATTTGTTACTTCCTGTGATGCGGCTCAGTGACAAGCAGGACCAGACGCTCAAGGCCAGTCTTTCCAGTCATCTCATCGTTCGCAACAGCTCTTGTTCCAGCGATGCTCCAGCAAAGGCCTGTGACCCAATTCGCCATGTAATGTGGCAGCGTCCTTCCTACTCAGGGGCCAACAGCCCTGGCGGGAAGACGACCCGCAATAAATTGAAGGCCGGCACTGGTTGCCTCTGAACTGCATCGAGCGGTGGCGAAATGGTGTTTTTCTGCAGAGCGGGATGGCACTAGCCCTCGACTCTCTTGGCCAGATGCCGAATCGGCTGCCTGATTGGACGAGAGCGGCTGATGCCGCCAAGGACACCAAGATCTTACTAACAGATCACCATCACCACCCGCACTTGATAGCGGTTGGAGAGGCTCAAAGCTTTACCCATCTGGTTTCGCGGTGAGCATCCACCATAGCGGTTGATAATTGCGATTTTCCCGAGAGTATCAAAACATGTTATTTTTGCAAACTTGAGCTGAAATGGATGAAACGGCTTCGGCTGCGGATTCTGAAAGGGGGCGGAGGCTGACGGCGTCAAGGCTCAACCAGTCAGATGGCTTCGTTTCTGCTTTGCCGCTCACTCCTCCGACGGCCCCCTTCAAGACACCTGACGTCAGCCAGCTTGGTGAAGTTCAAGTCATTGACCTTCCCGCCCTACAATTCCACGCCTCAGACCTCATCCACCTTCTCTTCGGACTGCTCCTGCGCCGCACTTGGTCGGATCAGATTTTTTTTCCTTTTCGTTCCCAGGGGCTCACCTTCTTTGTTTCTTTTAACTTGCTTCGCTTCAGCCACCGAGTGCTAGGCCATTCACTCTTCTGCCATCTGTTGTTCACTCCTTCATTCTTCAGGTCATTCCTTTTTGCCTGTTTGCTTGCGCTTCTGACGTCGTCTTTGACACTCCTTTTTACAACCCCTCCCAATTACAAGACAGCGTCGAGCACTTGAGGTAGTCACAGCAGCGCGAGCCGTTCTCTTCTTCGCCTCGTGTTCTACCCCCAAAGCAAACGGTTTCAGCAGGCACGAACATACACACACAAACGCACGTAGCAAGGCAAGGCGAGGCAGGCAAACATAAAGGCGACTGCGCGCACTCAGTAACGCAAGACACGGCTGTTTTTTATTTTTATTTTTTATGATCGATCGCAACCATGAAGAACAACATCCTAACAACCATCCTGGCGTCTGCCAGCGCGACAGGCGCCGTCGTCTCCAGGGCCGCGACAAGCCAGGACCTCTGCGCGAAGACCAGCTACCAACAAAATGGCAACTGGTTCTGCACACCTGTCCAGCAAATCACGTATACAAACCTCGGAGGCTCAGGAACGTACAACGACGTGGTCGGCATTTCCGCCACCGGCCAGTGCGAATTCCAGCCCAAGGCCTATTCGGGCCCGCTGGCGCCGTTCAACGAGCAGTTGTCTCTCCACTTCCGGGGCCCATTGGCCCTCAGACAGCTGGCCGTCTACACGCCCGGGCCTCAGAAGAAGAAGCGGGACGAGGTCGACGCGGCGGCGGCCGGGAACAAGACCAACAAGCGCCGTGCAGAGCAGAACAACCATAACCGGCGTCACCTAAACGAGCTCCAGCACCACCACCAGAACGCACACGGTCACAGAAGGAGGCGGGAGGAGATCAAGGCGGTGGAGGAGCGCGCCGACCACCCGACCGTCTGGGTCACGGCGACCATCGACGGCAAAGTCGTGTCATGGATCAACAACTACTATGGAGAGACGCCGCCGACTCCCGTTCCGGTACCCGCAGAGGCGAAAGTCGACAACAGCCCGGCATCAGCAGCGCCGAAACCGACTCCCGCTGCCCAGAGCGCCAACAACAACGCAGCAAAGAACTCCCCGGCCGCAAAGGCGCCCGCCGCGGCCGCGGCCGGCGACCATGTCCGCACGGGCTACTACAGCGCCGCGGCGCAGCAGGCCAACGGGCTGACATTCCTGGGCAACTTTGGCCCGGGAGGCAAGCTGTCGTACGCCAACAGCGACATGAGCGGAAGCTCGGCCGGACCGGCCGTCCTCGCCAACAGCACCGTCTGGTCGGCCCACGAGTACACCGTCATGACGGACCAGCCGTGCGACGACGGGTCTTGCGGCTACTTCCCGGACGGCATTGCCGCGTTCAGTATGTTTTTTTTACCTTTCTGCTGTTTTGTTTTGCATCTCATCTGTATCCTCTCCACATCCGCCCTCCCCCCTTTTCCCCCTTACCCGTTTTGCGGCCAACATCGAAACCCCCTCAAAGGCAAAGGACAAAAGGGACTAACCCAACACAACACACAGAGGGCTTCGACGGGGCGGACAAGACCTTCCTCTTCGAGTTCTCCATGCCAACAGACCCCAACCCGGCGCCGCCGGCCGGCTCGTTCCTAGCGCCGCAGTTCGACATGCCGGCGCTGTGGATGCTCAACGCCAAGATCGCGCGCACGGGGCAGTACTCCGCGTGCTCGTGCTGGACGTCCAACTGCGGCGAGTTCGACGTCTTCGAGGTCCTGCAGAGCGGCGACGACAAGTGCAAGTCGACGTTCCACGCGTCGCCCGGCGGCGGCGACTCGAACTACTTCCCCCGCCCGCTCGACGCGGCCGCTCCGATCCGCGTCGCTGTCGTCTTTGATGCTGCGTCCGAGTCGGTGTCCGTCAATGTGCTTGACCCGAGCGATGTTGCGGGGACTCCTGGCCAAGATTTCCCCACGGCGTTGTCCACTGCTCAGATCGCCGAGCTGCGCACTGGCGCCGAGTCCTCGGCTACGCCCGGCGTGGCAGGCCTCGGGGCCGCTAAGCTGGATGTCAACGCTGCTGTTGGCGGCGGCAGCGGCAAGGCTGCGAGTTACTTTGCCATAGCGCCGGCGTCGTAGAGCGTTATTCATTCCGGGCCTTTGTTTCCTTTCGCGTGTGGGTGTCTTTCTCTTTGTGTGGATGGGAGTCTATGTGTAGCGTTAACCGGGCATGGGCATGGGCATGGGCATGGGCTTGGTCTGTTTCTATCCACTACCGTTGGTTCTGGATATATCTACCTTAACCTTGCCTTGCCTATGCCCCTTTCGTTTCTTGCGTGTTGGTGGTTATTGTTGTTGAGTGGCGAGGCTAGCAACCTACCAACCACTTCGTCGGTTGAGGTCGAGAGGAACACACACACGCAACAGGAAGCCTGCCTTGCCTTGCTTTGCCCTGCTTCTGGAAGTTGGCACGCGCTGACGATTTTTTTTCTTCCTCTTCTTCTTTTCTCTTCTTGTCTTGAATTCTACCTCCCCCCCTTTTGAGACCTTTTTTGAGACCCCTTTTCGGGTCATTCGATTCACCCAGCTGTTGGCGGTTTTGGGGCTTGGATCTGGCGCTGGGGAGGTTTCTGTTTAGTAGATAGTACAAGGGAAAGGTCGGAAGGTATACACACCACACCACATCTATCCCCTATCTGTCTATCTATATATCTGGGTATCTATCTAGAATCCCTGTTTCGCGAAACAGTGGAGCCGGCCGGCAGGTTTCTTTCCCCCCCATCTGCCCCTTTTTTACATGTACGTACACGAAACCTTTACATTCTAGGACATTACGAGATACACGCAATACAAACACATAGATGCCAATTCGCATTTGCTTGCCATCTCCTAGCTTCTCGTTGCTTGTCGTCACGGTGTCAAGTGAAATGTGAATATAGAATCGGCCCATCTGAGGGTAATTTGATCTAGTCTAATTAGGTCTACTGATTAACTCTACAGCCACGGCCGAACATGTAATGTAGTTCCAACATCCCGAGGGGATTTCATATTCGCCCGGGTAGATATGCTTAGTCCCCTCGACGTACTTGCTGGGAATTGGCTTTTCTTGTAATGGCCATATCTTCCCGGAAGCCTAGGTGGCCAGCACCTAAGCAGGTCCGATCGGGGGACCGGGTCAGACTGCCAATCTCGCGGCTCGGATTTTGCGCTCCTCTCCATCACCCTTGGTCGCTAGGGACTCCGGACTCCCCCGAATCAAATCCCTGTGGGGGCCGAGTGGGTTTGTGAATTTTGCATTCTGGGAACACACTGCTGCACTTTTGCAGTTATATCTTCCAACCAGCGGAGGCAAAGGCGGCGGATCAAACAGTCCTCACGGCATTGAGGTAGTTGAAGGCGAGGGGCGTCGTATAATGGTGAGCCTCGGGTCAGGGCGAGGGCCTGTTACCAGACAAAATCGAATTGCACCTGTCGTGCCTTCTCTCATGACAAGTCGAGAAACGAGATATTTTGCAGGTCGCTGACGGAGGTCAAGATGAGTTGCTCGGTGTCTGAGACGTCGAACTCCACGTCGTCGGACTGTGGTTTCGCTATTGCTGCCGGGCGGAGCTCGGGGGAGGATATGGTGGCGAGTAGGTGGGGACAGGTGCTCTCGCCGACGGTGGCGCGGTGAGAGTGAAAGCTGCACTGGCGGAAGCCGAAAAAGCGCTCGCCGTTCCGGAGCTTGTTCACGGGGAGGCGGAGCTGGGGGTTCTTGAAGCGGACGTCGGCCTTGCTCTGGACCATCTTGGTCAGGTGCTTGCGGTACTCTTCGGCAAGGCCGGGGAAGGCGACGAACAGGCGGTCAAAGTGGCCGGCCTGGGCAACGCTCGTGTCGCCGCCGTGCAGGGTCCAAGCGAGCATAGCCACGGCCCACTTGCGCAGCCTGAAGGCCTGCTCGGTCTGGCACTCGCCGTAGATGAAGGCGATGAACTGCGGGGACATGGCCCAGTCGAGGTGCAGGTACATGTCTTGAAGGGCGTCCATGGCCACGTCCTGGAGTGCGGGCAGGTCGATCAGCACGGCGAAGAGGTGCAGGCGGATGAGGTTGAAGCGGAGCGAGCGGCACTGGGCGGGGGTGATCTTCTGGATGGCGGCATCGAGGAAGCTGTGGAAGGAGCGCCTCTGGTAGAGCCACAGCACGAAGAGCTCGAACATGTCGGCGTTCTCGGCGGGCAGCCACATGATGTCATCGTCGTCACTGTCTTGGGGAGGAGACGACGGTGAAGACGAAGACGATGAAGCCGGGTCGGGAACCGATAAGGGCGACGGCGATGGGGAGGATGATGATGACGAAGATGACGATAGTGATGGTAAAGGAGACGAGGGCCTAGGGGCGGTTTGGACTGGAGTCTGTTCATGTTCGAGGTGCTCGAGCTGTTCTTGGAAGAAGCTGCTCGTCTCACAGAGGAGGTTCTTGTGCAGATTAAACTCGCGCTGCTCCTGGCCGACCAAGATGGTAGCAGCCTCGCATCCTTCCAGTCTGGACGAGTCAGCACGTGAAGCCCTACATGCTTTGCAGAATAGAAAGAATAGCAGTCTGACTTACGACCCGACAACTTCTGGTTTATTACTCCACCTCATGATGCCGACGATACCAAAGTGACAACCCAAAAGAAACACGAATCACGAAACAGGATCAATCAGAGAAATTAATCCCCGACGCGCATTCGTAGCGCGGCGCTGGCTCTTTGTATTTCTCTCCGTCTCGCATGCTGGGCCAAGAGCGAGTGAGACCCGAATCCACGGATTACCAGAAGGGAAACCTAAGGGAACCGAAGGAACCCATGACGGGGGCTAGGTCCCAAATCGAGGCATCACGTCGCCAAAAAGGCACCCAACAACTGCCCTGCATCCTCGCTTGCTTGCCACCAGCAAGTCACAACAGTCGACTGATTGACTCCCTGTCGGGCCGTGGTCGGAAACGGCGTTTCGTTTCGTTTCGAAGTTGACGTGACAGTCCGCCGTTGCTACAGTCTTCGCAGTAGTAAACGCGCTAACATGCACTCGTTGGGCAGTTGCCACGGTCTGCCGGGGCCACTCCGACCACTGACGAGTGACGGCACCGGACAAGCCCGAGGAGCGCCCCCCTGCCCTGTTGCCCCTGATGACACCCCACCTTGTTCTGCCCCTGACGACGAGAGCCCCTTCCCAGCTGCGCGCTCGCCATCCGCTGCCTCGTGTCACCTCAATTCCTTGCCTGCATTGAATCCGCGTCCATGCTGCGTGTGGCCAATGATAACGAGAATGAAGACGTTAAGCCCCGAGATCGACAGGGCATCATCCTTTCGACGTGCCGAACGGTCCCAACCGCCACGAGGCAGGTTGGCACAGACCAGCCAGCCCAGCCAGCTGTTGGAGAAACATTCCACTGCGTAAGTACGGATACGCAGTGTGTGATAAACTTTCACCGCAAACATTCAGAGAACCCGTAGTTCGCAGCTTTGCAAAGCCTGTCGTTTTAATTCTTCATGTGTTGAAATACCCGTGTCTAAGCTGCAAAGTTAGTCTCAGACCCCAGGCCAAGAGCCGACCCAACCAATGGAAGTTACAAACAGGAAGTCAATCTTTGGCCCAGAACAAGAAGAAATGGGGAGGGGGGCCTCTTACACCTCCCCCGGGGTTTGAAATGTTAGCTCGTTGACCTTTGCAGGGGGGTTGAACAAGGGATATAAGCCGGAAATACAGGGGGTTTGAAGTCACTTTTCTAGCAGGTTCTCACCAAAAAGTCACGTGGTGGCTTGGTTGTATCGCACTAACCCTTCAAACCCAAGGGGAGGTGTACATGTACTATGTATTGTTGGCCAGGTCGACTCCAAGCCCCAAGCACCTTCCCCGTCGAGTGGTGGTCGTTTTGAGGGACAACCTTTCCCCGACTAACCCCCTAACTTACAGACAGCCACCAAGACGATTCGAAATCTCGAGGAACAAAGTTGATGATACCAATCTGTCAGGTTCCTTTTAGCTATCAAGATGATGCATAATCCACTCTCAACGACATTCATTTGAGATGACGGAGCCTCAGGGGCTCAGTCACACCGGCCGGTAATTCAATTACGCCACCTCCGACCACGGTTGACAGTGTGCGTATCCGGCTCTGGTACGGAATATTTGGCAGCAATACTCCGTACGGATACTGGGCTGGGTGTTTATTCCCGGCACGATTACTCGATAGCTCTGTATATCTCGTCTGCGCCGGGGCTTGTTCCAAGCTGCCAAATTCACAGCTGTTGGTTCTTGCGGAATATATCTGTATTCACTCTGTAAATCGTGCCGAGGCCCACGCCACCTTGTGGCGGCCGGTCTGTCGAGACGGAGAATATTCAGAGCAACACCCGACTCTCCTGTGAATGCCGAGAGCAGAGGGTCTGGTGTTAGCTAAGCAGCCACCATGTTGACGTCAACGGCTCCAGTAGAAAACAGAAGACCGAATGCCGAGAGGGTCTTCGCTCAGCGACCAGCCCAACGAGTAGTAATCCGTCCCGAATTTCAAGGCTGCTGCTTGTTAGATAATAAATTTCATTGGGGGCCTTGAAACGCCGAATCCGCTTGATGCGTTCGATGCACCCTCTATTATGCTCGTGCGTACGCCGTAGTACGGAGCAATTCGCTCCCGAGTACCGATGAAGCACGTTAGAAATCAGTAAGTGGGGTGCAGAGCTTGGATTAGGAATCAACAAGGAAAAAACCGTGGCCCTTTGCAGATGGAATTATGTTTAGGTATATATATATATCAAAGTGAGTACATCTTGGATTCTCGATATCGCTCTCAAGTTTCATAATATTCCAAGCTTACCTCACATTTGCATTATTACAAGCATAAATCGGGCAGGGGACGCTGTTAGCACCTTGTCAAACACTCTAAATCCATCCCAAAAAACCCCCACACCCAATCATGACTGTCCGAAAGCTTACGGCAACCGTTGCGGCCCCCGGCGTGCCCTTCTTCACCCCAGCCCAGGACCCGCCCGTCGGAACGGCGCTCAACACGGACAATGACAATGGCGCCGGCACCAAGACGCCGACCGTCTTCACCCCGCTCAAGCTCCGGTCGCTGACGCTGCAGAACCGGTTCGCCGTCAGCCCCATGTGCATGTACTCGGCCGACGATGGCCACCTCACAGACTTCCATCTCGTGCACCTCGGGGCTATGGCCATGCGCGGCGTTGCCCTCACCATCTTCGAGGCCACCAGCGTCACACCCAACGGCCGCATCTCGCCCGAGGACAGCGGCCTGTGGACCGACTCGCAGATCGCGCCGCTGAAGCGCATCGTCGACTTCATCCACTCGCAGGGCCAAAAGGCCGGCATCCAGCTCGCCCACGCCGGCCGCAAGGCCAGCACCGTCGCCCCCTGGCACACCCAGAGCCGCGGCCACGGCGAGGCTGCCACCGCTGCCCAGGGCGGCTGGCCCGACAATGTTTGGGCACCGTCCGCCATCAAGTTCTCGCCCAAGTTCCCCCAGCCCAAGGAGATGACCGTCTCCGAGGTCGAGGGCCTGGTCGACAGCTTCGCCAAGGCTGCCAGCCGCGCCGTCAGCGCCGGCTTTGACACGATAGAAATCCACGCTGCGCACGGCTATCTGCTCACAGAGTTCCTGTCGCCCATCACCAACGTACGCCTCATAACACCCAGGAATCCAAACTAGAGATTGCTAACACTTCTGGGGAAAAAAGAAACGCACAGACCAGTACGGCGGCAGCTTCGAGAACCGCACGCGGCTGCTGGTCGACGTGATCAAGGCGACGCGGGCGGTGATCCCCGAGACGATGCCGCTGCTGGTGCGCATCTCGGCGACCGAGTGGATGGAGTGGACGGGCGGCGAGTCGTGGGACCTGGCGCAGAGCATCCGGCTCGCGAAACTGCTGCCGGACCTCGGCGTCGACCTGCTCGACGTCAGCTCCGCCGGCAACAACGCCGAGCAGCGCATGCAGATAACGCCCACCGTGCAGATCGACCTCGCCAGCGAGATCCGCGATGCTGTCCGTGCCGCCGGCAAGACGCTGCTCATCGGTGCGGTCGGGTTTGTTAACACGGCTGAGATTGCCCGCCGCGTTGTTCAGACTGATGATGAGGGTCTGGTGGATGTCGACGGCGAGCACGGGCAGAAGACTAAGGCCGACCTCGTGCTCGTCGCGCGCCAGTTCCTCAAGGAGCCAGAGTTTGTCCTCAGGGCGGCGCACCAGCTCGGCGTCGAGGTTAAGTGGCCGCTGCAGTACGGCCGCGCGGCCTGGGCCAAGGGCGAGAAGTTGTAAAAGGGGGGAATATGAATGAGGATATGAATGTCATGAGTGCGCCTAGGTGACGTGTAATTTATTTAGCATGGCGACGAGATTTGTATTTTGCTTTTTAGTGTTACGACGTTAGAGAGGCGAGGCATTAGACAGACTTTTTGAATCACTTTTTATCTTGGCTGATTCTCGAACGTGCACGCATGCTATCCCAGGATGAAATCTCTATAAAACGCGAAATTGTCGAGCATTATTTCGAGCTGTTCAAAGACGTGATGTAGGTAGGATTCGTCCGGAGCACTGTATGGAGTCTGTATGGAATCGGCGATAGGGTTAGGGTTACCAATACACAACAGTGTGAACACTTGCTCCCTTTCATCTGCACAGTGGCGTTTTGTAAGTTGTCATCATCCGCTCTCAACCTAATAATTCCACAAGCCTCCCTCACCCTGGTCGAACCTGAACACAAACTAAGAGCGACTGGCACCTCCCTTCCTGACAGCCGCGAGGTGTATGAAACATGGCCGGATCGTGAACTTGATTGCTTAATCGCCAGGCCGTCTAAAAGTCTATTCTAAGTCCTACTTTAACGCTTGCCGCAACCTCAACCTGCCTGGGCAGGGAGATACCAATTACTACTAGCAAAAAAAGCTGAATGATGATGATCCGTCTCACACACCCATGTCTTCATCGTCTCAAACCCCCGGGCCGGCAGCAGCCAACAAGCGCCGCCGCGCCGAAGCCGCCAACGTCGCGCTGCGCAAGCCCTTCCGCTCGCCCATGATCAGCAGACAGGCTGCCACGGCCGGCGAGGGAGATGACGGGACGAGGGCAGGCGCCGCCAATGCTTCCCCCAACGTTGCGCGGGCAGCGGCGGGTGCAGAGGCAGCAGCACGAGCAGTAGCGACCGCGGGCACCCCGCGCGCCAATCCCGCCACTCGGCGAGGAGGACACGGCGCGTGGCCCTCGACACCAGCGTCGGCCTCGCGGGGCTCGCCGCTGAACCAGCCTTCGATGCGCGGCAGTAGCAGCAGCCTTGCGTCGAGATCCGGCAACAGTAGGCTGGAAACTCTGCTGGCTGGGAAAGTCAGCAAGAAGAGCAGCGGCAGCGGGCAAGTCTTGCGGCGCGACGGAGACGTGGATGACAACGACGACTACGACGCCGAGGACTTGCTTGAGCGGATGCGGCAAGCCGAACGGGAGACGGGCGCGCACGTGCGCCAGCTGCAGCAGGAGCTCAACGTCGTCCGGCAGGCCAAGCGCATCGAGCAACAGTCTGAGCAGAGCAGGAGACTGCGGCGACAGTCACCACCAACAGCACCAACCGGCGACGGAGGACCCAGCATCATCGACGCCGAGCTTAGAGAGCTGGTGGGCAAGTGGAAGTTCGCCAGCCAGCAGGCTGCCGAGGAGCTGTTCGAGCTGATCAAGGGGCGCGTCGCGGGCATGGGCGGCGGCAAGGCCTGGCGCGAGACGCGCAGGCAGCAGCAGCAAGGGTTCTTCGCGGGGTTTGATGATGGCGATGGCCACGGGAGCGGTGCGACGCGGCGGGATCACGAGAGGGACTGTAATGAGGAGTGCAGGTGCGACGACGACGACGACGACGACGTCCGCCGCGAGGCAGCGTTGCGCGGGCGTGCTGATGAAGAAGGGGACGGCGGGAGTGGGAAGGAGGAGTCAGAGGGCGACGAGTTGGTTTGTTTACCCTACGTTGAATTTTTTTTACGTGTAACACTTGAGAAGGCTGACTATTGCTAGGATTTCACGATGTTGATGATGCTTAAGAGCCTCAACATCGACCCCAATGTCTTGGGCTACGATGCAGTTGAGGATAAATGGCGGGACTGAGAAATACATTGCAGTAAACCTCCACCTTGTCGTGGTTGAGAGCTTGTGAGCCAAGGCCAAAAAAACAGAGGAATGGCGCAACTCGGGGAGGGCTACAGAGATTCAGAGCGCTCGAGCTATCATCGGCCGTTGGAATCTTTAGCGGAGAGACCCTGTTATTATCGCCACCTACTACCGTATACCACAAGTAAATACGGTTTGCGTTTGTGCAAGTGATGCAGCCTCCTGATGGTGATCCAATGTCGAAACTTTGCAGCGGTCCCGAATGCTGCTGGCCCAGCGGGAGCTAAGCCGGCATGTTCCCCACAGGGGCCCAGTTAGCCTTTCCGCATTTGTCACTACATCGGGGGCGGCCGGCTTTCTGATTTGTGCGCGGTGGAATTGGAATTCGGTGGCACATGATTGGACAGGGGTTGCCGAGGTGTGCCGGCTAACTGGGCGACCCAGGTGATGATGCAGTTCCGACCCGACAAAGGTCGTCAATCGGTCCTCCGCCACGCCACCAACAGCAGCAGACCGAGGCCTTTTTCTCGATCCCACTTCCGCATCCCGACCGACCACCCATCCACCTACCCGGTACCTGCGCGACAGGAAGAAGCACAAGTCGCAGTGTTCAAGCGGCTCGCTCAATTGGCATCCCCAGAACCTCGAATTGATTGCATCCCTCCTGCTCTCGAGCCACAGCCACAATGGCAGCTCTCCGCTCCTCGTGCGCCGCCCGCCTCTTCGGCTCGGCGACATCGCGCCCGGCTTTTCGCCTCGCCGCCGCCGCCCCCGTCCGCGGCTTCGCGCAGCTGGCCGACGCCGCGCAGGAGAGCCAGACTGCGTCGGGCGACCAGAAGGCGCGCATCAAGACGTTCCAGGTCTACCGCTGGAACCCCGACACGCCCACCGAGAAACCCACCATGCAGAGCTACTCCCTCGACCTCAACAAGACGGGCCCCATGGTCCTCGACGCCTTGATACGCATCAAGAACGAGCTCGACCCCACCCTCACCTTCCGCCGCAGCTGCAGAGAGGGCATCTGCGGGAGCTGCGCCATGAACATCAACGGAACCAACACCCTAGCCTGCCTTTGTAAGTCCTAAGACGGAGAGAAAAGCCTTCGATACGGAGAGAAGAGGAGGGGCGCCTTTTTTTTGTCATTGTCGTTGTTGTCGCGCAGCACAGGCTCGAATCAGCAGACGGAGAACAGAATGGGGAGATATACAGCCTTCGGTGACGTGGCAAGCCCTCAAGGGCGAAGAGAACACGCGCTTACAGAAGGTCCCTCTGGGGCACGACGTGAACAGGCCGCATTCCCACCGAGGTCAATGCCGAGATGAAGATCTACCCGCTCCCGCACACGTACGTGGTCAAGGACCTGGTACCCGACCTCACGCAGTTCTACAAGCAGTACAAGTCGATCAAGCCGTACCTGCAGCGAGACACACCGTCTCCCGACGTGAGTTCTCCCACTTGTTGTTTGCAAAACTGCGCATGCCGGGAAGAGTGTCACGCGGGACTGACAGACGCTAATTTCTTTCCGGGAAACAGGGCAAGGAGTATAGACAGAGCAAGGCGGACCGGAGGAAGCTGGACGGGCTCTACGAGTGCATCCTGTGCGCGTGCTGCTCGACGTCGTGCCCGTCGTACTGGTGGAATTCGGAGGAGTACCTGGGCCCGGCCATGCTGCTGCAGTCGTACCGTTGGCTGGCCGACTCGCGCGACGAGCGCACCGCCGAGCGCAAGGACGCCCTCAACAACTCCATGAGCCTGTACCGCTGCCACACCATCCTCAACTGCACCCGCACGTGCCCCAAGGGCCTCAACCCCGGCCTGGCCATTGCCCAGATCAAGAAGGAGATGGCGTTTTGAGAAGACGAGAGGGAAAGAAGATTGCAAACGGGGATGCTTTAATGGTTGGGTTAAGGGTAAAAAACAGAAGTACCAAATAGGGAGAAATGGTGTGGTGGTGGGAGAGAGAAGAAGATTGCGGTGGGCACCGCTGAAACACATACGCAGACATTGCTGCGGACTTTTATAGATGTTGTAAACTTGTACCTCGGTTTCTCCTGCATAGTTAGAGTTTACTTTGTCACAGTACGTACCAGCACATAGGAAATGACTTTTTTTTGAGAGAGTTCTTGGGGGTTGCTACCATTAAGGAAGTCCCTTGATAGCTGCCTTATATTTGTCTTATCGAGGTTGAGGTGGCGTTATTTTCATATGAATTATCATCAGGTGGCTTATTCACGTCTTGTATGAAAAGACGTCATGCTACTTCACTCAGTCTGCTAACGTACGTGCTACACGCCCAATCAACACTCTCTCACCATGTCCGCTCGGCTGCAGACGAGGCAGGGTATCGTCATCTGATGCCCTCGTGAAGAATCTCAGCCGCCCACTTCTCCTGTATCATCCCACGTGTTTCGGGTTTCAGCCAGAAGAAAGAAAAGAAGAAAGAAAGAAAGCCTGACAACCGCCGTACCGTACCGAGTGAGCATGGCTGGCTCTCTAAGAGGATATTTAGATGTCTCTCTGCTTTTGCTGTATTTACGTATTTCCATATACACACACCACCCCTTTTCAACACTCTTTTCTCCTACAGACCGGGAAGTAACTTTCTTTTCATTACCCCCCTCTCCTCCCAGCCCCCTTTTCATCTCATCCAATCCCGATATCCCATTTCTTTCTTTCTTTTTAAAGGACAGGAGCCGGCGTAGGCAGGCTGCCGGGCACCGACGTCACCGTCGGCTCGGTGGTAGCACACGGAGGCGCCGCAAACGTGGGCCACGGCCTGCAGGCCGAAAAGCATCTTTCAGGAAAGGTAAAAAATCAGTTTCACCGCTCGAGTGTTAGGAGAAGGGGGGGGGGGGGGGGTCAACACGCACCCTCCGTAGGTCATGCCGCAGGAATTGATGCCGTCCCAGCAGACGGTCTGGCTGGAGCAGTTGTTTTCGGCCGGTGGGGTTTGGGTCACGATAGTTGCCGTCGTCGACGTTATGGGGAAGATGCTTGTTATTGTTGTGAACTGCGGGCACGGGGGCGCGCTGGGCCTGGCGGCCTTGTCGCAGACGTCGTAGCAGCTATTCTCCCCCCGTGTGAGGTGCGTTGGTTAGACAGACCAAAGAACGGGGCCGTGTCCGTAAGTGAGAGCTGCTTGCTTACCCGCCATAGCGAACACCGCACTTGTTGATGCCGTCGATGCATAAGATACGCGGCTCGCACTCTTCTCCCTGCGGCCTCGGGGCGGCAGCCACATGTCTGCCCGCGAGGAGGACAACAAGGGCGCACGACAGCGAAGAGGCTTTGAAGAGCTGCATTGTATCTTGGGAATATGATATTTTCAGGTGCAAAAAGGGGTCGACAATGCTGCTCAGAGTTAGTTTGCGGGGTGATATGTTCGAGAATACATGCAGCAGACCAAGGGCAGAGAGATATAGATATTTGTTTCTGCTAGGATAAAAGGGGCTCACATCTCTCACTAGAACTAAATGAGAGAAATAGTATAGTATGACGATAGAACGTCGCAACTTGGTTTGCGGGATGCAATAGTATGTCTATGTCCATGTCCAACTCCTCGGCTTAAACCAGCGATCCTAAACTGGTCTCAGCTTGGCGATTCTTCTTTTTTTCTATTATTTATCTGGGCAATATCAAGAATTGCTATCAAGAGGTTTGCTACGTTTCGTCTAGATCTAGTGTCAGTTGGGGTATATACCCTGTGTTTACCCGGCTCGCTGTCAGCCACTCGGCAGCGAGCTTCTGTGGTATTTATGGAGGGGGGAGAGGATTCCCTCATATCCAATTCCTATTCACCCGTTTGGACACCAGCGGAGAACATATATGTGTGGGGTGAGCCAAGGCGGAAGCAATACGGCCAATGCACGCACTACTGTTTCTAGAAGGAGAACAGAGAAGGAAGTGAGTTGTTCGGATTCTGAAAAAGGGAACGAAAAAAAGGGAGAGGATTCCGAAGAGGTAGTGACGTACGTAGCTAAGGTCCCTAGGGGTCTATCCCTCTAGGTCCGTCGGGCCCGCCCTTCCCCGGACTCGGGGCTGCGGAACCGAACTGGAAGTGGAAGGCTTCCAAAGGGATGGTGACAGTTGACCACCACCAAACAAAGAATTCTCCGTAGGCTACCTTAGCTACCCTACGTCTAGTGGAGAAGAGGGTGCGTGTTGTGGCGTGTCCCCAGGGGCATTGAGCCAACGGCTGCTACCCAGAGCAACCCTTTTCCTTTGACTTGATCTGGGGAAGAAAGGGGCGTGTGTCTGGGGGATGGAGGATGGAGACTTGGCGTTGCTGCACCGAGGCTACTTCAAGAAGGGGCGGACGTCGGATTGTTCCTGAAATAGGTACACAACCCACAACACTGCTCCGAAGCTTGCAGAGACCCAGAGGGGTCTTTAATATCGTGAGGTGGGCGTCGAGAGAGCCTCATGGCCAAGGAGAAGAATGGAGTTAAGGAAATGCGACGGCGTCACAGTTGGCCACGGCTGCTCGCGGAAGGAACGCAAAAAAGAAGGAGACGGAAGGAGACAGGTGGCCAGCTACTATCAACTTTAATTGTTTGCGAGGCCGCGGTTTCTGCGGTCCGTTGTGGAAGAGGAAGGAAGCAACGACCAGATGAATTTGGTTCGGCAGCCAAGCGTTGTATCCCGTGAAGGAGGGAAGTCGATTCGACCCCAAAGTTCGATGCAGAGGAAGCCACCTGGGCGTTTAGATTTACAATCAATCCTGGGTGCCTTTTTAGAACCGACGGAAAGCACCATCGAGAACGAAACAAAATAAAACACCCAACCTGAAAGAGCCTGCAGCTATTTTAGCACCTCTCCATGTTAAATTCAGCTGCGTGCGCATGCACGATGGGACAAACGTGACTCGGCCCTACAGGTGCCAGGTGCATATCCGACACTTTGTATGCACATACATAACCCATACAAAGGCAAGAGTAAAGAAGCCAGCTCTACCGAGATCGACCTCTGCTGCGGCACCCCACAACAGGCCCGGCAAATATCGAGACATATGAAGATTAATGAAGACCATGGACATCAACCAGGTCTGGGGGGCAGAGCACAACAGAAGCCGAACTGCTAAAAATAAGCATCCATGAGCTTTTAGGGGACTCGGCAATTAACCAGGTAGATAGCTTACCTACTATGTCACTTTTTCTTTCTGTTGCTTATTCTCTTCAATTGCCCCCACACCCTACTTTGCGGAGAGAAGCGCGGGCAGAGCGTGAGTGGGTGTGGTTGTGAGTGTGGGATTTCCGAAGTGAGGACGCCCAGGCGCAACCGTGAGAGCGGAAGAATTCACCAGCGTAGCCGTGACAATTTGGCTTAATTGCAGACAGGCGAGCCAAGCCTGGCACCGCAATGTAATTTCTGTGGGCGAGGGCGATGGCCACTCACCTACACACAGCAAGCAGGCCACCAAACATGTGACGTTGGTGTGCCAGACGAGGAGGAGGGTGACGGGATCATCACTAAGGGGGGAGGCAAAGGAACGAAACAAGACCTTTTTTGAACGGACACGGCTCTTGGTGGAAGGAGAAGTAGGGAAAAGAAGAAATCGGACCAGGAGCAATCGAAGGAAGCAGCACGACAAGAGAGAACGAGAAAAAAAAGGATAAGAAGTCGCCCCCCTCCTCAACACCGACCACGAGAAATTAGGATATAGACACCAAACCTCCACACCCTTTGGCCAAGGTATTATACCCATCCATCCATCCATATCCAATCCTCCCTGCCATCCACACACAACTTCAAACGTCTGAACCTCGGCCAAAGCAAACAAAACAACAAAACAACAAAACAATCACGTCATACAAAATGAAGTGGCAGGCGCTCGCCCTCTCCTTTTTGGCCACCACCGGCCTAGCAAGCCCCATCTTCGGCCAGCCAGAAATCTACACGCTGCGCCTCTCATCGTGCGTAACCTCCCCATTCCCCATTACCCATCCCACTTTGAGCTCACGGCACTAACACGGGGCGGCCGCAGACGAAACAAGGCGCTCGACGGGCAGTATCTCGGCGTGAACGGGGCGCTGGTGGGCGTGTTCAAGGACTCGTCGGTGGTGCGCTTCATCCCGGTGCCGAGCGGCAGCAGCAGCAACCTGGTCGAGCTGCACACATACCCCGTGGGCAAGGAGGAGCGGGCGCTGGCGCTCGTGGGCAAGCAGGGGCTGCTCGACTTCTCCGACGTGGTCAACCCGGCCGCCAGCAACTTCCCCAAGGGCACCACGTGCGACTGGACGGCCTTCCGTCTGGGCTCGTCGACCGCCAAGAAGACTGTCGTCTACGCCGGCAAGGCCGGCGGCTGGGTCGCTTTCCCCACCGGGCCCGACGGGTCCGACTGGAGCGTCAAGTGGAAGGACTGTCAGTTCCCTTCTCCCGTCCTCCGTTTCCTCCATTGCCTTTTCTCTTTTGATACTGTTGCTGACTGAAATGACGCAGCCTCCGCCATCACTATCGAGAACTACATGACCGTCGACGTCGTCTACGAGGCCGTTGACGCTACTAAGGTTGAGTTTGGCCCTAGCAGCTGAAGCACCCAACAGCAGACCGGTAGCTCAGTTGGTTTACATACCTAGGAGGTGATAGCTAGTTTAGATAGAAAAGTTTCCCTGCGCCGCGGCTTGTTTAGTCCTTTTCAAATACATTTCCTTTCATCATTTTCCTATACATACAACGTCAGACATGAAAGGCGGACCCAAAAGCTCCTGCCCTCCCCTCTTCCTCTTCTCTTATTCTCACAAAAGGTGGACAGAATTGCACAACAGTGGGGTCTCTCTCTCCCAGTCACAACCACAGTCATCTCCTGATATCAAGAGGCCCGAGATATCCCCAATAGGAGAATAGGACAGACAGACAAATCACAACCACAACCCCAACTTCAAAATTCTTGTTCTTGGTTCGCCGGATTTTTGCTTTACTTTCCGCATGCTCCTTGCCAAGTAACCCCCCCCCCCCCCCCCCCCCCTCTCCTTCCCGACTTTTGAGTGCCTTATCATACCGAATTAGGTGGGTAAGTAGGTACCGACGTGATACCCAACAACCGCCAGCCAGCCAGCCAGCCTGAGCCAAGGATGGTTTCGGATAGCAAGAATCGAGAACCAGAATAATTATGGGAAATAATCCCTTCGTACAGTACTCGTTGTCTGCCTGCCTGCCTACCTGCTTACCTGATTGGGCATCTAGTTAGTGATGTGATATCCGCTCGTGACTTATTGCCGAGTTGCCGAGTCAGCTCAGAAGGGGGAGCGTTCGCAAAGTGTGAAATGAGTAAACTCGCCACCAAAACTCACATATCAACAATTCCCAGTCAGATAAATTAGACTGAATGCTGGCTGTGGGTAATGAAAGGCTTGCCATAGCCTCCAAGGTCGTTTGGGGTCTCCGGACAAGGACTCCTACCCCCTTTTAAATAAACGACAACATCGCCATCTCAATCACACTCACACACACGCAAAATCGTTCGTCCTCGGCAATCCATGGTCAAAACATGCGCTTCCGGCTTGAGAAGTGGGCTCATTTGGTCACCTTGTTGGTCCAGCATCTGCCCGGGCAAGTCGCGGTGCCAGGGACATTTGGTGGAAAATTGGCGACACGCCAGACATTTACGGAAGCCGTTTCTCCCCAGAGGCTTCCTCAGTAGACGTTAGTTGCGATGAATACTCCCTAATCGCGTTGGACACACAGATCATTTTCCAGCCCTAGTTGTCGGTTCATGGTAACAAAGCAGGCGAGGACAGGCTGACTTTGCAAACCAAATATCTCCGCTAGACAGCAACTTCCGTGTCCCAACACAGGTTCGCGTCGCTGCAGATACCTGAGATAAGTATAAAAAAAGACGTCAAGAACGCTAAATGGCTCTATCTACTACACATGTGCTCATATTCTACTTAGACTTTCCCTTCATTTCGACGAGATACTCGGTGTCGCCTGCCGTGCGAAGCTTATTTCCCTTCTCAATGACGGCCTCCTCCATGTCGAGCTGGTACTTCCGCATCTTTTCCTGGTAGCGGGGGGTAAAAGCGCCGAGAATACGGATGGCCAGCAGGGCCGCATTGGTTGAGTTGTTGATGCCAACCGTAGCGGTGGGAACTCCCCTCTATATTTCCCGAGAACACAGACCACCGGTCAGAAACAAGGCCTGGGTTGCTTAGTGGATGAGGTTATGAAACTTACCGGCATCTGCACGATACTCAACAAGCTGTCCATGCCGTCAAGATGCGTGGCCTTGACGGGCACGCCAATGACGGGCAGCGGCGTCTCCGATGCCAGCATGCCGGGAAGATGGGCGGCTCCGCCGGCCGCGGCAATGATTACTTTGATGCCTTTACCTGCGGCCTCGTCGGCGACACGCATCATATACTTGGGTGTTCGGTGAGCTGAGGTGATGTCCAGGGCATACGGAACCTTGAAATCTTTGAGAATATCCAGCCCGGCCTTCAGCACAGGGAGGTCCGAGTCGGAGCCCATCGTCACGAGCACCAGAGGCTTGTCTGAGGGCCCATCTACATGATTGCCCGTCTCAGGCCGGATTGGTTTCTTCTCGGACTTGGAGCTCTTTAGTGTCTCTGGAGATTTTTTCTCGGACACGTCAATCGAGGGCTCCGCCTGAGGGCGGAGTTGCTCCGACACGGCGTCGAGCCGCTCTTTCCTGATAGTGTCGACCAGTTTGATAAAAGGTCGAGCTTCCTTCTCCAACTCCTCGATGGACGAGAGCCCCGTCAAGGTGATGTGGCCTATCTTGCGGCCGGGCTTTGACTCTTTCCCGTAGAGGTGCAAGTAGACGTCCATGCTATCACTGTACACGGACCGCGCCAGCCGTGCCAGTCTGTGGTGGGAGTCTGGCGCAGCACCTCCCAGTATGTTGAGCATGATGGACGAGGGGACCCTAGGTGTCAGCGTCTCGGGGATTGGGAGGTCCAGGACGGCGTATATCTGGGCCTTATATTGCGACATGTAAGGCACGGCCTCGATTGTATAGTGGCCCGAGTTGTGCGGGCGGGGAGCAACCTCGTTGACCACTAGGGACCCTAAATCTTATTAGTGTCGAGATCTCACGAAACCCCCCCGAACACAAGCCGAGGCCGTCTTACCGTCTTCGAGAACAAACATTTCCACGGCAAAGACGCCGCGACCCCACAGGGTGCTGATGACGTTGCAGGCCAGTGCTCTGGCGTCCTCGCAGACTTTCTCTGCGACGTCCCTGGGGGGCATGAAGACCTTGGTGCACACGCTGTCCTCGTGCACTGTCTCGACGGCGGGGTAGGCAACGCAGTTCCTGAGATGGCCTTCGTCGTCTTCTGTCCTGATGACCATGACAGCAAGCTCCTTCACAAAGGGGGCCCACTTCTCGGCGTAAAGGGGCAGCTTTCCCAGAGCGGCGAGGGCAGGGGCAAAGTCGGCGTCGCTATCGACCTTGAAATTGCCCCTGCCATCGTAGCTCCCTTTGCGGGCCTTGAGCATGAAGGGAAAGCCAAACTCTTTGGCGGCATGCTGGAGCGAGGCGAGGCCGGCATCGCCAGACTCGACAGCTAGCTGGGCGGCAATGGGGATCTTGCTTGCGCTGGCGGCGAAGTGCTCCTTCTGGAGATACTTGTCCTGGATGAGGCGAATGGTGCGCCACGAGGGGTGGATGGGGGGCCGGTGGGTGACGGTGGAGCCGTTGGCGAGCCTGATGTCGACGCCATTCTTCTCAATGTCCTCAAGCACATCCGTCTCGACATGCTCAATCTCGACCGACAGGTAGTCGGAGCGGGCGGCGAGCTCGCGGATTTTGGCGGGGTCCTTGAAGGAGCCGGCGACGTGGCGGCCGGTGCTGTGCGCCTGCTTGGCCGGCGCGTCCTTGCCGTCGAGGATGGCAATGTCAATCCCCAGCGGGTTGGCCGCCTCGCACAGCATGCGTCCTAGCTGCCCGCCCCCCAGCAGCCCGATGACCGGATTGCCCATTGCGTCGTCGTCCTCGACTGTGCGGCCCATTAGTCGTTGCAGCGACAAGAGGTGGCTCATCGACTTGTATCTGTAGATGAGGCGGCCATGTAATAACACGCTGTGCATGCCAGAGCCAAAGACGCTGCGAACCTTAAAATGACGCCTAGTCGAAAGAATGACTCGCGTGCCCGCAATGAACTTTCAAGTAAATGGAAGGTAAGGTACCACCGGGCTCGGAGACTGAATTTCGATGCCACCGCCCGCGGGCACTCCCGTCTTTTAGCTTCCAGACGGCCTCAGAATCCCCAGAAAAATCTACCTACACAGTAATGGACTCGTGGGCGTGTCATCGGGTACCAAGTGTGCTGTACGGAAGGGACGTTACGGGTGGTTCCTGCTAGTTTGGGCCGTTAGCCATGCCTACCCGACGCTGCGAAACGGCGGTCTTGAGGCGGCCAATCAGCGCCTTTTAGGACCTACAGGACATCCCACTAAGGGCTACGGGGCGTTTGCCTCTGTAAACGACAGGACCTAAACTCAAGATCTGGAATCTCCACTCCCAAAGACTGCAGACAAGGAAAAGTCGGGGTGACAGATAACTTCGTGGAAATCTTGGGATAATGGGCTGCTCGTCTCTCACTTCTGCTCAAGTCTCAAGCCCCTCTTAACTTCTCTCTGCGTGATCTGCATCATACAGCAGACTGCCGCAGATCCGGTGCACACCTAGGTGTGTCCTCTCGGAACCCGACACTCATCCGCCAACTCATTCCACATTCGTTATTTTCTCAACTATTCTGGTTAGGCGTCTCAACTCTGAGCCCTGATCTCGACAGAGTCATGGCAGACCCTACCGGTTTTGGCCATGTTCAGTAAGAACGCATTTCCTGTCTTTCTCATCCATGAGTTGTCACCTCATTCTCCTTGTCCTTGTCTTCACCTGACAGAAAGTGAACCCCTTTTCACCCCTGAGTATTTGAATACCACAATACCTGACCGAGTCCAGCCCCCTCAAACTCTTCGATGTGGCCAAAAAGGAAAGGAGATTTCTCTACACGTCGGCGCCGATGGTGAGATATAGCAAGGCAAGTACTTACCTGGTAGTCACAACCACCTTAGTCTCATAATGAACAAGCAAAGTCTGATGAGTATTACCGTTCAGCTCGCCTTCCGCCACACAGTCTTTGCATATGGCACCGACCTCTGCTGGACGCCCATGATCCTGGCCAAAGAGTTCAACCGAAACAAGTTCGCCCGAGACAGCGGTAAGTCGGCGCCAGCACCCTCCCTCTTCATCGCATCACCTTATCAAACTAACACACATGTCCAAAAGACTTCACCGTGTCCACCGAGGGCCCCCAGCCCCCGACCATTGTGCAGTTCGGTGCCAACTCGCCGCTCGAGCTGGCACGGGCGTCGTCGCTGGTCGCACCCTTTAGCAGCGGCGTCGACCTGAACTGCGGCTGTCCGCAGTCGTGGGCGTGCGCCGAGACTATGGGCGCTGCCCTGATGGAGCGGCGCGAGCTGGTCCGCAACATGGTCGTCGAGACGCGCGAGCACCTGCGTCGCGACGGCTGGGCCGTCGGCAAGGACAAGGACATGGACAGCCCTAGGGGGAGGAGCGTCAGCGTCAAGATCCGAGTGCACAAGGACCTGCGGTGAGTTAGGCCCTCTTTCTTGCTATCCATCCATTCATCCTACACGACTAGGAAGACTCAAAATTCACCCCGAGACAAAGGGGAAGAAAGGGGTATATGTTGTTACTCACGCACTTTATAAAAAAAACAGCAAGACGATGGATTTCATCACGACGGTGCTCGGCCCCGAGCACGACCGCCACGTCGACTTCCTAACGATCCACCCGCGGACACGGTCGACGCCGTCCAGCACGCCCATCAACGTAGAGGCACTGTCGCTGCTGACATCAACATTCGGCGACCGCGTGCCGATCCTCGTGTCGGGGGACGTGTTTGCGCTCAGCGCGCTGCCGTTCGCGTCGCCCTATTCCACCTTTACCAGTTCCGCCACCACTGACACAACAACGACACCATTGCTCAACGTGCCCAAGCTCGCGGGATTAATGTCTGCGCGCGCCCTGCTGGCCAACCCGGCGCTGTACGCGGGCCACGACGCGTGCCCGTGGTCGGCGGTCGAGGCGTTCATGCGGTACGCGGCGCGGTGCCCGCTACCCCTAAAACTGGTGCAGCACCACGTCGGCGAGATGTGCGGGCCGGGCATGGGGCCCAACAAGCGGGCGCTGCTGGGGCGGGCGGGGCGCAGCGCCATGCTGGCGTGCGCTAACATGGTGGACCTAGTTGATTTCCTCGACGAGAAGCGGAAGGCGGCGGCCATCAGGGAGGCCGACGGCGGTGCTGGTGCTACTGCTGTTGTTCAGGGGCTGGGGAGGCGAGACGAGCCAGGCCATGTTTCTAGGATAGGTAGCCTAGTCAGGTAGCCGGGCAATAGACTACATGCTCAAGACAGGACACGAGCACGCGCAGTGACGGCTGTCTGGAATGTAAGACTTGGGAATACAGTACACGGATACCGTTCTAGAGGTCCTGGTTTCGCTCGGTATCAGTCAGTCTAAGAAACGATATCTGCCGCACAATCTCTTTGGGTCGGAGAAACAGCGCCATCAACACAAACCCCCTTTCCGCCCCAGAAACGCTACAAACCGAACGAAGCCCCGGCCCCGCTCGCCCTAGACCGAACGTAATCATAACATAAAATATCACAAGTATTGTTTGTGCCGCGAAGGAGGTGATTTACAGCCAGCCAGCACCGTGGTTAGTTCCTGCAAACTCCCCCCAGAAAGAAGACCCCCACAGTAAGACACCCCGACCCGCTTGGTTTGCAGGCAAATATTTAGAAAATCGCAAAACCATCCATGCTCCGGCCACCCCATCCTTCTTTACCGCGTCCGTACCAACGACGCCGAAAGAAAAAAAAGAAATTAAAGAACCATCCATCCTGAAAGAAAGTGGAAAAAGAAGATAAGAATACAAAAAACCGGAGGAACCAGCGCACGCTGGAAGATAAAAACTGGCATATCTTGACTTCAAGGTGCCTTGATCTCTCCCTCGTCGTCCTCGCCCGCACTAACCAACCGCGGTTTCTTTTTTTCTCTGTCCCCATCGGAATCCTTGTCGTCTAGCTCAACGCTTTTGCGCTTGATAGGCGGGGGCGAGCGGAGGCCGCGGCTGCCGTTAGTCTCGCCCTCGTGGACATCAAGGTCGTTGGCGGCCGCCTTGAGCGCAGCGTCCGAGTCGCCTCTGCTGAGATGAGAGGCAATCTCCAAGCTCGTATCGGCGCTCACGGCGCCCTTAGCGCTGCTGCCTCCAATAGATAACTCCTGGCTTTGACCCTGGTCCGGTCGGCCGGTGCCATTAGCAGTGGCGCCACGGTTTCCGCCGGCACCAGCACGCTGGGGACTCTGGGTACCGGCGCGGTCTGTCGGGGCTGGAGTCCCGCCCTGGCTTGAACCGGCCTCCGTCTGACCTATCAAGTTCTCTCCCCTCCTCCTAGTGCTTTCTAGATTGAACTCGGGCGAGCCAGGCATCTTGGAATCCGGTTTCCTAAGTGGGTTTTCCCTGTAGAACTCTGTGGTGATGGACAAGGCCTTGCTCATGAGGGCCTCGTTTCCCTTGAGGAACTTCCACCACGCCTCGCCATTGACGTCGTCAATAGTTTCTTTTGTGATTATCGTCGCGAAGAAGATGGCGCTGAGGGAGACGTCGCGCGGGCTCATGAGCAACGGTAAAGTGGTCAAGCACGAATCGTTGCAATAGGTCCACGCTGCGTTCCTCAGCCCCTTCCTGTGGATCAGGTCAAGCTGGCCCAGAATCTCGTATAGTTGGTGGTACGGATTGTCCACCATGAGGTCGAATGTAAGGGTTTCAAGCATGACCTCTTCATAGGTGAGAATACTGTCACGCCAGCGCCAGTACTCTTTGCTCTGTTCGTCGATGATGAGCTTTGTGTTCTTCTGCGCCACTTTGGCAACGGCGATAATTAAGTCCTTCGTTTTCCGACAGTTTTCCTCGGTTTTGTTAGCAAGGAAGAGAGCCGTCGCTGCTATGTTCTGTTTTCGAACATATTGGTTAGTTAATGAGAGAAAGCTGGGGGTAGTCTCGCCAAAGCTTACGTAGTGATGTATACCGCCCTTCTCCTCAACCATGCTAAAGCGCATGTAGAAGCGGTGGAAAAACATGCCAGCCACCCAGAGCGTTATTTGTGGAAGGTCGAGGAGAATTCCAGCTTGGTAGATAAAGTTGACGCCCTTAGCTCGTCTCAGACGCTCTTCAGCTAGCGAAAGGCCATCGACTATGCTGGGCGAGCTCGCGACTTCGGTAGTGGTAAAAAACCACTGATCGGCACGCGGTTGGATAGGTTGCTGCGGGCTCGAATGGGCGGGCGATGGCGCGCTGCGGCGCGAGGCCGGTCGGGGCGGAGAGGTCCTCGACGAGTACGTCGGCGGGGATGGGACGGCAGGGGGCACATCGCGCCTTCTCACAGGCGATTTTGAATGGCGATCTATGGCCGCAGGCGGCGGCTTTGGCGGGAGAGATGGCGGTTGGTAGCCCTCGCGCGCAGGGCGGTATCTGTCGACGTTGGACGACATGGTTGGCGACAAAACGCGGCGGGGGCTGGGACGAGGCTGATGTAAATAATCCTCCCCTGATCGCCTTTTAGATGATGCGCGGGATAATCGTGCGCATTGGCATTGGGCGATGCGTGGCGAGTTGGTTGTCGCTGACCGAGGTCGAGATGTTGATTTCCAGTTATTCCTTCCTTTGTTGAAGACAAAAGCATGGAAACGAAACGACCAAGAGTGAGAGCTCAAGAAATCTACGCTAGTCGATGCTAGCCACTTTTTGGCCCTTATCGAAACGAGGCTCTAGCGCTCCAATGGCGCGGTCCCTGGAGCTCCGTCACCAAATTCAAGGTCCCCACATCAACTGCCGTCTGCATCAGAACACATGTAAATTCACGACACCAGCTTCCAAAGTTGCCCCAGAGCCAGCGACGAGAAGGCCCTGCAAAGTTCGAAATACGTGCATAGTACAGAACCCATCAATAGATTTCCCTATGGGCTATACTTACAACTAGACTCCGTTCGTACAACTGTCCTACAAAGAAAAAGCGCGTGCTTTGTATTTCTTTTTGGGTATCAAATGTTTGCTATTTCGGTCTGCATCAAGCCTCCTCATACATGCCTGCCGAGTCGTTTCTGCCCCATAGCTTGACTGTCCGATCGTGGCCGCCGCTCACAATCCACTTTCCGTCCCTGCTCACATCCACGCTCGCGACCGCGCCAGTGTGGCCACTGAGGGACTGGACGAGGGCCCAGTCATCGGCTGAGAAGATGTTGACCTTGGCATCGAAACCTGCCGAGACGATGAAGGTGCCAGACTTTTTGGGCAGCTGCACCCCCTCCTCATCTACGCCTGGCGGGGTGCCGTCGAAGGGATCATCGAGGCCCTTGTACCAGCGAACGTCGGCAACTGAGCTTGTGTGGGCGCCAATGCCTCCTGTTCTCTGGACCTTTCGAACGTCCCAGCACTTGATCCACCCGTCAGCAGACGCTGTCAGAACGCGGTGGCCATCCGAGCCCCAGTCGAGGCCGTAGATAGGTTTAATGTGTCCGTCTAGGTGGCCGTCCAGAATCATGACGGTTCGTCCTGAGCGCATGTCCCAAATCCGCCCGACGCTGTCTAGTCCGGCGCTCGCAAGCAGAGACCCGTCCGTGTTGAAGGCGACGGCATAGACCCCGCGGGAATGGCCCTCCTGCAGTAGTAGTTCTGACTTTGTTTCAATATCCCACAGCCGCCATGAGGTGTCCTCTGATGCAGATGCCAGGTACTTCCCGGAAGGGTGGAATTCGACACGACATACGCGCTGCGAGTGCCCCGAAAGGGTGGCAAGGGGAGTGTCTTGCGTCAGAGACCATAGGTGAATCTGCCCCTCTGCCCCGCCCGAGGCAAGATTCACGCTGTCTTCAGAGACATTCGACTCTGGTAGTGTAGATCCGGGCATCCAAGAGAGGCCGCTCACTTTATTTGTATGGCCCCTGAGTGTGCGCTTTTGCTCGAGGCTGGGAATATCGATCAGCTTCACCTGGCCTCCCCAATTCCCCGTGGCGACGAGCTTCCCATTGGGCGAGATTCTTGTCATGCTGATGTGGCGCTCGCCCGCGGTCTGACTGCCCTGGAGCTCAAACGACTGGAGGCGCTCCTTCACCTCCTTCCGGAATATGAGGTGGTTGCGCACGGGTATGGCCGCTTCCTTTTTCTGGAATTCGATGCGCTTCTTAGCTCGGGGAATGGAGTACTGGGCGATGTCTCTCCGAGCCTGGAGAAGCTCTGGTCCACCCCTAGTGTAGAATTCTTCCTCCTGCTCCTCTCCCTCTTCCTCCTCCTCTTCGGCGTCTTTCATTTCGACGTCTGCCTTCTCTTCGCCCGTCTTTTGCGCCTGCTCTGTGAGCAGCTCTCGCAGTCTGTCGCGGCGGTCTGCAAGGCCTTCGCCAAAGAGGGTAACTGGCTGGCCTAGCTCCCGAAGTTTGGCCCGTACACGCCCATCGTCAGTAGGCACGGCAATAGTCGCCGCTAGCCGTCTGCGCTCAAATTGTGATAAAAGGGCCGACGCCTTCTCAGGCGCAATGCCGGCACCAGCTCCCGGGATGTCATAGTCGCGATCAATGGCTGCGGGGCTAGAATTAGAGACGGCGAATATAAGTGTTGCAGCGCGGAAGCAACTTACGGACGTCGTTTATATCAATGCCTCCTCGATCCTACAAACGAAGGCGCGGTTAGCTCGGCCTTGCACAGTATCGTTCGAGTCAAATAGCAAACACTTCGCGGTGCGAAGATGCTAGCGGGGAAGTGTACCTCGGCCTCAGCTTCTTCCACATATGCCCGACGCGATGGGTGAATCATGGTTGTAGATCTATTGTGGTTGCTTGCTGAGTATCGACGGGAGCTTTTGGTGAAAAGAGCAGCCTGGGTTAGTGTTGGCAAGGCTGATGAGGATTTGAGGCGAGAGTCGCGAAGTTCGCCGTCAGAGCTCTAGAATACTTGAGTCCCGCCTGAAAATAATCAATCGCCAATCCGTTAACCCTAACCCTTAATCTTCACTTCCACCGCGTAAATAGGAAGAACCACCTTGCAACCTACGCCTAGCCAGTGAGCGAAGGACTCGCACAGCGGGGCCACAGCGTGCGTGGGCGCTCATCGGCACTACGAAGGTGGGGCTCATTTGCCCCGTAATATTCCACCACCACCACCAACACTTGCAGCCCCACTGTCGAGGCCGACCCCTCGACCAACCCTCCCTCCCAACGGCGACAAACACCACGGTCTCCCTCGCCACCTCCTCCATACCCGAAGGGTCCGCCGGATGCCCTACCGACAAGAAAGTAAGCAAGCCCCCTCCCCTCTTGCCCTTTGGACTAACGTTGATGGGTATTAAATAGGTCAACGAGTCTTGTACCGTCGTGCGTAAAGTCACTTCGGTGAGGGGGTCGGATCCTGCAACGGGAGGGGAGGTCGGCGTGAGCGCCGTCAAGCCGGGTGGAGAAGGGGGAGTGTTGGCTCGAGGTCGATATCGGCAAGGCGGGGTGGGCCGTGGTGGTGGTGATTGGCGTGGTTGTGGGTATGCTCGTAGCAGCGAGCCGGTTCTCGGGGCTCTGTCCTAATGGGTGCTGGCCCGAGCGGCGGCGCCCGGGTGGACGGGGCCCAAGGGGACGGGGCCCAAGGGGGGGGGCTGGGGCCGGAGGGGCCGAGGAGGCCGAGGGGGCCACCGGGCCAGGGGTGCCGCTGGGCGGACCCTAATTAATTATTATTATTTAAATAAGCGTAATAAGAAGCGGTTCTTTTATTAGTATCTTCTTTTTGAGACTGTCTATTTTGTACAGTACAATTAAGATTGCCAAATCCGCCACCTGTCCTGCGCGCGGCACCCTGCGCCCGGGCCAACTAGGCCAATTTTTACCTGCAATTGAGGGCATCGCCAAATCCACCAAATCCACCAAATTCTTGCACATTCAACCACAATGCCGTCAACTGAGCTACCACAACAACTCTCAAGTCTGCTAGGTGCGTCGCTTCATTTTCAACTTATAGGACTAACTAGCGATAGAAATAGCCGCGCGCATGCCTCGGCCAGACCACAAGCTTCAACCACAAATACGACTCCCTCGATGAGCTTACGAAAGATGTACATGACTGGACGACTTCTCTCTTCGCTATTAAAAAGCTTCGTACAGCGAACCACATCAAGGATTTCGGGCAGAGGCAAGATTCGGGAGAGCACAGCAAATACACGGGTTATAGGGTTAAAGTGCAATTACCCTTTCAGCGTTGTGGTGAAAGGAGAGCCTTGACGGGAATGCACCATTCCAGGCCACGATGGAGCTACTTGACGACTTGACGACAAAAAGTATTCCGTGCTTTGGTCCAAAGACAACGAGAAGAAATCAGAGGGTCTTTTCTAGACTACCCCTTGGTGTGAGGAACAATGGAAGCTTCATCCCTGTGTACAGACGTACGATAACACGTTCAAAACGAACGCTGGCATTCTTCTAAGTCGTCAGCGTTAACAACCTAGGCCAGTGCTTCAGCTGTGCCTTCGGCCTGATGAATAACGAACAGCAGGAAGGCTTCGACTAGCTGCTGGACCGGGTCAATGAGCATCGTGAGATTTTTGGGGGAAAACCCCTACCATTACCCTTTCCGGCTACGAGTAACCTGCGCCACGAGGAGTAGGCCTTGTGATTGCATAAGTATCGAGATCATGTATCGCAAGCTGGGTATTTTCTCTTCCGCTTTACCCGTAACAGTTGATGCAGCTTCGAGCGGAGCGATGGAGTCGTCTGTAGGGCTGAGTGTGCTGGGCTCCGCTTCATCTTCATCAAGTTCGGCCAGCCGCATCTGCGCCACCTTGGCGGCAATCTTCGCTTTTCGTAACATATTAAGGCTGGCGCTGGTGAAATTTATAAGCTCCTCGAAGAAGGCCTGTACGTAGCTATCGTAGTAAACAATAATTATGCTCCGCGCCGGGCACTTAGGTGCGGGCCCTTCGGCACTGATGACCGAGTCGGAACGTTTTTGCTTTCGTGCCCGAGCCTGCCCAGCTGCGCGGGCCTGGCGTGCAATGGCTGAGGGTGATTGAAGTTCTGATGGGCTACCCTGCGCGGGCTGTTCACCAGCGGCGGGAGCTGCGCTGGTAATCATCGGGGCTACCTCCGGTTGCGGAGTAGCTTCTCTCGGGTGTGCTTCCGGCTCATCGCGCGATCTGAGAGACTCTTGGGATCCTTTATTCCTGAGTGACCTGGTTGCTGATGGGACGCCCGTGTTAGATTGTGATTGCGGCTTCGTTAGCTGGGCCAAATCTTTTTGGCGTTGTGCGATATCGAGCTCCTCGAGGCGCTTGAGCAAGCCGGGTATTTTCTCCACGAGGTGTTTAGTACTTCTATTGTTGCCGAGCCTGGAGGTGTAACGCTTTAGTGGATGTTCCATCTTGTTACGGATTCGGCTTACCAAGGACGTAGGTTGAGTAGTTCTACTCCTGGTAGATTGCGGCCGAGACTGAGTAAAAGGGAGCTAATGAGTGAAAGAAAAGGGTACGGGTTAAAAGAGAGAATGCTGAAGAGACCAGCAAAAGCAAAAAAGGAGAGAATTGAGAGGTCACATCGTTGCCCCTTGGGTTGGTAGACGAAGGAATGGGTGGGTGAGGACTTGAAAGGACGGCCTTTGCTAGGTCTGGCCGGAGCTTTAAGAAAGGGGCAGAGGTTGTGGACTTGATGGACAGTTCTGAAATTAGCCATTCTGGCGGCATAGAGCTGGAATATACTCCCCGCCCTGGATGTCGGCCCCTGCTTAGGTTAGCCGAGTGGCATCAAAGAGGGGCCCGTTTTTGGATCCCAAGAACCCCTGGTTCCTGACCCCCTCTACCTCGTAGGGCAAGCTTCTAGGGACCAGATCAGTAGTTAGGTCGGTGGCGGCCAGCAAATCCCTAGTGTTGTATTTTTTTTTATTTTTTTTTTCACCTTTTTTTATTAGGTTTCTAATGATCTTTTATATTGTCCTTTTTGAGTGGATGTGTTTTGTTTTGGTGTGGAATTGAGACGAGGTGTTAAGTATCTCAGGTTTAACGATCAGGAAGTAAACATACCTTTCCATACCTTACCTTCAAACGAAGGGAGCACCTATATCATTCGCACACGCGGCGCAAACATATCATAAGGCATCGTGCAGGCCAACGAATTCAGGTATCAAATGCCACCTTAAACGAATATGGAGTGATTCTTTGCGGGTTTGGTTTGCTTTAAAGTGTTCTTCTGCATTCCTGCCTCTTCGGGCAAGGGTCAACTTATGCACCTCCATTGCCGCCTTCCGTTCAAATTTTGCCAGGACTTTGAGTATTCAATCCGAAAGAGACCCGCCCTTTTCTGTCCCCAACGGCAAGTGCGAATAGAGAGCATTCTCAGTGATAAGTTTCGTTTGTAAAGAGTATTTATGCACGGATGCAGGTCAATACCACTCAGTACATGCCACTTCTGTGGAGGCTGGAGCATGTAAATCCTTGCAACATTCCCTAGATCCGGCGTGTGAGGCGCAAAAATAGGGCGATCTGAGGCTGAAAGATGACGCCTTACCTTCCTGGTACAGGCCGTACTCCGTAGCACGGCGCCCAATGAATGTGCCGACCATTTCAAATTTTCTTGGCCGTCCCAAGTTGGGCCTCCCGCTTTTGGGGAGAGACAGGGCTGGCTGCCAACTTTTGGCGCATGTGAACACCTGGTTAAATAAAAAATAATTCAGTCTTACCTTACCTCCTTCCTCGCGTGGCTCACCTCTTCACGATCACAGCAACACACCAAACAACAGACACCCCCCGCAAATGCATACCCAAGAGAACATCAGCGACAACTCCTCTTCTTTCTTCAAGTCCCAGATGCGAGCAATTCCAAGCCACCAAGGACTGGGCCGTGCATTCATCGACATTCGAGCCGACGCCGAGCGACGCCGCGGCACGCCCTGAGTGTGAGGCTGCCTGAGCGTGCGCGACCTGTTCGGGCCCAAGAAGGGGAATCGCAAAATTTATCGTGTCACTCGCGATTTTTGTAGCCTTGCGACAAGGCAAATCCTTGAACTTTAGACGTGGTGGAGGCCAAGCATCAGCTCGGCGCACGCGACCATGATCCCCCCAGCTACCCCAGCACTCAAGACGGTGCGTGGATTCAACGGAACTCCGGTAACGTCAGGCGACGAGGAGTCCGACTACTCCTCTCCGCCGCAGCTCCGGGCCAAGAACTCGGCCAAGCGCGGCCGCAGATCGCGCATCATCGACGATGTTGTCAGCACAAACTGCAGCCCCATCCTCAAGCCGGTGTCGTCTCCGGCCATCAGCGGGATCGGCAAGTTGCGCATGCAACTGGAGCCCCTTAGCCTCAATAGCACCGCCGAATCTTCGCGTGCCAGTTCCATGACCCGTAGCGATAGCCAGCCGTCCCACCGTTCCCACCTCGCAAGCGACACGACTCTCAACAGCAGCCGCCGCGGAAGCAGTCGAACGCTTCTGCGAAACAATGGGCTTGTTCGAAAGAACAGCGCCAGTGCCAGCGGGGATGAAACGGCATCGGAAGCCACGACTAGCTACGAGATCGACCTTTCGCAGGACTTTGTCAACGGAGCCGAAGAAAATGGCACCGACATATTCCAAGATGACTTCGACGATGGCGTTCGCAAGAACGACAAGATGACGGCGGACGACTTCGAACCTCTGCGCTGTCTAGGAAAGGGCACCTATGGCACCGTCTTGCTGGTGAAGCAGCGCACCACGGGGCGGCTCTACGCACAGAAGCAGTTCAAGAAGGCGTCTCTCGTTGTGCATAAAAAGCTGGTCGAGCAGACAAAGACGGAGCGTCAAATTCTAGAGAGCGTCAACCGACACCCGTTCGTCGTGAAGCTGTACTATGCGTTCCAGGACCAGGAGAAGCTGTACTTGATTCTAGAGTACGGCCAGGGGGGCGAGCTGTTTACGCACTTGAGTACGGAGAAGATGTTCCCGGAGCAAACGGCGGCTTTTTACCTCGCAGAGATGGTGCTGGCTCTGTCTCACCTCCACCAGAACTTGGGCGTGGTCTATCGCGACCTCAAGCCGGAGAACTGTCTCCTTGATGCTGAGGGCCATCTCCTCCTGACCGACTTTGGACTCTCAAAGGTAGCGGTCGACTCGGACGAGTGCCACTCGATGCTCGGGACCGTCGAGTACATGGCGCCCGAGGTGATCCTCGGCCAAAAATACGGCAAGGCTGTCGACTGGTGGTCCTTTGGCGCCCTCGCCTACGACCTGATGACAGGGGCTCCTCCATTCCGCGGCCAAAACCATGCCAAGATACAGGATAACATTGTCAAGCAGAAGCTCTCGTTGCCGTATTACCTCGGCCCGGACTCCAAGGACCTGCTGACGCGTTTCTTGCGCAAGGATCCGACGAAGCGTCTGGGGTATAACATGCCCAAGGATCTTGCGACGATCAAGAAGCACCGTTTCTTCCGTAAGATCGACTGGAAGAAGCTCGCGGCTCGCGAGTTGGAGCCGCCGATTCAGCCCTTGGTTACGGATCCCGAGCTGGCTGAGAATTTCGCGGCCGAGTTCACCGACCTCAGCCTCAGCCCGGTTGTCACGAGGCTAGATGATCCGTGGAGTTCTTTTGACACTAAGGATGACAAGGACGACATGTTTGGCGGGTTCAGCTACGTCGCATCGAGCAGCCTGCTCGAGGGTAACGGGTTTGGGATTCCGCCCTACTAGGTAGCCAGCCTCCAGCTGGTTCCAGAAGGGAGGTTTGACGACGCGCAAGCCTGGGTCCTTACTCCTCAGAGATGCGTTATCGTGGATACTGCAGGGAGGTATTGCAGTGCATTGTGGGGCCTCGTCCTTTTGACACGGAGGACTCGCTAGGACAAGGGGGCTCGGGTGTCCGGGTGTTCGGGGTCGGCATTTGAATGAACATTATTGATTGCTAGCGCTACAGTTGTTGCTTGGCTTGGGTTTGGGACAGCGGACGGGAACAAAAAGGGAAACAAGAGAAAGAAGAGGGAAGGCTTGGGCGCATTGATAAACCCGCCGTGTGCTCTCTTCTTAATTCCGAGACTCTGGGAAAGAGCATCAACACTTGGGAGATGCTCGTGGTAACATAGATTTTCTTTTGGCGACCTATTTGAACAGCTAGAGAATTGCAGAAACCCTTAGACAGCCATTCTAATGTGTCTACAGAGAAATAAACAGACATTCTAGTTTATCTCTGGGATGAGGGCGGTTAGGCTCAAGCTTCTCCAGGTTTGTTAAGCATCCTTTCATCAGACCACTCAGAGTTCCGCTATTGTCATGACGCGTTAGGTTGTTTTGTATTGGTCGGTTGGTTCAAGGAGTTAGACACCCTAGTTGCCTTTAATTTATTTTAGCTCTCGGGTGAGACTAATAAGCGACGGCTTCCTGTGCCTGTTCCCAAGCAACGAAACTATGCCGGCCGGCTAGTGGGGGCGCACAGTCCTCGATTCTTGTCTGGTACACATACACGTTGTCTCGGCCCAACGGTCTGTCTAGTTGGTAGTAGTTGGATCGTCCTCTCAGTTCCTTTCGGCTCAACACAGGCATTAACCCTGCCCGCCTAGTGCCCGGAGAGGCAGAGACGGGCGGTGATGGGGTCTGTGTTGATGACGCGTAACGCTTGCTATTTTTTTCAGCTGGCTAGCTAGCTAGCTGCAGGCCAAGGCCAAGGCCAAGATCAAGACCAAGACCAGCGGGCAGTGAGTATATGCACTCGGCAACACTATTACAGTACAGATGACTGAGCTGAGCTGAGTTGACTACCTACGAACCGTGCCTACCGTGCCTACATGCGTACTTGGTATAGGCTTAGGTTGTCAGCGTCTCGTCGCGCGTCTTGGCAAGTTGCCTTGGACTAGCAGGTCGACAAGAGGCTCGTGCAGAACTGACGACGACGACGACGACGGCGGCGGCGAGGTTGTAGTCGGCAAGAGTCCAGACCGCACTAATCGGGCCAAGCCAGGGTAGTGTACGGTACCAAGTCAGGTAGGGATCTGCAATCGACTGAGACTGATGGGTTGCGCGGCTCAGGGGGGGCGGGATATAGGATCGGATGGGATCGGATGGGGGAACTAAGGATTGCCCAAGTACCGACGCCAATGGGAGGATGAAAAGACAACACCCAAAAATGCGTGTACCGTACCGCGGATCCGAGTACTAACTAGGTGCCCTACGGAATGTTACCTACCTGCGGTACTTTTGGGTAGACGTGTACTGTACTATTGAAGACCCAGCAGAGGCCCGGGATTTATCCGTTGTCAGAGTATCAAGAGGGAATTGAGAGGAAGGACTCGGGACAAAAATACCTTGTGCACGGAGCGAAAAGAGACAATCCAGGACGACGGGATGGGGGACGGGGGGACGGACCACGTTCGGACGGCATACACACACCCACACATGCCCGATCGCCCGCCCGCCGCCCGTCCGCCCGTCCGCCCGTCACCGAGCCGCCTGAGAGCTACCCGTTCTTGGGATGGTGCGGGATTGGGACGCCGCTTCCTTCCATCCCCTTCCCTTCTCTCCCCTCGCTTGTGCCACATGCAGGATGGAAAGGAACCCCTACTCCCCTTTCTTTTCCCCTTTTCCAAAAAAAGGATGCAAGCGGGCACGGGGAAAGCGGGGGTGGGGCGGGTTTCTAACGGTAGTGTAATAGTACACTTATATTCTTGGTACACGGGACGGGGACGGGATATGCGATGGCTGAGAGTGATAAGACGCGGTTGTGTGTTGTGTGGTGTAGTGTAGTGTAGCAGTGCAGGTCCGAGGGAGACGGGAGGCCTCCCCTCTCTGCCTCTCTCTCTCAGAGGTGGGATATTCCGGGCCAGTAGTCGTGAGGCTATTGCTATGCTGTGATGGAACCAGACTAGTAGTGTGTCTCCTCCATCTGAGTGGTGTGTACTATGCATGTGCCGAAAATGGGGTAGGATCGTCCCAGTCGTCTGGCGCCCACGAGGGAGAGCTATACACAAGGCACGAAGTACCTATAGAATTAGAGAAAACACAAAAAATAATGAAACGAAACCGGCTGCTTCTGTGCGTGAACGCCAAAAAAACATGGTAAGTGAAGGTACTGTAGATGTACTGTAGAACGGCAGGTTTGGTTATCAACGCATGGATACCGGGAGCTTCACACTGTCACTACGGGATACTCTCCCCTGACAAATGCCACCCACTCCCAGGATTCGGCTCATCTCCCCAATAAGTATTCTAGATCCCTAGCCACGGCATATTGTCGAGGTAGGGGTTGAGAGCAAAGCAGTGGCCCAATCAAACCCCCTTTATTGGTAATTTTGCCCACGCGTATACACCCGGCAGAGATGGTTGGGATATCCATCAGAATTAAATGATATGGTACCTCTGCCGCTTAGGCTTTGGGCCTCACTTCCGAAAATCTGTAATTTAGGTAGGGCGGACGGGCCTGGAACTGGCCAATACAAAAATCCTCCAAAGTACGAACGTAGGACGCGGGGACGTGGGGGGGGGCAGGTACGACCGATGGGCTCCATTCCGGGAACTTTCGTCTTTCACTTTGGGAGATGGCCGGAATTTGGTGCTACCAATTGCTGCGCCTCAATGTTAAAAAGAGAAGGGAGTGTTGCGTCACCCAATTCAAATCCTGCAGCGGCCACCTCGACCGGAATAAGCTAGAATCCCGTCCGTCTTGAAAGAGAAACAATGGACCTTCCTCGATAAGAAATATTGCGCAAATCGGATACAGTGAAAGAAGAAGAGGACGATGATGTCAGGTCAGGCAAGCATTCGCGAAATAAGATAGGAAGCCGGTTGATACGTAACTATCCGGCGTTACTGTCTCTGCGAGAAAAATCAAATACTCAGTGGACTAACAGCCTGGGAGGAACTTGAAGGAAAAAGATGTTACTGATCTGCCCCTAACCTCTGTCGGCCTAATTCGAGGTGGGGAAGAGGCCCTGTCCGCTATTTTCGGGCAGTGAGCACCCGACCCCGGATCTTGGCCTTTCCGTTGCTTTTCTCCACTGGGCTGGTTTGTCCTAGGTATCTTAGCCTCTGGCTGCTCTATTGTCGACACTGCCAAAGCAGACACGACAGATAAAGCTACGGGCGATTAATCAGGCATAGAGTTCGGATCACCGCCACCTCGTGGCAACTATTCCGTATATTTGTGTTAAACATTAGGTAGTCGGCTTTGCACTGGATCAAGACGACTGCAAGCTGACTGCGCTGACAACAGCAGGCTGGCGTTGAAAACTTCAAACTGTGAAGCTACGATGGTTTACCTATTAATAATAAGCCTTCTCAAATGGCACTCCGCAGGCGTGCCGCGATACGGAGCCAAGAGGCTTGGTAAACAAGCCATGATCAGATGGCCAGAGGCTGCGCTCAGGCCCCGAGCAGAGAGGGAGATCTACTGTGTACCTTGAAAGACATCGAATTTGTCTGAAACAAAGCAAGCTAAGAGAAGGAATGGTCAGAGATGCAACTTGCAAGGGGAAACAGTCTTATCAATCATGATTAAGGTTCTTGGCCCTGCCGGCCAAGACGGCCGAGACGGCCGACGTTGTTAGTCGGCGGACCAATGTGCTGGCGTCGATTTCGAGGTTCCCCCACCCCCGCGACAGGCCGAAGTCTGCTTGCCAACAAGCGCGAGTCGCACGAGGTGCCTCTAGTTGCATGGCCAAGAACAAAAGAGTTGGCGCCATCGACAGTGGCGCACACTCTGGAATGCTGTTTGGCGTGCAGCCCGTTTTTTTTGACATCACCGCACATGGGTTCCAAAGGGGACAATCGTCTCTTCTCTGAAATCAGGCGTGCGCGGCTGGTGGGCGTTGGCTGTGTGTCAGCGGGTGTCAGCAGAAGTTGCGACCCTAAACCTTGTACTATAAGGAACCCGCGAGCCAGTCTCTGGAACCTAGGTGAGATTGTAATCAACCCAAGGCTTCTGCTCTTGTAACTTACCGTCTACCACGGGGCATGCGCCTCTTGCCCAGCTTGCTAGCACCAGCTTTCTCGGGCAGTCTCCTGAGTGGTGTGCTGAATCGAGTGCAAGCGCCCTTGCGCTTTGTTTCGTTGCCGCAGCCTCTCGCCCTCTTCCCGCTAATTCGGACCCGAAGCAAAACTTACAAAAAGGAACCACACATGTTTTCCAGCGGCGCGTAACGCCATCAATTTTCAAGGAACCAAGTAAGAGTCCGTGCAGGCAAGCTCGAGGGTCTGGTCTGTTTATATTTCTGGCCTCGTCAGGGAGCCCGGCCATTATCCTTTCCCTTGCTCAGGCTTGAGTAGCTCTTCGTTTGATTCCGTCAACTTCACCCGCAGATTTCCGACACAACACCACCGCCTGCTTGCTATTGGCTGCCGAATCGAAACATGAAGGTCAATAGTCGCTCTGTCGTGGCCGCGGCACTGCTTTGTAAGTGTGGCCCAGTTTCTCCGATTTGATGTATCGTTCTCTTTCCCCCCGTGTATAAACCGGCCCGGCGAGGGGGAATAAAGAATTGCTCGCCGCCGTAGCTCACCGTACTGACTCGCGAGGCAGCCGCTGGCATCACGCATGGCGCGCCAACATCCTTCTGTGCTTCCGTCGGCGACGTGTGCTTCGGCATTGCTGTCCCGTCATCTTCGGCAAGTTCAGGGTCCGGCAACATCTACTTCCAGATCTCAGCACCTACAAGCTACCAATGGGTAGCGCTCGGCACTGGATCGAGCATGTCCGGCTCCAACATGTTTGTCCTTTATCAGGACGGAGCTGGCAACGTGACGATATCGCCCCGGGCAGGCACCTTCCACACGCCACCATCGGAGGACACGAGCTCGACGGGAGCGAAGCTGACGCTCCTTGCCGGTAGCGGAGTAATCAACGGAAAGATGATTGCCAATGTGCAATGTTCCAACTGCGAGGCTTGGAGTAGCGGTCAGACCCTCTCCCTGACGGGCTCCGGGAGCGGTTGGATCTCGGCGTGGAGGCAGGGGTCGTCGCTAGCCACCAAGGACAAGAACGCCGCACTCGTCCAACACGACGATACCGATCAGTTCACCGTGAACCTCAATGAAGCCACCGTCAGCAGCGACAGCAATCCGTTCGTTTCGGAGCAGACCGGAAATGGGACTTCGACGGACCCAGACACGACTCCTAGCACGGGCAACGGCGTTGTGATACTGGGCAAGCCTAGCAACACGGTACTGGTAGCTCACGGCGTCATCATGGCCTTGGTCATGGCCATCCTCTACCCCCTGGGATCGCTCCTCATGCCGCTGCTTGGAAAGTGGTGGCTTCATGGAGCCTGGCAAGTTGTGGCCTTCTGCCTCATGTGGGCAGGCTTTGGGCTCGGTGTACAAGCCGCCATGGATCGCAACGAGGTAAGTCGGCTCCGTGTCGGTTGATTACCCGACCCCATTTCCAGTTGCTGACTATTTTGTAGTTTTTCGACCAGGCGCACACCCGCCTGGGCACCCTGGTCGTCTGTTTGATGGTCATTCAACCCGTGCTTGGCTTCTGGCATCACCGAAATTACGTGGCGACGCAAAGCCGTGGCATCGTCAGCTACGTGCACATCTGCTGGGGGAGTGTTCTGATGGCGCTGGGTGTTGTCAACGGCGGTCTGGGGCTCCAGCTGTCCAACGAGCGCAATTCCTTGATCATTGCTTACAGTGTCGTTGCTGGCGTCATCTTCCTCGCCTATTTCGTTGTCAAGGGGTGGTCTACTCTTCGTAAGCGAAAGGGCCCGGTCGGCGGTCCCGGAAAGGAAACTGGGCGTCCTCTCTAGGAGTATGGGCGAAGGGTTGAGATGAGGAACAAGTCGAGTAGTTGCGAAGGCCGAAGCCACGCGATTTTGGGTATTATTTTTGGAGGATTCTTTTGTTTATAACTTTGGTCACGCTGCACATGATCTGGAAGTGACTAGTACCTTGAATGTTCGTTACAGGGAAAGAACATATTAGCCTAAAGAGATGGGGAGTTGGGATTATCATACTGTAGCGATAGGTGCAGATTCTAGAATAAACTCATGACGTATCTGTACTGTATGTCGGGTTATTAGAATTTGTTATTTCCAGGAACCTTGGCTTTCCTCTGCTCTTCTATACGCAGTACCCCTATCTCTGTACGCAAATAACGAGTCGTCTTATCAAACCCATTACCGCCCGTAGAGCCTGTCACCTCTGCAGGTAAGGTACCTTAAGTGCATAAGTACAACTTGCTTCAAGTTCTTACCTGGTGGTGCGTGTTAAATTTACTTGGTCTCCAAAGAGGAGGAGCTGTTGGCCGCAAAGTTTAGCTTGTCGGCCAATAGACAGCAGCTGGGAAGCTGCAGATTTAAGTCCAAGCTCTTTGAAGAAATGCGGGATGGGGCTTCATCGAGTCAAAATGCAACAATTCACAATGGGAAATCACGCATGATATTTTCTGTCAATTCGGTTCTTATCGAGCAATACCAATAACTGTATATCCTAGGAAGCGAAGGACCGAGTTGTCCGTACGGATAGGTATCTGCCATGGTATCTCCAAAAGCAAGGTGCCTCCCGAGAACGCCCGTTGCGAGCGGATCACGTGACAGATAGCTCCCCCCGAGGCGCGCTAAACTCCGAAAAGACGATGCATGAGCAGTTCAGCCGGGGATTGGAAAACCTCTCAGCCAGTGCCCAAAGAACCTCTCCACCACCCTCCATCCGTGGCCGCCACACACATCCACAGCGTCGTCAATTGCGCATCGCACCAGCATCCGAAAATGCTCTCTTCCCTCTCCAGAGCTTCGGTACGTCTGTCCCAATTGGCAACGCCCTGCTGCTCCCCTTTTTTGCGAGTACAAGGACAGGAAAAAGCTAATCTTGCGACAACCCCCCCTCCCCTCGGAAACAGAGCGCTCGCAAGGTCGCTGCGGCCGTCTCCAGATTTGCCCGCCAAAATGTCGCTGCCCAGACTCAGATGAGATCTTTTATTGCCCCGACAGTCTCGCGGAGAGGTACGTTGTTGAATTGATGGCTTTTCCGGTCTTCCCGATGCTGCTGCACAGCCCCCGCTCGCGGACATCGACCATGGACCGCATCACGATTTGGACTTTGTCCACCGACTTTCACGATATGACGTTTCGCCCTCTGGACAGCGGGGCTTCTTCGACACCGTGCTTGCGGTAACGATACACGCGCCACTACTTGCCGCGGTCGGCCAGCCGATAGAGAATAAGACACCCATCGATGGACAAAACTACAACCAATGTTGCCTCGACCTCGACAACCTCGATGTACACACGCCTCGCGATCTGCCCGCCCACAGCCCGCAGCACCGTTTCCATTTAGCACACCACGATACACAACATACTACAGCGGCCGCTTCTCGCAATTGGTTTCTTGTTTTTTTTCATGCGGACCGTGATTCTAACTTCTACGAAAACAGCCGACTTCGTCCAGGAGCTCTACCTCAAGGAGCTGAAGGCGTACAAGCCGACCCCCGTCAAGGAGTCGGACTCTGTTGGCCAGGTGCAAACATTCAGCGTGCCGGCTGCGCCCAAGTCGCCCGAGGAGGCCGATCTGGCCTCGAGCCTGAAGGAGTACGAGTCGATGGCAGTCGAGGTCGAGGGCCAGGAGGGCGCGGCGGCGGGTGCGACACCGGTCATCGAGGACTGGCTGGTTGATGAGGAGGAGGAGGAGGCTGCCCACCACTAAAGAACACGCCGCATACCCACTCCAAAAAGAAAAAACTCTAGATTCTCCCCGCTCGAGTCTTGGTGCGCTACGCTTGAGGCCCAGAGACGAGACTAAGACAAGACAGCCGGTTTGGCACATGTGTGTGTGTGTGTGTGTGGAGAGATAGAGAGGAGAGCACACTCACTCTCAGAGACAGACGCCGGAAGGAACAGCCATGCTCAGTCGGAAAAGGCTGCCGAGGTTGAGGAGGAAGACCTGGGAAGGGACGAATCCGTGTACATTGTTTCTTTTTGCCGCCCTGTTATAAAACCACTTCTTACAGGCCCCTGCCTGAAGGCCAGGCTAAAATATCTCTTGTGATTTCATGGCTGACCACCTTCTAACGCACCCTCCTTCCCCAGATTCTTACGGCTGCACCCTTTCCGATACCATCATGGGAGCACTCTGCCTACATTTTCTTTCGTTCTTTCAAAGATCTCGAGCTCTGATGTGGTAATTTCTTTTTTTTTCACGATATCTTGCCGGAATACGACATAGATACCAGGTATCTATCTATCTTCACAGTATGTTTTGTTCCACAAAAGCCCCTGAGGAAGTTGCCCATGTAATTATGTATGTCTCTATCCACAGGGTGTTTCCATACACAGTTCCTACTATATACCTTATTGATTTCCACGGGATGATTGTCGCTGCACATCATTGCACATACCTAGGTAGCACGGGGCGGCTTCTGTGGGGTGGTTTGGTCTACTACAGTGTCCTCCTTACGACAAATACTCCTAATATTGTATGCTGTATTTCGCTTATCTACTCTACAAGAAGCGACGAGATTTCCATGAGTTGGGTTTCACACAGTGGTTGGATTAAAACGGCTTACACCTATCATCACGCACGCACTAAAACGAACATAGTTACGTGCATTTGCCGCGGTACAGCTAAGCGTCAAACAGTTAAACTCCTAGTGTATTTATATATGAGACTTGGGTGCCCAGTATGTAGGTATCCCGTTGGTTTAATTCACGGTAGGGTGAGATAAATATCTATTATTATATAAGGAGGACATGCATTGGCACGAGGGAGGATGGACCGAGACTTTCAAAGAAAAAACATGCTAGTACACATACACAGTTCTTTAGGAATTGATTAGGTCCTCATGTGCCTTGCTGCTATCATTAGACATCACCGTAGCTGTACGGTTTACTTATCGCAGCCTGTTCTGCCTTTTGTTCCTTTTAATAGCTAATTACAAGCTGCCAGCGAACCGCCGTCGTTACTATGAAAGGGTGCCGACATAGATAGATAAACCGGTAGTGAACCCAAAACCCGGCCATCATTCACCTCATCGTCAACTACTACTGGGTATACTATGCTAAACCGCATCTGTAGCTTTGCCGCTTCCCTTGCCGTTCAGGGCGCAAACGCAAGGTACTCGGAACTTAAATATGACTTTAGTTTTCAACGAGACGCGATGTGTTCGGCTTCAATAACACTACCGAGCATGAACTCTGTTAGGTCGATGGGGCCGCCATCTTCGGTGAGCGAGAGAACCCCCCCTGAACAACCACGATCTCGAAGGAAAACGGGACAGCCACTACATTCAACGACGCCTAACCACCCTCCATTAGACCGATCCACCAAAACGCCCTGCCAAGTGTGCGTTCAGTGAACCAAACACCTTGATGCCAATGTGACCGCCTTAAATGCATAATGCCATGTTGTTCGTGCAAGTCATCAACAATAAATTTTATCCCTAAGCCAGCTAATCCGCAGTGGAAAGACAAAAGCGGAACCCGACTAGTCGCAGAGGATTGAATGAAGCCGAGACCCGGGTTACATGTCGTCGAAGTTGGATGCACCGAACATTTGCTCGTCGTTCGTATTCGTCTTCACAATCCCGCTCATCCGGTTCGCGTTTCGGGGATCGAGATCGTGAAGATCGTCCCAGTCGTCGTCTTTCTTGGAGTTGCTGACATCATCCATGTCCTCGTCCTCATACCTCATCTCGAACCGATCCTTCATGTGGTCCTCGAGCGCGCTCTCGTCAACAAACGTGAACCCCTGGAAGTTGGCCTGTACCGATGGGGAAAGCGGAGTAGATGTCGCAAATCCCTTGGCTAGGGCAGCCGCCCTCTCATTGAGCGACCCGTTGGTGTTGAGCGCGTTGGTGAATTCGGGGTCGAAGTACGACACATCGGTATCGTTCTTTAGCTGCGGCTTGAAAGGCGGCGTGATGAGCTTCTTGGAAAGAGCAATCCAGTCTATGTCCTGGAAGAAGGCATGTCGCTTGAGCTCTTCAGCGTCATCCGTGGCGCCAAGTCGGTGCTTCGGATTCCTATTAAGTAATCCCTTCACAAAATTTCGTCCTTCCAGGGAGAGGGTGTCGCGAGGAAACCTGACTTTGCCAAAGGCAATGTTCTTGTACATCTGCTGTGTATCCTCGGCGTAGAAAGGGCTCCATCCGCAACACATCTCGAATACGAGGACGCCTAGGGACCAGAAATCGACCATCTTGGTGTATCCAGCCTCATCCAAAAGCACCTCGGGGGCCAAGTACTCGGTTGTGCCGCAAAATGTGTTGGTTGTGTCATTCTTTGTCAGGTTGGCCTTTGATAACCCGAAGTCGCAGAGTGCAATGTGGCCATTGGCATCCAGCAGAATGTTTTCCGGCTTCAAGTCGCGGTAAACGATATCGTTCTGGTGCAGATGTTGGATAGCAAGAATCAGCTCGGCGATGTAGAACTTGGCTCGCTTCTCCTCGAATTTGCCCTCCTTTTGCAGATGCCAAAAGAGCTCACCGCCCGACATGTAGTCGGTGACCAAGTAGAGGTCTGAAGGCGTCTGGAAAGAAAACTTTAAGCCAACGATGAATGGCGAATCCGCCATGGCCGTGCGGACTAAGATGTTTCGTTCGCCAACGGTGTGCGCGACTTCCTTCTTCTGTACGATGACCTTCTTGGAAAGAACCTTCATGGCGTAGATCCGCTTGGTGTCCTTCTTCCGAACCTGGTACACCTGGCCGAAGGTGCCTTTTCCGATGAGCCGCAAGATCTGAAAGTCTGCAGGTCCGAAGTGCTTCTGCTCAGTGCGATGGTAGAAGGCTTCAACGTATATCTCGCCCGTGGGCGTGTTTTCGATCATCGTATCGGCATTTCCCTTCAAGGGGAACCATCCCCGAATCGGCCCATCTCGCTCAGACTGAGCCCGGAAATCCAAATGCCCGAGGAATTCCTGCCCAGATTGTCCGTTACCGTAGACAGAAATATCCACGAGCATGTCCGAGCCAACAACGTCACTGCTCAAGTCAGCAGGGTGCTTCAACAGATTTTAAAGATTCACGTACAAGAGAGCTTCGGCATCCCATTTGGGGTTTGTAAAGGATCGACGACCGTTGCGGTTCCGGAAAGTGGTATAGTCGGTAAGGCTAGTATTGCTGCTCTGTCTGCTTCGCATCGGGATGGCCATGGGTGGCCTGCCAGAGTCACTCCCTTGGCGCTGGATTGGAATACCTCCCATAGCAACGGCAGCGATGGCGGCCTCGTCATCGTCCTCTCCGGGGCGGGGGCCGCCAGAAATAAGCTCGCTGCGTTGGAAGACAACAACGACATAGGGATCCTTGCACTTCCTCAACCCCCTCGCCTCGGCAATCTTGATGGTGAGCTTTCCCTTGGCGGCAGGCGCTTGTGCGCCCTCGGGAGCCGGCGTGTGGGCCACGGTGCGGTCAATCCTGTCTCCGTTTTCTTGTTGAGTGGGGGTGTCCTTTTGGGGTTCGGCGGGCGATGGTTGAGCGGCAGATAGCGCACGGGTAGGGGTAGATGTACCGCTCTTGTTGGCCGAAACGTCAGTTAGCTTCTTGAGGTGTACGACAGATGCGGACTCGTAAGAAACATGGCCGCCCCCAGAGTTAAAGGGTGAGCGGCTTGGAGAGTTCGGCACAGTAGAGGCACGCCCGGCAGGATTTGACAGGTGACGGGCGGACACGCTTGCTCCGTCGACGGTAGTCGTCAAGGCCGCCAGAAGAGAATTTCTGCGTCCTTTGCCTCTTCCAAAGTCCGAGATGGTGAAATGACGGAGACTGACCGGTCGGGAAGTTGGGGGGGACCCAACCCTCGACTTCTGACTGCACGAATCGGCCGCGCGCAACGAAGACCGCTGCGAAGTCGGAGGGGTGGGATATGGATGCAGTAGTCCGGTCTCCTGGGGCGACGTCTCCAGGGACAGTCCCACCATCTCATGAGCCAGGAGAGGAGGGCCTTCCTCTAACGAGGCAGAGGAGGACACCGGTTCAAGAGGGCTGGGTGGAAGCTGAGATGGGGAAGCAGCGTGCGAAGACTCCTCGACCTGGGGCGCGGCAGGCTCTGGCGGAGTCGCATTCTGCCCGCCGCCGCTCTTGAAGGAACTTGACAGCAACCGCTGAAAAGAGCTTGAACGAACCTGGTTGAAATAGCTCATTATACCCGGCAACCGCTTGTCGTGGAGATCTGGCTGCGGGGTCGCGACGCCCGACCGTGGTGTCTCGGATCCAAGCTGGTCGACTCCGTCGTCCTCTGCGGCGGCAGACCTGCTGCGCTTGTTAATACCCGCCATAGCAACAACAGTGGCGAAATCGTAAGCGTGTTTTTTTTTTTTTTTTTTTTAAAAAAAAAAATGAAGCGCGAAGGCCCAGATCGCGTGTGAAATGGGTATGAGAAAGAAGCACAGCAAAGGCGGTCGTGGGAAATTCGCTAGCTCATGATGACTACTCAGGTTAGGCTGCGTGAGGGGGGAAGGGAAAGGCCAAGTTCCAGAGCTGATGAGTTGTCTCGGGCAGAGGGGTTAGATGTGGATAGGTACTCCGTCGATGACGAAGACTGGACGGAAAATTTTCTTGAAATTCTTGGTCTACCAAACCCAGACAGACGGTAGCCAGAAATCAAGGGAAAAAAACAAAACCAAAAAAGCAGCGAGTTTTCAGTCAGGAACGCATGGCAAAGGCAAAATACATGTACAAGGAAACAAGCATATTCGACGTGCGTGCCGAGAGGGAAAACCCTTCAAGCCGAGAATTTTTCGACCCTCCAAGCGCAGAGGTCGGCATGCACCCTTGATGCTTGCCATGTGGTTGTCGAGGGTCCGGGAGTGGGAGGTGGGGGGGAAGGGGGGGGGAGGGCGATTCCGACCATTTCCAGCATGCAGCGGCCCAATTCCAAGTCCCAAGATCGGGGTCGGACAGAGGGGAGGGGTGAGCGGATCGATCAGGGTTACTTCGTCCAGTCCACTCAGTCAGCCAGTCAGGCTTATCAACTTGATAAGCCCTCGCCTGGCCTAGCAGCAATCGCAACCGCGCCAAAATCAAATCCTGGTGCGACGGTGGGTTTTGCATGTGCAAATCAAATAGTGATGCGGCATATACGCACACTGATGCGCCTATGGTGTGCCAACATCCCAGCGCTGCGCTGCTTATTAGGGAGCTTCCGGTGGGCGGAGCCGACCCCCAGCACTAAGTGCCTCCAGCGCCATCAGAGACACTGGGACGACTTGCGATGACGGCGCTGCCGACTCAACTAGCCTATGGCATCCAAAGCAAGGCAAGGCAAGGCAGAGAGAGGGTTCCAGAGGATGGATAGGTGGAAGTACGGATATTTCACAACATATGCCGTCAGTTGGCCCGCGCCCGCCCCCCAGGTTGAGATAGCCGAGGGCACTATTGGTGGAAATGCACAGGCGGGGTCCAACTTTGGCACAGCCGTGTTTGACGAGGCCTGGTGATGCTGGCACTACCAGGAAGGCCAACATTTGCTTTGTTTGAGAGTGACAGGAGGGGTGCATGGCCTGGGAATGAAACTTGAAGGTTTTTTTTTTTTTTTTTTTTTTTTTGGAGGGGGGACGCCTCAGTGGGCGGGATGCGAATAGGCAGTGGGTTGCGGCTAAATTGATGCGGCCTTCTGGAAGCCCGCAAGAAGCCGCCGCCGCCACTTTGGGAGGGTAAAGTGATGGCAGCCGCCGTCCAGAAAGAGGCATGCCGAAGCACAGCAGCCCGGATGCAAGGCCAGTGACCAAGCGAAAAGACGCTCTGACGAACGAGGCAAAAAGAACATAGGAGAGGGTGCTTTGGGCGTGACGGGAGGTGGTGCCGGGAAGAGGAGTGCGGTGCGCAATGCCGCAACGTAACATACCTTGACATCATGGCCTGGGTTGCTCTCCTCACCAGGTCGAAACCTCCCGCGCCGCCGGCAGAGGGTGCAGCAGCGGCAGCAGTGTCTCCTGCGGGGCCCGACATTTTGCCTCGCTCAGCGACGCGCTGCGATAACAGGTGGCCCGAATCGGAGACGGGTGTCGATGTGGTGGGCCACGGTGGGCTCTTCGTCGCCGGCGAAGTCGACTCTCGAATGTCGAGCACGGTGGCGGGCTGCAAGTGGTAGGCGACTGATGTAAAATAAAGAAAAAGGGAGACCGTTTAGTTGCGTGGAAGAGTCAAAGGTTCGCGAGTGGATCCGCTGGTTGGGTTGAATTGGAGGACATCTACTAGTATGAGAGGGGGGCCTTCCAAAGAGTTAAAAATGCCCGTGGTAGGTTGTGGAGGGGGAGGGGGCACCTACAGCGATTTCCAGGTTCTGCCCAAAGGCGCCCCGCGCTCTTGGGAAGCCTGCCCGGGCAGTACAGTACGTGGTGCGAGGTATACAAACACAGTGTCAAAGCGACCACTAGGACTGCGATGATGTGCAAGTCTAGGTAGGTAGTGAGGGGTGGTTCGGGCGCTCGCCCAGGTGAGTACCGAGACCTTCCGAACCTTTACTGCACTAAGGTAAGGTAGGGCGTGGCGGGGCTAGTCAGGTCGGTCGGTCGTCCCATGGACGGATTTCAGCCACTTGATTCGGAGCCCGTGATAACCGCCGGACGCTTCAGTCTCTCGCGAAACGTGTTTTGGGCTGCGAGTGGCTCGCTGGCTGGCACAGGCATCCAATGCGGGGACTGGAGTCTGTCGCCTGTCGACTGGCGACTGAAGAGCCCTGTTGCTGCACGTTGACAAGCCCGATACGAGACAGCTCTAGGTAGGTCTAGGGCTCCAGGGCTGATATGACACGACGGCGACGACGACGAGTTACGGCCAAGATGGAGCTCCGTGGTGCCCGACTAGGTCTATGCGCAAGCTCGTTGGCCTCTGGGAGTGGCGTGTTGGCGATGCGGGCACGACAAGGACAGGCTTGACAGGGCAGGGCAGCAAACCGAGCCGTTGCGACTTGTCGTCCAATGCGCGGATTCGTCCATACAAGACCCCGTCTTTTGCGTGTGCCAAAGTGTGGCGAGTACCCTCTCTCTGCATGGGATTGACAGCTCCAGACCAAGAGCCTAGAGAAGGCGATAATTCGGTAAAGCGGGCGACCTAAGGTAGGCAACACTCGACTCTCTCTCATCAGTTCCCGTCGGTCAGCTTGGCCAGCCCCGAAACTGGAATCGATAATACGTAACAGAAGCGAGCAGCCTGTGAGCTTCTCGGAGATTGGTTGCAAGGGCGAAACAGACAACCAGTCACAGAAACAGAAACAGAATCCACGACGATGGGTTTTCGGTTCCCAACCGAGAGTGATATTACCTTCCTATCTCTAGACAAGCTTTCCACGCCAGCCATCCATCAACTTGAGTCGAGGTCCGGCTATTTTTAATCCTTCTGCGAGGGGCCGCGACCAGGCCAAACACGTCAGGTCAGGGCAACCCCCGTTGGCCATAAATGGCCAGGCATGTTGGCCAGCCAGCTCTGGACCTGAGACCAACACGTTTGGCCTTTGGGGCGAGAGGTTCAAATCGATATCCGGCACCGCATCGGCACTCGGTTCCCGTCTGTGCAAAGCAAGGTACCTAGGCATAGAAGGTAAAACAATGCGTACTATGTACTGAATGCTCTGAATACTCTGTATGTAGATACATATTTGTCTCAGCTTGTCAGATGCCAAGCCTCCCGCGTTAGCACGGCTACGGCGCGGTGATGTGACCACCCCTTACTACGTAGGCACATACACTACTGGATCGACATAGACATAGGCCGAGGAAATTCCATTCTGGGCTCGACCGAACTGCCTATGCCACACCTAGAAGCATCGATTTGGGCAGCCAGGGTGACTTGGTTTGGTGTGACGAGCCCCGAAAGCGGACAGTCAAACTACTGCCGATGCCGATGCGCTTACCTACCCACCTACCTAAAGGAGTTCACGGGGGATGGGATGGTATCCAGAGACGGGGAAATTATTATTATTGGCCTCATGCATACCACCTACCTACCTTACCAAGGCACATAGCTACGGATACTTTCAAGCTCTTTGCCGACCTGGAGCGCATGCCTTGCCGTGGACTCGGACCCCTCCGGCAACATGGTCCGTATTATAAGAGACCGAGCTGTGTGGTATAGTGACCCGAGCTCGCAGTGTCAATGTTTACCCGTGTTACGTACTTACTTATAAAGCGGTGACGCAGCGGTACAGATTTGTCTCGGGTCGTTGGCGTTGGCGGCCTAGACTTGTTGGTCGCCATCCATTATTCTTTATTATTTGAGTCTGATGGCTAGAGCTGGAACTGCATATAATAAGCCTAGACCGGGCCAGGTCTTTGGTCTGGGACTTTCTGGCCAGCCAGCCCTCAACAGCCCGCCTTCTACCCTTTAAAGAGAGACGGGCCCCCCTTTCGCAACGCCGCCCTCAGGTTGGCGACTCGATGCAAGAGACAGGGAACTGTGAGCAAGCACAAGGCGTGCATTGCATGCAAGTCATACCCAGCCATAGGTAATCCAAGACGGACGTGCGTATGTGCAAGCCGGATTTCCGACTTACAGTCCCGCTCCCGCAGAATGCGCTGTGCGCTTGGTTGCTTGGTGGGCTTTGTCGCCGGCAAGGCAATGTCTTGTCCTGGGTAGTAGCTGCGGTTGGAACCTCAGCTGTGTATGGCTGCATCTAAGGGATGGATGGATAGACGGCTCTGTTCGGCTTCTCTTTCCACACGAGCCCAACACGCTAGTTTTGGCGAAGACAAAAAGTCCTAAGTAAGTCGGGTAATAGCTAAGGTTGGTACGGCGTAGTTGTTTTGAGGCTAAGAGCCTAGGAGTTTCCAAAGCATATTGCACGCTGTTTTCCCTCCCCAGCTTACCTTGCCTTGCTGATGTTGAGGAAGACTTTCCCTGGTGGGATCTGCCCCTTCCTATGCATATACACACATCAGCCGGGCCCAGGCCGGGGCAGCTTCTTCGGTGTGGAGTGGAGTCAAACAACAACAAGCAAGCCGGTGGGAAAGGAAAGGTTGCCCTGCGCGACCCGATCCGCCGGATCTGAAGCATGTCGTTCCCATTTTGCCTCAAAGCCTCCTACCTAGCTAGATCCGCTGAAGTTCAGCCTCTCGGCAACTACAATTACCTACCGAGGGTGTCTGTGGGTGTGTCGTCCCGTGTTCTGTGATGCGCGCGACGGCAAGTCCGGACGTCTGGATTGAGTCTCGTCTGTCCGGTTTCGAAACGATCCATATCCAGGCAGTGAGAGGTGACTCGGTACTGTTCTTGGTAATCCGTCCGCGTCCGCGTCCGCAATGCGGAATACCTTACCTTATTAGCCCCGTTGCTGTATCCGTATCCGTACTGTTGCGAGGACAAGGACTCCAGTATGTAGGGGTGGCAGGGGGCGGTATTCTGGTCAACCTTTTTGACGGCAGTCGTGGTTTGGCCAAGCGGTCGAGGCGATGCCGAGACGGTCGAGGCCCCCAACAACGACTACGTCCTGAAGGAGACTCCATTTTTTGTCTTTTTGCCTGCTCATCATAGACCGTGTCGCAACATGCTTACGGGCGAGCTACGGGTTCCCAACAACGCGCCTCGATCGCGGCCAGCCTAGGGGCGTAAAGAGCCTAGTGAGATGAGGGCCCCAACTATGTATGGTATATGTCTCCATATCCGCACCCCCTCCCCCTACGAGTAAGCCTGTCCAAATCGGCCCTTTGAGGCAAACCCGGCTTCTCCCGCAATATCAACGGGCCGTCACGAGCTTACTACCTGCTACCATAACAGCCAACCAGCTGTCTTCGGAGTATCTACCTATCATTATAAGTACGTATTCGCTGCTCGTGCTGCTATATTCTAGCTAGTCAAATACATGGTTCCCAAACTGGCCAGGAGATACTCGGTATACAGCCGTGTCTTCGTACTTGCGGTCTGGCCTCGAGATAGTAGTAGGTAGATGCAGTCTAGCTGCACAGGATCTCCGTCTCTCAGCGTAGAGTGTTATCAGCGCTGCACGCACGTCGTCCATCCATTTCTAGGCCCCCGTTCGATAGACAGAATTTGCCTCCTCTCGTGTTGGTGTTGGACAGCCGCCCGCGCAAATCGGCTTTAGCTCTGTCGCTCTATTTACGAGCGAGCTAGCTGAGCGGCAGCCTTTCCGAAGTCCGCCTCCCCTTTTCGACACATTTGCGGTTGCGCAAGGCACATTCCAAGACAAGCCTTGGTATATTGTCTGTGTGTGTGTGTGTGTGTGTGTGTGTGTGTGTTGTACTTGGAAGTACAATTACACACAGGCCGGGATGTTCACACCGGTTCCCAAAAAGGTAAAAGGGGAACTGGACGCTCAAAAACAGAGACCACAGTCAACTGTCAACCTTTGCGTAATGTGTGTATTCGTACTCCGTACACCACACGTTTCATTTTGACTCGAAGTTCTGGTAGAACCCTAAAATTGAATAGAATATAAACAAACATCTGTAAAGCCTTCTACACAACGCCCCCAAATGATGCCTCTAGTGGGTGAGGAAATACCCGTGACCCTCTCACCTGCTAGCTCGATCGGTATCTTAGTTTTATGTCAGTATCCCCCGGCATGAGTGGTAAATTTAGGAGGGTGATGAAATACATTCGCCATGACTCGTAATCCCACCCCTCGCTCTCTCACGCGGCGCCGTTGACACGAATGTTGGCGATAAGCTCCTGGAGCTGGCGCTCTGTCTCCGCAGTGACGCCCAAGGGATACTGCCGGGGCAAGACCCGGCGCGGCAGCAGCGGGTCTGGGTACTCGGCTGTGGTATATACGTAACGACGGACATGCCGTTAGAATCACAAGCTACAAAAACCCTTACTATAGTTTTTTTTTTCGTGTTTCATTCTTCTCGTACCGATATTGAACTTCTGGTCCGAGAGGCGCGTCTTGGCCATCTCGTACTCGTCTCTGAACTTCTTGGTGTTCCAGGCCGCGGGACCGGCGCCGGCTTTGGCTGCTGCTGCTGCTGCTGCTACATCCGCCAGGCTGCCGCCGCCACTGCTGTTGTTTTGGAGGAGATCTAGGGGAGGCACCCCCTTAGTGGTGTTGACTGTGGTGTCTGACATCATCTCATCCGAGTTCATTGCGCCTGTGTCTTTCGTTGCGACTTCTGCGGGAAGTTGGAATGTGTCAAAATTCACCCAAAGGATTGTAAATGGAAGTAGAGGGTGGGGGATGAAAATGACAAGAAATCACCAGGTCGGACCGGGTGTGGGTTGGCGACGAGGAGGAAGCAATGTGACAGGGCTAATGACGTGGAGTGGAAGATGGTTGATGGATTTAGGACACTTTGTTAGGTAACATACCCTGGCTTGGGTTTGTCTGGCTGAGCCTGTATAGGCAGTTTGATAATGACGGGATCGAGGTTGTGATTCTTCACGAAAGCCAAGCTCAATAGACTAGACTCTGACGGTGTTGCTCAAGCTCTGTCCTCGGATGGGTACTTGTCTACCTTGTCTGCTTTCCTCGTGAAGTAAGTTGTACTCTGTCGTAGAAGCTCCGATCTCGAGTCCGCTGAGCAGGTGCCGACACCCCTATCACTAGTCGACATCGGGCCCGTGCACATAGCGGGGTGCGGGCGTGTTGACTTTGACTTCGCAGCCGAAATCGAAATACAAGTTTCTAAATGACACTCTGTCAACCAAACATTGGCAAATCTGCGGCGACATTGACCAAGCCATATTCTTATCGAGAGGCCTACATCGCATAACCCAAACTATCGTATAATTCACAACACTGTATCAGCAGACGCAATGGCAAGACATGACGACGTCCCCGACGCCTGGGATGACGAAGACTTCGAGGCGAAGGCGGACCGCGACGCGAAAGAGGACCGAGGCCCCGAGACAGAGACAGTATCACCACCCATGACGCGCGCAGAGCGGATGGCGAAGCATGCCGAGACCCAGCGGCAGCTGTGGGAGTCGGCGTATGTGCAAATCTCCAGTCCCATTGCTTTGCTTTGTGCCGTTACATCTAGAGCCTTGGCCTGACATGGCACGTTGCCCTTGCAGAGAGACCGAGGAGGAGCCCAGCTTTCTGCCGGTCAATAGTAATGTCCCTCCTCTCGCAACGCCGTTCAAGCCGGCGGTGAAGCTCCTCAGCCGAAAGCCAGCACAGGCCGACGACGACGAAGACGACGAGGCGCAGAAGAACCAACCGACGCCCGAGGAAATCCGGCTGCGCCAACAGCGCGAGCTCGAAGAGAAGCAGCGGCGCTACGAAGAAGCCCGTGCTAGAATCTTTGGCGATTCTAACCCTTCCTCGGGACAGTCGACGCCAGGCAACACGACACCCCCGCAAGCCCACGAAGGCCGGCAGGGCTTTAGGGGGAGAGGCCGCGGCCGCGGAGGCGGAGGCGCTTATCGCAACGACCGGGGACAAGACAGCCAAGCCCGTCGCCCGCAAACGAATCAACAGCCCTCGAGGGAACTCTTTGACCCAGTATCCTCACCAAGGCCGGGATTTGGCGCCCAAAACCGCAGCGGTGACGAGTCGCCTCAGCAGTCAGGCCGATCGGGCACGCTACGAGCTGACGACCAAATTATTCGGTCACCACGAGGTCCAGACGGCAGCGGAAGGGGTGGGTTTGGCTTCGCTCGGCGCGGAGCCAAGGATAATTGATTATTTTTACTCCCGTGGAGAATGCAGGTCCCGGGCATGGCTCTTACCAACCACCCCCTATCTTGCCAGCCAACTGCACAACCCTCTCGGTGTCGGTTATTTGGCTCTTACCAACATCGCTGACAACCTCTCGATAACTCGTGTACACCAATCTATCCAGCCCTATCCCAGTCATGTCCGACCAATGCGCCAGAGTATCTCGAATTTTTGAAGGGGAAATGCCATCCACAACCTCGTCCTTCGGGTCCTGTCCAGAATCTGGCTCATCAGCCGAGAAATATGCCTCGTCAACCTCGGCCAGCCAGTCTTTCTGCTCCTGGGGGCCGGGCTTTGTCAGCAGGCCCTTGCGATCAATGATTGCTTGGTCGTCGACCTTGATCTGTCCGCCTCCGTTGGTGCAGCCGCCAGGGCAAGCCATGACTTCAACATAGGCATAATCCATGCCCGAGGACCGCCCAACCGGCCTTTTGGCGCCACCAAACGGCTTTCCTCCCGGCATCCTCGAAGCCTTGGCTGGCTTTAGTCTCCGAACCAAGTTCTGGATGTTGCGGAAGCCATAGTACCGCGCGGCCTTGAACAAAGTCTCACCGGACGCAGCAACGACGGCGTAATCAACGACGTCGACGTTTCTGCCCCTGGCCGTCTCGATTCGCGATCCCGGGTGTCTCGACTGGACGTCATGGAGGATATAGTGCAGGTTACCGCCAGATGTGCCCGCGACCCGCGACTGTTGGCGACTCCTTGTGGCGAACAGGAAGCTGTGTATGAGCCGGTCGGGAAAGAGTGGTTGCGATGCCGCCACCTTTGGCAGTGCAAAGAAGTCTATACCTCTCGAGGCGGCGAGCATGAGAATCTCCTTGCTCGTAATGACGCAGTCGACGTCCCGAATGCCCCGGCCAGGCTTTCCGTCGCCCGCCCAGACCGCGTCCGTCAACTCCTCGCGACTGGCCTCGAGCTTCTTGTCGAAACACGGCATAATGGCGAGATGCCATATCCTGTCGGGGGAAATCCCGAGCGAACGGCTGAGTGTGGTTTTTACGAGGGTGCCAATGAGCGCCTGCGGGGACTTGACGCGAGAGAGATGGGGCAGGACGTAGGGATGTGTTTTTTCGGCGTAGCATACCCAGCCCGGGCACGAGGATGTAATGGTTGGCGTAGCAGGCTTGTCGGACGGCAAAAGCGGTAGTGTCTGCTTTGTAGGAGAGGTAGCTCTAAGAACCTCGTCAGATCCGAGTACGAGACATGCCTCGCACGCCGTGTTCGTGTCCACCATCCACGTGAACCCGTTGCCCCATCGCCCGCCTCCGGGCAAGCCGTCCGTGCCCATGAACAGCTGCTCGATCATGCGGCCGGCCTGCCGCTCCGTGACGCCGTGCCCGCACGCCGCAGCCAGGCTAGCGCGCGTCTGCGGCGACACGCTCGCCACAAACAGTCTCGCCGACGGGTCCTGCAGCCCCTCGACCGCGAACCCGCTGCCGCCACTGCTAGTATTATTGACTACCCGCAGCGCCGCCGCCGCGTCCAGCACGCTGAGCACCTCGTTGTGGCTCTGCAGGCTGACTAGCACCGCCTCGGCCGACGTCACGCACCCCGAGCACGCCAGGCAGTCTGTAAGCGATATCTGCGCCGGCGGTGCTAGGCCTTCCTGCCCCTGCCCGGGTTGCCCTTCGAGTATGACTTCGTGCTCGTTGCTGTCGTCGTTATCTTTGGGTGTTGTTTTCTGTGGCAGCGTCTCGACCGGCTTGATGCACGCCACGCCCGGGCTGATGAAGTCGTTCAGCTCGTCGACTGAGAGGATCGCCGACATGGTTGCGGCTGTGTTTGTCGGTCGGTCGTCTAGGGGAGGAATGCCCCGGTTTTCGGGGTTTGGTTTTTTCAGGGAGACAGTTCGGTGTGTGTTTGTAGATACCGGATATATACCTATATACGTGTATGTGTGAAATGGTATCTCTCCGCGGGGAGGCACTGATGGACCCCGATAGACTTTGAAACCCCGGCTGGCTTTGCGTAATGGCGTAGGTAGGTACCGTATTCGAGGTAGGTATTCCGTTCTCGGTACTCCGTACTTGAAGTCGGTTCGTTTGCTTGTTCGTGTCGTCTATGTGTTTCGTGAACCCCTCTTAAGTTGTGGACTCGTAATTAGCACAGCAAGGTACGTATATTAGCTTTTTCTGCTTTGAAATGCCTTTCAGCGCATTTGCGATGCGACATCGGCTGCCCTCCAGTATTTTTGGTGGGGGAGCGAGCGGCGGCTCCTGTGACCCCTCTCTGTCGCCGCCCCAGCTGGAGGAGGCGCCAGGGGGGTGCAACTGGCAGCTTGAGTTCCCCCCCACACTGTGTCGGTATCTGGCCTAATTAGAGCGCATTTGTTTCGGATGACGTAGCTCATCGGTCAGCCAAGATCATAGCCAGCAGCCTAGGTGAGAGCTCAGCTTTCAACAGTGGGTACGTGTACATACGTGGGTTTCGACACATTTGCGGCTAGAATACGATTTCCGATCGGTGAATCATTCCGTTTGAGTACAATCATTTTTCCAACATTGCAAAGCTCCTGCGGTGTCAATTTTTTTTTTTTTCGAGGACCGGTTTAGTGCCTGTATACATACGCTTGTGCTTGAACTGAGTTCACTCAGGGACCAGACCGGAGATTCTTGAGAGAAGTGAGAGACTTTAGGTGGCCATGGACGTGAGTTGTTTCCCAGCTAGAGCTAGACAAGCAGGTTTCACCACCGAGACCAGACATTAACACCCGTCCTACAGACCGTATCAGTGTACAGCTTTGGCAGCTTCGCCTGGTTGAGCGCTCAAGCGGTGCCATTGATTGTCTGGCCGACTTTCATCAGCACGCTACTGAGCGTGGACGCGCCGAACCGCTATCAGAATCAGTATGGCCACCCCAGCTGTAAGTAAACAAATCGCGGTTACCCCAACCAAGCTGGATCAGGTCTACTCAGGGGTACCGTAGGGAGGCCCCAGAGTATAGCACGACTCACGCAGCTCCCATCAAACGTCAAGACCCCCGTGGGAAGATGTTGGCCCATACTTGTCACTAATATGAATAGTAGCGGTTGAACAGTATTTTGCCCGCTCGTTGGGGCTGTCCCAACTTGCCATCGGCCTGTTGTTGGTTGTTCTATCCGGCGCCCTACCGCTTGCCTCCATGACAGACAGTGAGTTCCTTGCACTCACTTATAATCTCTAGTCATCTCCTAAGACCTGAACTGTTCCCGCCCATCGTATTTCCTCAATAAAAATGACAGACTTCACAATGTGATGTGCCTTACTCACATCTCCCCCAAACCTAGGCCCTGCCGACACCGTGTCCCCCTACGCCGACGCAGTCGTTCTTGTGTCCATGCTGTACCACGCGTCAAGCACCTTCTACAGCTACGCAAGGTGGAACGGCAGTGGCCAGATGGCCTACCTGCTAGGCTGCTTAGGGAGCAGTGCCTTTGCGGCGTTCGGGCTCGGGACTCTCCTGTTTGCTGGCGACAAGGGCCGCCTCAGTAAGCGGACGGGCGCGGATAAGCGCACGAGCGGCTGGCCGTTCAAGAATAGCGAAGCTGACAGGAAGAGGCCGAAGCATCTGTGACTGTTTTCCTCGCCAATGGGTAGTGGCCGTGGTGAGTCTTGGGTGATGGTTGTCTCGCCGGCTAGTGAAGGCTTAGTTCGGCGGTAGCTCCCCTCGGGCATGAAGTAGAGGGAAGCCAACAAAAGAAAAAGAAGCAAAAAGGACATACAACACCAGGGATTCGCTGGTCGTCACCGACCCAACTACTGATCTGGCCCTTGGTTGTTTATCTATGGGAGAGCGGACGGGATCCCGAGTTTTCAACCAGGTATGGTCGTATGTGATATTTCCAGCAAGTAAAGAAACCTATGTATCGTTGCCCCCTAGTTTTCCTCTGCGATTTTGCGGCCCACACGCATGTTGAAGCGAAGAAATATTTATAAACAAGTTCATCAAACGTGCACATACTCTATCTATCTATATGTGTATATTTTATTTTATTTCGTCTGCTCAATGAGGCTCTACTCAAGGGGGAACTTCCACAGTCAAATTCATCACAAAAGTGAAATGGCTCATACCCATCACCGCACACATTAAAAGGAGTAGTCGTAGGGGATGTTGCACATGGACGCCCAGCAGCAGACCAGGTTGGTTTCGAATATCGCCTCGCGCTCGTTCATGCCGGCAAAGGAGTCAAGCATCAGGCACAGGCGCGCCTTGAACTGCTCCTCGCCTGTGCGCGGCTGACGAGGGATGGTGCGGAGCTCGAGGGGCGCGCTCGTCCCTTGGTTGGGCATGGCTGTCTGGAAACGGACTTCGTCTGCCGATATCTCGTCTGGCGCGGCGAAGGCGTTTTCGAAAGGCAGCAGCCGCTTGACGCGGTCGAGCTTCGGCTTCGCATAGCCGCGCGGCCACCCGAGATCCATCAGGGCGTACTGGCCCTTGCGGAGCTTATAGTCTGCGATCCCGGTGGCGGCGTAGACGATGGTCGACTTGACTTTGCGCAGGACAGACAACCTGTTGACAACATCGTTTCTAGCAGTGGTGTCTAGGTCTAGTGCCACCCCGACATCGTATGCCTGCGCCCACTCCTGAAATGTCTAGGCTTGCGTCTAGTACTTGTATTTGTCTAGACTGTGCTGGAAGCCATCGACGAGCTGAAAGAAGCGCCCTGCGATGGCGCCCGTCTCCTCTATCCCCTCGGGCCCGGAAGCGTCCCAGTCGCTATTAGTTGGGTTGTAATTAAACTGCCCCTTTCTGCTCAGCAGCGTTGTCATCATCGAGAGGAGCTCTGCCAAGGTCTCATATGCCTCCTTGGCAGACTCGGGCAGGAGGACCGAGACGCACTCGGCCCTTCAGTAGATCTCTCCCATCACAACGACCTGGGCAGCGACGTCGGCTTGGTTGTTTTGGTCGATGGACATGTTGTCCATCCAGATTGTGCTGCCCGGCCCCGCGAGCGCGCCATGATGTTATCAAATGTCGGATGACTGCGAAGACGGATTCCATGGTCTGTCGAGCACTTTTGGCAGACCATGTGGACAACGTGTGGCGGCCCCCATACATGCGAGACTGCCTTGTACTTGATATCAGGGCTTGGAATTCCGGCGGCAACGTGGACGGCAGTTCCAGATGGCGAGATGTAAGTGAAGCGACCAGAACAGGAACGGCAGGCCGATAAGTGGACAGTATCATTGGACGTCCGACATGGGCGCGATGATGGCGAATCCTCTTGACTTTCTGCCATTGCTGAGAAGGTCGGCGGTAGTTCGCAAAGTGCACGAGTGGTGTCTTGCACGAGGCTGAGCGAGACTGGTCGCGTCCGATGAAAGGCAACTTAACTCCCTTAAGCAAGGTGAAGAAGGACTCTTGAACACTTGGTCGCGATTTGTTATCTGATGGGTTTCTGTAAATTAATATCTCGCTATCAAGCAGAGAAGGGGGATGTATTTCTAATAGGAGGCTTCGCACCGGAATAGAGTAAAGAATCCAGCTCTAGTAAACGTTGGCGAGTCGCCATGCTGCAGTCACGCCGAGCGCCTGCTCCAAATAGAATGTTGTACATAAATGCAGCTGAACGCCAGAGAGCTCAGCTGAGGGGCTGCTGCGAGCGAACAGCCTTCCCCCATGAGATGCAGTCTTTTAAGCCTGTTCAGGGGGGCAATCCGGAATCAACAATGATCCGCAAAAGAAGTGAGCAGGGGAAAAAACAAAAGGAATGAAAAGCAATAATAATAAAAGTCCCAAAATAATCAAAATATGTGCCGCCCCGAGTATTATTCACGGACACCTCCCCTCCATGAAGGCCCCAGGAAGCAGAGACTTGGCCGTATCCTCATCCGTGCCCTCCCTTTTAATCCGTTTACTCCGTATCTCCGTCATCAATATCGTAGAGCCCCAACAAAAAGGCGGCTCAATAACCAGTTCTGCTGACTTCGGGGCACACGTGGTTACGCATTGCAGCGAAACGAGAGTCGTCGATGCCTATAATCCGTCCTTCCTCGGCCGAGCGTAGCGACCGGCGAGCTTGGTGCAGTTGGCCCGCGGCAGCAGGGACCTGGTAACGTCTCGTTAGCCGGAAGGGCCGAAACGGTAGCTTGGGGTTGTAGGGCACCTAGTCACCAGCAACCCGAGCTTCGTTTCGGTCCCCGTTCGCGGCCACTGCCACGGCCGAGGGCGTAGTCGGAGCCGTGTTGTTGGGCACGACCTGGACATCGGCGACGCCTGCGAGGATGGCCTTGCGCCGGACGTGCCAGGCCTGCTCGCTCTGCACCACCTGGTCGAGGAGGACCTCCTTCTCCAGCCACTCCTGCTTGTACAGCGCCTCCCACCGCTTGCACTCGTCGCGCAGCAGCTCTCCCTCATCCTCGGCCCACTTGAACTGCAGCCGGCAGAGCTTCGCTAGCCGCTCAATCGACATGGAGATCTCGTTGGACGAGAAGCCTTGCTCCTCGGTGAGTGGGGTAAAGATGTCGCCGCCCGACTCGTCCCCGTTGCCACCGTCGTCTACTGAGTCGTCGTGCCCGGCCGCATGTGACTGCGGCGTCTTGAGGATGATTTTGAGCTTCGAGGACTTGCCCACGGTGCCAGCCTGCATGCTTTTAGGGACGGGGTCTGAAGGCCGCAGAGCCTCCGTCTCGTGTACCGTGCGCATATGCTTGGCGAGGGCGTCTGAGCGCGTGAAAGCGCGGTCGCATTCTATTCACAGGCAGTCAGTCAGTCATTAGTTTCTGTCATTGTGTTTTTGAAATCGAAGCGGCGCGCGCCAAGGGGGACCGTACCAGGTAGATAGCAGTAGAAGGGCTTCTCTCTCGTGTGACTCCTCATGTGCGCCTTGAGCGCATAGCCGCTCGCGTGCGGCATGCTCTTCCTTGTGCAGCCAATCCATTCGCACGTATACTTCTTTTGGCGGCCCTCGATGTGGTCGTTGTGGATGTGCTCGACCAGCTTGTCCATGTTTCGCATGTCGCCGGCCCTGCATCCCTCCCAGGCGCACGTCGTGACTTGCTCTTGGAAGTCATCTTCGTCCTGGCGTGCATTGACGGGCGAGCTTGGGATGTCGCCGTCGGTGTCGTCGGACACGTCGGACATGCCCTCGAGCGGGTCGGGGTCTGCATCAGGCTCGTGGACAACGGCTGACGACGTTGTTGACCCGGCGCCGACCTTTTGGCGTTTGGCTGGGGGCTCCTCGTCCATGAGCTCCGGGGCGTCATCTGGGTATTCGTCTTCCGAGGTATCCATTGATGAAAGCGGCGAGTCGTCGGCGGGCGATTCTCCTCTGGCCATTGTGCGGAAAGGTTAAGAATGGAAGTGACGGGGACGGGGACGGGGACGACGTCCAGGGGTCTATGCAAGGCTCTGGCTCTGGTTCGGTTCGATGGCCGCCCGCCCGTGTGCGTTGGAAGTCTAGGCGCGACTTACGTAGTAGACGGGCGTACTGTTGTTGGATGTGCAAATTGGTGTCTCGGTGCCGAGGATTTCATTGATGAAATGGAAAATCAACCTTGTAGTTTCTCGTGGCTGGAACAATGGCAATCCGATCAGGTCTATTGTTCAATGGTTTCGTATCGTTGCGCAAACTCGACCTGGCATCGGTTCAGATGATAGCGACAGCCGGCTGGCATACAACGTGAACTTAATCAGTGGCACCCGTCGCTAAAGGCATCACACTAAGGACCTCGAGGGAAGTATCGGCTGACAGACGGCTGATCACAGCTGCCAATCTGGTGGCGCACCTGAGCTGAACCGGGGCCACTTTTTGGTACCCGACCCGACACTGACCTGACAGCCCTAGGCAACGGCATCGCTCGCTGGAACTTTTCTGTTTATTACCCCTCCCCCCACCAAACCCAGCGCCGACTGTCAAGTCGCCTTGCATCTCTGCCTACTTACACAATAGCAATCAATCTACGATCAAGCTCCAAAGCTTGCAGCTGTTGCTAAAATATACTAGCCTCTTATTAGTTAAATAGCTGACTCAAATATGGCTTCCCCCACCAAGGTCTTTTCCCTCGAGGGGAAAGGTCTGAAGCTCGACACGGCTGAGGACCTGGAGCTTCACATCGTCGAGTTGCGCGCGATGGACGATGTCGAGGAGGTGCGACTACTGGGAAACACGCTAGGCGTCGGCGCGTGCAAACTCCTCGGTGAGGTCCTTGCGACGAAGAAGGGCCTAAGGGTAAACTCAATCTACGCTCCATGTCTCCTTGGGCAGGACGCTAACTCGCTACCCCTAGGTCGCTAACCTAGCCGATATATTCACCGGCCGCCTCCTGAACGAAATCCCCGAGGCGCTCTCCTACCTCTTGACGTCCATCCTGAACCTCCCGAACCTGAACTCGATCAACCTCAACGACAACGCCTTTGGCCTCAACACGCAGGCGCCGTTGGTTGCCTTCCTGGAGGAACACGTCCCATTGCAGCACCTGTACCTGAACAACAACGGCCTGGGCCCCCACGCCGGCATCTTGATTGCCGACGCCTTGTCTAAGCTCCATGCCAAGAAGGAGGCGGCGCGCAAGCGGGGGCAGAATGTGCCCTACCTGGAGACTGTCATCTGCGGCCGCAATCGCCTTGAGAACGGCAGCATGACAGCTTGGGCCAAGACGTTCAGCCTGCACAACCAGGTCAAGGAGGTAAAGATGGTTCAAAACGGCATCAGGCAGGAGGGCATTTCGCATCTGATTAGCGAGGGTCTTCGGCATACCACTAGCCTCAAGACGCTGGATCTGCAGGACAATACGTTTACTCTGTTGGGTGCCAAAGCCCTTGCAGCTGTTGCCCCTGGCTGGACCGAGATATTGGAGTTGGGCATCGGCGATTCTCTTCTCGGCGCCAAGGGCGGCGTGCTTCTGTCAAAGTCGCTCGGAAAGGGAAAGAACACAAAGCTCGAGGTACTTCGTCTACAATACAACGACATCACAGCCCCCGGTCTCAGAGGGCTGGCGGTGGCCGCGAAGGAGGCTCTTCCCGCCCTCAGGAAGATCGAGCTCAACGGAAACAAGTTCTCCGAGGAGGACGAGTCGATCATTGCTCTCCAGGAGCTTTTCGAGGAGCGCAAGGAGAAGTTGGGCGGCGATGTTGTAGTCGAAGATGACTGGGGCGTTGACAGCCTGAGCGACCTTGAGGACGAGTCCGATGAAGAGGAGGAGGAGGATGAAGAGGAGGAGGAGGAGGTTGAGGAGAGGGCTGAGAAGCTTATCAAGGAGGCCGAGGAGGCGCAGGAGGAGCCCGTTGTGCAGCTAAAGGACAAGGATGTCGACGAGCTGGCAAGCAAGCTGGCCAAGACGGCCATTTAATGCGAGCGATGGCATTGCCGGTTTGTCGGAAATTGAGAATGAATGGGCGGCGAGAGTCTTTTTTTCCGCCGGGGGAGTGCAGACGATACCCAGCGAACACTGCGATAGCGATGGTTTTGGAGGGAATATACAAATGCCTTCAGATAGGCAAGGCAGGGGTTGTTGCGTTAGATGCACTGGATTATGGCTCCGTAGTGAGCTCAGAATCTTTACGGTCTGCAGTTTAGTAGCATGTCCTCTCATCCTTGAGAGGTCAATAAACAGAGAAGGTCTGGCCAGGGACTCGTGAATATTGGGACCCGTGATGGTAAACGAGGGAAACATGGCATATGATAGGCAGCTTCTACGCAGGAATCTCTGGCCTATAGGTTCAGTGTTGTTTCTCGGGGTCAGCTCTGCAGCTTAACCGGCCGCCTTTTGTTGCCGGAAACTGGAGGTTTTGTGAGTCGCCCCATGGTCACACCACTTTTGAGCTGGCAGCATCAAGCCACTTTGGACGCTAACCCGCGAGCCTCGTGATGGCACATATCCTGACAGACATAAAAACAACTCCGGCTCTGCTTGCAAGGGATATTTGGCTGTTTCATCAATAACAATATTTTTAAGCTCACTGCCATTGAATTAAATAACCAAGCTCGGAATCCAAGTTTCTCAGTAAACTCGTACCGAGACAACACCAACAACAACCACAACCACAACCACAATCACAGCCACAACGGCAACAGTAACAGCTGGTAACCTCACCGAATTATCGCTTACTCTACACCAGAAAGAAACACATACGCGCATTAACGTACTGTGTCAGCCGAACCAACTCCCTCACCTTACCTACCTGGACACCATCTCCAGGCCTGCAGACATCATGAGCGGCGGCCTGGTGCTGTTCGAGACGACCGAGTCGGTGATCGAAGTGCTGTGGGACATTGCGCTGGCCGTCTTCATCGTGCGCATTGGCTTCGTCTACTTTGCGGCCAACTTTGCCACGGGCGTCGCGCTGGCCTGGCTGGCATCATCATCAACAACAACAGCAACATACCTCACACAACTCACATCCACACTGCCAGTGTGGCTGCTGCTTGCAACAGCGTCAGTCGCAGCGTGGACGCGCCTCCTCGTCGTCCGCTACGAGATCCCCCGCGCGCCGGGGTTCCGGCTTGCTATCGGTGTGGCCGGGCTGCTCTTCATGGCTGGTGCTGATGCTCTTGTTGCTCTGGTTCTCTTGGGCCAAGGCACGCTTGCTGCGACGCTCGCGGACGCAAGGGCTGATGCTGCTGCTGGACTGGCTCTTGCGCTGTTCGCGCTGATGCCGCTGGTTCAGATGCCGCTTGAGCGCGCGGAGGGTGAGGAGTTGAGTCATGGGCATGGGCATGGGCATGGGAAGAAGAGTGTTGTTGATGCCGTGTAAGTCTTGTTTTGCACTTTTATTTGTTTATTTTCTGCGTGCCTGATGCTGCGTGTTAGGGGGAATGGCTATGCGCCTCGTCCTTGCTGATTGCTCGCTTGCTGACTTTTTGATGTGATTTAGGCCAACGGTGAACGTCAAGGAGAGGAAGGAGGCGAAAAAAACGCAGTGAGGGGCTGGGTCTGGGCGAGAGATATGAGATTGCAACTATCAGAAAAGCTTTACTTGTCTAACGAGGTTAGGAATGCCAGGTTTAATTCACAGGAATTGTTTCCATGCTGAGTGAAGATTTAAGGTCTGTATGTGATTGATTGTGTTTTGGGTAAAGGAAAAGGGGGGTGAGTGAGGATGAGGCGAGTGACGGGTTTGAATTCTCACGAGGACCAAGAAGCATGGCTGTGTTCCGGCAATTCGATTCGATTTGAATTTCGGGCTGGTGTCAAACTAGTAGTTGCTCAATTCGTGTTGGACATTCTGGAGGGAATCCCTGAGTATTTTCCTTTGGGCTTTTATGAAAGGCACAATTGCTTGAGTTTTGAACTTGGGTATTGAGGTCAAATTGAGGTGAATGAATCAAGAAACGAAAACTCCTATTTCTGGACAGTCCGCCATTCTGACCGCCGTAAAGGCAGTCGAGGACAGTCGATCAGATGTAAGTGGTGCAACTTGAGCCTCCGTACCTGCAAGGCGTTCCCTAGCCTCCCGAATTTCCAAACCCCGCCCCGCAGCGGTGAATGTCTGGGGTGTGTGGGGGCCCTGGGGGGTCGGTGACAGGAGGCTGTAAGCACTAGGTTGCACTCCATTGCGCCAATCAGGGGCTGCGCCTTTTGATTTTCAGTCGCAAAGTGAAAGCTCTCCGTCGCCGTGCTGCAGCTTCAGCTGTTCTAACAACTGAACTAATTGGCAATTGAACTGTCCCTAGGCTTAACTTAGAGTTTCTCTGCTTTCAGTTTCCCAGTTAGCGAATGAGAGAAAAAAGGGGTAACATCTCTTGAAGCTCGGTCCGATCATAGCTCCAAGGTAGAGCTCGTTCTCCCGTCCCGCCTTCCTTCCTGCGGGCAATTCAAGCTTCTTTCTTTCACCCGAGCCGCTCGACGTAGCTCAGAGCCTTCTCACCCGCCACACAACCCCCCTCAGGCCCCAAGGAAACAACTTTCAATGGGGCTCCTCGACGACACGGCATCGCTAATCTCGGGGCGGTCTTCGCACTCGAAGCGGCACCACAAGTCGTCCAAGCGGTCAAAGTCCGGCTCGCGGTCGCGGTCGCGGTCGCGGACGCGCCACCACTCGCACTCGGCCGCGGCCGCCGGCGCGGGGCTGGGCTTGTCGGGCATCGCGGCGTCCATCTTTGGCGGCGGCGGCGACGGTGACCACGGCCACGACCACGGCCACGGCCACCGCGACCGGGGCGGCTCCGACTCCGACTCTAGCGGCCACAAGCACCGCAAGCACAAGAGCAGCAGCAGCCGGGGGGCGTCGTTTTTCGGCCTGGGCGGCGGCGGCAACGCCAGCCGCAGCAGCTTCTTCAGCGGCTTCGGTATGTTCTGTCCTTTCTCTCTGTCCATTTTACCCCGTCACCACTAACACAGGCACAAAAACAGGCGCAGGCGGTGCGCGCTCGCCGTCATACTACAAGCGGTCGCCGCGGCCGAACTTCGTGTCGCGGGTGCTGCGGCGGCTAAAGCGGCTGCTACGGGATCTAGTATACTACGCGAAGCGGCACCCGCTCAAGGTGTTCATGCTGGTCATAATGCCGCTGATCACGGGCGGGGCGCTGACGGCGCTGCTGGCGCGGTTCGGGCTGCGGCTGCCGGGGGTCGTGGAGAAGATGCTCGGCGTAGCAACCAAGGCGGCCACGGGCGACTCGATCGGGCTCGTGGGCGAGGCCATGCGCATGGCCAGCGGCGGCCTCAGCGGCGGCGGCAGCTCTGGTGCTGGGTTCAACCACGCTCATGCCAGCATCGAAAGAGGCCGCGACGGAGGCATGCAGTGGGAGCGCCGGAGCGTCGAGAGAGACGGCTACGGCAGGGGAGCGGGCGGGTGGGGAGATGGCTTCAAGGGCATCGCCAAGATGTTCTCGTGAGATTTGTTGCGATGCGGGTCAGTACAGAGCTTGATTTGTTTGGATATGAGATCATGTGGTGTGTTTGTTTCCGGGAGGCTTTCTCTTATTTTGAACCCTGTATTGCTTTTTGTTCACGACGCGGAGTCTTGGAATATACCTGGGCCGAATAAATCCCCTTTGTTATTCTTATACTCCCCTTTGCATTACTTTAACCACAGCGCAGATTATCAATCATGAACTTGGAAAACACCCTGTACTAAGGAAATGCAGAATTAAAATTGTCGTACTAGTCTAGTAATGCGAAAAGACAAAGGCACGGGAAACGGTTCCGTCCTCTCACGCGCAGAGGAATATCCAGCCAAGGGGAAAGCTATCTTCCTTTGCGTCTTCTTGTCGAGCCAGAAACGCCACCTACAGACTTGCGCTTGACGGGTGACTGAGCGGTAGAGGAATGATGCCGGCTGGAGGAAGGAGGAGGCGTCCGATCTCGTGATGGCTGCCGTATACGTTCAGGTTCTGCCGGCGGTTCTGCGACAACAACGCTCTCCCGAACACGTCCACGAGTGGTAACGCCTGAGTTGACGACTCTCGCACCCTGCCGTGTACGGGTATTTGCGCCGTCTGATACAGTGGCCTCTTCGCTTGACGTCTCCTCGTCGCTACTTTCATCCTTGCTCCGCCGTCTGCCAGAGGATCTGGTAGCAGGCGCAGGCGCAGGCGCCCTTGGAGCAGGATCAGCGCCATATGCGTATGCCGCATCACTAGGGGGCCCCATTACGCTTCGACGCGCTGATGGGGCTCCAGAGTGGTACGGTGCGCGTGCACCTGCAGTCATGAACTGGAACGGATCCACTGCCGGCCCCCCTGGAGCAGTGGCTGCTGGAGATTGATTCGGAGTCACCGAATCCCGGTGAGACTGTGGACTCTGAGACGGAGAACGGCCAGACGCGGGATCGGAAGAGTGTCTGACCGAGGCTGCTTGGTCTCCGTGAATGTAAGAGTAGGAAAATGGTGAAGAACTCTGTTCCCTATCGATGGCCGCCCGGCTGGGTGGCCGGGACGAGCCTGTCCCAGAACGAGGACGTGGAGCGCGGGAAGATGGCGGAGGAAAGTAGCCCATTGCAGGACGGGCCAGGTGTTGTTGCCCTTCATTGTCAGCAGGTGAGTGCTGCTGAGGCGGGCTTTCTCCGATCAATGCGTGCCTCTTCTTTCGCGATGCCGGCTCGAGGTGTGAAATGGGCACGGCAAACCGCTGCTCTCTCCGCTTTCTGCGTTCCTCATCTTCCATACGCTGTTGTCGTCTTTCGTACGCTTCCAGTTCTTCTCTGCTCAACTTCACGTCTGTCTTGCCCTTAGCCCTTGCCCGCTGGATGCGGGCCGTGGCAGCGTCGGCCAGAGCATCCTCCCGTTCCTGTAAACTCAGCCGCGACTGATTGCGACTGCCACCCGATTCCCGCGCCGAGTCGTATTCCGAAATCTCGTCGTCGTTGTCGTGCCCATCCTGCTGAATAGTCAAGGCCCTCCGTTGTCGAGCACCACTACCACTACCGCCCCTATCGCCCAAGTCTATACCCGTAAATTCAAGTGGATCGCTGGCAATCCTTTTCCCTGATGCAGCGGAAGCCAAACTAGCGCCTTGCGTATCAGAATCATCATCATCGGTATCCACCTCCTCGACCACACGCCGGCCAAATTCCCACCAATTGTCCGTGTCGTCGCTCCCGTTGCGCGCTGCGTGTGTCCTTCGCTCGCGCCTCGATGGTCTTCCCCGTTGGGGCGCAGATTTGGGAGCTCGCGGCCGACCACCTAGACCGCCTCCCCAGAAAAAGCCTCATCGATAGGCTTGTCCATAAAAGCAGCGTGGCCGAGAATGGTCACGCCGCTGGCGCCGATCAGCCACAACATGGTGCCGATGGGCGAAGCGTAAAGAGCGACGGGGACGGCGATGATGCACATTCCCGTGTAGAGCTGCGAGGTGGTGAGTCGCTGCGAGCCAATCTCGAGATCCCGGCCGTCCAGCTTGCCAATCAGGAACATGCTGAGCGTGACAAAGACGATGTCGAAGAGCAGAGCCTTGTTGCTAAGGATCGAGTAGAGAAACAGCATGACGAAGACGACGGCATAGTTGCTCGAGAAGTGGCCGAGATTGTAGTTAACACGCGACTGCGCCTCAGCAAAGTTGGCGGGCTTGGACACACGCTTGAAGTCGAAGAACTCGGATATCGGGCGCAGATTCGTGAAGCGGCTGGCGAGTGATCCAGAACGCATGCTTGCGAAGCGGTCGCCAAGGTTCAGGCGCGACGTTAGCATGTCTATCGGGATCTGGATGCGAGACATTTTGGCGGTTGAGGCGACGCAGGTTGATGCTTATTCAGGTTTGGCTGGCAAACGAGGCTCAATGATCTGATTGATGGTTATTCGGCGAGTAAAGAGTCTGAACTCTGTAGAGCGTTGGTTAGGTTGAATGGCTTGACGATTTTTAGGGGCGTGGTGAAAATCTGTCAAGGCTATCTGTCAGCTGCCAGGTGAATGAAATAAAATTAATTTAGCCTCAGCCTAGCGGACAGGGAGGTCGACGCGAAAACGAAATACGGAGTTTGATTGCGTGTCCGTTACGTGGAACGCCGCACTTGCGGGCCCAATACAGACTAGAGGCTGAGCAAAACGTACCAAAGGGGGGCAGCCAGATGTCGGCACAGCAGGCAGAAATATGACGGCCTCGCTGGCCAGATCGGACAGGACGAGGCTGTTGACGTTGACGTCTTGAAAGGGACACGATGGTCTTTGTTCGTCAGAACGAGCTGGTGCTGTGGTTTGGTTGGCGATCCTCCCAATGGGGCACGGGTCCCTGGGACGCCTTGAGTCGTCGCCGGCAGCCAGTGCCAGAGCCCTTGCTGAGCGACGGCCTCGGGGTTGGAAGGGGCACTACAAGCAAGTACCGATGTCCCCCCACTCTGTCCTCCCGCAGGGCCGAACTCACAACGCTTCCAAGCTTCCCCGATCCAAGGACACCATCAATGGATTCATCGATGGTCGTCTGGTCGGTCTAGGTGGCCGGAAAGAAAGGAAGAGAAAGAAGAAAGAGAGCAGGGAAAAAGGCGGGCGAGGCATAGTTTTTTGTTACCGAGCTTAGGCCATTGGTACCTAGCTCACTTGCACGCACACACTTGTTCAAAGGCGGACGCTGCCCGCTGAGTTGGCGGTGGGGCACAGCTGCTGCCAGTGGCAGTGGCAGCCCCGTCATGCAGGTTTGGCCATTTACACTTTTCACCGCACACACAGGTGCATTGCATCGGACGGCGGTGGTGAAAGCGGAGAGAGTTTTCCGGCTCCGAGATGTCTTCCTGCAAGCCTGCCTGCCTACATGGGAGCTAGGCGGGTGCCCGACTCTTGTGTCCCACGGCGAGACCAGCAAACATGACGGGGCGTCGTCTGCTTCGTAAGGTATGGCGGCGGGCATTTGTGCCCAAGTCGGGCTGGTGCTGTTGTGAAGCTGTGGTCGGGTAGCACTCTGCCAATACCGCGGGCTGCCCATGGTATACTTGCGGCCCGTTGCCCAATTGATCGTCTCAATTTCAACCTCCCGGCAACCTATCTGTGCCGTTCGCTCGTTCTGGCCAGACCCCAGATCTCCGCGCGGAACCTGAGGTCCCCAGAGATAATCATGGGGAGCTTCTCGGACTGCGGTGTAACATATAAAGCAGCAGGCGGGGCTTAGTTGTCTATATATACACATGCATACATCTTCCGTATGTAGGCATATATGTATCTACGATAGATATAGGGCCTTTCATATGGCTTGGCCCTACTCGCATCCGCCGCCCACGGATTATGACACCTAGTACAGAAGGTATTTCTTCAGTCTTGCCGTGTCTGAAACGGCTTCTAGTGGCTCGCGATGCCAATTCCAATCACCGGGCAGAGACATGTTACCGTTGGATCCCGTCGTGGCCGTGGCCGTCGAGCCAGGATGAGATCTCGATCGCTCTGCACGGGCAATTGAGAGGGGCTTTAAGTTTGCGTGCATCGAGGGAAGGGCAGCCGAACAAACGGAAATTGCAATTAAGAAAGACGCTCACACTTAAAATGGATCCGGCGGACTGGGTTTGGCCAGGCGGCCGAGTCTTCACCGTCCGTGGGACACAAGTGTCAGGTCAGGTCAATTCAGGTCGAGGAAGGAGATATGGACAGCAAGCATATTAAGTAGTGCGTGACGTCAGAAAATTGCGCCCATATCACCCGATAATGCCGCCATCCCATCCATGAGATTGACGCACCCCCCTCATTTGCCGTAAAACCCGGAAAATATTTCATGTCTTTCTGGAGCACAAGAACCTGGGATGAGCGATTGTGGACCGACCCATTATTCTCTCGAGACTCGACGATGTGAAGCCCGCGCCAAGAGATACTCTCCCGGCTTGGGATCCCGAGACGCTGTCTATCTATCCGCCTTACCTTACCTAGGAAGGGGTTAAGAGATCAGATCGAGACAGAGACAGAGACAGACAACCACTAACACTGGACCGTGGCCCGGATGCCCTCCTGACAGCACCTAGCTTTCGAACCTTAAGTGTCAAAATCGTCTGAAAGAGGAAGGGGAGATCGCCGATGCTGCAGCGTCGCTTCCAACCACCATCACCTGACGTCCTGGCAAGAGGGGAGCAAAGGGTCTCGTCGTCTATTAAACTGAAAAGACTCGCACGACTCGCTCGCCATCGACCGGTCTAACCACTTCCCACATCATCGGGAACTGCACTGACTGCACTTACACCAAAAAGTCGACTCTTACCAATTTACGACAAGGCCAGAAAGGCCCAGATACTCGAGCAAATATTGTCAGCCAGCATGTATCACCACCTTCTAAGAACGCCCATCCTCGCCTTCGTCATTGCACTCGCCACACTGATCGGGGCCGCGAGATGTTCTCCCCTAGCCCCAATTGCGCCCGACTCTGATGTCGCCGACTCCAAGCATAACGTCACCATCATCCCGTCCTTCAACGTCACCAAGTTCGCGGCCGCGGCTATGGTCCTAAGCCACCGGAACTAGTAAGCTCCCTAAGCCTTACCTTTCGTCCCATCTCGCGTTGCCATTACGCAGAGAGACGGAAACTAACCCAACCGCCTTCTTGTTCTCTCCAGCTACAAGTTCTACGTCGCCTACGACTCGTCCGAGGCGCCGGTGCACTGCTGGGCGGTGGGGACGACGCTGGGCGAGGACTTGAGTAGCCTGCCGCAGACGATGTGTGGAGACGCTGGCAACGACGACGACGGCTATGACACTGGCGTGTCGTTCCAGTGGGTGCGGAAGCGCGACGGCTCGTCGGCACTGGTGGTTGCGCGCCAGATCTCGGACAGTGTGCTGGACGAGGCCGTCTACATTGTGCCGCGAAACGACACCCCCGTCCTGGGGCAGGGTAAGTTCCGCCACCAGGTGTACGCGGGGCCGGAGAATTTCACGGTCAAGGCGCTCCGCTTCCAGTTCTACTAATTGCCGGTTTTCGTGTAGAGGGGTTTAGTAGCATTTTTCTTGAGAGGAAAGCTTGTAGCCAGAAACGGAAGGAGATAGGAGAAGGAAAAAAGAGGGGCTATGAAGGGTTGATCTACTTGGACTGCATAGATTAGGTGTATCATGGAGCATTTGGGGCCCGCGCAAAAGCACATTGGACTTGATACCTCGGCAGTGGGGCACAATTTGTGTCGATCTAGACAGACCTATTTGTTTCCACTGAGGAAATATGTCGGCTAATAATGGAATATTTATTCTTTTTTGAAAGGCCAACACAAGTCTCGGGCCCTGTACATGTACGGGATGCTGCCGTTGGGACTCGGGTAGATCGAGGAGTCTCACACAACAATCGACGCCCAGTTCTATCTACAAGGAAATACAGGCGCTGGCGCTGTCCTCGATAAACAAGCTCCCGTAGATGAGGCCTTCGTTGAGCCGGCTTTCTTGATAGCCGGCATTGACTACGTCGCTCGTGCCAGTGGGCTTCTTCAGGATTCCGATCTGGTACTGCCCGCCGCCCGAGTTGTCGTTGGACACGGCGCTGGTGACGCTCTTGAGCGCGTCGTCGCCCTTGGAGTAGTACACCTGGAGCGTACTTTTGATGGGGAGCTTGTCAGCATGTATGAGTCTGAGTGAGCGAGTGCGAGTAAAAACTCACTTCTTGTTAAAGTCCAGCGTGATGGCAAAGTTCTGCCAGTCCGTCTTGAGGATCGGCGTCGACCAGATCTGCTTGTTCTTGCGGTCAAGCACCTTCCAGGTGTCCCGCGCGAGGCCCGACTGCCCCAGGATGGCGCCCGCCTCGAAGTTGAACTGATTCGCCGAGTAGTCGGCGGCCTCATGCCAGACGTTCTGTGGCGCATGTGCGCGTGGTTAGATTGGCGGTTTGGGTGGGTTAGGTTCAAGAGGGTATTCCATTTTCTCTTCTCATCCCACCCCCAACAACAGACGAGAGAGAGAGAGAGGAGAGGAGACAGATAAGATGGCTACGCACCAAATACTCGTGGCTGAGATTCAGCGCCCGCTGGGCATCCCACTTGACGCTGAAGTGGATCGTCTTGATGCCTTTCGTGGCCGGACTGTCGTTGTTGGTGTCGCCCTGGAACTGCAGGCCAGCACGGCGAAAGCCCTTCTGGGTCTGGAAGATGCTCGAGTCGCTGATGGTGACCTCGAAGGGCTTGTGCTGGGCGGCGTCGTCGAAGCGCGCGCTGCCGGCACTCGCGGGAAACTTGATGATGTCGCTCCATTTGAGGCTCTGGCCCTTGACATAGTCCGGGTTGAATAGCGACGTGCCGTAGCTGTCAAAGTCGGACAGCTCTGTCGCCGCCTTGACGCGCCCGTCGAACACCAGCGGACACTTGACCGCCCCGGTGCCGGCCACGGCGTGGCTGTGAGGCGGCCGCGGGACCGCCGTGGCGACCACAGCGGCGGCGGCGGCCACGAGGCCCATGAGCGAGGAGTGCATCGTGTCCTTTTTGTCCGGTCGTTATGTGTTTTGTGGGTTGTGCAGCACGCAACACTGATTGCCGTCTGCTTCTTGGACCGAATTCAAATACTTTGAAGAGAACCGGATGTTAAATATATAGTCTGGAACATATGATCATGAGGTCTAGTCCACTGGACACGACACTCTGGCGACGAACGGGGCCCGGATGGCGAGCTTCGCCGTGGCCTCGTCTTCCGCGAGCCGGCTGAATTTTGCCAGATGACGATTTGATCTGGGCTGGCGGCATCGCGACCCGTTGAGGGCTGGACGCATTGGGGGCACTTGCCCTCGCAATGGCGCTATGGAAGCAGGCACCGTTTGGGCCGGTGGGAGGGAATGTTCCGCAACATCCATATTGCATTTGTGGGGTTTCCGCTCAGGTTCGTAGTAACAACTCAATTGATCTCACAGACGCTAATCAATCTCCCCGCGATGCCATGCGAGTCCTGCAGGGGCAACACCCTTTTCAGGCGCGTTCGTTGGCAGGAAATATTTTGTGCGCCGCCCTGGGTTTTCCGCTCAAGATTGGTTGATGGTTGACGTGGTGGTTGAGGCGAGTGTCTCCTACCTTAAGTCAGGGGCAAAACCCTAACCCTACAACACGGTGTAAGTCAGACACTCAGGGAAAGAGCAAAACCGGTTCCTCCCGGCGACTCGAACATTCTCGGGCCTAATGTCGCCGACTTGACGCCTCTAACACCACAAAATGGCGCAGCCGAAGCCCATCTCATCAACCTCAGCCCTGTCAAGGGAGGACATGTCGTTGGGTTTGCCGACGTCGTGCATTGCATTGCCCAGCGGCTGCAGCCAGCGTCGGGCGCTGATTTGAACTGCACTGTAATTAATACGAAATACGACTGCAATGCGATCGGCATCGTGGTAGGCAACTGCGACTAGCCTACCAGGGCAACTGGCAGCCATCCAGCTAAACCTGGCCATTCTGTTTGCAGCCGCAGCCAGGACGTGGGCTGGGTTGCGGTTCAGCCATCAAAGAGAGCCTTGCCGGGAAATGAGTCGCAATGGGAATTCCCGGTGAGGTGGTCTGGCGCTCGAATTAGGTATCGAGTATAAAAAGGGGGAGAAGAGAACAGCTTCAAAGGCTCTCGAGATTTTGTCGTCTAACTGTCTCTCGTATTTGAATCTGATATCAAGAAGAAAGAAAATAAAAAAGCCAATATATTCTCAACGTGACCTCCACCATGTCCCACATTCCCGACAATCGCACGCTCGCCGACGCCAAGAAGCAGAAGCATGTCGACGTGCCGCCCGACCTGGTGGACCTGCACTGCTTCACCGAGACAGGCGGCGTGCTCACGACGACCATGCTTGACGTGCCGGCGTACCGCGTCGTGCGGGTTCTGGGCGCCGTGTACGGGCTGACGGTGCGGTCGCGCAACTGGGCTGCCGGGATCGGCATGGTTCTCAAGAGCATCGCCGGCGGCGAGCTGCGTTGGTTCACCAACTTGGTATTGCTCCCATCCCTTCCCATGTAACAAGTTGCTGACAGAGAAGCAAGCTCTACAACGCCCGCAACGACGCCATCAGCCGCCTCGTGGCCGAGGCCCAGAGCCGCGGCGGCAACGCCATCATCGGGCTGCGCTTCGACGCCGGCGAGCACGGCGGCTTCGCCCAGGTCTGCGCGTACGGCACCGCCGCCTACATTGAAAAGCTCGAGGGCGGCTCCGAGACGCACCCGCAGCTGCTGGGCAAGACTGCGTGACTTTGTTCTTTTGTCTTTTTCGCCAAGCGTTGAATTTGGGGTTTATTTCGTTCTTTCTTTCCTTACTTCCAGAGCCTGTCAAATACCCAGACTGAAAACGGGGCAGGGAGAAAAAGCGGGAGTCGGTAGGGTTGTTACTCAAAAGTATGGGCATGTTTTCATCTTGGGAGTGTGTGCAAGATGCCTTCACTGTAAATTATACTGTCATGTAAATTCAATACAAGAGCTAAACAACACTAGCACGTACGTGCTCCGGCTTGTGAATATTAGCGCGGTCTTAGAACACCATCCCAAATGGCCCACGCTGAACAGGACGTTGTCAGTCGGCTTAGTTGTCACACTTAAAATTTTCATTTAGAGCGAGAAAGTCGACTCGGCTCGGTAGGCATCACAGCAAATCCTAGGCCAGAATCACACGGCAATCAAAAGACGTAAAAGTGACAGGGCTTGATTTATATTTTATTTGGCCGGGCCGGCAGACGAAGAGATACTCGGAAGGAGCGTATACCGGGATATATCCTGACAGAGATATGTATATCAGGCTGGCTGGACGATGGCACCACCCACCGACCGCAGACAGACGACGCCGGGACACGACGCCACTTCCCCCGTTTCTTTCCTTGACCAAGTCCAGCTCGCCTCAGCTGGCTTTCTTCTCGTCCATTTCCAACCACCGATCCAGAAAGACAATTATCCAGACGGCGCAGAGAAAGACGAATAGCCAAGCTTGACAGACCAAGCCCACAAAACGACATCGCAGCCGCCCTTTTCCGCTCTCCAAGTCCAACAACAACGACAACAATAAAACAAAATAATAAAACGCCAACGCCAAAATCCGTGCTTTCGTTCCCATGCAGAAGGAAGTGAAAACCGTGCGTGTGTGTAGTGGGCAAACAGGAAACAAGCAAGCAAGCATGCAAGCATGCAAGCATTATTAGGACACCACCACCAGCACCACTAGCACCCAATTCCCGTTCCCAAACCCGTTCCCGTTTCCAAAAGAAATAAACCCAGGACAAGCTTTGGCCGATAAAACAGAACACCGACAACAACAACAACAGCAACAACAACAGAAGAAAAACCCGAGGAGTCACCCTCTTGCGTGTTTTTTTGTTCAAGTTGTTGCTGTGGCAGCATAAAAAAAGAAAACAGCAAGCAAGCACGCAAGTAAGTACAGGCCCTACTCCCAGCAAAGGTCATGCATGGCGGTCATGAAATTCGTCAAGTTTTTGTGAGCGGCGTGGCGTGGTGTAGAAAGTTGTGGCGTGTATGGTATGCCGTGGTCCGTCGCACCGAAACAAGGCGCGGCTTCCACCCTTCACAGGCGGTATTCGCATCTCATGCCCCCCCCCCCCCCCCCCCAACACCCAAAAAAAAAAAGGGAAGACGAGGGGACCAAGCCAGCCACGCGGCTCGTCAGTAAGTCAGTTCAGTTCAGCAAGCTGACACCGCCAACTCACAGCCCACTGATCTTCCTCGCCACAGCCGTCGCAGCCGCCGTAGGCGCAGCGCTGACGCTGCCGACGCGACCGCTAGTCTTGCGCACGCCGGCCTCTCTGACCGTACCCGAAACCACGCCGGCAGACACGGCACCGACGGCGCCAGGGCGCTTGGCATTCCCGCGGACCTTGGCCAGCACGCCCGACGAGGACGCCGAGGCGGCGCGCTGGTGGATGCCGTCGTAGGCGGCGGCCTTCGTGTGGCGCGCGGCGGCTGATGCCGAAGAGGTACCAATGTTCTCAATGTCGTGTGAGGCGTCGTTGCTGTCGACGACCTGGTAGATCATGGTGGTGGTGGTGGTCGTCATGGTGCCGGTAACGCTGCTGCTGGTCTGGTGGTGCGACACGGAGCGCTCGCTGCGGCGGTGGCGCTGTTCGGGAGAGGCAGAGGGTTTGTTGCTGCTGCGGCGCATGCTGCGCAGGTGCAGCTCCTCTTCCGACTCGGCGGAGCTGCCGCCCGAGGTGCGCAACATGGCGAGCACTTCAGTCTGTGTCGTCTCGGCCGACGAGGGGTCGGCGCTGGCGTCAATGTCGACGGCCGCCTCGTCCTCCTCGTCTAGCGTGGCCGCCGTGTGCAGGCTGGCGCTGGCGGCGCGGCTGTAGGGGTGGTGGCGGTCGCGCTGCGTCTTGCGCGGCTGGCCGGGCGTCGGCGCCGGCAGGTAGTCTTCGTGCACGCCGATGGTGTTGTCGCGCGCGTGGTCCTGGTCGATCTCGCCGAGCGGCGTGCGGGTCGAGCCGCGGTTGGGCGGTGTTGATGTGCTGTTGTTATTCTTGCTGCCGCTGCGCTGGCCGAGGCTGGCCTTCTGCATGGCGCGGATTGGGGTGCTGGGCACCAAGTTTGCGGCGGCGGCGGCGGCGGCCATGGCCTCCTTGCGCAGGCGGCGCTCGAGGCGCTCCTCGACCCACCACTCGCGGAAGACGCCCTGGTTGAGGTGCAGCCAGTGCTGCTGCGGGCCGACCACCATGCCCGGGCGCATGAAGCGCATGAAGGCGATGATCTCGTTGGCCGTGAAGCCGTGGCGATAGATGAGGTAGGCCCCGATCAGGCAGCCCGTGCGCCCTAGCCCGGCCTTGCAGTGCACCGCGATGCCCTTCTTCTTGACCGTGATGGTCTCGTGCGCCAGCCGGATGAACTTGCGCACCGTCGACAGCGGCGGGCATGTGCCATCATCAAAGATCATGTCGAGGTGCTGGATGCCCAGGGCCTCGAAGAAGGACGGGTTGTACAGCACCGAGTTGAGGCGCACGACGAGCCCGATGTTGCGCTCCGAGAAGTGGCGGAGCACGTTCTTGAAGGGCTGCGGCAGCGTGGGGTGCACGTCGACGGCGGCCAGCGTCTTGGGCAGCGCGGCCCACCCCTCCGAACCCTCGGGCGTGCGCGCCACGGGCGTGTGCTGGGGTGAGGCGAAGGCGAGGAAGTTGGGCGTGATCCAGTTGAAGTCGCCGTGCTCGACGCGCTCGAAGCGCTCGTACTCTTCGAGATCAAACGTCTCGAGCACGCAGCAGCCCTCCTCCTTGGCCTTCCACACGCCGTACACGACGTCCTGCACCATGATGCCGTAGTCGGCCTGGCTGTACCCGGCGTCTCTGAACGGCATCAGCGGCGGGTCGACCTGGGCCACGGGGGCCAGCGCCAGGTGCGGCGGCCACGACTGGATGAGCACCATGTAGCACGCGAGGAGGCAGGACGCATTGGCGCGGCCTGGTATCGTGTTAGTTATGTCCAAGTGTCGACAAAGAAAAGGGGGAGGGTCAAAGCATACTGCGCGGGTCCGCCCGGCTCCAAAAGACGACGGGCCGCTCCTTATTCTCCCGCGCGCCTAGGATCTCGTGGAATTGCAGCGCGAAGCGGTACAGGTGGCCAATGTGCAGCGGGCCAAAGTCGTGGTGGAAGGCGTTGTACAGGAGCGTATCGTCGACGGTGAAGTAGAAGGGCCTCTTGTGGGCGGCTGTGCTCTGCTGCGCCGGCGAGGGCCCGTCGACGGCCCGCTGCTGCGAACGCTTGCTGGGCGACCGCGGCGGCGGGTCGGGGTAGGGGAAGAGCGTGTTCTCGTCGGGCGCGTCGACATATGATGCAAGATATAGCCGGTCTGCCAGCATCTATGTCAGCACTATTCATGGATATCATGTTCATGTCAGGGGACGACAACATACCTGGAATGTACTCGATAATCTGGCCGAGATTGCCGGCGTGTCGAGACGAGGGAGCCATGCCGTCGGTGTGGCTGGCTGTCCGTCTCCGTCTCTGTGTCTATTTCTCCGTCTATCTCAACCAAACTGCTGTTGTCTGTCGATGCAGTAGTAGTAAAAGTAGCGATGCTCTTATGATGCTGGCAATGGGATGCGACTGCGGCCTGTGCGATGCGCTGTGATGCGATGCGCTGCGATTGGATGGGTATGCCGGCGCGGATGCGATTGCGATGCAATGCCAGACGAATTGGCCGGTCTTGTTTGTTGTGTTTTGCTTGTCTGTCGTCTGTATCTCTTGTTTTCTCCCCTTCTCGACAGATCCCTGACCCAAAACACGGCGGCGACAACAGAGGCGAGCTAAGCCAAGAGACTCCGCAGGTAAACAACAGCGGGTATCGGACCACAAGTCGGCCAATTCCCCCCGCAAGCAGGAGAAGAAGAAGAAACTAAAATAATAAAATAAAAAAGGAAGCCGGTGATCTGTTTGCAGAGGAGCTGTTGTTGAGCACACGACAGGTTTTGTAGTTTGTTGCAGAGGCAGCGCGAGGTAAAGGTAATTAAACCCGCCTTAGCCAGGGCAGTCAGTTTCTAGCACACATGTTTTGGTGCTGTTGTTATTGCATGGGGGGTCTGTTGCGCATAAAAATGTGCCCTGCAAAAACAAGCCGCCGGCCAATCATATCCCACCAAAGCACTTGGAGGCCCGCGTCCCCATGGCAACGGGCCCTTTTCCCGGGTCTGCGAGAGCCAGTCCCTGCGCCAGGACCAGGGATTGGGCCGAACATGTGCTCCGCTCCACTGAACTGCTCTGCACTAGTGCCAGCCAGCTCTCGCTATCTTATCGGAGCCATTGCCCCGCCAAACCTGCGCCGAAGTGGAACATCATTCATTTTTCGGCAGCACAGCAGCAGCGCCGTCGTCGCCTGTGGCAATCCCCTTGATAACCCTTGGCAAAGAAAAGCATCGTCATCGAGGCTCCCAAACAAAGAAAAAAAAAACGTATTTGTTGTGATTCAGCCAGAATCAGATAGGAGCCGTTCCACCCCATCCCTTGGTGGCGATGGCTATGGCGACGCCAGGAGAGGACCAAGACGGCTTCCCCTGCGCACTGTACGTGCAACCCCTCCAGTCCCCCCCGCATCGCATCCTTTTACACAACTACCCGCGGACATGCCACCCCCTAACAAGCATTATTTCCTCGTATACAGAACCATCAACGTGCCGTTCCCGTCAGCGCGTCTCGCGTCCGTCGCGCACCGCGCGCTAAGCGTCGACAAGGAGCTCTCGGCGCTGGTGCAGCGGCGGCTCTCAACCACTACTCCTCCAACCCCGACAACACCAGAAGAGAAGGACGAGACGGTGCTGCGTGTCGAGTACAAGGCAACGACAAACCGCATGCTGCGCGTGGCTGTCAACTCGTTCATGGAGAGCCTGGCCCTGGTGCTCGAGGTCATGGAGGAGCTCGACGTCGACGTGCTTGAGCAGCAACAGCAGCAGCAGCAGCAGCAAGATAGAACTTGATAGAGACAAACAAAAGAATATATAACAAAAGTTCATATACTACATAGAGCTTTAGTTATAGCAGTAGCTGGAGCTACATGTCTACCTAGCTGGCCGGCTGTAGCTCGCTGCGGCAGGACATGCTCGCGAACGGGCGGGCGGCGCTATGTGTAATGAATGACATGGCATTGGGAGCAAACGCCCTCCGCGACCAGCACACGGAACTAGAAGTCACCTGGGTCAAGACAGACAGACAGACAGACAGGTAGGGATGGCCAACATGTCGCGGGTCGCCAGAGATTCACTCTCCAGTTGGTCCGGATTATTATTCGGGAGACATGCAGAGAAAGCGTCCAGGGTCAAATGTCTCTCCTAGCCAGATAGCTAGCAACGGCGCCTGTATTCATGATTGCTGGGGGTGTCCCTCGAGGGTCCCCAGACTCTTTGGGTATCTCAACCGCTGCGAGGACATCCATCTAGCTTCTTTTAAGTATGTATCGCAGACAAACTGCTGCTGCGACTGCCTCCTTATATCAGACCATTCCGCTATTTTGACGCCCGTGGCAGTGAGACACCGCCAACGAACCCAGCTTGCAGGGACCTGTGCGCATTTGAGTGTGTATGCTTCAAGAAACTGCCTGGCTCCTCACAGCCGCTCCTCTTTGACATGCAGCACAGGCGACTGCGCATCAACTTCGATCTGGCGCTGCAGTTCCAGGTCGGCGGCCGCAGCCGCATCGTCGTCCCCGCCGCCATCATCCTCCATCATCCCCGCGACATCGTCATCACTGCCGCGGCCGCCCTTGGGCGAGTGGCTGTAGACGTTGACGGTGCCGTCTTGGCCGGCGCTCACCATGGTGGTGCCGCCGGCGCGGCTGGTAACATCAACCCAGAAGCAGACGCCCTTGTGGGCGCCGGCGATGCGCTGCACCACCTCCTTAGAGCCGACGTCCCACAGCACAATGTCGCCGTCCTCGCTAGCCGACGCGACAAACGCGCGCGTCCTCGTCCTCCGCGCTTGCGTCATCCCCGACTCCTCGGACTGCTCTGCAACCTCGCCAAAGCACCCGCCGACGGCAAACCCCTTATTGCGGTGACCCTGGTACGTCTTCTTGACGGACCCCGATACGTAGTCCCACAGACGGATGCTGCTGTCGAGGCTAAAGGCCAGCACGAAGCGGCCGTTGGGCGCGAAGCACACGCTCGTTACGGCCGGGTTGTCTTCGTGCACCAGCGTGCGCAGGCACTGGCCCGTCGACGTGTCCCATATGCGGCTGCAGAGGGGGAAAGTGTTAGTGATAGGCCATAGGGAGGAAAGGGGGGGTTGGAAGAAGAAAAAAAGTAAAGGAAAAAAAGGGGAAAAAGACTTACATTAGACCGTCGGTAGAACAGCTGACCACCAGCGTGCCGTCTCGACAAAAGTCGATGCCGCTGACAGGGTCGCTGTGCGCGGGCAGGCTGCGCATCAAGCGGCCGGCACGCACGTCCCACAAGAAGACGGCCTCGTCGTAGCTGCCGCTGGCGAGCATGTTGCCCTTGGGCGAGAAGGCGAGCGAGATGACGTAGTTGTGGTGGCCGAGCAGGGAGCCCCTGCCAGAGCGGCCGCCGCGGTGGGTGCCGGTGCCCGGTGCTGCGGTGGCCGAGGCAGCGGCGGACCAGGCGGCGCCCGTCTTGACGGCGGCGGCGTGGTGGGTCATGACGCGGGGGATGCGGCCGCTGCCCGCGCCGCCAGCGCCTGCACCGCACGCGTGGGCAGGGTTCGCCGTCACGCGGTCCCACAGGCGGATGGCCTTGTCGTCGGACCCCGTCGCCAGGGTGTCGCTGTCGGGCGCCCAGGCCAGGCACGACACGCCAGCCATGTGGCCCACGATGGTGTCGAGGTGGGCGCCCGTGGCGGCATCCCACATCTTGACGGTGCCGTCGGCCGACGCCGAGGCGATCCACCGGCCGTCGGGCGAGATGCGCACCTGGCTGACGGCAGCCGTGTGCCCGCGCAGGGTCAGCCGCCGACGGTAGCGGGGCCGGAGCGGCTGCAGCTTGTGTGATGGTAGCAGCGGGGGCGGCTGCGAGGCCGAGGGGGAGAGACGCCGCGCGTGTGGGTCTTGCGAGTCGAAGCTGCGGCGCGAGGATGATGAGGAGGAGCGGCGGCGCGATCTGGAGGTGGAGTGGGAGGGTGAGCGCGAGCGAGAAGGGGAGCGTGACCGCGATGGCGACTGCGAGTATGAGCGGCTCCTAGAGGGCGAGCGCGATGGGGAGCGAGACCTCGACCGCGAGCCGCGCGAACTCGAAGGGGTCCTTGTAGGGTATCGCCCATCGTCGTCGCCGTCGCCGTCGCCGTCGACAGGCGGGCTCCTGGCGGGGCGGCCCCGGCGAATTGAGATGCCCTTGGGGGTAGGCTGCTGGCCGAGGGCGGCGGGGGAGGGCGAGGCCGAAGCTGAGGAGGGATTACGGGGAGCGGGGAGGGAGGCAGGGTGCGGCCTCGAGTCGGTGATGCCATCGTTGACTCTGCGTCGCTTCGTCGGCGGCTCCATGAGACGCGCGTCGCCTGCAGAGGGGCCGGCCATGATAGATGCGATGCGCTGGTGATAAATGGAATCGTAAGAGTTGCGTGCCGGAAGAGCTCGATTTAAGATGCCTCGAGATTCGAGATTGGACGGCGCGCGTGGCTGAAATGGACGGGAGCGTTGCCGCGCCGTGTTGCCGCGCCGTGTTGAAATTGACGATCCACGGCCTGCGTCCCACAGCGCGTGGTCAGGGGACCGGTGCGCTACTACAGTACGTACACTAAAAGAATAGGGCCAGATTTTGGTTGGATGATGCGATTGCCGATTGGCCAATGCAGATGCGATGGCTCGTTGCTCACTCAGCCGCCCCAGGCCGGCGCAGGTTAGCGGCGCAAATCCCCCACCTCAGCTCAGGACGGCAGGGGCAGCCGGGGATAGCAGCACCTAGCTTGGTTGATTCTTCAGTTGGCAGCCCGAATCCGCATCGCGTAGGCTAGATGCGTATACGGAGTATTTAGGGTACCTTCCTTACGGAGTATCTGAGCGTACGTACCTTAACCTGTTAGGCCAACCCAAGGTTGGTAATTTATCTTTTCTGAGCCGACTTTGTCCGCTTTGACGTGTGCAGTCATTTCATTCATCGCCAGCAATGAGATCGGAAATAAGTGATTAGCCACTGCTTTTGTCCCAATCAACTCAACTCAAATCAGTTCAAATCTCATCCAGATTGAAGAAATCGGGGAAAAAGGAATTGGGAGGATACACAAGAACAACGAATGGCCGATTGAAACAATATACGCCACCCAACCGGTGCGGATACTGCGTATCTTTGATCGACGGCTGCTTGCTTGGCCGCAGGGCGACAGCAGCTCCCTGCAACTCTTTGCATGTCCATGTTTCGTGTGTCGGGAGATCGGCCCCTTTCTCGAGACTCTTCTCGACTTGATCTTCTGTCTCCTCATATAGCGCAGCTTGTTCCACATAACTGCGCGCTCGTCTCGTCGCCACAACCGCGACAGAAACGACAGAAGCAGAGACTAAGTTGGGTCTAAGATAGACAGTGTCTAAGGCGTGCACAGAGAGACACCGCCACCATGGACGACGTACCGTCCGAGATCTCGGTCCTCACGCTCAACTGCTGGGGCCTCAAGTATATCTCCGAGCTGCGCCGAGAGCGGCTGGCCGAGATTGGCCGCCAGATCGCCGTGGCCGACCCCGAGCCGCACATTGTCGCACTACAAGAACTGTGGACGCAGGAAGACTACCGCTCCGTCCGCCGCCAGACGCGCCACAAGCTGCCCTATGCCAAGTTCTACTTCAGCGGCCCCTTTGGCGGCGGCCTGGCCATCCTGTCGCGCTGGCCCATCGAGGAGAGCACCATGTTCCGCTACCCCCTCAACGGCCGCCCCACCGCCTTCTTCCGCGGCGACTGGTTCGTCGGCAAGGGCGTTGCCCACGCCCGTATCCGCTACGGCCCTGCCCCCAAGCACGTCGTCGACGTCTTCAACACCCACACCCACGCCCCCTACGAGCACGGCCCCAACGATTCGTACCTGGCTCACCGGCTCGCCCAGGCCTGGGAGATGTCCAAGTTGCTGCGTGCCGCTTCCGAGCGCGGCAGTCTGGTACTCGCCCTCGGCGACTTCAACATGGTGCCGCTCTCGCTCGAGCACCGCCTGATCACCGCCCATGCACCCGTCCGCGACACGTGGCGCATCCTGCACCCGGACTCGTCCGTCGGGCCCGCCGACCACCCCCCGGAGCGGGCCCGCCGGCGCCCCATCCCCACGGCCGAGTTCAATATCCGCGAGAACGGCGCCGCCTCGGACGGTCCCTACAACACGTGGCGCTGGCCAAAAGCCCAGCAAAAGCGTCTGGGCGTCGGGAAGCCCGACCTCCCCGTGTCCCCCGACACCATCGACAGCCGCGGCAAGCGCCTCGACTACGTCTTTGCCGGGTGCGGCGACGTGGCCGCGCTCGGCGGCGGCTGGGTGGTGAGCCGCGTGAGCGTCGGCATGATGATGCGCCACCCCGAGCTCGGCTGCTCGCTCAGCGACCACTTTGCCGTCGAGGCGACGCTGGTCTTTCACCCCCTGGACCCTGCCAACGCCCCGCAACCGCACCACTACAACCACGCGGCAGACAAGTCGGCAGCGATGGGCCTCACAGCAACAACAACAACAACAACAAACACGACGGCAACGGCCAACACCCCATCTACCCCCAACCCCCGACAGCAGCCCCTACACCAAGAAAAGCAGCAACACCCAGACGACGGGTCCACGATCCTCGACGACAAGCAAGACGACGCGCTGCACAACGGGACGTACCTGCAGTCGCCGCGGACGAGCTCGGTGCGGGGCCCGCACAGCTTCGACAGCCAGCTGCTGGCGGCGGTGCGGTCGCCGGTCGAGCCGCTACCAGCATCAGCATACGACGAGGTGCTGGCGGCGACGCGGTGGTACGCGGCGCGCGAGCGGGCGCAGAAGCGGTGGCGCGGCGCGCACTTCTTCGCGGCGGTGGCGGCGGCCGTCGGCGCGTGGGTCGCCGTGTGGTTTAGCCCGCACAACTGGGTGTCGTTCCTGCTGATGCTGCTCCTCGGCAGTCTCGGTCTTGTTGCTGGCACCGTCGACGGCCTTCTGGCCCTGCTCTTCTTCAAGAGCGAGCTGCGCGCCCTCCGCGAGTTCGAGTGGGAGATAGTCAACGCCAAGGCCGCACTTGCTGCCGCCGGCGGGGGCCCGCCCGTGCCAGTGTCTGATGATGATGGCCATGACGACGAAGGCGACAACAGGGGGTGGTGAGGTGGCACTGATTCTCGTTTCAATTACTGCATCTATATACGCGAACAGCACGTGAACAGCACGCGAACAGCACATGAGTCTTTTCTGGGTTTTGGTATGTATGGCATGTCATGTCATCCATGTATTGTACGAATACCCACAAAGTGTTTCTCGAACTTGCAAGGAGAAGGAGAAGGAAAATAAGACGTACCGTATTTGGGACGGCTATCTCCCCCTCGTTTCGCTCCTTTCGCCTCTCGCAACATACCTACATTACATACCACAACCAAAAACAAAGACAAAGGGAAGCGAAAAAAGAAGTACATACAACACCAGGGATTCGCTGGTGGTCACCCACCCAACTACTAGTCTGGCGATTAGAAGCTTATCATACGAAGTAGAGGGGGTCAGAAACTAGGGGTTCTCGGGATCCAAAAACGGGACCCTCTTTCCCTCTTGTTAGTATCTCGGTTTTTAAAAGTCGTACTTACAAACGGAGGAGAATCCCTACTTCTTCTTAGTATTAGTAGCGAGTACGCTACGTATACCCTATTTAGTTATACGCCTATTTGCCGATTCACACGCTATATTTGCCAAGAGCCTTGAACATGGAGAGTCCCGCCAACGTTCGCCGGAGCACAGTATCCACAACGCGAGGATTATTTACTTCGCAGGTCTCAGCCATATAAGCTCCTCCGCCGATAATTAAGCTATAATTTCCGTTACTTTCTATTAGGATGTCTCTTTAGCAGGATAAGGAACCGAGATTCAGAGTAGTCGGCCACGCGGCTGTGTCCGGCGCGAAGGGAGAGGCATGGCGAACCTAATGTGACGCCCCTCGGGGACATAGGGTTGGGAGTGGGCAGCCCAGGTGGTCAATGCCACGTTGTTTCTGTCAGAGACTCTGCACCCTAGTTGTGATCAAAGCGAAAGGCGGCGTGATTTGTGCTAGCCAGGCTGCCACAGGAGGCCACCCTGCTGGAAGCATGGCATTCACCTGTCCACCCAGTTGCTTTGGGCGTACCACGGGGGGTGATAGGGGGAAAGGGGGGAGAAATCGGTAAGCAGTCATCACTTGTTTTTCCAGTCGGAAAAAATGGCCATCCGAGCCCGGCCGGTGTGGTCAAGGTCTAGGATGCCTAGAGTTTTCCAGAGTATATAATACCCTCTCGCTCTTAGTCCCCTTCCTTTCCCTTCCTTATCCTTTAATCTTCGCCCTTGCCTTACCAATTGACCAATCCTCTTCACCATCCCGGCCTTAACCGGCCAGTTGCTGTTTCTTTTCGGACATGATCATCACCTATGTGCAACCATACGGCAATCTCTACTTACAAAGCATCGCGAGGATGTTTAATGCTACTTCCAGGGTTGCCCTGAAATGTGGACTTCAATGTCCCGCCGCTTTCTGAGGCAACCAGACATTCCTAGGACTTGGGGGGCCTGATGCCGTTGAGCAAGACAGCCAGACAAGCAAGACCGAGCAGCATGCCGTCACCCCAGACACTTCATTTACAGGGCCGGGGGTAGCAGGGTAGCAAAGAGGAGGAAGGTCCCATTGCCCGCAAAGTGATTCCGGACAGGTAACGGGTGGTTTAGCGTATTTGGCGACTCGGATTATAAATCACAGTGTGGTAAAATGAGTAGTAGATGTGGTTTGGATTACGAAATATCACGTTATGATATTTGAACTGCGAAAAGCTCAAGAATATTTTGCACAATTTCACTTGTCCAAACACGGTGAGGTGGCAAGAGTAGCAGGCACAGGACTGGCAATTACGGAGCGATGGTGTGATTAGCCACTCAGAAGGAGCCCATCAAGTTAAAAGCGGCACGCAGAAAGAACTCCCTTCTGCGGACCAGCCAATGTGTGACGGCACGGCAACCGTCAGGGCTATATAGAAATAACACGGCTAGAATGATAGGGACCGCTGACTTGTTATTCTGGCACGCCTTTTGGTAGTAGGACTGTGTTCATTGTGTCTGCCATCATATAATGTATGTACTTAATGATTGTTGCATTCTAGCCTGTTGGGTTATGCGGTCCTTTATATCATGGATGACGATGACGGTTTTGGCCCAAAGACCGAGCTTCGCGCTCAATGTAAAAACAGGATCAGTGGATCGTCATTTCGTTATAAGTAAATATGTAGAAGATAGTAGAATTCCTAAATAAGTATATGTTTACATGTCCTCTCGGGCCCTTTTGGTGGCACGCTGTGACTAGAAAATATAGGAAAAAAGAGAGGAGAAGAGTATAGAAGTGAATATGGAAACGAATATACTAAAATTGCTGGCGTCGCTTCGTTCGTCAGTCGCGTGGCCCTTCGCTACGCTACGGGACGCTTCCTTCCTCTCTCTCGCTCCTGGCAAATTAGGGCGCGATAGTTGGCTTATTTGGATAACGTAGAGAGCAAGCGAAGCGACAATATCCTATCCGGAGGCCAATAACTCCGATGCTCTAGAGATCTTTTCTTACAACGATAGCTAAACCTATACAACTAAATCTTACATCTATATAACAGAGCTATCAGTTATATACCCGCTCATATCGCTCGAGTCGACCTTCTCTTCCTGTGGATCTAATAGCTGTGACTTCCTTGCCTCGTAATCTGCTATCTTCAATTGTATGCTCTATACCGGCACTTCGCGGTATATCCTGCTCCGATTAAACGGCGACTCAAACATTAGGCCGTCTAAGGTCTTGACCCTAGAAACTGCCACGTACGATAGGCCGGACGCGAACTCTAGAGCTGAGATATCATAAACCACCTTGTCGAGAGTGACGCCCTATGACTTGTATATTGTGATTATGTAGCAAACAAGCAGTGGAAACTGCTCCCGGTAGCCAGTGCCAGCCCCAAGAACAAACTCCTGCCGAACCCTAAGGATAGGAACCACCAGCTTAGCCTTATCACGAAGCTCTTCTCCGCTAGGTAACAGGAACGGCGGCCCAGTATAGTTATCAGACGTAACCATAATAACCTACGGTGAGTCTTCCAGCACGTTAGCGCCTTCAGCCCACGATATGTCGTATATAGTACCCTGGGTACCGTTCACAAGCCGAACAATGGCTGGGATTTTCACACTCCATTTTTGCAGGCAGGTGTTGGCGTTCACCACTCTTTGTACTATAGTCCCCTATTATACAACTCCTCTCAATCTTCTTCAGTACCGTCGTCTTGCAACTGAAGAGGAAGTATGGAGTTGCTCTATTCCGTTCCGCCATTCGTCATTAGCACTGCCACAGCTTTCTTTTGGACGGCTGACCCCGCCAAACAGGCCAGCCTCTCCTGTGCCCTCCAGCTCCGCCCTGCAATAACCGCCCGAAATGCACCGGTCGACTTCACATTGTTTTACTGTTACTGCCTCTTCTTCTCGACAGGGCAGCCGTGACGCTGTTCAAGGTCGTGTCTATGCCCTGACGGAAAAATTGCGACACTTAGGTGCAATCTTGGCGGATTGACCCGAGAGCTCGCGAATGATGCCCATTAAGAGCGTCGTCTTCCCTGTTCTCCATGAGCGGCTTGGATTGGACGTAGGTTGTGTGGGCGCTAAGGATCTGCATCATGCAACGAGCACTCTGCCCGTACTTGGCCGTGTCACCAGACGTGATGATGTTGGCACCTCCCACAATAAAATTCAACACGTTCAGCAAACTAGAAATTTTGTATTCCTACAATTGGCGCCCACCCATGCCCTAGAAACCACTGATAGTTGCCCAGCCCGAGTCTCGATTTGCTGGAAAGGAGGCCTCAATGGTCCTTGTCCACGAGCCAGCCTGGATGTCGAATTGTACCGGCGCAGAAAGTGTGAAAGGGTCGAAAGACCGTCCTTGGGTATTAGTGAAGATGATGTCCCGGGTATAAGGCTTATCTAGTTCGGTCCCGAACATAGGCGTCCGACATTCGCGTAATCTAAACATCGCGGCGCATACTAGGGATTGTGCCCCGCGTGAAGGAGGGAGGCGGCAGTAGATGACACCAGTCAGCCGTTTCGTGTACTCGCTGGTCTTACCTAGGGCACCTGCGTCCGAGAAATAGAAGAGCGCCGCAAGAAGCTGCCTGGCGACTGCGCGAAGATGAGAGTAGGCGCTGCCGTAGCTAGTGTTGAAGTACTTCTGCCCAGTTTCGCTGTTTTTGGCCAGGTAGCCGGTACTGAGATTCTCGAGCTCTTCCATCTTGTCGACTTCGTCGAGGCGCGGGAGTTTCTGGTCGAAAATACCGATGTCGAGGCGATGAAATCTCCCCGCAAGCTGCGGGTTGGATCTGACAGCGTCTTCCCACTCTCTTTCGCAGTCTAGCGTACTTTCAACCATGTCGATTCCGGTGTCAACCAGCTTTCTGACTCTTGCAGGTAGAATTTTTTTCCACCCCCCTCCACTACGCTCGTTTCGTCTTATCGAACCAGAATCCTCGACACAGATGCCGCTTCCTATCGATACAACAATATCTGGGCGGATCTCGGAGCTCCATATCCGTTTCTCCTCTTCCAGAGCAACCGTGACAGGGTTGTTTCTGACGATGGCGCCGTCCTCGTACACCTTCTTTGTTGGCTCGTGCCTGTATGGCTCAAAGTATGTTTGCGCCGCCGAAGTCGCTCGAGCTCTTAAAAGTGGAAACAGAGTCAGCAAGGTACTTGACACCGGAAAAGTAGGGACATACGCCTGCCAAATTTTGAAGTCTCTCCTCTGTTGGTCCTCCCGTTCTAGGTAGTCGGCTGTAATACAAAATATTAGCCTCTCAACCAGGTGGTTCATGAACTCGAGCGTGCTCGTACCATTCCTGCTCCCTTGCATCGGATTCCGATTGTAGTTCGCTATTAAGCACGGCTGACCGCGTCCTTTCGTACATGACACAACCCCTACCTTTACATCACCTCCCCTATTATTGGATGATTCTCTGCGTTGGCCAAACAGGTAGGTGTCATTGCTGAAGGCCGACTTGAGTGCGCCCTCGATCCCGCTACTGTGGTATAGATATGTGCAAAAGTACTCCGCAACATGCTTGATGACAGGGATCCGGAGTCGGAGCTTCTTGGTAAACGCCTGCTGGGCGAGCTCGCGAAATTTGCGGCTCGCTTCTGCTGGGTTCCACCCCATCTCGAAGACCCCGAGGGCTATGATCCCGCCTAGCTAATGTCAGTTTGAATGCATATATATTCTTTGATAAAACCTACCCGTGCTTGTGCCGATGACTAGATCAAAGAGCTGTTGAATAGGGATATCAAACCGAATCTCACCCATGAGCCGTGAAAGTATTGCGAGCTCAACAACTCCACGAATACCGCCACTGGATTGATTCAGTCAGTATCAAAATGTTGGTAGACATGATGGAGTTGAGGAGACTTACCCATCCAGTACAAGAATCCTGGACTGGGCTTCCTTCGGCTTTACCCTGACCCTCCAAGGAGGCTCCCGAAACTGGCAACCCAACGGGCAGCTGTCAATCGTCATAACGCACCCTACCGACAGGGATGGAGCCGTATGCCAGCGTATGCAATCCTCGCATATAGCATGCTGCCGTTGAATGCATGGAAGGACGTTTGTGGGACAGTTCGAGAGACAGGCGAGACAAGTTCTCTGGCTTTCGAGGCGGCTTAGACCCGATTGCGTGGCGAAGGAAACCAACCGCCTCCGAACGTCCTGTCGGGGTCGTCCATAATGTCGAATCGCCTGCCAAAGTAAATCGCGGAACTCCCCAACAGAAGACCCGTAGGAACATTCATGTTGACCGACCATCAAATCTACCTCTGGCGCGCGAGGCTCGCCGTTCGCAACCGTGACTCTTGACGCCGACTCTCTGGCGACTTCAAATTGATGTCCTTTATCGTGACTCTCCCAGTAGTTCTGACAACGGGATCCGCCTGACATGGCTTCACACCTCCAGAATTTGTTCCGGAACCGTTCAAGGCCGCGACATGCCTCGTCAACAAGCTCTTCTTGTAAGTTGGACACATCTTGGGATTCTCGTTAGATAACTGGTTGGTTGACATTAGATATAATTACTCACCTTCTTGTAGTTGTCTTGAGATCTGACATAGAATACAGCATGCCAGAAAAGGGACCATATCCTTGATCATCTGAAATTCGCCGCGGCCAGAGACAGAAACTCTTGATTTGTCTAAATTCGCCATCTTCCCGAGAACAAGCGCCATGTGCTCACCAAATCTCGTGGGGAGCGGGCTGTCATTCTCGGACAAGGGATGGAAGTCGAGGGAGCTGGTGTGGTCGCGTGCTAGAACTTCGACCGATCTTTCAAAGTACAAGTTGAAAGTCGCAAGGTCCATGTTCAGATCATGGGCCTTTCTGCGGGCATGGATACTGTCGGATAGAGTGCGTATCTCGTGGTAGAGTCGTTTTATCTGCTTAGAGACGCGGCTGGCCGTTGAGGGCATGTCGGAATGGAGGGGCAACGAGATGACTCTGAAGTCATCATAATAGCACTGAATTAGATCCACAGCGGTGCCAATCCTCCGTTGGCGAGACCTCCATTTCTGTTGGTACTCGACGAACTTGCTGGAGCTCTCTACGCTCTCAAGGAACGTTTTAGTTGTGTCATCAACACTTGGGAGCATATCATCATAGTCTGGAGAGTTTTTGTTGACAATGATGATCAGCCCGGGCCGTACTCGTTGGTTGAAGGTGCGTTCGAGGCCATCCTTGGACCATTCAAACAGCCTCCAAAGGATATCCTGCGATGCCCTGGAGAAAGCAGCTAGTCAATTAAGGCATATTCTACGCCGGGGGGTGGAAGAAGTGATAATAGAGGCGTTTAACGTACCTTGAATTCGATGTCACGAAGCAAACAACGTCCGAGAAGGCGTACAGCAACCGTGGATAGAGGCTCTTTGTGATCAAATCGCGCGAGTCCGCTTGGACATGTCCAAGCGGCTCAGGCAAGGAAGTATCGCCTTGAGCGTCGGAGTAATCGGAGACATCATCCAAGTACCTCGTCTCGGACTCCATCTCCACGTCGCTTAGAGGCTCGGCTCTGCTAGCTGATTCTCGCGACTGCACGATACGAGCCCAGCTCAGACTCACTTCCATCGACGCCTTTTTTCTATGATCCATCACCAGGATATCCTCATCTCTTGCAGCGCGAGCAGTTCTGCGAGAAGAACGTTGGATCCCATGATAGGCACTAGCGACTCTTCGGGCCACTGGGGTGCTGGTGCCCATAAGTCCTTCACAATCTGCTGGTACGTTAGAGACTAATATCGGGCGCTGTTCTCAGTGACCATAGAACGATACTTGCCTGCAAAGAGAATCGGAACCTCGGCTGAGAGAGTCCAGGGGTCTGCGTATAAGTGAACATCACTGCTTGTTGACGTGAACTGGTCTTTCCCGGTTCCGGGGACGGGCACCTGATACCGTCTACGTTCTCGCGGTGCCAGCATGAGAATCATTGCTTTGATTATAGTGCTTTTCCCGGACCCGGTGTCTCCGACGAACGACACCAGGCTGGGGTATTGGTAATGTGGCTGATCCGGTGTATCGGTGAGCAGGTTATGCAGCCGTGGCCAGATAAGAAGCTTGGGGGGTGAGTCCTTCTGATCGTGAGGCACACCAAACCATGTCGTGCGCAAGTCATCAAGGTGAAGGGAGGTGGTTTGGCCCTGCAGGAGTTTCGAGTCAAGAAGCCAAGTCAAGTACGCATATTCTTTGAATGAAACCTCTTCGCAGTCGCCTCTTCTACTTCTTGATCCTGGCGGGGGGGGTCGATGGTCGCGTGACTTGGAAAGACAGCCCTTGTGTACTGGTCGATGTGCTCCTCCACAGCCGGCACACATCACGAGGCTAGCCGGGTGCACATCAACCTCGGCATTGCACCGACGGCAATAACGGCGAATACCGAGATCTTGAGTGATTGCTCCGATACTGGGAGAGAATTCGGTTAGCGACAGGCCATCTTTGTCCCCAATTGCCATGCTGATATTAGCACGTGTGACATACAAGTTGCTGTCAGGCTCAGGCCAATTGGCTGTAAAGTCTTCCGGCTCAGGGCTTCTGACCCTGCTGACTGGGTCACCAGTTGGACCGGGTGTTCCAACAACGGAGCGAGAAATATGAACAACTGTTGACTCGTTCTGCATTGCGCGAAAGGCGGGTCCGTATTCGTTCTCCGCAGCTTCTCTCAATCTGGCGAGGAGGTCGAAGTTGGAGTTCTGGGGGAACCCCTCAACCGAGTCGTCCGTCATGACCACCGACTGCTTTCCTGGTCCGAAATAACCTAACTTGAAAATAGCGCGATGTGGGAGTTTTGTTCAGACACTCTCAGGGCCGGAGGGTCAATCAGCCTATTTAAATCAGGGACCTCCCCTCCTGCAAGCTACCTCGCGTTGCTGCGCTCAACACCGAAGTGTCGAACGCCAAGGTAGCCTGCTTCTGGCCATCGCTTTCTGGATGGCTACGCCCCACCGGTCACTCTGGCTGCATGTGGCGCGGCGCTTCACCGCCGTCTAGAGCTTAGATCTTTTTTCCCAGCATTGCATGTTGGCGCCCGTGAAAGTGCAGAATGTGCTGTTGTATGGTGGGTAGGCTGTGTCTCTCTTGCTGACCACACCCACTTCTTGCCCGTCTACTGATTTGGAGGCTGGAAGAACCGAAGAGGGTGCGCGAGGCAAAAAGTGTGTCGCACAGCATGAGCTGTGGCATTCCCTCCTCCGTCGAGCGGGGGTTCTGAAGGTCTCGGCAGTGTCTTGATTGAAGAAAGTGCTTGGTCATGATTTCCTCAAACCGAAGGACTAAATCCTGGAGGTTGAGGCTGTGAAAGTCAAGCTATCGAAAGGCTGCTAGCGCTCAACATGGCGTTGGCTGCGTTGCAAAGAGCCTCCCCAATGATAACCCCACGACATGGTGCTTAGAGGTCCGCAGTCCAGAACCCCCGCCCGTCTCAACTCACTCGCTAATCGTGGCGCACTACACACGATTTTGCCTTGTTGGGCCTTCTTTGACCCATGCAGCCTGATCATCCTAGGCAGGGACAACATAGGGAAGTTTGTTCGGCACTCCACCAGGCCAGGCGCGTGCAATCATCTTCATGGTCTTGCTGTAGAAGATCCCGTATGCCTCTGGCGTAAGATGGAGCTCTATTGCAAGATAGGGTCAGCTCAAAACCTTCACAGCGTTCAGCTGACCACCTTCTGCACGCCCGTCGATGCAACAAAGCCTGACCGCGAAGAGACACCCGAAATGTTTGCAGGCAGTGGATCGGGGGCTCGCGTCAAGCCAGCGGGGGCTGGCACGTAGATCTGCTTCGTAAGGTATGGCGGCGGGCATAAGTCGGGCTGGTGCTGAAGTGCAGCTGTGGTCGGGTAGCACTCTGCCAATACCGCGCGGGCTGCCCATCGTCTACATCAAGCAGCCCAAACCTGCTCGAGTACGGCGAAACGTCAAACAGCTGCACCATCCTGCTGCAAGAGGCAGAGGTGCATGAGGTGCTGCGGCAGCATCCGCACCCAAATATTGCGCGGTATCACGGCACGGCTGTGTCGTAGAGAACGGCAGGTTCCGTGGCATTTATTTGCCTATGCGGTATCCTACGCTACGGTACTTGAGTAATTAGCGCGTCAAGCGATAAGCTAAACCCGGGGATAAGCGCGAGCCGGCCTTGTCAGAGATGGAGAAGCGATAACTGGTGCAGGGCATCCGGGATGGTGTCGCGCACCTTCACTACCTCGGGCTAGTGCATAACAGCTTGAAACCCCTCCCCCACGTTTTGCTACAAGGCAGCGCCGCTATTATCATCGACTTGTAAAAGTCTCTCGTCAAGTGCACGAAAGACAATAAAATATATAATGTTCGTCTACTCAAGGAGGCTCTACCCAAGGAAGGATCCCCACAGTTGGATTTATCACAAAGTGAAATGGCTTGTAGGTACCCATCACCACGCCCACATTAAAGGTGAAATAAAATATATTCCATCTCCTCTTCTCTCTACTGTCTCCATTCTCACCACATGTCTCTGCCAAACCTCCGCTTCTCTTCTCCGTCCTTTGCTTTTGACAAGTACAAAAGACCAAGCGCAGGACCAGTGAGAGAAAGAAAAGACGGAAAAGAAAAATCAATAGTGCCAATATTCTGTATTCATGTTTCTCTCCCCTTCTCCCCCTTGCGTGTCCTATTTCTCTCTATAACAATGTTTGCTATCCATTCACTCATTCAGTCCGTCTCTCTATACCTTGGCAACTCTCCAGCCGAACCGCCCCTCCTCAGCTATTTCACTGTCTCGCCCTCTCTCATTTCTCTCCCTTGAATTCCTCGGCGATACACCAAAACACAACACCAACAGCGCAACACGCACAGAACCAAACAACAGCAAAAAGACACACAAGGTAGGCTCACACACAAAACACGGACAACACAACCCAGCACCCCCTCAACGCAAGCTCATCCCTCCTCTGTATGTATCCGGCAGCGAAAGCCCATCGCCCAGCCAGCCGTGGTATCCTGCATACACGGCTCCTCCTCCACCACCAATACCACCCGTCGGCACTCCAGTCAAGCCGAGACCGTGTCCGTGTCCGTGTCCGTGGGCCATGCCGCCGTCGGCGCCGCACGGGTCCTGGTCCTGGTACTCGTACGGATGGCAGTGGTTGTAGTCGTGGCCGGGATAGCCGCCCTCCTCATTGACGTCAACCTCGACATCGACCGCGACGCCAGGCGCGCCGCCGTGCCCGAGGCAGTCCTCATCAAACTCGGCACGCAAGTGCTCCAGCAGCATCGCCTCCTGCTGCTGCTGCTCCTGATAACCACCGCCGCGCGGGCCGCCGCGCATGCGCCGCCACGTGTAGCCCATAAAGGCCGTCTTCTTGCGCACATCCATGACGACGCGGCGCGTGGCGCCGTCGCGCAGCAGCCTGTCGCGCGGTCGCTTGCGCTCGTGCCGGCCAAACTGCCGCACAAACTGCCGCAGCACCGCCCGCTCCTCGGCCGTCGCCGTCATGCCGCCGCCCGTGGCAGTTCCGACCGCTATGCCGTCAATCTGCGCGTCCAGCGCCCGCAGCCGCGTCGCGTCGTACGGCGCCGCGATGGCCGCCAGCGCCCATTTCTGTGCACTGCGGCTGAGCCCCGCCAGCACCCTCTGCTGCGCGGCCTCGGTGGCTTGCGCCTTGCTCATGGCTGCGCGCGGCGGAGGAGGCGGCGGAGGAGGAGGAGGAGGAGGCGGCGGCGGCTGGAACCTGGAACCCGGAGGTGGCAGTAGGCTGTTGCTTTGGTGGTGGCGGTAGTCATCGCGGTCGTTCTGCTGCTGCGGCTCGAGGACATTGTGCGCCGTCTGGTAGTGGGCAAGGGGCAGGAGAAACGCGTCGTGGTTATGCGTACCAGTTGCTGCCGCTGCTTGAAGAGAGCGAGTCGACGTCGGGTCGCTGGTGCTAACCCCCTCTCCCCGAACACTGCCGCCGTCGCCATCGCCGTCGCTGTCGTCGCTCTCGCTCCAGTCGCTAATGTCATCCTCCTCGTCAAAGTAGCGCGTGTCGTCGGCCCCCGACAGCCGCGGCACGTACGGCGGCTCCAGCTCGTGCAGCCGGTCCCACGGCACGCCGCGGAACCACTTGTGCGCCTTGATCTCCTCGGCGTCGTTGGCAAACACGTACCGCCCGGCTAGGTCGCGGGGGGCTTCGCCGGCGGCAACGTCCCTGCCCCTGTCCTTTTTCCGGTACCGCGGAGAGCACAGGCGGTGCTCTTTGTCCTCGATCAGCGACGCTATCAGGTGGCGGCCGGCGCGCGACACGTTGGAGCGCTGGGGGAAGCCAAACGTTTCCTTGTGGCGCAGAATGTTCTGCTTGGTGACGTGGCGGCCCTCGTCGGCCAGGAATGGCGTGTGGCCGTACAAGCACTCGTACAGGATCACGCCGACGCTCCACCAGTCGCAGCGGCCGTCGTACTTGCGGCCCTCGACCACCTCGGGCGCCATGTACTGGCTCGTGCCCACCACGCTCATGGCCGACGTGCGGTTGCCGCAGCGGTTGCGCCAGTTAAGCAGGGGCTCTGCCGTCGCCGCCGCCGCGTCCTCGTCGCGGTCGTGCTTCTCCATGCCCGCCATGACGTTGTTGGTCCAGCGCATCGTCGCCTGCAGGCTGCGGCCCTCGGCGCGGTCCTGCGCGTCGCCCTCGACCTGGATGCCCAGCTTGCGCAGTAGGCTGTACCGGTGGCTGCTGTAGTACGTCGTGTCGTGCGACCAATGCCCGTCAAACGCCAGGCCAAAGTCGCCGATCTTGAGGTGGCCCGACGCAGAGATCAGGAAGTTGTCGGGCTTGATGTCGCGGTGGATGCACTGCAGCGCGTGCGCCGCCTCGACGCACACAACCATCTCGGCCATGTAGAAGCGCGCCACCGACTCGTGCAGCGTGTTCTCGCGGATCAGCAGCCCCAGGAAGTCGCCGCCCGGCATGTACTCCATCACCAGGTACAGGTTGGCCGCGTCCTGGAAGCTGGCGATGAGCGGCACAATCCTAGCCGCCTGCGTCAGTGGCTGTCGTGTCTAGTCCCTCGAGGTCCAATGTCTTGAGGGAAAATTGAAGATGGAGAGGGGTAAAGGGGTATAGGGGGCCAACAACAACAACAACAACAACAACAAAACATACCACATCGACCCCTCCGACGCCACCAAAAAGTCCCTCTCGGCCCGGAGGTGCCCTTCCTGGCTGGTGCGCAGCATGTCCGACTTGCGGATCACCTTCATGGCATACACCTGGCGCCTCGGGTCCCCGTCGCCACTGCCGCTGCCGCTGCCGTTGTAATCTCGATCCGGCCATCTGTCAGCCAACACCGCCGTCTTCTTCTTCTCGCGCACCAGTCGCACCACGCCAAAGCTGCCCTTGCCCAGAATCTTGAGCACCTCGTAGTCGTTAACCAGGCACGCGGCCGGGGTGCCGCGCGGCGCGTGGCGGGCGCGGATGCTGCGCGCCTTCATGACGCGCGTTTCGCGCAGGTGGGCGCTCTCGCGGCGGTAGAACTGCGCCCGGAGCACCCGCTCCTGTTCGCCGAGCAGCCGCCTCTCCGTTTCTTTCCACATCGCACGCACAAAGACGTCGTTGTCGTCGTCTTCGTATTTCTCCACCTCTTCCACCACCACCACCCCAGTCTCCTGCCCCCTGTCCTCGCCGCCATATGGATTGGCATTGCTATTACCATACGGGTGGTAGTAATACGCAGTGTGGCCTTGGCCATTGTTATGGTTATTATTGTTACCACCACGAATGTAGGTGTTGCCGGGAGGAGGAGGAGGAGGAGGAGGAGGAGGAGGAGCAGCATCAAAGCGCAGGTCTGTAGTCCTCCCTTGGGTCTGGCGGCTGTTACGTATCCCCGCCTCCCACTCGCGCCTCATGCCAGCGAGCCGCGTCTCGAAATTGTCCAGCCGCAGCAACCGCGGGCTCGCCCCCGACGCCAGCAGCTCGTTGAAGTGTGTCTCGAGGAAGATCTTGGCCGCCGCTGCCCGCTCCACCGTCACCACGCTCGGACATATCTGGTCCAGCACCGTCTCCTGGATCGTCGTCAGGTTGCTGTCTGGGCTGGACCGTGCCGCCACATTGTGCCGCGTCGTTGCCCCCTTTTTCGGGCTCGACGCGGCGCTGGCGGCGCTGTTGTTGCCATGGGGGCTGAGGGGTGCTACCGCCCTTTTCTTGTTCCTGGTGTCTGTCGTCTTGACGACGAGATTGCCGACTTGTCTGGCACGCGGAGATGGGGGGTAGTAGGCGTGGCCGTGTTTCTTCTCCGATGAGCCGGCGTTTATGTTATTGCTGTTGCTATGGCCGGTGCTGTTGCTATTGCTGTTGCTATTGCTATTGCTGTTGCTGTTGCTGTTACTGCTGATGCTAACCTTGGGGATCCTGCTCGACGACGACCTCTTGAACAGCTTGTGCGAGTCTACCGACGTCTTGCCCGTCGACTCGTTGGGCGTCTTGCTGGGGTTGCTGGGGTGGTGCGCATGGCTGTTGCCGTTGCTGGCCTTGCTGGACTCGGTATTGGAGCCCGTCGTGTGGAAGAGTCCGACATTCTCCGGGGGCGAGGGAGGCGGCGTCAGCGCCCCCGTCGCCTCGTCGATTGGGTGGAATGTCTGGTGCAGCGGCGGGCGAGTCTTGGGAACTGACCGGTGGATGACTGTAGGGTCCAACGACCCCCGGAACAGGGCGCTCGACATCCTGGTTAAGCCGTGGGACAGGACAGATCTGGTCTTGTGAGCCACGAGCAATGATAGCCCGCGATGTTGATCGACGCTGGACCTCTCAGTTGCTGGACGCCAAGACGGTGAGTATCAGCATCTCCAACAGAGAGCAGTAACAGCATCAATTGTCACAAGAACTGACGGCACTCACTGCTCCTTGTCAGCGACTTGATGGCCGAGAGTAGTTTGGATCCCTGGCGGCGGATCTTGGACGGGCGCGACGAGCTGCCTCCGAGGCCAAGAGACCAAGTTCTCAGGCTGGCGTCAGGCCTGGCGTTGCTTCCCTGAAGGACGGCACCCGTGTGACTTGGCTCCTGGGAATGTCTTCTCTTCATTTCGCTCCGCGGCCCTGTCCATTGATGCCAGCCCGGTATTATTTATGATATAATACCGCCGTGCTGTGGCCGCCTAAGACTAGCGAAAGACTGGAGAAGAAAACCCGAATAAGTGAGGCGGCTGTCAGAGCAGCACGGAGAGAGAGGTCTGGGGACGCAGCACGCCGTGTCTGGTTTTGCTACCGCTAGTAGTAGAACGATTTCTGGCTTTGCCTTGGCCAGTCCTTCCAATGTCGCTCGCCTGCTGTGAATAAAGGGAAGGAGTAGACTAATAGAACCGTGACAGGCAGTGGCAGGTGCTAGTAACCTGATAGCTGCCGGGGCTGCTCTTTCTCTGCATGTGTTCTCGTCTTCTATTATTTCGTCTGCTCAAGGGGCTATGCTCGAGGAGGGACTTCCACAGTTGGATTTACCACAAAAGTGAAAGGGCTTACTAAAAGGAAATACAGGCACTTGCCGCAGTACAACAAAAAGTCAAACAATTAAACGGCACTGCTCCAACAACTCTCGTCTTCTCAATCAGGATAAGCAACGCCTTGCCAGCTGGTACCGCCCTCCCTCCCAGTAAACGACACAGGCACGGGAAGTAGAGTAGCCAAGTCCACAATACATGGCAAAGGGCGACTGCACAGTGTAATGATCAGTCAATTTATAGAGACCATCAAGTGGTGGAGTATCTTGGTTGCCTACAACGATATAGAAGCAAAACCAGACAAAGGAAAACCCCGTTCGCAAGACTTTTGTTTCGCCATTTCATATGCCATGCAGAAATCGTCATCCCGTCTAACAGCGTCCGCTTCCCACGTCGACAGGGACGGGATCTTCGCAGACAGCGCGCAGGTCAGAAGACTACATTAGAGTCCACGACACCTCGTCCGCGAAACATGACCCGAAGGAATTAAGCAGCCATGCCGAGAGCAAGAGAAAAATACTAAAGGAAAAACGAAATTATCGCAGGCCGTAGAGTACATCGCATGCACGACCGAAACCGACGCCGCGCTCGCTCGCTCGTCCAGCCCTTCCGGGCCAGCCTCGTGACTAAGAGCCCCGAAATGTAGCAGCTGTGGGTATTGTTGACGTTGTTGTTTACTTGATCTCGAGTAGCTTCACGTCGAAGATGAGCGTGCTGTTGGACGGGATACCGGGCACAGACCGGCTGCCATACGCAAGCGACGCGGGGATGGTTAAGCGGCGCTCACCACCAACAGACATGCCAGCAATGCCGATGTCCCAGCCCTTGATCACCTCGCCCTTGCCGATCTTGAAGGAGAACGGCGCACCCTTCTTGTTGGCTACGGTTCACTAGTTAGCAACCGACCATGCAACATCAACTCGAGAGAACGACTTACAATCAAACACCTTGCCGTTCTGCAGCTTGCCGATGTAGCGCATGCCGACCTTGTCACCAGACTTAACGGTGCGGCCAGTGCCGACCTTGCGGTCGTCAATGGTAACACCCTGAACAACCTTGACTCCACCAGCGGCCTTCTTCTCGGCCTGCTCCTTAGCAGGGCCAGTCGGGCCTTGCTCAAGGTTCTTGGCGAACTGAACCTTCTTGTCAGCCTTGGCAGGGGACTCCTTGGCGGCAGCCTTGGTCTCAGCGGCCCTGGCCTCGGCGACGACGGGCTCGCCCTGGTTGTTCTTGAGCTTCTTGAGCTGCTTCTTGCTCAGCTTCTTCTCATCCTTGGAGATGAGCGCGTCGAGGTTCTCGGCCTCAGCCTCAACCTCCTCCTCAGCAGGGCGCTTATTCTTACCCTTCTTAGCCTTAACAAGCTTGGGCGCCTCCTCCTCATCAGTGTCGATCTCCTTGATGTGGAGAAGGCCCTCGATGTTGTCGAGCTCGTCGCTCTCGTCACCGGACAGCTCATCACCCAGATCATCAATTCCAGGGGGGAGGTCATAGTCATCATCGCTGTCCTCGTCAGAGTCCTCCTCATCCTCAGGGATCACGTAGTTGCCCGTGAGGTAGATGCTGTGTGTGCCCGTGACAGCAAAGAAGACGCGCTCGCCCTCAGTGATTGTGATGTCAAGAGTTTGTTGGAAGTTCTGATGGCACGGGTAAGTAGGGGCGGGCAAAAGGAAGCACGCCTGGTAGAATACGTACGCGCTCAGTGTCAAGCGTGCAGACAACATAGTCCTCAAGGTCGACATCGTCTCCCTCGTCGCTCTCCTCATCATCGGACTCCTCCTCCGACTCCTCTTTGCTGGCCTTGGCCTTGCCCTTCTTGGCCTTCGGCGCGTCGGCATCCTCCATATCGTCATCAGACTGCTCCTCTTGGGTAGCCTCGATAAGCTTCTTGATGGCAGCCTGCTGGCGGGCCTTCTTGGACTTGGAGGGGTCGCTGGGGCCACCGTTGGTCTCGTTGTCGTCGTCGTCCGACTCATCATCATCCTCACCGCCGCCGAGGAGAGACTCGAGGTACTCGTCCTCGTCCTCGTCGTCATCAGAGCCCTCGCCGCTGGCCTTGATGATTCTCAGGGTAGAGCGGGGAACGGGGGGGAGGGTGCCCGACTCGTCGGCCTCAGGCTCGGCGGTGGGGTCGAGCGCAGCCATTGTGATACGGATCTGTCACGGTCCGTCAGCAAGCGCATCCAAGGGGGACCAATTATACGCGCGGCCAGCGCTAGCAATCATGTGCCAGGTGCAATCAATCATCACGGAGATGGTGTACATACCGTCGCGGGGAACTCAACTGCGGCGGGGACCAGGATGGCTCCGGGAGGGACCTCGAGGCCATAGAGGGCGGCAGGCAGAAGGGGAGACATGGTGACTGAAATGTGAGGATGTTTTTTTTTTGGAGGGGGGGGGTGGATACGAGAGCTTTGCGGTCAATTCAGCGAGAGGAATCGGGGAACACAGTCGATGCGAGGTACTGCAGGTCTTTTATGCGACTGTTGCAGAGGGGAGTTCCGGGAAGGCGGAATAATAAAAGGAAGGAGAGAGGACTCTGTCGTCGAAGGTCGGTTCCGCTGAAAACCTTCAGGCGGACAAGCTCACAGCAAGAAAAATTATCGCTGAACCCCACACTTTTCCACCGATAACACTTTTTCCAGGCTTATCGGTAAACAAGCTTCCCGGCCAACGGTGCAAGAGCGCGAAAATAAGCGGGGCCGCAGAACCTGCAAGCATATCCGCACACCGCAACTGCCAATCCAGACACGCCCGTGCGGTGAGCAATCTCGCGCTTTCCATTGTCTCGGTTGTGGCCGACTTGGACTCGAGGCGCGAACTTGCATTTTCTCAATCGCATTATAGTTTGCGTTTCGATATCACATGGTTTTTGGCGTCTCCTTCATTAATTCTGTTAGATTTCGTGTAGAAATCCTCACTCGAACTGGTGACGTTCTACAAGAAAAGCACTACCCCGAAAATCCCAAGATACACTTCTGCTGCATTAGGTTGCTACAGTGAAATATTTTCCGTCTCTTATTTGGCTCGTTCCTCTCCACTGCCCCTGTACCTCCCAGGACCCTCCATTTTATGCTCGTCACTGGCGCTGAGTGACGGTCAAGGGTGCTCCCTGGAGAAAATCAAATTCGGAGAGACGATACAGAGTAGAGATGCCAGAAGATTGTTTTCGAATGACAAAGTGCCTGGACGGGCGACCGGTCAACAGGCCTGTCTTAATTCCCCACTCCTCTCTGTTTCTGCCATGAACTTCATGTCGTCTTCGACTTCTTCCCGAGACTCAGAAAAACAGCCTTCACGAGCTGCCACACAATGCCCAGAGTGAAGATGGTTTTGCCCGTCGTGTACACCTGGGGTCTGTCGCCAGTTTCGGTCAGAGCCAGGCCAAATTCTGCCACGGGGCCAGGAAAGAGGGGGCTCTGTCGGGCGTAGGCCGAGACCAAGTCGTTTCCGTTGGTGATGCCCCCTTCGCTTCATGTTAGCCCCTTTCTCCTTGTCATGGCCTACGCAAGCAACCCATAACAGCCTCTTGGCGAGTGGGCGCGCATAAGGCAATGGGGTGAACAATGAGGTGAAACATACCACAGGACCAGAAGTTGCCGTCCTGGTTCCATCGGAGGCTATCGCCAAGCCATGTCACCCCCTCAAACATGCCCTTCAGCTTTTGCTGGAGGCCCCGCGGCGCGCAGGCTTTTTTGCCTTTGAGAATCCCGGCGGCGCCGCACAGGAAGATGGCTGTGCATATGCAGAGGATGTCGGTGTCTTGCCTGGCGGCGTGGGCGGCGAGCCATTCCAGCTCGGAGCTGTCGTCCCATGTGTTTCGTGGGTCCGGCCCAGGCACGCACAAAATGTCCAGCTTGCCGGGCTGGACCTCGGGGTCGGACATGTGGTGAGTGCACATCAATTTCGAGCCCGAGGTCAGCGGGATGAGCTCGCCGGGTTGGACTTTGCCAATGTCTTTGCTCCAAGCACAGCAAGTTGTCAGCAAACACGCACACACTTTCTCTCTTATTGTTTGTATCCATGGGAGACACGAGGATGGTGGAACTTACAAAAGAACTGGACACTGGGCGCGAGATTATAAAGAACGGCAGGAACCATGTCTTTCTGAGGCGACAGGTACTCATAGCTCATAGTGCCGAAAATGTCGACACATGCCAGGTCAAGCACCTGCGCGTCGCGAGGTAGGTAGATGCCGACACGGACAGTCTTCCGGGATTCGGGGCCGCCCATCGTCAAGTCGGCTTCGGGTTGTCTTTGCTGGTCTGTGATAAGTTGGGTGGATATTGACTTCCGGGCAGGTTATTCAGTCAGGCGATCCAGTGCACTGATGCTACTATATATTGTGAATAACATAGACCAGATGAACAAAATGAAGACTCATTCGGAAAGAGACTCTGTCGCTTTTATGGCAACCATTCCTCCAACTTCACTTCCGGTTCCTCTCGGTGCACAACCACCACCGCGCGCTCTCCCGAGACCCTCCGGTCCGAGTGTTTAGTCCGGCCCAAGTCATTTCAGCTTAGAGCGCCGCAAGCGCGGAACGGCACCGTCGGAACGAATGGCCTGAGCTGTGATTGGCTACTGTTTGCTCAGCCTCCGAGGACACTCGGAAGTTGGAACAACACCACACGCGGCCTCTGCCAAGCGAAGCAAACCACCTGCCCCCTTTTCTTTTATTTATATTTTTATTGGTCTAGCGTATACTCGTTAGCTCCTCGGTCGGGGTGTTTTTTTTGGAGCCTTGACAAGTACTGGATGAGGTCGATAAGATTGATAAGATGGATCTTATCCGAGCGCCGATTGAACTTAAGTCATCTGCCGCCATCGAAACAGCGGAAGTGAAGAAGGCTCGGTTTTTTTCCTGAGTAATTAGAAGCGTTATAACTAATAAATATATAACGCAGCCTACCACCTCCCTATTTTGAACCTTAATAGTTCTGTCTCGTGCTCGAATTTACAGTTCTGCGCGTGTGCCAGGCAGAACGATCTCGGGAACATTTAATTGCAGGGTTAGGGTTCGACTACTTTTCAGGTGTAGTTGGGGCGCTCAGTTGGGTCGGTTAATTATCGGGCTAGCTAGCTACGAGAGAGAAGCCTGAGGTCGAGGGTTGCCACAGCGGCAAACCAATACCGAGGCTGCACCTGCACTCCGCACAGCCATCGGTCATCATCACAAGCCTGAGAGTCATTTCTCCACTCTTCGGCCAAAGTCAAAGCCCAAGCATCCACAACTAGCATCGCTGCACCATTGACGACGAACGACCACCTCGAGGCAACCGCCGCGCGAAACGGGGCTCTCCTTTGCGACTGCGAAACCCGCGATAAAAACCTGGGGTGAAATTGAAGGTTCCGACCTAAGGCAGCAACATTTGGACTCTTGCTTGCCCGGTTAGACGCGTGCGACGGTTGCGGGTTGTGGTTGCGGTTACGGCCAGATCCGCGGGTGTCCTTCCCGTCGACCCCAAACCCTTAGAGTCGACCCGTCGTCATCGCCACCCGCTTTCGCCCACCCCCCCCCCCCCTCTCACCACCGTCGCCGCGGCGCGACGCTCCCTCGTTTTCCAGCTGCCCCAGGCCATACATACTCTGTCGCACACGAAGCCAGGGAGAGAGACACAGAGTGATACAGCCATGGCATCGCCGCCGAAGCCTTGGGAGCGATCCGGCCAAGCACAAACCTCTCTAGGTGCGCAATTCACCCCAAATAAATCCCCTCCTTCCTCTCCTACTTCCCGTAATATCTGGTAAGACATTGGGCGACATGCTATAACAAGATTACTGACGGAGAGTGCAGCATCCCCCACAACCCTGCCCGGTGCCCCCACATCCGCCGCATCGTCCATGCTTCCCACCACTTCTTCCACAACGCCAGCGATACCGGCGAGGCCACCCGCCTTAACAGCCTCCATCAACCAGAATGCCGCCGCCTACAGCAGGCAGTTAGGAGGCGCGCTGGGGGGCGGTTTGGGAGGCGGTCTGGGGGGCGCGCCCTACGGGGGCTACGGTTCGGCCTATGGCTCCGCATACTCGTCGCCGTACTCGTCGCCCTACTCACGCCTCGGCGGTATGATGGGCGGCTATGGCGGCGGTATGATGGGCAGCTACGGTGGCAGCTACGGCGGTGGCATGTACGGCGGCGGCATGATGCCAGGAGCAGGCATGCCGGGCAGCGACCCCAACAACCCCGACAGCCTCACCGGCCGCTTCAACATGAGCACCCAGGCCACCTTCCAGATGCTTGAGGGCGTCGTCGGCGCCTTCGGCGGTTTCGCGCAGATGCTTGAGAGCACATACATGGCCACGCATTCGAGTTTCTTTGGTAAGCAAAGCGCACATCCCCAATATTTCAACTAGCTGTTTCTAACCAAGACTTCCTTTCGCAGCTATGGTCGCCGTAGCTGAGCAGTTTGGCAGCCTGCGTGACACGCTTGGATCTGTACTGGGAATCTTCACACTCATGCGCTGGATCCGCACATTGATTGCTAGACTGACGGGGCGGCCATCACCAGTAGACGCGACGGCCCTGACACCAGCCGCGTTCGCGCGCTTCGAGGGCCGGCAGAACGCGCTTCCCGACGGCAGCGGCGGCCCCCCCAAGCCTAGCCGCAAGCCGCTCTTCTTCTTCCTGCTAGCTGCCTTTGGCCTGCCGTACGTCATGAGCAAGGTGATACGTTCGCTCGCGGCCAACGCCGAGGAGGAGGAGCGGCGGCGGCAGGAGCAGCTCGTGTCGGTCCAGCAGAACCAGCAGCAGGCCCTCGTCGACCCTTCCCAGCTCGAGTTTTGCCGCGTCCTGTACGACTTCTCGCCCACGGCGCAAGGTGGCCAGGCCGTTGTCGTGCAGGGCGTCGACCTCGAGGTCCACAAAGGCGACCTGGTGGCCGTGCTGAGCAAGAGCGACCCCCTCGGCAACCCTAGCGAGTGGTGGAAGTGCCGCGCCCGTGACGGCAGGATAGGCTACCTCCCCGCCACCTTCCTCGAGGTCCTGCGCAAGCCCGGCCAGCCCCTCGCCATCAAGAACTCGCCCGCCAGTGACAGCAGCCGCGCCAACTCGTTGACGAGCACTGCGAGCGCCCCCGGTGTCCTAACGCATCCAGTTTCTTCCGTCCCTACCGTCCCCTTGACAAAAGTCGGCGACGTCACGGCCGAGAGCTTCCAGAAGTCCCAATTCTACTCTTAAAAGGGTAGAGGCGGGCCACTTGGTCGTCGCGCAAGCGGAAGAGGGGGCGGATATCCCAAACAGCAGACGTGGGACTGGAACGTGGCTGGGCTCTGGAGAAGACGCCATACATAATTTTCCACGGCTATTCGCTCCCCGCTCTCCCTCTCTCGTTCCGTATCATAGCAAAGTGATTTTTGGGGGCACGGCATGCAACACATTACACAACACGTAACACAACACATACACGTCCACACTCGGATTTTTTGTTCTGTTTGTGAACCTCCCCGAACATACTCCTCTGCGCTACTCCAGATTGGGGGAGTAAAAGAGAAGAGAAGAGAAAGAGAAAGAGAAAGAACTCGGAAATAAGGGGGGAGAAGAAAAAGGGGTCCCGGCGTTTAAGCCTTGCTTTTTCTTCTGATTCCCTCCCTCACGCACCCACATACATACATACACACTCTCTCTGTCTCACGCTTCACAATTGACGGAAATCATGAATGACCGTTCTCCCTCTTTCAATTTGTTTCTGGCTTCTTATCGTTAACCGCCGCATTTTTAGTCTTGTTCTTCTTGTCTCGATTCTGATGTAGCGATTAATACCTTAGCTCTCTCTCTCTACCTGTCTACCTAACTACCTGCCTACATATATTACCCTCTTTCTGTCGGACCATCCGTCTACCTATCTGTCCTTCCGCTAGCGTGTTTGTATGTTTATTTATTTGTCGTTTTATGATGTTATTGTGGGGGGGGGGAGCAAAAAAGCGAAAGCGGAGAAAAAAGCGGGATTTCTGTTCGAAAGGACGGTTGGATGGATGGACGGGTGTTGTTATGTACATTCCAAAATACTATCCATCGTTTCATGTCTGTCTCCAAGCTCCTTTGCTTGATGAAGGTACTTCGCCTTGCCCTAATTATGCCGTAATAGGCGATGTGAAGTGTGGCTCTATAGATATATACGGAGGAAAAATAAAACAGCAAAAAAAACATACAACACCAGGGATTTGCTGACCGTCATCAACCCAGCTACTGATCTGGCCCAGCCGTACGGAGTAAGGGAAAAAAGAGGGCATTCCGAGGTCCGAAAAAGGGCTGGAAAGTAAAGAATAAAGGGATATCCCAACTATGGCTTGAAATGTGGCTCAAAGTGGCTCAAATCCAGGCGACACTTCTCCTAAACTTTCACAAAACTCAGATTTTAGCCTTCCGAGGCCCATATTTCTTCCCCCCAACCAACGTTCATTTGCCTAATTGCCGTGATAGCGCCCTGCGAAATCAACAACTAGAGACGGAAATGTGCGACGACCTCCTCGACGCGCTTGCCACCAAGATGCACGTCCCTACCCTCGAAGTTAAGAAGGGCGAAACGGTAATACCGAAACACTGCGAAAGGCATTTTGGGCCCAGGTATTCAAAAGAGGGTGGAAACTAAATATCCTGACAGTCGACCCCGACGAATTTCCAGAGCGGTCGAAAGAAGGCGCAACATGGGTGGGCTGGTTGAATCAGGAACCACCCCCCTTCTCCAGCACAGAAGCGTCGCGGCGTCGGAGTTACTTTAGTCTTACCACCGACCCGAAGACATACGGCCAAGGTCTACCTCAAACCCTCGATTAAGATAGGACAAAGCACAATTGGGTGGGTTTGGTCGGACAGCAAGGGCGAGTTCGTTGGGGCACAATATGTCCCTATCGCCCTGGGGTATCTGAGGTAAAAGCCTAGAGCGACGCCAAGCATAATTTTGATAACAACGAGATTAAGCGCGTGGGCGCGTAGAATATGAAGAAGGCTGTCTACTGGGCCAGGAATAGGATTGCGCAGAAAATCTACATTGACGAGGGACGCCAAGAGCTGGCAGAGCTGATTCCGAATGACTGCAACCCCTCGACAATAAAGGAGTTGGAAACATGCACTCTAGTTGAGGCCCGGTCCACGGCGGGGGAGGTTACCATCGACTGGAGCTACTAAAGTAAGTGTGTCATTTTTTCCTTTCAAGTCTTTACCCTCTGGGAGAAGCTAACATATCGTTGGTAAGGAGAACCCAGGGCCTACCTGAAGCAACAGGCTGTGTTAGCATGGTTTAGCGCTCGCCCGATTGTATCAAACATTGCAGGTGGAAGGGAAGCAACGGTGGCATGTCGTTGGCAGGAGCTCAGCTTGGTGGGGCCCGTGGATTGCAATAGTAATTTGCGGCAGGGCAGTCTGATGCACCCTAAAACCTAGCTGGGTCCAATTGCCCTATTAAGATAGCATAAGGTCCACATCCGACCGACCCTACCAAATAATTTAAATCGCGTAACCACCTGCTCGACCAAACTTCCTTCTTGCAAAGCTACCTTCTCCATAACTGCGTCTTTGCGTCAAACCTCGGGAGTAAAAAGAAGGCAAAAGGGCGCACGGACCGCAATTTTAGAGTCCGCATTTCTAGAGTCTGCATTTCTTCAAGCAATTCTAGCCCATTGTGTTAAGTGGCTCCACCAAACACTCATAGATGCTTTTTCGTCGCCTGCGCCGACATAAACATGTCTGTGCCGTGACACTGATTACGTACTAATACAGATAGTTGTTGAGGTTTGGAGTTAAATATAAACTTGGATATGGAAGTAAGACCTCCCTACAAGAGCTAGCCAGAATATATGAGGCCTCAGCATGGATAACTGGTCGATATGGTATCAAGAAGCCCCGACCGATCACAGATTCCCACAGATAGTGTCTAGGTGATTGGCTGCCCGCGTTATATTTTGTTTATGCAGTGTCAATGAACCATGGAATGAATGAATGAATGATATGATAATGGCACGACACACGAAAAGGCAAACTAGCACAAATAGAAAATGGCATGGTAACGTGCTTTCGCTTCATGGAGGGCTGTGACTATCTAGACACTACACAGCCATGGTTCTGGGCCTGGCATATCCTCACTACCTGTTTTCTTTAAAAAGGAAGAAAGAGAACGAATAGGGATGGAAAAATAAGTCCAGAGACGGCCTCCTTCCTGCTCCCCAACCTGGCCCTTGAAGGCTGATAGTCACAAACCTAGTCGCTGAAACCATTCATGTCATTCTCAAACCTGAGATTCTCTTGCGCCTTCCTATGCCGCCTCTGATTCCACTCGTCCAGTCCGGCGCACAGACCCGTGGCCAAACGCACTTTGACCATATGATGCTGTGTTTTATGTTCATTGTCTGGTTTGGACCAACGATTCGGCCCCCGTTTGTAACTAAAGCACTGTCCACAGATTGTCGCGCGTGCCATGGTGTGAGAAGAAGAAAAACAGGCCATTGCCAATCAAGGTAGCGTCGCAGTCGTGGCAAGAAACTAATGCTGTATTCCAGACAAGCGAGAAAATCCAGTACTGCGGGGGAATAGAAGGAGAAAAAACGAAGCCAAGCGTTAACTCATTTATTGACTCCCAAATCCCTTTGATTGCTTCCTTGGCGATAAAGGATCTTTAACGTCGTTTTTAGTAGTTCGATGATGAGGCAAGTCGCAGGTGCACTCGTACAAGCGCATAAAGACCGAGATGAAGGGTCGTGCGCAATTGGCGTGCACCATGAGATTACCACTCGTACTCGCCGGTGGCTTTGTGGAAGACATACTCCCGGCCATTGACCGTCAGGACGCCGTCCTTCAGGGTGCACTTCCTATGTGTGTGTCAGCAGGGGGCCCAGAAGTAAGCGACGACACACGGCTACATACCACTTGTTCTTGACTCGCTGGACCTTGTCATACATGCAGAGCATCATGTGGCCCATTGAGTCGTCGTCCTCTTCTTCTTCATCCTTCTCCTCCTCGGAATCGTCCAGGTCGGAATTGATGGCGTCTTCATCAAGGTCCTCATCCTTCATAAGGTCATCAGGGCCATCGACTTGAGAGGGGCCACCGGCGGTGGCTTTGCTCTTGTTCGCAATACTGCGGTGGCGGGTAGCTTCCTTGAGGGGCAGCATAAGGCCGCCACCCTCTATCTGCTTGGCTCTGGAAGCAATTTGGGCATGGATCAAGTTGTCGATCTCGACTCGGCCCATCTCTACAGGATGGCCGTTGGCATCACGCCGAAGCAAGACGCCCTCAAAGCTGTCACTGGATCCATCAACTTGAGCCGTAGGAAGGCCGTTCGGACCGTTCGTGTGAGCACCCTGCTGAGACTGCAGCCGCTGCTGCATCGTGGCGGCTACTCCCTGGCGATACTGCTGTTGCGCGTTAGGTTGCTGCTGCTGTTGAGGAGCCTGGTGCTGCTGTTGCTGCTGGGGCGGCTGCCCCGGTCGCTGAGCCAGTTGGGCCGGGTTCATCTGCTGAGCCATGCCGCTCTGAATGGCACTGATGGAGGCAGCAGCACGTGGGCCATAGTTGCTCTCCAGGGCCTGGGCGGCACGCTGAGCGGCTATTCCGCCGCGGCCTGCGTTTGCAGCATTATACGCGGGAACGCCGGTCTGACTCATTCCTGTGCCAGGCTCCTGCTTGATGCCGGGTTCAGGCTTGACCATGCCCGGGTCGGGCTTGATTCCCATGCCATTAGCACCGGGATGCAGAGAGCCCTGATGCGAGAGAGGCTGGGACGACGTCTGGGGGCTCAAGGTGGCCTGGGTATAGCTGGTGGCAACCTGCTGGGAGACGGGAGGAGCCGCTGTCTGAGCATTGTTCGCTGCAGTAGGAGGCGGCTCAGGCTTGGGATCCCAAGGGAACTGCGCGACGTTGAGCTGCGAGAGTTTCTGTTGCCAGCCCTGTTGCCTTGTGTGTTAGCGCTCAATTCCCGGCCAATGTCGTGAAGGAGTCGGGGATACGAGGGGGAAGATGGGGTAGAGGAGGGGGGCAAGAGGGGGGCGAGCCCAGTGTCCGCACAGGGGTACACGTGACTTAAAGCCTGCTTGTCCAATCGGATGCGGCAGACGGGTGATGGGGGTTCGCTCAGCAGTCTGGGCTGGAGCTTAAAAAGAGACCCAAATAGCACAGGGCCGCCCACCCCGACTCTCCACCCTCTCGCGCTCCCCCAAAGCCCAGGAGGCAGCCACCTAGCCGTCATCCGCCACAAACGACCCGACGCTTTGTCGCCGCCGTCCACCGAGCGCAGTTTTGGCCATGATGGCTGGCGAATCTGACAAGGACAAAAGGGAAGAAAAGAAAGGAGAGATGCAGGATTGTATCCAGAGATGCGACCGATGATGAAATATCTCGGGAGCATCCACCAAAGCGTGGTGTTGGAAAACGGGAGGGCGATAGATGGGGAGAGAGAGCGGATTGACTGCCGTAACACAGGACACACGACTCACTTTTCTCAGCTCGTCCAGGACGCCATCCTCGACGCCGTTCTCCTCGAAATCGACACGCACGGCATTGATGACCTCCTGGATTATGTGGTCGTAGACCGATCCGACGTTTGCGTTGGACATTGTCAAAAAGGTCGAGGTGCGAGCGATGCAGTAGGAAGGTGCGCAGCTTCTAGGGAAGCGAGACGAGTTCTCCTAGTCCCAGCACTTGTGTTTCCGTGGCCTCCTCAGTAACGTCGCCGCCTTGCCGTACCGTACCGCCCGGCCACAGAAGACAGCTTGCCGCTCACTTGCTCCTGATTACGTCCTGGAGGCGCGAATTGAGTGTGTAACTTTTTTTTTGTGGTTGCGCACGCGATGTGAGCGGCTGAATGTTGGTGGTGGTTAAGTTGCTGCGGGCGGCCGGAATGAAGACGAGGCGAGGTGAGGGGGTTTCGTAAATGCGGACCCGACAAAGTCAGCAACTGCCCTGCTGTGCTCGCGATTCTGCTCTCCCTTCTCGAGCGGCTCAGAGCATTATAGACCCTCGTAGTTTTGTATTCCTTGGTTGCAGATGCAGCGTGTGCGGTCTTCTTGCAAGTGGTGCGCCACAGTTTTGGGGAAATCGCTGGTTTACTCGCAAGAGGTGGTGTATTTGGGTAAGTTGTGAGGCACTACCAGGCCGCCTTTAGAAGTTGGCTAAAAACTGCTGAGTCAGCCAGCGACCAACCGCAGCAGCCACAGGCGGGCACTGGCACAGGGGTCTCCGTCGATTTACTGATACGGAGCGCTAAGTTTCGCGGTAAGGCGGTTGCAACCTCCCAATCCCTGAATGTATGTTAGCAGGGGACTTTCCACGATTGAAAGTCAATTCCTTACAGCTCCCCTAGAAGTTCTTTCACCGATCGTGATGAAAGATATTCGAATCCCTATTTTAGAATTATAGAGACCTATCTCTTCTTCCAAACTCCCGAGGCTTTTCCTGGCCGGTTTATTACTAGGCTATAACATTTATTCTGCCCAAGTACCGCGCCAACAAACATTCAAGTATTGGATTGTATGTACTCAGTAACCGGGCTTGCAGGTATGCACAGAATCCCACGATTCTGGTTACAGCGGCCTTTGTTCCGCCGCCGAAGCTGAAGCAGTAATTTCTCTAACGCGGACACTAAATACCTCTTGAGACATCACCTTACCTTATTCCGATCAAAGGTGCTTCCACGAAACAAGACGGAGAAAAAGAAAGTCGGTGAAGAGAAAACAAGCCGCCTCGCCTGTCAAATTCCAACACAACCAGGATCTTACCCGCAAGTCCTATGGAGTTCCTGACCAATCTCCCTTATTATTATATACTACACGATACAGATCTGACTTGCCTGATCTGATCTATATCTCTTGACAACTATGTAAGGTAAACAAAAGTCATTCTCCTATCCTTTCTCATGCCGGAGTTGCCAAAAGGGCCAGCCAGTGGTCGAACATTCGCAGCCTGTAATGACCATGACAAGAAGAGCATGATAATCCTCTCATGACCCCTTCCCAGTCCCCAACAAAACATTATAAAAAAACACACACCAGATCTTCAGTCTCATTCATTCCTGCATTGAGAGAGATAAGAACCCCTCCCATTTCCTCGTCGTTTCGTGATGTGGTGAGAACTTTGCAAAACCCACCCCAACTCCGCGCTGATAAAAACGACGACGACCAAAATAATTTGCTGCAGGTAAAACGCCTCCGCCAAGAAACCAATGGACGCTTAAAATGCCAGACGAGAACCCGATTTTATACCTACCGTTTCTTCGTGCGTTAGTTAGTAATTGATTCTGACAAATTGACCCAGCCGCGGAGAGTCTGTTGATTTCGTTGTTGCTGTTTTGGTGTTGCTGTTTTGGTGTTGCTGTGGTGATGTTATTGTTGGTGTTGTTGTTATTGGCGGCGATGACGGCGATGGCACAGGTCCTTGACGATTAAGACCTAGCGGATGGTCATCTGCTTGGTCATCTCGGCCTTGCTAGACGAACTGACGCCTCCAACTGCGGAGCTGGCGCCTGCCTTCTTCTCAAAGAGCTTCCAGAACTTCAAGCTCTCATCGGCGGCTGTTTTCGGGAAGAAACCAAGTCAGTAAACACGAACGCGATTCATGATGGGGGAAAGAGGTCAACTCACCAGCTGTGGCCAGCATCTGGCCGTCGGGGCTGAGGCAGCTGTGCAGCACGCGGCTCTCGTGGGCGGGGATCTCGACGTTGCGGACCAGGGTGGGATAGCTCCAGATGCTGAGCGAGTTGTCGGGGAAGCCGCTCGAGCTGACAATCTCGCGGTAGTGGGGGCTCCAGCGGAGGCTGGTGACCTGCGAGCCCGTGTCGATGCTGTTGACGCGGGCGCCCGACGTCGTGTTCCAGAAGTGGATGTGGCGGTCGTACGAGCCGCCGCCCGTCGCGAGCAGGTTCATGTTCCACGGGCACCACGAGAGCGCCTTGACGGCCGCCTTGTGGTTGGTCTTAGTGAACTTGGGCACCGCGAGCGATCGCGCGTCCCAGATGGACACGAGGTTGTCGTTGCCGCCCGTCGCTAGCTGCGCGCCGTCCGAACGCCACTCGAGCCCGCACACCTCGGATGTGTGCGACACCAGCTCAGCCACCTTGTGCTCGGCGATGCGCACGTCGTGGTTGTACACGAGGCCGCTCCGCGCTCCCGTCGAAAGGAGGTGCTTGTTCCACCCCATGACGCCGACCCGCGTATCGTGTCCGAACATGCTGCGCACCTTGGTGCCCTCGGCAACGTCCCAGATCTGCACCTCGCCTGTGCCGAGCCCGACGCCGACGTACGCTCCGTCGCCTGACCACTTGACGCTGCTGACGTAAGTATCCGGGCTGGTCTCGAGGAGGCTGCTGACGGTGCCTTCGTCGGCCGACCAGACATAGACGTTGCGCTCCAGGCCGATGGCCACTTGGTTGCCCGAGCTCCAGTCGAGGAGGTTGAGGTAGTAGTCATCGATGAGGCCGGGCGCGTCCAAGACACGTTCCGGCGCCGTCGCAACGCGCCGCCTAGCCTGTGCCGAAGCTGCGCTGGCCGCCTTGAGCGGGCGATTGTACTGCTGCCGCAAGTCGATGGGCTTGGAAGACTCGGGCGGCGCGGGCTTGAACTGCAGGATGCGGGTGTTGAGGTTGACGCCGCATGCGCTGGCGAGCGAGTCCTGGTACGCCACGCTGTTTGGCGACGGACGCGAGTACGGAGCCGATTCGTCGTCGTCGAGGTTCAGCCCCTCGAGCGCGGCGATGGCGTCGTCAGTGGCCGACGCAAGGAGCGACGAGGCATCGCCGTGGCCGGTTCTTGGTCGCTGCTTTTCCTGAAAGTCTGGCTTTCCAGAGCCGACATTGGCAATGGCTGAGCTCGCACCGCGGTTGGGAATGAAGCGGTCGGCAGCGTACGTGAGAGATGTCTTGGTGGCCTTCTGTCTGAGAGGGGCCGCCTTCTTTGCCTTGGCACTGGAGGGGGTCTTGTTGTGGATGCCGGTACCGGTGAGAGTGAAGTCCGAGACACCGAGCTCGAGGGCTTTGCGCGGGGTTGAGACACCACGAGCGATGTTGGACTTGGGAGAGTCGCGGTGGCCCTTGGTTGAGGACTTCGCCAAGTGGGCATTGAGGTTGTTTCCGTAGATGGAACGGGACGCGACCCGCTGGCCGTCATTGCACGACTTGTCTGGCGTAAACGGCGACGAGTTCAAGTTGACGGGGATGGAGCGCTGACGGGGAGAAGGGGTCAAGGGCATCCGTCCGCCAGCGGTACGAGAAGAGAAGAGGCCCGCATGGGACTTTAGGGGGGTGGCTACTGATAGGGTAGCCATGTTGCTGATCGAGCTCCAAGAGACTCAAGCTAATGGTTCCTGGATAGGGTTAGTAGTGCAGTCGTGTTTGTTGTATTTGGTGGATCAATCGATTGAGCCTCCACGGCAAATGACTTGAAGCCGGCTGGCTGGGCGAGCGAGTAGAGGGCTGCAGAAGAGCGGCAGCGATCTGGTCGAGAGGGCTTTTTGAGATTGGGTTTGTGTGAAGGCAGATTGATGTCTTGTTTGCTTTTGAAGCTCTGCGAGAGCGTGCGGACAGCGAGGCCAGAGAGAGGAGGTTGGAGGTTGCGGATGATGGTAGAGAGAAGGAGGAATTGGAAGCCAGCTTGGGGGAAGAAGGAGCAGCTTTAAATGTTTACACCCGTTGTCGGGGCAACACTTGCCAGCTGACTGCCCCGCAAGTCGGGGCCCCGCCATGGACGCCCGGCAGCTGGCCTTACAGCGCCCAGCCACCGCAGGGGCCATTTCGCCTTGTTCGCCCCCACTCGCCTCAGGGGCACTTCAGCCAGTGGCCAGGCGACAAAAAAGTTTGCCAGGCGCAGGCAGGCGTATGGCGCTAAGTCGTTAGCGGAACCAGGCCCGCCGAATGGGAGCGGGTACCTCAGATTATGTAATTACGAACTCCCATCCCAGGCACGCACGAGCCAGGGATCCTTGGCTCTGCCTATCCTGAATTTAGCGCTCCGTAGTACTCTGTTCCACATCGCCTATCGCAACCGGCCTTTAGACCTTGAAAGCCACAAAGCCTCCAGTTGCGAATCTCGGAGCCGCGAACAGCATCGCCAAGTCCGGCAACTCGAGAATGCTGCATCACCGACAGTGAGCCCACGTAGCGCTGCTGCAGCGTCTTGAGCACGATAATCTTGGAAGCCTCGCCCTCGGCCTCCACCTCGGTCACAGTCTCTCGGTCTCGACCCTCCAGGGTGAGGGCACCTTTGATCCGAAGTGCAATCGATCACGACCCCGGCACCGCGTGCCATTCATTCTATACATATCTTGCCTGGCACGCCTTGCACGCCTTGCAACGCTCTGCACTGCTATTCCAGACTGCCCTAGCGATCCGTCCGTTGCTTGCTTCAACTGCTTCCCGCTGTGGACTACTCCAGGGCCCACGCCATGGCCCTGCCTTCGACTCCTGGAGCCTCGGTCACTGGCCCTTCGATCTTCGGCGGGCCTCCCCAAGCCGCTCATACTAGTAACAACAACGCAGCCAATTCGTCGCATGCTTCCTTTTCGTCTCTAGCTTCGACTCTGACGGCCACGCCCGCCTCGGCTGCCTCATCCAACAACACGTACATTATGCCCAACTCGCCCCTCAAGAACCGAGCCCCCATGGACGGCTATCGTCCCAAGGTGACGCGCACCCTGGGCCAGCGCACCGCCTGTCTCGTCAATGCCTCGGTCACGTACTGCGGCAACAACCAGATCTATGTCTTTGGCGGCTTCGACCAGTACACGGACGAGGTCTATAATCATGTCTTGCGCCTTGACCTGGTCAGCCACCAGTGGAGCCTCGTCGACAACTACGGGGACATACCCGGCGTTAGGATGGGTATGGCAATCTCCCCGAACCCTCACGTGTCTCGAATGCTGACAACCCCTGTCCAGGCCACACGGCAACCATGTACAAGGGCGACAAGCTCTTGGTCTTTGGCGGCGAGAACGAGCATCGGACCTATCTGTCCGACCTGATCATCTTTGACCTCAAGACGGCACACTGGACGCAGCCGCAGGTGACGGGCCCGATACCCAAGGGCCGTGCTAGGCATGCCGCCGTCCTACACGAGGACAAGCTCTTCATCGTTGGCGGCATAACGGGCCATGACAACTACGTTCTCGATGACATATGTTATCTCGATCTGAAGACGTTTACCTGGTCGCGGGCATGGCGCTTTGTTGGGAGGTTTGACCACTCGGCCTACATATGGGGCGACAGAGTTTGGGTCTTCGGTGGCCTTAGTGAGGACATGGACAAAGTCAACGATCTCTGGTGGCTGGACCTCAAGGGCAGCCCCGCATTCGAGTCGCCGCCCCAAATCGGTTCCCTCGACCGCTCTGGCATGCCCAGGAATGCGACATCGCCGAGGCCGTCGTACCCTGTGCCCCAGTCGCCCGTGGTCGGGTCGTCTGGCTATGCCGCCAATTCGAGGACTGCTCAAGTCAACCCCCCGTCATTCCACCTCAAGACATATGCCCCTCCGGCGCCCGGCGCCATCTCTTCGCTGAGATTCGTCAGCGGCACCAACGTACCCTCACAGATGCAGGGCGTTCACTTCCACGTCTACTCATCGGGCACTCTCCTAGACTTTGTAACACCGGCAGCGACAATAACGTCAAGGGAATGCTCGCTGCTAGCTCTCGATCTGGGAGCCCTCCGCTGGCAGAAGCTGGCCGAGGGGCGCGAGATCTTCAAGCCCGGCTACCGCTGGCACTACTGCACAATGAACGACGACGGCACAAAGGCCTGGCTGCTTGGCTGTCCCACCGACCCCGCCGCAATCGACCTGGGTGCTAATGGCCTCGAGGAATATCTATCTGATATTATGGAGATCGATTTGCGCCGGTACGGATTCTTGGGTAACAACCACGCGCCTGAACCGCGAACAGACCTGGTTCGCCCGTCTTCGCGAACGCGCCATGTCGAGCAGTCTTCCAAGGGGCTGGGGTCCGACCTTGCGAGGCTTTTTAATCAGCCTCCAGAGAGCGGGAGCGGGACCGACTTTGTCGTCACGGCACTCTCGCGCGACTACGACGACGAGGAAATCATGGGCTCCGCGCTCATCCATCCCTCAGATCCGGCCGATGGTGATCAGACGTGGCTTGCGCCCGACGTCCCGACTTCGCCTCCTATCCACGTTCACCGGCTCATCCTCCAGGCCCGCTGGCCGCACTTTGCACGTCTGTGGTCGAGCCAAATGGCCGAGTTTCACACAAAAAAGATGCACATCCCTGAACCATACAGCGTCGTGAAAGCATTCCTGTACTACCTCTACACAGATCGGATTGATCCTGGGTCGGCTGATGATGAAGACAACCTGACGGCCGACCTCTCGGACGTGGCCGGCCTGCTCGTCATGTCCAACATCTACAATATACCTCATCTCCGACTCTTGTGCGTCAACCGCCTGAGCAAAGAACTGGACGTGGACCACGCCTGCATCATTTGGTACTGCGCCGGCCTGGCGAGCGAGGAATGGCTGCGCAAACGGGCTGCGGGCTTCTGCATGACGCACTGGGGACGCATTGTCCGCACTGTTGGCTTCCAGCGCCTGCCACGCTCGGCCCTCGTCGAGCTGTCCCAGGAGATCGACATGGAGGGCCGTGTTATTGGCGGCGATGAGCTGGACATGATGGTCGGCGGTATTGACAGCCGCTTCAGTGACAACGGCTCGGCCGTATCGCGCCGGAAGGAGAGCATCAGCAGCAATCAAACGCAAATGCTCGAGAGCGAGGCTGACGACGACGATGGCATGGAAATGTCATAATCTGCTATAGTCGCTCGGAGAAGCACCCCGTAGCTGCTGACCGCACTTGCAGATATCTCTCGGTTCTCCCCCCCCCCCCTCACCTCCCCGGCTCCACCCTCCTCATCGCATTACATGGGTCATTTGATTTTCTCTCAAAGAATGTGAACGAATCCCGTGTGGTTATTTGTGTTTCGATAGCACCTGGCGTGCTTGGCTTACATTATCCTCCGAGTTCAAAGTTTTGCTTCTTTTCTTTTGCTTGGGGGCATTGGCTGATTGTTTGCTGTAAATGTATGGGAGCCAATGGAATATCACAAACGATGGATATTACAAGTTGTCTTTTTTTCCTCTTTGTTACTTACCTAGCTCGATCGGTGGGTAGAGAGATTGTTTGGTTCGTCAAGGGGCATTGCGCGGCGTCGGGCGAGAAAGGAAGGACGGGAGGTTGGTTTGTTGTGCTGTCGTATTTTATTTAGCCTTCATATTCATCCCATCTGCCCGCCCCTATGCGGGTCTGAGAAGAATGCTTGATAGGGAATGTTATTGCCTCCGAGGTTGTTCCTGGCTAACTATGTTTAGAGAGATGCCCCAGCTACCGTACTTGAGGTAAACAGGTAGAGGAGAGGCTTCGTGCTGTGTTATATGTCCGTCTATTCGACGGTGTAGTTATGACTTGACGAAAGCATGCTCCTGTCTAGCAGGAGCAAGTTGTTCAGGCTGTAGACAAGAACTGTTTCCCAGCCCGAATCCGTAGAGATATTCAGACTTTCATCTTAGGCTACGCTCGATTAGCACAGTCGTTTGTCTCTCTTGGTCTTCCAGCTAGATAAAGTGAGCTTGACCGAAAGCATGGCAGATGAGGCAAGGAAGGCAAGCAAATCAATAAGGTAGTAGGTAAGGCAAACCAACCAGCTAGTTCTTTATTCCCGCTGCATCTAAACTATCTGCGCTCGCTCGAAAAAAACTTGGAGGGGAGGAGGTTGATAGCTAGTAGCTACCTACGTAGGTATATAATGGAAGGCGACACAGAAACTCACATCAAAGAGGAGGGAGGCTAGATAGGTAGGTAATAAAATGATGCAAGCAAGTAAGCAATCCAGCAATCCAACCAAACCCCCTTTTTGAAAAAGAAATCTGACGGCTTTTGCTTTTATTTTTGATCTCGGAACCACCACCCATCCATTCAGTCATCCATTCAGCCGACTGCAGACAAGAGAAAGCAAAAAGCCAAGCAAGAAGAGCGTTGAAGGGGGGAAAAAGGAAATAAGCTCAGAACAACGAAAGGAAAACAATTCTTTTTAGATTGAAAATACAGGACAAAACGCAACGATATGACCGGAATAGGGGAGGCGGAATGGAAGGAGGGTGGGAGTTGGGAGTTGAGGGAGGGAGCAAAACCTCTAACAACTCGAGAGAGGAAAAAGAGCAAGTGACCACCAGCATCCAGACCGAAAACCCCAGCGCCAGGAATCCACTGAATACCAACTACCCAAAAACAACCGCACCCTATATGAGAGCAAACATTTGTAGCAAACTGCAACCAAGACTCCCACCCACCGGTGCGCCGTGGCCGGTGCTTCGCCTCGCTTGGTGCGTAAGACAGAATTAACATTAACAACAAGAAAAACGAAAAAAGAAGACAGAAAAAGAAACAAAAACTCCCAGACGAATATCCCATGCAAAGCGAATGAGGTGCTGTTCGCGTCAGGCGTGGCAGTTTGGCATGTTCCGCAGACGGCTTCGAGGCCCTCCCCCCAACTAGCCCAGGCGAGTTTATTTAAAACCTCCTGGCTGGTTGACGGATTTCTTGGCTGAAGTCGTCTTCCTCCATCTTCAGAAGGACGAACCGCCCTCTCCTTCCCTCCACACCTCTCTTTCTGTACTCTCTCCATGTCGTGAAACATATATCACCCCCATCTAATAATTGCAGATACTCTTCATCCCCCGTTGCCCTTCTTTCGGGCCAGAACGCGGTTTTTATAGCGTTTCGGGTCTTTCGTCTTCTACTTCCGCCCCGTTCTTCCAGATTCTTGTCCGTCTATCCCTATTGTAAACGATGTCTCTCTATCACCCTCTCGTCAAGAGTTGGCTCTGTTCCTCCAAATCACCAAAAAGAAGAATTAGGAATTGGCTGTAGCGGGGATTCAATCCGCGTGGTTGGGCAGTGGGAAGAGTTTAAACCGAGCCGATTCGAGTACCAAACGAGATTCTCAGGCGGACTTGACTCGTCAAACACTTGCGCCAAAAACGCAACCAAGTAGGGGCAAGCCCGAAATTGAGAGAAGAATATAGTAACGTGCAGTGCACCAACTCGAAGACTCGGGAAAAGGCAGAGAATCTCGGCCGATTGTCCTGGTCGAGGAGCCGGTAAAGAAGGGGAGTGAAGGATGGGTATCAATCTGAACCCTACTCTCTATATCGGGGTATAAGTCGGCAAAATCTGCCTAATGACGATCCCTCTTTCGCGATGCAAAAGACCGAGACCGTTCATGGAAACGCCAGACAGCATGCTGTAAATGCAAATTTCGACACAAATGGAAATAGTGAAAATGGCAGCTTAAATGGTGGCTGCCTTGTACTTGGGAATATGTCAATCGGAATCGCAACACGTTGCGATATTTTCAGCGGCCCCCGGAGTGAGACAGATGCGCAGGAACTGCACTATTGCATCTCCTCATTGATATTTGGAAGGCCTTGCTGGAGTGCAAGAATGGTTGATGGGTTCGACATCATCGTTGACAGGATATTCTGATGCTGGGCCCGCATCTCGGGGTCACACATCGGAGAATGCTGCTTGTGCTATTATGATACGTGAGCGCAATGTCGAATGAAATAGTAGATTTGGAAATACTTACGTATTTGAGCCCGTTCAGGTTCTTGTACCTCTTACCGCAGACTTCGCATTTGAAAGGCTTTTCTTTCTCCATCCCAAGAGTTCCCGGATAGGGCGCGCTAGTCTCTGGGTTGACTATTGAGAAGGTCCCATCGCCATTTTCGTGGAGCTGCTGGGTTGAGTGGCCGTGGGTCTTGTGGTACCTGGTTTGGCGCGTTAGCGGGTTCAGGGAGGGGGCAAAGGGAAGGAGGAATAGAACCCAAGAATGAAAACAAAACTTACTTGAGACCGTTTTGGTTCTTGTAGGCCTTTTCACAGCCGATGACCGGACACCTGAACGGCTTGTGCTCTTCGCTGGGCGGCATCATCATCGCACTCATTTGCTGCAGGATCATGGCCGGATCTGTGCCAGCGGGAAGCTGGCTCAAATCCAAGTTCATGGCCGTCAGCTGCTGCTGCAACTGCTGTTGCATCTGCACTTGCTGGTCCCAAGCCCGCTGCTGACTCGTCATCTGGGTCGAGCCCCCAGGGCTATACAGCCGCTTGGCAGGATCGTCAATCGTCCCCAATGTACCAAATCCAAGCCCACCTAATTGCGTGTTGAGGTTCATGTTCCCCATGTTCATCTTCATAGGCATTCCAGGGATATCATCCTCGTCATCTTCATCGTCTTGAGAGAACTGTCCCCTTTGTGGTATCCCTTGCTGAGTTGTCAAGGTCGGCGTGTTTACTGACGAGACGGTTGGGTTGTTTTGGAAGCCAAAGCTGGCGGCTGCAGGCGTCGGGGGCTGCGAGGTACGGAGAGCCTGGTGAGGAAGGCCAGCGCTGTTCAGATGCAGCTGCGGCCGTTGCTGCTGGCCAAAAAGCTGGCGAGTCTGCTGGATAGTGCGCTGACTATCGTCCATCTCCATAGGGCCGACGGCGTCGTCGAGCTCCATGTCGCCAACAGCATCCATGTCGTCGTTCATGTGCGACGTTGAATTAGGTTTTTGGAGGGACGGCGTTGTCTGGTGCTGCTGTCGCATCATCTGCCCGATCCCGCCGACACCCGCGTTCCGACCGGCTGTGCCTGTCTGTCGCGGCTGCTGATACCCATGCAGTGACTGTGCCGTCGGTTGCGCCCTCCCGGCGGACGGCGCAGACGGGGTGGCCCGACTACTTGAGCCGCGCGCATTGCCTTGGTTTGCGGCAAAAGAGTCGATGTTCCTCGAGAACGAGGGCGTCGCTGTGGCGTGGTGATTCTCCTCGTAGTGCTGGAGGAGATCGTGGAGAGTGGCCCAAGTCCGCTCGCAGCACGTAAAGTCGCGCATGAAGTTGGCCTCCAACTTGGGGATGTATGATGATGAGTGGAAAGACGGCGACTGGTGGTTGAGGTATGGCGAAGTTCCCGTCATCATCATACTAGCAGCGCACGACGCAGGTTAGCTCGTGAATCCAAAGACACAAAAAAGGAGAAGCGCGCGGGGACGCAACGCCGAACGGTCGTCGATGCGCAACATGTTTTACTCGGGAGATAAGCGTCTCGCGAGGACCGGCACAAAGAGCTGTCGAAGGAAAGGGACTTACTCTTCCCTAATAAAACTCCCGACGGAAATGCCTCCCCAGCTCATGCCGCCCATCATGCTGCCGGCCAAACTCTCGCGCCGGCCGCGATTAGCATGGTCACGATTTGGGTTTGCCATGGAGATGGGCTTCGCGCCAGCGCTGACAAACGAGTCGTTGCGACTGCGGCCCATAGCCGAGTCAAAGTTGGGACCAGTGGTCATGTCGACGTCGACGTCGGTATCGACAACAACGGCGGCAGCGCGGTCAGTGTCGACAAGATCAAGGTCAAAGACAGCGTTGTCGGGGTCAGTGGCGACGTGGGTGTGGTGATTGTGCGCGGTGGGTTCAGTGGATTTGGATATGTGCACCGACAATGTTGAGATGTTGATGGGCCTGGAAGTGGCGGACTTGGAGGGAATACTGTCGCGACCAAATACGAGCGAGCTAGGCGTCGCCGGCTGGGGTGTTGGAGATGGCGAGCGGGACGAATGGTTGAGGGAGAGAGGCGAGTTAGCGGCAGCGGGCGACTGGGACGACGGGGCGTCAGAGGCAGAAGGCGATGCGCGATAACAATTGGGCCCACCGCCGGCCCCAGCAGTAGTTGCACTTGCAGTTGCAGCAGCCGTAGCGGGGCCAGTTCTAGTTGCAGGGGGGCCCGCAGGTGGTGCAGGCTCGGGGCTTGTTCTCGAAGTGAACCACTTCATGGAGGGCAGCATGGCAAGGGCCAATGTGGATTGAAGCGCTGCCTAACCGGGTCCGGGAGGAGTCGCAAATATGCACCTCTGCGGTTCTCCAGGGCGGAAGGATTCGAGAAGGGGCGGACCAGAGGCAAAACGCCGCACAAGTCCACACGATGGGGGGGAAAGAACAGAGGCGAGTCGACGGCACAGCGCAATCGATTGCAAGATGGGATGCCTGCCACGAGCTATTTCGGGTTCCTGGGCCGCTGGGGGACGGCAGTTAAAGTTGTTAGCTAGGGATCACGGATATTCCGTAGGTACGGTAGTAGCAAGGTATTGGTTCGTAAGGAAGTTGGCCTGGCAGACCACGAATGGGTCGCCTTCTTATTCACCCCTGGCAGCGCCTTTCCGCCAACAAACGACGAACGGCTAAAGTTTGACGGATGGATGGGCGGGTGGCTCGCTGATATGTGCGGTAGGCAGGTAGGAGGGAAATAACTTACAGAGCGGTTCCGCCGTCAAGGTTCAGGGCGCCACAAAGTCGGTTGGACGGCCGTATAATGTCCAACTAGTAGTAACAACGTTGAAAGTGTGGGCCTGATTTGATAGTAACTTATTCCGTTAGTAGGCCGGTTCGCAGTAACCAGTCTCGCAGGATGGTAAGATACGGCGCAGTGCGGGTGTAAGTTGGCGATAAAACTATAGTCCGAATAATGACGAAATAGACGGATTATACCAGACAATAACCCCTAGGACCAAAGATAGACGCAGATTAGCGATATGGGAGCGAGGCGGTGGGTTCGGGCGTGTCAAGCTGAACGAGCTGTGAATTGAGCGGTAGGCGCTTATTCCGTATCGTATAATGTGTATGCTGGATTAGACCGACGGATCACGGACGCATTACGCCGCGAAAGTCGTCCTCGAAGTTAGATCGGTAGTTCTTGGTGTCCCTTGCCCTTGACCTTGACTCTTGGCTCTCGCACACGCAGCTTTTTGTGTTGGCGCAGGTCTTCCGGAGGCTTAGGCGCAGGCGCGGATGGATGGAAGCAGGCGTCAGATCGGGCGAGCACTTCTACGGCGTTGTAGGAGGCGGTGGCACAACAAACGCTGGGTCCCTGGACACCTCAGCTCGGGACGCTGTGCGAGAAATTAAATGTAAATACTCCGTGCAAGTAAGTGCAAGTGGGCGAACAGGAGGACCTGACTGAGTAGCGAAAGGGGGATGCGGTGTGCAAGCTTGCTTCTTGTGGGCAAGCCTACTATGGTAGCTCCCGCCAGGAAGGTACTGTATGTGTGTATGTACTTCGTACCTGCCTTAAGTTTTGGTGAACTTTGGCTACGACATCCATGCAATGGAGCCGCCGTCTATCATTCCCATTCCTAGATTCGTCTCTCCCGGCAAAGGAGCAAACGGAAGGACGTGGTACCCAAGTTTCCTCGTTGCCACGACGAATTATTGCCCCCATAACCCGCCTGCGCCAAACAATAGATATGTAGTTATTACCGTCCTTACCTAAGTAGTAGGCTCGTCTCTTCGCCGGCAGAGGTTACGGCGAGGCTATCATACTAGGTCTGGCTCGAGTTCTCGCTCTGCTGCCGCCGAGGGGTTGTGCCAGCCCGCACTGTGCTCGAAGCCATTCGCCGTTCACGCAGATCCTCCTCCGTCTGATTTCTGAAATAGCTATGACGGTACTCACCACTCGCCGCTTTGACGCCGCTGCGGCGTTAGTCTAGCTTGCGAGTGGCTTAGCCTTATTGTCTCGTTACAAATTCGGCGTCTCAAAGATGGAGACGGAGACCAGCCTTACGGTACATCCAATATGATTCAGCTTGGTAAGGTAACTGCCATTGGCGCTTTAGGTAACCGAACTGGCGCGGAGGTTTCTTAGCTGTGTGTCACAACAGGCGAGACAGAACGTTACTGCCATGTGAATCGTAAGCGACAGGCCCGCGACTTCCCCAAAGTCTCCACTTTGAACCAGGAACTTGTAAAGGCAGCGCGGCAGTAAGGTGGGCAGTCACCGCTCTACCTAACCGACAAAATTCCAGAAACCAAAGCGTAATTGCGTATCTGTTGTTGTAGGTTTGGCTCATTGTTGTAGACGAGGTGCAGTACATGCCTGCCTACCTTACTTTCCTCCTCTTTCCAAGAGTTAGGGCAACTGTCTCACACTGCACCCCAGCCCCAACTCATGATGGCGCCTCAGACAATGGTCAGGTGTCTCAAGTGTGCCAGCAATTAAGGTAGGCAGGTAATTTCGCCTCGAGCGGGAGGCTCCCGGCGATTTTAGATCGGCCTGTCTCAGGGGAAGGGGCACGGTATGCGGGACAGTCGGACCGCGGGAGGCCCAGGCCATGAGAGTTATCGGACACATGGAGCTGAGTGACTCCTGTCACGGTGCAGCCGAGCATTGAATGTTGGTGGGCGCCTTTGCGTGCTATAATGCTCCGGCTCCAAGATTGCCACTAGGAAGCCGTGCCATGGAACTCGGGGCACACAAAAGTATAATCCGCGAAGCTGCCACTTCCTAGCCCGAGTGACATTGCCCATGGTGCTCAAGCCCGCAACGTTGTTGTGACTGACTCAGAGCCCAGAAACTCAATCGTCACGGAGGAGGGGTTGATTCACCCAAGTCACTCGATTCCCCTCGACACCCAGAGACTCACGCATGATTCATCTTGACCTCCCACCACCCGACATTATTATTGAGAAAACAGAAGCTTGCCGCACTTGCTACGGAAACTCATGTTGTGGTACAGCACGTATCTAGACAAGAGTCCTCGGTTTGCCCTAACACGAACATTTAGTGTTATTAGTGGTTCGAGAACGGTTACGCTTCCATCATATCGAACTACATCCGGTTGAAGTCACCCATATTCCCCTCAACAGACCAACTAGCGTTGACAAACGACTACCTCATGGCCCAGGGATCCTTGACAACGGCAAAAAGAGGCAGGTTGGAGAGTATCCATTCCCCGCCCGCGTGCAGCGGACGCCTTGCAATCCAAGCTGGCCTGGGCTCCACTCCCCTTTTGAGAATGGAGACTCGGCCTCCACTGGTCGCGGCTGCTTGCCACAACGGTGGACCGTGGTGCGTCTCCCGTCATGCGGTGCGCTTGCCGGGAGACCCTTGCCACCGTCAGGTAGGCGGATCTTGCGACTGGCTGGTCGTCTTAAGACCGTTTTGGCGACGCTAAAAAGCCTTCGGCGATTAGGTGGGCACACTCACTTACATCCCGCCTGTGTATGGATACCTTACCTATTAGCGGCCTCGGCTTTTTCACCGGAATGCGGAAACTAAAAACCGTCTCTAGGCTTTGGCTTCCGCTGGTGTTCCAGACAGACCGCACGAAGACGGCAAGGCTGTAGTTGTCGGACCTGAGCCCTGGGCTTCCAGTAGTTTGAGCGTTGTTGCGCTGGCCGATTCAGACAAGTCTCCGCTTCAGCTGGCGCTAGTGCGACGGAGCCATTGAGCTTTAAGTATTTTAAGCTCGACAGGCACAAGTGGCAGGTAATTGCCGAAACAAGTTTCTTGCCGCAGACTTCTAGATCGTCCACGGAGCGTTGCTACTCATCAGCCGTGAATGTCCTTCTGAGACGACAAGGCGGAGAGCCTACCCAGGTATTTCTGGAGGATCGGTGCACCGCCCTTGCTGAGCGATCTCGACGCAGCGAATGGAAACAAAACATTATCAACGGTCGCCAGGTGTCTGATGGCGAATGACGCTGCTCTGTGGGATATTTCCCGCCTTTGCCCCACAGGAGATCGACAGGAGAGGGCAGATCGAGGGCACGTTTCCAAAAAAAAAAAAAAAAATGTCGGCCGTTTCGAGCCAATATGACAACGAACCCAGAGTCCAGAGCAACAGCCCCTCTTTCTCTCGGTAATCGTTCCTGCCCATGAGCGTTAGCCGTATGCGACTGCGACGTCGATATGCGCGATAGTCGCTTTTCCCCGAGTTGCTGTGTCGTCAGATCTCGCTGCATCCTCAGTCGGCTGCATGCCACCTCGATCGTGTTTCTCGCTCGCTCATAGTAGAATGCATATCAACTTCCTAACGTCTTATCGACTCGCCATTATTCGTTGCTTTAGGATTATCGATGCCAATCTGGTTAAGCGCGGTTTCAGCGGTGCTTGGGGGTTTCGGCTCCAATATCGGCTCAAGTTGCCATCATACCGGCATCACCGCGGGGCTTTGGCAGCTGTTTTTACCACCAACACACGTCCTTGAGCGACGTTTAGTTGGCGCCGAAACAGTCTATCTGCTCCTTCGTTGTGACAGCCTAGTTGGCCTGACACTGGGTGGGAAACAAGCGTTTGTTACTCATCGACGATGTTGGCATGTATGCGGATGCCCGAATCTTCGCAGTTCGAATCATGTCGTCTATCTCATTGCCAACCACTCACAGGCAACTATACACACTAGATGATTGTCCAATATTAACTCAGGCAATTGGCTTGGACTTCAATTCAGGTCTGCACTACCAATAACAACCGCAGCACACCAGCATTTGCCAAAATGAGAAATCCCGCCTCGACGAAGTGCATGGATATCACAGGCGGCGAATACTGTCATTGACTCGAGTTGGAGCCACATTGCTCCCGGCTGTGGCTAGGAAGGGCTGATCACGGCGGTCATTTTCCGTGCTTCTGTGGCCGGGTTTTCTTTACGGAACAACAACGAAAGTGTTGTGGTGATATGAGCATGAAAGGCTGGCATGTGAGCTTCATGGATTATCTTCCCCTCGGACGTGTGGCTGTGTCAAGCCGTTCGACTTCCTCTTTCGGTACATCTGCTGTTTCGCGCCGCGTTACGGCGGTGAGGGCTGTCATTTTCAGGAGATCTCAGCCAACCGGGCAGCGCTCTTCTACCCCCCTAGTTTCCTTCCCAGAGGCTAGTCCCGGTGGGATGGGATGGATGTCAAGGGTTCTGCCACCCAACCCCGACCTGAACAAACGGTCCGAGCGCCATCGTCCTTCCAGAAGGGTTCTAAGCCGCTCCGCCCAAATCGCGGGCGGTGAATGCAATTGGAGGAGAGGAAAAAGTTGCTCATGGAGGTGCGTACTTGCGAGGAAATGCTTGATAGAGTCAGAGTTGTGGCATGTTGACGCGACAAGCCCGAGTCAGCATCTATTCCACCGAGCCCTTTGTTTGAGGCGCCTCGCGGCTTCACTGAGGAGCGAGCTCGCGTCCATTTATTTTCTGTCAGCTTAGACCCTGAATCCATTTGTCACAGCTCGACGGCGTCGGCGATCATACTGGGGTCTCCTGGGTCTGCGGAATAAATGGGTTCCCGACACCAGGTGGTAAAGTACCTCCTCGGATCATCGTAGGCTGCGAGAATTCACCCCCTTTTGATGAAGGGCAGGCGGTAGCAATGCAGTCGACAAAGGTGCCGAGTCGCCGACAGTGAGCCCGAGAGACGAATGAGGCAGATCCTGTCAGCGCCGATGCCACGTGTGTGCTCCGGCGGCGCACGGCTACCAGAACTCAGCCGGCTTGGATCTTAAACTGGCCCGACAACAAGTTCTCGGGCTGGTCACGAATCCTGAATGCCGTCTCGTAGCTGGGGATTATTATTGATCAATAATCAATCGAACAGCCTGAACCAGGCGGCAGCATTATCTAGTCTATATTCCACGGGTTCTTCCCTAGGCTCAGTAAGCCAGATTCATTCCTTACCTTTCGTACGATTTACAGCGTCCTCCGTCCATACCTCCTACTCAGCAGGTCTATCTCCGCCATTCGGGATACTAAGTACGGAATACAGCCACGCGACCGACACTTGTACCTAATGCTGTATGCAATCTGCATTGCTACCACTGGGAGAATGCGTCAAGACGGGTGGGATCGGAAGGGGGGAGAATGAATCGGGTAGACCCGTTTCAAAAGGAATGGCATTCTTTGCACAGCTGCCATGTTTTTGTCAGCATCAAACCTCTTGGCGTGGTTTGCTGGCCATTCTCCCTGTCCCCGCGGAGAAGCCATCGCAGGTAAATCAGCGACCGGCGAAAATAGGGACCAGAATTAGATGTTGGCGGAACACGCCAGCCGCTGGCGGGCCGGTTACAGGCCTAAAGGGGCACGGTTTAGGGGTCTTGGTCCGTGCGAGCCACCAACTGCTGCGGCAAACTCTCGGGATTCAGGGATTCGGGCCTAGCCTTTTCCCGAAGGCTCGCAAGCAGAACGGATGAAGCCATTACATCACCGTTTTCCCCCGACGAAGACCCCAAATTCGCCGCAGCACCCTCAACATCCCGAGCTAGGCCAGCTTCCGCGGGCGTAGAACGGGCTACAAAGGGCCACAGTAATCAACACAGTTGACAACTTGACATACATATAATAACTCAATTGAAGCCCAATTCATGCCCAGGCTTTTAGTCTCCATCTGGAGTAGAGAAAACACACCATTCACACAACCTGCCCGTTGATTTTTGACCCACCATCTTCCTCCGCCCCACTCAATCCTGTCGTCATACGACTATACCCACATCATCTAATCCATCAAAACCCAGCCATAAGCTATACCTACCTTATTGATAACATCCAGCTAACGTCTATTCTCACGATACCTGTCTTCTAACCGCCCTTGCGACTGCGCGCAAACACCCGCACCTGAGGAACAGCAGAACCACCACCTTCAATCCGCACCCACATCCACTACGACCATGAAGATTATCAGCAAAGAGGAGGAAAAGGCCCACTACGATGAGGTGCTCAAGGGCGGCATGATAGGCGGCGGGCTCGGCCTCGCGTTGGGTGTGGTAGGCGTCATCGGCGCACAGAAGCGGTATTCGGGATTCCGGGCGCTGACATTGCCGTTCCGGTCATTCCTCGTAACGTCGGCGGGCACGTTCGGCGCCATCATTACGGCGGAGCGCTACAGCGTGACGTTTCAGCGCGCCAAGGACCCCATGAACTCGTACAAGGACGCGTCGCAGCTCGCCTTAGAGGAGGCGCGCCACAACGAGTCGGCCGCCAAGCGCTTCATGGACTGGGGCCGCGAGAACCGCTACACCATCGTCCTGTCGTCGTGGATCGCATCAATGGGCCTCGCCATGGCCATCGTCAGCCGCAGCAAGTACCTCAGCACCAGCCAGAAGGTCGTCCAGGCCCGTGTCTACGCCCAAGGCCTGACCCTCGCCGTGCTCATTGCCACGGCCGCTTTCGAGACGGCCGACGCCAAGAGCGGCAAGGGCCGCTGGGAGACAGTCATGGTCATCGACCCCAACGACCCCACGCACAGGCACCTGATTGAGAAGCGGATCGAGAAGGAGGATTACGAAGGTCAAAATCTTTGGAAAGGTGAGCCACCCCAGTCACGCACATGTCGACAAGCAGCTTTACTGACAACACTTTTTTTCCAGATATGGTCGTTGCCGAAGAGAAGAGGTTAGAAGAGCAGAAGAAGACCCGTGAAGCCGTCGCAGAGAAGCAATAGAAAGAATCGTCGGAAATTCCAGACAAATGGGAAAGAAGGAGCAGAACAAAAAAAGGCACAACCTAATGGTAACACGCTGCTTTCGGCGCGCGTAAACTTACTACCACCAACTCACAAAATCATGTTTATCCTTCCCCTGGAGATGGCAGGAAGCCACAGCTTCTCCCTTTTCCACGCCGAATGGACTTATGTCATCCTCAGATGAACTAGACGGATGATGGGACGGAAAAGAAAAGACGAAATTGAGGCCGGCGAGGCCTGCCATCGGGCTCTCGCACTTTCATGCGTGTTTGCGTGTGGGGTGGAGGATAGATCTCTGGAATGAGGGAGAAGACGGACTCCCTCAGCCTTGTCCTAGAGCATAAGAAGACGAGATGGAAGAAGGCGGAGAGTGGCCTTACGAGGCTCTTTGGAGAATGCGGTGTTTTCTCTCTCCTATGTGTAAATAGCAAAACCCAGCATTGATGCGGCGTTCGATGTCATTTTTTCAGCCTTAACATGGAGCACTTTAGTTTTTGTCTATTTTCACCATGCTCGGCTTTTTTTTCCCGACATGATATTGCATAGCTTGCATGCAATCGGAAAAACAAATGGAGCGAGGATTTATGGATCTCATGTAGGCAGTCATAGGTTATCAATCAGGTACAGGAAACCTCGCATCTCCTCCCCCTGTGTTACATTTCCTGAGATTTCTGTTTATTTTTGGTATAAGATGTAGGTAGAGTGTCATAGCTCATCTGCTTAAAAAAAACCTGGAACAGGACATAGAAAATACCCCAATATGAGAGTATGAAGACATGAAAATAGAAAAGAAAAAATGTTTAGATAAAAAAAATACATCCTTTATACGGGAAAATAAAGAAATGGCAAATCATCATATAAAATGCTTGTTAGCCCACCCACCCCTGAAAATTCATCAAAAACCCCAAAGCCAAGTCACACTGCTCATCAATCATTTCACGGTCTGTCCCCTTCATGTTGTACTTTCATCCCGTGACGCCGCATCATAAAAGCCCCCTATTTCCCACGTCATCTCAGATTCTGTCGTCTCCTATGTCACTGGAGGGGGAAAGGGGTTGTTAGCCGTTGGCGATCATCCCGGACAAGAGACACGTCAAAGTACCCCAACCCAGCACTAACCCTAGACCTCAATGGTGAAATGGCTGATTTGGGAGTAGTAGGCGTGGACGGCGAGCTCGAGGATCCAGACGTCGCCGAAGACCTCGCTCCCGTCAAAGCCGCCAATCATGAGTAGGCGGCTGTCGTAGAGGACGGCGCCGTGGTAGCCGCGGCCGCTCGGGGGCAGGCCGTAGACCTTGCGCTTGTCCCAGGACATGGTGACGAGGTTGAGCAGCAGGACGTCGTTGGAGTACTCGTTGCCGTCATGGCCGCCAATGACAAAGAGGTACGAGCCGACGATGGTGGCCGTGTGCGAAAGGCGGCGGAAGGTGATGGGGATGCTGACCGACTTCCACGTATACGTCTCGACGTCGTAGACCCACACGTCGTTGAAGCACTCGCCTCCGTCGGACCCACCGTATATGATAAGCTTGCTACCCACCATGTTGGCCGTGTGGTAGCCGCGGGCCTTGGGCCGGAGGTCCTTGCTGCCGGGCCCCTGGGTGACGGGTGATGAGGACGAGGGGCCCGAAATGAGCTTCCACGACAGCTTGTTGAAGTCGCTCACGTCGAGACGCCAGATGTCGTTAAGTGCGCGAACACCGTCGCCGCCACCAAAAACGTAGATGCCGCTCTTGTAGAAGCAAGCCGTGTGGGCGCGGCGCTTTGAGGGAATCCGGTCGCCGACGATGCGCGGGCGGAACCAGCGAAAGTTGACCGTGTCCAACACATAGACGTCGTTGTAGTAAGCGGGGCCGTCGCCGCCACCAAAGATGACGAGCTTCTTGCCCACGGCTGTGCACGTCATGGCGCGAAGCGGCACCGGCACATCGCCCACGACGGGCGGCGTCGACCAGTAAAAGGCGTCGGCGTCTAGCACATACAGCTCGTTGAAGCAGGCCCGCGAGTCACACCCGCCAAACACGAACACGTTGGACCCCACCAGCGTCGTCGTGTGCGCCCGCAGCGCCGTGTGCGGGGACCCCGACACGGGCGCCCGGCTCCAGTACATACCCGACGACGGCGCTGCCAGCACGTCGGGCGCGGTCCGCGGGTCCGCGAGCGGCGGGAAGGCTGTGTAGGCGGCGGCCCCACGTGCCGGGACGCCCCGTGATGTGCCCGCGCGGGACACGGGGCCAGTTGAACCCGATGCTACTGACGGAGCCCCCGGCCTAGCGGCTATAGCAGACGTGGACCGCAGCGCCGTGGGGCGTCTACCGCCATTGCTGCCACTCTCGGTTGTGTCCTTGCCACTGCCGGCCGAAGAATCCTGGCGCTCGACGCGCGAGGCGGCGGCGCCGGTGCCAGTGGGGGTGCCGGTGCCGGTGCCGTTCGAGGTGAGGGCCGTTGTGGGAGTTGTGGTGGCCGAGGTCGCGTGACGTGCCGAAGTAGGTGTGGGAGTCTTAGAGGGAGGGATTACGAAGGAGGCCTGGGAGGCAGAGGCCGAAGCCGAGAACGAGGTGGCAGACAGTGAGCCAGAGCCCGGGGTGGCTGATGACTGGGAGCGCTGGCGGATGGAGAGCTCCGAGGGCTTGCGGCGGCGGTCCTGACTCCTGGACGACAGGTGGCCGGGCGTGTGGGAGCGGGGCAGGGGTATCGGGGGCGCGCGGTCCTGTGTCTCGTCGTCCGGGAGGGCCGGGGTCGGCGGAGGGCGCGCGCCGATGGGCGATGTGGCCTGGGTTATCTTTTGCGAGCGCACGACCTTATTCGCTGTCCGCTGCAGCTGTGGTGCTGGCGGCGCCGGCGGCCTGTTGCGTTCGCGTCCTCCTCCTGCCGTCAGTGGTCTGGCCTGATCAGCCATTGTGAGGTCTTATGATCATTTCTTGGGCACGGGCGATAGCAGCATCCACAGTAGCGTCGTGACAGTAGAAGCGGGCCGTTAATGGCGATTTCCCGAGTTCAAGCCGTTCTCGGGCGATTCGAGCGCGCAGCGACAAAGTCAATTGGGTCGAACCTTCCGAGATAGTTGCATCTGGGCAGGGCGAAGAGAGACGGAAGCGAGGGAAACCTGCGCGGACTGTCTGGCCTAGCAAGGCTCGTCAGGCTAGCGTCTACCTAGTCGGGTGCTGGAAAAGGCGAATTTGAATCGAGGGTAAAGAGTGTCGCAGGAATGCATGTGTCCGTGGGAGCGAGAACTGGCCAGCCGTGTAAGCTGGAACGAATTTCAACCTCCTGAATGGAGGTTGCCGCTGCAGGTGCTGTGGGCAAGCAAGCATGGCAAGGCAGGTAGGGTCACCGTACCTTGCTGGTGCGTCTGCCGTAGGTTAACTACTAGGGGTCTCCCAATCAGGCAAAGCGGCCTCTTGACCCCGCGATGACTTAAAACCCGTCGCGCCACTTACACCGCGATACGCGGATTACTCTAAACTATGGATACCGTACCTGGCCCCTTATCGTCCCATTGTCCTCACCTGATGGGATGAAACAATTAAGTTCTGACCTTTGGCCAGCGAGGCTAGGTATCCCGACTCATCTATGGTGTCTATGGTCGGGCAGACGGACAGACAGACAAACGGACAACAAACAGAACAGAAGATGTGAGCGCGTGTCTCGACCAGAGGATCCTCATTCCCAACACCGATGGAAGCGAGGACACACGGGCCGTGGAGAGGATGGCATCCTGGGAGCAATCCCAGAAACCCAAACAGCCATGCAGCTCGAGGGCACATGCACACATAGTAGGTAGCATCGTCGACAATTCAACACACTACCGGTTTTCCATACCGTGCCGGGCTCGTGCTCGTGCCTGGGCAATCTAGTTTTCCCATCTGCGCAATGACGAGCCAATCGGCTAGGCCGCACTTCGCCGCGGGATGCCCCCATGCCGTTAGAACGGGAGTGCATATTCATTAACACTATGCTTCGAAGCTGGAAGTAGTGAATTTTGCAGCCCTGCCCTGTTCACATAGCTGCGATACATGCTTTGAAAAGGAACCACTGGGGGCAGTCAACCGTAAACAGCTCTTCCACGGCCCAGGCCAAATGAAGTTCAATTCTCAACATTCTCATGTTCGTGGTCCACTGTTTCTCCAAGCCCATGACCAGGAAGGAACCTCTAGTGAGACTTGGTTTTGAGTACCTGAAAAAACACAATGCAACATAGAAGCCGCGAACTTACCGTGAGAACTCTTTGTCGACGTCCAAAGTGGTGGCATGGAATGAAGCGAGCGGCACAACTCGAACAGTCCCAAACTTTAGGGCCGTGCTGGCTGCTCTTACAGCTGCCGCCTGCCAAACAACCCCGCTGTGGGGCTGCAATTCTCACCAACCTTGAATAGTCCTCTGTCCGTTCTGAACACCCAGACAAAAAATACCACCGAGACAAAAAGAAATAAAGTTGGGGCTCATATGATTTGAGTGGATTTGGCCTAGACCTAACATTCCGATAAATCACATTCACTTCAATTCAGGGCCAATTGAGTCTGCGCTGCCAGCGGCCTCGGAATCTATCATGGAGCCTCATGAAGTCGCAAAGCGGCCCGCAGACGAAGTCAGCATCGTGCATCAAATTTCATCAGCTGCTGCTGAGGAGCCAGCTTCCAAGCGTGTGAAACTCGATACCCCCGCTCAGACGTCACAATCTCAAGATGATACTACCAAAGCGCAAAGGCCAAGAGTCAAGGGTGTGGCCACCATCAAGACCGAGTATGTTGTCCAATTGATCGTTGCAACATGTCCCTGCCAAGGCTAACAGGGGGGCAGGTATCTCATCGTAGCTCCAGGACAGGGAGAATGGGGAGGAGTCCCGAGTGATGAGGGAGCCGCCGCGGTCCTCCTCGATGATGACGCCGCCGAGGGGAGGACTGCCCCCGATCCGCGAGACCAGCAAGACTCTCGCGGCCCCGGCGGCGGCAAATCCGCTCGTAACAACAAGCAGAGGAAGCAAAAGGGCGGGCAGAACAAGGACCGAGAGTTCGGCACCTTTTCCGACATCCTGCGCCTGTGTAACTCGGTCGCTTGGACCCCCGAGTTCTCGCCGCGCCACTGCAAGCACGGCGATCGCTGCAATGCCCTGCACGACATCCGCAAGTATCTCAAGGAGGGCCGGCGCGCCGATCTGGAAACGTTTGGCGGCAAGTGTCCCCTCTGGGAGACGTACGGCAAGTGCTCGGCCGGCTGGCGCTGCCTCTTCGTGTCGAGCCACATGAAGGAGGTAGAGCGCGAGGACGGACGCAAAGAGCTGATCCTCGTCGAGGAATCTAGCAAGAACTCCGCCGTAGCTGCTGATGATGGCGACGTCGCAGTCGAGGGCGATGGCGAGGGTGGCGGCGAGGCGAGGCCCGGCGTCATGAACGTGGTGTCTCCTCAGATCAAGCTGGACTTGTCGAGAAAGAGAATGGTTTTTGAAAAGTCGGAGCAGTACCTGGAATGGCTGGCCAGCGACACGAAGCTCTACCAGACCCATTTCCACCGGCAAAAGGACGACGAGGACGAGTCAAAGGACTACAAGGCGCAGTACGTTGAGCCTCCCCTCAAGCCGTCGGAGAAAAGGAGAATCTATTTTGGCCGGGAAACGCCCGTCCTGGCGCCTCTGACGACGCAGGGAAACCTCCCGTTCCGCCGCTTGTGCGTGGAGCTCGGTGCGCAAGTGACCTACTCTGAAATGGCCCTTGCCTTGCCGCTGCTCCAAGGACAAAAGGCCGACTGGACGCTGATGAGGGCGCACGAGTCCGAGGTGACTCCCCCCCGCTTCACGCCCAGCGGGCCCGTTGTCCGAGGCTACGACAACTCGAAGGACCTCAAGTTTGGCGTACAGATCACGGCGAGCGCTCCCTGGATGGCCATCAAAGCCACCGAGACGCTGACCCGGTTCTTGCCTCATCTGCGACTCATTGACCTGAATTGCGGCTGCCCTATCGACATGGTATTCAAGTCTGGAGCGGGGTCGGGCCTCCTCGACTCGCCGTCGAAGCTGGACAGGATGATACGGGGCATGAATGCAGTGTCTTGCGACGTCCCCATCACTGCCAAGATCAGGATGGGCATCAGGGACGACAAGTTCATCGCCCACAAGCTCGTGGAGCGACTGGGCCTCGGGAGCCAGGACATGCGCGACACACTCGGGGCTCCTGGCTGTGCGGCGGTGACTCTGCACGGTCGTACCCGGCAGCAGCGGTACACCAGGGACGCCGACTGGAGTTACATTGCGGAATGCGCGGCCCTGATCAAACAGCACAACGAGAAGAGCGACGACCTGGCTGATACCATACGCGAGGCCGAGGAGAACACGCTGCCGAACGGGGGCAAGATGTATTTCGTGGGCAACGGCGACTGTTACTCGCACGTCGACTACTACGACCACGTCGACAACGCCAAGGTGGACAGCGTCATGATTGGCCGGGGAGCCATCATCAAGCCGTGGATCTTTGAAGAGATCCAAAAGGGCCAGTACCTAGACAAGTCGGCCTCGGAGCGGCTGGCGTACATTGAGAAGTTTGCGCGCTACGGCATGGAGGCGTGGGGGTCCGACGAGCTCGGCATCAACTACACGAGGCGTTTCATGCTCGAGTTCCTCAGCTTCTTCAACCGCTACGTGCCCATCGGCCTTCTCGAGTACCTGCCGCCCGTCATCAACGAGCGGCCCCCTGCCTACCACGGGCGGAGCGATCTCGAGACGCTGCTTGCCAGTAAGGACTACAAAGACTGGGTCAAGATTAGGTGAGCTTCTTGTTCCTCTTCTATTTCTACTTCGAGAAAAATGCGGTCTCTAACCACAGTGCATACGTAGCGAGATGTTCCTCGGTCCGGCTCCTCCGGGGTTCAAGTTCCAGCCGAAGCACAAGTCGAACAGCTACGAGATTGAGGCCGAAGGTTAAGGGCGGCAGTAAGGTGTCGTGCGAGCACCAGCAGCCTTGCCGGCGATTCGTCGTTTATACCCGCCATTTCCGTTTACGGGGGAGGGGGGCTGTGACATGGGTTTTCATACTGCTGCGTGTCAATACATGTGTGTGTGCGTGTGCGGCATAAGGACGGCATCTCAAGCATCAGATGCAGATGCAAGCGCAGAAACTCTTTTGCGTGTAATAGATCGATCGGGCCCGACAGAATGACTTGTTATACATGCCTAGCTAACCGAGCCTCGTCGTCCGTTTGGCGCGTCAAGGGAGGCATGGTAAGATGGGTTTCCGGCATTTGAGGATCTGCGGACCGTTCGGGCCTTGGGCTTCTTGGTTTTTGCTTTTCTAGAACCAAGGCGACATACCCACTACACACATACCTGGCTGGCTAGAGAAACAAGTCCCATAGAGAAGACATCGAGTCGTCCAATTAAGATCCGAAACTCGGTCCCCTGGATCCCATGTTCAGTCTCGTCTTTGTTCAGCCCCACCCACTCCAGGATGCGTCTAGGTAGTGGGCGGCTTGGGTGATCTGGTCTGATCTGGTGTAGTGTAAATCGCGCAGAGACACAAAGGAAAAGGAAAGGAAGGGTGTGTGTTTCATGCTGCTGCTCGCCTCACCTCACTTCGCTTGCGGCGACCGAGGCGAAGAAAGCGGCGGTCAAGGTCTCGTCTCGGCTGGGGTGATTCAAGGGTTTTTTTGTTCTGTTTTATCTACCCAAAGCCCCGATTTTCGAAGAGGGACCAGAAAGGGTTATTTACGTGCTGCGAGGCTGGAGTGGTGCTGGTGTTTTGGTTGCTATTTCTTTTCTTTATTTTTTAGCAGAGATGAATTCTCTAGGACTGCCTCACGGAAATGTATAAGTAAATAAGTAAAGAGCAAGGTTGGGTACCTACCCGGTGAGGACAAGAGAGGAAAAGGAAATAAAGGGGGGGTTGGCCGCCGAGTGAGTGGGCTTGAACTTGCCTGGCCAAACATAGCGAAATAGGATATGGAGGAGAAAATAGCCCCCCCAACCCACTCCGGTCGGTACAGGGCGCTCGCTCTCTTTGTTCTTGCTACGCTGGAGAAGAGGAGGGGAAGGGAGAATGGTGGAGCAAGAGATAGATTACAAGTCATGACCTTGGACGTTGTCGTACAGGAGTGACAGAAATATATTGATCCGTACCACTGTGCCGGGTGGCGATGACAAAGTCCATGTAACCCTAACTGCTAGCAGCCCGCTGTGCGCGCCTGCCGGCAGGCGCCTGGGCGAGGTTCGCTGATGTGTGCCCTAGCTGTTGGCGCTTTGGATGGCGTCTTACTTGGGTTTATAATAGTTATTACTGACATTGAGTAGGTAGGTAGGTATCTAGGTTCTGTTTTTGGGCGTTGACTCGGCAACTAAGCGAGTGAGTTCATCTCCAACCCAACCCAAGCGCTAGGTTTAAGCTGGGGAACACCCGACGCGCGCCTGCAACATGATTGCCCGGCAGCGGAAAGACTCCCAGGAACAAACGGGTACCTGGTGTGTAAGTGCCTTCGGGTGCCCTGTGCGTATTTTGAGGGTGAACACAAAAAGGATGGGTGTGTTGTTGATTTGAAATACCCCTGAAATCTTGGCGCGGCCACCCGAGGTCATCATCTCTCTGCCGTGAGGCTCTCTGGAATACGAACGAACCTACCTTACCTTCCGGGCTAGAACTTGTATCACGCCGCCCGGTTCATCCTGATGCGCCCACCCCTGTATTCCATTTCCAAAGGACAGAAACGGGAGCTGGTAGTGCCTTATGTACATTACATACATACGGGTACCTGCCCAAGGTTTCCTTCCAGGCCCCAAGGTTACGCTCGTTGGACGCACCTTCCCTTCCCCCGCAGTCGCAATTGTAGGTCGGACATGTCGCGATCCCATTCGGGCAGTTGCAACTCTGCGATTAGCTTGGACGCGCCTTCCGCATGTTGAGCAGCCACCGCTGACCGAGCCGGCGGATAAATACTAGCGCAGGTAGACTGTCGAGATAAGTAAGGTAAGTACGGCCACGGATATGCATATCTCATATGCTTAGACTCTGTCTAGAAAATCCGAACGTGAAGTCCGAGACACTGGCGGTGCTGGGAGTAGTAGTAAAGCCCAAAAGCAGTCCGATAAGTTTCCCTCGACGCCCTGTTCCACGAGCTTGGAGCACCCTCGCCAACATTTACTCCCTCGTGCCCTGCAGAGGACTTTATCAGCCCGAGGCGGGCATTTGAAATCCAACAACACCCGAGCCCACTTTGGTGCTAGGTGCCTCTTATCACGGCTTTCGAGAAGGAAGTGACGAACTAGAAGCTACTTCCCGAAGCAGCATTAGGGATCCGCCCCATTGGGGAGGGAGTCTGTGCTGGGATATTCCCCAGAGTCAACCCATCTTCGGGAAAGACCATCCGATCTTTTCCAGACGAACTCCTTTGGACGGCAACGTTCCCGACGGCAGACGTGCTGCTTACTCCCAACCCTTAAGATCGCACGTCTTCAACTATCAAGCTTTCCATTCTCATCTGCACGTCAGTCCTGAAGACTTGATGGGTATCTTAGATGTGAAGTAGGACGCGGGGGTGGGGTTGGGGGTGCATTTGCATTCAGTCGCGATACGACCCTAGATAGCTCCTGCTGTGAGCTCATCACTTATCTGGGAACCAGCCGCACATGATAACGGGGGACTGGGCTACAACGCAGCTGTCGTCCAGACGGGCTCGGGAAGGTTTGGTCGTATGGATTGGGCTGGGCTGGGCTACCCCGCCGGAATTTGCTTTCGTCTGCGATTACAAGATGACCCGGATGGGATCACTACTTCTGCGGGTAACGCCACCATACCATGGATGTAAACCATTGATACCTAAGCTAAGTTCCTCTTCCTCCCTCCTCACACCACCCACCCCCACCTCTCTGGTCACATCAGGGTCGGGAATAGAGCTCTGCCTGCCCTGGGCCTGAGTGACGGCCAAGGGCATAAAGACGGGGCAGATATCTTGTTCACGGCTTATCTCTGTTTCCATTGCCTCCCGCCGCCTCGCCCTTTCTGTCGTCTGCTCTGACCTGCCCTGGTGTGGTGGCTCCGTGGCACGCATCCGAGTAAGAGACGGGACGAAACCACCATCTGGTCATCTCGTCGTGCACCGAGGCCGCACAGGTGACTAGCTCCGCTGCTGGCCGATTGGTCCCGTCCTTGCTACCTATTGTTCCTCTTCACTATTGTTCTTCACTACCCTTGGGATTGTTGTTTGTTCTCTGGGACGTCCCGACTCATAAATTCCCCTTTTCACCAATTCACCTTTCCCGGCCGACTCCCTTACCTTGTCTACAGACCTTATCTTTCCTGCCTTCCTAGGAACCGCACCTCCTACCCTACCCACCCAGTCACGCAACGTAGCGCAGTGGTCAAACGACTCAGGTTGCCTAAGCAACGGCCAACTCATCCAATCTCTCCTCCTTCATCCTACCTTCGCTCTGCTCTCGCCCAACCAACTCTCTCTCGTCAAAACCAGGTCGAGTCTTTGTATCCCGCATTTGGCAAGATGGACGCGCGCCCCAAGGTAAGGGACCCGGAGAGTTCTCCAGTGTCAGACGTCTACCATATCTCAGACAATGGCGCCGACATGGAGCGATCCCTCGCCCAAAAGGAGGGATTTAACACGGCCAGCCGTGAATCCGTCGCCTTCGAGAAGCTCCAGAAATTTGCCGGAGAATATGGCGTCGAGCAGCGAGGTATCGAGCGCGTCCCCGTCGAGGAGCGGACCGACTCGGGCATGTCAAAGATTGGCACCATGGTAAGAGAACCCTTTCATCCCGATTACATTTCGAGGCTAACACATGGCGCAGTGGCTTTCGGCTAACATGGTCATTTCTTCGTTCGCTATTGGCGCCGTTGCCATTGGAATCTTTGAGCTCGGCTTTGTCGACAGCGCCTTGGTCATCATCCTGATCAACTTCCTGGGCGTCATTCCCGTCTGCTTCTTCTCGACCTTTGGTCCAAAATTTGGCCTCCGCCAGATGGTTCTGTCCCGCTTCTTTTTCGGCTTCCATGGAGTCAAGCTCAGTAAGTCTTTCCGGGCATCCCGACCATCTTCACAGTTCGTCCGCTAACGTATTCCCCAGTTGCCTTCTTCAACATAGTTGCCTGTATCGGATGGTCGAGTGTCAACGTCATTGTTGGAGCCCAGCTTTTCAAGACCATCAACCCGAACATGCCAGGATGGGCCGGCATCCTTCTCATCGCCCTGTCGACCTTTGTGATATCTCTGTTCGGCTACAAGGTCGTGCACGCCTACGAACGCTGGTCGTGGATTCCTTCCTTCATCATCTTCATGGTGGCTCTGGGCACTTTTGCGCACTCTGGCCGCTTCGACAACCTCTTACCCATGAACACTGGCCCAGCTGAAACTAGCGCCGTCTTGTCGTTTGCGGCGACTGTCTACGGATTCGCGACAGGCTGGTGCCCGTATGCAGCCGACTATACGGTATACCAACCAGTCACGCGGTCCCGCACCTCGGCCTTTCTCTGGACGTTTGCCGGCCTCTTTGTGCCGCTGGTCTTCACAGAGCTCCTTGGCGCCGCGATCATGACAGCCACAATTCACGACGAGGCCTATCTCAACGCATACCTTGAGTCGGGAATTGGTGGAATCCTCGGAGCGGTACTCCTGCCGCCGCTGGGACGCTTTGGTGAGTTCTGCTTGGCCATACTGGCGCTCTCAATCATCGCCAATAACTGTCCAAACATCTACTCTGTCTCGCTCTCGCTCCAGGTGTTGGCGAAGGAGACGCAACGCGTGCCTCGGTTCATCTGGACCTTTCTGGCCACGTGCGTCTACGTCGCCATTTCCATTCCAGGCTTTGATCACTTTGCTCCTTGGCTTGAGAATTTTATGGTACTCACGAGCTATTGGTTGGCCATCTATCAAGGTGTCGCCCTACCAGAGCATTTCATATTCAGGCGTGGCTTTGGTGGGTACGTCCCCGAGCACTACGACAACCCAAAGGCTCTCCCCCCGGGGTTTGCGGCCGTCGTGGCGTTTGGATTCGGTATCCTAGGCGCTGCCATGGGAATGTCGCAGACGTGGTACACGGGCCCGATTGCGAGGCTGTGTGGCACCAGCGAGTTTGGAGCCGACGTGGGCTTTGAGCTGGGGTTTGCCTTTGCTGCTCTGTCGTTTATTATGCTGAGAACGCTGGAGAAGAAGCATTTTAAGCGTTGAGTCCTGTTGCTCGTGGTCGGTACATGGATGAACGGAGCAATGGGGCCATTTTGGTGAATATATGCAGCCCGAATCTCTTTTGGGATCAGAGGAGGTATGCAAGTCTAGGAGGATAACAGCATCCGCGACATGAGTACGTACAAGTTCTTTCCGAGAACTGGATTGGGAGGTGGTCGAGGTACAGTTACTGTATCTAAATACGGCGCTCAAGTGGTAATCTCTCTCAACCTCTTCAGCTGATGAAATGAGTTTGTAGAGTTTATGATATGCCATTTGCTGGTACATGCAAACTGAAGGACTTTTGCTTGAGTAAAGGGAGTAATGGGATGTAACGAGGGATGTAGACGACGGTACAGTCAGCGGCAACCTCGCTCGGTAATAATTCCTTCGAGTCTATGAGGCAAAGGGTTCTCATTACTCTCTTGTACTTTTGCAGTTCTGCAAGTTTGCACGTCGCTCTCTTGCAGAACCTCGCAGAACAATAGGAGAGTTGTGGTCAGGTTGCCACCTGCCAATTCCACCTGCCAACTGTCAGACCTGATCTGTCAGCCCGCCATTCCTGCCAATGCACTTCACTCATTCGACAAATACCTGCCTCCAAGGAAAAGCAACGGCTACTTCAACAAATACACAACCCACTCCAGCTGTTCTTTTTTGACGACGGCACACGACAAACCTACTTTCTTTTCTTCTTGCGCCATGGGCCCCACGGTCCTCCCCGCCTCGGGCAATCCGCTGTATGTATTATGTTTTCTTGGTCCTTGCCTTATCTCTCTCTCATATAAGAGGCTGCATAGATGGATCCACTCGCCGCCTTTGTGTATGTGCGTGCGTGTGTGTGTTTGTGTGTGTGGAAAGAAGCGTGTGCTGAAAATCGGGTTGTTTAAACAGGGTGTTTTTCGACATTACGCTTGGAGGTATGTGCCATGCGATGTGATTTCTCTTCGCTTCGCTTCTTCTATTCGGTCTTTGTTTTTCCACCAGTGTTTTCCCGTCTCGGGTTTGAACAGCTGGTTTTCTTGAACCTGGGGACTGCATCTCCAGTCATTCCTTTCTTTTTCGTTGACAGACAGTTTGACGTGCATGCTAACCATGCTAACTCACAAAACACGCCAGGCGAGCCCCTCGGCCGCATCACGTTTGAGCTCTTCAACGGCGTGGTGCCGCGCACGGCCGAGAACTTCCGCCAGTTCTGCACGGGCGAGACCAAGGGCAACAACGGCCGCCCGCAGGGCTTCAAGGGCTCAAAGTTCCACCGCATTGTAAGTTGCACATTCCACTCAATATCTCTCTGCATGAGTGCACAGTCTGACCCCCGATGGTGGACTGGATACAGATCCCCAACTTCATGTGCCAGGGTGGCGACTTTCTCAACGGCGACGGCACCGGGTCGACGTGCATCTACGGCACCAAGTCGTTTGCCGACGAGAACTTTGACATCAAGCACGACGAGCCGGGCCTGCTCTCCATGGCGGTGTGTTCTTCCCTTGTTCAAGTAGTAGGCAGTAGAGGTGTAACTGACTCCCGCAAAGAACGCCGGCCCCAACACCAACGGGTCGCAGTTCTTCATCACGACGGTGCCGACGCCGTTCCTCGACGGCAAGCACGTCGTGTTCGGCAAGGTGGTCGACGGCATGGACGTGGTGCGCAAGATGGAGCAGACCAAGACGGGCTACAAGGGCAAGGACGTCCCTAACATGGACGTCGTCATTGCCCAGTGTGGCGAGATGTAGTGGCTGACTGGCTTGTACCGCCGGATACTCAAACAAATAAATAACCAAGCAAGCAAACAAAGAAAGCTTACCAAAAAGAAAACGAAAACAGTGCCTGTAGTCGTTCCTTTAACTACTACTATAGAGACACAACGATTACGCAATGCAGTGACTCAAGACTAAGAGGATTCACATTTCCAACGAGCTCTTTAATCACGAAATTTAATCATAGGTTTTCTGTATTACTCCGCAAAACTCAAGGTAGGTGTGTAGGTATGCTACGACTGCCTAAGGTGGGCCGAGCTGCCTTGCTGACCATTAAATGGAAAGAAAGCCCACCACTCAAGAAGCCTCCGCACACACGTACAAAATGACCAGTTCCGTCTCCTTGCTCCATCCAGTGGGTATTTGTGTGTGGAGGGAAATCTGAGCCCATAAACGAAGAAGTAGAAAGAAGAAAGAAAAACACGAAAAGTGGTATCATCATGAAAAAAAAAGCCCAACCACCCACCCGTCCTTTTTTGTAGATGCGAGAACCAGACGTGCCACCCACCCACCCTCAAAAACTCCAAAGGGGAAAGGGAAATCAAATCGATTATGCGTTTGTTTGTATGCTGCGAGTTGGCCGGGTTTCCAAAACGAGGGCCACTCTCCATGCGATGCGACGCGATGCGATGCGAATGTGAAATGAGATTATTAAAAAAAGAATGCAAGAAAAAAACCGAAGGCGTGTCGTTATCCGTATATTATCGTCGGCGAAGCTGGCCGTGCCCTGGCTACACGACACTGAAGCGGCGCGCAGCCCGCGACCCTCTAGGCAGGAAGCCGGTGACGCTTGGTGCCCGGGCGCTGACAGGCGCTGACGAGGCCGAGGCCGAGGCCAAGGCCGGGGTCGGGGTCCGGGTGCTGGTTATGAAGATGGTCGTCTCGGGGACGGTGACCGTCACCGTCAGGACATCGTCGTCGTCGGCGGGCCTCGGCGACGCAGATGGTGCTGACGAAGGCTTTGGTGACGAGCCCGCTTTGGACGAGGCTGGCGTTGGCGAGGCCGCCTTGGACGAAGCCGGCGGCGGTGGGGCTGCTGGCGACGGGGAGGGGCTCGGTTGCGGGGGCGGCTTGTTGGCCGAGTCACCCCCGTTGGCGTTGGCAGCTAGAATTGAATTGTCCAGAGGCAGTTTGGGGTCCTTTACCCCGACTAGAGCGCCGAGAGGGATGTCGGTCAGGTCTGCCGTCGCCTCAGAGACGGCGAAGCCAGCCTGAGGAACTTGGACCAAGAAGGGGTTCATCATATGGGACTTGATCGCCGCCACGGCGATGTTGGGTTGCTTTGCGAACTGCACGACGAACTTGCCGTTGGCTGCCTTGCAAGTAGGTCCCCTGACACTGCCCAGGCTGTCGTCGCAGGGGTCCACGATCTTGTAGTCGACGACACCCGTGTACAGCTCAGGTAACACCACGTATGGCTTGCCCGAAGTTGACGAGTTGGCGTTGTAGGAGGCCGGAGTCACAGCGACTCCCGCTTCGCTCATGACCGGCCAGTCCCAGACCCAGATCACGGTCAGCGTCTTGCCTACCGCGATATCCGTAGGAATCTGAAAATCGGTTTGGCACGACAAGCCACCGTCGCCGCTGTTGAAGTTTTGAAAGCGGTACTTTGAGATGCCAACGGGGTCGCCGGCTGCTGACATGGCTTCGTGGCATTGGCCATCGTCGTAATTTCTTGTCGCGAGTAGCTTGCCCTGCTTGTTGCCGCCAGTGCCATCGGCTGTCCACTTCAAATGGATGTCGATCAGGTTGGAGTTGGAGAGGTCGTTTTCCGTGGTGCCATATACGTAGACGGTGCCACGGTTAACTGGTCTGGGTTGGTTTGGCATGCTTTCGGACCTCGTAACGTGGCCGTTTTCCGTGTACTGAATGGCGACAAAATCGCCCGGTGCAACGTTGAGCATGGGGAAATCTTTGGAATAGCTCGAGTCGGTGAGCGTCCTCTGATCCTCTCTGGTAATCTTGGCGTCGGATAAAAAGACCTTGGCCCCCCCGTTTGGAGGCAAAAGCCACACTTGCTTGTTTTCGTCAAGACTTCCGCGCGGATGGTGAGACCTCTCAAAGCCAGGGTTGCCAACCATGGTCCCGTTTGGAGCGAGACGGGTGGTCCGTTCTGGCCATGTGTGAGCTGCGGCGGAGCCGAGGAGGGCGAGGAACGCAGCGGCCAAATGGCCGCTGGAAAAAGGGTTTGGCGGCTTCATGGCGCCGGATCTTGTGCGTGAGTAAGACAGGTAGTTGGTAGGTATACCGATGGTCTGAGACTCGAAGTGATGTTAACTGGGTAGTTATAGGTTTTTGTTGGTGGTGTCGAGGACGAATTTGTAGTCTTCGGGTGTGATATAAAGTTGTGTGATGCTTTTTGGGTTACTTGTCAGTGACACGGTGACTGAAATCTTGTTGCAAATCTTGTAAAATAAGTTGTGGTCGACAGGAAAGTGGGCAGCTGTTTTTTTCAACGTCAGGCGCGTTTGTTTCATTAGATAGTTTTAGTACGGCCAGCGTGAAAGACCAGTCCGGCTGCCTCTAGAAAATGACCAGACCAGCTGTCTTGAGAACACAAAGGAGAAATAGGGCGTTTGTTGATCACGTCGGCATTGTGTCGGCGAGAAATGAAAGGGCCCGAGGGACAATAAAGACGGGTTCAATGCTATTGTTCTTATTGTTCGGAAACGCCCGCGCCGGCGGAGTCGGGAGGGACAAAGGGACGGGGGCTCGAGAAGGAGAACAATAGACTCCGAGTCTCTTTGCCACAATCGCGTCTGAGTGCAAGGTGAGCGTGGCTTAAGCGGGCCGAGGTCGGTCAAGGTCGGGCGAGTCTGCACGCACTCGTCTAGCGCCGCGACAAGGAGGCAGGCTTCGACAACTCGCAATCAAGGTGGAGAGGGCAGAGGAAGCAGAACAAGACTAGGTTCAAGGTGGCGCGCACACTGCGCAGGTCTAACTAGCGACAGTCATATAGCAGCGGCGAGAGAGGGAAAATAGAAGAGAAGGAGAAGATCGGCGTGCACGACAAGACAAGACAGGGAATTTACGTCTTGGCATTAAGCAGAGTGCCTAGGTAAGTATAGGTGCTTTGGATGCGGCGGCCTGGGTCCTCCGGATGGAAAGAAAAGAACAAGCCTAGATGGCGTTTCTGGCATGGCATTGCAGCGTGAAACAAGCAGTGCCAAGGAGGGTTGCCAAAATGACTGGGACGCCACTAACACTAACATCCGTGAACCTTGCGAGCATCTGCTGCGACCAAGGCAAGCAGTGGATGACAGATGCGGAAGCATCACCCGCCATCTGCGGTCAAACGCAGCGGGTAGTCATGGCCCATGACCCAAGGCCCATGAGCGGCAAGCGCTACCAACATTCACCTCGCTCTCTTCCGACCTGACTCCGTGTAAGAAGTGTAGTTGCTTTGGCGGCGAACCGTTTGGGTGGGTCGTGCGGCAGATGCCTTCTTGGCTCGCCCCACTTGGGCGACATGACCAGGTAGCCCCCCCACACTGATCGGCTGGTGAGTGACTTGCGCTGGCCTGGCGTGGTGAGGCTCCAGGGGTCCCGCAGCGGGTTGGATGGGATGCAGGGGTCGTATCTTTAGGATGTCAGGTCAGGAACGCCCCTCGTGGCGCCCCCGCTAAATTCCGATGCGCCTCATCCAGTCGTGCCGTCAATGCACGGCACTCGCCAGATTAGCGAAGTGTACCACCACCACCTAGAAGCTCCTGGGGCCTTGGGAGAAAAGCTTAGAGTCGTTACATTTCTAGGGGCCGTCCTGCGAGCGATTCGCTCTAAACGCAACCACATGCGGCCGCTAGCGACCGGACGCCTATCCGAACAACCACATCGAATCGTCGGCAAACGCGTCTCTTGCTTCTCGACTTGAGTCTACCATGGACTTGACGCGTCAAACCCAGTGCGACCGACACCTGGCTTTGTGCGACTTGCAAGTTCCAGCAGAGGGCCAGGCGCCTGGTCAGTCGCTGCCGCCCCGGCAGCCGCGCTGAACCCTCTCAATCTTGCAAAGCGAGATTTGTTTCTAAAACAGAGCTCTCCGCCGCCCGTCGACGGCTTATGGCACCAACTTCTTTTTCCCCCCTTGAATCATGGATATCCCTGATGCGCCCGGGAGCAATTTGCAGCCAGACCTCGGAAGGAACCCCCAGAACCCCAGAATAGCCTCGAAACACGTCCGCCTCCCAGGGTCAGGGTCATGCTGATCGATCTTCAGGGCTCAAGCTTTTTTCTTCTTCTCAGGTCATACAGCCTGTACGCCACGCCAGGCAAATCGGCCAGCGATGTGCGCAAGGATTAATCGCTCACGTTATTCCCCTGCCCGTCGCGCATGAGTGCACGCCCATTCAACCGGTGTGATGTGCAACGCGGCATCAACACAATAGTGAAGTTGAACACTGCTCAACCCTTTTTTTAGTCCTTGCCATCTGCACATAACCTATTTTTTTTCCTTTGCAGGGCGCTTTTTTGCTAAATAACCTCTTTCACCCCTTCCAATTTCACATCATTTTTTTAACTCTCGCTGAATCGTCCAGCCAAGTAAGTGTTGGCCGAGTCGGCGGCCCGCTAGTATTTCGTCGCTCTCCGATTTTTGTTTGTGGTTCCTTTGTTCGGCGGGTGGCGGGAAAGGCAACAGCTCGCCAAGACCGTCTAAAGTCCGCGACGGAATGTGTTTCACCTAACCCGCCTCTCTCTATGGTGGGTGGCTGCCGTAACATGCGCACGTGCACAAGCCCATAAACTCAATTTCTAACATCGTTGCTCTCTTTTATCTTCAACCGCCGTCCAATACATCTCATCCCAACGTCAAAAGGGTGGTTCTTGGTACCGGCTTACCCCTGCAGGTAGCGGGAAAGAGGGAGAATAGGCTCAGCCAATAGTTTGGTCATGCGTAATAACATGCGTCTTCGCAAACTAATTACTTTTCTTGATCCCTTTGCACGTCCTCTCCCTTTTCAAAACAAACTCTCTTTTTTAGTTGACTGTCCCTTGCCAAGCACACTATACGTGACTCAATAAGATTGTGGAAAATATTAAATGTCACTGGCCAATCATCATCTCCTTGTTCTTCTCTGTACTTCGTACCGCGCCAGCAACCATTCAGGAATTAAACTGAACTGCACAGAGATACCACCAGCGACTGTGGACCCGCGGCGGAATTTCATACCATATCCTTGTCCTGTTTTGTTCTGTTCCACGTTGCAAGGCGAACAACAGTGTATCCACGCATCCATGTAATGGAGCCGTTTTTTAGGGTTTGTTTCGACTCCGCTAGGTGAGTAAGTTCTAGACAGAGCTTATACGTACTTCCGACTCGGTGAATACGTACATACGTGGCGACACGCATTTTTTCCTGGATACGTCGTGGCAAACACGTACGTATTGGGTTAGTTGGGTTTGTGTGGACGTTTCTCTGGAGCTTGTCGGTTTTTTATTTTGTTTTTAATTTATTTCGGCAAAAGTGTTGTTGGAACTCTTACTCTCTTGATACATGCATGCCTTTCACCCCATAGCCGGAAGACTGTTCGCTAGCGGTTGATTGATAAGAAACTCCAGACGAAATTAGAAGTTTAGTCTTCATTTCTACTCTTCGTTGTCTTTTTTTACATTCATTTTTAAGAAAAACTAGAATAATAGTTCGACGGGTATTACAATGCCGACAACAACCTAATTAACGAATAGCGATAACCCTATTAATAGTTGTACACGTAGAAATAGCAGCAGGGATAGTGAACTAGGGATAGTAACCGAACGCCGCCCTCGCCTGAAATGATAAAAAGGGAGAGAAGGTTGAACGAAAAAAATCGAACTGTTTTTGTTGCGTGGGTGTAAACGAAGGCTGGCTGGATGGCTAGTTTTTAGGTTTCAAGTAGACAGATAAATAGATAAATAGTATACATTATACATCATACATGACGTAGTCGTGAGAGGTAGAGAGGAAAGGGGCTGGGTAGGTAGGGTAGGGGAACATCTGAATCCCCGCCCGTTCCCTGGTAGGGGCGGATAGATGGTTAAGGGGGAATATTTAAACATTAAGAATTCTTGCCCTGCCTCGCTAGCTGAGTAGTACGACATGTCATGTCATAGGGACAATACGTCAAGGCCCGGACAATTAATTAATTAGAGGGAGGGCGTGGGCTCAAAACACTCCTTTCCCCCCTGCGCTGCCGCCAACAAAGGAAAATGGCGGTGGAGTAGACGACGGAAGCGGAGGCGGCGGAGGTGGAGGAGTAGCAGTAGTTTTGACCTCCTCGCCAAGCCCAACTGCAGCGGGAATGCTGCTGTTGTTGTTGTTGCTGCCGCCGTTGCCGCCGTTGCCGATGCTGCTCTGATGTTGATGTTGGTCCTGCTGTTGCTGCTGCTGCAGCTGCAGGGAAGCCAGGCCGCTGCTATTTATCAGCGCAGCCGTTACTGCGGGAGGCGGTGCTGGTAGTGGCGGCGGCGGCGGCGGAGGAGACTGTGACCGCGACTGTGGCTGCGACGGGGCACTGCCGCGATGCTTGAGCTTTGGCATCGGCGGCGCCGGGAAGGCGTATTCACAGGCGCCGTCTAGGCTGTCGGAGCGGCCGTGTTTCCGGCTCTGCTGTAGCCTTTGCTGTTGCTGCTGTTGCTGCTGCTGCTGCTGCGGCGGCGGCGGTGGTGGCGACTGGTGGTGCATCAAGGCGATGGCCATCTCTTGTTGTTGTTGTTGTTGTTGTTGTTGGTGGAGGTGATGTTGATGTTGCGCCGTCACCTCCTCCCAGTCCTGCGAGAGTTCGGATGCCGACGGCTGGATGCGCACCCAGTCATGGTGGGCGCCGTACTCGTCGCCCGGCACGCCGGCTGCTTTCCACTGCTGCTCGTGGGCGGTGTCTAGCGCTGTCGGCGCGTGGGTGTTGGTCGACGTGGCGGGCGTCCAGAGGCCGGAGCCATCGTCGACGCCTGCCGCCCAATGCTGTTCCTGCACGTCGTCTGACCCGCGGCGGCTGCCTGCGTTGAGTATTTGAAGGGGCGGGGGCTGTTGGCCATGCTCATGCCCATGCCCATGCGCTATCCAGTGTTGTTGCTCGCGCTCGTCATCCGGCGTGTTTGACTTGACGCCGCCGCCGCCGTTAGACCCGAGTGTTGTGGGCTGCGGCCAGTCTAGCACGCTACCGCCGCCGCCGTGCGAAGCGCCGCCCGCCGCGACATATCCCGCGGACCAGGGCCCCGTGGTGTTGATGCCAGTGATGTTGCTCGTGTCCCAGGTGGGCAGGCCGTGGTGCTGGTCGTCGTATGCTGCCCCCACGTCGTAGGTCGCCGAGCTCGCGCCAGTGAGGAACGGGTCCGTAACGTCGGCCAAGCAGCCTAGCGTCCGAGGGTCTGTGTCCATCCCTGCCGTCGTGGCGTGCGCCGCCGCCATGTAGTTGGCGAGTTGGTCCGCGGCGCCCGTGCCAGAGGCGCCGTCGAAGCTGTGCGCAAAAGAACTTGTCAAGGACGCACTCGGCGGCGGCGTGGCAAGCCCGGCGTGCGGCCCGAAGCTGTCGAGCAAGCCGAACCCGGCCGTTGCGCCCGCCCCAGCGCCAGACCTCTGGGCTGACTGGGCCATGACATGAGCGTCGTAGGCAGCCTGCGCAGCGGCGTTGGACAAGGAGCCAAGCCCCCCACCGGCCGTGTCCCACACGGCCGCGAAGTTCTCACTCATGTTGGCATACAGCTGCTGCTGGTAGGCGGGGCTTGGAGACATGACGGTGTCGCGGGGAACCGAGGGCCCGGTGAAGACGCTCGAGGCAAGGCTGCTGGCGCCGCTCAAGCTCCTGGCACGGCTGGCGCCGGCGCTCTGGCTGCCGACCAGGGCATGCTGGTGGTGGTAGGCGCTGTTGGGGTCGAGAACGGTCAAGAAGCGCCAGTTGGTCCGTCCGTTCTTGGCCGTGCTGAGCTTGGTGTCCCCGTCCATGCTGTGCACCGTCTCGAACGTCCATAGAATCACGGCGCGGCGTGTCCACCGCTGGCCGTTGCTAGCATCGCCGCCTCCCTGCCCCTCGGAACCCCCGCCCCCGTACGCCGTGTTCCTCTCGTAGGGGACCTCGGGTGGGCAAGACCAGATCTCCTGCAGCATGGCAATCTTTGGCACCAGGCCCATCTGCGTGGGCTGCGCGCTGAGCTGGGCCCTCGCGCCTGCGCCGTCGTCGTCCTCTTTCTTCACGGCAACCCTGCCTCGCTTGCCGCGCCGGTCTATGCCGGAAAAGGGGTGGGCAGGGTACTCAACGCAGTTGGAGAGGGTGCACGCCCAGACGTCGGCGGGAAACGGCACCGTGACCCAGTCTCGCTGGCAGCGCTGCGAGACGCAGTCGCACTGGTCGCGACCGCCGCTTCGCAGGCCTTCGCAGCCGGCACGGTGCTGGTACGGGATGGCGATCTCGGCAGTCGTCTCGTAGAAGAGCTCGGGGGTCGGGTTGTCCTGCGAGTAGCTCAGCTCGGGCGGGCGCACCAGCTGCGTGTGCACCTTCCAGCGGTGGCTGAGCAGGTGCGGCTGCTCAATGTTGATCTCGATCCACGAGTTGAGGTCCGACTGGCTGGGGAACCGCCGCTTCTCCTTGAGCTGAAGGACAGAGTGCATGTGCATGATGTCGAGCTGTGGGTCTACCGCCACAATCGACTCGAGCGTCCGGTAGAGGTCGGGGAAGTCTGTCTCCCACTCCTTGCTAAGCTCCCGGACAGTGCTGGACTCTACCTGGTGCATCTCCTTGGTGAACTCGTGCAGCATCGCGCCCTTGACGATCTGCTGCTCCTCCTTTGCCCACTTCTCGCGCTCGTGGTTGAGGACGAGGTGAGGGTACTCGGCGGTGTCAAGCTTGGCGCCCGTTGCCGCCATGTACCCGGACCCGTCGTCGCGCACGACAACGTCTGGGTTCGACACGAAGATCCAGCACCGCTTCGGCCTGACAACGACCTGGCCGTTCATGGCGAGGATCTGAGAAAAGTACTCGTAATTGGGCCGCTCGTCGGGCAGGCGCCCTTCCGACAAGGCAACCAAGACCAAGTTGTTCTTGAGCGATACCGACTCGACGCTTTCTTTGTTCTTGTCTTCCTTTCGCTCCCTGCCGGAGAAGAAAAAGTGGACTGCAGGGATGGGCCAAAGGGGCCGCGGTTAGAGCTGGCCATGACTGTAACGCATGCAGGGCGTGACGCCACAAACGGGGAGAGGCTCCAACTTACAACATCGGTGGTGCTGAAAGAAGTTCTTCAGCACTTGGATGTGGCTCGACACTTGCTTCCTCTGTCTCCACAAGTCTGGGTCAGGCTCAACGCCTGGGGGCAGGCTTTGGCAGTAAGATATCCAAAGATATTCACCAATCAGCATATTCCGGCCATACTGGGTTTGCTTCATTGTGTACTTCTTGCGGCCCATCTTGGGGATGAGCAAGAGAGCTGGCGACTAATCAGCCATTTCATGTCTTTATGTCGCTGTTGATCCCGTGCAGGTACACTTACCGTCAAGAAAGGCATCTTCAAGCACGTCGGGCCATTTCTGGTCTGACTTGTCGTCCTTGTCCGCCTGTCTCTTCCTGTAGGCCTGGAACTCGGGTGAGAGCCAGATGGGGTTGATGGAACTTCTCCTCTTCCTGCCTTCCAGCTGCAGCTGGTGCCGCTGTTGTAGTCTGGTGTACACTGGCGGCCCATATGTCGAGCCAAGAGGCTGGGTGGGCAGGATGGGTGGCGTGGGAATCGACGGGGATATGCCCGACGACAGCAGCTCCAACTGCTGGGCATAGGATAAATGGCTATGCTGGACATTGCCGGTCGACTCTTGAAGCGGTTGTCTCGAGGGCTGAAGCCCGTGGTAAAGCCTCACCGGCAACTCCATTGCTCCGGACAATGGCCGCGTAAGTGATAGAAATGCTCAAAGGGCAATTGCAGTCTCAGGAACGTCGTCGAACGGCAGGAACAAAAGAGAGAGCAATGCAATGCCCGGGAGGAATAGCTTTTTGTCAGAATGCGAGCCAGAGCAGATATAAAATATGCTGCATCAAAAGGGCTGAGGCATGGAGGGGAGTGCCGAGCGGCTTATAAGGCACAGCGAACCTCTCCATTCTACACGAAGCCAGGAACAACTATTGTCTGGTGCTATTTGGGTGGGACGGCTTTGCCATACATTTTTCAGGGCGACAAGACCCAAGAGCCACATGGCCGCTGGGTCATGGACTGACTGGGCAGCTGGTATGCAAGGGAATGAAGCCGAGGGGCCATGGGCCATGGAAACAACAACAGCACCTGCGTAGCTGGCCAGGCAAAGCAAGCAAGCAAACGCCATTTCTGACTTTCAGGGCCTCCTCGCCGAGCAAGCGGCTCTCAAGGCATGCGAACAAGATTAGCCTCACCTGGTGTATTGATCAGGGCGAGTCTAGGAGGGAGAGTCGAGGGGCCACGTCCCTAGAAAAAGCGGGGTTTTCTTCACAGTCGACAGGGGTGGTGGCAACCTCCTTGGCAAGGGGCGCTGAGACAGGATTGCATGCACGTCGTTATGAACCGAGACCCAGGGGCAGATCAAATTCCTCATCATTATTATCATGCCTCGTCTTCGCCGCTATCGCCAATATTGACCTTTGTCCGCCCTCGCCCTGTAAGTTGTTGCAGGGCTACCTTGTTCACCTGTCCGCGGATCTTCTTCTCCATCGCCTTGATCTGCTCTTCGGGATCAACCTCCTCGGCCGACGCAAAGTCAAGCACCAGCCGTCGTCCAAGCAAATGCGTGTCTTTGAGAGACGTGAGTGCGTTGAGAGCCTCCCGAGGAGTAGAAAACTCGGCAAAGGCAAAACCGCGAGATGAGTGGTTGAATTTCTTGGGTATCCGTAGCGCCACCAACTTGCCGTACGTGCTGAAGAGGGCGCGCACGTCCTTCTTGGACGCCTCGAACGGCAAGTTCTTGATGACTACCTTCGTACCTTGGCTGGCCGCCTTCTTGGCCAAATCCTCGCGCCTCCGTTCTTCGGCCGCATCGTGACCTTTATGAGATGCCTTGACGATAAGCTTGTGGCCGTCGAGAACATGCGCGTCCATGACGCCAAGAGCTGCCTGAGCTTGCTCTTTTGTCTTGAAGGCGCAGAAGCCGAACCCCATGCTGAGGATCTGGCCCGGCTTTTTCGGATCAGTCTTCGTCTTGACCTGCGCACTCACAAAGCCGTCCAGTGGCTTGAACACGGCTGTGAGGCCTTCGCTTGTTGTGGAGAAGTTGAGATTTCGGACGAATAGAGAGCTCGTCTCCAGCTGATCCTCGGCATCATCACGTTCCAGCAGCTCAGCAACAGATTGCTTCTGTACGCCGACGGGGCGATCGTCCTGCCGAGTTACAGTGTCCACAAAAAGCCCTTTCGGGCCTTTCTCGAGAAACAGAGGTGACTCCTTGAATCTCGAGTAGGCCTTCTTGGCAAATGCTGTCTTGCAATCGCCAGGCTGTGCAAACTGAACAATGGCAATGGTCCCGCTTGGTGGCATCAGCACTCTCAGAACCTGGCCGTGCTCCTCGAAAAGCTGTCTGATCTCCTCAATCGTGGTGGCTCGAATGTTCTTCACTAGGATCGACGTATCTCCTCGTCGCCCCGACTTGAATGCTTCAATATTCACCCCGTTGGCGGCAAAATAAGCCTTGGCCTCCTGGATGACAGTGGTCTCAGCCACTGCCTGTTTTACAGCAGCAGATGCATCTGTAGGATCTAAGAGCTCGTGTTTTGACACTCCGAGGCGTTCTGAGATGGCTGTGTTCACAGCATCTTGACTCATGAAGAGCGAGTTCCAGTTGAAGTTGTTTGATGCAGCCTCGGCCTTCTTCCTGATCATATTCTGCTTCTTCAGAGGCAGCTGGGAAAGCGTAAATTCGTTCAGCTGGGACTCACGCTTGGGAGACGCTGGGAGGATATGTAGGATGCGGCCCTCAAAAACTGAACCATCCAACTGGAATGCGGCAACAGCGCAAGATGGCTGCTGGTACCGAATCATGGCAAAGCCCTTGCTTTTGCCCCGATTGTCCAATGGGAGGTTCACCTGCCTCGCGGTTAGCAGAGGTTCAACGTCGACAATTTGGAACAAGACAGTGATAATCGGCCCTTTTGTCAGTCACTCAAAGCATCTACTAAAATACCGAGCCCAAATCTCATCATGTACCATTGGTATAAGATGTCCCTATCAGGGATTCATCATAAAAGGCGGCAGGAAGAAACGGTGTAAAAGGGAAACTCTTCAGTCTTACCTCTTCTAATTCACCGCAGACGGCGAAGTGCTCTCTGAGGCCGTCTTCGGTGACGGTATAGCTCAGATTCCGTAAAAACAGCCTGCAAGTTCTTTCAATTATGCTCACGGCGTCTTCGGGATCCGCGTTTCTGTGGGGTGCCTGGCTTGGGTCACCCGACACCCCTGAAGGAGCCTCTGACGGCTTCGCCTGGGTTGTGCCGGCTGAAGATGACCCGGGTGTAGGCACTGCAGCAGCCCCTGCCGCCCGTGGACGAGCAGAAAATCCGGGATCATCAGGATCAACTAGGTCCAGCAAGCGATTCGTCCTTGACCGAAGCCAGTCATCGTCTGTCGCACCTGTCGCACCAGTCGGACTTGTAGACTCGGGCACCACCTCCTCTACCGCTCCATCAAGAGCATGTGATGCAGGCATGTCGACGCTTGCAACGGGACGGGCGGTAACGGCCTCATGCACAGAAGTCTCCCGCGGGGGTTGCTTGGCCTGCCTCCCCGGGATCTGCTCGTACTCGTCGTCACTCTCAGCATCCAGTCCAGGGACAATGGGCATCGCATCCGGAAGACCACCAATGGCATCCCCGTTGTCCCTAGCCCTTTTCATAGGGTGGCCCATGACCTCAAGGAATTCTTGAAGCTTCGGATCGGCTTCGTCAACCACGCCATGCTTTCTCTTCTTGGTGCTGGTGTCCTCATTCTGCTGTACGCCTGCTTTTACCGCAGGCTTCAGGGGAGCACCCGCTGCAGCATCGCGCTTCTGGGGAACATTGGCAGCTGACCGCACGGTAGAGTCTGCAATCTTGCAGTGTCGGTTAGCGACAAGTTCAAGGGTGGAAGTACTGATGTATGACCCTTACCGGCTTGGCAATGTCGACAGAAATCCTGGACATGCGAATAAAGGTGCGGTTGAAGTATTTGACCGCCCTTGCAGCATCGTCGGGAGATGTGTAGCCGACAAAGCCGATGCGGCGCTGGGGGAAGAGCTTGACATCGGTGACTTGCCGACCCTGGGCCGAAAAATGGCTGCGGAGGTCTTCTTCGTTGATAGTGGGAGGCAGGTTCTTCACGTAGACCCTGGACGACTCCATCTTGTTCGTTCGGTCTTTGTCTGCCACAGCCAGCTGGATGTGAGGCTACCGAGGCATTCTGGCTTCAAGAGTGTCACGAGAGCTGTGAGACTCTTTCGAGGTTGTCCGAGGTCTGGTCTGGTGATTTTGTCTTCCTCTCTCTTTTTTCTTGAATAGGTTTGCAGCCGACTTTTTTTTTTATTCGACGTTCCAAAATTTCAAGCCCCACAGCCTCCTTATCTTATCGTCCCGAGTGCTAGGTCTCAGCTCCGCACTGACCCCGCTCAGGCACTTTCAGTGGGTGGCCGTTGGAGGCAGGTTGTGGGTACCTTCTTGCTGGTGCAGAGAAGGCGAGAAAACATGTACCAGTACTGTGCTGGCTGCGATGTGATCCCACCCCTCCCCCTATCGCCGCCTGAGGAAAAGCAAAACTGCGGCGCTGGCGCCAATTGAACTTGATGGATGCTTTGGGTTGATGTTTGGCTAATTCTGCCCTGTCAGTCCTCCCCTTCACCACACGCGACATTGCACGCCAACTCTGTCACCGTTCAATTCATCTGTTGTCCACCTCTGTCAGTCACGAACTCGCCCGCGGCCTGATCCTCCCTGGCTCTTCGATTGTTCAATTTACCACGCTACCTACCTATTCTCCACGGTTACCCACATCTTGCATGCAGCTCCCCTCACGGGCACCACCTTCAAGTCGTTCACTTTCGTGTTTGCGCAAACAAACAAGAGGTACCTACCTTATCCTATTATAACCCTACTTTACGTACGTACGATTTCGAGTCCCGCGATGCAAGGAGCACCCTTCTTCTCCTAATTTCTGCCGCGTCCATCTTCTGGCTTGTTCCGCCCAAGGCATCCCGTGATTCCCGTCAACCATGCAACAGTCACGCGCATAGCGGGCGTTATGCCAACTTGAAGCATTCATTGTCCAGCATCGTGCTAATTTGCTGGCTGCAGGGCGCCGTTCGCACTCAAAGCTCCGTCGCACCTCAGTTTTCTAGATGAACACGCATCCCTCTCCTCCGCCTTACCACTCCCAAGTCGCCAACATGCCTACCGAAGACAACAAGCTTGAGAATCCGCTCTCTCCCTCCGCCCCGAGGGAGAAGCTAGAAGGTTTAGCCCACCCTCCCTATCCCTCGCCTTCGACGTCGAGTTCCTTTGGCTGACGTGTCTGTGTTCCCGTTGTGACAGCCCAGATCAAGAGCGCCGACATGGTAAATAGCTACCGAGCCGAAACCGAGCGAGTCGTTATTTCTCAAGTGCTAACACTGCCCCTTCTATAAAGGCCGAGGACATGCAGCAAGAGGCAGTTGAAGTTGGTATGTGGGATACCCGCCGAGAGACGGGGAGGGGTTGGAAATGGCGCTTCGAACCAAGCATGAAGAAGGCTAACCCTTGTCGCAGCCCAGGAAGCTATGGCCAAGTTCACGATCGAGAAGGTAATGCCACTCTTCCAACTCTATGACGGGAATGCAGTTACCTATATTGCTGCGGGCAGGAACATTGACTGACCGACCCCGTCACGTATTTGTAGGATATTGCTCAACACATCAAGCGGACGGTATGCTTGGTCGACCACTCCGATATCTCCTTAGGAAGAAACTGACCACAGAATTTCACGCCGACAGTTCGATGACAGAAAGGGGCCCACGTGGCACTGCATTGTAGGCCGCAACTTTGGCAGCTTCGTGACCCACGGTATGGAATATTTTGTTTGGCCTAAAGATATTTGTTTGTTACTGGGCATCGACACTAACAAGCCAAAACAGAGACGAAGCACTTCATCTACTTTTACCTCGGCCATTGCGCCATCCTTCTCTTCAAGACCCAGTAGGGGCGCGGCCTCCTTCGTTTCCTCTCGCGGCTATAGAGCACTCGACACAGGGTAGCACAGAGCAACAAAGCCCAGGCAAGGAAGCCAGCGATCGAGAGAACGGAGTACGTCCCGAACGTTACCACACACTAACGGGGCGGCGGGAGGTTTACCATAGATGTAGGCGAGACGACGACTGCTCCCAAGAGAAGGGGATCAGAGAGAACGGACGATACTGGTGTGTGTATGTGTTCTGTATGTACGAAAGCAAACGTGTGTTTCGTAGGTGGTGAGAACGAGGTAAGAAACTGTGGAATGATAAAACGAGCTAGTGATTTTGTGTACGTTTTTATATGAGCAAGGAAAAGAAAAGATATACTATATGTTCCTCCTCTCCTGTCCTGGAACTAGGGACCTAGCTAACCTTCGCTTCCATGTCCACAACATTCCATTAAGCTCTGGTTTCTTTCTCGTCGTTAAGGACGCGAGATGCGTCTCTATCTATCTTCCCTCGGCTAGCCAATTTCCGACTCCACTCCTCACTCTTTCTCCAAGCCTGAAAGAACCGAAGATAGCAAACAATCAGCTATCACTGTCGCAGACACTTGCCACGTGTAGAGCCATGGTGACGCCGATGTTATTACGACTAGGGGATCTGTCCTTATCTCCTTGTCTTCCCCATGGCCCTCTACATAGGTAAGTGGCGGTACGAAAATGAATAAAGGTTTGTAAGGATGTCATATAATAAACACTGCGCAAGCTTGTTCATCGCTATACCTAAGACTGGGATGTGTCTGACGTCTAGGTCATGGTAGAGGCTTGTAATCGACCTCAATTACTTGAAAGCTCTTGGGCGGGATCACTATACGTTTAGTAGAGATTATTCGTCTGTTGATTTTAGGCGACTTCCGGACAGCCTCGAATGGCATAACGAGGTCCTGGTACGATGCGAATGACGTGGTCTTGGTCGAGTAGTCGAGCTTCGCACCGTTTCGAGCTAAGAAGCTAGTACCGAGAAGCATGTTTGGCTTAAGGTTTGTGGTTAATAACGCCTCCACGGGGAACTTTCCGGTACCTTCGACTCCTTTGACTAGGCCTGGTAGGTAGAAGTCGATCTTGACCATCTTATTGACCGTGATCTGACCTCCTCCGGCGACGTCTATGCCGCGCGGAGTTCCTATGTTAATTACCGGTGCTCCTGGGTAGTTCCGAGTAATCCACTGCTGGTCAGCCATGACTGTAGAGCAGCCTGCGTCGAGGCAGACCGAGGTCAATAGACCGTCTGCTATTGCTTTGGCGTTGACCTTGTAATACGAGTTCCTATGAACGCCGTTTCTGTCCTCAACTGGCGCGGGCCTTACGTCAATGATTGTGCCCGGCATGGGCAGTGATGTCCTCGGGGTCTCGTCGCTAGTTGAGGTGCGGGCCGCCCACCCCTTAGGTTTAGGTAGTGTGCAGGTGTTATCGTCAACGTGCCCTATCATGGTACTTCTGGTTGGGAAAGTATCCCGATACTTGTGACAAACCCAGTTATCTGTTGATCTGGTGAAGTAACTCGGCTCTGCTTCTAATTGGGTCGTGCGAGGTCTTAGGGTGGCCTGGCGGACGGTTTGAGGTCTTTCCGTTGACGTTAATTGGGTGCGGGGATGCCGACTTGTTGAGAGACTTGGAGAGATTAGAAGAGCGAGACGATAAGTAAATAGACTTGATAATGTTGTCCTTAGCGTCGGTAGGGTCATAGAGGGACTCCAAATCCAACATATCTATCTTATCTACTAAGTGATATTCGTGCTCCATCAGCTCGTCCTCCTTAGCTTTGTAGCCGTCCCTCTTTTCCACCTTGATCTCGTCTGCCATGAACGCAGGGCCCTTGCGGTTAGGTCTCACCCATCGACGGTAATTTCGCTGAAAGGGGCGGGTGTATCGACGGTAGCCCTGTCCACTTCTCTCGCGACGACCTCTGTAGGACCAACCGCCTTCCTGACGATCCCGCGGAGGTCGGTAAGTATCAGGGTAGCGATCTCGTACTCGGTTATCTCTGGGGAATGGGGATCCCTGACGACGACCGCTGTTACGGCCTTCGTAGTCTGCGCCCCGTCGTTGGGTTCGTTCGCGCTCACGGCGCGGACTTCGATTCCCGTCACGCCGTGGGCTTCTGTCAAAGCGTCCTCGAGCGCAGGGTTGACGAGGTCCGCCGCCGTATCGTTGACGTGACCCGCCGTTATAGTAGTAGGCTACATTGACGTCGTCGATGTTGTAAGCGTTATAGACTGGACCGACTGGGAGCTGGCGATCTCGTGGAATAGCCAGCGAATTGCTTGGCGCACTACGAAAATCGTCCAACTTCTGAGGCAATATGACGCCGTTGAGGACTCTTGCACGGGCGTTAGTCTTATTCTCAATCTATGTCAAGTATGCGTCCATCGTTATAGTGACGTTAGGCTCGTGAACGAGCTGTTAGATAGTGGGGTCGATGCCGTTGTAAATGAAGGTCATAATGCTATGGGCGTCGGTGATGCCCATGGCCCTACAGAATCTGATCTTATTTGCCGCGTAGGATCGAAATGGAACTCCTTCCCTGTAGTCCTCTGTTGAGTATAGGCACTGAATGAGTTGGTCTTCGGCGGCAGTCTTTGATATTCCAAATTTCTTGACCATTGACGTCTTCCAAAAGGTGAGATTCTCCTTCACTTGACGTCGTTCGACGACAGAAAGCACACTGATGTACCACTGTTGAGTAGTGACTTTGAGTAGCTGCCCGAGATCTCGCTTCAAAATGTCGCGTCGAGTAGGCCGAGTTGCGTGCTCTACGATCAAGTCGAGAAAGAGGTTGACATCCTTGTAATGGATGTCATGGCTGACTGTTGCCGATCCCTCGTTGCCGGTGACCTCTACCTCTGGGTTGAAGTAACAGACTTGAGTAGTCTTCCAACCCTCTCTGGCGTTTTAGGTATTGAGGTGTGCTAGTACTCCTCCTATGCTGGTTCCCAGCTGCTCGGCGAAGATTCGAGCGATGGCATTGAAGTCTATCTCATCTCTTCCTTGTTGTCCTCCTCCCTGTTGGCCTCCTCCTGGTCTATTTCCTCCTCCCAGGCCACCTCATGTGCCGCCTCCCGTTGCTATCTCGTCGGGGTCTTCCTGGAAGGGGCTTGAGTTGTTCGAGGCTCTGTCGGTGGGTTGGGTTTGGATGACCGGTGGCCGAACGACCGGTAGGGGGACGACTATAGGAGGGTTTGTTGGCGGGGGTAGGACGATTCTTGCTCGATACTTGAGTCCCGTTCGAGTGTTTGAGCTCTGTCCTCCCTAAGGTTGAGGTCGACCAGCTGTTGTTGATGCTGACGGAGTCGAAGGTTAAATAGATCACTCTCGACGAGGTCTTGTTCGACTGATATGCGGGGTCGATTGTAGTCGATTGCGATCGCTCGGACCTTGCCCTTGAGCTCCTTAGTCCTGTCGCTGCGTGGAGCTTGTGGTGAATCCTTGATGAGCTGAAATCTGATCGAGTATCTGTTGGGGTCGCCTTGCGGAGGGGCGACGACTAGGGCCTGCGATATAGGTCCTGGTGGGGCGTCAGGAAAGGTGCCGGGTAAGGTGCTGGTACTGCCGAAGAACTGAGAGGTGGTTGACGTCGATGGTCCGCCAGTGATCTGGGGTTGACGAATTGGTCGGATTGTCTGGGAGTTGATGAACTTGACGATGGCTGCTAGCTCTTGCTTAACTGAGTCGGGTTGTAAGATCCAGGTCTGGTCGTACGGGACTGAACGACCTTTGTTGCGTCGTCTGCTGCCTAACTGCTCTGTGTTCTGCTCGTCGATGGCTTTGTTGACGTCCTTGGGGAGTGCTCAAAATACTCCTCGAGGGCCTCAATTGAGTCAGTGGGCAGTCGATTGGGGTTCTCCCTGATGTAGGACAAGATGAGTAACGAAATAATCTTGGGCACCGGTATTAGAATTCTTGCTGCCGGGTGATACTGTCGACCCCGATTTCTCAAGGCCGGCCGCTCGACCCTGTCTCTCAATGAGGTCCCCTACTTCTTTCTCGTTCGTGAGGGCTTCATCTCTTCCGCCTAGATAGGGTTGTCATATTCGTACCTCTCTACGAGGTCTGATGCTGATTCTCGTAGGGCATTTCGAGGATACCAGGTGTTGAACTGGTTTCGGTATCCCTTCTATTTGATGAGGTACTCAACATTGGGTTTGCTGCCTCTCTAGGGAACTCTTCTCTTCAGGATTTTGTCAAGCTCGAACACCTCCTTATCCTCGTCTTCGGTGTCTTCAATGATCTTCCCCGGGGCTGATTTGAGGCGCTGATATAGGTCATCCTCCGCCGCCATCATGAGCTAGGTGATTGATACTGTTGGGTGGATTTCTAGGTAGGAGGGAGCTCCAGCTTGCAGGCTAGGGGGCCCTTCATTTCCAAGACCTTGAAGGGTCCAGTCCTCTGCTAGGAGTATTTCCTGTTGGGGCGGCCTGGTAAGTTGTACCCGTGATGTAATCGAAGGTAGACTATGTCGCCTAGTTTGATCTCGGTTGGCTGTCGCTTGGGGTCGGTGACCATCTTTGCTTGTGCCTGCGTATGTGCAATTGCCAGTTGGGCTTCCTGACCGTGTAGTAGTCGCTGTGTGGTGATATTGTGAACGCTGTCATTGTTGAAAATGAGGTCAATCGCTGATTTGGGTTTGAAGCCCAGTATGATCTCCAATGGCGACATTTCGATGGCCTTGGTGTGCGCCAAGTTGAGGTTGTGTTATAGGGCAGGCAATATGTCTACCCAGCTGACCTCATCGTTAACCGCAACATGGTATTGTATAGCAATCTCAATAGTCTGGTTCTTACGCTCAGAGAGTCCATCGGTTTGAGGGTAGTATGCTGTTGACATCAATAGCTTAGTGCTCAGAGCATTGAACACGCCCTTCCAGAGGTCCAAAATGAACTTCGGGTCTCTATCCGATATGATCCTGGTTGGTAATCCCCAGTCATACAGTTGTAAGAAAGTGAGGAGCCTCTCTCCCCACTGTTCTGCTGACTATGTCTCGCTACCTGGCATGATAATGGTGCGTTTGTTATATTGTCCGCTGACTATTGCAAAGCAGTCGAATCCTCCCAGACCCAGAGTTTTGACTTGTTGACCTTAGGGAGTCCCGTGACGAAGTCGATTGAAATTGTGTGTCCGGGATGCGGAATGACATCGATCGGCATGAGTTCGCCCATAGGTTTTTGTCGATTGGTCGCGTTTTCCAGGCATTCGGGGCAGGATGCGACATAAGTCGCGACCTTCGTCATCGAGTTAAAGCTGAAGCTAACAAGACCCCTCATCATTCTCTTAACACCGAAATGATGTTTTTGGTCGTGAACCATTTCCAGAAGTGGACTAATACACGGGCTGGGGATACAAAGCCGATTGTGACCTCCTTTTCGCATGTGGTACAGCAGTCCATTCGCGAGTTTGAAGGGAAATCCCATAACCTCAATATTGAGGTCGCCCATCGTCGAAGGCTTCTCATTCGCCTCTGCCGAGGCTGGCATGGTCCCCTCATCAGTGGATGAGGCCGCCTGGCGGCGTGCCTTGTCTCGGTTGGACCTCTTCTTCTTCTGTTGTTTCATGGAGAGAGCTTTCTCATGCATGTACATATCTGATGATGCACCTGTATTTGGGGTCAACGTCGTGTCCTTTTCTGATGTCGTTTAAGAAGTCTGGGTCGGCCTGCACTTCCATTGTGGTATAGCAGTCGTTCCAGATATCATCCAGCTCGTTGGCCTCCGAATTGTCTGGGGGGAGATCGTCATCCGTGGTGGGGAGTTTGGAGAGGGAATCTGGCATAAGGTTCAGTCGACCTATTTAATTCTTCAAGAGCGAACATTTACAATATTAAAAACCACACCACAAAAATAAAGATATATTTGTATCTATGACATATATGTAAGGTCGGCAGTCGCATTGCGCTGGTTCGTAACAACCAACTAAGCACATGTTGAACACTTCTTTTCTTGGTTTCTTATCCCACGGCTGGCACTAGAATCTAACGTAACTCATAGTGTATGTATGCATGTGCCTGTCTGTCTATCTGCCTGATTGTGAGGCAGTTTGACGAGCGTGGTGCTGGGAGATGTTTCATTCTTCCATTGGCTAACGGAGGCCTTCGTTTTGACTCTTGATACCCAGACCATGAGGATGCCATAGTCGAAGACAGGAGAGACTATTCCAGCACTGCCCCGTGCCGCAGATCAAAGACATATTCACTCTCACACACAAGCTTTTCTGGCTGTCCGAGACAAAGTCTAGACTGAAGCAAGTGGATACGGACGGCAGAGTGGAAACACCTACGTATACACACGGCCACATGGTGAAGCGATCCACAAGGCTGGTGGGTATTATTCCCATGAGATGAGGGTTTGGCAAGGGAAGGGAGGGTGGACCCCGAAAAGGGGATACGTTTTACATTCTAGGTTTTTACTCCTATTTTCCCGGAAAGTTGAAAGTTGCTTGACTGTTCTACTTTTTCTGCAGTGAAACTGACACAAATGGAACGCTTTATTTCCGTACAACTACCTTTGGCGTTTATATATAGCGGCGAATAGGGAAGAAAGTTGTCATGTCACTATTGCTGGTATCGTTGGTAAAGCATTGCATTTATCCTCCTCACTTGGAAGCTATGCCCAGTTGTCATATTCGGGCAGGCGGTGGGATCAAGATCCCAAGATCCCTCTGCTGCCTGCGCAGAGACATGCCCGATGTGTGGACAAAGAGTAGGTAACCTAATGACAAGGCTGTAACCTTCAAAGTATATATATTCCTGTTACGAATTTTTTCGGTGTAGTTTCTCAGCCTCCTTACTCTACCCGGGGTACCTTGAAGTGTCAAGGTGCTTGCTCGCCTTAGGCATACCAATGCCCACAACGAAACTTATTTTCTATTGTCGTGCGTGTTCCATTTTGTTTTGGCGACCTTTTCCCCATGTCGCGTTTCTTACTGGCTGCTCTTCTTGTTTTCTTACGGTTTCACCACCTGGCGGTAGGCCTCAGCGACCAGGCCGACCGGGCCACCATCTCATCTTTCTTGTGGATGCGTGTTTGGTAAACTACTGCGTGACGCCGAACTGCAACCAAGCCCAAGGTTCTCGCAACTCCAGCGCAATAGCAAGAAGCCCAGCACAAAGGGGAAAGAAACGGAAGTCGCATGATTGGCTTGCAGACGCCCAAGCAAACCTGAAGATTTTCAAAGTCTGCTACGTTGAAACATGCAATTGGGGAGAGGAAAGATCGCTGCCGCGGGTTGTGGTTGCGGGCCAAGACCCAGACACGAATGCAACCTCAGCTCGCTATGATTTGCACCCGGCCGGCCTATTTGGACCGGGCCCCGCCAAGACGGTTGCCCGTCCAGGAATGGAAAAGGTGCGCGGATGTAACCTTTTTAACCTTTTTGAGGGCGAGCCGGGGCGCCCACCTCTTTATTGCCAGACACATGAAGACTAAGCCAGTCAGACAACCGACAGAGAGACGCACTCGGTTGCCAATGTCTCTAACGCGACAACTGGTGCGTAATGGGCAGTGTGGTGCGAAGTGAGATACTACCAGGATCGCGCAACTCGCGATCGTCACTCAGCGTCTCGTCCGTTGCAGAAGACGGACGATGGGGGTTCGTTAGATTCTACTGAGATCGGCGGCAGCAGATGCTGGTTCGCCCGTTCCGGGTTGGCTTCTGGTCAGAGCTAACTGACTAAGCGATGCGGGAACCCGGGAGGGAGGGATGAGACCGCCCGCTAGGGATAGTACCTATGACGAAATGGGGAGGCGGGGAAAAGACGGGAGGGGAGTACGGATACGGATTGCATAGTACGGAGTAGGGACTCTTGCAACTGCAAACTATATGCAACGGGCGGTTGATAGGGCCTTCGTTATTACTACTGAAGTGGAAGTATTTCGCATGTGTGCCAGGTAGAGTAAGCGAAAGAGAGGTGAAGAGCAGAAGACGCAAGAAAGGTTTAAAAGAGTTGGCCTGATTGACGTGCTGCTGCTCTTGCCCAAACGAACGAACGAATGCCAGCCAGCCACTTGTGGGTTGTGTAGCTTTCTGCGACATGATTGGTGGCTCGAGGCAACCCCCTCCCCCTCATCGATGGCGGACATCACACCTTGCAGTTCCTTGCATGGTGTACCTTTCCCCTTGGGACATCCAGGTAACTCCCCGATGTTGTGCTCGCCGAAGTAGTTCGATTAACAGCGTGGATTCCTACTTACTCGTTCGAGTTTTAACGAACGACCACGGACAACACAATGGAAGCATACTGAAGACCCGCTGGGCCTTTGAAGCCCTAACAGTCGGGTGGAGGGACACATGCAAACTTGAGGCATGGAACGTAGCAATACGGAATAATGGTATTGTCAAAAAGCGCCTAGGCGGCGGGAGAAACTGCTTGTTAGTTCACCCCCGCCTCAACGAAGCAACAGCGTTGCAAGCCCAATTCGACGCCGAGGGGTCGGACGGCCAACTCATCAGGTGCAGCGAAAGGGCGAAGCAAAGCCATGCGTGAAATCCCGCGCCTAGGATTTTCGCCGTGGCCGCCGTCTACTACATAGTAGGTATGATATTCAATCACGGGCCCAGTCGTATTCCGTTCTTGTAACCCCGTAGTGGCCGTTGCAATTCATCCCGATGCGGGCAACGCCGGGTTGCAGCTGCTGATGGAAGAGGCACGCACAAATGCCATATATCAACCTAAACTTCTTTAGCTTGCCGATCCAACTAGGCGCCCCTTGGAACCGGATGCCCGGAAAGCCATCGATTGCGAACTTACTTTAGCTACACGTAAGAATTGCCTGAGCGAGGTCAGCTGCGGTGGAGATGGACCAAAACAGCTTTGTATTGGAGTACCACTGGTAGTATTTCTGTACAAGGACTGGATACTCCCCAAGGTGTGTACCGAGTTGAGTGCGGATGTGGGGGAGGGGGGGAGCAACATCCAGCCCAGCCATCGGCAAGCCTTTCACTCGTTTGCCCGCAATCCCTGGACGGCGATCAACCTTGTTTGCAGCCCATCTCATGCCACCCCTCACGGCTACGTGGACGATGAGATATTCCTACCGGGTTGATCGGGAAGAGTACATGTCAGGTATCTAGGGTATATACGGAATACTCGGGCAGAGGGAGACCTAAATCCCTGATGGGAGAAGGGCAGGACTATGCGTAAAACAGGCAGTCATTCCCCGTGTTTCCTCACCACACCTGTTTGATGACCAAACACTTGGATCCAGAATCTTCGGTCTGCACACCGTCGTCGTCACTTGTGTGGTTGAGCGTAGCCAGACGGGTGTGTGTTGCATTCCTGTGTGATCTCAGGATTGACCATCCCAATCCATTTCCATGCCTTCCAATGTGGTCTTCCCCCCCCCCCTATCTCTCCCGGCAGAGCGAATAGAGAAAAAGAAGATGGTCCATAAAAGAGAAATACTATACGTACATAGATAGTACTCACCCATGCTAATAGCCGATGAAGCGAAAAGTCGATCCTCGCACGCACGCACGCATGCCATGCCAGGAACATACCCGAACGGGAACCCCTCCTTGGGCTTCAGTGGCTGAACATTACGTGCTGAAGAATGACCTCTCAGACAGACACGGAAACTCTTGGCGTCCATCCCGCCCGCATCTGTCTATTGCGGACCTTGACGAGCCACCTCTTGCCTGCAAGAAGGCAGGTATTCTGTAGCCCTTCCTTCTCAACTTCTCCACTGGCCCTCGACCAAGTTCACACGAGGTAGAGATACTGCAGTATACAGTGCAAACTGGCGCACCGGAAAGATGTATGGATGGAATGTTACCTAGGTACCTCAGGTAGCTTAAGGTGCGTTGAGTACCTGCACTGCCTGACTTGGATTCTCTCTCTTTTTGGCCTGTGGGACGGGCTACTATCTATGGGGCTATTTTTTCCCCGTTCTGGCGGGAACACCAATAAGCCCACGGTTCGTTCCTATTACGGACACGAAGTAAGTCTCCCGTCCCCTTCCTTCGCCCACCGCCCTTCCCCCGAAAGAAGCACCAGGCGTTGAAACGGGAGCAATTCACAAAAACCATTAACCAAAGGAGTTGGTGAGAGGAAAGGAGGAAAACCCGGGGGATAACCTGGAAAGCTCAGTTGTTTCTTCGACTTGCTCGATTGGACCAATTAGGGCCCTGAAACTTTTTGTGGCCGGCTTGAAACACTCAGGAATACACAGGACAGGCACAAGTTCACCCCATCTCTCTCCCTCCACGTTCGGTCCCCACCGCTGCTGCCTCCCCCACTCCTCACCCCATGTTAGGTGAACCTGTAACATTGTTGCGGAATAATCCGCCAAATGTTGGTCAGACAAGTGGTTTTACAATTGGAGGCGGGGGAGGAGAGACGATGGCTTTAAAGGTTCCGCACATGAAATAAAACGTAGAAGAGGAGGCACAGAATGTGTTCCCATTCTTCTTGGTATTAATGTGGGGGATTTCCCGCGGTTCAATTCACCCCAGGTTAAAACAAGAGTCGAGCTTCATTTTCCTCGTAACATGTCTTGGCCGCATCCAAAACTCCATTTATTAGCTTTGTTCTTGGGAATCGCGGGGGGTGAGAGGGAGGGGGAAAGCCCAGCAGCAGCAGCGGCAGCAGCGGCAGTTCATGTATGTAATGTAGGTAACCGAGCTTTTCGTTCCCACCTCCGCATAATACACCCCATCTATTACTCTTTTGCCTTTGGGGAAACATGATGCGACTTTGCTATATAAATGTATGCACATTACAGTATAGTACCTCTCGGAGCGGGCTCGGCAAAGGGAGGTGAGGCAAGTGACCTGCATTTTACCATCTGCCATGGTGGACTTGTATCGATACATTTTCTCCCGTATACGACCCCTCTGGGCATTCCCAGTAGATGTATCTTCTCTCAGCGCTAGAAACAGCCGGTCGGAACTTTTCTGGGTTCTAAGTCTTGTTGAATCCAATTTGCTACTAAGCCCTTTCCCTTGCTTGGAAATGCAAAACCTAAGGGATATTGGCGGCGAGACTCCGTAATACTAGTACCTGGGCAGCTTTGAAAGCATGTCATGGACTCTTCCACCCATTTAGGTTAGACCTTACCTGGTATCCCGTACTCGCTCCCGCCCCGGGAAGGTGAGGGGTCACCACACACACACACAAATGTGTGGAGGGGCAGTACGATGGCGCCCAGTAATGGAAAGGGAGGCCCGCATCGGAAGGGAATTCCCATTGCAGAAACATCCCGGGCCCCAGCAGTAGAACCCAGAGCTGCAAGATTCCAAGACACGCAGCGGCAGCAGCTCAATCGCGCGCAGCTTGCCTAATTGCTGCCCTTTCTCTTTTTTCCCCTTGAACCCGGAAACCCAACAGAGGGGGAAAAACAAGAGGCAAAGGCGGTGGGCAGTGCAGTGCAAGTGCAGTGCAGCGTGCACTGATGCAATGCAAATTCCTATATACCTATGCCATTGCATCAATAATTGGCTCGCCGGGCAGGGCGAAACCACGAGACTCATACCTAACTCCCGCCCCTCCCTTACCTGATATTCACCTAAGCTGTGAAGAGAGAGAAAACTCGACGAGCTGCAATCCAATTGGGTGGCGCGTCCTCCGAAAGACAGCCGGTCAGCAGGTTTCGGCCAAGTCCATCACAGCAAGCCACACAACACAACCCGCAACCCCATTCGGACAAGGCACATACATGATGGAAGAGGCCTTTTGGAGGGTAGGGGGGGCTGGCTGGCTAGCAAACAGAGACAACTGCGGTTATTGGAAAAGGGCATGTACCGCAATGTATCCTTGATTATGTTGTGCATGTCTGTCTCTCCTTATAGAACCAAGGTAACGAAGTCGTAGTTCTGGGTGGGTTTTTGTACGACCAAGGAGATTCTCGAGTTGCCTGTTTTGCCCAATGCTACGTACATACATGCTACTCCGGTGCCGTAACGTTGAAGGACGTACGTGGGTACCTAGGTAGTCGGGCTTTTGATTCCTTCCATCTTCAAGGTTCCCTCACCTTCACTGCCGTTGGCTCATCATTCGTCAGCGTGGCCATATCACAATCCCGTGGCGTTCCGTCCAACCTCACCTGCGTACTTCCTTACGAAGCCTGCCTGCGATAAACGATTATAGAGAGCGTGGTGTGAACCATAGGCCGCATTGTCCTGGTTTCGGCCAAGGCTATGAATTCGACAGTTACTGAGAGATGGATGGATGGATGTCCGAAGAGAGAGCGACGCTTTCCTCGCCAAATACAGTTATATTTTTCTCAGTTCACGCTCGGAGCAACAACCTACGGATCGGCGGCGGGCGTGGCTTGCGGCAGTATGTACCTAGGTGTGGGCAACCCCAGCCCGGCACCAATTAGGAGCTTCTCCGAATCCAAGGAAACGAACGGGGAAGAAGGGTTGTTTTAGTTTGTTGCTAGTTATCAAGAGAACCATCAAATGAGCGTGCAGTTCCTGACCTTCCTGGGGGGAGGCCCCCGGTAAAGGACAACCCGGGTTGGGCAATGGGGCTGGCTGGCTGGCTGGCTGACTGCTAAGCTTCGGCCCCCAGGCTGGGATTTGAAGATGGTAAGGCTGATCTGATCCACCTCGCCGGTGACACGATAGGGGGCATGGCATGGGCAATTGTGAGTGGGAGAGAGAGGTGACTGGGCGGCGGACTACAGTATGAAGTACCACTCGCTTTATTACATCGGGTTTTAACTTGCGGCGCCGATGAACTCACTCCCGCCATCCCTCCTCACTGCCTCGCCTGCCTGGCCTTTTGTCCAAGATTTTTTACTCATGTTGGTTTTAGTTATTTTAGTCCTTTTTAGAGGCGGTTCCGAATCAAGGAACCGTAGCGAAACGAGAACCGCAACTTCTTCCAGGGGCCGCTGGGCTCTTGGTGAGTCTCACATGAAGGCATGTTACGGCCGCCGCCCGTTGCTTCCTGTCAAACTACCTGGGTAGAGCTCCCTGTTCGACTTTCTCGCTGAGTCCCGCACTAGGTAACAAAAGTACCGTATGTACGCAGTACATTAATTACCTAGATGGGGGAACGTTGTTGCTGTTGTTGTTGTTGTTGTTGTTGTTGTTGTCTGCGTTTGATTATCCTCCACCGCACTCAATAGGCAAATCAGGCACCTTAATAGCAGTCGGGCCTTCCCCAGGCACACACGCACGCGCAGCGCAGACCGACAAGAGAGCCGCTGGCTGTCAGGTAAGCGACCAATATTTCGGGTTTGACCGCCTCTTTCCGCCCACTAGGTTGGCTCTCGTTTGTGGTGTGTGTGTATATGTGTGTGTGTGTGTGTGTGTGTGTGTGTGTGTGTGTGTGTGTGTGCGCTTGCGTGCGTGCGTGTGTCAGTGATCATTACGCGCGCACATGGCCTCGTTGAAGAAATGCCGTGTCACCACCCCCTTCAGCGCCGCCGCACCGCCCCGTCGGCAGCTGGTCGGTCAGGTCAGGTTGGGGCTACAGATGCAAAATTTAAAGGCAACGAGGCGAACCAGTGCCGTTCTTTTCCTGAGGACCGACGGACACCCTCTACGCAGTACCTTACTTTGGTTACTGAGGCAAGCGTACTCACACAACCCTATAAATGCTTGCCTGGTGGGTGCTGCCCGCTGTTTTACCCCTGTGCCTCTTGGGGAGCGGCATCACGCCTCTTGTTATGACTGTATGTAAGCGTGTGCCTGGTGATGCTAACTGAGGTAAGAACTTTTGTACTGCCCAGATACCCCCAGATTCGCGCGGCCTCCTTTACAGCCGAGAAATCCAACGTTGCTCTGGGAGTCAGAGCTGTGTTGTTGAACAGGTACTGGGGGGAATTGGGGCGTGGGGACTGGAGGGGTCAGGTGCCAAGAAGATCGGCCCAGGATCCGAGACCCGACATGATCAGAGACAATTTGGGAGCTCTCTCTCTGTCACTCTGTCTGTTTGGGGCATATTTGACGAAGTCGGTCTTGGTTTGGAAAGTAGTGGCGGCAATAGAGAAAGAAAAGTATCAGTACGCAACTGCCAGACATGGAGGGCTGCTCCGTCCCCGGCGTCCGTGTCCGTACCTTTCTTACACGAATTACGAGCCAGTCCATCGAGCCGGGGTTTGGTTCCTATAGTTTCGGGTATGTGTATTATTTTTTGCTGACTTGCTAAATAATACGAAAAAAGGCAGTGAGTGAGACGGACGCCGTGATCTTCCTGCTTCTGGAAACGAGCTGCGCTTGCATTGCTGGCCAAGAAAACCCAGTGTTCGACGCCTCGACGCGGGCTTGCCGAACATGCTTGACGCAAATCTTCCTACTAGGCGCACACATCAGACGTCAGTCATGCAAGCTACCGTCTAGCTGGGCAACGCCTGAGCCGGGACTCTCAGCTACATTCCGGATTTGCCTTAATACCTACCAGATATAAGTCTGGCTTGAGCAAAGGCTGGGGTTCTAGTAACTCTCAGCCTGGAAATGCGGGATGCATCTCAATTTCTCGGGACATTTCTGTCTCTCTGTAGACTTGGTTGAGAAGACGACCTTGCCTATTACTTTGCAAGTACTTGGTTATCTTTTGCTGGTTTAGGTTGGGCTCAAAGTCTGGGGCTTCATGGGATGGGGGGGAACACAATCGGTAGCCCATCCGCGAATCAGGTACAGGCCAGGAGCTCTGGCCAACGGAGAAATTTGGAGAAGTGTGATACGTAGAAAGATGCGACGGCCGCGGAAGTCCGACCGCCTGGGGCCTGGGAAGAAATCTCAAACAACACTGCAAGGAGGAGCACATCGCCATTTTCCCAAATGCCCAGCACATCTTACCTACACAGTGCCCGGCGCCCAGTGCACTGGCAAACTTGACCAGGCAGGGCAAAATGCAGGGCGGGCCGGTGGTGGCAGTGGAAGGGATGCTTGCTCGCCTGCCTGGTCCGTGACCTCATCCCATACCAGATTTGATTCTTCACTGGCCGTGTTTCAAACTATGGATGTATTTTGACGTGTAATGTTTCTCTCCATGTTTGCATAAAGCGGCCTACCTAAATTGACATGCCATCTCGCCAGACTTTCTGGCGAAAAGGTACACCACTCGACGATTCGATGTGTCGAGGCGTGACGTTTGAGCCATCCCATCACACTTCATCTCACTGTGGATGTGGCACCTGCCAGAAAGGAACAAGAGCATCCGTAGTGGGAAATCGGCAGACAAGAAGGCGAGCGCCACACTCGATCGTTCTCAGCACCACCCGCCATCGGCCCCTCCCCTCCAGGCCCAAATTGATGACCCGCATTTTAGCTCGGTTCTGAACCACCTCGCTACAGCCGGCGGCCACCACAAGCCCCAATCTCCGCAATAAACTGTCTCATCGAGGTGAAGTGCTGCATTCAACTGGGACAAACAACAGTGGGTTCGATGTGAGATGGACGACCTGCCTAAAGAGCGGGCATTCTAGTGGTTTGTGGATTTGGGGGAGCGTGAGTGAGCCCAGAAGTAGTGTACAGAATTGCATGCAGGTGGTGGAAAAGTTAATCGATTACAGAATATCACTCTACAACCTAGAGGAGACTTGGTGCATGGCCCCATAAATTCCCTTGCTGGTGGTTCATCTTCATCACGAGGGCGCAGCAAGGAGAATGGGAGAAGAATATTGATTGGGGGTTCGGTAGAAACTGCTCAAGTACAGTACTAGGGTAAGTCGAATTGACTTGCCTGGCGCCCTTTTAGCGAAAAGCATGGAAGTTTGAACTTGCCCGAGTCAGTCTGGAGAACAAGACTTGCAAGCTACTAGTAGTAGCCTGCCTAGCACTCGAAGGTATTCATCCTAATACTTCCAAAACCCCGTCCGAAACTGGCATGCCGCCCTCCGGTAACCACGCTACGCTGTAGTCTGTATACGCCGCACTGCGTTGAAATGGCAGTTGGAGTTGCGTTACGGGTTACTCAGGCACGTTCTACTCTAGGTCAACCATAGACCTAGATTAGGTTACCTTCCACCCAACGAGCCCACCGACCCATGGAAGATGCGGGCAGAAACTTGAACCGAAAAGCTGCTAGTCATCCTGTGATCCCGTCATCACGCCACACGCCAACAATGTTCTTTTTTGCCCTCTTCCATTGTTCTGCGCGCTCCTCTTCACGGGCGGCACCCTGTCACGTACAGTATGCACATAATTCATACCCCTAAGGCGGTTTATTGCCCTTTGGCGCTCGGCGCAAGTGCGCAGCAGCCGCCCGGATCCCGCAAGCGAGTGGAGCGGAGGCCCGAAGGGTTGGTGAGTGGTGGTGGACCCCACCCTTTCGGCAAGGGTCCAATGGGCGCCAGAGAGGTGCGTTCTTGAGGTGGGGCGGACGGACTGTCAACGCCACACAGGCCAGGCCAGGCAAAAAGAGAAAGAGAGAGAGCCCTGCCCGCCCAATACAGCGTAGCGCTGGGTAACGTAAGAGACGATGAGCGAGAGAGAGACAAGACAGAGACCGAGCTCCCCTCCACGAGGCAGAGACTTCAGCAACCGGCTTGATTCCCACTCAATTGGTCGCCAGGGTTGAGCCTGCAGAAGTTCTTGGGAATGCCAGCGCGCAATCAGTGGTGAGTCAGTCGGATTGTTGTCATTTCATCGTTCTCACTGTCCCCGAGCCATGAGGCCTTTGGGTTGCCTTGGAGACAGCACCGATCAGGCGAGGGCCGAACGCGGGTGAATAAGAGGTGGAGCTGCGATGCGTTAGTTGGTGGACTGTGGAGAGCGGGCATCTGCCAGCTGCCTGTGTGCTGATCCAAAGGGCCCAGGGAGCTCCCCAGATGGTGGGCCGTTCGAGATCCCATCACAACCCACCAATAGCCGAGGACAAGAAGACAGTGTGGAAGAAAAAAAGAAAAAGTCGACCAACCAAGTACGTGGGTGCGTCGGTAAACGGAGGATAGAAAAGATAAATCGCCACAAACTGCACTTTTGTCCCTGTTCTTGCGCGGGCCAACTCTCTCATCCTGATAGAATGGCTCGCTCGTAACAGGCGGTTAACCGCATCTTTGTCCTTTGACACAATGCCCGTTATCCCACCTCCAAGCAACGAGGCCCTGGCTTTGGACGAGCCTCGAGACCTAACCGGTCTTGGAACGTGGGCGGACAGATGCTGGAGTCACATCCATATGGGAATTTGGGAGCTCTTTGAGCCACGTCGAGAAGGAAAGAAGCCATGGGATTCCATGGCTACCTGGGAGTGTTTTACTCTTGGCTCTGCCCTGATTGTTATTTTCATCGCATCAAGTTCCATGTTCTTGTATTTCATTCTGCACCTCAAACCTCACGTCCAGATCGAATTTACCTCCTGGCCTACAAAGGTATCCGTACCTTGGTCAAGGCAGATGTTAGTTAGTTCGCTGCTGCGATAGACGACAAGCAAGAAGCAAAGGCTTTTGGTTCGGGTTTTTCCTTCACTTCAGTTCTTCTGCAAGCTCCCCTGTTCCGTTGAAGATTCGGCCGATGCAGCGACATCCATGCTTGGGGCCGTTCGAGAGACGACTTGCCCTGGTAGGTACATGATTGTGTACCTGTACATGCAAGACGCTGCTGCTCACCCGCAATCCCTGGCCCCTGTCGGGCACGAGAGAGTGACTTGCCCTTTGACGGGAGGTGCCCGCTCTGGAACTGGTACCTAGCGGTACCGTGCCAGCACTGGCTCAACACCCCGGCCCCAACTCTCAGGGCCAGTCAAAACCTTCTTTTTGCCCTGCGGCACCCACCGCACCCACCATCCCACACTGGGACCGTGGGACAAAGGCTGGTGGGCTTAGCGTAGCACCGACAAAGCCAAAGTACCAGAGGTACCCCGACCCCATCAGGACGTCTTCTGCAACCCACTCCGCCAGCCCGCCCTCCACTCCCTGGGTTGGGACCACTGCTGCTCGTGCTGTCGCCCTCGGTGCCTCTTGTGTGCCTCTCTTGTGTCTCTCCTCCACTCGGCCCTGCTTGCTTTCTCTCGTGCTTGCTTCTCTTTTTCTCGATCCCCAGAGGTACCTTGGGGGTGACGACTTTGTGTTTCCTTTTGGGACGTCTCTCGTTTCCCCCTCTCTTAACTTTCCTAGTCACCGCCTCTGACTTAGGTTCGTTGCTTGCTTTTGCGGCTTCTTGTTCCGACCACCGCATCCAGCGCAACACCACCAGGGCCCGCCCCAACGTCCAAGCATCCAACCTACTCGTGCTGCTGATTCTGCCTACTACCTCCCTTTGACAGCAACAACAATAACAACAACCTTTCCACTGCAAACATACCACCGCCGCTCGGCTGGCTGACTCACATGCTGTCGAGCTGCGAAGTCGGGAGAATAAAAGCGAAGGATTGAGGGTTTTGGGAAAAAGGCTGGCACCGAGCAATAAACTTCGGTTCTCTCTGCATCCCTTCCGCTCCACCACGGATGGGAAGCGAGAGGGGTGCAACGGAAATAACAAACTCTCTGGGTTTTACTCCCAACGAGTCCCACTGCATGCCAGCTTCTCGTGAACAAGCTTTTCGGAGAAAGGTGCAGCTTTGGATATACCTCGTTGCTCAACCACGAGAGACGTTACCGTCGAGACCCCTTGCTAGCGAACACTCTCCATCTTGCCGAAACTGGATTCTTCAGCGCCGACGTTGAGGAACCTTGACTCCCAAACCTCCAACATCGACGCAACAAAGGTGACCAGGCGAAATACTCTCGGCAACAAGAGCCAGACTGAGAGTGAGAGAGAGAGAGAGAGGGTCTTATTGGCTCGACCTGCACTCTTCGTTAGCTACCAACAACAATAAGCACGCAGAGTCTGGACACAGCACAGAGGGAGACAAGAAGAGAGTGTGCGTGCGAGGGAGAGAGTGCGAGCAAATCGCGGGGAGGAGGGGCGAACAATAGGGATACTCAACTGCCCGTCCCGCCAAGATGGTGCTCAACGTCCCCGAGAGCGGCCTCGTGTTGGATGGCTCGGCCAAGTCGACGGCTAGCCTCCCAATGCAGGCATTCGGGATCACATTAAGCGACAATGCGATTGAGGATATGATTCGGTGCGTTCAGAATGGCCAGGACATTCAATTGTCGCTTGGCAGCAGTCCGGTAAGTTCGGAGTCATCTCTTCCTTTTAGTATTCGACTTGCACCCACATCACCGTTGCTACTGTTCTGGTTCGGCGATGCTCCACAGTAGCGCCTGAGCAATAGAACCTGTCGACTGAACAATGGCAATGGTCATTTACAAGGCGAATGGTACCGATAGAGGTTTACCAACCACATACAAAATTACTCTCTTTTAACTTCTGCTGATTTTGGCTTTTCTAACGCCTTTCCCCAGACCATCTCGTTCAACGACCAAGAGATACAGTTACTCAATTCCCCTTCTTCCTTCGGTTACGATATCTTCACATCCAACTCGACATTTCCGAGGGCCGTCAGCAAATTACCGAATCCGACAATGTCAGTCTTCAGAGCCCCGAAGTACAAGCCGAGGCAACCAAAGGGCCCCACGGTAGAGAAGGCAGACAAGCCGGCTGGCCGCACGACAACAAAGGCGGCGACTGCAACACCCAAGCTCGGTCCAGTTTCAGACCGGGACTCTGCCTCAGGGGAGTCTCTCGAAAACGCCATTTCAGACCTCAAGAACTCGTTCGCCAAAGTCGAGGCAGAAAAGCGAGAAAATTCGGCCCAGATTGTAGATGGGATTGTCACAAAGAAGGGCAAAGTGAACCGGACAAAGCTGTTGACAGCGCAGGCGAATTCCGTACCGAGATCCCTTCCAGCCAGTCCCGCGTTAAGCGGCCTAGCATCGCCCTCACTGGGGCCAACCAGCAACCCCTCCCAGGACCGGGCAAAGCAACTGCGCTTCCCCATCGTCCACGAGCTCGCTGTCCGTGATATGTCATTCGACGAGCTCCGGGCCAAATACGAAGAGGGCAGTCAGGACGATTTTCAAGCCGCGCTCAACAAAGTGGCAGGCTTTGACAACGATTTGCAAAAATGGTCTCTCAAGCAGATTTGCTGGAGGGAGTTGGACGTTTTTGAGTATAACTACGCCAGCGACGAGGATCGCCAGAAAGCCATCGACAACGCCATCAAGAAGTACGACCGAAACTTGCGCCTGGGAGCCTCAGACCCGCTGTGGCAAAAGCTTCTCCCCAAGGCGGACCGCGGTAAGGGGATATGCCTCAGCAAGCTGCAAGCTGCCATCGCCAAGGTCCCAAGTGCGCCAACGCCAAGGATCAATGTCCATAAGGCGGATTCGGCTAGTGTGAGCGGAGCTGACTCGGAGAGGGATGACTCGGCCAGCTCGACGGCGAAAAAGGGCAAGGGGGGTGAGCCAATGTCGAGGACAAGCTCGCAGGGAGCTCCAGCGCCCGCCAAAAAGAAGCCTGCTGCCACGAAGACGCAGACTAAGAACCTTTTGAACAACGGCAAGAAGCCCTCCCCTGCTCTGGCGACATCCAAGGCATCGCCAAGAGCGTCACCCAAGGTTTCGCCAACCAAGTCAACCAAGTCTGCCTCCGGAAAGGGACGAGTGCTGTCCCAGGAGTTCGTGTCAGATTCGTCCGATGACGACGAGGTACCTCTGTCGACATCCATGCCCAAGGCGAAGCCGGCTACTACGACAGCTGCCAAACCAGCTCCACGCCCGGCTGATAAGCCGAAGCCGGCGGACAAACCAAAGGAGATTGCACCCTTGAAGGCAAAGCCAACTCCAGCCGTAAAGACAACGGTCAAGGATAAGGAGAGGGAGCGGGAACGAGAGAGGGAGCGGGAAAAGGAGAAGGATGAGAAGAGCAGAGAGAAGGACACGATCCGTGCCCAGGTCGTTGCAAAACCGATCAAGGCGGCCACGAAGCGCCCACGTGATGCCGACGATGACGATAGTTCCAGCTCGGGGACTCCGCTCAGCAAACGCGTGAAACCCGCAGCCAAGGCGCCAGCACTTCCAGCCGGCTCGACGAAGCAGCGCACACCTTCGGATGCAAGCCTAAACAGTCGCGGCACCGCCTCTGGCCTCTCCGCGACTAAGAGCAAGAACACGTCCCCGATCAAGTCATCACCATTGGCTTCTTCGCCGCCAACAAATGCGTCTGACTTGGAACAGGAGCGTGCTCGGGATCGGGCACGGAGCCAAGAGCGAGAGCGCGAACGTGAACGTGAACGCGAACGCGAACGTGAGCGAGAACGTGATCGGGAGCGTGATCGGGAGCAGCGGGAGCGTGATCGGGAGCTCGAACGGGAGCGCGAGCGTGATATAGAGCGGAAAGAGCGGGTGAAGGCGCGAGAGCGCGAGCGCGAACGGGAACGACAGCGCGAACGCAAACGACAGGAACGCGATCTCGACACAATCGTGAGCAGCGGTAACAGCAGCGTCGGAAGCAGCATCTCCAGCGCCATTTCCAAGAAGCGCCCAGCAAGCGATTCATCACTCGAGAGCAAGGCCAAGAGGCAGCGGCTGTCGAAGGATCTGCTCGACAAGGCCAACAAGTTCAAGCAGTTCTACTCGCGCTACGAACTGCTGCACAAGGAGATCGCGGCCCACGAGGACCCGCACCCCGACGACGTAGCCGACCTCCTCGAGATGCACGGTCGCCTCCGCCAGATGAAGGAGGAGATTTACCACGGAGCCAAATCGGAGTCGTGAAGGGCGCGGATGGTTGGAATCGGGGAGCTGGGGCTGTAGGAGGTGTGGTTATCTTTTCAGTAGCAGGGAAACTGGCCTTTTATTAGGTTTTATGGAGCATGAACTTGGGTGAAATGATGCGACATGAATATAATGGTTCGGATGACGTCAAAAGCTGGAGGAAAGAATTTGTGCTTCTGAGAGTGAGAAAAGGGATTTTGTGGACGCTGACTGACGGTGGTCGTGTCATTTGCATGCACATTGGATGGAGGGTATGGCCGGGTTGTCATGAAGGACGGCGGACTGCATTCGATTGAGGAGTCCTGTTGCGTTTTGGGTCTCAGCTGGGTTATCGGGCAAGCATCATGATGAGCTGAGCCTCAACAAGCTGGAGTTTTTTTTTTTTTTTTTTTGGCATGGGCATTTTCTTTCTTATATTTACTTTTCGTCATTTTGATACCAGGGCCTTGCAAGATGCGAAACTCATCGTGCAAGAGCCCCCGCTAGTCTACCGAGTTGGGCAGATAAGCAGACAGAGAGAGAGAGTTAGAGTCAATAGGACAATGAGAGTGGAATGAACTACTCTGAACTGATCGTTGTGGTTCTTCCCTGCTCATGTGATGCGTGATGTTTAGTCTCTTTGACATGCATGGGAAGTGATAATGTGCTGTCACCCGCCGGTGCTTACAAGGCTTTGAAGTGCATCTCTTTTTTTTGCGCCTCGCGGAAGTGACGGCTAGAAGATGTCAACATGAAAAAGAGAATAAAGGAAAGAAATATATGTTGCAAAGTTGCCAGAGTGCACGATGAAAGAAGTTATCTACCGGGTAAATATTTGGGCTCTTCAAACTGCTCATAGTTTGGCACAGGGAAGGGAAACCTTGAAAAGTGATTCGTACCTACTTACTTAACCAAACATGTCTTTCAGCAGATAGATTAAGTGCATATCCAAACCTGTTTGTTCTCCAGGCTGAGGAGTATTATATATCTTTCACCAGTGTCTGTCTGTCTGTTCTTCTTTCTCCTTCTTCGGAGATTACCGGCATCTCGCGCGCCACCGACTGGCTGGGCAGCAGACAGACCGTTTAATAATCCGGCTTGTGCTAGCCAGCCACTTTCAAGATGGATTACCGGGCAGCCGGTATCCCCCTGCAGTCCACCAGCTACGCGCCCTACGCGCGCGAGACTCGCCAGATGGAGCACGAGTATTGGAACCCCTCTGACGTCGGCTACCACAAGAAGGGCCGCCATGGTCGGGCCATTCTGCCGCACCTAAGGCCTCCCGGCCCCGGCGGCGAAGAGCGCCGCAGCGTCTCGTCCGGGTCGAAAAGCAGCATTACCGAAGAAGTCGGCGGTAGCGGCAGTGGTAGTGGTAGTGGTAATGGTGGAAGTAGAAGTGGTGGCGGCAATAAGAAGGCGGCCGCGAAGCAGCGCAAGGGCACGGTGCCGACACCTAAACCCCATGGCAACAATAACAACATCAACAGCAGCAACCATCACCACAATCAGGACCCGGGCATCGACGTGGCACTGCGCAACCTCAGCCAAGAGCTGGCTAGCTCGCTGCGCATGTACCAGGGGTTCGTGCAGGGGTTCCGAGCGCAGACGGAGCTACTGCGGGCGTGGGCGGACGAGACGACGCTCGACATCATTTGGCAGAACAAGGTGCAGCAGCAACAACAACACGAGCGGCGCAGCGGCGACGGCGACGAGGATCAGCAGCAGCACCACCAGCGCGAGAGGTTCGAGGGCGTGGTGGCGCGGGTTAGAAAGTGCCGCGCCTGCGTGGAAGAGGCCGTGCACCGGGGCGAGAGCGTCGTGATGGCGAGCCGCATCGGGGGCAGCCGCAACCGGCAGACGATCATGGCGCAGGTACGCACCGGCCGGAAGGCGCTCGTCTACTGCGAAGGCATCGTCGAGCTGGCGAGCAAGGCAGCAAACGAGTGGCTCGCCTGCAAGTACCTCGTGGGCGAGTTGGAGGAGGCCAGGGCGTTGCTTGACTGGAAGAAGCACCCGTGGATCTGTGAGTCGTCGGCTCTTGACTATTTATTTTGCCTTCCTCCGAGTGGTTTTTCTCTCACTCTTGTCTGCTCACTAGATGGCTTGCTGACTTGCTCTGTGCGTGCGACCAAGCAGATGGCGAAGATGCCGGCAACCAACAGGGCCACGGCCAAGAGAACTCCAACACCGGTTCCGGTTCCGGTGCCAGTTCCAAGGGTAAGGGCAAGGCAAAGGCGAAAGGCGGCTCCGAGGGGTCTCGGAGCAATAGCAACAACAATCAGGATAACGCGGATGGGGACGAGGCTGGGCAGGAAAACGAAAACAGCGATGGAAATGATAACGACAGCCAAGACGGGGATTCGTCTTGGCAGAACAATGACAATTAGCTATGAGGTCAGATAGTTGGGGGTTAATTCGACTGGGAAATGAGATAGGGGGAGGTTGACGATTGCTTGGTTCACAGTTTTAAGTGAATTTCTTTTGGGATAGAAAAATAAAAAAGAAAAGAAAAGGGGAAATGGATAGAAGACAACTTGAGGAGCTGGAGTTATATCTTGGACACCACGAGGAAGGCGCGATTAAGCTAGGTAGTGTTACTGTTGGAATAGCGATACTGGTGACCGCACACTAACAGGGAGGAAGCAGAGATCGCGCGAGTACGCACGTGCAAGTAGGCACGTGCGGCGCGCGGACCTCTCACACACACACACAAAAACCCCGGTCGCACGCAGAACCTACCTTAGTTCCGCAGAGAGAGAGAGAGGGGGGATAGACACAAGATTACCCCCAGTAGATCTACCAACCCTTCGACCTGTAGGATCCCTGCGTAGTTTGAGTACCACGAACAGTTACCATACTTTCAACGCTCAAGTTTTTCGTCCCTTACCTGAACAGGCTGGCTGGTATCTATGTCTACTCTTTAGAAGTAAGATAATTACCCGCTCTAACGGTTTTTAAAATATAAGGAAATAAGAACATAAAACAGAATTCTGTATCGCTCAATAAAACAAAAGAATAAAAGGCACCAATCCAAAATTAATTTTCCAAAAAAAAAAAAAAAAAAAAGTCAAGGCAAACCATGAAGTCAGTCGCAAGCCACAGTCGCGTTATCCAAAGGTGAGGCTGAAGCAGCCCCATAATAGTTCTTCCAGCCCGCCGTAGATGTGAGCTCTTGCCGAGCAGCCAGCCAACCAGAGCCCCACACCACCCCGCACACCAACGGCGCCCCCGCCGCAACGCCTCTTGTTGGGGCTGGCCGGGGGTGAGTGACCCCCCACATACCAATCGAAACCAGAATTTCCGTAGTGCCAGAATTTTTTTCCCAAACTGATGACTGACTAACTGTTATTTCCTAGTTGGTGGGTCTCAGCTGCCCGCCGCAGCCAGCGGGAGAGAGACGGCGAGACGAGGGCCAGACCGCCTTGTTAGCGGCGATAACGTCGTGCTGGCAGTTATCTTGAGAAAATAAAAAAGAATCATATCGGCCAAAAAAAAATGTTCCGGGTATCCAAGGAGTCAACTGATTATTAGCAGGCAAAAAGTGTCAACACTGGCAGCAGGCTCCCTTTGCTGTTTACCACGTTGCTCTGTTATTTCTCGTTTTCTCTCTCTTTTTTCTCTCCTTTCCACGTCCTCGTTTTCCTATCGTTTGTCTGACTGACTACGATTTCCCTTTGCTAAATAACTGGCATCTACCCCGTCACTGAAGACGAGAGAGACATACGGAGGGTCTGTCGGCCATGAAAGGCGCCCCAGTGTCGCCGCCTTGGGCGCAGCAGGACGAACTCGAGCTGCCCCACCTCTGGCAGAAGCCTGCCCTTCAAGAGCTCTTCAAATGCCTGCAAGGCCTGCGGCAAGAGCTGCCTGTCTGGAACTTGGACATGCCGCGTGCAGAAATTATCCGCCAGAGGGAGGAAGAGCAGCAGGCGTCGGCGGCACACGACCGCCGCGAGATTGTCTCCTTCTTGTCCGCCATCGTGTCAAGCGGCCTAGCATGGCTTGAGAGCGACGACGAGCGCGAGGAGGTTTGGAGCGAGGCAAGCAAGCGCTTGGCCGAGCGATGCGGCCGGACTGGTACGTGTTGATTTTGGAGCATCCATAAAAATGCCTGCTTGAATAGGGGCTGGATCTAGATTCTTTTCCCAGTCGTGGGGCTCTAGCTAACGACGGCATGTGCTCTTTTCCTTATGCTATTAGCCATGGGAGACATCACTCGTTGCTGGCCCTTCAAGGACAGAGAATATGGCGCGTTCGACTTAGCGATAAGAGAGCCGTCCATTACGGGAGACTCTTTGGGGCTGAAGACATGGGGCTCCTCATATGTCCTCGCTCAGCTCCTCCACAAGTTTGCGGCCGGGCCCCTAGCGCATCTCTTCCCGACAGATGGTGGCACTGGTGGGAAGACCAAACCCTCCGAAATCCTTGAGCTTGGGTCCGGCACCGGTCTTCTAGGACTTGCCGCGGCTTGCATTTGGAAGACCCATGTCTTCCTCACGGATCTTCCCGCCATCATGCCTAACCTTGCCCACAACGCCGGCCTCAACCTCGCGACGGTTGAAGAGCGTGGCGGGCACGTTGATGCCGCTGCTTTGACTTGGGGCAGCAACGAAGAGGAAGAAACAGACCCCCAGTTTACAGCAGGGAACCGCTTCCAGGTTAGAGAGCTATTTGCTTGGCTATCCCAAGAGCCGACGCGCTTGGCCGCGCGCTAACAACTGTCATTAGCTCATCCTTGTTGCTGATCCGTTGTACGACGACAATCATCCCGCTCTTCTGGCCGGCGCCATTGACGGACAGCTTGGCCTCGGCCCAGATTCCAGGGCCCTTGTCATGGTTCCTCAGAGGGACGAGATCACAAAGGGCCTGACTGGTGCCCTGAGAGAGGAAATGGCGCGACAAACCAACCCATTGGTTTGTATTAGCGAGTGTTTGGTCCCAGGGCAGGACGACTGGGAAACCCGCGGCGATGATGACGAAGCTGCAAATGTCGGCTTCTGGTGGGGGGTTTTCAAGCGCCAGCAGAATACAGCTTGTTCATCGTAAATAGGGGCATCGGCTTTCGTTGCTTTATTCGCTTAGAACCGAAGGCTACGGGTGAAGATTTCGGCCTGATGGGAACGTGGGATGAGCAAGCGACTAGACTAGACCTAGACCTAGACCTAGACCTTCAGCTTAGAACATGGATAGACGAGTAGACGACCCGAAAAGGGGTTCAGGGGAGCCATGGATAGAGGGATAGAATAGACATTAGACCTAATCAGAAAGTCCGTCTGCAGCTCCGGAGATAGTGCTGCAAAGACTTCAAGGGTTCTTGGTGGTTGTGCTTTGCTCGAATGCCCTCGCCTTTGGGTGCTTCTTTCCCGCCTTGACGTGTAGTCGGTGCCAGCGTCATCTACGGCGCAAGTCCAGACGGCAGTGCCCAGTTTAAGCTAGTGGGAGCAGAGGAGGCTGGAATCATGTAATGTCGGTGAGTTCCTTGATCGATATCAGAAAGGCAGGGGTCGGCTCGGGTACTTTGTCGACAGGAATCAGCTACTACCAAGGCAGACCGAGCCCCGAGTTGGGTAGTAATTAACGAACTACCTTAAGGCGCCTTGCCTAGGTAGACTGTCGCTGGCGGTAGGCATTGAATGTATAGATGGTACGACGCCAGAATCATCCAAAGACACTGGATTGGCGGTGGTCCTTCCTGGGCCCGGTTGAGTGAGTGCTTAAGTGAAGAAGGTGGGTACAGAACGTGAAGGGGCAGATTAGATCTTTCCTTGTGTGGAAGTTTCGTTGCTCCTCTGCCGCCGTAAATGTGGGCGGTCTGTTACTTGAACAGGCAGGGGCGAGGCAAGACCAACCTCAGGCAGGAGGCAGGAGGTAGGAGGTAGGAGGTAGGAGGTAGGAGGTAGGAGGCAGGATGCACCAGGTACTGGCCTGGAACCTGGAGCCGCCGCTGCCAGTGAATTTCATCATTGGTCATCCCAACATTCGGGTCCGACTTGGGGCTGTTCTTGCTTGTCCCAGCCCCGCCCGCGTGGTTCTGCAGAGAAATTAGAGGCGGCTGAAAGCAACTCGACTCATCCGGCATCTCAAGAGCCTCCACGGATCTGGCTAGCCTTAGCTAGCCCTACGCTCGGCAGGACCTAGCATGCCAAGCTACCTTAAGGTAAGTATAGTGTTCGTCTTATGCATCTCCATATCTCGGGGTACATTGATGGAGAGATCGCCGGCCGACGCGTCGCCTGCCTTGCCCTGTCTTGCCCTGCCCTTCACACTATCACGTCAACAGGTATTCCACTCGCCCGCCCTCCCACAGCGGCAGCGCCAGTTACCAAAGCTCCTTACAGCATCCCTCATCCCATCATCCTGCCTCGCCTGCCCTGCCTGCCCGACGTCACCTGTCTGTCTCTGTCTCCCATTGTCCTCTATCAACCCCAACGCATGTGGCGACGGTCGGGGAAGCGCTTCTATTGTCCGACTGTCTGCCTTTACGGAGTAGCGCCTGTCCTAGCAAGTCCCAATCCTGGGCGCGCCTCACTACCCGCCTTGTCTTATCTATCTACCTATTGTACTCGGTCTAGGTCTGGACGGACAAAAATGGATTGAGAACGTGTGCCTGGCCGATCATGTCACTTTGGAGCCTCAGATTCCATTCATCCAACTCCCGAATGGTGGCCCCGAGTGATGAACCCCAACACCAGCTAGTCATCACTCACCCGCGCATCGCTTACCCCTGTCTCAGACTGGCATCACCACCCATTGTCTCTCACGGCTTCTATTGTTATACTGCCGTCGACTTGGGATCGACGTCACCTGCCCCCTTCACCCGGTCCGACACACGACCATAAGAGCCCAGCCGCCCCCTCAGAGAAGGCAGTCAGCTCCTTGCTGATCAAATATCTATACCGACGTGGTGGCTATACACATGGCGGGCGGGGTACGCAAGTACTCGGACGAGCAGATAGCCTTTATTCTGGCCCGTACCGAATCAACACGCCAGGCGGACCTCGCGCACCAGTTCTGTGAAAATTTTAACGTTGACCCTGCCGTCTTTAGTAGCAAGCAAGTCAAGTATATCAAGGGCGCTTACAAGAGACACCCTAACTTTACGTATGTGTTACACCACACCTCGCTCACACCGACCCCCTTCTACATTCCACCTTCATCGTGCTGACGCCAATTGCCAGCGACTGGGACCAGGACCAAGACAAGGAATTCCCCATGTCCGAAGAACCTCCTCAGAAGGTCAGGGTGACAGCAGCAGCAGCCACCTCAGCTCAGTCCAACCAACCCAGACCGCAGCCATCTGTACCCAGCCAACGTGCTGAGAAGAACACTATGTCCCCGGCTGGTCTAAAGCCAGCGCCGCACCATGGTGTGAAGGTGCAGAGCCAAGGAGCCCCCGTGCCAACATCGCCTCAGAGTCATTGGAAGAGCCAGCGAAGAAAAGCAGCAAAAAATGGGCTTTCCACACAGGCACTACCCCAACAGGTGCCACCCCAACGAGGCCTTGGCTCACCTATCAACATCAATATGTACCCCATCCTGCGGCAGAAAAACAGGGACACCCGTGGCCCTGCCTTCCAGCCTGCCCAAGTCCCCTCGTCTGGATTGAAGCGGAACATAGACGGCAATACCAAGACACCGTTGCAGCCTGGGAACCAGTTTGGCATAATGTTGCCGGTGCCCGAAAATAAACCATCAATCGCCATGGTGGCCGTCAACCCGGACATATATGCTGGGGCCCGGAGAGTACCATTCCCCTACGCACCTGGATGCACCCCCTCGAAAGCCGACTCCGCCGACCAACATGGAGTGTGGTACTCCACACAACATGACGAATGTCCTATACGACTAGCTCACCGGCATGACTGGGACGGCGGTGTTCACTTCAAAAGCATTGCCCATTGGATGCGAACGCACATGTACATGCGTTCGGTTGCGATGCATGACGTGTCTACCAAGGGGAATGCAACCATCGACAGCTCGCACAATTTCAACACCGCGAGACAAAAGGCACAGCTGCCCGCCTGGCCCATGGTGTCGCTCGGGGATATGGCACTGAATGTTCGGAGGAGGACGGCCATGCCGCCGCAGTACCCGCATCCTGTACAAGTCCCTAGCATGTTTGCGCCTACCACACCTTACCAACACACCACTGTTGGGATCTCTATGGGGAGCCAGGCCAACCAATTCTCGCCTATGCCACTGTCTATGCCGCCACCTATGCCACCGCCCATGGCCCCTAGTATGCCACAGCCCATGCCACAGCCCATGCCACAGTCTATGACACAGTCTATGACACAGTCTATGACACAGCCCATGCCACATCCTATGGCCTCGACGATGGCAAGGACACCACCCTTAGCGCCTCTCGCTCTGCCTCTGGCTCTGTCTCAAGCCCATACCCTACAATCACGGGATCTAGACTCGCAGATTCTTCGCTGGGCGGCTGATGTAACCCAAAATGAGCAGCAGTTTAAAGCTCTCACTCATCAACTCCCTCCAGAGGCTTTGAACTTCCCCCTCGGTGGCAACGACATTGACTTTGACCACCTGTTTCAGACCAACTTGAATGACGATTTAGAGCTAGACCTGGTGGCCGACGCGAACGAGGAAGCGAGTCCGAATCGCAGCAGCACTGCAAAGACTCCTCACATGGGAGATGGCGCTGGTGATTCCAAAACCTATAACCAACTCGCCCACGCCGCCAACGCAATGGCAGGACTTGACGAGCATGGTGCCATATCCGACCCCAGCAAGCCAGGCCAGGACGCTTCGGCCGCGAACGTCTGGTTCAACGGGCACATGATGAATACTCCCACAGTAGAAGCAGAGACAGACCTGAATCACAACGCGGACGCAAACGCGACCAGCCCCGAGTTTGCTGTCTTATCCGCGCTGACCAAGTGAAACAAAGGGTTTCGCAAGTCGTGTACCCAAGAACGGCACGCAATCGGATCCAGAGAATCTAATTCCTGGTGTACATCTATCGCATGTAAGATCAGATCACACAACGGGAAAGTGAACGGAGATATATACCAGCCCCCCTCCCCGGTATTAGAGCTGGCAGAGGAGAAGAGCAAGACTCTTGGCCTCTTATAGACGCTACCGCTCTTGGACTCGCCAAGAGGAAACAAATCCGAGAGGAAGTAGGCTGAGGATTGTATATTAGGGCCATATACGACAACACACGAACGACATGGACACGAGAGCACAAGAACGAACGAGTTGGCGACTTCTTTATTTCCTTTTCTCTTCTCAAGGCCTGGTGGCCTATATCTCTCTCTTCTGGGGAGACTTCATCCCTTTTTACCCACAAACCATTAACAGTTAGCGATGGATGATGATGGATGGATAAATAACATAGATAGTACGCAAACTTTCTATAGTGACAGCGCCAGTTGATCTATCTACCAACAGCAGGCACCGCGTATTAATATTAGCACACAAGATACAATAGGAACCACAACACATTTGTGATTAACACACAGATTTGGTGAAAACAAGGAACATGACTAGATTGGTGGTTTGTTGTAGCTACGGTATAGTCACCGTTTACTGGTCCCTACCCCCCCACGCTGCATCGCCTATCTAGCATACATTCCTTCAACTATTAGTTGATAGTTGTTGAGATGGGAATGTAGTCATGGTCGTAGATATAGAAAGCAGATATAGATAGATATAGGGTTGTGTGTATTTGCGTAGGTTAGGTATCTGACAAAGACAAGACCGACAACAGCAAGAGAGGAAACAAAAGACAATTCTCATATGCACGCTCACCCCTTAACACCCCCTTAACACACCCCGGACACCCTCAGAAACCACCCACCCCATAGCCGCCCCCGTCTGTCTTTGTTGCATACCTCTTAACTTTCCGTCCTGTTGTTCCCAGTTGACTCTCTGGCCCCATTTGTTGAATAAGGTAAATAAATAGTTGAAATAGATAAAATAAATAAAATGTCTTAGTTTTTTTAAGAGTCCAAAAAGAGAAAAAGAAGAAAAAAAAGGGGCACAAGACTAGAAAGGCAACAAAAAGAAAGGTACACCCACATCGCCTGTATCTCCTTTCCTTTCCTTTCCAGACCTTTAATTGCCCCCCCGACCCGTGTAACCACCAGCGCCACGTTAAAAAAGGAGGACGACGATGGAAGAGCAATGCCAACAGCGACGACAGCCGCGACAACCTACAACAACGATAATATAGGGATGTAAAGAGAAATGACCAAACTTGAAAAAAAATCAAAATCCAGAAAGGGTATCTAGAAACAAGCTCAACAAATGAAAGGCAAAGATGAGACAGAAATCTGGCTTATTGTTTGTTGTGGTTGTCGCGGTCGTGGGATCAATCGTCTCACATGACTTGGAAACGGGGGGATAAAAACAAAAGAAAAATATATATGCCGAGACACAGTGCTTGCTAGGTCGGACCCTTGTGTGAGGTCTATGACCTCCACCGCGTTCGCTTGAGTGGGAGTTTAAGGTGGGGATAATGCAAATAGAAGACAGACGGCTCGATCCGTCATATCGACACAAGCGGCCCAGGTTAAATGGCGATTGAAACACTTTTCCTCGTCTCGGCATCGTCGAGCTGGAAGCCGAACACAAGCTTGAATAAATCCCTCAGAAAACTATATTGGGAAGACCGTATCATCATCCAGTTGACACTCTTAGCGATATCGAGGGCGTTCACACGTTTTCCCCTGGTGGGTAGGCTGGCTGAGGCGCGGAAGGTTGCGTCGGCTAGCACCAAGTTCTTGTAGCTCTGTAGGAGAGTGGCATGACTTGGTAGGGAGCCAAACGATCCTGTCGGTAAGCTCTTAACGAAGGCTTGTAGCGACGATGCACCACCAAGAGTATCAGCTGCTGCGGCATCTCGACTGAAGCCGATGTTCATTGCAGCCTTGACTATGAGCGTCTTGATGCGTGTGACATTCAAATCCTCAATGGAAGCAGTCGCTGTTGTGGCTGTGCTAGAAGTATGATGACTTTGTTGGCTATTCTGACTGTAGCCAGAAAGGTTGGATGCATTGCTGGACCATCGACCCCGCTCACCCCCACGGTCACTTCGAGAGTCGAGCGAGGTACCTAGAACTATTATGTTGGGCATCTGGGGACTTGCATCGGGCGATATAGGCGTGTCCTCGAACTCTGTGACGGGTGTCTCGGGGACAACGGCGTGGGGCCGAGGTCTTTCTCCCGGGGGTCGGTAAGACTGCGAAGGCTCTCGCGCTTCGAGTGCAGCGATGCGCGACTTCCAGCGCCTGAGCGGGCAATGTCGGACGGATGCCCTCCCGACATGTTCGGGTGGCCAAACGACCCGCTAGACCCCAGACCAGAGGAGAAAAAGTTGACTTGACTTGGCCGCGGGGTGCCTCGGTCGGGTCGGATCTGTGTCCAGCCCTCCCGGAATATGTCGCAAAGCTCCCAGCACGCCTGGACTGCCGATCCAAGCAACTCCTCGTCGGGTGCCTTGTTGTCTCGTCGGTTCTGCCGCAGACTGAAAAGCATTTCTGCCAATGACCAACAGGCTCGCAGCAGCGAGTCCGTCTCCTCGGCCAGTTCATTTCGCTGCTTCATTAGGCGGTGACATAGAGTAATATAAAAATCCAACGTTCGTTCTCTGAACGCCTCGGGGAGATTGCGGCTGTCTTGGGCGCTATACAAGCTGCAGAATATTGTGAGACTTGAGGGGTTTAGCACTTGCAGAGACGGGATATAACATACTGGTTGTTTAGTTCAAAGCTGACTCGTAGTATAGAGTCAGCCACCTCTTCTTTCCTCTGTCGCACATCGAATAACGCTTGGCAAAAATCGCGGCAAAGGTCGAGGTTTGTCCGGACATTGTACGACTCGTGGAGATCGTCGCGGCTAGTATAGAGGCGCTTGCAGAGCTTCCAGCAGCACTTCCACGCCTTCTCGTGAGCATCCGGAGTTCCCGAGCTGTTGAAGACGCGTTCCCGGTGGATCGAGCTGAGGTTTGCAAGTGTGTTGCACAGAGTCCAGCATTCTTCTAGAGCGGCCCTCAATGCCTTCACTTCGCTGTCTTCGGCCCTCGCCGATGTCGTGCTAAATTCGTCCGCGTCCTCGTACTCCTCATCGGCGTCGGCTTCCATGCTCTCCGGTATCACTATAAGCTCACGTAAGTATGTGAGCTCGTTGGCCGAGGATTGTGGTTTCATACACTCAAGACTGCTCGCAGTACTGGACCTGAGTTTGGAGGGCTCGTTGGCGAAGACATCTTCCAATTTCTGAGCCTGCGGAGTTGCGGTATCCAGGCCGAAAGGCACTGGCTTCACCTTGGTGTTGACCATGGGCAGAAAATGGCTGGGCGGAATATGGGTTGGAGGAGGGGACTTGACCTGTGGGGTATTAGCGAGAGTGATGTTAATACAATTGGGATAGAAGTCTACGCACTGTTGAATGCTCACTCAGCGGAGGACTAATGGTGCCCTCCGCACTCATGCCAGTAACCGAATTGGAGAGGCTCGATCTAGATATTGAGTCGCTCGATTTCTGCCGTAGCATGTCAGTCAAAAAGCACAACCGGTAGACTTCGAGACAGAACTGTGCATACCCAGTTCTGGAAGCTCTGAGGTGCGTGTATTACCGAGACGATCTCTTCGCCTACAGACTTCCTTATATGGTCCGGAAGGTTTGTCCGTAGCATCATAAGCTGGTGACATGTCAGCAATCTGTATGCCGATTATAGTTGGGTGGGAGGATATCAACGGACCGAAGGATGTCCATGTGCAGGGCCCCTCCCTTCGTCGGTATGCCCTTCGGCAATCTCGTCCTCGATTTCTGTTGTCTCGGTCCCGTTTGACGTCACTGGAGAGGGGCCGACTATGTCACTGCTTGGGCTCATGAGATGATTCGAGCCAGGCCGGGAAAAGGAATTCGGGCGGAGGGACTGAGAGTCTGGACCGGAAGAGGAGCTACACAAAAGTAAAATGTCAACGGCTGGGATCACCTATTTGGGTTAGGCGGGAAGGAACCATACGCCATATATTGAGATGAAAGAGCAGGGGACTCGGGACCCGATGCGAGCGACATATCGGCGTGTGGGGAGTAGGTGGAGGTGATGCTTCCCGTCGAGGTCCTCAAGGGTGCCTCGAGAGCCATGATTGGGGATTCTGGATGGACACGCGGTCACAAGCCGAGGCCGGGAGCTGGAAGCCCGATCTGTGGGCCAGGATGTAGAAAGGATAGGGACGAAAAGACCGCCCCGCGCGAGAGACAACCACGATAGCGGGAGCAACGATGCACATAAGCTAGGTCCTCGCGAGGGTCGAGGACAAGACAGCAGCAGCAGCAGCAGACAGCACAGTATAGTAAGTAGGTATAGCTGCGCTTGTGAAGGCGAGAGCTACCCTTGCGGGGACGCGGTTGTTAGTCCCAGCCGACGAGTCGAGAGGCGCGCAGGATCGAGATGCAGCTCTGCCTCGGCGTCTAAAGCGGAGCTCGAAGCTTTGGGGCGAAGGAGCAGCAGCAGCATCAATATCCGCAATAATAGCAGGCCGGCGGGCAAAACACCTTCAAGCCGAAGCTGAGTAACAAGAAGAGGCGGGCAGCCGAGTTCGTTCTGCTGCTGCCACACGGCGGATCGGTGTGGTGTGCAGCTCGAGGTTCGCCTTCTTTCAGCCGGTAGTATGACTTGGCGACAGATGAGACGAGACGGCGAATTGATGAGCTAGCGCCCCGTCGTCAGCCGTCACTGTCTTTAGAACTAGGTTGTCCGTAGCTGCGCTGCGTTGCGTGGGGAGGGGATAAAAATTCAAATGCGACAGGGCCGAACCGAATGGGCTTGTCGTCGGTCGACAAACAGCTTCACGGGATAGGGTGGCAGCCAGCATGGACGGCTCTGGCTGGGCGGAATTGCGATGACCTGGTTTGCCAGCGGTGCTGTGCGTGGTGCAAACGGTGGAGTCGAGGACCAGCAGCGATTTGCCCAAGGGGGCCCAAAGGGGGGGAAGGAGATCAACGCCGCTGCGCTTATTTAGGACAGTGCAGCCAAACGGATGGGAGACGCCCCACCTCTACCGCTAGCTCGAGTCGAGTCAAAGCTCGAGTTGGTGCTGGGTCGTCGCGCACCGGGAGCTTGTCCCCACGTTTCTCAGGCATCCAGGCGTCCTTCCATTGCCAAACTAAACCTAGACGGGAGGGAGCACCAACCACACACACCTCCACCCACTCCATTCCTTACTGGTAAGACGATACATTATTTTACCTCGAGTGCCACTGCCAGGTTGCAGCGAATGTATTCCTTTGGAGAGGAGATGGACGAGGCCTGACTTTCTACACAATAGACGGCCAGTTTATGTGGTAGAAATCCTCTTGCGACTTTGATCTCGGGGTCTGACTAGGGCCTTGAGAGTGTTGGCGCAGTATAAAACTAAGTCACCTCACAGTTTGAAATTGACCAAGGCACGGATGGAAGGTAAGGCAGGCGGTAGATATGGCACTCCGTATTCGAACTTACATCCACGTATAGGCAAGGCAACTCAACTCTGCACATGTACTCCGTAGTGCACCTGCTGGGGTTCTGTCCCATTGCTAGCTTGCTCGGCGTGAACGTCTGGATGAAATTAGAACTACAGCTCAGTGCGGAGCACCTTGTAACCTGCCTACTTCACAAGTGGCGCGCTCTCAGTGTGCTGTCGGCGCGGGCTTCGAGAACAGTGCAACGACAAAGCGAATATAACTGCGACACTTTCTGCCGCCACGGCTACCTGACCTATCGACGACAGACGCGCGCTGTCCAGTACTTCTATGTAACCACTTTAGCCTTCACTCTTTCCACAGGTGCGATGTTGTTGGGCATGGAAAGCTGTTGACCCATGAGCCAAAACAAGAAAGAGAAAATCGATGCAAGTCTTTTTTTCTCTTCCCTCGCACTCACATCTCGACTGCAGCTAGCCAGTAAAAAGGGGGGGGACCAGGGGGGCCAAGCCAGTCAAGCCCCGCCTCTCCCGAGGGACTGCATATGAAGGCGTTGAAGGCGACAGCCCCGGGCGCTTAAGACATCGCGCAGGGTGGGTGGGTGCGAGTGGTGTGGGCCGCTTGTGAGCAAGTCACTCATCCACCCTCTGCCTCAGTGCCCCAGTGCGTGCCCAGGCTCCCGAACGCAACCAACCCCCCTGCTCTGGTCGAGGCTCGAGCTACCGGCTCGGGGAAGTTGGGAAAGGAGGGGCACCCAGACGGCGAATGTGTCCAATGGGCTGCCCCTATACGATTCGTTCCCAGCCCAGTGGACGCATGCCCTGATCAAGAACTGCCACACCTGCTGAGAGCCAATGATGCACCTTGGAGCGCAGGGAAAGGCCAGCATTTGAACATTTTCCTTCTCGGTTGAGGCAACAGTCTTTCGGCAGTGCCCGTCTTGATTATCCTGGGTAGTATCCTGGGTAGTGTTAACTTTCTGAGACATTGAGGTTTTGGGGGCCATTGGCGTCTTTGCATTCAACCATCTGTATCACGTGTCTACACTAGACCCGACTGAGTTTCATTCCACGGCAGGCTTCGTTGGTGCATCGGTGTGTCAAGTGAGTCGAGATATTCGGGCGGCACGGCTACACACACAAATTAACAGGCATATCGTTCGCTGGTTACCGCAGGGAGTCAGGAGGCGGTGGACCACGAATGTTTTCATGCTGAAACATTCATCCTACAGTTTACACAGTGTCACTACGCAAAGAGCGGCCTCCTGGCGAATCGTCGATGGCTGGGCTGGGCTGTCTGCATTCGCGTCTGGCTTCTTTTGATGCTGACAAAATGACAAGTCATGGTGCATAGTATGAGCAGAAAGGCCGCAGTCCGATGCCTTTCAAGAGCTGCGGGCGAGCTGCAAATGCGGTGCGTCTCCGCCGTCTGTCCAACCCCGTTGCCTTGTCTGTGAGTTGTGGCGTTTGCTTTGTCAAACAACACATTCCCGACAATCTGGTCCCGTGCTTTATTGAGCGCTAGTGTAGCCTGATGCCGTGACCCCACTCGCGCCACATGCTAACCCGCCTGCTGCCCGTGTCTTCAAAATAAAGGACGAAACTGATCGTCCAGTTTTTCGTGGACGAGTGGTTCAAGACGTGTGGGGAGAGTCAGGCAAAGTCAATTGAATACAGCGGATTCCGGAACACAGTCACCTACTTGGTGGTCTCCTTTTTTGTTTCATTTAAGCACTTTTTGTCATTTATCTGTATCCTTGCAATAGCCAGTAGAGCCATTGTGCGGACAGAGCCATAGTACAGAGTATTGCAAGAAAATCAGCACAAGGAGTTGTTAATTACCATTATGTGCGTCCTTTCTGTCTTCCGTAGTGTTCTGATAGTTAAGTAGGGGGGTGGGCATGAAAGGCAGAGGGCATAGCAAAAAAAAAAAAGGAAAAAAGAAAGGAAAGCTGGTCATGTGTTTGAACCTGTCTGCCGGTCGGGAACAACCCGATGCAGCCGGCTGGTGGGGAGGTTGTTTGTGTTACATTCAGCTTTACGAACAGAAACTCCGGAAGCGCGTTTGTCTGCACATCCACACCAATAAGCGGGCACTTACGCTGGGTCCTTTTCAATAAAAAGTCCCATCTCCAGCTTCCCACGCCGAGTCCCTTTTTCTCTCTTAGCCGCACACTCGCGCAGCAGGTGGAGCCACGTAATAAACGTTTTGACCCTTTGCGCTAGTCGCGCTAATTCCTCCTGCGAGAGCGCGGCAACAGACCCAAAAGAAGGCCACCCAGCCACGCTAGAATCTCATTAAAATGCGCTCGAATCCTCCACTGCGAGAGCATGGGACGATGGATCCAAGCAGTCTAGCGAGCCTTCTGCTTCTTCGAATTTCCGCATCTCTCTGCTCGGGGGCTCAAGCGCGGCTACGAGACGACAGGAATTTTAACATTGCAGAGTCCGTGTAACCCGAGAGGGTCGGATTACGACTGCGTCTTTGTCCGCGATGAGCCTGCGTGTGGGAGAGTGCGCCAACAACGCAGCGAGGCATGACCCCCGGCGTGGGGGCGCTTGACTTTGGCGGGGACGAGACGTGAACCAACACTGGAAACAGATCCCAACACTCTGACACCATGTGTACCGGGTATTTTCTTTGCTGGGTTCCATTCACCTTGGAACGTGGCATCCACGGAAATGCTCCCCGCTCTCCGGAACAACGGTGAAGACCCAACCACCCGAGGTTTGTACAATACTACGCCATAGGGATTCTATAAGCCCGAAACTCGGCAATGAGCCAAAATAAGGGACACGGCTGCTCTGGGAGACAACCCAAAAAGAATGTCTCTCCGGAACGCCGTAGCCTGTAGATGCAAATTGTGGATATATGGTATAATTCTTTTCCCTAAGACGTCTCGGGCGGCGCGATGTTGATCTTCTTCAGGTTGCGGCCGTCAGGCGTGTATCTAGAGGGCAATGTGATTAGTACAACATTAGAGCTCCACGACTCCCCCATACGGACACGCATGAGGGCGAAACGCGAGGGGCGGGGGTTGCGCACTTGAGGAGCTTCTCAATCAAATCGACGTGTGTCATGACCATGCGTCGGCAGCAGTACCGCTTGCAGCCAATGTCGTCCATCGCGTCTCTGTCGTTCGTTGCTGGTCAGTTTCGTGAACCACTTCCCTTTCTCCCTCTCCAGCCCGCCGGGCGCAAGATGTACACGTACCCCTCAGTGACCCCATTGTCGAGAAGTTTGACGAACTTCTCCCAGATGTCGCCTGTCACCTGGGGACCGGGTTAGCCGAAGGCACAGACACGGGCCGTCTCCTGCGCCATCTTACCTTGCCACAAGAGAAGCAGCGGATGGGGATAATCATCTTGACGGTGACAAGAGCGCTTCTAGACTAGCAAAAGTATCGAGGCGTCCGTGGGCGGCGCGTTATTAGTTGTTGCGTTGGAGATGGTGATAAGTGATCGATGGTGTTGTTGATTGGTGAAAATCGGATTTGATTTTCTTTCGGAAACTCGCCGCCGCCGTCAAAAGTTTGAAAGAGCCTCCCGTCTCCAAATTTCTTTGTCCCCAACGTATGACCATTGGCTGGTTCTTATCGGCGATAAGCAACCGACCCCACTGTAACTTTCCTGACCGTCTCCGCCAAAATTTCTTCCTACGAACACCCGCAGAGACGGGGTTTCCATCCCAACCTTGGTGCTTAGGAGTCGATTTTTTGGGCTTGTGCCGACCACTAGGAAAAGTCCTTGTCTCTCTTGATTATACCCCCTAGCGATCCCAGTTGGCTGCCGTCCAATATGGTGTCTCGAACAGATGTCAACGGCGACACGGCCGCCTTAAAAAAACGAAAGCGGGAGCAGAAGGACGATGCGGTCCTGGCGCTGAAGAGACTCAGGTCGAAGCCGCATGCAAAGCAACAATCCAATGGCAATGTCGAGGTTGCCTCCAGTTTGGGCGAACATGGTGCAGATTCGAGCGAGGCACCAGCGCAAAATACCAACGGCGAAGATGTGGGGTTGCCCGATGTCTCTTTGCCGGAAGCAGCGCGAGGCGCAGAGACAGAGCCGTCGGCATCGTGGAAGGTATCCAAGCCGATGGGTGGGAGAATGCTCGACATAGACCCGATATTTTCACTCGACGAGCGGTGAGTCAATCCCAACAATTGCTGAGAGGGCTGTGTCGCTGATATGAAGCAGGCATTTAATCATCACATACAACACTTCAATCCAAGTATATTCCGCCGAAAACTCCTTGCTTGTTCGCCGCATCGCGCTCCCCGTTACAGGTTCAGATACTGGAAACGATTTGATGTCTACGCACATCGTGGCGTCGTCGCTGTCTAAAACATCTCCCGAATATGTCTGGGTCGCGTGCTCCGACGGACGTATATGGCACATCAACTGGAAGACAGGGGCAGGGACCGACACCCCCTTTATCATTGAGGTAAAGAAGGTCCTTGGAATGACGGTGGAAGCTGTGGAGATGGGCGGGGCTACGCAGGATGTGCTGCTTGTTCTCAAGAAGCTGACCAAAGCCTCTGGGCAAATTATGGCTTTCGACGCCAAGGCGCTATCCCAGGGCGAGGGCCAACTCATTCACACTTACGACGAGAGCCCACAGCTCCTCCAATTCGCAGCCGGCGGCCGACTAATTGTCGCCGCGGCGAAAGAGACACTTCACATTGGCTTACTCAAATCTAACAAGAAGCTCAACTCTATCGGCGACTTAGAGTTCCAGTTTCACTCCTTCGGCGTTCCAGACCCTATCACGTGCTTCGATATACGGTCTGAAACTCAGACACACAAAAAGCGTACAGAAATCAAGTCTGTGGACCTGACCATTGGGTGCGCTCGCGGAGCCATCTATCTCTACGACGACGTGCTTTCCAAGCTCCCCGGAGGCGGATCAAGGTCGGGCAAAACGAGCTTATTCCAGCCACGAAAATATCATTGGCACAGAAGAGCTGTCCATTGCGTCAAGTGGTCTGAAGATGGTAAGAGAATATCCCCAGTCGTATTAGGCTGAAGCCATGGCTAACCAAGCAAAAGGCAACTACCTGATATCTGGTGGCTACGAGACGGTCCTTGTTCTGTGGCAGCTGGATACCGGGAAAATAGACTTTCTCCCCCACTTGTCGGCAGCGATTGAGAACATTGTCGTGTCCCCACGAGGATCGTCTTACGCGCTTCACCTCGACGATAATTCGACGATGATAATGTCTACAGCAGAGATGAAGCCAACCATGTACGTCTCGGGCATTCAGTCTCTTGTTCTAGGCGAGCAGCCGTCAAAAGAGTCCGTAGTGCAGCGAGTATGGAAGCCGGTGGATGAGATCTCGAGACCCTTGGTCACGGCTAGCAATCCTCGCAACCCGTCGCAAATGTTCCTATGTGTTGGAAATGGACAGCAGGCTACACTAGGAGGAGGAGTGCCCTCCACGCCGCTTCTCCAGATCTTTGATATTTCCTCCTTCCAGAGCGTCGCAAAGCACGCTATTGCGCGCACAAACCCTACAGACGCGAATGTCACCAGCCAGGGCGTCCCGATTATCGAGCCCATGGTCACCAAGCTTTCATTTTCTCCGGATGGTAAGTGGCTCGCCTCTGTTGACGAGTGGCAACCCCCTGAGAGAGACGTCGACGCGTTCTTGACTGGGTCAAAGACTGTTGGCGAAGTTAGCCAAGAGAGACGCGAAACTTATCTTAAGTTTTGGGAGGTTGGCGAAGATGACAGCTCTCTCCAGCTTGTTTCGCGTATCAACGAGGCCCATCACACAAGCCAGCCTGAGATAATATTTGATCTTGCGAGTGACCCGACGTCTTCTCGATTTGCCACCATTGGCAACGACGGGATGGTGCGCTTCTGGACCTCAAAGTTACGCCGGCGAGACGGGCTTGCATCTACGGGCCCCGAGGGCCAGCAGCTTAGAGCCTGGTCTTGCTCCCGCACTGTCGCGCTGCCGGCCCGCGGTCAACAAGTCGACCTTGTCGAAACCCCGGCCAAGGAGTCTCGGAGTGGCGCTCTCACATTTTCGGAAGATGGTTCCATCCTCTTCGCTGCCTTTGGTGCTTCGTCTGAGGGCGTGGTTGTCGCTATTGATGCCGAGACAGGGGCGCTTCGAGATGTCGTCTCTGGAATGTTCAAGGGCAAGATCAGAGGAATAAAGGCTCTGTCGTCATGTCTTATCATGCTATCAGAGGAGCTCACCGTCTACGACGTTGTATCGGACGAGCTGCAGTATAGCTTCGGCCTCAAGGAGACATCGGAAGCTGCAAAGCGGCTCACCCAGTTGGCAGTCAACTACCAGTCGCGCACATTTGCTCTAGTAGCCCCTATTCCGAATCCCACCCAAGAACGGATGAGGAAGGGCGCCAAGTCGGAACTTGCCATCTTTTCAGTCGACGACGCTGAGCCGCAATTGGTGCAAACGTTCCCGCTGCTGATTACTTCGGTAATGCCTGCCCCGGAGTCGTCGGGCTTCGTTGCCGTAGACTCGAAGGCTCAAATATGGTCTGTCACGGAAGGCGCCGACCAAGCACCGATACTTCAGCCGCTGGCTGATATAGGAATCGACGGAGACGCTGACGCAAAGGCGGAAGCGGATCCGCTTGATCTGGCTGGCGAGGATGGCGGAGCTAGCGACGAGGAGATGGATGATGCGGATCAAGATGTTGAGATGGAGGACGACTACGATATCCATGCCGCCGTCGTTGCTCCCCAGCGGCTAGCCGAGATCTTCAACGCCGCACCGGCTTTCGCCATGCCGCCGATTGAGGATTTATTCTACCAGGTCGCGAAACTGTTCTCGACTAAGCCGGTCAATGCTTAGCTGCAAAATACCATATATCCTGAGCCCGAGGCACGACATACTGCGCGCTTCCGAGGCTAGGCCTGTGCCGCCCTTTCATGGATAAGACAACAGAACGCGGCGCCCTTTAATGTAGGGGCAGTGTGCAGCGTTCTGCAGCACTCTAGAGTCTGGTTATACGGCCTCGCATTGGCAGAGGGGAAAATGATGGGTGTTTGACTGGTAATCTTGGGTTGTCCACCCTGGCTGTGTCAACCTATCTTCGGCGCAAAAATGAAGTGAGGATTTAGTCTTGTAATTACTAGTTTGCGGTCTATTCCTAGCTGTCCAGGCTCACCAGTTATGGCCTGTTCCAACTGTTCAAGTTTACCAATTGTGGCCTCTTCTTGTCCAGTCACGGCCCAGGACGGCAACGGTCGGGTCGCGGAACGTGTCATGGGCGGGGACTAGTTTGATTGGCTGACTTTCCACTAAGAAAACAATCATATGATTAGCGGGAATCTCCCACAAGCCTCAATTGGACTGTTCTTCTATTGCCCCGCCCTACACGATGGAGTCAATGCGATCCTCTCTCCAAAGCCCACAAACATCGCAATCAGCTATCCTAAAAAATGGGGTGTGCAAGCAAACCGGCAACAAACCGCAACAGCCCGTTTAGGTTTAGGGTACCAGTCAGTTTGCGATTCAAAATATCAAACCTTCGCCATGTCGAACCCAACCGGCACAGCGCAGCGCACATCAATTCAGCCTACCATGATTGCACCCTTTCTACAACTCCGACCACCAAGCGAACCGTTGCAGCCAACCAGCGAGAACCTCGCCAAGACAAGATTCCGACACCCCGGGTACGCAGACAGCGAAAACATCATCCTCATCCTCCCAGCCTTTGACTCTAAGGGCATCCACCACGAGACCGCGCGCATCGCATGCTGCATCTTTGCCAATTGCGCATGGGATGGGTATTTTTCCCTTTCGCCGAATGGCCCACGCGTGCCACTAGGTCTGTCTAGACGACATTTTAACCGCGCCTACCTACTACTTCTGCGTCCCGAATGGTTCGTCCTTCTCCGCCCCTGCTGTAGTCTCCCCCGCTAAACAAGAATTCCTAGACTTTAAGTACGCAGTGGTGCCATCCCTTGGGCACTTCCGCTTTCCCAACCAGCTCCCCCAATTCTAGGAAGACAACAACCAGGCCCCGATCCTGTCCGCCCCAACTGGGGGCGAAACCTGCCGTATCATCTCCTCTCTCCCGCTCGAGACGGCACACATCATACCCGCTAAAGACGTCGACTGGTGGCAAGACAGCCTCATGTACGAGTACGCGCGCCAGCCAAGCGCCAGCATGAATACGCACTGCCCGGACAACTCCCTCAGGCTCCGGAAAGATGTCCACGCCCTCTGGGACGCGCACCGGTTTGCGTTTGTCCCCAAGCAGGGTGCATGGGTGGCCCATGTGCTCGAGGCGGGCGTGACGGATGAGCTGCAGGCGCTGTACCATAACCTGCAGCTGCAGCCCCTGGCGGGCATCAGACGCGAATACATGCTTGCCCGGTTTGCAATGGCGGTCTTGGACAAGGCCATGTTTGCGCGCCAGCCTAGTAAGGGATCAAGGCGGCTGGTATGGATTGGAGCGAGAGGCGAGGAACCGGAAGTGAAGGAATTGTCGGCGAAGCAGTGTCGAGAGATGTTTGGGGTTGGGGCCCGAGGGAAGAGCTCTAGCCGGAGCCCCAGTAAGAGTCCCAGCAAAAGAGCGAGGACTGAGGGCGATGACGATGACGAGAGTGGGTGGGGGGTTCAAGACAATAGTGGTGACTATTGCGATTACCCAGAACATGAGCCGCGCATGGGAGCAGACTGCAGCTGCTTGGGCTTAGATAGCAGCGACGAAGACGAAGAGGGCGAGACTGAGCGTGGCCAACCACGAAAACGCCTCCGAAGAGATGACGTGGTGGAGCGGCTACACCCCGAGCCCATTCGCATCCACCCCCCCTCTTTGTCCCGGTCAGCGCCGTCGCTTCCGGACGATGAAAGCCCGGAAACCGGCCAGCCGCATCCGGGTCTCCAATATCAGGAGCTAGACACTGGGAGACGGAAGCACATACCCACCTCACTAGGGACGCGCCTAGTCTAATCTTACCTCGACATCGCGCCTCTTTCCGGTTATCCCAAAGAGCGTCATGCTCGGGTTTAATCTACTCACTCAGGCCTTGATGATCTCTAGCATCTAGCATCTTGTCGTCTTTTTGCCACAGCGAGCTTGAGCCTCGCAATATCCCTGTTAGGGACCCTGTTAGGGAAATATCGCCGACCGAGGACAAAAGCCCGCGCTACGAGCTGGCTGCTGTTATCTACTGGGAAATGGCTGGCTTTCACCAGTTTACCTACGAGTATGGCGTCAAGGATACCGTCCTCGATTCTTGGAGCCTGTCTTTCTGCTGGTATTCGTTGCTCAAGGAGAGGACATCCCATTTGTTGCCCCGAGCAGAGTGCCATACAAAGCTAATAAAGGCCCTCAGGGTTATAAATCCAAGAAGAGAAGTATGGCGCGAAACGCCGGCACCCAAGATTCAAGCGAGGTGGGTGGAGATGGAGAAGGCTGAAATAACCTCCGACTTTCGCCAAGGTTGTGTTCTCAAAGCTGGCGCTGAAGCTGCCGGGCCATTCACTATGGATGACCAAGCGAATATTGAGACGGAGGTTCCGAGGGAACTGGGCCATATGACACTCGAGCAGATATCTTACTCCGTTGACTGTTACGGATATTACAGAACACTAGGTACCTGCTTGTTTGAAAAGCTGCAAAAATGGCCTGTGCGTAGGCGGGGGACCAGCTACAAAAATGGCCCGTCAATTCAGTATGTACATGTATGTACTGTACAGTACAGTACCTTGCGTATGTATGGATAGTACTTTGTACAAGACATACTATACTCCGCGTCGGCAGCTGCAGCTGGGATACTATGGTTGTGGGGAAACAGGTACCTCCACCTCCCTCAATGTGTTAGGCAGATAACCCATATCTAGCCGATTACGCCATTCTCGACCCCAATAAGAGAATGACCTGATCTTGGGCGACGACTTTGATAGATAGCGTGACCCTGCCTATAAAAACTTCAAAGATCGAACTACTGCCAGAATGTCAAGACACTCGACTATTTTATTACAATGAGTGTATTCATATTCATTTCCTAGCTATCCTACCTACATACCTAGGTACATGTACTTAGCTCGCACGCCCCTTTCCATCAGCATAGGAGCGGACCAATAGTCATAGCACCAGCTAAGGTAGGTACGTGACTGAGTTGCCAGCAATTATTATTAAACTGGGATATCGACAGCCGTTGGACTGTCCTTTTCTAGCCACCTCTTTTCAAAACCTCCTCCGAGCTATTCAACATGTCCTTCACGACGATACCGATTCTAGACCTGGCTCTGGCCCAGGACCCAGCCACGAAGCCCGCTTTTCTGGCTGATCTACAGCACGCCTTGATGGAAGTCGGCTTCCTATATCTCAAGAACGTGGGCATCTCAGACGATGTGTTTAAGCAGGTTATCGCCGAGGGCCGGGCATTCTTTGACATTCCCACAGAAGAAAAGTAAGAAGAACCATGTGTCTCCCTTTTTGTTACTGTGTCGATTTGATTCTGGTTACTGACGCAAGAGCGTCAGGCTCAAGATCGAGATGAAGAACGCGCCCTCGTTCCTGGGGTACTCACGTCTGTCGGCCGAAGTGACGGCCGGCGAGATCGACCACCGCGAGCAGATCGACATCTCGACCGAGCACCCGCTACCGGGGCCCGGGGCGCCGCTACACGCCAACCTCCTGGCACCCAACCAGTGGCCGTCAGCCGAAGTGCTGCCAAACTTCCGCAGGGTCTTCGCCGAATACCTCAAGACCATGGGCCGCATCTCCATCTACTTCACCAGCCTCATCGCCGAGGCCATCGAGCTGCCCAGCAACGCCTTCGACAAGTACTTTGACGGCGACGACCAGCACCACAAGCTCAAGATCGTCAAGTACCCCGACGTCGGCACGCTCGGCGCCGCCGGCAAGGGCGGCAACCAGGGCGTCGGGCCGCACAAGGACAGCAGTATGTTCCCCTCCCTCTATGCTGTGTCCCCACGACAGCGCAAAGACAAAAGAAGACATTTGATAACCCTGCATCACCCCCAAAAGTGCTCACCAGCTACCTCCTGCAAGCCTCGCACCACCGCGGGCTGCAGGTGCAGAACATGGCAGGCGAGTGGATCGACTGCCCGCCGATCGACGGCACGCTGGTGGTGGCCATCGGGCAGGGACTGGAGGCGCTGACGCAGGGGGTGTGCAAGGCGACGACGCACCGGGTGCTGTCTCCCGCGGCGGGCGCGGGCCCGCGGTTCTCGATCCCCTTCTTCCAGGGCGTGCGCGGCGACACGTCGTTCGCGGACCTGGCGCACGTGGGTGTCGGGCAAGTGCCGGAGCGCGTCAAGGCGCGGCGCTGGCGGGTTGGTCGAGGTGGTGTCGACGTCGTCGAGTTCACGTTCCGCGCCGGCGGCGCCGCCGCCACTCTCGGCGAGGCCACGCTGCGCAACCGCGTCAAGAGCCATACTGATGTTGGCGAGCGCTGGTACCCGGATATCCTGGCGAGTGTTAGGGAGGAGCAGGCCGCGCTGGCCAGGGAGAAGGAGAAGAAGAGGCTGGAAGAGCAGCAGCAGCAGCAGCAGCCTGCTGCGACGCAGGGAGATATTCCCCTTGCGCCAACGTCTGTAGAGGCGCACTGATATATATATGGAAATATGGTACAGGAGTACATACATTATCTAGTGTGAGATATTGCTTGGATCAGTAGGAATGGAGGAGAGCTTGTGTCTCCTGTCTCCTTTCTATCTCTCTTTCAAAAGGGGTAAAGGGGTAAACTGAATATCCGTTCAAAAACAAAGGCACCCCGTATGTTAATTTGGTTGAGTGCGTTCTGTAGCAAGCGTATTGTATTGTCGCTTAGTTTATTTCTTAAGAATTGCGTAGTTCCCCCCGTTTCTGTTCTCGCTCATCCCTATGATGCTCCCGTTCTTCGGGGACATACATGAGAGAGCATTAAGAAGGGGAAAGAGAGAAGAGACAGGAGAGTTTCGAACGTGGAGATTTTAGCAAGACGCCCAGGTATGGATTTAGCCTTTTTTTTCATCTTTTTTATTTTACCAAGTTCTTTTCTTCTTGATTGGTACCTAGTAGATTTCGGGCTAGGAAACAGAGAAGAAAAAAAAGAAACCCAATCAAAAACCCCCAACCAAGAGAAATCTTGTTACCCTGCGCCGCCGGAAGACCCGCCCCCCAACAAGATTCTGTTTCGGATTATCCCAAACCGCAACACGTAGCCGTAGACCCTCTTTTGCTGCGCGCGTAGTGTCTTTGTTTCGCCGACGACGTATATGCGTCACACATCGCCTCAGGGTACCCGGGGGGCGTCCATGTGGTGTACGTTTTGCGCTGGTGTGACATGGATACATGTCTCCGCTCTCGCTCTCTAGGCCTCGAGGGCATAGTCCGGAAAGCACTCGGTCATGGTCGAGTTGTGCTTGTTCTCCGAGTGCTGGGTGAGTCTGTGTTGGGCAGAGTTCAGTTTAGTTTTTCCACCCTGGTGATGGCTTGACGCTTTCAAGGGGGGGAGTCCGACATACTGCGCGGGGCGCACCGTGGACAGGAAAGGTGTCTTGCAGATACCGCACTGCACGTTCATGGCAGCGACGTTCTAGTTGTCCCGCACACTCCTTGTTAGTATCGCATGGCTAGAGAGGGGCCGTGGATTGGGAAAAAAAAGAGGCCGTACCGTCTTCAACTGCGACTTTGCGGGGCCCTTCGCATCCTTGGCATTGCGCGCACGCTTCGACGCCGCTTTAGCTCCCTAGGGGTGACGCGAGCTATGTTAGTTCCGCGCGCGCATACATCTAGAAGGAAATCGGGGGTGAATGGATCGTCCTTGTGGGGGGGGATCATACGTTACCGCCACCCATGTTGACTATTAGTGACTTTTTTGAGGGGAGAGTTGTTGTGTCTTTCGGATAAGTCGTGAATATGTGATGGGTGGTATGGTAGCAGGTGGTGGATGCTGGATGGTTTGCGAAATCAGGCAGGCGGGTTGTACGAAATACGGAGCGGCAGGTAATAATCAGGCAGGCAGGCAGATGAGAGAAACTTTTCCTCCCTGTTCAGCCGTCCCGGTTCCGAAGAAAGCGTTTGCGACTCGTTTCCGCCCCTCAAGCCCCCTGTCCCAAAAAGATTTAAGGTACTGGAGCGGTCTGGATTTTCGCCGCATGAGGAAAGGCCTAGCGGGCCCTTCCCTAAAGAGCCCGCTTCGTGACCGCACGTTGCAGGAAGAGGGACCCGGAGACCGAGACGGAGGCCTTTAGACCTGACCTTACAGTATTTTACCGTACTCGCCAGGCCTGGGTTGATGGAACAGAACGTCTTCTACGGAATATGGAAGAAGAGTGGCAATAAAGTATTAAGCTATCTTTGTTTATTTGGCACTTTTGTTAAATTGCACCGAACATATTAAGATAGAGCAACACACTCTTTTTTTGCTTTGTTTTATATGCCTCAGGTGTTCAAACATGCGAGCCCCCACTTGTTGTCACCCTCTGGAGCTCGCTGTTTGCGACCAATTAACTCCAAGGTTGGTTGTTTCTTCACTCCAGCACATCTTCAAGGCAACCCAAGTCTTTGAAGCCACAAGCTCCTGCATGATAATGGGTCAGAGTTACTGCATCTTGCCAAGTAATTTATCTACCCCCAGACCCCATTTTTCTCGTTTGTATCGTGAATTGGCGTCTCAATTGGGTACACGCAGCCTATTCGTACTTGACTTGATCACAGCTGTTCATTCATTGTTTGCCTACCTTAGGTCGTTGTCAGGGTCCGCATCATCTTGGGCCATTCCTCTCGGGTTTGCAGCCAGCATCCAACCCTCGGCGGGAAAGGGACGCGACACTCGTGTGGATTCCTAAAATCGGCGGCAGTTTTTTTCGGCGCGAGGTTCCGGGCCTCCTGCCGTCGCATTGAGCCTTGGGCCTTTGCCTGGTGGATCGGATCGGATCGACCTGGACCGGCTTCCTGCAGTGCCACCACGGTCTACGACAAGAGCCGCAATGGGAAACACCGGCGTCCCCTCTGTGGATAAAATATCCCATGGCCAGTTTGTCGATTGCCTCGGGAGATATGCGTCGTGCATCAAGGCTATATCCGCTTCGAAAGGAGGTATGCTGTCCGTCCTCTCTACATAGGTAGGTACCTATCTAATGTGGCCGTCAAAACTGCAGTCAAACCCGGCCAAAAGTCGCTTGCCGAACTTGACCAGTATCGCTATGGCGAGGCGCTGGATACCTTTGCTCTTGGCAAGACGGGATCCGCCATGGGCCTCGACGACGTCAAGGTTCTAGTCGAGTGGAAGCTGTAAGTGGCTCTCTGCTTCTGATGTCGTGGCCGTGGGATAAGTGGAACGTCGGTCGCCGGATCAGCGGCCATCCCATTGCTCTCAAGGATCTAGACAGTCCCTCAATTCACACGGAAAGCACTTCTATGGCTGCCAGCCACCTTGCTGCCAGTCGAGCCAGCTAACCCGTACTCTTAGTCGCCACGGAAAGTTCAGACCGACTCTGATGAAATTAGTTTCATCAAATGAGCCGGATGCAACCAAGAAAACCATCCAGAAGGCCTTCAAGCACTACCAGAACAAGACAGACGTGGCCGGCGCGCTCAGCATCTTGACCCAGCTGAAAGGTATTGGCCCGGCGACTGCTTCTCTGCTCCTCGCAGTTCACGATGCCGCAAACGTCATCTTCTTTGCAGACGAGGCCTTCTACTGGCTGTGCTGCGGTGGGTCAAAAGGGCCCATCAAGTACAATCTCAAGGAGTACAGCTCCCTGAACGACAAAGTACAAGCTGTGGCCAAGCGACTCGATGTTAAAGCTGTCGATGTGGAACGCGTCGCATTTGTTCTCATGCGGCAACATGCCGAAGCTGCCTCGGCTAACGGCCGCAGCGGTGGCGGCGGACCGGACTCGGCGGTGCCCGCCAGCGACGCTAAGAAGCAGCCCGCCAAGAGAAAGACCCCGGATGATAATAGCGATTCTAAGACGCCTATCCGACGGTCCAAACGGGGAAAGCAAGCCTGATAAGCATCCGAGTATAGAACCAGGTAGCACCACCCACCAGCGGCTGGCTCAGGGCGTGCCGGCGGGATTTTCGGAATGATCAACAATGCGTCGAAAAGGCATCGTTCACATGCAGGCAAGGGAAGGGAAGGGAAGGGTTCACCTTGTCAGCCCTGCGAAGACTTGACGTCGCAATCGAGCCGCTAGCCAGATACCCGAACCACTCTTCGGTCTTTTACCCTGCCTTTCGGCGTCGGGTAGCCCAAATTCCCCTATTGGCGAGCGATGCAAAATTTCCGGGTGTTACTTGACAAAGTCTGCACCGGCAATGACGGGCCGCAGCTGCGATGTCTAACCCCTGACAAACTAAGGGAGACAGCCAACCAGGGGTCCAGGGAGGGGGCAACAATAAGCGGCTAGCCACTTGCAACTTGGATTGCGGCTTCTCGATGGGATTCAAAGCGAATGCATGATAATGAACATGAAGTACCTGGCCATTTATTAAGGTCTTCGGACTTCGGCCCATGCAGGATTTCCCCTTATCAGTCAAACTACCATAGGTGTCTCAGTAGCCCGCTTCTTTTTTCTCCAGACTCTCTCTGGTTTTACCTTACCATAAGGCCCCCTTTCGAGGTTCGCCAGTGTTACCTGCACGTTTATGACATGCTTGCCGTTTGCATCTCCTGTCATGGCGATTTCAGCCTGGGCATTTCCCATCTCTACTAATGTGCCTACATACGGACCGCCAGCAAAGGAGCGTGGTGAGATGCGATCGTTTTCATACCAGGACCCCTTCCCCCTGCATCACCGGTTTATGGCTCTCAAGGAGGGCTTGTCATCTACGAACGAGACCGCTCTCATCCAGTCATGGCAACAGCTCCTCCATGATCTATCAGAGGAGGTGGATCTCATATCATCCAAGGGGTCTGGTATTGTGCCCACCATCGACTTTGCCAACATTGCGAAGCAAGAGCAGGCTGAAGGCTTTCTCGCCGACCTTAAGGAGAGGGGTGTTGCAATCATCCGCAAGGTAGTTCCACAGGACACCGCTCAGCGCTGGAGAAGGGACGCCATAGAATATATCGGGCAGAACTCTCGCCAAGCAAAGGCCATCGTTCCGCCAGACGACCCTTCCCACCCTCAGCGGCTCTGCGAGCTCTACTGGAGCGCCGCACAAACCGAAGCCCGAGCCCACCCCAATATGTTGGCCGCGCAGAAATTCGCCATGGGAGGAGCCTGGACGTCAAGAGACCCCGGAGCCAAAGTCACCACCAACTTCCCTATCACGTATGCCGACCGAATGCGGATACAAAGGCCGGGGAGTGTGAAGGGCGCTCTTGCTCCCACCATTGGTGCACACGTCGACGGCGGCAGCGTCGAACGGTGGGAACACGATGGCTACGGTCGGGCAGGGACATACCGAGAGATTTTTCAGGGTCGCTGGGAAAACTACGATCCATGGGAGGTGTGTGACTTTTCATTTTTGTCCCTATTTTTGCCTCCATATGAACCGGCTAGAGATGAGCTCCTACTTCTCCGATATTCCTGGCTTCGTATTCCTTGTATCCCTGTCAGAAAACCTGCGTTCTATTATTCGGGAAACTTACCGGCTTCCGTGTTTGAAGAGTAGCACCAGAATAAGCGTGACGAGCGACCTCTATCGCGGAGCTGGGACCTGTTCTATTTTTCGTATGTTCCAAGGCTTGCTGGCCATGGGGGACAGCAGCGCCAGCAACAACAACAGCAGCAACAACACCACGTCTCCTCTGCCCCACAAGAACGCGAGCTTCCGAGTGTGCCCTATGCCGCGTCTCGCCACGGCTTACTTCCTCCTACGCCCCCTCTTCTCCCTCTCGCCATCCACAGGCACTTGGACCCTCGACCGCCCTCAAAACAGCATCCTCCACGGCGCCGTGCCCAGCTGCCCCCAGGCCATCAACTCTTCAATGCATCCGCACCTGCAGCTTGACCGCAGCCTAGTAGCCCTACCGCCCCTCGACCCGGGCGACTACGTAATATGGCACCCCGACCTCATACACGCCATCGACGGCCGCGGCAGCGACAGCCATAATAACGACTGGATGAACTCCGCCACGCCAACACCGCCGCCGTGCCCGTCCTTGCACCTGTACCTGCCAGCCTGCCCCCTGACGCCGATCAACGCGCTGTACCTATCGCAGCAGCGCAGGGCCTTCATGCGCGGCCACCCGGGCCCCGACTTTGGCGGCTGCCCCGCGCCCGAGTTGTCGTTGTCGTCCGGCGGAAACGGCGGCGACCGCAGCCCTGGTCTCCTCAGTGGCGGCGGCCCCGACGCCCTGCGCGCCATGGGCCTGCTGCCGTACGACGAAGAAGACGCCGACACGGACGCCGAGAGGGCCGTCCTGGCCGTGGCCAACGCCATTCTGTTTCCAGACTTGTACGATATGTTGTAATGAGACCAACAACGCCCACCTACCCAAGAACCGTGTGTATATATGTATGTGTATGTGTGTGTCTGTACTACTTACTGATGTAGAATCTCACTTGGAGGCAACTCCCTATACGTATGCTGCTGGGGATGGCTTACCTACTTTGTTTATTTTCTCTCTTTGCTTTCAAGGATGGAATGAATGCTGAGTACTACACAATACATAGAATATATATTAGATTTCCCTTTTCTCTCTCATAACATGTTATTTCATTTATTTTTAGGACGCTTAAGGCGAACTACTGAACAATGTGATGTGATAACTCCCAGTCTTTACATAGGTAGGTACCTACCTCCCCTAGGACTCTTTGTAACCCATGAGCGTTGGGTTGCAACAAGGACATAACCCTTAAGACTCTTCAAGTCCGCTACTACTTTCTGCTAGGAAGGCTCCATTGTATTTGGCCTTGTTCATCAAATGTAGGTATCCAGGTACCTGAGACAGTTAGCCAGATAGTATAACATGAGGCCAAATGCTACATTAACAAGCTGTCAGCCTAGGCAGGGCAGGGTATTCGTTTATCCACCAAAATAGGCCGACCAAATTTCCTGTCAACGCCGCTGCATGTGAGCATGTAAAAATAAAGTCAATTCTCGCCTTCCGCAGAACTTATTCTCCTTGACGGAAATTCACACAATCACTAGGTGAGTATGCACAAAAGTGAACCACCACATTCCATTTACTCAACGTTACTTGCCAAAGACCAGCTCCACTGCCTTCCGTGTGCAACCTACCCTGATATAATTTTTTACACCTGAGAATACTTTCATCGTCTCACCACCGCACATCCCCTCATATTATGAGGTTTGTCTCTCAGACGAGACAAATTCCCAAAACAGAGAACCTCGAATTATTTCCTCAGCCGGACATTTGAGGAAGTGAGCCCGGCAGATTCTCGTCGGCAGTTGTGTTTATTTTCGTCAATATCCATGGCGAACTGGTTTACTTGAGCTTCTTGGGGGTCCCGTCCTCCTGGGACTGGGCGTACTTCTCGGAAAGGCTGTCGTACTCGCGGTGGAGGCCGGCCGACTGCTTCTTTAGGTTCTCGAGGTCCTGCTCCTTGAGGGCAAGGGCCTTGCGGAGGCGGGCAATCTCGCCGGGCTCGCCGGCCATGGCCAGCTTCTCGGCCTGCTTAGTGTTCTTCTCAGTGCCCTCGTACTGCTTGACGCGCTCCTCGAGCCGGAGCACCTCGAGAATCATGATGTAGGTCCGGTTGAGAATCAGCGACAGGAACAGCGTGAAGCCGCAAAGGTACATGTTGCGCTGCGAGTAGAACTTGCGCGCCTGAACTTCGAGTCGCTCGTGGCCCATGATGGCAGCGCCTCTACTTCGCGGAAGGGTTCAAAAGGTTAGTGCTCCCCCTCAATTTATTCATCTTTAGAGCATGTGGGAGAACGGGAGAGAGCAAAATCAAATGGAAGGGGAAAGCTTACGAATTGCCCCCGTTATTTTCCGCGGCGGCGGCCAGCTCGACCTGGACCCGGTAGACGCGGTTGACGCTGTCGATGAAGAGAATGAGAATAAAGACGAATGTAATCTTCAGCCAGTATTGCAGTTTTGCCACGAATGGGTTTTCGGATATGAAGCTGCGCGTCGATAGCAGACCCGGTCAGTTGGTTGTTTAGAGGCCTCGAGAACAGTAGGCCGCCGGGACAGATGAGGAACGTACGTAAACATCTTCCTGCGCATGGCAAACGGAAGCGGGATGATGAGGAACACGAAGAGACCCATCTCAGCCATGAGCAGCATAAAGACCTGATTGAGCCATGCTCGTGGTTAGCCACGACGTTTGTAGGGAGGACGCCCGCCCGGGTTGGATCCATTTGAGCATGGTGCGTGCGTACCAATGTGTAGTAGAGCGTCATCTTGGGCGAGGGTTATTGCGGGATTCGGCTTATTCGTAAATTTTGGAGAGGAAAGGGAAGAAAAGGCCGTAATTCGGTTTACACGACGACCAAAGGCACGATGTTGCCTTGTTGTCTTGTTGGGCTTGCGGGCGATGAACTGGTGAGGACAGTTTCGACGCAAGAAATACAGGAAGACTCCGCTGGGTGACGTGGTTGGTGCAGAAGCCAGGCAGAAGTGGGCTGAAGCTCTAGCTCCCGTACAAGGAAAGACCAGGGTGGGATGTCGACAACGTCATTGCTGTGGCTGGGGCGCGTGATTTGGTGGGCTCTTTCCGGGCGGGGCGAGGCTGGCGATAAAACCCTAACCCTGGTACGTAAACGTCATAATTTGGGCTAAAAGCTTCGGATACGGTGTGGGACGGGAACCAGAGCAAACACAGCTGAAAGTAGGTATTTCTGTCATCTGCTTAACTACTTTCTAGTACAACTATGAACGATCCTGAAGAGCAGACTTACACGACCGATGAAATAGGGTTCCATTCGAATAGAAGGCTGCAGCTCCACAATGGCACATGGGGTACTCCAGACCAGCGGCTTGGCGGGAGTTACAGCCCGTCATCACTTCGTTGGATGCATCCTGGAACTGCATCCAGGAACTGACTGATTGGGAAGACTTTGAACTTTACATTTTCCGGTCGAACACAATCTGTGCTCACCGCTCGATGCCCGTTGCCCTGTCCCGGGAAGCCTACTCGTCAAACTCAACAGCCACAGCTGGCCTGGATTCCAAGGCGGCAATAACGAAGTTGACGGTGCTCTTGTCCTGCCCATCGTACCTACGGTATAGGTACCCGACAGTTTTAGCCCGGTTCGCAAGACACGGCGATCCTGGTCTTCGACACGTCCAGGAGTATGACTACATCATCAAAGCATACGATCCAACCGTCGACTGAATCTCCTTGGTACATGGAGCCAAGATATATTCGAATTGAAATGACTTTTCATCCCCGGCATCTGCCAGCCAACGGACCAGGTCGACGACGTCCAAGTCTACTGATTAGGCTGAGGTTTCTATCACAATCAGCCGAAGTTATGTCGATTCCTTTTGACGAGGAGCCACGGCATTCCTGAGTACGAGAGACATGGCCTAGTCCCATCGTAACAGGTTCATCCGGCAGGGAAACCCGAGCACTCCGGTCCGGTGTACCACCAAAACGTGAACCACAGGCGGCAGAGGCGCGCCATCCAGATGCAACCACTGATTTGTGGCTCGACGGGGGTTTCGATGGCATGACCTTTGCCACGCCGCAAGTGTATGGCGCGACGAGTTCTGATGTATCGGGGGACCAGCAGCAGCCAGCGCCGCTTGTTTCTGTGGAACCACCGCCTCCGGGCTTCGCGACAAGTGTCAAGCCAGGCCTGGGGTGATGTATCGTCGGTTATATTTCGTCCGAAGGAGGATGAGTCTCGCCCAAGGAAGACAGGTCTGGAGGTCAATGATGGTGCCTTATTTTTGACCTTCTCGCTCTTCTCCTTTTGTGTCCTGCTTCCCTCGCTAGGTTACAGCTCTCTTTGCTGTTATGGTTAACGCGCCTTTTATTGCTGGATTTTCAAGCGAAAACAATTGTTCTCTACTTGTTTGAAGCTGAGACCTCATGTTTTTGCACAACGGCAATCTAGGTACTTCATACGACGAATGAGATATTGTCCGCAAAATTTGGAAGGAACCTAGGTAGTCAGATAACTTTCAGATTAGCTCATGTCTATAAGGTGGCTAAAATCCTTATGCATCGGGAGGTATGTTAGGAGTTGGTAGCGTATCCATTAGATAGGTTGGTCGTTGGTAGTTCGCAATTGGTTGGTGGTTACCTAGCGGTTGGTGGTTGGTTTGAGTGCTTGCTGCAAACCTCGGGCGCAAACCTCGGGCGCAAACCTCCAGAATTTCCCCTTTTGCGCCGCGCAGGGAGCCAACGCGCGTCCCCGCGGACGGAAGCCCGCAAAGCGAATCCGTGGATGTGCATCAAGCGTCCGGCAGAGTTTCGGCCGGAGGCGCTCTTTCTTCGGGGCTGATGAACCGAGACATCCTCGCCACAGCCACCGCTTGGCTTGCCCTTTTCACCCTCACTGCAATCACTCAGCAATTCCATTGGCTGCTTACACAACTGAATACGCGGCTGACCATACTCAGCCGTTCTTCAGACAAAGTCGAGGTTCCGCTTCTCCCGACCTAGCTGCTTTGTTCTCTTGTTCTTTGACCCGCCGCATTGCATTGCATTGCATTACTGTGTGTAAGTGAGTGCAAACTCTCAGCAGCAAAACCCCGCCCCCTGCCCCGGCGCCCTGCTTCGCCGCCGCCGCCGCCGCTCTCAGTGGGAGGGGAATCCGAGGCCAAGAATGGACTTGGATGGTGTTTCGCGCTGTCTTGCTGTCAAAGGGTACATGCTACTAAGCGCATCAGTACAATCCAATCCCTCAATGTTTGCTGGCGCGGTACTTGGGCGGAATAAGTATTATAGCCTAGAAGACCAGCCAGGAAAATCCTCAGATGTTTTGGAGAAGAGATAGGCCTCTAGGGTTCCAAGATAAGGATTCCAATAACTTTTATCCCCGTCGCCGGAAAACCTAGAGGGCCAGCCGTAAAAAATTGAGGCCTTTCAAATCTTGGAAAGTCCCCCGCTAACAAACATTCAGGGATTGGAGTGTAGCACCAACCATGCAGGTCTGCGCTGAGTTGGTTTGGATTTGCCTCCATTCGGGGAAGCGGCGGAAAGGCTGAAGGCTTTTTCTTTCTTTGTTGTTTCGATGGTGACAAGAGGATTGGGTACCTTAATTAGGTACGCTCCCGTCCCTCAAGACCTCACACCTTCTCCCCTCCACATCCGTCTCCATCTGTCTCCCCTCGAGTCCAGGAGCGCCGAGAATGGAACCAACGTCTCTGGACAATTCCCAAAAGAATACGACCAAAGAAAACAAACTGTAACTGCCCAATTGTTTCGACCCATCAGACGATACGAGTTTAGTATTTATTATTTTCCATCCTAAAACTCTTGGCGGGTTCCTGCGCCTGCCAGTTTTGGCCCGTTCTTTTTTTCTCGTGTTACTTGCGAGGTTCCATCCGAATCCGTCACCACCTCAAGTCCCGCTCCCGTACTTCTGGGAAAACCACCATCACTCGTCACTCCATTTCTTTATCGCTCCCTCCGGCCCTCGTGCAAGGTACCTCAAAGTTTGACCCTATTACACCTCTGTCCTATATACTTCACAAAGAATCGGCTTTATTTCTCACTTCTTTTCTATATTTTCTCCCCTTTCCCGCTCTTCCTCCCTCGACGCTATAAATCCGAGATACAGCAAACGACAAGGTTTCGTCCGTTACTGCTTCAACCACCAACGAGGCCAAAAGGAAGGGGAGGAGACGAACAGCACTTTGGGTTTATTTTATCTTTGTCGAGGAGAACTTGCCATTCCCTCCAACATTTGGGACAGTCACAAAATAGAAGACATCACTTACTTTGCAACACTCCTAAGGGGCGCCCATACAGGGAGCCATGCGCTTCCAATTCAACATTCAGCTGCCGCTCTTTCTCATAGCCGTGGCCTCTTTGGGCGGCTTGGTAGCAAGCTCGCCGATATTCTGTCCAGAGGTAGGCTAATTAGCTCCGGGTTGTCCCACCGCTCCCCGTTCCGCTCTCAAGGTGCTTTGTTATTGCGCCACACTACTTTCCCCTCCAAAGCCTACACGCTAACTCGTTCTTCTCTACCGTCCAGTCCAAACGAGATGCTATCCTCAAAGGAGAGCTCCCGAAAGAGGCTTGTTGCAGTTACGGACGCTGTCTGGGGGATGTGGTGATCGCCATGGTCTGAAAGAAAGGGAGCCGTAGAGTTGCCGGCCCGGTCGTGCGATTCGTCCCAGTCTTACCCTCTACCTTTCACGTTATGTCGTTCGGCGTCCTGCTCGAGGAATCTACCTAAAGCACCTTGCTGGTCCCCGGAACGGAATCAACCGAACAGACCGAAGAACCCAGGTTATCGATCGCGGAGCTGAGTGCCGGCCCAGGACGAGGCCCTCTATTCCGACTTCAGCATCCATATCCTATGCACACGCCTGCGCGCGCACACATAGAGCATATTGGTATACACCAGGGAGCGGAATATATATGCGCAAAAGAGAAGTTAACCCCAGTGAATCACGTAGCGTGGTTTCGCTCCGATCTTTCGATTCGACCCGATACCTGGATACTCGGGCATTTTCAACACCGAACCACCCAAGCGTGGATAATGGGTGGATGGATGGTGATATCATTACTCGATATCTCACCAGCCCCAGGTTTCCGGGTCCTGTTAACCCATTTTAACTTTCTTGTTACTTTCTTCACTGCTTGGACAGTGTATCCGGTTTTTGCACTCTTTAAGAACTGTATTGGCTTAGCTCGGCGTTGGCGGAATAGGGTGGGTGGGATTCGGTGTGATATTATGGGGTTGACGAATAAACGGTTGAACGGCGCGCATACGCATGGGCGTTGAATTGTTCTTGGATTGGGGGGTTTGTGGTTGCGTGCGACAGCCGTCTTGTCCGTTGCTTGCTTTGCATGGCGCGACTCGAGTGGCGGGATGGCGTTCTTTTAGTGTTTTGAAAGTACGCTCGGGCAGGCATCATGGCGTAGGTTGAACGAAGGTTGCCATGGCGCAATACAAGCTTAAAAAGCGGATATCGTGGTTACCAGCAAACGGACAAATATGACACATATGCTAAGGTAGTCAAGTCAGGATGTTCCTTGATCTCTCTTTGTTTCTGTGCCTGTCCATCTCTCCGGAATCAAATTGTACAGGTGTTGTTAATATAAGCTTTATCAATGCAATTTCTCCCTCATGTTAAAATATATCCCATTCATGCGTTCAGCATCGTGAGTACTGCCATCTCCTCTATGGTCGGGTCACAATCATAAGAGTATCATAAACGCCCCTCAGCCAGATAATTTTTCTCTCTCTTTCTTATCTCCCTGCCTTACGCCCGGCTAGATAACGGCTTAATAGAGCAAAAGCAAAGCAACGACTTATTCGAAGGAAGCAGCTTTGCAAAATCCGGACGAAAAATAAGATGATACGACGTGGTCAGATTGGTTGACACTTTGACAGATATATCTGCTCATTACTTGCATAGCTAGGCTACTTAAAAGAATATTAAGACAAAAAACAAACGACACCAGGGATTCACTGGTCGTCACCGACCTAACTACCTCTGGTCTGGCCCTCACCAGCTTATCTATGGGAGAGCGGACGTGATTCCGAGTTTTCTAATGGGTATGGTCGTATGTGGAAGATCTAGGTTGTAAACGATGCTATATGCGGGTTTGCAAATCGGCCAGTATCTATGGCACAGAGGACGAGTCTGCGCGCTGTGGTCTTGAGCCACGCGGAAGAGCCGAAGACGCGAGCCACCCTATGCGGACACGAAAATGCGAGTCCGGGGGGGGAACCTGATCGTGACTGTGCTACAGACTGATGGGGTGGATATGAAAAGGAAGCCGGCGGCCTGATCGCCGAGTTCTGCCGATGTCGCAAAGGTAACCTGCTGGTTTAAAAACGCGAGATTGCTGAAATACATGGTGCGACGCTCTGGATGCAACGACCCGGCTGTGTCTCGATGTCATATCCTTTTGTGCTTTGGGTCTTGAGACAATGTTGTTTTTTTTGTGTTGTATGAAGGAATGGATGAAAAGGGGGTTGTCAATAGGGTTGAAGAGAGGAGGGGTCAGGGGTAACTAAATGCAAGCTTTATAAGGGCGCTGCACAGGGCCGGCACAAGCGCACTCTATTTAAGTTGCTCCAATGGATCTGCAAAAATAAACCCCACCTCACCTCTGCCCAGTGTAACGGTGTTTTTTTGCCCCGCCATCCACCTTACTGCGGTTCTTGGGAGTCGCGAAGTCCCCCCACCTTTCACCTCGTGTTGCCTACCTAGGCTGCCCACCTCGAGCTTCGAACTCCAGAGCTTCTAGGAATATAAAAGGGTATCGCAAAATTTCGCTCGTTTTTCTCGCTGCTATTCCTAGCCGCGGCGCGGTCGGCTCGCAAATGAGCTTCGCAATCGAAGTGCCCGGCGAGGCGGCTCCTCTGAGCATCTTTGAGCTGGGAAGAGCCCTCGAAGCCGCTGCCACTTCAACCGACAATGCCCAGAGACAGTCGGCCGGACAGCAGCTCCAAGCCTGGGAAGTCCAGCCAAACTATTATTCCACTCTCCAGGTAACAGACACCAGCATATGCCCCTTGTCCAACAAGTCCTGCCTCGAAAACTCCCCTCTGACTTGACTTGCTGCGCCGTCCACAGACCATATTCCTGGACAAGTCACTGCGCAACGAGATCCGCTTTCTCGCCATTATCCTAATCAAGAACGGCATCGAGAAATACTGGAGGCGCTCTGTTAAGAACTCGCTCAAGCCCCAAGAGAAGGACCTGATCCGCTCCCGGCTGTTCCAGGGCTCGATAGACGAGGAGGAGAAGAACTTGTCGCTGCACAATGCTCTCGTAACTGCCAAGCTCGTTCGGATAGACTACCCAACTGAGTGGCCTGACGCCGTACCCATGATTATCAACATAACAAGATCGTCAAAAGATGGAAACCCGGTACATCTGGGCGGCGCGCTGCTGCTGCTGCTCCGTGTCGTCAAGGAGCTGGCCACAGCGCGCATGCGGCACTCACAGACCACACTGCAGGCAATAACGCCCGAGCTCGTCCAGCTGCTGGGCGAGATATACACGGCCAAGACTGCTTACTGGCAGGATTTCTTCACCAAGGGCCGCGGGGAGGAAGACGATGCCGACTACGCGATGCAGAACAGCTTGACGGCCCTCAAGATCTTGCGCCGGCTCGTAATTATTGGCTACGAGCAACCGCACACAGACAACATGGTCCGAGAATTCTGGTCTCTGTCGCAGAGCCAATTCGACCAGTTCCTTCGCGGGGTCAGCCACGAGTCGTGGATCCCAATCCCCTACCAAGACGTGGTCGGCAAGCACCTCATACAGTTCACCAAGCTGCACATCGACATGTGCGAAAGCCGGCCTGCGAGCTTCCCCCTCCTGCCAAACTCGATTCCCCTCGTCGGCGCATATTGGAATCTCGTCAAAGATTTCTCAGACGTTTTTGAGAAGTCCGGTGGCATCAAGCAGTCCTCTACCACGCCAGCGGGGAATCCCAAGCACGAAGGGCCCTTATCAGAGAAACTCGCGCTCAAGGGTCTCCTGTTGATACGGAGCTGTATAGCTACTGCCTATCGGCCAGCACAAACGTTTAAGTACCGGAGCGTCGAGGCTAAAATTCTAGAGAAGCAGGCTATAGAGGCTATCAAGACGGATTTGCTGACCAAGGACCTGCTATACGAGATGGTCCAGGTCATAATCAGCAAGTTGTTCATCTTTCGCAAGTCAGATCTCAACGCCTGGGAGGAAGACCCCGAGGGCTGGGAAGCCCAGGAAGCCAACGAAGGCCAGGCGTACGAATGGGCTGTCCGACCGTGCGCCGAGAGGCTGCTTGTCGATCTGCTCATTCATTATCCAGACCTGCACCAACCGCTACTTACTTACTGCGAGCTGGCCATCAAGGTCCAAATGGACATCGTCACCAAGGAGGCGGCGTACTGCGCACTGGGCTGTGCCGCCATCACCGTTAACAAGGAATTCGACTTTGATCAGTTCCTGAATGCGACGCTGGTCAACGACGTGCAGATTGATGACACGATGGCCAAACTGCTCCGTCGTCGGATAGCGATTCTCCTGAGTCAATGGGTGCCAGTCAAGATAGTTCCGACTAGCCGAGCCGTCGTTTACGGGCTCTTCCGGCATCTGATGAACCCGGACGACAAGCACAATGACGAAGTTGTGCGCATCACGTCAGCCCGCCAGTTCAAGCATATCGTCGACGACTTTGGGTTCGATGCAGAGGCTTTCCTCCCATATGCATCCGACTATTTCAACCTCTTAACTGGTCTCCTCCAGGAGGTGGACAGCGACGAGGCGAAGCTTGCGTTGCTGGAGACTCTGCGGCTTATCGTGACACGAATGGACGAGCACGTCTCGCAATTCGGAGACGCCATTATGGCTACCATACCTAAGCTCTGGGAAGCATCCGGAAGCGAAGAGTACATGATTAAGCAAGCGGTGCTCGCGATCATGTCCTCGTTGGTCATGGCAATGCATGGCGAGTCCCAGCGGTACCAAGGTACCATCACCCCACTGCTCCGAGAGGCAATGAACCCGGATTCCGCCCTCAACCTTCACCTCATTGAAGAGTCAGTGGAGCTTTGGAAATCCATGTTGATGCAGAGCACGCCGCCCATCAACTCCGAAGTCACACGACTGGTGGAACTGGTTCTGCCACTTCTGCAGTATTCATCCGAAGTATCAAAGAGTTGCCTTGAGATCGTTAAAAACTACATAATTCTTGCCCCGAGCGAGATGCTGAGCGACGGCCTTCGACGCCCGACTTTGATAGCATTGAAAGAAACACTAGACGCAACGAGCCGAAAAAAGGCCTACCTCGGTGTGACCTCGATAGACCTTATTATCCGCTCGGCGGAAGCACTAGGCGGCTCTCAGGGTGTTTCGCTTATCGTCCAGGACATGATGGAAACTGGTATTCTTGTGAATATCTTTGAAGGCCTCCACAGCGCGTGGGAGGCCGGTCAAACAGTGGGCCCCAACAAGAAGAAGAGCAAAATCAACAGCCTCAACGAAACGGACTACTTCGCCATACTAGCCCGCATCGCGGTGGCGGACCCTGCCGTCTTTGCCACCATGCTGTCCGGCCTCGGCAACGGCCTCGAGTCGGTTTGGCCGTGGCTTGCTACGCGGTGGTTCGCCAACTTTGACAGCATGAGCGACATCAACCGCCAGAAGCTCTCTTGTCTGGCGCTGACACGGCTCTGCGAGCTGCCGAACCCGATGCAGGACCTCGTCCTTGCACGCCTGCAGGACTTCTTGTCTATGTGGACCAGCGTCGTCACGGAGTTGACGGACGACCCCGACGGGCGCGACTGCCTAGTCTGGGACCAGCTGCCCAGCAACGCCTACGACACCCCCCTCGACGTGTACGAGAACCGGGCCGCCTGCAAGGATCCGGTGCACGCCGTCGCCGCACTCGAGTTTGTTAACCTCAGACTGCGCGACCTCGTGCAGAGAGCTGGCGGCGAGCAGGCCTTTGAGGCCAACTGGGCTGTTAATGTCGACAAGGAGGTTCTGGCGGGGTTCCAGAGACTCGGACAGCCGAGGCAGACGGGTGAATGATTGACGACTGTGCATGACTTGACTAAGTGGCGGTGCGAGAATGGGGTGTTATGTTAGGGTAATTGTGTTCTTTTTATTGGGAAAACATCAGGACTAGTGCGCGCATAGCGAGCGAGGATATGGTAGACAGGAATGGAAGGAAAAGACTGGCTGACTTTTGGTGAATTGATGTGGAATTACCTGGTAATCCAGTGTTTGAGGAGAGGAGCATAGCTACCTACCTTAGTCTATCTAGGCAACTAAAACACACAATGAAGATGATCAATGTGGGTTTTCATATAGTTCTATAGTTAATGTTCCTCATTGGGATTAGCTGCTCGAGGAAGGTCGGCTAATGAATGAGGGATTCTGGTCGATTCAGTCCCTAAGCAACCGATATTTGTTGAAGCGGAAAATGCGGCTGGTTGCAGTCCCATTCATGTAACCAAAAAGGGCTTGAGAGGGAAGCCGCAACAAGCTCACTGCATGCTTCCTGAATAACAACCAATCCTAAAGCTCGATGCGGGGCGGGGATCAGTGCCAGCTGAGCGAGCAGCCCCATCAGGCGACGCTGACGAGAGTGTTTCAGGATATGCAACTGCCAACGGTTCCAGGTAGGATGGGGGCGGTCGACCTCGGACCACCGCCGCACAGCACAGGGCCGCCATGATGCCCATCGCATTACCCCGCTGTTGGCTTCCTTGCCCCTCAAGCGTAGGGCGACGCCCAGGCATGAACCGCATCAAACACGCCGCCGCCGCCCGTTGTTTCTTCCTTCTTGTGTCAGTCGATACATTTACCTATCGAAATCCATTGCTCATTGCCAACAGCCAACATCTAGATAGATTTCTCCCGTATCCCATCTTCTCTCTTGCCTGCCGGTTGTTTGTGTGCTTTGTCTGTCTGTCTGCCCTGCCCTGCGCGCCTCCAAGCCCGTCCACCAAGGTGCATATATATACGTTTGCGTATATAGGCTGTCTTTGACGTGGTTGCGAGACTCGAATTACGTCAATCGTGCCATCTGCCATCGACGACGACGAAAAGCCTCGAGACCCCGACCTCTTCGATCCCAACAGATCCAACTTCGTGATCCCATCTCCCGCCCGTGCCAGTACCAAGCAGCCAGCCAGCTCTTGAACTCGCGACTGGACAAGAACACCACGCCCCAAACCCCTCCCCCCCCCCCAAAAAAAAACAGGACAGACATAGAAGATGGTCGGGCGCGCTCACAAGCCCACGGCCCTGGCCAGCACGCCGGGCCTGCCACCGCAGCCGCAGGTGACCTTTTCCGACGACAACTCGCGCGTCACGGCCGTGCTCCCCACGGGCGAGAGCCTCGAGGTGCTGCTGTACGGCGCCACTGTCATCAGCTGGAAGGACGGCGCCGGCGATGAGAAGCTGTGGCTGAGCGACGCCGCCAAGCTCGACGGCACTAAGGCCGTGAGAGGAGGCATTCCCCTCGTCTTTCCCGTACGTCTCCTATCTACCCATGTATTACTTATATTCATTATATATACAACATGCTAACTTGGCTGCCCGCTAGGTCTTCGGCACGGCCCCGGACCACGCGCAGACGTCCAAGCTGCCGCAACACGGGTTCGCGCGCACGTCGCGGTGGGAGTTTCTGGGTAAGTCGACCTCGGAATCCGAGTCGGCGGGGGGAGCCAAGGCTGCCGCCTCGTCCTCGTCCTCGAAGGCTACCGCTGCCGCTGCCGACCAGTCGGTCAAGCTCGACTTTGGGCTCAGCTCGGCCAATCTGGACGACAAGACGCGCGCGCTATGGCCGTTCGCCTTCAGCCTCATCTACGGCGTCACGCTCAACCGTGACAGCCTGACCACGAGCCTCGTCGTCACCAACGACGATGACAAGCCGTTCGACTGCCAGGTGCTGCTGCATACGTACTTGCGCGTCGAGGTATGTTTTCCTAAAACTGCTTACTGGTGCGATATACTAACACCCGAGAAACAGGACATCTCCAACGTGAGCATCACGGGCCTCGACGGGGCGTCGTACGTGGACAAGGTCGATGGTGCCAAGACCAAGACGCAGTCGTCGGGCGCCGTGCAGATCACGGGCGAGACGGACCGCGTGTACACGCCGGCGGCGGCGCCCAGCGCGCCCGTGGTCGTCGTCGAGGGCGGGCGCGCGGGCTTCAGCGTGACGCGCGACAGCCTCGGCGACGTGGTCGTGTGGAACCCCTGGGCCGACAAGGCGGCCGCCATGGCCGACTTCGCGCCCGCCGACGGCTTCCGCCGCATGGTCTGCGTCGAGGCCGGCTCCGTCGCCGACTTCCAGACCCTCGAGCCCGGCGACGCCTTTGAGGGCGCTCAGACCATCGCCATTGGCTCGCGTGCTGCTGCCGCCTGAGGGTGGCGGTGGCCGCCGCGGCGCTGTCGCTGCTGCGCGCCTTGTCGTGCCGCCGCCGCCGCCGCCGCTTCTGCTTCCTGCTGCTGCTCCGAGAACCTGGCTCGGTTGTGAGAGAATATGCAACGGGCTGAACGAGCGAGCGAGCTTGAAGCTAGTGACTAGCGTCGGTGTGGCGGCAGCGGCGGCGACGGAAATGGACAATGACTGTACCTTGTGAATGTGCATGGCATGGCTGGCATGGCGCAAGGCGGGACGTAATCGGGAAACGTGTCTCATGTGGTTTTATGTGTTGGGTTGGGTGATGATGCATGCGTGTGCCATATGTGAAAGAGGCGCATGTCCCTGCATAGGAATTCCATCTTTCCTTTTTTTCTAGTTTTCACGTGCATCCATCCATCCAATCGTCTTTGGCCCATATTTTATTATCGTCCCCTTTCCTTTTTATTAAAGAAAGCCATAGAAATTTCAATGTCATTGGGGAATGAATGAACCGAATGGTTATATGCCAGTGGGGAGAAAAGAAATTAAAAGGAGATAATCTCTTTTTTTCATAAATCGGGATGGCTTCCATTGTCCGTAACACCATTACTCCATATCGTAACTTTACACTGCCTGGATAAACATGGCTGCTTGATATGCATGAAATCCGATTTTTATTCGGGTTCTATTCCCTTATGGGCACGCCAGACGAACCAACTCCCTTCTTGGATTTTGTGTCTGACCGGGTGTGTGAGTGGTGCTGCGAATAACCCCCAAAAATATCTCGATCGGGTAAATGTGAATGATTGCAACATGTATTGCATAACATCTTCTCGTCTACCTTGAGGCGGACTACATCTGCACAGTCTTCTTTTTATTTTTCCTTTTGATATGCCAGCTGTCGATTCTCCAACCCTCACAACGCCGAATATACCCCAAAACCCCGAGTGAATGCATGCGAATATGACAATGATGACAGTGATGACAGTGATGACGATGACGGCGACGGCAATTCATACACGCTGCTGACTCGCACAACGCGTCACGCCGGCGGCGGCGGCGGGGCGCCGTCCTTATCCTTGCGCTCGCAGCGGTAGTGGTCGGCGATCAGAAAGGCCAGCTCGAGGGCCTGCTTCTCGTTGAGGCGCGGGTCGCAGAAGCTGGTGTAGTTTGTGGAGAGGTCGTCCTCGTCGAGGCCCTCGCTGCCGCCGAGGCACTCGGTGACGGCATCGCCAGTCAGCTCGAGGTGGACACCGCCCAGGAAGCTGCGCTGCTCCTTGTGGATGCGCAGCGTCTGCTGCAGCTCGCTGAAGATGTCGCTGAAGGCGCGCGTCTTCACGCCGGCCGCGCCCACGCTCTGCGTGTTGCCGTGCATGGGGTCGCACTGCCACACCACGGTGCGCGCGTACTCGCTGTCCTCGACGGCGCGGATGTGGCCCGGCAGCAGCGATGCGACCTGGCCCGCGCCGTACCGCGTGATCAACGTGATCTTGCCGGCCTCGCGCGACGGATTGAGCCGCCGCAGCAGCGCCAGCAGGTCCGACGCGGGCGTCGTCGGCCCGACCTTGACGCCGATGGGGTTTGCGATGCCGCGGAAGAACTCGACGTGCGCGCCGTCGATCTGGCGCGTGCGGTCGCCGATCCACAGAAAGTGCGCCGACGTGTCGTAGTACTCCTTAGCGGGGCGGGCGGCGGCAGCGGCGGCGGGAGAAGGGGGGAGGGGGTTGTCCAGCAGGCGAGTCAGACTCTGCTCGTAGTCCAGCAGCAGGCCCTCGTGGCTCGTAAACAGGTCAACCGTGTCGAGCTTGTCGGTCTTGTCGGCGCCGACGGTGTGCATGAAGCGGAGCATGTCGGTCAGGAAGCTGACGGCCTCGGAGTACTTGGCCTTGAGGAGGGGGTCGCGCACGTGGCCCAGGCCCCAGTCGAGGGGCCGGTGCAGGTCGGCGATGCCCGAGGAGATGGCGGCGCGGATGTAGTTGAGGGTGGCGGCCGAGTGGTGGTAGGCGCGGACGAGGCGGGAGGGGTCGAGGTCGCGCTCGTCGAGGTGGAAGCCGTTGAGGATGTCGCCGCGGAACGAGGGCACCTGGCGGCCGTCGACCGTCTCCATGGGGCTGGAGCGGGGCTTGGCGTACTGGCCGGCCATGCGGCCGATGCGGACGACGCGCTTGTCGGCGCCCCAGATGAGCACCAGGCTCATCTGCAGGAGCAGCTTGATCTTGGACTCGATGGCGCCCTGCTCGCAGTAGTCGAAGAGCTCGGCGCAGTCGCCGCCCTGCAGCAGGAAGGCCTCGCCGCGGGCCACATCGCCGAGGTGGGCCTTGAGCCGGGCGATCTCGCGCGGGTGCACAATGGGCGGCAGCCGCCTCAGCTCGGACAGCGACTTGGAGAGGGCGGCCGGGTCCGGGTAGTCGGGCGCCTGCCGGATGGGCTTGGACCTCCACGAGTCGGGCGTCCACTCGTCGACGTCGGCGGCCGAGGCCGGTGCGGGAATGGTGCGGGTGTGACTCATTGTGAGATGTGGCCGCAACTCTTCGTGGAAGAGCTTCTTTGTGTATATCCGGAGTATGAGACTGGGGTGTGAGCCTGAGTCTGAGCGAGTTAGCCACCTCAAGCTGGGTGGGATAGCTGAGTGAGTGTCTCGAGGAGATATTCTAAATTGAATAGCGGCACAGGAAGAGGCAGAGCAAAAGCTGAAACCCCAATGGCAATACAAGAATGCTACAGGGAAAAAAGGAGAAGAAAAGAGAAAAAGACTTACCAGTCCGTCGAGAGCCGCGGGCTTTCTCTTCGGCCTCGTGGCTTTGAGACTCTGCTGCAACTGCAACTGTGACCAACAAGGAAAGTAGGTGAGAAATGCTCGCCAACGGGATGAAAAGCAGCTTGTAAGGGAGCCCTGTCATACGACGAAGGAATTGGCCAATCAGGCTTGGGGAGGGCCCTTGTCCATGCACGACAGCTGCCTAAGACCTTCTAGGGCCTAGCGCACTAGGGAGCGGCAACCCCACCCACCCCACGTTGGTGCTGTGCTGTGGGCTGGGCTGGACGTTTGGTTTGACAACCCGAGAAAGAAAGGAACGAAGGTTGAAGCGAACCCAATTTACGAAGTGAAGGTCTAGACAAACAAACCACGAAAAAAACAGCAGCCCACCACTGCATTCCTATATACGCAACCCGGGCCGACTTTGAAAAAGGCAGAACAACGCACACACACACACACACACTCGCCAAAATGGCTGAAGACAGACAACCCGCCAACATCGTCGCGGGCGCGGCGGTCGACGTCGACGACGAGATCGACCCGGCGGTGGCGGCAGCCAAGTCGGCTGAGGACCGCAAGGCGGCGGCGGCGCTGTCCAAGCTGGACACGCACGGCGAGGACGACGCCGGGCCGGCGCGCGAGGTGGACCAAGAGGCGGTGCTGAACGCCATGAACTCGCTGGGCGCGGGCGGCGGCGGCGTCGGCAAGCTCAGCGCGGCCGACGACAAGAAGAAGGAGGCCCTGCGGAGGGTCAAGGTCGACGCGGCCGACGTGGCGCTTCTGGTAGGCCCCCTCCCCTTGTGATTTAGTCTCGCGACTGGCTGACCATTTCCTCCAAACAAATAGGTGGACGAGCTCGACCTGTCCAAGGCCAAGGCGACGGAGCTGCTTAAGGCGCACGAAGGCGACGCAGTCAGGGCGATGCGGGCATTCATTACACCGGTGTTTTGAGGAGTCATGGGTCGGCAAACAAGAAAGGAAATAAAACCAGGTTTGGTGCTGTCAGCCGATAGAGATCCAGGTGGTTCGCGCGCCGTGTGGTCGAGTCCGACTCCCAGGGCGTTGCTATACACACATAGACGCGTATTGATATACGTGTGGCTTTTGATGGAGGAGGCTGTGTGTTTGTGTATTTTTTTGGCGCCCATAGAATAATTGCATGTCCAGCGGTTCTTTGAAGCTAGCTAAGACTCCAAGGACTGGCGCCTGGGTGAGACGCAGGATCAATCCAAAAAAAACGCAGCAACGCGAATATTAAACACTCGGAAAGAGATCAAGAATCTAGGTAGGCACCAAGGTAGTAAGTAAATAACGACGTAGAAGCCGCCCAAAACAAGCCCAGCAGCGCCAGCAACGAACCAACCAACCAACCAGCCCACGGAATAAAAACAGGCCATCGGTTTTGACAACAGATCTAAGAATGAGTGACCTGAATACCGAAACAAGTACAGAAAAGGGGGAGCCAACCAAGATAGAGTAAGTACAAACGTATAGGTGCGTACGCACAACGAGAAGAATGTGTACTCTGTGACTGAAGGGAAAACGACCTGCAACCAAAACACCATGAGAAACAAAAAAGAAAAAAAAGAAAGGCGAGTGCTGTGGCCTCCATCACTCCGAAGAGCAAAAATAAGAGAGGACACCAAACGCCTGCACATCCTGAATATATTACAAGGGCAACTAGGTAATCAAAACCCCCTATCGCTCTCACACTCTCTCCCTCACACTCCCTTCCTCTCTCTCCCTCACTCCCTCCCTCTCTCTCCCTCACTCCCTCCCTCTCTCTCCCTCACACTCCCTCCCTCTCTCACTCACACACACTCTCTCTCTGACCAAGTTTCAATTCCAAGCCTTGGCCAACGGACTCCCGACCTTTGGCGCAAACTGCAGGCTCTTGCGGCGGGCAGCCATAAGTCGCATGAGCACACCCTGGTCCTTGTCGCGGGCGAGGATGCCGTCGCCAAGGATCATCCGCGAAGACGGAGAGCTCGCCTTGGGCGGACACGTGCGCGTCATGAGCGTGGCGCGGCGGCGGTCGACGCCATTCTCATCGTCATCATCATCACCACCATCCTCATACTCGCCGTCGGACGACTGCAGTGACGATAGCGAGCCGGGGGTCAGGGCGGCAGCGTAGCGCGCGACGGCCTCGGGCGCGGGAGTCTTGGGCACGGGCGTCAGCATGCCGCGCCACTCGCCGTCATCATTATCATCATCGTCACTGCCGTTGACGTCGCCGTCGTCGTCGGCGTGGCCGCGGTCTTCGGGCGTGCGCACCCACAGCGAGCTGGCGCGGCGGTTGTAGGCAGGCGTGCGCGGGGCCGGCGCCGACGCCGACGGGTGCGGCGCCGTCTGGCTGCCTTTGAAGGACGACGAAGTCTGGCGGGCGGGAGTGGTGGTGCTGGGATTACCGGCGGGCACGAGCATGCCGTTGAGGTTGGCAATGGACCGCGGCTCCATGCTCTTGCGCCGCCGGGCACCGCCGCGCGGCATCAGCGACGTGTCGATGTAGTAGGGCGCCTCGTCGAGCCAGGTATTCTCGCGCTCGCAGCTGTTGATGCCTGTCAGTACACACACGTAAACACATACACCCATTAACACAAAGAAGAGAAACACTCACTCCAACACCCAACTGACGCCGACGCACTGCACGACGCCGGCGCTCTCGCGGACCTTTTCCAGCGTGCGGCGGCCGCCGTCCTTGTACACGACGTGCGTGATGCCGATCTTGGCCACCGCTTCCGTCCCTGACGAGGGGGGAGGAGAGCTGGCCGGGTTCCACGCCCACGTCTTGACGCAGCGCGCGCCCATGGCCGCTAGCAGCTCGACAAAGATGCCACTCGCGTCGGCGCCCTCGGTCGTGTGCACGTCCACAAACACGACGGCCCCGCGCAGCAGCGCCGGGCTGACATCGTCGCGCCGCGGCGTGCGCGCCGGCGTGCCGGCCGTCGGCCATGATGATCCCTCCGTGGTGCTCTTTTGCGGCGTTACTGGGTGCGGCTGCAGACTCTCGCGCTTGCTGGTTTTCGTCGGCGAGTACGAGATGACCGTCGCGTTGCGCTGCGGCGCGGCCGGCCGCTGCACCGGCAGCCGCGAGATGCTGTGGCTGCGCTTCTTGACGGAGCGGTTGAGCTGGGGCGTCGAGTCGTCGGCCGGCTTGAGCGGGATCTTGGACGTGGTATGCACCTCGCGGCGCGCTGCTAGCGGGGCGCGCGGTGTTCGGGGCTGTGACTGTGGCGCGACAGCTATGGACTCGAGCGCCGGGTCGATGGGGAGGTCGTTCTCGTCACCGTAGTGCTCGCCGTGCTCGCTCTCGTCCTCGCTGTGCTCGTCACGCACTAGCTGGTCGACGGCCTCGGGCTCCAGCAGCGACATCTCGTGCGCCTCGACGGCGAGCGCCACATCCTCGGGCGAGAAGGGGATGTCTTCCAGCACGGGGCTGTCGAGCTCTGGCGTCGCATCCTCTTCCTCCTCTTCATCTTCAGTCGGCTCGGCCTCGGCCTGGCCCTTGTTCTCGTCGTCGGCCATGGCTTCGTCAAAGAACGAGCCCCGGGATGGCGACGCCGTCTTGAGCGGGCTCGCCCCCGCCGACCACCCGCTGAGCTGGTCGGCCAGCGGCGTGAACCCGAACTTGCCGTTGACGCGCACCCGCTTGGCCGCGCTGCGACCGGCAGCGCTTGCGGGCGTCCTGCCACCCACGGCTGCTGCCGCTGCTGCTTTCGTGGCCCGGGGGCAGGGGGTCGCAGGCACATCGGCACCCGCGGCGTCGTCGCATTCGTCTTCGGTCTCCGACTCCTCCTCCTCGGACTCGGTCTCGTCGTCGTACGCCGCCGCCGCGTCGCGCCGGTCCTTCTCGCGCAGCTGCGCAAACACATCGCCTGCCGGCGCCTTCTTGCTCGGCGTCACGTCGGCCGAGAAGACAAAGCCGTCGTCGGCGGCCTCGTCGTGGTCGAGCGCCATGGGCTCGTCGCCGCCGTCCTCCTCTGCATCTGCATCCTCTTCGTCGTGGCCCTGGTCCTGGTCCTGCTCTTCGGGCAGTGACGCCATCAGATTGCTATTGCCGGCCAGCAGCAGCGCCGGGTCCGCATGGCGGGGCAGCACGGCCGACAGGCGGCCCGGGAACCGCAGCCGCGTCGGCGAGTCGGGCATGGCGTCGCCCTCGTCGTCGTCGCCCTGGTCGAGGACCATCTCGTCGTCGCTATCGACACCGTCCTCGGCTGCACGGCCGCCGGCACGCAGGAGGTAGGCCTGCTCGGCTGGCCGCGGGGTCGCGAGGATGGCGGCCTTGGGGACTAGGATCCGGCCGCCCAGCCGATCACCTTCGTCATGGACCGCTGCTGCCGGCTGAGACAGGTGAGCGGCGACGGCGGCCTTGACGGGCGACGCCGGACGCTTGGCGGGCGACGACAGCAGCGACATCTTGAGGGGCGACACGCTTGCCTGGGCGCCGCCGCCGACGATGCTCCCGCCCATGTTCATGTTGCCGCCGAGCGGCTGTCGCTTGGCCGGCGACTGGAACAGCGACATCTTGGCTGGCGACGGGGCCGGTTGCCCGTTGGCCTGCACCGCCGCCGCCGCTGACGGCGCGCCCAGGAGGCCCTCGACGCGCCTCGCGGGCGACTTGATCGAGTTCTTCCACGGCGAGGCCGGCAGGCGCCGCGCCGCGCTACCCAGCACCATGGCGCCTTCGGGCGGCTGGAGGACGAGGTTCTCGTCCTGCTCGTCGGGTGCCGACGCTGACGCTGCCGACGGGGCGCCGTCTCTGGTGCTGCTGCTGGCGCCGCCGAGGGCGGGCGGCTTGATGGGGCCCTTCTTGAAGCGGCGCACGGGTGCTTTCTCGTCCATAGCCAGCTCGTCGTCCGAGTCCGTGTTTCGGTTGAGGGCCAACTGGTTGATCTTCTTAGGACTCAACGGGATGGGCTTTTCTTTCTTTTGGCTTACTGTGGATGAGGTGGCATTGTTGGACCGCGTGCTACGCCCTGCCGCTGCCGCTGCCACTGCCGCTGCCGCTGCCACTGCCGCTGCCGCTGCTTTGCTGCCCGTCGCCGTGCCCGCTCTGCTGCGCACTGGCTTGCCTCGCAGACCTGAAGTCGTCGTGGCTGCCGACTCTGGCCCTGCTGTCGCTGCCGTCTTGGTCGACGCCCCCCTGCGTCCACCAGCATTCGGCGGTGCGATGTTTTCCTTCTCTGGTTCTTCGAATTTGACCGTCTTCTTCAGGGCCGGCTTGGCTGTCGACTTCGTGCCTGCCGTGGCGGTGGCTGTGCCCAGAGGAGGTCGGCCCCGAGTCGTCTTCTTGACGGGCTCAGCCTGCGTCTCGAGCTCGTCTGCTGCCCCCGCAGCCTTCCTTCCCCGTGTTGCCCTGGCTGGCTTGACCGCTTGCGGCTCCTCTTCTGCCGCGGGCACGACCACCTTCTTAGGGCGCCCTCGCGGAGCCTTGACTGGCGCCGCTTGCTGTTCTGGTTCGGGCTCTGTCTGTGACTGGTCGACCGTCTTCTTCGCCCGGCCGCGGGTGGCCCTGGCTGCCTTCATTGTCGTGGTTGCGGGCGGGCCGTCGTTGTCTGACTCTTCGCCGTCGTCGTCAGATCGGGTCTTGCGCTTGTTGGCACTCGACGTGGTCGACGCTGTTGCTGAGGTGGTGGTCTTTGCCTTGGCCTTGGCCGCGGCAGTGACGATCCGGGTGGTTCGCGTGGCAGGTTCGACGGCGTTCGCAGCCGCTCGCGCCCGCGTAATCCGCTTGGGAGGCGACTGTGGGTCCATTTTGGGAGGTTGCCCGTTTTTCTCGGCGGTGGTGGTGTGCGTGGAATTTTAAAGGGGGGGCTGAAAGATTGGGCGTTTACAAGTAGGGGATCACCGCAAGACAATGCCTCATACTGATGCTGGCTGGAGTTGCGATCGAATGTCGATAGGTTGTCGGGCTGGTGTTTACTCTGTTCAGGCCGACTACGCGGGGGCTGGTTGGTGGAAGAGCTGCAAGCGGAGAAGAGCGTCGCTTCTTCCTGTTGATTCAACATTAGCGTGTCGTTGCCCGGACAACGCCTGGTCTGGGCGCTGCCCCACCACGGCACTTGCCTTGCTCGCCCAAGGCTCAGGGTTAGGGCTGCACTGAGCCATTCTTTGTCTTCTTGCCGTCTGCTGCAATGTTTGTTGGGCAATTCTTTTGAGGTTTTAGTAACCGACTGAAACGCCGAACTGATATCTCCAACTGGAATTGAACTTCAAAGTGGGCCGTTTATCCTGGTTGTTTTACCTTACCTAGGTACGTTTGGTGCAATATCACCTGGGCTCCGTCGTCATCGCCTGAGGTCCGGAATAGAAGTGCCCTGGTCACTTTTCAACACCAGAGCGTATAAGTAAGCCTGTCCAACCCTTAGGTACCAAACCATATATCTAAATACTATTTCGTTTGGGTGGACTGAATTGCGTCAATTCCGATTCTCAAGATGCGAGGTCCCGTCAAGTTTTCGAGTTCAACGTTCTGGTCTCCAGTGGGAACAGCGCTGTAAGCTACAGCGACTTGGGCACTGGAGTAGCGAAACCTGCGCTGCGCGCACCTTCCTTTCCATGTCATTCAACGGGGAATGACGCGCACCATGAGCTAAAATTCCCCAAAGTCCTTGAACTCGACCGAAAAGACGTGATTCGCCCCTTGGACACCAGCCGAATGCAAATGCTTCCATGTCGATCGACCTCAACTGGGAAACGGTGACGGGAGGCCCCGACGGGGAGGAGCTGGCGCACCAGATCCGCGACTTCATCCACACAAAGTTCCAGTCGGTGCCGCTGCCGCGCTTCATCAAGTCCGTCACCGTCCACGACTTTGAGTTTGGCTCCATCCCCCCCCAGGTCGAGCTCAAGGACATCACCGACCCGCTGCCCGACTTCTACGAGGAGAATGACGACAACGGCGGTGATGACGACGATCGCAGCGCCGCTAGTGGTGGCAGCGGAAGCCCCCGCGGCGCCGACGCCGCCGACGACGCCGCCAGCATCCCTGCCGAGCTGAGGGCCGCCGCTCAGCGTCGCAGGCGCGCCGAGCAAGCTGCCGCCGAGCAAGCCGGGAGCGGCGGCAATGGCGGAGGCAACCCCGGAGGCGGTAGGAACGTCCCCCCCCACCTCGGGCTCGCCAGCGCCGGCTCGCGGAACTCGGCCTTCCTCAGCGACGGCGGCGGCGGCAGCCCCTTCCTCGGCGTGTCGACCCCAGGCATCCCCGGCGGCACGTCCAACCTGCACTACTTCCACTCGCACCTCGCCTCCGGGCTCTCGGGCGCCCAGACGCCGCTCGCCGCCGTGGCAGGCGCCCACCACCTGAGCAACGCCTGGCTCGACGCCACGTACGGCCACAGCTCGTCCACCCCGAACCTGCACCAGCAGTACCCGGGCTTTGCCGGCCGTGTCGGTGCCGGCCGCGGCGGTGGGACCTTCAACCTCCACCAACTACCCCCGCTGCAGTCGTCCAGTCACAGCCGCCATCCATCGCAGAGCTCCATCTCCATCATGGATTTCAACCAGGGCCGGCCCGGTCCTACCTCGCCCACTACGCCCCCCGGGCCGGCTGCCGGGGGTCTGGGCATCCTAGCTGGCGGCGGCGGCGGCGGCGGACCCGCGCTTCGCGAGAAGCACAGCGTGTCAACGCTGGCACCGACGTCAGCGGGGACGTCACGACCACCTACGCGCGACGCGGCGGGGGCGCTCGCAGCGCTGGCCGGCTCGGCGATAGCCGAGGACGAAGATGGCGGCGGCAGCAGCGGGGAGGTCAACGACAACGACGACGACAAGGAGCCGCTGCGGCGGTTCCGTGAGCGGCGCATCGAGGACATGCAGGCCGTGTTCCGCATCCGGTACGCGGGCGACATCAAGCTGCTGCTGACGGCCGACATCCTGCTCGACTACCCCATGCCCAGCTTCGTCGGCATCCCGCTGCGCCTCAGCATCACGGGCCTGACGTTTGACGGCGTCGGCGTGCTGGCCCAAATCCGCAAGCGCGTGCACTTTTGCTTCCTCAGCCCCGAGGACGCGTTGGCCGCCGTGGGCGGAGACGATTTAGTCGGGGACGGCGGAAATGATGATAACGAGGATGACGATGATGATGATGATGATGAAATTGTTCGCCTCGGCGGCCGCCGGCAGCATGTACGAAGTGGAGGAGGAGGAGGAGGCCAGGCTTCTACAGAACCGAGCTGGAACACGAAAATGGGCGGCCTGCTGCAGGAAATCAGGGTCGAGAGCGAGATAGGACAGCGGCAGAGTGGGAAACAGAGCCTTAAGAACGTCGACAAGGTCGAGCGGTTCGTCCTCGAGCAGGTGCGGCGGATATTCGAGGACGAGTTTGTATATCCCAGTTTCTGGACGTTTCTGGTATGACTTTGTAGCAAAGGACAATCGAAATGCCAATTGTAATTAAATAAATACAAAAAACATTCGACCCATGGTTTCCTGTCCACGACAACTTCTACATATTGGCATGCTAGTTTGCTCATATGCGCCACGAAAAGATCAGTTGAGGGTGCTCTTGAACCCCTGGTAGGCCGAGTTGATGTCGAGCTCGAGCTCGCGCGCCTGGTCCTCGCTCAGCTCCTCGGTGGCCTTCATCTGGTTGAGCGCGATGAGCCACTGCACAATCTTGCCACGGTTCTCGAAGTCCCTGGCCGTCACCTTGTTGACCGACTGGATCACGTCCGTCAGCAGCGGGTGCAGCTGGTCCTTGGCCAGCAGCCCCAGCCGCAGCGCGTCGAGGAACGTGATGAAGTCCTGCGTCGCCTCCAGGATCAGCGTCCCGCTCGTGTTCCCGCCGCCGCCGCCCGCACCGCTACCGCCGCCGCCGCTCCCACCGCCGCCAGCCGCTTGCCCGCCGCTCAGAGACGCCGTCACCGCCGTCGACGGCATGCCCACTCGTATCCTCTCCGTTGCGCGGGGAACCTCGAGCTGTTGCGCGTGTTAGTCAGGCCGTCACGCAAGATCGCAGAGCTCATGAGAAACAGGAGAGTGCCTACATCCCACTCGGCCTTGAACTCTTCGAGGCCTACAAACGCCTTGGCCACCGTCTCGTCGGCCACCAGCGACTTGTACTGCTTCAGCGACCGCTCGCAGATCTCGGTGTAGTCGGCCTCGGGGATGGCGTCCTTGAGAAACGCCTTCTCCAGCTCGTCAATTGTCACGATGATGCCGAAGATCTCGGCGAGCGAGTCTTGCAGGTCGCGCTCGGCGCGCGTCTCGGTGAGCTTCACTTCCTATTTTTGTGGTTAAACTCCTGTCTTGGTCTCTCCTCTCGTCTTGTTCTAGAGGGCGGGGCGGGGCAGGGGATGACAGTATAGGGGGCGCGCGCTGACCTCGTCCAGGTTTATCGTCGCCGACAGCGTCGAGTTGGGAACATAGCTGTGCGGCATCGGCGCATAGGCCTGTCGCGGATTCATCGTGTGTCGCGAGTGCGTTCTCTGCTTTGCAGGCGCATCATGGCAGGCTCGGTCGGACTTGTTGCATTAAGGTAGCTATCTGCGCTAGGCACCGAGATGCCCTCAGGGCCAAAGTTCTGGAGCCTGGAGGGGCAAAGTATCAATTGGCCCGCTGTCAGCCGCTGGCCGCGCCCCATCAATTGAGCACCACCTCACTGACCCCACCCAACGCTCATAAAGTCACTTTATAATGGGGAGGTGGATACTGCAGTGGCTCACCGCCCCGACGATAAACCGTACTTGGCTTAGCGGCCCCGCACGATAAGGAATTGCTCTGATAAGATCCCAGGAACAACTTGGGCTTGGGGGGAGAAAAAAAAGTTTGGGACGGCTAGGCGCAGGTACGAATACTGAATACTGACTTGGCTGGGTGGTGTCCGTATTGTCCGTCTGGTTCAGCAACATCAAAAAGAGGCAGAGACCAGCGAAATACACGTCCCCTCAAAACAAAACAGCAATTCCAGACCTCAAAACGACCCGACCAATTGCCGGCCATGGCGACGTCCAAAAAAAACGCCAAGGCGACCAAGAAATTCGAGAAGAGGCACCTCAAGGGCGTCTTGGAGCGGCGCAAGGACGTGGCCAAGATCAAGCAGCGCCACCAGATCAAGGCCGTCAAGCAGGCCAAGCGCGGCAAGGATGCCGAGTTCTTCAAGTCGGGCGGCGTCGACGCCGACGGCAACCCCATCCCCGCCGTCAAGAAGAAGCCCGGCGCCAAGGCCGTCGAGATGAGCGTCGACGACTTCTTCCAGGGCGGCTTTGAGATTCTCGACAACAAGGACCTGCCCCCCAAGACGGCCAAGTCTACCGCCGCGACAGCCGCCGAAAAGAAGCTGGGGAAGCGGAAGCGCAGCCAGGGCGAGGACCGGAAACCCCAGAACAGCGGCAGCGGCAGCGGCAGCTCCGAGGCGGGCGACATGGACGACAGCGACTCGGACGCGGCGGGGGCCGACGACCTCAGCGATGCGGACCTCGGCATGTCCAAGGGCGCCATGGCCGCGCTCGCAGAAAAGGACCCCGAGTTCTACAAGTTCTTACAGGAGAACGACCCCGAGGCGCTCGAGTTCGACGAGAACGCAGACTTTTCCGAGATTGACGAGCTCAGCGCAAGCGACGAAGACGACGAGCAGCCCAAGAAGAAGCAGAAGAAAGAGAAGAAGAAGGCCGCCGACGACGAAGGGGACGACCGCGAGCTCACCCAGGCCACGGTAGCCAAGTGGAAAGAGTCGTTGCTCAAGACAAACTCGCTCAGAGCCGCCCGGCAGGTCGTCATCGCCTTCCGGTGCGCGGCGCATCTCAACGAGGAGGAGGACGAAAACAAGCAGCGGTACACCATCACAAACCCAGACGTCTTCCACGACATCCTGTTGGTCGCGCTCAAGCAGATCCCCGTGGCGCTACACCATCACTTGCCCGTCAAGGAGTCGGCTTCCGGCAAGGCCTACGTGCACACCGACACCAAGAAGTTCAAGACGCTCTCCATGCTTGTCAAGAACTACGCCTCGTCGATTATCCACCTGCTTAGCACATTATCAGACGACGGCACGCTCAAACTCACTCTCTCGGCCCTTGAGCCGCTGCTGCCCTACCTCTTGTCCTTCAGAAAGCTTCTCAAGGTCCTGATCAAGACTGTCGTTGCGTTCTGGTCACAGTCGGCAAGCACGGAATCGGTCAGGGTCACGGCCTTCCTGGTCATGAGGCGTCTTGTGGTGATTGGAGACAAGGGAGTCAGAGAGTCCGTCCTCAAGGCGACCTATCAAGGCCTAGTGCAGGGCAGCCGGCTCACCAACGCCAACACAATCCAGGGCATCAACCTCATGAAGAACTCGGCCGCCGAACTGTGGGGCATTGACCAGGGCCTAGGATACACCACGGCCTTTTCCTTCATCCGCCAGCTCGCCATCCATCTCCGAAACAGCATCGTCAACAACAAGAACGACTCGTACCGGGCCGTCTACAACTGGCAGTACGTGCACTCGCTCGACTTTTGGTCGTGCGTGCTCTCGGAGCACTGCAGCCCCCTCAGGGAGGCCGAGACGGGCAAGGAGACGCTGCTGAAGCCCCTCATCTACCCCCTGGTCCAGGTGACGCTCGGCGCCATGCGCCTCATCCCCACGGCCGTGTATTTCCCCCTCCGGTTCCAGCTGATGCGTTCCCTGCTGCGCCTGTCGCGCGCCACCGAGACGTACATCCCGCTCGCCTCGGTCCTGCTCGAGGTGCTCAGCTCGGCCGAGATGAAGAAGGTGGCCAAGTCGTCGACCCTCAAGCCACTCGACTTTTCCATCGCCTACAAGGCCCCCAAGTCGTACCTGCGCACGCGCGTCTACCAGGATGGCGTGGGCGACCAGGTCGTCGAGCTCTTCTCCGAGTACTTTGTGCTCTGGGCGCGCAACATCGCCTTCCCGGAATTCGCGCTGCCCGTCATCATCGCCCTCAAGCGCTGGCTCAAGGAGAGCCGCAAGAACAGCGGCAACAAGAACGGCAAGCTCACGTCGAGCCTGGTCCTGCTGGTCCAGAAGCTCGAGGCCAACGCCAAGTTTATCGAGGACAAGCGCGCCAGGGTCGACTTTGCCCCGACCGACCGCACCCAGGTCGACGCCTTCCTCAAGGACTTCGACTGGGAGAAGACTCCCGTCGGCGCCTTTGTCGTGTCCCAGAGGATACTCAAGGCCGAGAAGCAGAAGATGATGGAGCAGGCCAGGAAGGAGGACGAGCGGAAACGTAAGGAGGATGAGGAAGAGGATCTGGCCGCCGAGCAGGATGCGGAAAGCGACGAGGAAGACTATGAACTCGCAAACGGGCCAGAGGACGAAGGCATGGAGGATGAGGAGTGAAGTCACCATTCTTTTTCTGTTATTCCTTGATGTCACCTATTCCTAGTGCGCGCATCGAATGGAAACACACCCTTTTTTGAGGGGGGGGGGTTTCAAGAGTAAAATATAAAATAATTGACGGAAATTTTGACTGTTGTATCCGACGCCCGACGGAAAACTTCTGTAGACATTCAATCCTGAATTGGTGAGGGATCCAAATATGTAAGATCATCATCGTTGTCCACCATCTTGATCCCAAAACTGCCTTCCTCATCCTCATCGTAGTCTTCATGGTCGTCGTAGTCAACTTGCCCGTGCCCGAAATATTGGCCATGCGGCGGTGCGGTTATCGGGATGCTTGCCTTGCTTGGAGCGATATTGGGGTTATAGGCAGGCGGGAACCGGTCTACACCAGGCGTGGTCTTTGGGGTAGACGGGACGGAAATAGCGCTGGGCGGTATCGATGGCCCCAGCGGCATGAACTTTGGGGTGCCCAACGCTGGTTCTGCGGCGGGTGTCGGCACCCCACGGTTCACCGTCGAGGGCAGCTGGGAAAGCGGATCTGGCGGCACCTCAGTTCCCAGCGGGCTCTGGCTAGCTGAGATGTTTGATGGCGCCCATCTAGTGACGGCGGTCCGCTGCTTCCGCTCGGGATCTGGGCTCGTCGGCTGTGTAGCTAGTTTCGGGCTATGCGCAAGGGGAGGAGCTGCAGGCTCTGGTGTCGGTCTCGGGGGTTCAGTGATGGCCAGAGCGTCAAACTCGATCAAAGTCCCCGTGGCGCCAGCTGCAGTGCTATCCTCCATCTTAATCCCGCCCTCGTCTTTCTCGATCGGCCCGGCAGCACCCTCGACGACTTGAAACCCGCATCGGTACAGTATCTTGTCAATGATATCGGGGTAGCGCAAATGCCCGTCGACCTCTTCGCTTAAGTCGATATTCTCCACGCCCTCGATGTCTTTAATCGATTGTAGGCCGGCAACGCCGAGCTGGATAGATGTTGCGCGGTACAAGAAAGCGAGAAGATAGTCGTTTTCAGAGCAGACATTGAAAACCTTCCCCGACACTACGCTGCGCATCATCTGCCAGTGGTTCCGGTTGGAGGGGATGGGTGCTCCGATGAGGACAACGGTGTCGACAAGGCCGAAGGCTCGCCGTTGTGCCAACGATCGGAGGCAACTGTAGATAACTCTTGCGCCAAGAGAATACCCAACTAATGTAACTGGTCGTTCGCCTTGGACCTTGTTGATCAAGGCGTCTGCAAGAATCTCGCCGGCCTTTTCCGACCTGTTCTTTGCGAGGCTGAACGGGTTGTCGATACTCGAAGCCATCGACAAGAGATATACTGGCCACAGAGCAGCCCAGAGCGTCACCAGGACAGTTCTCTTCAGAATCTCTACCTTGACCCAGTTCCATGCCGCTGAAGAGACAAGGTCTTTGAGCGACTGGCCAAGCCCCATCAGGCTCTTCACCTCGTATCTCAGCGCAAAGACCTCAGTGTCGTCGCCGAGGGACCGCCAGGGAGCCTTTATGTCGTGCTCGGAGTCGAGCCAGCCATTTACACCGATAGTTACCCGGAGACGTCTCGCTTCATCTTTGCTTTTCGGACTACCGGAGCGCAGCTGGTCCTTGAGGGGTAAGAAGCGGAAGTCTTCAACCTCCCGAGCATACTGGTCGACAGCCTCTCCTGTCATGCGCGCGCCGTATGCCCCAAAGAGCGTTCCCACAAGCGCGCCATTCATCCAAAACAAGCCTAAGAAGGAAGCGACGCCACCTAAACCAACTGATCCCATGAGACCGCCGATAGCACCGGCAACCATTGGCGCCGCAAGACCGCCTGTCACGCCTATGATGGCGGCGCCGGCAACCGAGGCCAGGCCAACTTTCCAGTACCGACTGGTCTGATTTTGCTGCTTCCGTTTTTCGGCTTCTGCATCCGCCGACATGGAAGGGCTTGCTTGCTTCCGTGCGGCCTCTGCCGACGTCTCAACCAGCGAACAGGCGATCTCAGTCTCCTCAGTGTTTAACCTCGACAGGGGGATTTCGAACGCCGAGGCCAGATAGACGGCCAGCACGCGAGAGTCGGCAGAATAGCTGCCGGCTGAGAGCAGTAAAAGTAGCAGGCAGCTCAGGGTCTCCTCTCGGTCATCTTGCGGGATAGTCAATAAACGCGTAGGGATGGCATGAAAATCGGACTGAAGCCGGGCCACGTCTCGGGCCCGTGTCGCCTTGGCCTCGGCAACAGCATCAACGCCCGGGCCCCAGTCACTCAGATCCATTAGGTTCTCGCCGGAAGAGGGGATCTCGACCCGCTCCCGGGCGATGCGCTCGGTCCGCTTCCGGCGTTCCTCGACGATTCCGGCATCGTCCGGGGGCGACAAGACCTCCTTCAGCTTGCCGAGGACATCCCTGCGCCAGGCGTCGAAGTGGGCGAGGGCGGCATTCCGCAGCCGGACAAGTTCGGGGCTGGGCGGTGTCTTCCGCTGCAAGACGGAGACGTCGACGGGCCGGCCGTCCTCATCAGGCGCGAGAGCGGGAGAGACAAACAGCGGAGCTACACCGGCCTCGGCCTCGGCATCGGCATCGCTCGGTTGGCGCAGCTCCAACTGCGACCGCATCCATGCCGTGATCTCAACAACCAGTGTATAGAGCGCCTTGCGCTTAGCCAGATTGAGGACCACGAGGAGCTGACGCGGCTCGCTCGCCAGGGGGGCCATCCTGTCTAATGGCTGGGTGGGCCGGTCGCCGCGTCAAACAAGATGATGGGGGGTTGGGGTTGTGGTTGACGCCACTCTACTTCGCTTCGGGATATCTTTCCGATGGTATACAAAGTATCCGTAATGTACCTACTTATGTATGTACAATGCACTAGTGTAGAGATGCGGGATGGTGGATGAAAAGGGGTCAGGAAATAAAGAAGAAAATGGTAGGGATATTCCCGACCCTGGGCTGGGACTTGCTGAACTTGCACGGCGACGTTGTTCCCGCAAGGCTCGCGCGCAGCAAACAACCTAACGAGACCTGAGTACCCCGTTGTCGATCGCAGCGGTAGTGTCGGTCGCCCAGAGGATCCGCCAAGAACCCCTCTTCGGGGCGCAGCAGCCTTGGAGCCTCGCCGAAGATAGGCCAAGTGGAATAAAAGAGCGAGATGGATCCGAGGTCCGGCATCCAATCTTGCCAGCCTAGCCAAAGGAAGACAACGCCATTGCGCCTGCAGTTTACATTTACTAAGGTAGTCAGTCTTGACTCAGAGCCGCACCTAAGAAAGCGCCAAGCACTCAGGTCCGAACAATACCGGCCAAGTCCCTGATGCAAGCAGCAGCCAAGATATGGCCTAGGTCCGATTTCAACTTGCCCCTCCACTCCCTCGTTCCCAGCCCGATCTTCCACTTCTAGGTGGGTGGGAGGTGACTTGGTTACTCCCGCCAATGCCGTGATCTAAACGTCCCGATAGCATCCAATCACCCATGCTCTTTGAAAATTCCACGCAGGGGAGAGCCCGTAAATCGGTGACAGCATCACACCGCTCACGTCGTGTGGTGCGTACCTACAGAGCACGTCGTCGGGTAGGGTTGTCAACGGCTTAAACGCAGAGATGGAGGGATTGACGTGTCCCTTTTCAAATTGTCGCTTACTGTATACACCTCAAAAGAAACAGGCCTTGCAGCCGTTCCGCCGTCTAGGGTACCCGGGCTCCCGGGCCAGGATGCAATTTGGCCACTCGGGTAGGTCCATGTCCACACGTACCCCTCTGTCAAGATGTTCTTGCCATTTTTTTCTCACAGCCTGGCGTCCTTCCTGCAGGTGGCCAACTATTTTACCTTCCGTACGCGTGTAGTACAGGAACCTCCTTATTACGTACCTGGTTCCGTGCATACAGTATGAGTGCCCGTACGCAGGGAATTGGTGCCTTGCCCGTTGGAGCTTGACACCGCAGATCGACTTCAAACTCAATCTCGAAACATAAGAGCGCCCACGCTATTCCCAGCGCCCTTGATACTCGTGTCTCGGTCGTCCCAAACAAGCGGTACGGAGCTGTCGGGTACGTTAACCCCGCGGAGGAGATAAAAAAAATGCACAGCGACTGACCCCAAAGGATCAGTACGCAGCGGCTAGGGCTCTTGTGATCTCGGGCATCGGAGTGTGCGGTTAGCCCGCTTATGTTCCCGCCTTTAGCATGTTTGTTTCCATGTACAATACATGCCTTGGCTGCAGATGATGTACGCAGGGAACCGCTCCGTCGTCCGTACTGTTGCATTGTATGTACAGTAACATACATGGCGTACTTCAAGTTGCTTTGAGGGGTGGGTGGGAGGTGGAGGGGGTTACCGTTGTCCTGCATGAGAGGGCGCGCTCGAGGCAATTTACTGGGGCTAACCCTTGAGCTGAAAATCCGAGAAGACGGGAGGACGGCTCTCGCCAAGAGCTTGGCATCTGAAAAGACCCCCAGGCACCCACCCCTTCCCGGTTTCTTGGCTCTGCGCACTCTCCCTCTCTCCTGCACCATCAGCATGCAATCGACACGGCGAATCTCACCCCTCGGAATATTATAGGGAACCTGCCTATCTATCTCTGTGTCTTGCCCTCGCCCGTCCTCGGCTCTAGGTTCTGCGCTGCTCTTCTCCGACAAGCTGCCGGGGCGGATGCCGCCGCCAGCGCCGAGCCAGAGGGTCGATTATCCATTCCCTTTGGAAAATGCTCGACAATGTCAATGTGTAAGTGCGGGCCTGCCGTTCGCGCCAAGGCCGTCGGTCGTTTTGGCATGAGGTTCTCTCGCGCCGTCTTGGCTGGCTAAGCTTTGTGCCAAGCCTGGGGTAAACCGGGTGCTGACGTCTCATAGCCGTTGATGAGATCCGCAATGTCGTGTGCGTACTTTTTATCTCCTATAGAGGCTTCCCCGCCCTCGTCCTCCGTCTTGGCTTTTATTTTCTCGTCACTTTGCTTTGTTTTTTTTTCGAGTGGTTTTGGGCTCTTGTTTTGCTGGCTGCGCTTGCCATTTCGTTTTAGAGATGGCCCTGCCAAGCTGCCCAGCGATCTGCCTGCCCAACCCCGCCGACGGGAGCTGTTCCCGTCCTTGCTATGGCCCAATCTTGCATCTTGGTCCCAAATGGCCCTAACGGCTCCATCGCCACAATGCCACTCGTCCAGGCCCCGCACTTGGCACGGCTTCTGTTATTTTATTTTTATTTTTATTTTTATTTTTTTTATTTTTTTTAAATCGTCGAGCTTCTCGAGCATTATACAGCGCCGCGCTGATGCATCGCTGATGGTGGTGTGGCAGTCTTCTATTCAGTAACCCATCGTGGAGTGGCGTCGGCACAGTCGCGAGTACCGTTATCAGAAACATCACGGCCATATCAGTGAGTGCTACGGTAACCTGCATGCCGGCTGGGGCGACCTCGTTGACGCGCATATAGAGCAAGCTCACTCTCTCGGTGAGATTCAACCAAAACATCACCGTGTTATCGTCCAAGTATGCTTCAACTACCAACGGAGTCATCCAAGGCCTCCTCTACGTCCCAGATCTTTCGTCCGATGACCCTTGTATGAACGAGACGGCCCCCTACGTCCCCAAGTCGGCCGTCCGGCAGAAAGATCTTCCACCTGCAAACTACAATCTGATGGCGTTGGCGCCCTGGGTTTCTGGCGAATGCGCCAGAAAGTATCTGGTATCTGCCCATACGGATCCCTTGCGAGGGTTGATATTTTACAAGCCGGGAAACTCGTCTGAGTCGCCGCCTTCGGCCGGGTCCTCCGACTGGGATATCCAGGATGATGGAAAGTGGAAGGCGAACAGTGGCTTTCCCGTCTATGCCGTGTCTGGCATGGTTGGCCAGCAGCTGATGCAACAGATCACTCTGTACTCGGGCAACACATCCTCGGTTCCCTTTGGACATAACCTAACCACCATCTATAACCTCGACTCCGACGACTTCGTGAGGATATGGACAGAGCTGGTGGTATCGACGCAATCCAACATGCTCGGTATCTGGGTGTACTTCCTCATCATTGTCGGCGTTTTCTTCGCCATCATTTCCACGACGTCTTTCCTCATGCATTTTGTCCAGGCTTGGCGGCGCGTTTCACTGAGACGGCGTGTCGCTGCTGGCGATGTAAACCTGGAAGGGATGGGCATTGCCCGTCTAACGGTACCCGCTGAGCAGATTGGAGAGTTTCCCCTGTTTACATACCGCTACGAGCCCGAGCCCACAACGAGCCCTCCTGCATCCCCTGCATCTCCACGACAGACTGCAGCCACGGCTGGCCGCTCCCTCAGCTCAAATACCAAGAGAAGCAGTCAGGACCCGCCAGATGCAATTTTGACGACTGTCCTGACTGTGCGGAGCCCGAGACATTCGGAAAAGGGGCTCAATAGCCCGTTTACTGCTTCCACCGTTGCGACCGATTACCAACCAGCGTGCGAGATATGCCTTGAGCCGTATCAAAACCGCGTCACGGTGATCCGTGAGCTGCCGTGCGGCCACATCTTTCACCCCGTGTGCATAGACGAGTTCCTGCGAAACAACAGCTCTCTCTGTCCCCTATGCAAAGCAAGCATGCTCCCACAAGGCTACAGCCCCAAGATAACAAACGAGATGGTGCGGCGAGAACGGGCTACCCGCCGACTACGTGATCGCGTGGAGGTTATCGATGTTGAAGACAACAACGACAGCGACGACGCGACGAAGCGTAGCAGGATGCACGGTTGGGGCGGCACAATCAAGCGGATATGGAGCCGCGGAGTAAGAGCCGCCACCACTAAGACGACTACAACGACAACGGCGGCCGAGACCGAGCTTCAGCCCCAACCGCCGCCAAGTCTGGTTCCTCAAAGCCAGCAGGTACCGGCGCCTCAGTTGACTTCGTTACAAAGCGAGCGCGGCAAGGTTGTAGGTCGAGGTAGTCCCACTTCTCTAGCGAGGAAGCGTATGCGCGAACTCGCCAGTGATCCACAGTTGGACGACGGCAGTTCCGGGCTGACGAAATGTAAGTATCGAAATCCTGAAATAAATCAGCAACCTGCGGCATCATCAGACTAACGGCCAATCTCAAGGGCAAAAAATACGAAAAAAGGCGTTTCCGGGATTTTAAAAGAGAGGGTTGTTTTGTGTGTTGGTTTCCTCTTGGCCTTGATTGTTAGCTTGTCATTTTGGTGAGGGTCGAAAGCGCACGGGCTGGATAGCTGGGCTTCGTAGACGGGATGGGCGATTGGGCTACGTGACGATGATACCCCTTTCAGTTCTTGTTTTTTGGGGTCTACTCATGACGGCGACGGAATTCCGCGGCGTAAAGCATGATTTGGCGTTGTGGTATTGTTTTACAGTGTGTTCTCTTCTAGATAAACTTTGCATCTTCGATTGTAGGGGCAAGGGGGTGGAGGGGATGTGGGATGAAATGATTCTCATGATCTATCGCGGAGAGCCAGTGCTGCGTGTTGTGTTTTGAGAATCGAAACATGATTCTTCACCTCTCTAGCTCATTTATCCTCTCACGCGTCGCTCACGCCACGTTGTTCTCATCATAATGTCACCGCTGTCTAAATCTTTTGGGATGAAACGCTTCGTCGCCCCGACCTTAATTCATCCCGTATTACCTGTCAGAGGAAAATAAATATGAAGAAAAAAAAACAGTAAGTATTCAGACGGAATATGGAAATGAAGATAAAATCCGTACTCTGTCGCCATGGGACCATTTCTTTGTGGATTGTCGATCGTCATCACCGAGAGTTTGCGTTCTTCTAGGACGTAAAACTGGTCTCGCACATTCGTGGGAATACCAGTGCTACTAGTATAGTACTAGGTGTATTCCGTAGAGCTGAGCCGTCATTACCCGATGCTCTGAGAGCACTGGCATCAGTGCTGTGCACAGCATCTTACCTTAGCTCTTAGTCAGGCACGGCAAGTCGCGCTCGCCAATGCAAGAACCCTGTCAGCGTGATCCAGTGGCGCCTCTTTTCGTTGGCTGTCATTGGCCGCGACGTGAGAGCCATAGCCAAGGCGAGCCTGCGACGACGACGCCCTTGATTGACGGCCCCAAGCCGACACCCATCGCGGAAGCCAGCGAAACAGTTTCTCTGGCACGTGCATGCGTGCGTGCATCAAGAACCAAACCATACCAAGCCAAACTGACAAGGACACACAAGTGAGCCCCAAAGACAACGGACCCGACCGACCGAGAAGATGCCTCCGCCGCCGAGTCAGAAGGGCAAGAAAGGCGGAGCTGGTGTAATGCGCCAGTCATCTTCCCAGCGCAGCCGCAACACTACTCCCAGCGCCATGCCCGCCGTCGCCAGCCTGCCCGCCATCGACAATGTCGAGACCGAAACTCTCGACCTGCGCTTCGAGGTCTTCCGCAATCTGACCTACGAAGACATGGTCGATACCGCCGCTTCAAACACCGTCACCCCCGACTCCAAGAACCTCGAAGGCCTACTGACGCGCCTGCGACGCCTCGAGGAAGTCATAGAAAAACGCGGCCTCTACTGCGACCGCGGCATGCGTCTGCTAGCCCAGAACCGGAGGTTGAGGATAGACGAGATGGCCGTCGAAAGGGGGAGGGAGGAGGAGCGGAGGCAGAGGGAGGCCGACGACGAGGAGCGCGAGCGGAAGGCGAACAAGAAAAAGCGGAAGGCCACAGAAAACTTGGCTCCGCAGGGTAGCAGCATAGGCAGGTCGCTTCTTTTTCAGTCCTTCTTTTTTTCCCCTTCCTTTCTTTCCTCCCTTACCTTCTTTCTCCCGCCGAGTTGACTCCGTTGTACCCTTTCCTTCAATGTTCCAGATTTTGGATGTGCCCTCTGCGCCAAACTGGAAGGGGATTCGCTCTCAACTTTTTTGGCAATGTGTCTGACGACCAACTCTGCTTTTGGTCAATCGCCCCGACGCGTTGGACTTGCGCCGCAGATATCGCCCTGCTGAGTAGAAACTAACTTTCCCACTAGAACGATCATCTCCCATGCGCGGCGACTCTAGCGGAATGAAGCAGAGAAAACTCTCCCGCGACAACGACTCAACAAGCTCGTCTCTCTCGCCGGTTGCGCCACGCACGCCCAGCAACATGGACGTCGACGACAAGGCCAAGGCTGAGGATAACGACGACGATGAATCATCCGACGACGGCAGGCCTCCTCCCCCGGCGCGTCCCCAAGCTAATACCTTTGGCGAAGACCCGTCCACATTCCCCGACCCGACCGTCTACGAAATTCTCCCCGTCAAACCAGGCATGACCGAAGATGAAATCAAGGAAATATACTCAGTCGCGACATACCCTAAATCAGATCTTGCCGACTTGATCGCCGGCGACCCCCCGGACAAGGACTTTAGCAGCGCCAAGCCGAGCAACCAGATCAACTTTAGCACGTTCAGCACATACACTGAGCCATACTTTCGCCCCTTCACCGAGGAAGATCTAGCTTTTCTCAGGGAGCGAGGCGATCGCTCCACGCCTTTGGTCATGCCTAAGAGGGGCAAGAAGCACTATATAGAATTGTGGGCTGAAGAGGATGGCGGCATGGCCGTCGACCCGTCGCCGCAGGCGGGAGCGGACAAGCGGAATGTATTCGGCAGCATTGAGCAGATGACCGATGCAAAGGCCGAAACAGACGAGCTCTACGTGGGCCCGTTGCTCATACGTCTACTTCAGGCCATGAGACCCGAGCATCGCGCCCCGCCCGCCGAGGAAAAGATGGCAATGGCCAATGGTGTCAATGGCGACGGCGATAGCATGAACGGTATCGCCACGTTCGACTTCAACTTCACCGACACCACTGGCGCGTCCGGTAACGGCCAGGTCAACGGCGTCGGGTCCAGCGCCAACGGCCAGGTCAACGGAAATGGCCTAGGACCGAACGGCGAGCAGTCCCTGCCGTCAGCCACCTACATGCCCGAGTCGGAGAGCGAGGCGTGGAAGAAGGCCAACCACCCGAAGCTCGACTACGGCATGGTGGACGAGCGCATCAAGCAGGAGCTGCGCCACATTGGATTTCTCCCCTTACCGCCAGACCAGACCCCGAATGCGCCGGCCCAGCCAGACCCCGCTCTAACGCCCGACTACGACGGCCACTACGACGACGATGTGGCGGCCCGTCTGCGGCTGCTACAGGCGCGCCTACGCGAGCAGGTGCTGCTCAACGGCACCCAGAAGTCGCGCCTCACAGACCTCGTCAAGGAGCGCATGGCCTACCAGGAATACCAGACCATCCTCGAAGATCTTGACAGCCAAGTCCAGGCCGCATACCTTAAGAGGACTCGGACCATGGGCAAGAAGCCTAAAAAGGCCCGCCCTGGTGCTGCCGGCGCCCTGGCTGCTGCCGCAGGTGCCGCAGGAGCTGCCGGCGCCGCTGGCATGGCACGCCCCGGCATCGGCGACATCACAAAGACCCTCATGGAGCGCCGTCGTCGCTGGATCGATAAAATCGGCCCTGTATTCGACGACGAGTGCCTCGCCCGGGTCCCCCGTGCCGCCGACGAAGACAGCACCATCTTCAAGCCGGCCGAGATGGCCGCGCTCCTCCGCCGCGAGAAAGGGGCTTGGGATGAGGAGGTGGAAGAGGAGTGAGAGGACTCGTACCACTGCTGCTGCGTTGAGTTCTTCTAATGCATACACTAGGTTCTTTTTTTTTTTTTTTTTTGAATAACAAACAGAAGAGGGGAAACAGAAAAAAGGGAAAACCCGTCTTGTTTTACATATGAAGGCGTTGTTGGGTGGTTGACTGGCTGGCTGGATGGATTGGGGCGTATGGCGTTGGGGAAGGCTTTTACTTTCGAGTTGCTACCTGCCTTGCCTAGGTATATCAACGTGCCATTTACCTGACCTAGCTACCTGACCTACATAAGGTAGGTATCTTGGCAGGGTACTCACTTTTTCAGTGCCTTGGTCGGGTCTGCTTGGGCAGAGCTAACAGAGCGAGCTGTGGTGTTATCAGCTCTCTTTGGGCGGTTGCGTTTTCTTTTCTTTATCTCTACACGCGCGGAACGAAATCAGGGAACGAATGAATACTTGTTATTGGGTGTTGGTGTATATGCCGTTCCTTTCTCTCTATTTTTTTTTATTTGTCTTCGTTGGCATTAGGGCGACGAGCCATCGCTACATTCCATTTTTAATTGCCACACAGACAAAGAGATGTAAGGCGGGGTGTTCAGCGCATTAGGGGAATGATATCTCATCGGATATATTCTAGGCCGGAGCGCAGCTCTGGCTACCACCTGACCTCGGATCCACCTCCTCGGCCGAGCGAGTGAGCTCGCGATATCGGCACTCAAACGCAGACAACGACGTGTTGCGGGTTTATTCCCTGAGACTCGAGACAGCTTCCGACCTAAATAAATTGGATAGACCTTAGAAGGTCTCTGAACTCCTCTCGTGGGACGACACAATTTTCCGATTGGCTTCCACGGCTGCAAAGCACCCCGCCAAGACCTACATGGACCGTGTACGCAGTAGGGGGGGATCCTAGATTGAGGGGCGCATCCAAGCTCTCAACAACACCTACACCCGCAGACTGAGGTGGACTTTGATCGGAACCTCCAGTTGTTAGTCTGCCGAGCTGCTGCACGCCTTTGGAGAGGCGCCAATTGATCGCGGGTAGATTGAGGTGCCAACATCCGCAACAGGATGCAAATTCCCTGGCCAGAGATCACGTCACACAGTATAGGTAGCAGCGGCGGCAGCAGCAGGATACTCCTGGCGTTGAAGAATTCCAGAGGAGGCTTTCCAATGCTGATGACACCCCCTTCGGATCAATCCGACAATTTCCAAGACGATGCATCAATGGCCTGGCTACAGCCCCAGCTTGCATCCTGGGCCAGACGGCTGGGTTGGGTTCGAGCTGTAATCGCACAAGATCATGCTGCCGTCCATGGTCTGCTCGTCTACGTAGAATAGGCTCGTGATAGAGCCAAGGCACCGTCACGTTGTGCTTCTCTGTATCCACTCGTCCCGTTATTGACCAAGATTCATCTCGCACGCCGCTATCCGACCATGTGCTGGACTGATTGGCCGGCAGCTCCCACGCGGCTGTCAACACCCTTGGCTTCTCCCGGCTAGTGTGCACCCTCCTCCCGACATGCTCAACGCCTGTGGCCGTTCCGTAGGCTGTGGACGAGCGAGCCACGAACATGGGCGATGCAGGTGTGGGATGGCCATGAGACTGCCGAGTGTCATAAGACACCGTCGCTGTTGGTAGCTACACCATTCCACGGTCATATTTGTGGGGATGGGAGGGATCAACGACCGGCCTCGAGAGATACAGACGCTGCTACCGAAGGTTAGGTTTGTACTACCTTCCTTGGGCTTAGAGGTGGTGTTGCCCCATCGTTGTACCTTCCATTGTTTGGCTCTGTATAAGTACGGCTGGCCGACTTGCATCTTTTGTGTCTGGACCTTCTTCGACAACGTATCATTGCTTCAACGCTTCGGACATTGTGTCTACTTCAACATCTTCCCTCTCATCTTCACAGTATGAGAGAATATCATGGATTCTCCTGGTGGTAACATATCGCCCCCGGGCACCGACAACCCCAAACTACTCATCATTGGAATTACCAGTGTGGTGCTTTTTGCCATTGGTCTTTCCAAACTTTCAGTCACAGCACAGCACAAACGGGCTGAAAACACACCCAGCTTTGTGAAGTCGCTGCTGCTCTTCGGCTACTCATGCTTCCTCAAGCCGCACTCTGCCGGCCCCAAGGGGAACCAGCAGAACGCCCTCGAGAGCTTCTACTCGAGCCAGGCCAGCGTCTACGATGCGACGAGAAAGATTCTCCTCACGGGCCGGGAGGATATGTTGGCACTCGTTGCCGCAGAACTCCGCTTCAAGGCCGAAAAGGACGGCATAGGCGCAGAAAAGGAACGCATCTGGGTTGACGTACGACCCCTCCTCTGACTTCTGGAATGGCTTTAGGACACGTCTTCAAGGTTACTAACTTTCTCTAGGTGGGTGGCGGAACGGGGTGGAACATCGAGGCCATGTCCGAGTTCCTCGACGTCCCCAAGTTCTTCTCCGCCATCTACTTGGTCGACCTGTCGCCATCTCTCTGCGAGATTGCCAGACAGCGTTTTGCACGGCTCGGCTGGACGAACGTGAAAATAATCTGCGAGGATGCGAAGAAATTCCGCCTCCAAGAATATGAAAACCTCGGCGACCGAACCCCTCCCCGTTCGAGGCTGAGCTACTTTGATCAGACCCCCCCTGGGCACCGCGGAGCCGATCTGGTTACCATGTCGTACAGTCTCTCCATGATTGTAGGTAGGCTGCGCGGCAACATTCCACTCTCGGCTCTGGACTAACGCTTGCATAGCCCGACTACCACTCTGTCATTGACTCAATCTCGTCACTTCTCTCACAAGACGGTGTCTTGGGTGTTGTTGACTTTTACGTGCAATCCGTAGTTGACGTTGCCTTCCGCAACTACACGGGCGGCCTCGTTGGACGCCATGTTAACTTCTTTTCCCGTACGTTTTGGCGTGCCTGGTTCGACCTTGACCGAGTGTCGCTTGACGCTGGCCGGCGGGACTATCTCGAGTACCGCTTCGGAACGATCCTCTCCGCCAACTTGCGCAATAAACGTCTCGGGTTTATTCCCTACTACGTATGGGTGGGCTGCCAGAAAAAGCCCTTTTCCCCATCCAGCCTACCGCACGAGATAATTGAGCGTATCGATGCCATGGCAACCGAGTCGCCTTACCTACTTCCGACCAACAAGCAAAGCGTAACGAATGCGCTAGCACGCGCTGTAGAAAAGACGGCCCCAGAGATTCGGTCAAAGGCGTTCGATGCCGCCATCCAAAACCTTTCAGTCAGCCTGCCTCTTCCCTCCTTCTTTTACCAGAACCATCATTGGCGCATCTACTACGACGACCAGCTCAAGAAGCACACGCAGTTCAACGACGAGTATATCTACGCCTTCACCTGGGAGGACTCGCGCGTCGACGAGCGTCTTTTAAAATTGGGCCCTGAGGACGTTGTGCTGGCTATCACAAGCGCTGGTGACAATATTCTTGCGTACGCCACGCAAAGTCCTGCTACAATCCACGCCATTGACCTCAACCCAGCGCAAAATCACCTCCTGGAGCTCAAGGTGGCCTCGTTTACGGCACTGCCCTACAAAGACTTTTGGAAGATGTTTGGGGAGGGGAAGCACGCCCAATTCCGTCACTTGTTGATCTCCCACCTGTCTCCTCACCTTTCGAGCCGGGCTTTCCAGTACTGGCTTGCCAGATCACACATCTTCACCGACCCTCGGGGCCGCGGCTTGTACGATACAGGCGGTTCCAAGCACGCAATTCGCATCTTCAGATGGATGTCGCGTGTTTTTGGATGCCGGGGAGCCGTCAAGGACTTGCTGGCAGCCAAGACACTCAATGAGCAGCGGGAGATTTGGCGCGCCAAGATCCGCCCTGCCCTGCTCTCAAGCGTTGTCTGCAACCTCGTCGTCAGCTCCGAGGCGTTCCTGTGGGCGGCTCTGGGCGTCCCTAAGAACCAACTGGCTATGATCGAGGAGGACCACGCAAACAGCGAGGCCGTGAACGACCCGTCGTTAGCGGCTAAAAACACGCGCGCTCACGCAGTCTGGCGCTACATGGTCAACACACTGGATCCCGTGGCGGAGCAGACGCACATCGCCGGGGACAATCCGTACTACCAGGTCTGCCTCGAGGGCTCCTTCTCGCAGCGGTGCCACCCGGAGTACCTGTCGGCAGCCTCGCACGCGCGCCTGAGCCGGCCCGGGGCGTTTGACGGGCTGCGCATCCACACGGACGAGATCGACGAGGTGATTGCGCGCATATCGCCCGGCACGCTCACCGTGGCCGTCGTGATGGACAGCATGGACTGGTTCGACCCCGGCTCGACGGCGGCCGGGCGGCAGATCACCAAGCTCAACCGCGCGCTCAAGATGGGAGGCCGCGTGTTGCTGCGTAGCTCGGCACTGACACCTTGGTACCTGCGCGAGTTTGAGTCATACGGCTTTGCGTGCAAGCAGGCTGGCACGCGCTCGCCGGGCGAGTGCATCGACCGCGTTAACATGTACGCTAGTTGTTGGGTATGTACCAAGCGTGACAACCTGTCACCTCCTACCCCGGAAGCTGAAAGGGTGGGGGGCGTGGAAGTGCAGAGTTGGAGTCTAGAGTTTGGGGATGGGGACGGGGGCCTGGATCTGCAGCAGCAGCAGCAGCAGCAGCAGCAGTCAGCCCTACGCTGAGTATGGGTAGTGGCGTCTGGGGTAATGGCGGAGTGCATGGTAGTACCGGAGGTAAGCCAGCCTCAGGCTCTTATTCTCGGGTCGTTTCAACACGACGCGTGTCTGGGATTGGCTATTAGGCGGGGAGGAGGGGTTTTTAACAACCTAGTCCCTTTAATCTCGTCATCGTATAGGCCGGCATGGCTCATAGCGATGACACAGCGAGGCCGACACACACAGACAGTCACTGGAAGAAAGAACTGCGTTGAAGGGATATGAGGCTGAGCAGAAGAATAAAAGAAGATTTCTGGAAAGACAGAGCCACACTTGATAGGCAATCCCGTATGGCTTGGACTAGACTGTGCCAAGACATGGCGATGTTTGGGTACCGTACCACGGAAGGCTCATCGTCGACTTGACGTTCAATCAATTGGAGTGAGGGTATCCGCATTGCAGGCCTCCGAGCTGGGTTGTGCATGGGTCCTTTGTCCACAGCAACGTTGAGTCACCAACTAGACTCAGGTGAAAGGGAGATGTTTTTGATATGTGTGATGCGCCTGGTGTGAAACCATGCCAACACACAGAGAATGGAAGGTGAAGTGAGGGGTTATCCGTTCGTTCATTCCGAGATGGAAAGCGTACCCAGAACACTACAGAAAAGCGGTGATAGCATTGCAAAGGCTTCGTGGCGCAGCTAAACTGAGGCAGACTTGTGAGGTTGAAGTTGCGTGTGTGTGCGAATATCGCTTAAAAAAAACCCTTATACACTATGGCGGCTATTGTTGGTGGCGTTGTGGAGGTGTTGTTGCAAAGTGCAGTGCAGTGCAACTGTGTGCGTTGTTTGTGGGATCGATCGAGTGGTAAGCGTACCCGAAAGATCGCCAAGAGAAGAGGGAGAGGGAAAATCAAAAGGGAAAAGCGCGGGATCCACCGAAGCACCCGCGAACTGTACCCGAACTTCTGCCCTTCTGTCTGTTCTTCTTCGCCTCGGGTGGGGGGCCCGCGAATCGCAGCAAGGGATTTGCCAATGTGGAAAAGTGGATACGCCACCGCTGGCAACGCGGCGGCCACTGCCAGCGGCCAACCGTGGCACTGGCCGATGACCAGTTTTGGACGTTGCAATGCTTGGCATGGCCCGTGCACCCGTTTACTTGGCCGGACGGAAGCTCTGACTCCCGTGGGGCGTTTGCAAGATCGTGGCTTGGCACCTCTCTTTCGACCCTGGCCTCGGAATGGCCGTTGCATCGGCCATCGAGGTTTCCGTGGGGGAGCAGCAACACAAACAAGCAACCACGCCGCACGAAACGGAAACCTTCGGTAGGGAGAAGAAGGAAAAAACACAACACCCCAGGTAAGCAAAAATTAAAGATTCCAAAAGAGAAAGATTCCAAAAAATAAAGATTCCGAATTATTAGTCCCCACGCCGCGCCACCACACGAGCCACTGAGTCCATTCCTACGAACCCATTTCGCCCTATTGGCCAGCCCTGCGATCCCCGTTCTTTTGTGCATTTCCATCTCCCTATCCATGTCTCTGCGTTCTGTATGGACTGGGGAAAGACCACTTACACTTACACTAGCGGATAGTTCGGATTAGCGCGGCCTCGGATTTGCGCGGCACATACCTACACAGCACTGCGCAAACTTACTTCGACTTCGATCTCGGGTAGCGTGTGCTGTGTTACACGACGAAGTAAAAAAGAGAAGAAGAGGCTTGTCTGACAACACGGGGTTTTTCATTCATGCCTAGCAGTCACCCTGGGAGTTTACAGGTGTAAAGTGTTTGGAGCAGTTGGTGCATTGCTTTTTTGTGTCTTCGTTGTTCGTTGGCACTATGAGAAGCAACTAAACTGCTCCGTCTAGTGGAGTGCACTATTCTACCTGCACCTTCTTACTTAGTAACTTTGGGTGCGGTCGCGTCGCGATAACAGTGAATAGGTAAGCCAATTGACATCTGCACTCCGCGCCCAGTCAGGTGCGGCGTGCATGGGGTATGCCAGCTTCACATCCTGGCGGTTATTCGGTTAGGCATTACCGTTGAGATAGAAGTAGTTATTTCGCAGCAACACACACACAGTGTCACACATATACCAAGCCTAGAGATACAAATTGAATCTTTATTGTAAGCAATTGTTTGTTTGTTTGCTTGTTTGGAACCGAAAAAACGGATCTACCACGCCCGGCCCCGTGCGCGATCGCCGAAAACTCCTTGCGGGTAGGTTGTTGAAGGAAGCTCATCCCCGGGGTCTTTAACATCTAAGCCTTCGGGCTTTTAGAACCCAAGTTAGGCAACTTGGGAGAAAAAGTGGGGTGGAAGCTTTATTGGTTTCTCCTCTTTCGGATTTTCCGCGTCCATTGCTAAGCCGGTTTGGATCGTTGGTACCGTTTTTGCCGGGTCCTGTTCCCGTGAGGGGGACTTGTGCATTCCGTTACCTGCTCGTGTAAACGCCAGTCGCGCAATTCCACCGTTTGACTTTCTCAGTCTGTTATCTTTCGTTTCTACTAGCATAGAAGCGAGTTCATTCACACCCCTTCTCCTAGCTATACTCCAGAATTATGGCACTGGTATCTGTAAGAGTCTCTGACATGCTTCATCTTTAGCGCTAGTCTGCTTACTTGGGAGGATTCCATATCTCTCCCAAGTCTCACGAAACCGGGGCCAAAGTTCCCGACATGATAATGATGAGATACATAGGTAATCATGATACTACTGCTGCAGGGAACTAATTGCCCGGTTACCCGAGACTATATCGCTAGACCACCACTACCTGGTCTTAGTCTTGTGCAACCTAAAATAAAACCACATTAGAGCTGAGGCCTGAATTGGACCACTGGAAGTGTCGCTCACCTAAGCGCCGCGCTTACGATCCCTGGGACTGGGACTGGGAGAAAAACTTAACTATAACCGACCCGGACCCAGACCCGGATCGGATGGAAATTGCACATAGAGAATAATTGGAATTATAATGTGCTAGCAACACCTTTGTTTCGCTCTTGGCGAATGGCTCGTGTTGATATCGTCAGTAATTGTCGGGCAGGTCGAGTAGGTACCTTACTTGAACTGGCCATCATCTCCAAGGCACCCAACTTTCGTCTTACCTTACCAAATTCAGGTACTGGAGAGCTCGTAAACCGTACGAACAATGTGGTTCTGGGCTTATCAACGCCTTGCGTCTGCATTACACACATGTTTTTACTTTCCCCCAGTTAGCTGCGGGTGTAAAGAGCTGCCGTCAGACTCTAGAAACGAAATAGTAACTCCCAAGAGTCTGAAGGGGTGTCGAAACGGGGCCACATTACTTACGCCAAGCCTCCGTTTCCTATCAATCCATTAACTATCTTTCTCGGCGGCTGCTGCAGTGATGTGGCCAGGGTGCTAAGCGCAGCCCGTCTCACTGCCCTGCGAGGCCCATGTTTGGGCGAATGAAAGGGCACACTGCTCCCTGTTCGTACCCCAAATTCGGGGCTGAGCACCTCTTTCAGGGTGCAACCTCACTGCCAACCCTTTCTCTGACCCAGCGATCCGGACGCGGAATTGCGCCTGCCGGAAGTCATCGCGCCGAAACCCTGGAGACCGCTGGCGGGCCTGGGCAGTGGTGTGGGCGCCCCATCCACAGCCCAAACCGGGGGATGCCATGACACCGCTGACACCCATCAGCATGCACTGCACTCGCTTCCGTCTGTCTCCTTTCCATCCTTACGTGCAGTGCAGCACGTCACTCACTACCGACAACACAGAAAACACCTTGCTCGCAACCATACCACCATGGGGTTGCCTCAATTTCGTGCCCTGGTATTAATAACTTGGCCAAGCGGCCGACGCATCAACATGTCTTACCAAGTCCACCCACAGTCGGCGCCGCATCCACCGGTATCACCCGGCACATCATCCCTAGGTCTAAGTCTAGTCTAGACCAACGTCAACAGTCCAATTCTCGCCCCTGACTGGCTTGACTTGGTATCGCCACTCCAAATGTCGGCCGCCTCATCGTCTCCCGCCACGTCCCCCCAAGCGGCATCCGCCGGCGCCAAGTCGTCGAGGGTTTGCCTCAATTGCCGTCGCAAGAAGAAGCGCTGTGACAAGGCCTTGCCGTCGTGCGGCCGATGCACCTAGTACGTTGCGGCCCGCGCCCCTTGAGCCGCAACAGACAGTGTCACTAACTAGCCTTCTTCTTTTGCCTCACAGCTCGCTTCAAGCATGCCAGCACGAAGACGACGTGGTCCTTCCGCTAGGCAGTTCTAGTGCTCAGGGGCCGATCCGCTTCGAACCGTTTCTGGGCCACCACGTATCGCCGACGCTCACGTTTGCCTCCTCCGCCGGCGATCCTGTCCTGGAACACTTTGCCAGCCAGCAGTTGGCAACTCGCTGGAATGCCTTGAACCAGGCCTTGTTTGCGCCAATGGACTCGGCCGAAGATATTCATTCCTTCGCTTTCAGGTGTCTGTCCGAGATCGTCGGCGGCCAGCGACAAGTTGACTATGTTGCATCCCATTACTTCCTTGGTGTCAACACCTGGTTTACCGTTGTCGAGCGCGAGTCGTTCAACCGCCAGCTCGAGGACCTCTGGACGACCCCGTCGGCCGAGACCTGTGCCCTGATCCTCAGCATGCGTCTCATCACCCGCGTACCCGACCAGAACAACCCCGGTGGCATGGGAGACAGCCTGTACCTCTCTGTCAAGACGACCCTCAGCGTCATCCAAACCAAGATCCCCCTCTCGATCCCGCTGTTGCAGGCCGAGCTGCTCGTCGCCATGTACGAATTCTCGCACTCAATGTCCCAGCAGGCTTACATGACTGCCGGGCGTTGTTTCCAGATGAGCAAGGCTTTCAACTGGCACTATAAGCCCTTTTGGAGCGAAGAGCGCCAGAGGTTGAATCCCAGAGACCTGAAGTTATTCTCCATTCTCTGGTGGGCGATTGTTTATGTCGACTGGTGAGTTGCGCTATGTCCAAGAGATCGGCTCAGGGCACTGCTGATTGTCGAGATAGTCTCATCCACGTCGGGTACCAGGACCAGAAATATCCCATGCACACCTCGGGTCTCAGCTCCGATTTTTGGATACCCTTTCCGGAAGCGTTCGATCAGTATCTGCTAGGAAGCTTAATGATCGGCTTCCAAGGCGGTCCCATTGATGCGAACATCGATCAGATCGACACCATGGTTTGGCCCGAGGCCAGCTCTGCTTGGTACATGAGCAACGTCTTGCATCAGCTCACTGCACCTTCTCCCGTGTCTCCCGTCGACCGCAATACTCTTTCGGGAGTCATTACGCAACACACTCTCCAGGTGATGGAGAGGAACTGGAAGATGGGTGATCGGACAGGTTCGGTGGGGACCAATTTCATGTACACCTCTCCGTCTCTCTAGCCCTCGCCAAAAGCTGACTGAATGACAGCGCCCTCATGAAACTCAACCAGCCCGGTCTTCTTGCGGGATTTCCTACCGATAACGCGCAACCGATTGAGACCATTCGATCCGTTATCAAATCCGTGTATAGCACGGCCTTGAACAACGCAGCCTCGACGAGCCGGCTTTCCAACGGCGGCGTCTCGCCGTGCGGGGCTTTTGCTTTGTATTATGCATCGCTTTTGCTTATTTCGCACGGCGAAGGCGTGTTGGAGGACGCGGGATGGCTGCAAAAAGTCGAAGTCTTGAAGAAGAGCCTAGAGTGGTTCAGCGCTAGATGGAAGCTTGCAGGTAAGTCTCTGTCACCAGATGAAGCTGCTTTGGCTTCCTCAGATGCTGACGATTGAACCAGACAAATATCTCGAGTCGCTCAACATTGCCCTTACCGCCCGCTTGGCGGCAACACATTGAGGCGGGAGAGTAGCAAGAATGAGCACCGAAGAACTAGTTTCTGGGACGTTTATTGAATTGACGAATGCATTTTCTTGGGTTTGGAGCATCGGGTTATTATGGCATTATGAGATACCCCTCATGGCATTTTTTTGGCGCATCGATTGCGTGGCGCACCTCTTCAACCTTACGGAGCCCCTTTCTTCTTCTCGTGGCGTCGACCCGGCCGAAAAGACGAAGCCGAGGCGGGAGAACCCGAGCAACCGACAACTCAAGCCAAGGAGCAGGAGGCTGCGGCATCGCAGTTGAAGCGATGCCATGGGGAACTGTTTTGACTAATGGTTATGGGTTGGCAGTATTCGGGATTCCATTGAGGCAGCGCCTTTTAGAATGGGTGACAGGGAAGGGCCGAGGTACTCTGCTCGTGTGAGAGGTGTTATTCACTTCTTTGGGTTTCATTGTTGGAACTTTGTCTGTTGGGCCTCTTAGACGGACATCCGGGAGAGTGGGAGTTTTTTTCTCAGGGTCGTTCTTAGTTTTTCTCCCTTCTCTCATTATTCTGTTATTTTCTTTCCTTGATTCCATGTGGACATGGGGCTGCTGGCTAAACAGGCATATGTTAGAGGTAGACCGCTTGGCTTTCATTCTTTCCTTTTTCTCCGTGCTCTTTAGATTGTAAAGGCAAGATAGGTTTCGTTGCCATTACTGTTGTCCACAACTTTGGGAAGTGACTGCGCAACTGGTGAGAACGATTACCGGGACCTATGGTAGTCAAGTGACTTTGTAGGCCTAGGTAGTGTGGTGGTTTCGAGCACGTCTAAAAGATGTCAATGACAACTGCGAAGGGGTAGCAACTTGGAAGGTAGGAGAAGTATGGATGGGGATCTAGGTGTCTAAGGTGCCGACACCTACTAGTACCTAGTACTGCTTCTGAAAGGAGCCGAGTAATTATCTAGACGAGTAGCAGAGAGGATATTTAGAGTAAGAACCTTGTTCCATGCTCCATATAGTTTCGTTTCTTGAGAGTCGAAAGAAGAGGACCGATATACCAACAAGAGAAAGAGTGTGAGATGAGACTAGGTCAAGAAACCTTTGAAGAGACTTGCAGCCAGTCAAGGTCTCAATGTCGGACTGCGGTATATGCAAAGAGGAAGGGGGTGAAGTGCCAGATAGGAGACAATGAGAGAGGAGAGAGAGGGAAGAAGTAGGTCCGATCGGGGGCAACGAGCCGACTAGGCACAGGTGCTTGACCGGAAAAGGGAGGCTGTCAAATGGATATAGTGGGAAGCATGCGAGGAGAGATAGAGGACGGAGGACTAAGAAACGGAGGGGGGGAAACGGAGGGATAGGGGTTCCACGAGGCTGGCGTACCCGAAAGGGCAAGTACCTAAGGCATCGATGCTGAGGTGTATGCCGGCAACCAGGGATGGAAGGACGGTCAAAATAAGCTGAAACATTGAAACCTGGGGAAGGGGAGTATGTGGGAGGAGGGGGGTGAGGTCAGGGGCTCCACACTGGTCTCATTCATATGGATAAGCAGGTCCCAGATTTTTGCCAAACAACCGGACTCTTCTGTTTTTTTCTTGAAAATGAAGGAAATTGGGAAGACTAGGAAGACGAGGGAAGGCGTGAAAGCAGAAAAGCAAGGAGTGGAAGGCGCACTGGCATTGGTGACCTCATCGTTGCCCCTTCCTACGGCGCGCAAACGCAACGTAGCACAGAGTTTGGACGGGGCAAGCACGAAAAGTGTTCTAGCAAAGAAGCAGACGACGGGACAAGACATATGAGATTTTAGAGAGACCCCACCGCTCGATATTTCTACAAAGATCATTCCTGTCGGTGACAACCTAAATCCCACGTTCAATTACCCGATCTAACATTTTGTCTCTGGAAGGCATCTTATCCACACAAGAACCCTGCATACTGGGAAACATGCACCCAACCCCTTCACCCACTAACCAGACTCGCATGCATGCATGTTTTGGTGTGAGGGTACATGATCCGAAACCAGGCTGCCGAGTAAAAACAAGCGTCTTCGTTTTGCGGGGAGCGGCTGCTGCTTGAGGATATTGATCTCTGGAAAAGGAAGGCGGGTTAGACTACCCGAAGAAATGCGGACCGATGGATTACATGGCGTCAGCGTGCGCGGGCAGGCAAGCGCGCTATGGTGATTTGTCGGTCGCCAGTTCCGAGTCTGATCCGGCCGGAAGCTGACACTTCCGGAGCTATCACTGCTCGGCGACATGGAAGTTACATTGTGGCCTATTTGGGATGCAGTCTTTGCGCAACCCCAAGTCCAGAATTCCCCATAAACAGACTGGGAAAAACTTACCAGGGGGTTAGCTGCGCTGCACAGTGCTCACATCATGTCATCTTGTCTTTGCAGACATTAGAAACCAAGAAAAAACCCACAAACATTGGCCAGAAGTCAGCCGAGAAATCCTGGGCCGGCGGTGTACAGTTTTCTATGAATTTGTCGTCTTATATACCTCAACTTAGCCTTACAACACAGCGGGCAAGCGCCCGCCAACCAACCAAAGCAAAGCGTCCGCTCCCCTGCACACCCGTCCCCATCGTCAACGAAACAAAAGGGTTAAAACATGCTCGCACCCTTCTCCAAGAGCGCTCCCCTCCTCATGCCGTCCAGACTCTCTTGATAGCCTCGGTGACACCCACGTCAGTTGTCTCGAACTCGTACAGGGCAAGGCCAACAATGACGGTGGCGACGTTCAAGCCCCACATGATCGCCTTCCGCGCCCTGGGCACCCTCCACGTGGGGACGTAGTCTATAATGATGTTCTGGAAGCCCGTGTGCGAGTGGATCAGGATAATTCCGCAGAGGACGGCGTCCATGGTCGGGTTGAGCGAGCCGGCCGCGAACGGCGCCAGAGTCAGGGGGACCAGGCCGGCGCTGACCAGGCGGTCAAACGTCCAGTGGTACGAGCCGTGGGCCGGAGACGTCTCTAGGACGGGCGCCGGGTCGTTCACTAAAATGCATCAGACATCAAAGGTTAGGCAACTGCTCAGACGAGATTGTATGTGCGTGTAGTGTAGTGTGCATGCGCTGTTCGCGGTAACGTTTGCCAAGGAGCGCAAAATGCGGCGAATGAATTCGTACCTGTGCCATCGACGTGTTCTGGACAAGCAAGTTAGCTAATGCACAATCTCCCTCACTTGGGATCTGTAGCACAATAGCGGCCCAGGGCACTACGCACGGGGAAGAGGGGGCAGGAGGTTCCTCCTGCTGGTGGTGTGGAAGGCCGAGGCCCGGACGGTGTTGGCGATGCTCTGCCGCAGAGCCGACGGCCTGGCGATTGCGTACGTCGCGGCCGGGAGCTTGGGGACTGATGCAGCCTGCCTCAGCAGGGCGGAGCGAGCAATTGATCCCATCGTGGGTTCGGCGCTGGCGGCAGTCAATTGGCCCGGTGCGGTTTCGCGGCGGCAGTGATGGATGACGATGGGAATCGCGGAGTTTGAGCTGGCGACGATAATACGGAATACAGCTGCTGCGAAAATGGGTAACCGAGCGCCCTGGTTCCGCTGTGTCCTGCTCCCTCGGCAATCCGGACTCGTGCCTGCCAATGGCTGCGTGGTTGATGTCAGCCGAAGAACCCCACCGGGGTGCGAGTGGCTTGTGAGAGGCCTGTGGGGCTTGAACGTCATCCACCAAACCCTCTCAGTCGGGGCCAGGAAGATCTCAATTCCTAGCGCGATGCCAAGACCTTGAATTGCCTGCCGCAGAGCCCACTGTGCATCATCTGCCTGCACGCTGGCTGAAACCGCCTGTGAGTGGATGGCGCGAGGTTCCAGCCAGAAAATTTAGAGCATTTCCCGACCTCCCTCCAATTCGAGACGGGGCTATAATCGCGACTTTCGGCCTCGACTCCGGCGGCTTGCGATTTCGGACGACTGCTTCGATGCGCCGTTGACAGCGCCAACATATTCACTATAGAAGATGTCTCTGAGCATCGTCCGTTCATTTTCCAGACCACCGACGCGATCGCAGCCGGCCATGTCTTCTTCCTTATTATTACACGGGCTGCCCTCGAGCAGAGGCTCGGTCTGCCGCAGTTGCCTGCTAAAGCTGCGGGCCGACGACGCTGTGCGGATCCAGCACAGAGACATCTCAACCAGATGGTTGGCTAAGCAGTCTGGGGCCGAGGAGGAATGGAAACTCCGCGCCGAGCTTATCCAGGCGGGCAAGGAGCGCAACACCTTCGACATCCTGGAGGAAAGGGGCTACATTAAGGACATGGCGGGATCGCGCGATACGGTCCGCGAGCTGATGAGGAGGAAACGAATAGGCGCCTATGTCGGCATAGATCCCACCGCCAGCTCCTTACACGTTGGCCATCTCCTCCCGCTCATGCCGCTCTTCTGGATGTACATGCACGGATATACGGCCGTCACCCTACTCGGCGGGTCGACAGCCAAGATCGGAGACCCAACCGACAGGTTGCAGAGCCGAGAAGCCATCTCCGCGGCCGAGATGACCATGAACTTGACCAAGATGCACTACCAGACGAGGAAGCTGTGGCAGAACGTGGAAGACCATGCCCGGAGGCTAGGCTACGAGAAGCAATGGGCGTGGAAGCGGGCGCTGGTGAACAACCATGCTTGGTGGAACTCGACGCCGCTCCTCGACATACTGAAGAGGCTGGGCAACTCGATACGGATAGGGCCTCTCCTGTCCCGCGACACGTAAGTTTGCGCTGCAGCCCCCACGCCGCTCCCCCGAGACTCTGACCATAAATCGCCGACTGTAGTGTCAAGCAGAAAATGGCCAAGGGCGACGGCTTGTCATATGCCGAGTTCACCTACCCAATCATGCAGGGCTGGGATTGGTTCAAGCTGCTCTCGATGCAGAAAGTTCAGATGCAGATCGGCGGCTCGGACCAGTTCGGAAACATCGTCACAGGCATCGACATTGTCAAGGCAGCACGCGCAAATGAGCCGGACCCCAGCGCCCGCCTCCCTATGGAAGACGAGTACGACGATCCTGTAGGCTTCACTGTGCCTCTGCTCACCGACTCTTCTGGCGTCAAGTTCGGCAAAAGCGCCGGCAACGCCATCTGGCTCGATCATTTCAAGACGTCCGTGTTTGATCTCTACGGCTACTTTGTGCGGCGGCCGGACGAGGACGTCGAGAGGCTGCTCAAGCTCTTCACGTTCCTTCCCCTGGAAAAGATCCAGCAGATAATGGACGAACACAATCTCGACCCGTCGAAGCGTGTTGCCCAGCATCTCCTGGCGGAAGAGGTGGTGACGCTGGTCCATGGCCTCCCAGAGGCGAAGAAGGCGCGCGAGCAGCATCGACAGATGTTCGGCGGCGGCCCGCCCCCAACCGCCGAAGAGCAGGCGGCTTCGGCCAGCGAGATTGCGGCCTCGGAGGACCAATACGTGTCGGTGAAGGGCCATCCGACGACGCCTAACAACGCGCCCAGGATTGACATGATCCTCCCCGAGTCGCTGGTCATGGGCAAGTCCATTGGCCGCATCCTGTACGCCGCGGGCCTGTCGAACAGCGCCAGCGAGGGCCACAGGCTCGCCGCCCAGAAGGCCGCCTACATCGGGGCCGCGCCGGGCGACCAGGGCCGCAGCATGACGCCGTCGCAGGTCACCTTCTCCCCCGTCAAGCTCTGGTTCCCCGAGGAGACGAAGCACTACCTCATCGACGGCAAGATCCTCATCCTCCGCAAGGGCAAGCACAACATCCGTGTCATCGAGATGGTGAGCGACGAAGAGTACGAAAAGTCGGGCCAGCAGTACCCCGGCCAGCCCGGCACGGGCAAGGTCCGCCTGCTCCGCCAGCACCTCAAGGAGATCAGGTCAGGGAATGTGAGCAGAGAGGACGTGCTGGCCGCCCTGGAAGCCGACGAGGCCGACGCTAGCGCCGAGGACTCGGACCCCACCACCCTGAAATTTCCTGAGGAGAAGAGCCGCCAGCGGCTCGAGACGGAAGCCGAGCTCCAGGAGCTGACCAAGTTGGACAAGAAGCCGTACGAGTGGTGATCTGCATCAACTATGGCAGTTCCTTTGGAGACTCTAAAAGGGTATTCTAAAGAGCGGCTTTTATAATATTTTATACCCTATCATCGATCGTGCTGGGCCACAGACGTGGTATTGTAAAAACAAGGCCAATTTACCAGCTGCAGTTGTAGGCTGACATCTGACATCTGGCCGGCTGTAGCGTTCTCCACCCCTCGGACTACACAGATTTGGTGGCCCTGGCAACGAATGGCACAGGAAAGAAAACATGAGATAGAATTATCGGTTTTTGCCGACTTGCTATTTAGGCTTGCTGGCACAAGGGAAAAACAAAACACAACCCCTTTTCCCCACCACTGTATATAGACCACTTTTGTATCACCATGTAATCAATCTAACCAAACCAAACCAAAAAAGAAAGAAAACCCTTGAAGTACTGTAACATAGCTAATATAGTGTAACATAGCTAATATAGTGTAACATAGCTAATATAGTGTAACATAGCTAATATAGAGCAACCCAATATTTTTAAGCCTACCTACCTACCTGTAGAGGACAGTCAAGTCGCCGGCCTTGGCATTGGGCAGAGTCTTGAGCTTATCAGTAATTTCCGCGTCGGTCAAGTTGAGCTCGGTGACGATCTGGTCGAAGGTGTGGCAGCCGTCGGTGTACTGCTGCAAGGGGTCACCGCCTACAACAGGCCGGGCGTGGCCCGTGGCTAGCGCCGCTAGGTACTGCTTGGACACGACGTGCTTGTGCACGCGGTACAGGCAGCCCTTGATGACGCCGAACTGCACCAGCCGCCGCACGTCGACAAAGCGCAGCACGTCGAACCCCGAGTCCATGTGGCCCTTGAGCCACTCCGCTACGGTCTTGCCCACGCAGAACGTCGTCATCAGCTTGATCAGCTGGTAGTTCGATATGCGGTACCCGCCGGCGCCGCCGCTGTCCTCAGTATCACCGGCGGCTGTTGACGACGATTCGACGCCGCCGTCGCCAACGTCGCCGTCTGCTGCCCCTCCCGCTGGCCCTAGTGTGCCGAAGCTAGAGTCCGGGTGTAGGAACCCTCCGTCGTCACCCGCTAGTCCTCCACCGCCACCACCACCGCCACGACTCCTCCCAGCTCCGGAATCAGCAGAAGTGGCGGCGGCGGCAGCGGCAGCGGCAGCAGCAGCAGCGCCGACACATACATAGTTTGCGCACTCGTCGACGATACTATCGAGGTTGGCGACAAAGTCGTGGATTCCCGGGCGCGGGGCGTAGCAGGCGCCGAAGAAGAACATGTCGAGTAGCAGGATGGTATCATAGTAGAGCAGGTGGCGCAGGGCCAGCTGGGTCAGCTCGAGCGAGACGTCGGCGGCGAAGGCGATGCGGCGCACGTCGGACACGCCGTCGATGTGCGCGACGACCCGCTGCAGCGTCACATCCCACGTCGGGTCGACCACGTCGGCGAACTTCATCTTAGCCACGGGCACGTGCCACCCCTTGACCTCGGGCGGCGGCTGGTGGTGCGGGAACAGCTTCATGTTGACCGTGTTGGCGTCGTCCACGGGGATCATGCACTCGCCGTAGTTGTTGAGGTCCTCCTTGATGATTTCGAGCAGCGACGCGATGGGCCTGCGCCGGTACGTGTCGAGGGGCTCGTAGATTGCCGTCGTGTACATGTTGTTGTAGTTGCCGGCGCTGCCGCCGCCGGGCACGGACATGGCCTGGTTCAGGTCGTCCTGGCTGAGGTAGCCGCTCTGGCGCTCCATCTCGGCAAAGGTGACGGCGAGGCGGCGTACGACGCGCTCGTAGGGGATCTGGTCGACGTCGCTGTCGACGACGAGGCCGAAGTTGAAGATGAACTCGTTGCGGTCGTAGCGTGGGCTCGGGATGGACACGGGGAAGCCCAGCACCGACGACCTGCCTTCGGGGTCGCCCACCGTCATGTACCGGTTGCAGAAGGCCTTGCGCGGGATGATGTACTCCTGTAGCACACCAAAGTCGAACAGGCAAGGCTTGCTCACCCCGGGCACTGGCACGATGCACCCGGGCGGGCTCTGCGCGACAATCTTGGTCCCTTTTCGCCGTGTCAATTACTGATCCATACCTCAAAGCAAAAGGGAAGAGGCAGAGGCTACTAACCTTCCTTGGGAAAGAAGCGGGCGTAGAAAATTCCCTGGATCATACTGGCGACTGGACGAGAACAAGGCCCACAAGTTCGGTTAAGTATCGATTAAGAAAGGTATGGGGATATGATTTCCTCAACCAAGAATGAGCAATCTCAAGCCATAATTTCACGACTCATCCACGGCCGGCGCATACAAGTATATCTCTCAGAAGTTTGGCAGCAATGGCGCGAGGCAGAAAGGGGCTGCAGATACTAATGCTAATGGCGATGTTGACGGTGATGGCGATGGTGCTGGTGATGGATCGCTTGGTGTTGAGGGAAGCGGAGCAGGCGCCAATCGTAGGGCGATTCAAGCAGACTAGAACCCTAACCCTTCCTATAATTTCCAATTCCGGAGAACATACAGATACCATACGAAGTGCGCATACATACAATACACACGCACTTGATCGCTTAGGTACCTCGTAAATGCTTTGGATGTTATAGCAATTCCCATCTCAGTTCTAGCTCGCTAGCAGCTTAACGCACATATTCTAATGGACCACCGTTGTACCGTAATCTTCCAGGAGAACACCCCTCCAACAAGACAGAATCCAAGAAACTCCCATGCTATGGATATGGGTTGAGAAACACGCCCCCTTATCAATGTATGTATGTACAAGTAAACAAAGCAACCCCAATCGTTATGTATCATAACCCATCCACGCTCCCGCCACCGCCAGTGGGCGTGACATCGCGTTTCCCGAACCGGGCGCCCAGCCCTCCAATGTCTCTGCGGAAGAACTTGCCAATGTTTTTCAAGTTCTCATTGATAGTAGCCTTTTCGCCCGGCGCACCGAGGACACCGCCTAGCCCACCGACGCCAGTTCCGCCGCTTGCGCCGGTTGGCGCCGTGCCCATGCGCTCGACGCCGTCGCGCGCGGCGTTGAACAGCTTCTCGCCGAGCGAGGCCGCGTCGAAGCGCGTCTGCAGGCCGCCAGCCCCAGTAGCAGCGGCAGTCAGGGCGGCGGCGGGGTTGGCGGCCATGGAGCCTATGGCGCCGCCGAGGCCCGAACTGCCGAGGCCGCTCGAGGCCATGAGCGGCGTCAGGAGCGGCGAGTTCTGGACCAGCTGCTTGCCGGGGCCCGCGCCGTCGCGGTGGATGGCAAACAGCTCGATGAGGTGGGCGTGGTCCTGCTTGCGCACGCCCTTGAGCTCGAGGATCTTGCGGAAGTTTGTGTCGGACCGGTCACCAATGTGGATTAGGTACGCCTGCACCAGCCCTTCGGGTGGCGATGGCCGCACCTGCAGCGTCTTGAGCAGTGGGTCAATGCGTGTCATGCTCTGGTTGACGCGCTTGACAAAGTTTGCTGATGGCGCTGCGTTGGGCTGCGGAGTCGCGCCCGGCAAGTGGTGGAACGACAAGAGGTTTTCAAATGCCTTTGTGAGGACGTACTTGTCTAAAAGCATCTTTTTTGTTAAAGAAAAAAGTTAGTTACCACGATGGGAATTCCGATAGCACAGGCACGTGGTAAACGCGACATACCTGCTCCGCACCAACCTCGCAAACAGGCCGGCACTGCACAATGTTGCCAATGTACGCTGTCGCCATGTGCTCGACGAGGTTGTCGCAAAAGGCCCGGGCGTATTGCTGCTTGACGACGAGCGGCAGGATCTCCTGGGCCTTGCCATTGACGTGCTTGAGGAGCTCCGTCACGTACGAGCTGTGGTCGCTCACGCTCTCCATGCGGCTCCAGTTAGTGTTCTTCATCTCGCGCCACGCCCCGTCACATTCCAAGTCGACCTTGTGGACCATGGCCAGCACGGCGGCACTGGCCACGCCCATGAACGTGTCAGACTGTGACGAAAGGTCCACTCGCGACGCCATGTCGGCGTCGATCCGCTTCTTGATGTTTTCTTCGAGCTGGTTTGTGTTGGTATGCCAAAAGTCGGCCGTGCTGAGAACAAGAACGATGTCCTGGAGCGGCCGGCCTTGCTGGCCACCACGCTGTAGAAAGGTCAGGAGGACTTGCTGGGCGTATTCGTCGAGGTACTTGGCCAGGATCTTGGCCAAGTCGAGAAGCCGCTCGCCCGTGGACAGCTTGGCGCATTGCGAGAGTGTAAGCTTGTAGAAGTGGAAGAGCTCGATGGCCGACGGGATGACCGACTGCGGGGAGAACTCCTCGTCGGCCGGCAAGAGCGGCTGCGACTTGTACCGCGGGATCATGGATGCCAGTGCTTTGTCCTGCGAGTCGACCCATAGGCTCAGATACGGCTCAAATGCTACAGATATGGACCCGTTGAAGCTCTGGGTCCGGTCGTCAGCGGAGCTGAGCGTGTCAATGCTGGCTCGGGGCTCGCTCGCAAAGCGCCTCTCGAGGCTCTGCTCAAAGTCCATCGTCTCCTGCAGGCAGCTCAGCAGCAGGTTGACGTCCATCTTGTGCCCATCGGCCCTGCGCATGCTCTTTTCTAGTATGGTTTTGAAGTCGTCACGGGTGCCGTCGCAAAAGGCGACGGCGAGCATCTCGTTGACACGCCAGTGGGGCGGGAATATGGCGGCGTGCTCCTCCTCGTGCGTCTTGAGCGTGCGCTTGAACCAGGCGTAGCGGCGGCCGATGTTGTCGAGGCTGCCGGCCTCGTCGTTGCCCCGGAAGACCTGGCGGTACTCGCGCAGCTCCGTGTTGACGTACCACGTCACGAGGCGCGTCTTGGCGTGGTCGCCCAGGGCATCCATGACGAGGCAGGCCTCGACGAGGACGCCGCGGCGGGCAGCGACGTCGCCGCGGGCAAAGGCCAGCTCAAAGTCCTCGCAGACCTGCTCGAGGAGCTCGCGCTGCAGGTCGCTGACGTTGCGGCTAAGCACGGCGATCTGCTCGATGCTGCGGTAGCTGTTGAAGTGGCGCATGAGCTGTATGACGGCCTGCAGCAGGCCGGCGCACTCGCGGTACTGCCTAGTGCGGGCCAGGCCGCGGAGCTGCTCGTAGGCCGTCGTCAGCATCTGCAGGCGCTTGAGGGCCGTCATGCTGTGGGTCAGGTTGCGCTTGGTGCCGTCGAGGCGCTTGATGTCCGCCGTCATGGTTGTAATGTCTCGCTCCGTCTGCAGGGCGCGGTGGCGGACGCTCTCGATGCGCTGGAACAGCGTGGCCAGCTCGGCCTGGGCCGACTGCATGCGCTCGAGCGACGAGTCGGGCCCGTAGGCCTGCGCCGTCTCGAGGGACGCAATGGATTGTGTGAGCTCATGTTTGTGGCGCTGCAAAGTCGACGAGACACGCCCAACTGACGACACGGTCGACGGGTGCGAGAAGAGGAGATTGAGATGCGCGATGGGGTTGTAGTCCACTACGGCGGCCAGCGTGTCAGCGTGAGGCTTCACGAAACGGGAGGAAAGGAAAGGAATTGTGGGCGGGCTTACCTGAATCAAGCGACAGAGGCCCTGCCAGCATGCCGTTCATTGTATAAAGGATGGTAAGTAGTGCGAGTTCGCAGTCGGGAATCTCTCAAGAGGCTGCTAGCAGGCTGTCACTTCAGGTATGTACGTCGTTGTAAGCATTGCGTGCACCGCACCTGGCGGCGGTGGGATCCAAGGTAAGGTGTGTAGATCAATACAGGTGTGGATGCCACAGCTACCGAGTGTGGGAGAAAGTGGACCGCCTCAGCCAGACAGCTTCGAAACCCCCCGCCAAGCCCGCCAGGTGAAGAGCCTTAGGTAAGGTGAGCCCAGCGAGACGAAACCCTGCAAGCGCAAGCCAAGCCACCACCCACGGCGAAACCTATCTGTCCTAACAGTAACTTACATAAGGCAAGGAACTGAGAATGGAACACCCGCAAACGACTCGGAAAGTTTCGGCCCCCCCAAAAGCCACCACTGCAACGCTGTCTGTCTGTCGAGTTGTTTGCTGATGAGCTCTATTAACAACTGTAAACCTGCCTAAAGACAGAGGCAAGCAAGCAATCAATGTTAGAAAGGAAAGAAGCCTCAATCAGGACAGATCAACCATACTAAGTAAGGCATCTCTCTAATTCGAATTCAACTAATCCCTACTGAGTACCTGCTGTATCTTACTTAGTCCTTTCTTTTAATTATCCGTTTTATTATCCGGCGTCAGGTTCAGGTCCAAAAATCACCTCTCAATTCTGTTCGAGCCCAACCTCGGGATTGCGGATCCTGCTGGCTCACCATGTCATCCGTACCATGAAAAAAAAAGCTCGCCCACCTGCAAGTTGCAACAAAAAGTTCCCGGCGTATTCGCTTGCAGCCCTGATTGTCAAACTACATATCTACCTCATGTACAGATTACCGGCATCGTTTCTGGCAAGGTCTAGTGTATCATATATGCAGGCAGACAGCATTCTTTTCTTTTGTGTCATGGCAGGATCGGGGCTTACATCGGCCAGCATCGTCTTGGCAACTCTGGCTTTCTCAAACGTGGCAGACAGCTAGACCCATGTCATGGCTGCGTCTTCAATCCGCAGCCTACCCACCCACCACCACCCCCAGATACCTCTGCGTCTCGTCTCGGGCAGCAGTCGCGCCTTGGTAGGCAAAAGACCCCAATAATCCATTAGGTTTTCTCTTGGGCTCACCGTCGTCGTGACTGTGTCTAGTGTCTAGTGTCTCCTAGTAGTGCCCTCCGTCTCCGTCATCTCAGCTGCAGCTGCAGCTTGACCCCCCGTTCCTGGGGCTTAGTCCAGCATACGAGGAAACACGTCATTGATGGGGGATGAGACTGAATCTCCGAGAGAGTGGGGGAAAGAGCCTAACGTCAATCCAAATCAAATCTTTGTTCTACCTAGTACTCCGTGCTTGGTGTTGCGCCAGCGCGCTGCCAAAGTCACCCCCTGCCGAGAACTGTACCCCCAATATACCTGACGCCGTCTTTCTACCTGTGATTATACATGTGTGGGTTGCCCCCCAACCCTAGTCCTGTTGGTGTCTTTTTTTGGGCTTTGCTTCCTTTTTCTCGGACAAAAGAAAAGAATGGAGAAAGGAAAAGGGGGAAAAAAAGAAATAAAAATGCACGGGACCTGAAAAAGGCACCAAACAGATACCGAAGGAGCATGCAAGACACCGTGGGTTGCCAGGAGGAAAACGCCGAGCCGCCAGATCGGTCCCCTAAAAACCCCTAGCAGCGCGCCATGCAAGGAATCATGCGTGCTCTCGTGCCCAAAGACTCCTAGGTACTCCGGTACCTTGCCCATTTTTCACCCGTCCACCAGACTGTAGCCAATGAAACGCCCAACTCCCACATCATACCGGGCCTGGCCATGCGTGGCTCAAGGCCGGAAAGGTCCAGAACCAAGCTCATGTCGACACGGATATCGTACTCTGCACTGCCGTCTCTGCCGTGCTTTGGGTATCATCGCCGATCTTACCCTCAGGAGCTGTGCAGCGCTCGAAAGCCCGCGGTTATCAGGCTCCTCTTGGAGTCCTTGGCGTCAGAAGGCGCGCTCCAGTAGCATAGCCCCTATCTCATCGTAGTCTTGTCAGAATCGACCGGGCAAAGCGTCATAGGACAGCAGGAAAGAAGGGGGCCAATGGAGCCCAGGCTAACTCACCCCAAGACTCTTCTGCTTGCAGAAAACAGCTTTAATTTTCACAGTGTCGGGGTTGTCATACGTGACGAACCCGCCGTCTCCACCAACGCATTGTGCTGCAACAGCACGTTTGTCGACTTGCTCCTTGGTCCCCCTCCTAGGGAGTGTGTTGTACTCGAAGGACCCCTCTTCCCCTCCAGTGGCACGGAATTTGTGGCCGGGGCCGGTCACGCCGAGAAAGCTCCTTCCAAAGAGTGGGATACCAAGGAGTATCTTTTTGGCTGGAACGCCAGAGGCCATTAAAAACTGCACGCCCGAAGATCCCGACGGCTCGTCCTTGCTCATTGCGTAGAGCTGGGCTTGGTGGCCACTCCGGATGGTCCAGGGGCCGAAGAAGTCATAGGCCATCAGGTTGATGACGTCCAGATACTCAGCCGCCCCGCGGCAATCGATGTTTTGCAAGATTGGTTTCGCCGCCGGGAGGGCGGCCGTGAGCAAATAGCGATCCTCGGGGAGGTGAATGCGGATTGCGGCCAACAAGGCCAGGAAGTCGTTGCCTTGTTGGGGCGAGCATGGGTATTCCCAAACAACTAGTTCCATCAGCGGCTGTCCACTCACATGAAGATGGATATTTCATTGGGGGTTGTGCGTGTGTGTGGGGGGCAGATCCGAAGGGTCATCTTCCATCTATTGGTCATTGAGTACTGGGCAACGGGGACTGGGCAGGGGACTGGGCAATGGGAAAAGGAAAGGGGGGTCCCACTGTCGATGCCATCCAGGCCAGACGCCTCTACTAGGCCGCGGGCGGACCGGGCAAAGTTGTCTCGCAAGATGGTATTGGCCGCCACAATAGGGAATGTCTCGGAGGACGCGCCGCCGCCAATGGATAGAACGACTTGGAGATGAGGATATCTCTGTTTGAGATGCATCAAGGAGCCCAGGGCACCTTGGACGCCATCGCAAGGCGCCGTAGCATCGGCCCACTCGTCGCTGAGCTAGCGGGATGTTAGTCAAGGCAGGGAGAAATCTGGGCTTGAATTGACTCACAAACACTCCTCCGTCGGCCGTCACGTTGGCGAAGGCGTAGTAGACACGGTTGATACAGCCGTAGTTGAGGGCACCGGGAGTGTCTCCGTTGTAGAGCCTGTGGTTTGGCCAGTAGACGGCATTGGTGTACATGACATTTGCAGCGCTCGCAATGCGTGACTTGCGCGAAGAAGGGGAAGTGTTGGTCATGATGGTTTTGTGGATGGATATATAGCTTGATGGAGGTAGGTAGACAGGCAGGGGGCAGCGGAGCTAGTTAAGAGAGGCCGTGAAGGTGAAGATCGGAAGTTGTGGGGGTTGAGAGTACCGAGAAGACAAGAGAGATCGTGGTGTGAAGGTAGCCAGGCTCACTTAAAAGCCAGACGACAGAGTAGATGATGCCTAGAGGATTTGACAAGAGGCTTGCGCCAGCTCATGTTGAGTGATGTGTTCGCTCGCTGGTCGGGCATCAAGGATGGGGGAGGGAGGCAGCTCTAGACCATGCGCTTTATACATGGTCTGATGCCGGACGGGAAGCTTGCAGAGCCTTTGGGACGGTGATCCGCCAACCACCAAAGCTGGTGGAGCTAAAAAGGGAAACGGGCATCAAGACCACATTGGCCGTGTCCATGGGGGGCCCAAGACTTGGCCACAGGGTTGCTGCTGTATGACAGACATACTTTATGCCTCGATCTAGCAACAGGGCATGCCCGGGAAAACAAGGAGGCATCTCAAAGACTAACAAGGGTGCTAGAGTGGACAAATGAAGTGCCCCGTCATTGTCAAGAAAGCAGACCCAAAAGAGCAGAAGCTAAGGGGGAGAGAGTAGTGTGCTAGGGCAAGAGGCGAGGCCGGAGACGTTAGCTTTTGGCTAGTAGACGCCTAACGTCCGCTACCTTACGGCAGTTGATGATCGAAGGCGGTACCCTCAGATCTGATCATAGCAACTAACGCTGCCAGCCATACCATGCCATGCCATGCCATGCCATGCCGTCCCATGCATCGTCCCGTCTTTCGTGCCTCACTCACCGTGGTCGCTTGAACACTCCGGCCCAATCGGTCTTTTGAGTTTCGTCTGTAACCTGTCTGTGCCTCGGGCGGAGAGTCTCTGTTAGACGGGAGGTCCGGCAAGGTGCGGCAAATACATGGGAACCTCAGTGCTTCAAATATCAACGCTATAAATGGAGACGGGTCTCTGCAGGAGAAAAAAGTCACTGGAGATAGGCGTCAGGCCAAAGAACAGCCAAGGAACCCGGGAGGAAGCGGGAAGAGCATGTTCCAAGGCCATCTTGGCGCTCTCTCAGCCCAATCTCGTCTAAGGACTGCCCGCTTCCGCCGCAACCTCACCTGCCGTGTCCCGAGGCTCAATCGCCGGACCGGGGTACGTATCGGAGAATTAAGTAAGTGGTGTAAGTAGTTTGTCGAGCCACAGGCAGGGAAGCGAGCGGCCTTCACAGGCGCAGCAATGCTGTGCCTACATGGTTTGTCCATCGCCGCATACCGGTATACGGCCCAATCGTTTGCCAGATCGAAGAACCAGGAGCCTGGTCAAGACGATCGGAGCGGCTCCTGGGCGATATCGGGAGGCAACAGCGGGCGGGCAAGGGGTTCAGTCAAGGCGGGGCCGGCTCCATCCCAGTTGCGAGCATGGGTGGTGACGATGCAAACTGCGGCAGGGAATTGCGGTTTGAGGCAAGCCGAGAAAGACAGAAGGGGCCAAGACGGCCTTGGTAAGTTTCCAATTGCTTTATCGGTCCAGGTTTTTTTTTTTGAGTTGCAGTAGTAAAGAACAAATCTGCAGCTCTGTGTCAAATTGTTGGTGGAGAGGCAAGGCGTTCGTTCCTTCCACTTTGATAAACATGGAGCGCCGAAATGACTTGAAGTGGTGAGGCACGAGTTAGGTTGCCAAATTCAATTGAGGGCAGTGACTTCCCGCGGGGAAACATGCCCTGGTGTTTCTTCATCGAAGTCCTCAGTGGGCCGGGTTTAGGCTTCAATTCTAGAAGAAATTCGATGCCCAATTAAAATACAATTCCTGATTAATCGTTAGCGCGGCACGGGTTTTGGCATGTATAATGGGCCTGGGAAATGGAAGCTTTTACTGTACAAGGGGATTTATTAGGAAGAGATGAGGTATGGAGGTCTTCGGGACTCTACATCAGGGGTTTAACAGCTCCCGCCCCACTCAGAAAAAAAACAACCAAGGGCGGTCCGCAAGTAAGGTCGGGTAGATAGGAAGGCCTTTCACGTCTTCGAAGGTCCCACGTTAACATGGCCCAGAGATTGGATTGTAGGTATCCGTATCCGTATATTGATGGAAACAACGTACAAAACTTCAGGTAAGTAACCAAAAGTTCAAAGCTTCAGGGGCTTCGAGTTTGACGGAATTTCGACGCCCAATATCTTCTGATTCAGCTCCTCTGGGCGGACTTCGCAAGCTGGCAGCGAGCCGGGAGATGAAGACTTGTGGCTCGTATTCTGATGAATTGGCTCTGCACGGTTGATCGAAGGGTGGGAATGCAGCCCGACTGTCCGAGGCACAAGCACCAGAGTCGAGGAAGATGCGGAAGAGTTATGTAACTCCCATTGATAAGGACTACCGAGGAGGAGAGGTGCCAGTCCTGTTCTGGCGCGACAAGGGTGTTTTCCTTGGCCTGCAAGTCATCGATTGATCCTAGACGACGCGGCACAAGGATGTCAAAGAGTGAGGCGAAAGTGTGGGGGACAAGTTCTTTTTCACCCACGCAAAGCCACGTCTTGGGTCGGGTCGAGAGGCAAGCCGCTGGCAATGGAAGCCGCTGCCTGCGGCCTTGTTGGATACCAGCGTTCAGGTACCGCATGCTGTACTTCCACTCGCCCATGACTCCCATCGCTCCTCATCGCGCTACCCCGGCCACTAACGCAGCCTGCTAATTTGAGATGCAAAACTTATAAGGCAGCGATGCTGCTTGGGGCGCCACCGAAACCTTAACTTCAAGTCTCGATTCAATCCAGAGCCCTAGGCGGCCACATGGAGCCATCCCACACAGCACACGACCTGGCCTCTCCGGCCACCAATCGGGCACGCAGCATCCGGCCCCGAGCGTGAGCAATTAGAGGGGGGATCGGGTTCACCCTCCATTACATTCGATACGACAGCATATGGAAGCAAAACTGGCCGGGACCTCGACTCATAGGGTCGCGGCAACACGTGGCCATCAGGAAGCTCCAAGTCTCTTTTCCTCCCCCCCCCCCCCCCCTTCCCTTCCCTTCCCTTCCCGCTCCTCCTATGGGTAGCATGGGCTACGAGCGGGCTGATTGCAACTCTGAACAATCTAGAAGCGTGGTTAGAGGAGGCAGGTAGTACTGGACTCCTGTACTTCCTGCTACCCTAAGACTCCTCAGGCAAAGATAATCACAACACAGTCAATGTTAGCTCGGAGTCCGGGCTGGCCGTGATGGTGTAATTCAGAAGCGAGCCTCTGTCAGTCCACCCGCGCCAACCCAATTCGGCTTAAATTCTTTTCAAAGAAGGCCCCCGTCTCCGGGTTTGACCGAGGCGATGACAGCTCAGCTCCGCCTCCGTCATATCTAACATGCAGGTCAAATGGGTTGCAATGTCCCGAGTTGAGAGGATGAAATAATGATTCTGCCTCGCCGGCAGCAAGAACTCTCGCAGAAACTAGCCAACGGCACAGGTGAGTTGACGAACCCACAGAGTACCTTGGCAGAGAGTCTAGACGGCCAGCTGCCATGTCCCGGTGTATTTGTTCGCGGAAGTCGTCTTCACTTCTGTCGAGGCGCAAAAGAATGAAAGGAACCAGGGTTAGGTGCGGCGGGGGTAGCTACCTGATATATGCTCCGTCAAAGTCCAATGATTGGCCATGTCCCTAAAGCTATGATAGCTCTGGGGAAACATCGAGATGTTCGCGCCTCGGGAAGGGATTAGTAGAGCCCCGCTCCTTGAGGACAGGATAATCTCAACAATCACCCTCAATCTAACAACCTGAAAGCTTTATAATGGTATATTATATCCCTAAATGTTTATTAGCGTGGTACTTGAGAAGTAAAAGAGAGAGAATAACAAACAAAGCAGCTAGTAAATGTCTTGAATAGTCTTTAATAGACATTTGTAGAGAATGGATAAACCTCTAGGATTCTAAAATAGGGATTTAAATAGTAATTACCTCCCCTAGCGGCACCTTTACGGCGGTCGTAAATTACCAAGGCCCTTTAGATTTTGGAAACTCCCTCGCTAATAAACATTCAGGGATTCCACTGTTAAAAATGGCCACTCAGTCCAGTCCAGAACGTCGATCCACGCCCCGCCTCTTCTCCATGAAGGGATGGACCCGAGCTGCTGTCGCCGGAGGCGTGTGCATGCAGGGGCGTGAATAAGCAGCGAGTAGTGCGTCTGTCTTTATACCTAGCAAAAGTCCATAGGCTACCTAGCAGTCGGTAATCCTCTTGTATACGACTGATAGACCTTGGTTTTCTCCCTCTAGCTAGAACGGGAGGCTTGCAGTCAAACAAGCGCACGCAAAATCTAGCGAGGTACGTACGGAGAAGGCAACCTAGCGATGAAGCCACTAGGCGATGAACTAAACACACTTGTAAGCCACCGAATCTGGAAGCACCCACGTAGTGGGGCTGATAACTAAATCGACCCCTCGTCGCCTCGCTAGTGATGCGGTAGCCTGGTGCATTAACGGCCTACGTATGAGCCATCCAGGGTCAGGAACCTTCCATCTTCCCGCAATCGCTCCAGCAATTCGGAGAAGCAGCAACATCGAGCGCTGAATCTTAGCATTCAGACCTACGGATCGAAGTTGCGAATTCTCATTCCTACCACCCCAGAGACTCTTTACCTACCCTACCTTGATTTTAGTCTTCTGGGACCGCCTTTCACGCCGCAGGAGGGCAGCAGACGTTAAAACCTAACCAACTTCAAGTCTCCCCGCCCCCGCCCCAAGTCTCGCCGTTTCCTTCTCACACCAGTGCGCACTCGCCGATCGATCACCAATCACATCCATCGCGATAGTCCGAGACGGCCTTCCATTGGTATTGTCATAGCCCGTCGCAATATCGAGTCCACTCCAGCGGCGCGACCATGGCCGATAACTCTGAGCCGGCCGCCGAGGCCCAGCTTACCTTCAAGGTGAAGAGCTCGAGCGACACGACGCACACCATCACGATGGCGGACACGGCTACCGTGCTGGACCTGAAGACGAAGCTTGCTGGGTCCGATTTCGAGGATGTCCCCGTCGAGAGACAGCGTCTGATCTACTCTGGGCGCGTCATGAAGAATGACGATGCGCTCAGTGTCTATAAAATCAAGAACCACAACACTATCCACATGGTCAAGAGCGCCGCCAGCAATCCCACCCCGGCAAACACGGGCTCCTCGTCGGCCCCCACCCCGCAGGCCGTTCCCATCATGGCAGCCGGCACCTCGGCCAACAACCTTCTCGCCGGGCTCACGGGCGCTCGATATGCCGGCCATGCCAGCCTACCTAGTCGAGACCTGTTTGGTGCAGACGGAGGGGTGAGTTTACACCTGCACATACGTGCACGCACATAGAGAGACACGCATGCATATTACGGGCAGAATCCGCTAACTGAAACCCCCGGCAGATGGGCGCACCCCCGAGCGAGGATCAGATGGCCGACATGCTAGCAAATCCCGCCGTCGCCCAGACCATGAACGAGGCGTTGAACAACCCTATATTCGTCGATCACATGATACAATCGAACCCTATGCTGGCTAATATGCCCAACGCTCGCGAGATGCTCCAGTCGCCCTATTTCCGAAGCATGATGACAAACCCAGACGCTATTCGCATGGCGGCAAGAATGCGGAGGATGATGTCCGGCGGAGAGGCTTCGGCCTTCCCGGCCCCGGGCGTGACAGACACAACCCCCGATGCGGAAGGCACGGCCGCGAGCGGAGGCGATAACAACATCCCCGCCATGCCCCAGATGCCCTTCCTATTTCCTGGCATGTTTGGCGCCCCCGGTGCCCCCGGTGCCCCTGGCCCCGCCAGCAGCGGCGCATCTAGGCCCGGAAATCCCTTCGCTAACCTGTGGGGAGCCGCAGCTCCTCAGACCAGTGCTACTACTGGCGCGGCAGCCCCTGCGGCGTCAGAGAGTAGAGATGCGCCAGCGCCGGCAGGCAACGCTGGTGCTTCCCAACAACTGCCTAACCCATTCACAGCCCTGTTTGGCGCCGCCCCGGGCCGAGGCGGCAATAGCTTCGGTGGTGGCAATAATGCGGCCAACCCGTTCGGTCTCCCGGCCATTTCGCCAGAGGCCATGCAGCAGGCAATGCAAATGTGGGGCATGGGAGGTATGGAGGGCTTGACGTCGCCGGCAGCCGCCGCACCACAGGACACTCGACCACCGGAGGAGCGCTACGCCGAGCAGTTGCGCCAGCTCAACGATATGGGATTCTTTGATTTTGATAGGAACATTGCGGCTCTCCGTCGTAGCGGCGGCAGTGTACAGGGCGCGATTGAGCACTTGCTCGGCGGTTCATAACGGGGGAGAGGAGGGGTGACAGGAGAGAGATTGGGAGAGAGAGATTGGGAGAGAGAGATCTGGGGGGGGGAGAGCAGTGGAACATGGGGAGACCTTGCGGAATGACGTGACATGGCAAGCATTCTTTTTGTCCTCTTTTTTTATTTTCTTGAGCAGACCGCCCCCTACTACCTACCTACCGCCTACAGAGCTATGTAAAGTTAGCACAGAGAGAGGGATAGAAAGGGGAGGGGTAGGAAGCAAGGAAATTTAAATGCCAGAAAATAGGTCGCCAGTTGTTTTTTTTCTTTGGTCTGTTCGTTGAAAGCTTCTTTCGGTGCGGGAGGGGCAGGCAATCATGACAGCGCCATTGCAAGGAAGGCGTTCTTAGTCGGCAGGAAATTGACACAGCGCCATTGCAGGGAGGGTGTTCTTAGTCGGCAGAAAATTAACACTCGGCAAACCATTTTTATGCACATTCTTCTCTCTACCTCTCTCTCTCCGTGTGCGTATATGTTGAGGGGCGAGACTTGAGAGGCCAGTTGATCTACATAATCTCGTGAGCGTCTTGCCGTTGCTGTCTTGCCTGCCTGCCTGTTTGCTTGCTTGAGACAATCATGCAAGAGCGTTGCTAGGTATTGTACATGGAAACAAACACTATCTTCGCTTGACATGTATGTATGTACTGACCTAACTAACAATGTGTATAGATAGCCTAATATGTTGTGTGTGTGTGTGTGTGTGCTTTGGGGGGCGGAGGGACGTCCTCACATTATTTGTGTACCCGGGCATTTGCGGATACAAAAAGGGGCTTCCTTCGCATGTATCCGTAAAATGAGTATGTTTGTTTGTTCAGTATTGCTATACAACATTGAATTTCCCGTCTCCCCGAATACTGTCCGGAACTATACGTAGCTCGTCTTTGGAGGTTAAATCTCTCAAGATGCTCGCCACTCTACTTTCTAACGCCGTGACGCTTGACGCCTAGTAGTCAGTGCCTCTCTGTTGGTGAGCGCTCCATCGCTTTTCTTGCTGGGGTTCTTCTAGACTGTCGGGTGGCTTGTCGCATACGATGGTGCGCAAGGAGAGCGTCGACACGTTCGGCTTGGACTCCTCTCTTTTGGCCCGGAGCTGGGGGGTAGGGGCCGTCCCGGCCGGTTGTTTTGGGTACGTACTTGGCGTGCCGACCTGAATGAACGGGCCCAATCGCCGACGTCCCCTCGGGGAGGACGGGCACGTCCCCGCAGGCTGCAGCAACATCATCCCTTGTTGGACTAGGTACCTACTAATAGCAACACGGCCCTCGCTCTCGTTTAAAAGAAGAACTACCCTGTCCAAAAAGCTGGGTCTGCTGCTACTATTCCTTCACAGAGTTTCGCCCATCATGGCCGGTCCAGTCGGTGTTCCAGGCCGAGAGCACGCCGCCTATGTCGAGTCCGTTCGGTCCCAAAACTGGGTCAAGATGCAGGAAGCAGTTCAGAAAATCCGCCAAATTTACGACGCGGGGACGCCTTTCTTCAACAAGGACGCTATGCGGCAGATCGTGCTGCAGATCGAAAACGTTGAAAGTGGCAAGCCCGGGAAGGTCTCTGTGACGGGGCTCGACGGCACCATTGTCCAGCTCACTGTTAGGACTGGTCAAGTTGACACCGACATAGGAGACCCCGACGTCGAGGAGGTCTAGTATGTGTTTGTCTCTCCCAGTTCTTTCTGACTTGCGTATTGGTCTGTGAATACCTCTAGGATGGGATCACGGGGCTCATACCACGACTACCTACCTAGCACAAAAGCCCACTTGGGTTATCACACAGTCGACCACCTCACGACATTTGACCACCCGGTCAGGTTTCACCCCAAACTTGCCTATCTCCCATTGAGCATCACTCATGTGACAGAATGCCGCAGCGCCAGAACCAAGTCTCCCATCCGCCAGTGCCCGTACCTATCCCCTGCACAAGTCAGCGAGAACTTCCAGCAGGACAGGGTCGCGTGGGAGACCAGCAAGACGTGCGACGAGCTCAAATCGCTCCTAGCATCGGCCGGCCTCCCCCCATAAAAAGATCGTGGCCTTTGCCTGCTCCAGCATGACGTGGAACGACGGAGCCAGCCGCCGAAGCACTGTGCAGCACGCCCTGATTTCCATGGCTGATATCAGTGTCGACGAGAAGATCACAGAGAAAGAGCTAGATTGGGGCTTTGATGCGGCTGAAGTCTTCCTTATGGGGGCGACTTTCGGGCATTGTAGGTGGTATCTTTGCTAGGTGCTTTTCTCTATCCATTCCAACCTGGCTAACAACAACAGGTCATAGAAAGCGGGAAAATAAAAAGATAAAAATAAAGATAAGAAACAGTTATTGAGGGGACGGTTTCTTATTTTTGCCTGGGCATAGGGGCGTAGAATCGCGAGGACGGTTGAAGAGCCGAGTTAGACTAACAATATGTGTCTTGGTCCCACCACTCTCCACAATACTATATCTGTGTCGAATGGATGCTGTAGCCTGTTTCCGTGTATCGCTCCATCCTATGGTGTTGAGGTACAGTATAGTACCTAGGTATATCCTAACAACCTGGCAAATGATTTTCCCTCTGGCCATGCCATGCAATGCTGCCGAATGATGTCTCGCCGAGTCAATAAACAGAAAACATTATATACAACCCATACTCAATTTTCGCCAGTTACCCCTTAACGCCGTAAATCATGCAAGACTCATGCCCTCCCACGCTTCTCAGCTTCGTACAACTCTCTCTTCATGTCCATGAACAGATCCTCAATCTGGTAAACCTCCTGTCTCGACAGCGCGGCTGTGCGCAGCTCGTCGAGACCACCCTGCAGCAGACTCATGATATTTTGCACACGGTCTGCTTTGTGCGCGTAAGTAGCCTCCGCTCCCCCAGGTCCCTCTAACTCGGGTCCAAGCATGTCCACATCCATCAACTCGGGCCCCGCCGCCTTTGTCTCTTCTAATTCGCTGCGGTTCCGGGACTCGAGCGCGATTTGAGACTGCACCTCGCGGTCATCTGACCCCAACCCATCGGTCTGCATACGGACGGCCTTGTTAGACCGCACAGGCTCGTCAGGGCTGAAATCCTCGCTGGGCATCGTCGAGAAGCAATCCTCGGAAGAAGCCCTCGTAGTCTGTTCTGCGAGCGTTTGGTGCAGCTTCCTGGCATCTATTGGCACATTTAGCATCGGAGTAGTCAACCCAATGGTTTCGAACCTCGTACCTTCGACTGGGACTGGCTGGCTGTCGGGCACTTCGTCGTCCGCCTCGTCGGCCTCGTCGGCCTCATCGGCGTCGTTGCCCTGCTTTCTCTTCTTGTTGCCAGTTTCGTGTGTCTTGGAAGATGCTCGTTTCCGCTTTTGTCGCTTGTCGCGTTTCTGTGGCTGCGAGCTTGGTACCTGAATTTCCGCCGTCGACGGCGTAGTAGATGCCGCAGAACTAGCTCTGGTACTCCTCGACGATCCCCGTGAACCGGGCCGCTTCTTAGGGTTGTCTCCTACGACAATGCAGTCTGCATCTGGGGGGTTGTGTGTCTTCTGGGATGAGACGGATGGCCGTCGGTATTCAGAACGGTCAAGCCTCCTTGTATCCAGCTCAACTACGAGTTTGAGAAAGCTCTTCTCGTCGACATCGCTGACTTGGGAAGACTGCCGCGGTGTCGTCCTCTTGCTCTCTCCAGTAGCAGCAACTCTAAGTCTCTCGGACGGTTTCGGGGTGGGTGGCAGAGGGCTGCTGGGCGCATCCATGAACACTTCATCATCAGACCTTGGCGTAATCTGGGGTTGCAAAAGCCGGTAGTATTTGCGAGGCGTCGTCGGAGTTCCTGCAGTCAAGATTTCCTGCGAGTTCGGTGCTGGTACCGGGTTATCCTTGATCACTTCACTCTCCAAATTCGCGTCTGCCCTCGCTATTTCTGGGTCTCCCATTTCCAACTCTGCTATTTCCGGTTCTGTTACTTCCAGCTCCGATGTTTCAACTCCCGTGATAGCAGCCTCGTTAGGGGCGGGAAGATCCTCATCGGCCTCGAAAGACATGGCTTCGTCATTGACGTCGTCCCGGTCAAGTGCCTCGGGCGCGTTCATCTGGCGACTTGGATTCGGAGATCCAGATATTGGTGACGACGAGAACTGCCATTCTTCAAGCAGGCTATGACTGGCCGACCTCGATCGTATTTCGGCCGCTAGTGGATTCCGTCTTGGTTCTGGGGGTGATGAGGGAGGGTCGTTCATATCATGATCCGGTATAAGCACCGGTTGGCCACGGCGCGGCGTGGGCGTTGATGTGACAAAACCGTCGAATGCATTCTCCGGCTCGGGAGTGGCGGCTTGCCGAAGTCGCGAGTTGTCTGGAGGCGATGGCAGCTCAGCTGGGATAATGCAGCCTGACTCCTTTGACTTGGCGCCCGGACTTGATCGTATTTCGGGAAACAGGGCAGCATTCTCCTTCTGTCGATCTCTAACCTCTTTCTGCCGGTCGGTCAAAACCTGGGATTCCAAATTCTCTTTATCAGGCGAAGAAGGCTCAATTGGAGCAAACTGGATCTGGGAATTGTCGTGTCGCAACTGAGGCGTTACATTAGCGCGGTTACCCCCCTTAGCTTTTAGCTTAGGGGAGAAGGCCAACTGCCGTTGAACTGGCTTCTTTTGCTTGCCAGAATCCGGTGTTTTGGTACGAGAGGCGGGGCGGGGAGTGCCCTTCTGGCTGGACCTCGTCGAAGGCATCTCCGGCAAGCTGAAGTCGTCGAGGGAGTCAATAAACAACGGTTGTTGCCCAACATGCTCTGCGCTCGACATTTCCAGACCAGGCAGGACGATGCCTGTGTGCGACTGGATCTGTCCAAGCGCCGTCTTGAGGTGTTCCGGGTACTCTAAATGCTCGACATTCTGGAACAACTTGTTCCACAAAGACACACCAGAATTGACAAAATACAGATGGCTGGACTGGAAAGAGGCGCAGAAGACGCGCTCAAGAGGCTCGAGTTGCTGGTCTGGGTGCTCGATCACGGCTATAATAGAGCATATCTTATCCCAAAGAGACTTGGTCGCGGCAAGTACGGGGCTAGGCTGATTGCCTATAGCTCTATTGCAGTCGCAAATCCAGGGAAGAAGCCCGTCCTGGAGAGCAGTCAACGTCCTCATGAATAGCTGGCGGTTGCATCGTTCAAAGAACTGGCAAATCTCTTGAAGGAGACGAGCAGCTACCTCTGACTCGGCAGGACTAGGCTGGTTATACATGTACGCCAGAGCTTCGCTGGCTGCCTTGTATAGATTGTCGAATGTGTCAAACGACGCTGAGCGAGACCCGGCTAGAGCAGTACCCCAAAGTCGCCGTCGAGCAGCATCCACAGCTTGCCGGTCGTGTGGCTGCTTCGCAGCGGAAACTAGCTCGATTGCACAAATAAGGCTGTTCGCCGATGTGTTGGCAGCCCCGACAAGAGCAAACTGGTCGGGCAAAATCTTTGCCAAGGGTTCGATTGCAACAATGGCGACTCCAGCATCGCCAACTTCGTCTCGCACCCGTTCGACCAACAAGTCAAACAAGGACTCCCAGTGGTCCCAAGGAAGACTTGGTGTTGATCTGATACCACGCTCAAGGACTTTGACGACATCGCGGTATTCGTGGCCAATAGGAGTCTCACTCCCCGATATGTTTGAATTGTGACTGCTGTGGCCAGGTTCCAACCAGCTGGCAATTTTATTGGCAACTAGCAACCATGGTCCGTAAGGTCGTGGCGCTTCCATTGGGATTGCTGATAGCAAGTCTTGAGCGAGATCCATCTTTGCCTTGTCGCTCTTTAGATTATTGAAGAAAGGGGCAAAAACGGAAGCGTAAAAGTCGGCAAAGTCCTTGTCGTCTGCGACGCCGGGGGGGAGAGATGAGAGTGCCGAGAAGAGAGAATATAGGGGCGCCTTTGTGAGGGCCTGGTTCTTGCCAGGCTTTTCGGTGAGAGGCAGGAGACCAAGGGCGTTGATCATGATCTCCACGAATGCTCGTGCCGCGAGGAGGAAGTTGACAACGCTTGACCCAGCGTCCTCGCAAGGTGGCAGACCGCGGTTCCATACTTTTTGCAGAGCGCCAAGAGCCTCGGTCACGAACTGGGTTGTATCCTTGGACACCTTGATCTCTTTGGACGCTGCAGAAGCAACAGTCGCAACTAGGTTCTTCCAGAGTCGGTAGGTGGCGCTCTTGCTATCGGCCAGCGCAAGAAAGTCCCTTTCTAGGATGGGTTGAATGGTGGCGAAGACTCTATCGGTATTGCGCCTGACCCACTTCGAGTCGAGTGCTGGAAGCTCTTCTGGCTTTACTAGGGAGCCCTCTACTATGCGGTCTTCTTTCCATCTCCGCGGCGTCGTGCAGTCGAAAAGGCTGCCAAGAATAGTGCTGGCATGACGAAGATTGTCTTGGCCAGATTCAACTGCCGGATCAAAAACCCTCGCAATTACGGGCTTGACGCTGCTATCCCAGTATCCATCCAGCAGGGCCGGGGCGGTTTGGGGCTTGAAAGTGTAATAGAAGAGATTGCAAATCCCGCCAAACACAACGTTCTGCAGCTCCTCTGAGGTTTTGGCGGAGGGTTTGCCCGCGCTTTTCCGCCTCAACTGGGTTATCAATGGCTTGGTGAGATTGACGACGTTTTTTCGGAACGTTCGCTCGTCCAAATGCATCAGGTAGACGAGCCGGCTCCAGGCTTGGTGGGCATGTATTTTTGTTGCCAAGTCGGCGGTGTTGAAGCAAGACTGGATAATGAGCAGCCACGGGTTCATGTACTCTAACTTGTACAGCGGGACACGGAGCATGAGGATGACCACGCTCCAGATCGGAGGGACGGTAGCCGAGTTGTTCTTGTCCTCGGCCATGGACTTTAACCTCTCTTCGTAATACTCGATATACCGCTTTTCTTCCGAGACGTGGTTCAACACCTCCATGACCTTGCGCTGCAGCTGCTTTTCGTGACCAATGCTAAAAGCCGCCTCCAGGCCCAGATCAATGGCCGAGGAGCGGATCTCTTTGATGGTGCTGAGCATGTCGGTGAACAGGTCAAACAGCCAGTCCGAGTGAATAACCATGAGTGACCTGGCTTGCTTGACTAGGTTCTTGTATATGAGGACACGGGACATGATGATGCTCTTTCCCGTCACGTGGTTCTCGATGTTGTGCAGCGTAGCGACTAGCCTCCCTACGCGGTCCGCTGTCATGACTTTGGCCGAAAAGTTTTGCCACGCTATTACCTGCATTAGGTGTCGCGCCACGTCTTTAGGGATAGATGGATCCTCAAAGGAACGGATGCAGTGGTCGACAATGAAGACGCCAAAGTCGTTGGTGAAGGTGGACGCGATGGCGGAGAATCCGAGGAAGGTGATGAGCAGGTTGAGAGCATGATTGACGAGCGACGAGTCGATACCGGCCTCGGGTGTCCTGGAGACGATGTCCCGTTGCATGAACTGCAAGAAGAGTCCCATCTTCGCCTGGAGAGCAACCCGGTCGGGCAGGTTGTTGGAAGCCTTACACGCGCGCGTCAGCATCATGTAGGCATCCACCTTTGAGTCCCGATCGCCGCCGGCAAGCTGCTGAATTGTCGATTCCAACATGGCTGCCAAATTGTTGTTTTGGAGCAAAGGATCGCTATCGCCGCTGCTTGTCGAGCCGAGGGGGTTGTGCCCGTGGGCGGGAGGTTTGAGGATTGACTTGACGGGTTTGGAGGCACTTCGGGGAAGCGACACGGGTGTCGGGTGCTGCCTCCTCGGCGTCCCCTCTGTGTATATCGGCGGATCTTTGTATTCGGCCTGGGTAGAAAACTCGACCTTGCGCGCCCGCCGCGATGTCGAGTTTGTGGTGAGGGAATAGGTCGGGGAGTGGTTCCCCGGCGGGGTGTGGAGGCTCGAGGGCGTGTCGGCCGAGTCGGGGATGGGCCTGGACGAGAGGGCAGATAGGGCTAGGACCGAAGGCTCATGATGCGATTCTCGAGGCGGCGTCGGCGGCCGTGGTGGGAGGATGTCCAAGCGACTGGACATGACGGCCGGAGTCGACATTCTGCCCCGAGGGCAGAGCGCAAACCTTCCTTTGCCTAGACCGTCAAGGCCTTGGGCTGAATATGCATTACTAAGGACAGCACAAAGACTAGGTGTGGCAACCGGCAAACAGTGCCAAGGATTCTGAAATACAAAGACAAAAAAAAGATACGCAATGCGATGCGATGAAGACCGGAAAAGAGCGTGCGGTCCGTGTTTAATTGATTGCGATGCTGAAAACGCTGCGAGTACGGGCGGGTAGGTAGGCAGACACCAGCAACAGCAACGGCCTCTTCAGGGGTTTGATAGCGGAGTTAGCTTGGTTGCCGGGTCGGAGCAATTAAGACTTTTAACGCGGTTTCGCGTGATCTACTCGAAATTGGGCGCGCGTGGCCCGTTCACTCGCGTCGAGTCGCGCCTGCTTGCCGCCAACCCCAACCCCAACCCCCCCTCGTTTTTTAAGTGCAAGGCCCGTGCGAGACAGGGCAGGCCGCCTTTGAAGAAGACGGGACCCTGGTTGTCCGTGACCTCTGCCCTGTCTACGTATCCATAGTTTCCTTACTATGTACTTGTTTGGAGAACGTATACGGAATGCCTCATATGGAATATTCCTTATAGTTTCCTAGAGACATCGACAATTGATACGGGACGGGGTACATATACAGGTTGGTAGGTGTCTTATTCACCTGCCTAGAGTCCTTTGATCCACCTTTCTTACAAGTCATCCTGCCCAACCCGGATTGGGCACTGAATAGGTATCTTCTTTGAGCAAAAGAAATTATTTTGGGACTCGATCACCAGCAAAAAGTCATTGCAAGATCGTCAAGCGTGAATTCCGTATTGGAGATCGATCGGGAAGAATGGATGGATTCTGGGCCTCATTAGCGCCCAAAAAGGCCCACCGTGAGGAGGTGCCTTTGATATTCGAGCTCTATTAATTACCCCACACATGCAGCCATTTGTGAGCGTGAGCTAAGGTAGGCAAGCGGCGGCCAACCATTGCAAATCACACCTCAGCACCAGCATATTTGCGAGCAGATGCAGATAGCTGCCGGCGAAAACATTACGCTGCAAACATACGCTATAGAGTGGATCATCCGGAATCCTCATACGCACTCTGTCAACCCCTCCACGAAGGTCGGTTCGGAAGAGGATTCCCAAGCAGGTAAGTTGAAGCCATTCCCCACCCCGCACGCCTCAGTCTCTAGGCGGCGGCTGTCATCCATGCTATTCGATCCAACTTCCAACCGTATTCCTGAAACGTCACCTAATAGGCAGCCCTCCTCCAGTTGCTAGCAATCCGCATTCACAACCTCGCCTCGCAAGTCCCAAATCGCAAATTTGAGGAAGGATATAGGTCTTTTGTGTGTTCGCGGCAGAGCCGGACCTTCTAGAATATCCTTTCTCTGTCTGACATCTGCGAAACATGGCGCAACGTCGGCGTCCGCCAGGAAACCTTACCGGTCCTGGTGAGTAAACGCCGTATCAAAAATCTGGCCGGCTTGTAGCTGACAATGGTGCAAGGCAAGTTGGATGCGGTAACAGACCTCATGGACAAGTTGACCGAAGACCTCAAATCTACCCAACTCTCACCTCCCGGTTTGTTCCCCTTTCTTTAATACAATATCCAAGAAACAAAGAGTAAGAAAACCCCTCTGCCCGGGTGCATTGCTAAATATTATCGCCAGAACGAGATTCTGCGCTGGAGGAGCTGAAGCTGTATGGGCGTGATCCGAGAGATGCGCGTCCTATTTTCACCAACGAGGTATGGCATGGCCTGTTGCTGCACTTGCACCCCTCACGCTTCTTGACTGGAATTTCAGTCTGACCATGCGGAAGGGCATCGAGACCCTCACAAGACATGCCTTCGATAGCACCTCGGACACCACATGCAGAAATGCCCTCAAAGTCCTGTGTAATGCCTTGTTTCTCCGGTCTGAGACGCGCCAGATGTTCGTCGACCTGGGCTATGAGGCCAAGGCCTGCAGTAAACTCCAGAGTGGCAGCTGGAACGACGAATTCCTCGTGTCCAGACTCATCCTGCTCACAACCTACGAAACCAACATCAACCTTGTCAAACTCATTGACCAGCATCAGCTAGCCGATACTATGGTTCAGAACCTGGAAAGGCATGCGAAACGGCTCGATGAGAAAGCCGCCAGGAAGACCGCCTATTTTGATCCAATGGAGGGCATGGCACTGGAGGAGACGTTGAAACTCCTATTCAACGTCACCAACTTTTGCAGTGAGCGGGTGAGCAAGTTTGCTCCGGCCGTCTCGCATATTGTAACTCTGCTCTGCAAAGACGACATTCCGGCAACCCGCACGCCGCTCGTCCCTCCTTTCAGTCTCTTCATCAACGCGCTGGTGAACCTCGATCTCAGCAGCGGCCCCGCGCAAGCCGCGCTATTCCCCGCGAGCGAGCCTGAAGTCTCCGCGAACAGACTCATCGATTTACTCGATCTCGCGTTGAAGGCCTACCCGGAGAGCGAGCTCGAACAAACCACGAGTCCGTTGGTCTGCGTCATACTGAGCGTGTACGAACACGCACCGGACGCGGTCCGACGGGCCACTCAGGGCAGGCTGCTGCCGACTGAGGACGACCGGAAGAACGTGCTCGGCAAGGGAGACACGCTACCAGCGCGGCTGCTACGCAACTCGACCAACGCTCTGGCGCCGCAGCTCCGCACCGCCATCTCTCAGCTCTTATTCGACATGTCTGACAAGGACGCCACCAAGTTTGTCAAGAATGTCGGCTATGGCTTTGCGTCGGGCTTCCTCTTCCAGAACCAGATTCCCATCCCCGAGGCGGCATCAGAAGGCTATGATGTTAGCAGCGGCAGTTCCGAGGGCGCCAGCAGCAACATCAGGAAAGCTGTCAATCCAATAACGGGCCAGTTCTTGGATGCCGAGCAGAGCATCTCTGAGCTCCCTGAAATGACTGACGAAGAGAAGGAGCGCGAAGCTGAGAAGCTCTTTGTCCTGTTTGAGAGGTACGCCCCCCCCCCCCCCCCCCCCCTTTCTGTTGTTCACCCCGTACACAAACACGCACCCTTTCCCAACTGCCAACTGTAGCTGCTCGCTCACACGCGTCACTTGCCCAGATTGAAGAAGACCGGCGTCATGTCGGTTCAGAACCCCATCGAAAAGGCCGTTCAAGAAGGCCGCTTCGAGGAACTGCCCGACGATTACGAAGAGGACGGGGACGGTGATGCCACTACTAAAAAAGTTTGAAGCCTGAGACGGGAGGGCATGCTGACTCATTTGGCGCTCGGGGTCTGTCCAGAAAGCGAGGGGCTTTGGACACTGTGTTTCAGGCCGTTGGTCGAGCTATTAGTTATATCGCGGTATAGGGCTGTTTTGTAGGGGGCCGTCTTGATACCATAACGCGTTCCGCGCTGCGAAGTATAATTACCGATTACATGTTCATGGCGATACATGACACGTAGAGACTAGAGTTACATGCAATGAGTCATTGGGATGAGAATTCAGCGAGATATCGCCTGATGGTACGAGTCCAGGTTCTGTGGTATCTACTACCTCCTTACCTGCCTCCGCAGACGTGAGCACCCCAGCTGAGGTGTGCCGGGTCATTGCCTGTCTCTTCTGCCAAGTGTGTTTGCTTGAAATGAGCCACGAGTCAGGTGAAAGTCCAGTTAAAGTCGGCAGTACGACAACCAAGCGCCGGATGACTTGCGCCATATCACGGAGGTATTGTAATTTACGGATGATAATCAATCTTTTTTTATATCGGTATTCGCGAACACGGTGCTACACGCTCCGAGAAAGGCACCCTCGCCTACCTCTCCTTATTTAGTTTAGTACGGCCCTTTTATTAACCTTACGACTCTATATCGCTCCACTCAAAGACAAATAAGAATCTCTCCCCCCGGCGTCTCTTTCTTATATTCTTAACCTTTTATCCTCCTTATATTCTTCGTAATTATTCTAGTATATAACAACGCGGCGGCCGTACTTGATCCTTTATTCCGGCTACGTCTCCATCCGTCCTCGTCCTCTCTTATACCTCGCCATATCGATCGCGCCGCCGTTGTCGTCTATCCTTACCACCCGGAACCCACCCACCCCTCTGTCCAGCGTACCTCGGCGCGCTACTTGTCTTTATTCGTAATCTCGCAATACCTGCTATTTCATTTCGATGCTCGCTCGACTCTAGCTTTCGCTAGCCTACGCTGAGCGGCGAGGCTTGCCGTGTTGAGCCTTGCGCCTCCTCACTCGCGTATATATCATCTCCCGAGGCCTTAGTACCTAGCCCTTGTCCGAACCATTGCCGTCATACTTATCCTCATCGGTATCCATGCCCGCCTGCTTCTCCTCGGGGTATAAATGCATATGATGGGCAAGCCGGTCAAACAGCTCAAACTCCATTCTCTCAGCAGCCTTGGGTCCGCTCTAGATATGTCCTATAATGTTAGAACCAGGTGGGAAGTTGTGTTCGAAATTAGGCTCTCTAGCCCCTTCATGTTCGTGAGGACAGCTTGCCGGAAATACCATCGGAGAAGTGTGTCTAAAAGACGCTGCGGGTTATTAAGAAAACGAGCATCTAGAAGGTCCCTACGATACGCTCACCATCTCGCTGTGTTCTTACAACTATCCTAGATTTATATAAGATAATGTTAACGTTTCCCATTCTTGGAGAGTACTTATATCGGGGCTAATAGAAAAGTAGTCAAGGTCGAATATCATGTGTGTAGTGTCTCAGAGGAGCAAGCCATTCTGTACCGGATGGATCGTCTTGTAAGACCTCCGAGAAGGTAAGATGGTAATTTGGCAACTCCAACTCTACGTATTCCATTGATGTTCGTACGCAAGAGAGAAGATGTGCGTAGCCTCAAAACCTCACCAGAGACCAGACTCTTTATTTATATTTTCTTGCTTTATCACGACGTAACGTCCGTCCCGCTCTCGGATCAAGTTAGTATTATATTCACAAAGTAGTAGAATACATACCTGGACGGTGCCATCGGCTAGAACAAAATACCTCCCAGGCACCCGGGGAGGTAACCTTAATTTGCCAGCCCTACTAGGGGGTGAAGGCGGTGGGGCTTAGCACGCCTTGAGCGTGGCCAGGCGAAGCGCGGCTGACCAGTCAGAGAACGGAAGCCTCAACACATGGACTACACAAGTTCTCACTTCGCATCGCAACCACTGGCAGCTGGCTTTGGCCAAGGGCACGCCGAGTACCAATGGTAACACATACATTGTACCTTAGTCCCTCAATGTCTGCTGGTGGGGGACTATATGGAAGTCCTGCAAAGAATCCAAAAAGTGGTATTTTCTCTTACCAATAATGCCCTGGCAAAGGCTCTCCCAGGTCGACTTGCTTGTCAGAATCCCTACTACGCCATCCACGTTAAGTATCAGTAGTATACAGAAAGCTGAATTCTAGAAAGGAAAGCGGCGGAGCCCGGTTCCCAAGGGAAATCCCCAAGTCTCATAGTCCAACAATGACTTTCCTCCCAGGCAGCCATCAAACTTAAATCCCAGAGTCCCTGATCCCTCCCACCTACAACTTACCTACTACTACTAGTATATGCTAATACCTAGGCACTATAGTATTGGTGGCAGGTAGGCTCCACGCTCTAGTACTGGATGTACCAGGAGTAAGGGTATATCTGTGGGGGCCCTGAATAGTAGGCCGCTTGCGCCGTCGCCTGCGCATTTGCATATTGCATATGCATACACATAGCACGATTAGCCTCCCACAGCCTGCGTCGGTAGCGGTGGCGCTCTCGCTGATCCTCCCCCGACGAGTCCTCAGACTCCTCTTGTGCGCGGTGTTCCGCCTCGCGCTGCTGCTGATCATGGACCTCTTCGGCACGACGGGCCTCGGCACGACGGGCCTCCTCGGCACGACGGGCTTCCTCGGCCTGGCGCTGTTCCGCGGCTTCGCGCTCGCGGCGTTCGAAATACTGGCGGTTTGCCTCTTCGCGGCGCTCACGCGACTTCTCGCGACGCTTGTTCTCTCGCCGTTCGTCTTTAAGGGCCTTCCGGGCGGCTTGCTGCCTGCGGTGCTCTTGCATGATGCGATCCTTCTCGGTCTCCCACTTCTCCTTGGCCGCGCGCTGGATCTCGTCCTTGGTGACGTTAAGCCGCTTGACGGCCTCTTCGCCGCGGCGGATTTGGTTGTTGATTTCGCGCTGGTACTTGGCAAGCTCGTCTTGGTGCCCCTTGTCCCGGGCTTCGATGGCCTCGGCCGTCTCCTGCTGGATCTGGGCAAGCTGCTTCTTGAATTGGGCTTGCTTCTCGGCCAGCGTTGCCTGGACCTCTTTGCCAGCAGCCGTGTCATTGAGCGACATCCCGCCTTCCACCATGTCCCGCTGGATGTCGAGAGTGGCCCGTTTGTTACTGCTGACGATGTGCTGAACAATCTCCAGGGCAGACTCTCGGCCACGGTCCTAACGGAAGACACGGCTTCTATTCTGGATCATGTGTCCCTAGAGTTCGTCTTTTGTCTGTAGCTCAACCTCTCGCGCGTCTCCTATGGCTATGTCGGGCAGCATGCTCCAAATTGTGCTGGCTAGAACGATGTTGCCCAAGCTATCGTCTCCGACAAGTTTCTTGAACATGCGTAGATTTCGCATCCCTGAACCCCCGATCCTTGTATCTGATATGCGGTGGAGGTACACAATGCCCGACAGGCGGATCTGGTTGGTGTAGGTGCTGTTGAGCTAGTCCGAAATATCACGAAGGACATCGGTATCCGTCTTGTTGGTGTCGTCGAAGCTAGGCGTATCGATGAACCAGGCCGCCGAGCCATCTGGGAGGGTGCCGTGGAACTAAGCTACCGCTATGTTACCTACAATCTAGGAGAGACGAGGTCAGCGCTGCGCCATCATATGGGAACGAGGATGGGCCATTACAAGACTCCAACCCATGGCCGACGGCTGCCTCCGGACAGAAATGGCTGATGAAGGTCGATTTCCCAGACCCCGTGACGCCCATGAGAGCTATGACGACGTCTTCTGGGCTTCGCAACACAGTAAGTTGGACGAAGACTGCCATGGGCTGGAATGTTTTGCTTACCTTATCCTTGGCCCTTCCGCAGCAGTTGAATTCGTTTGATCCAGCTGGGAATCTTGAGGGGTTACGCGAGTAGCTTCGAGTGTCTCCCCCTCCGAGCTCCTATAAGCTATTTTAATAGCCCTCGGTGCCTTGTTCTCTAAGCTCCAACGGCTTGCTCTGGTGCCGTCGGATGCGTCGTCCTCTGAACTCTCACAGTCCGCCCACTCGCCGTCGCTGTCAGCACGCCGGCGCTCTACCCGCGCGGCTCTCTGATGGTCCCGCCAGTCCATGGTGGAATGTATTCAATTAGGCGCTTCCTAGGGTTAGAAGGAGCCATCTGAATAGCTTACTGCTTCTATAAGTAAGTCAAAAGTTCGCTTAGAGACGTGAACAGGATCCGGGTTGGAGCCTGAGACGGCCCCCCTTCAACTTGACGAAAGATAAGAGAAACGAGAACACCCAATACTAGGCTGTGCGCTGTGCGCAGCGGCAGAACGACGTTTCCTTGGACCGTTTTTGGATCTGGAGGTGTGGCGGCTGGCGAAGTGGTCGGTTGATTTATCCTCTTGGCCGCATAAACGAGGCTTGCGAGAATCGATTCGGTGTGACATTCCGGGCTGTGCCAGTCGGCTCCTCATTGCATCTAGCAGTTGGAACGTCAATGAAACAACGCCTTCTTTCCTCCCTGATGGTAACGATTCACCGAGGCCGGCTCGCCGTTTGCTTCAGGGCTATCCGAGACCGACCACAGCAGCTCAGGAGGCACCATGGGTTGCGGCCAGAGTACAATTCAGGGCGAGGCCGTCATTGCCGTGATGGGCATGACCGGATCAGGGAAGAGTAGCTTCATCCAACGAGTGTCCAAGAAGCAGACCGCGGCTGTTGGCCACGGACTTCAGTCCGGTAAGTGGCGGGTCCTCCTCTCGACAGTGGCTGGCAGCTGATCATGCCGCGAAGAAACCTCCGTCATGAACGAGACGCGGCTCACGTCCAGAGGCAGCAAGTACGTCCTCATCGACACGCCGGGCTTTGAGACACCATGCTGGGTCAGGATGAGGTGGCGTCCCGGATCCTGGAATGGCTCGTGGCGCACTTCGAGCAAGGGAGGGTTCTCGACGGCATCGTATATCTCCACTCGCTCAACAGCCCGAGGATGACGTACTCGACCAAGGCCGGCCTCCGCGTCTTTTGCAAACCCTGTGGAGACGATGCTTTCCACAAGGTCATACTTTGCACCACTTTTTGGGACGTCGTGCCCGCAGCCACGGCCGAGGCGCGAGAAGCACAGCTCCGGCAGGACTTCTGGTCTGACATGATACAAAATGGGTCGCCTGTCGTACGTGTTTGGCCCGACCGCGAGTCCGGCCTAAGGGCAATCCAGATGATATCCGGGAAGTGGACCAAGGAGGGGATGCCGCTCGCCCTTCGGTCGGAAATGCGAATCGGCGGCCACGAGTCAATCCCCCTGGTCGAGACGCCAGCGTTCCAACATGCCATTGCAGACTCCCAGGGATCCGTGACGGCCAAGCGGCAACAAGAGCTGACAACGCGGTGGCAAGACGCCGTCCGGCGAGAGCGTGATGTGGGCCAGCGCAGTATACAGACTGTCGAGGCATACCAGGCTGCCGAGCTACACGACCCCCAAGAGCGTCTAAATATGTTAAGGAAGAATACGCCGAACCATGACAGGAAAGCTGAAGATTTCACCCGGGCCATGGATAGTTGGAGGCAGGGGGAGGAGTCGATCTTGCGGGAAAACTTGAGGAGGACTGCTTCCCCTTTGGGCTATGGATCCGGCTCATCGCAATTTTAGCGAAATAATCCTTAATGTTTTAACCCAGATAGCCTTTCGTCAATTGCAGCCGACTGAGTTTGACGCCACGGCACGGCGTGAGTCTTCTCAGTATACGTGTCATCGGGTAGCAAAATCTACGGTTGTGCCGAACCTTGACGTCTCCGGGCCGTTCAAAGTTCGGGTGTGCGGAACGGAGCGGCCGGCATGTGATGCGCCAGTTGTAGCCAGCCGGATCCGAGAACCTTTCGTGTTGGACTTCTGCTTCGTGCTTCCGCCGGGTATTGGCTTTTTTTTCGTGACCAACTTTAATCTATACATCGCATTACCTAGACAGCTAGTATGTATTGACATAAGATTACTTCCTGATGCCCAGGTAGCTGCAGCGGTGTGGGGGAGAGCTGAGGATGGAAACCGAACGGGCTCGTGGACGAAGAAAGATTCCAAGGCTGTCCTCGGAGGGCCCAACTGGGGACCACGGTCCCGATGGCACGTGGCGATATAGGCGTTCGTCCAATACTAGAGCTTGGAAGCCCCGCGTACACATCAGGCACCTCCGTATCTCTCAGTGCCCGCAACCTCAGTCAATTTGGACCACCGGATCGGCATCGGACAACATGGATCACCAGCCCACGACCCTCAGGCAAGTTCGAGTTCCCAGAGCTGTGCCGACAAGTACCTAAATATCATGATACTGACCTATGCAGTGTCAATGACGTGGTCATTCGAGTGCTGGGCATGACGGGCTCTGGCAAGAGCTCCTTGATCACAGCCTGCCTAGGGCAGCCGTCCCAGCTCGGCAGCCACGGCCTAGACTCCTGTATGCGTTGCACTCGAATTGCGTGACTGCAGGAGCTATGAATCTTGCCCGCCAGACACGAGTGCCGTCTCGCTACACACCGTCCATCGAGGTAACGGCCGAGTGCATCTGGTCGACACGCCCGGCTTCGACAACAGCCGCCTCTCCGACGTCGAGGTACTCAAGCTCCTGGCTTTCTGGCTGAGTATGGCGTACTCGGCCGGCATCCGGATCGGCGGCATCATCTACATGCAGCGAATCACCGATCTGCGCATGTCGGGGACGTCCCTTCGGAGCCTCGAGGCTTTCAAGCAGCTCTGCGGGCCCGACGCCTTCCCCGGCATCACCTTCCTGACGACGGGTTGGGACATTCCAGTCATCAGTCGGGACGGACACGCCCGCGCCGCCGCCCAGCAACGACAGGCAGAGCTTGAAAACACCCCACGGTGTGTAGGGGACATACTCGCCGGCGGGGGCGCCGCAATGGCCCTCCTCCCCGGACGCGAGGCCGCCCTTGCCCTAGTCGACGCCATCATCCGCCGCCGCCACAACCTCGTTCTGAGAATACAGGTAGAGATGACCGTCGGGTCCGCGGCCCTGGGCGAGACGGGCGCGGGACGGACCCTGCGCGAGGCCCACCGCCGGGATATGGCGCGGGCGGCCGAGTTGGACGCCTAAGCACGCGACGAGCTCGCCGAGGCCGTCCGGCGGCAGCACGACGTGGACATGCGGCGGTTACGGGACCGGCGGGCGGCCCTGCGGCAGGACCTGGAGGCAGACCGGGATGCTGCGCGCTCTGGAGACACGGACACGAGACGTCTTAGCTGCGGGGCTGGAAGACGCGCGGAGGCAGCAGGAGGAGCTCGAGGCAATGGTGCCGCCCACCGACGGCGCGGCGGAGACGGGCCCAGGCCGAACTGTCTTGTCCATGGAAGTGAGGGCAGTGCAAAAGGCGCACTTGCCATCGATGAGGCTGGGCAAGAAGGTCGCGGCCAGCGCCGCGGTGGTCAGCGCTCTGGCGGGGACGGCGTCGCTTGTACTCACGGCAGCGGCTTGTTCTGTGATGTAGTACCGGGCATGATAGCTTTCGACCCGAAATGCTCCCCAAGGGAGCTAGCTGTCTTTTGGTCTCTGCTTCTCATTGTCCATAGCTCGACCGGCCGCGCTCCAGTATAGCATAGAATCAGGTAACAGCCGGACAAGCGAAGACGCTGCTGTTCGAGGGGGGGAAATGCCGCTATCATAAGTAAGTTGTTGTACTAGAATTATTCGAGATGGGGAAGAGGTAGTAAAATACTTAGCACAAGAATCGGTGGTGCCGATGTTCGTCCCATCCCGTATGCCGCTAGCAAGCTTTCCTATTGTGGCCGGGAAAATTGGCGGGCATGGTATCGTGCACGGGCCACACAGCTTAGCAGCTTACCAGAGTAGCGCGTCTTGCGTCTTGCACCTCCGGCTGGTCTTCTTCCAATTCTCCGAAAGGACTTTGATCTCCCCAGCGCAGTTGAAGAAATAAACACGGGGTCTAAAAGAAAGCAATCCATCTCAATCGAAACTCATCGACGCGTCTGAAAGGGACTCAGGCGTTTTGGGGGGGGGGGGGTTTTTTTTTTTTTTTTTAGCACGGCCCCGGGTTGTCGCTTGCGACACGGCGCCTCAGCTTTCTCACCTATTTTGCGACGCGCTTCGCGATCAACCTGTTTCGCATAACACGGTTGTCGCTCGCCTTCGGTTCTCTTCTTCTCAAGCAAGCACTAATCCACCCGCCCCAGCCCAGAGATCTGTTAAAACGCATTTTCAACGATGCCGTACAACCTAGATGAGTCCCTAGAGGACGACGACTTCTTAGTTAAGAGTGATCTGCTCAAGTAAGCTATGGAGGCTACTACTGGCTCATCTCATATGCTTGCTCCTTCCTCTACCTTCCCCCACAACGCGTCCTTAGTACCGACCCGAGGTAGATTGCGCACCACTTTTCCACAGCGCGGCTTGACGCGATTGTGAACTCTGCACCAGCCTGCCTTCCTTTCTAGGCCCTTCAAAGTTTACTAGCGGGCACATTTCTTTGTTTCGCGCTTAATGCCTTTTCTATCTCGCCTGAGCCTCGCTTTGTCTTCCCTCGCTGCTAACACCGCCCCTAGCTCGGTTGAGCCTGGCCTGGCGAGTTACCGCGCCGCCTCAGAGCCGCTCGGTGAAGGCGAGGGTGGCCCGGGGCCCACCGTCGCCAAAATAGACGACGACGTGGGTGCCGAGGCCGCAGGCATGGATGATGAAGAAGATACCCCGGTAAATGCGCCTTCATCGGCACCAAAGAAGCCCAGTAGGGCCTCCGGATCGGCCTCGGGTACTCCTGCTAAGTCGGTCACATCCAAGACTCCAGCCAAGACTCCGCGGTCGGCAAAGAGCGCCGCCACCCCCAAAAGCACTGGCCGCAAGCGCAAAGCCGCCGAGGTTGAACCCAAGAGTGAGCCTGAGGCGCAGCCGACACCAGCGAAGCGTAGTCGTCCCGTACGGGCTGCCGGCGCTGCCGCAAGCGCGAGACTTGCCACTGAGGCCACTAAGAAACGTGCTCCGGGCCGCTCCAGATCTTCTGTGAGTGCTCTACTATTATTCGCCAGTCCGTTTAGGAACGTATTGCTCATCAATTCATCACAGACTACCAAAAAGCCCAAGGGCCAAGCGGGCCGCCCCAAGAAGAACGGCAGCAACGGGGCAGTCCTTGCCGGGGAGTATGAGGTTGAGAAGATCCTCGAGTCTTCTATCGACAATGATTCGAAGGAGCACATGTACCTCGTGAAGTGGAAAAACTACCCGGCCAGTGACAACACCTGGGAGCCAAAGGGGAACTTGGCCGGCGCCCAAGACCTGGTCCGCGATTTTAACGCCAAAATGAAGAAGGCGCTCAAAGAGGAGGCTCCAAAGGCGAAAGTTGAGAAGGGCCGCCCTGGTCGCAAGCGGAAAGCTAAGGCATAATCTATCTTTTCCGTTGTTCCTGTACACTTTCCCCTTTCGTCGCACATGGAATGGGTTTAAGGGGGCTAGGCTGGGGCTTATCCGTGCGCATATCTAGGAGACTCTTTTTCTTTTTCTTTTCGTTGAGCTAAAACTTGGTGACCTTGACATCCGGGTGGGTCACGGAGGAACCAGGGCTTATGGATAGGTAGCTAATACTGCCTATCGGTGTCTTCAGCGACGATATTTATGAACGACGGACGGACAGGTCAAGGAATAAGATAAAGCCTCCCCGCGCTGTAGCAGTTTCGTTGCATTTGTACGGCAGCAACTAATCGCGTTGTACTGCATTTCTTTGCTCGCCTAAGAAGAAATCCGCTTGATATGGACTGGCGGTTTATATCCGAAGATGTATGTACTGAGTACTGTTGTCCTACATGATATTCTCACTTGCTAGTCCCAGGTTGCTCCGTAGCTGTGGTTCATTGGTGTTGTAGCAAGCTTGTATGTTCTAGATTAGGGAGGAAAGATAGTTCCTACCCGGGCCTTCATACTTCACATGGCAGAGGGGGAGCAGTGTAGGGATTTTCTTGGGTTGAGTGCAATAGAACAAATGCGCGAAAGTGAGCAACTTGTATTTTGTGCACCTGTTTGTTTAAGAATAGAAGTTCAAATTAGAACCCCATTGGTAGATCGAGACATCCCAAGCGCTAGCTAACCGGCAGGGCATTGATACCATGAGAGTGGGGCCGGGTTCCAGGCAGACAGCGGCCCGACCAATTTCTTGACAGCTTGCAGGCCAGGCTGCAGGGTTGCGGCCAGCGGGTAGGGCGTTGCTGATTTGGCCGCTCGGAACCCCAACCCGGCCACAACCGCATCGGCAGACGCAAGCTACGTATTTTCCTAGAACCCCGGACCTTTTCGTCATCGCAGTCCCGAAACCACCGAAGATCTTTTATCTCGAGTTCGAGAGATCTAATACCGTCGCGGTCGCAAAGTTGTCGGTAACTTGGCATCCCTCCCCGACTGAGCAACAAACGTATTGCACTTTCCTTCCTTTTTTTGAGCTACCAAACCCGGGACCCGCCCTTTTTCCATCGCCAAACACGCCCGCGCGCCAAAAAGTTGACCCCGACGAGCGAAAGGGAGAAGAAAAACCGAAAATATGGACGCGCTCCGCACCGCCCTCCAGCCGGTGACGCACAACCTGCCGGCGCCGATCCGCGACCTCGGAGTGTCGCTCATTGGCGACGCGTGCTACAAGACGCTGGTGTTGGACGTGGACGGGAGCGACTTGGCGTGCGTTAAGTTGGCCGTCAGCAAGGGGCTCGGCATCGGCATCGTGGCGGCGTCGGCCGTGGTCAAGGTGCCGCAGATCGTCAAGCTGGTCAAGTCGCAGTCGGCCGCCGGCGTGTCGTTCCTGTCGTACCTGCTCGAGACGAGCGCGTACCTGATCGGCCTGGCCTACAACGTGCGCAGCGGCTTCCCCTTCAGCACCTACGGCGAGACGGCCCTCGTGCTCGGCCAGAACATTATCATCACGGTGCTCGTGCTTAATTTCACTGGCCGCGCCCCCTACGCCGCCCTGCTGGTCGCCGCCCTCTCCATCGCCTCGTCCACCCTCTTCACCGAGTCTGTTGTTGATATGAAGGCCCTGAGCTACCTGCAGGTCGGCGCTGGCGTCCTCGGCGTCGCGAGCAAGGTCCCCCAGATCGCCGCCATCTGGAAGCAGGGCGGCACCGGCCAGCTAAGCGCTTTTGCTGTGAGCTACTATCCCCCTTTCCTTTTTGTTTCCACTTGTTGCGCGTCTTGGAGAATATCCCGAGCTCTCCGTCCCAATCCTTCTCTGTTCGCCTGACATATATGTGGACTAACATGTGTAATCTACGCGTCGCAGGTCTTCAACTACCTCATCGGCTCGCTCACGCGTATCTTCACGACACTGCAAGAGGTGGACGACAAGCTGATCCTGTACGGCTTCATCTCCGGGTTCGCGCTGAACCTGGTCATCGCGCTGCAGATGGCCTACTACTGGAACAGCCCGTCGGCCAAGGTCAAGGGCAAGCAAAAGGAGGCGCCCGTCAAGGCGGCGGCGTCGTCATCGGCAACGACTCCCCCAAAGAGCAAAGGCCCGACGACTCGCCGACGTGGTTAGAGTGTAATCCCAGCTCCCTTGGTCGAGGGTTTTGTGATTTTCTGTTCTTTGGTATGTGGCAAGTCATTGCCCTTAGCGGTGCTAATCTATACACCATAATACTGTCTGACCGTCTGCTGTCATGGCGTGATGCTGTCTTGTTCATTGGCATTTTTTGGTGCTCAGCCGGCGAGCTACGATCGTGATCCTCTGTAAAACCCAAACTCGGGCGGGCAAGGTAGGGGGCTGCTTGTATAAGCCGAGGACCTGCCCGGATTTGACGACCGTTGCGCACAATCTAGCCGCTGAATATTTGTTGGCTTGGTACACACATACCTACTAATGTCCTTGTGAAGAATCAGAGTGAGGTTCTGTGTCTTTAATGTTAGTCACGCGTGGTGGTCGGCTTTCCTCCAACAAATGGCCTTGAGCTGCTTCCGAGCTGCTGCCCGCCCTCGGGTCCCCCCATTCCTTCCGAGGAAATTGGTGATAGTTTCAGTGCTGCTTCCTGGTATATACATTTTCACAAAAGTTCTGGTACCATTGAAACATAGCCCCGATTCCTATGGTTTCTTCCCAAAATCATTCATTCTGTTTTCCAACTCTTTCTAGCAAGGCCTCTTTCAAAGTCACACGCGACGATGTCCGGATCCCCACCAGCAGTCGAGCTCCAGCTCCCGGCGGCGATTGAGCAAGGGTGGTTGGATGAGATGAAGTCGGTAATCGACAATCGCCTCGCCGAGCGGCAAGGAATAATCTCTACGGTTTTGCAGGCGGGATTCCAGGCACAACGGGCCCATATCCGTGAGGACATACATCCCATCGCAAATGACGTTGTCGCAGTCAAGAGTGGTCTACAGCCCATCGCAAATGGCCTTGCCGCAATGAAGAGTGATATCGCAGACATTTTTACAGTTCTACGTTCGTTGCAATCCGAGGTATTAGCAAAAAAAGCGGTGTTCGTTTCTCTCTCGTATTCTCTCTATGTATATAGCTAACGTCTTTTGCTTTCTAGTGCTTTAAACAATTGACGCAAATAAGCGAATCGGGCCAATTTCGACAAAAATACCAATTGCTGTACTTCTTCTATTAGCAGTTTCGACTACTTCTTGTTAAGATATCTTCTTGTTCCGCACGACAAAACTACAATTTCTTAACGAGGCTTAAAAAAAGACATCAAGCACGACAGGATCTATCTATCCCGCAATCATACTCACCCTAACAGGTCAGGCGTATTTAAATACACGGCCTACGATGATCCGGTGCCTCTTTTCAACAAAAGGGTGAAGAACTACGACAAAGATGGGGAGGAAAGGCTGGTGCCGTGTCGTGACAGGTGCCGTAAATGCAAGGGTCTCGGCCCAGGCTTCGGCAATAATTTCCCTGGAGACTACCATGTATGGAATATCCGTAACAGCATCCGTTCCTGCCCGAGAGAGAAAGGGCTCACGTGCTAGAAATACCGTTAAATTATATAGTAACAGGGGTCGCTTATCTAACGTGTTCATTTACGTTCGTAGCTTGGCCTGGCCCGTCGAGCCCGGAGCTTTTCCATTGGAGATGGTGGCGCCAAGATGGCGCCCGATTGCGAAATCACTGGCGGCTGGGGGAGGACCCACTCTCCGACTATCGGTCGTGCTCTGGTGTCGTGTCACTGCAGGTTCGCGCAGGACACCCGCAGTAGTAGTAGGTGGTAGTAACACGGAAAGATAATAAGAGCATTTTTGACCGCCTCGCGCCTGGTATTGGTATGGAGACCGATAAGTAATAAATGGCCACCACGCACGTCCGTCCTATGCTCGCAGTAGGTTCTGAAGGTTAGACTGTTTCTCATCCCGTCCCTGGATGGCGCCATATGTCGATGCGGCTTCAGGGTCCTCAAGATTGCGTCAGTGAGAGGTTGCGTGCTTCTTCTCTCTCTAGGTCTCTCGGCTCCGCGCTCTTCTCCATCTGCCTTCAATTGCCCATCTCCCAAGTACCCAGCTCGTCCCAGTCGCTAGCGCCCATAGTGTCGCGGGGCGCGTTGTCCTTAACGCGGGGTTACCTACCTCTCTCTCCTCCAGAACGGGCAGGTGCCTCTGACTCGAGTTGCGCACCCAGGCCGTTTTCTATGCTTTTGGCTCTTATTGCCAATTCTTAACCAGGGAGTACATGGTGCCCTTTTTCCCTTCTTTGGTTACATATAGTGTTGCTTGGTAAGGACTTCCTTGCGATCTGTTTTGGGGAGGATTGCTTCCCTTTTTGTTGTTTGCCTCGTACTAAGACATTCAGACAACGCCCGGTTTCCGTTAGACTGCCCTGCGTGCTTGAATCCCAACGGTGTCTTCCAAAAACAGATCTCAAACGGCGCCTCCCCCCTCCCCCCCCATTTCCCGCGCCCCTTTTCCTCGCTGTTGCGTATTAGCGTATTAGTGGGTGTCAATGCCTCCAGACCTCAACTCGCTGCCGGCCTCTCCAGCGCCTGGGCCAGATACAGGCAATGGCTACCACACCAAAGTAAACGGCACCAATGGTCTCAGCGGCCTCAATGGCCACCCTCCGCTGGAGGCCAAGAGGCCGAATATCATCTACATCATGGCAGACCAGCTCGCGGCGCCCATGCTCAAGATGCACAATGCCGACTCGCAGATCTTGACTCCCAACCTAGACGCGCTGGCGGCCAAGTCGGTGCAGTTTGACTCGGCCTACTGCCCGTCGCCGCTCTGCGCGCCGTCGAGGATGAGCATGATCACAGGGCTGCTGCCCATGAAGATCGGGGCGTACGACAACGCGACCCAGATCTCGAGCGACATACCCACGTATGCACACTACCTGCGGCTGCAGGGCTACCACACCGTCTTAGCAGGCAAAATGCATTTCGTAGGGGACCAGCTCCACGGCTACGAGACCCGGCTGACCAGCGACATCTACCCGGGCGACTTCGGCTGGGTCGTCAACTGGGACGAGCCCGACACCAGGCTCGAGTGGTACCACAATGCCAGCAGCATCCTCCAGGCCGGTGTCTGCGTCCGGAGCAACCAGCTCGACTACGACGAGGAGGTCATGTACCGGTCTACCCAGTTCTTGTACGACCACGTCCGCGAGGGCCCCGGTGCCCGCCCGTTCTGCTTGACGGTAAGTTTAATATGTTGCCATAGACGCTTGTACCCATCTGGCTAGCCGTCGATACCTAGGGGGGGAAGCTAGTGCTCAAAATTCTCCTTGATTGGTGGGGGGTTAGTGTAGCAGCGGCTCATGAGGCTCGAAGAAACGTGGGCTGACAGATCATCCGTATCCTATTGGTGGTGGGATAGGTTTCACTCACACACCCCCACGATCCATACACCATCGAGCAGAAGTACTGGGATCTCTACGAGGGTGTCGAGATCGACCTGCCCAAGGTCCGGATCCCTAAAGAGGAGCAAGATCCCCATAGTAAGCGTCTGCTGAATGTCTGCGACCTCTGGGATCAAGATTTCAGCGACGACCAGATCAAACGGGCGCGCCGAGCCTATTATGGCGCAGTTAGCTACGTTGACGATTGCATCGGGAAGCTTCTCGCTGTGCTCAAGCAATGCCGGCTAGACGAAAACACCATTGTCGTCTTCAGCGGCGACCATGGAGACATGCTTGGCGAGCGGGGGCTTTGGTGAGTAGTCCCGTGAAACCTGGCCGAGTGTCTGGTCAAAAACTCACACCGACCCACTACAGGTACAAGATGAACTACTTTGAGAGTTCTGCACGCGTGCCGCTCTTGGTGTCGTATCCGCAAAGGTTCCCGCCGCGCCGCGTCTCCGAGAACGTGTCTACGCTAGACATCCTCCCGACCATGTGCGATCTTGTCGGGACCAAGCCTTTCTCGGCACTCCCCATGGACGGGGTGTCGCTGCTGCCGCACCTGGAAGGGCGGCCGGGGGGCCACGATGAGGTCATCGCCGAGTACACGGGAGAAGGGACAATCAGCCCGCTCATGATGATCAGACGCGGGTCGTGGAAGTACATCACCTGCCCGTCCGACGGCTCGCAGCTGTTCAACCTGGAGACGGACCCCCTGGAGCTGCACGATCTGGCAAAGACGCTGAGGAAAACGGCAGCAACTACCGCCGTGGCTGACGACGAGATGACGAGGGCGGTTTTGGAGGCCTTCGAAGCTGAGGCGAAAGCCAGGTGGGATTTCGACAAAATCACCCAAGATGTTGTCTTCTCTCAGCGAAAACGCCGCCTGGTGTGGGCGGCGCTCAAGAAGGGCCACTTTACCAGCTGGGACTTTGACCCCCAAGACGACGGAAGGGAAAAGTAAGGCTCCCTTCTCTCCGCCCTGTGTCGGGATCGAGTCCGGCGAGGCGGTCTTGATGGCATGAGCGTGATACTGACAACCCTTTTTTTCTTCGACATAGGTATATCCGCTCGCATATTCCTCTGGACGACCTGGAGCGGAGAGCCCGGTTCCCCGCCGTTGACGCCTATGGCCGCGAGACGGGGTCTGCGATTCTCATTGACCAAGCCGGCTCACACGGCCAATAATGGCGAACTAGCCGGCAGTGCTGCGCGCCTAACAGAAACTACGGCGTTCATGTCTAATGACAGTCTTTCAGCAGATTTGCATCGTACGGTCGTTTTGGGGGCATCCTGAGAAGGCATTGATAATGTTTTTACGTCTGCTTTGCATGAGAGCGAGCCGTATTTGACGAGGTAACAGGGGCTGCTTGGTTTAGTTTAGTTTTGTATTTTGAAAGAATGTTAAGAGAAACAATTTCTCCTTGAATCTGTAATTGATTGGTAGCGTGATTGGGCGATTGATTTATTGCGTGAAGTGATGAACGGGCCTTGAATCTCTGTGTGTTGTCGTTCGCATTGGAAAGATGGAAGGGGGCACAAATGGCGCTAACCCGTTTTGGGATATTGGGGCCGAAAGCTTAGAAGCTCTCTTTGTTGCGCCCCTCATTCTTCAGAATCTTGGGTGGGGGAATTTTGGTACGTAGTCGTAAACCTAAACACGACAAACCGTAACAGCTCGACCTGGTGCATTCTATCAAATGTCGCTAATCTCCCTGAGCTCGTGGAGACCGCACCTTTCTCGAAGCGGATGAGCTGAAGTACCGACCGAGCACTGCCCGCAGACACTGTCGGGTTGCGCAAAGCAGCCATGGCGTCGCTCAATCTGGCTCCCGAAGAGCTCAAGCAGCTCGAGATGGTGCGCAACCGGCTGCTCCAGCTCACCCACACCTTCGTGAGCGTGCACACGAATGTGGTCAATAGCCAGCCACTCCCTAGCCGGTAAGCGCACACTATATTTGCCATTGGTTTAGCCTTGGGATGAGCTTGCCTTTTTGTTAACGTCTTCGTAGAGAATCCCTCCAGGCGCAGGCTACGATCCTGCAGCAAAATGTCAAGTCCATCCAGGACATTGCCAACGAAAACTCGCAGCTTTTCCAGCGCGTCGCCCTCCACCCGTCGACCAACTTCCCCGGCCGCACCCAGGAGCACGTCCTGCATTCGCTTCTACGCAAGAAGCTGGACCCCGAGGTCGAGCGGTGCGTGGAGGGGGCTCGCGACGCGGCGAAGGCCGCCGGCGTGGATCCCAGCAAGCTGGACATTGGGCGGGGGCCGGGTGGCAGCAGAGGCTACGGCAACTACGGCGACGAAGACGACGTGGACTTTGATTTCGATCCGGAAGCAGACGCCCCGTCGGACCCGCTCAACACGCAGTGGGCCGACATTGACCACACGTCAAAAGACATTGGCTCCCAGTACCTCCGGAACCAGCTGAGCCAGCCATACACGGTGGCAGAGCAGCAGATGGGGATACAGAACGTGCGCACCGGTCTACGGCGCATTCTTAGGAAAGAGAACACAGCGTACGAGAGCGACGAGGATGACGAGGATGAGGACGACGACGAGGACGACGAGGACGAGGAGATGGCGGATGCTGGAGCAAAGGATGGGGCGGGTCGCGCTGGAGGGCTGGAAGGGGGTCCCGGAGCGGCTCCCAAGCGCGAGCCTGAGCAGGTCCTGTGGTTCGCGGCCAGGGGCGATACCAGCCTACCGTCCAACGTGGAGCTAGAGTGGCAGCGCAAGCAGCGAGAAGCCAAAGCCAAGGGGATGGGTGGTATGTAGTAACAAGCGACCTAAGAAGCGCGGAAGGAAATAGACGATACCCTCTCAAAGCGAAAAGAAAAAAAAATTGTAAAAGTAGACATTAACCAAGGATTCGGGAACTGACACTAATCAGGTTGCTTAGCGCTCACCAGTAGCCTAGTCGGTTTGTTTGGCTGCCAATGCGCACTTGGCTCGGTTGAGCTTTCTTTCTATTCCTTTCCTCCCTCTCCCGCTTTAATTGATCTTGATTGCTTGAAGGCTTTCAAGAATTCCCTTCTTAAAGATCTGCCTCGCCCACGTAATGAATTTTTACACGCCTAGTGAGAAGCGATATAATATTAATGGCAGGCCGGGTACGGAGTAATGACTGCTGTAGAGGCGTATTCGTACCTTTGGATAAAGTCCGCCCGGGGCTCGACCCGCCGCCGCAACTCGTCGGGAGGAGCCGAGATCCATTGGTGCCGGGCCGGGCGCTACTCCACTGTACATGTACCGGTTTCTCCGGTTCCAGGGAACTGCACTACGTAGGGCTGCAGTCGCCCCGGATTTACACTGCCATTGCGGGGTTTGATATCTCCGAGGGAGGTGGACTCGATCAGTCTCAACTCCGCTAAAAGCTATCTACTTCAACTTGTCGACAAGAAAGATGCAAGTTCTTTGAGATTTCATTTCCAAGCCCCCAAACCACCCGACTTACCTTCCTAGTCCAGTCTCGCTCGAGGACAGGGCATAGATTCCTTGCTGACTGCTTGTTATATCGCATTCGCACTAACGAGCCCATTCGGTCCTACGCTGCCCTTGCTGCCCTGCCGTCTTTGTCGTATTAAAATATCGAAATGGGGCCAGGGGGGCCGCGCCCCGTCCAATGATGACCCTTGGCATCACCAGAACCCGCCCCAACTAAACATTAAAATGATCACCCGTCCGAGTCCGACCCCGACGATGATGAGTGATCTGACCTAATACCTACTAATCCTCTGCGCTTCCTTCCTTATTACTTCGGTTCACCGCCCAGCAGATGATGTTATATAAGCCCGCCGAGAAGGCTTGTGTTTTATTGTCTACCTTGTGTCCTCGTCCTTCTTTCTCTGTTTTTCTTTATTTATCTTTCTCTCTTGACGGACAGCCTTGTTACGAGAGATTTTGAAGACGAGTCGGGGCATCGTTGAGATAGCTTGACGTCTCTTCCCCCCTCTGTCTGTACCCAGTTACACGAGCACCAAGGCGCAGTCATGCTCGGGGTTTTCTCGCCACAGGCGACCATGCTAGTCCACGGTGTCGAGGACAGGCACGGTGGCGGGCCAGCAGCAGCAGCAGCAGCAGCAGCAGCAGCAGCAGCATACAGTCTGGTTCTCGCGCCAGACACGTCGACCAGAATGCCTATACCAAGACCAACAGCAACAGCAGCAACACTAGCGGCGACCGGAGAGAAACGTACTGCTCCCGGGTTCCTCGAGCTGCCACTCGAAATCCGCCTGCAGATCTACGGCTGGGTGCACCTGCAGCACCCCCTGCGTCCGGCCGAGCTCATGGGCTACCCGTCGCCCAACTACAGCGCATACTTCGTCGAGACCATCGTGCCGGGCGTGCTAGCGACGCGCGTCGAAGACGAGCCGACCAAGATGCACCACTTCGAGCCCAGCGAAGAAGGCAGCCCCATCCGCTCGCCGCCAGCAGCCGAACCAGAGACAACAGAAAAAGTTGCCACAACACCATCTCCTCTCCATCCGCCCCGGCAGCAACACCGCCTCCTATCCCCCCACCGGCCGCTCTGCTACATGCCCACGGCCGTGCTGCAGACGTGTCGGCAAGTATATGCTGAAGCGCGCGCGATGCCCTTCCACGACAACGAGTTCATCTTCTCGACTTGGTTCTCGTCCGGGCTCGCAGCCGCATCAGCATTCGTGCACAAGACGCTGCGCGGCGGCTGGCAGCGGCGGGCGCTGCGCTTCGCGCGCCTCGAGCTGCACGTCAAGGACCTGTGCACCCAGCCACGCCTGCGCGACTGGGAAGCGCTGTGCGAGACTCTGAGCCCGGGCCTCCGCGGCCTGCGCCTCAAGATCGATCTCGACGACCGCACGCTGCTGTCGGCCGTGTCCGTCGGCAGGCCGCCGGCGCGCGTGTGGGCCCGGCCTAGCATGCACGACGATAGTATTTCTGATGATGGCGACGGCAGTGCTGGGGGCAGGGGCACGGTCTTCAGCCCGGCCTGGTCCCGCGAGCCGTTCCGCTGGGTCGACGCCGGGCTGACCGCCCTCGCCGCCCTGCGCTTCCTCGAGGTCGAGCTCGCCGGCATGCCGGGTCTGTCTAACGACGACAAGACCGCCTGGTGCGAAAGCCTGGCCGACCGTCTGAATCGTGGCAGAGACCCGCGCGCGAGGGTCGGTGTTGTCTGTGTTGAGAGGGCGAGGCGGTTGCCCGGCTCAGGCGGGAAGGGCTGTGGTGTGTTTCGCTGACGTTGTGTGTTCTTCTCCTGCTTTCCACGGGCCGGGGTGGAGAGGGTGAAGCGAAGGCGTGTTTTTGGTTGTTGCGTTTACATGTTCTTGAATATTTTTATTTATTTCTACCTCCCCTCTTCTCCCCCCCCCCTTCCGGGGTACGGAGGCAAGGGAGAAAGTGTTTTGGACAACCAACATTGTGAGATTATTCTGACTATATTTATTAAAACTTTTCTACTAGTTACCGCAAAAAGCGCATCTTGTTTATTTATCGACAGTACATTGACCATACGTGGCAGAACAGGCGGGCACATAGGTAGCCACCGCTGTTGTCTCGCGTGCTTCAAAACTCTCACATACATAATCCAACCTGATTCTTACTTCCCCCTTGAATAGCTCACCATTGCAGGCTGATTTGTAGGTAGTCTGGGGCCAGCTGGCCTCAAATCAGGACGAATGCGAATGCGAACATCTCGTCAGCCACAATGTGACCCCCTCCTTTTAGCTTGGAGCTGGTGATTCTTGGCGCTTATATACGTACTGCGCTTATTCTTACGAATATCTAGGTTCACGTTGCTTGACAAATACTTGGTTTGCTGCTTCAAGGGATTCCTTACGAGACAAACTTTACTCACCGATGTTTTGTGAACGTAATGCACAAAAGGGGGTGAAGCGCAGCCCCTCGGAGACCTGCAGTGCCATGGCGTGAATTACTGGCCGTCCATTACTGACCGTTCATGTATGCTGTTACTGGTAGTGTTTCTAAAAGAGGCCTTCCTCGATGCAGGTGCCTAAGGTCAGGTATTTATCTACCTACCTTAGGTGCCACAACTCGAAAGTCGCAGCGTGGCGGCGCAAGCTCTTGTGGAGAGAATCAGTGGAGAGAATCAGTAATCACCGGAGGAGGGTTTATTTAAAATCTCATGTCAGCTTCCAGTTCCTTGGAATCAAGCCCGGAAGACCTCATTCTCCTTTTTATGTATGTAATTGCTCGTCGATTTTTGAACGGCCTAGGCAGTAGTCGTTGCACAGGCGACAACGAGTCTCGTAACTGCGGTGTCGTTGACAGGAAAATCACTTTTTTTTTTTCTGCCGTGACCCCGCGGCTGTGTTCTGTTTGCTGCCTGCATTCTGAATCGTCATCCGGCCCGGGGAGGGCTATCCCCTGCATGGATGCGGGCACTTTGCAGGGATTAACAGGCGGCTGGGACCCACCACAATGGGAGATCGGCAGTCGTTGAAACAAGTGGGCCCAAATCGCGGCGGGATCCTTTGCGATTGAAGTCGATTCTAATTGACGTCGAGCGTCGATTGGACCCTGTTCTCCGGATGCGCAGCAAACTCCTCTACGTAACTCTCGGGTCCTCTTGAGAAACAGAGCCAATCGAGTGCCACCCGCAATTCCAGCTGCGTCCTTATCTGATCCGGAGATTGAAAGAGACCAGGACAGACACCAAAAACGCGAGCACCCGCTCCACTCAGGCAGGCTCAGTTGGCCCATTTGTGATGGGAAGCAGTCAACCAAATGGACAAGTATCGTAAGCATGGCCGGACCTTGGCCTGCTTTGCGGCTCCGCGACACGCAGCCCGTTGGGTTTGGCCAATGGCCTCGCACTGGCCTTATTCTCCACAAAGAACCAACCGCACCTGCAGCCTTTGGCTTTCCGAAGCCTGGCCGGGCCGACCTTGAAAGTTCAACAGTTCGCACCCACTCTCCATTCTCTCGCTGAAAACTGCAAGCACGAACCGAGTACCGGTTATGGATACGCGCATATTTCATTGCTCTAATCTGAAAGCACGCACTAGGCCTAGACATATGCGCTGCGGGCAAGTGCTCCCTGTGCTGCCCTGTTCCGAGTCACCAAGCACAAACCAGACACCAATTGGCCGCCCCCTTTCAGCAAGCTGCCGTCCAGCCGAGCACAAGATCCAATGCTTGTCTCCACTGCGTCCAGCAAAAGCTGGCCGTCATGTAAGGCCGGTATAATCGGCCAAGTGCACAAGCTGAAGCAAGGTGACAAGGAAGAAACAAGAGCGCCTCCTGGGCCGCTGTTAGATGACAACGGCGCCACAAATACAGGGATCCCAATGAAAATAAACCACTTCGGACATGCAGCTTCTGGGGGAGGGGGGACCAAGCTTCTGCGCTTCTTGGAAAGAAACCACGCCGCCGCCGCCGTCAGTGACTGCGGCTCACTGCTTCTTGTCTCTTTTGGCTTGTTTCCCCCCTCTTCGCCTCTCGTCTATTTGGTGCTACTTTCCTTCTTTTTCATATTGTGTCGCTCCTCTTGTCCTTCCTCCTGTCTACGCTACCTCGTGGCCGTTCGCTACCTATTATTCGCTTGCTCGGTGTCTAGAATCCATCCACTTCTAGAGAATGAGCTAATTAGGATAGCCGGCCTTATTAGTATTTGGCTTTTAATTTGTGGAGGGGCCTGGCCATTCACATGTCTGGTTCAGTGCGGTGCCTTCAGTCTGCGCTTTCCTCTCTTAGCCTCAGGGCCTGGTTATTTCACGGTACCGCAAGTACACGCGCCCATCTTGGCTTCGTGAATCGGTAAGCAAGTCCACTGTCCACTGTGTGCAATGTCCAACCTTGAATCCCCACTCCGATTCGGACGGGAAGCTACACAGAACACCCGAGCTGCTGTTTCACCTGCACTGTCTGCCCAGGTGCCCATCTCCCCAGCTCCTCTTCTCAGACCAGCACCCTGACTACCAGGTACTTGAGTCGCCTCCACCTACCAGAGCTTAGGCGGCAGGCCGAGAGGCTCCCAGATCCTACCCACTCCCATCTTCGTGCTCACGCAACTGCCCTGCCCCCAGAGACGAAGTCGCCGCCAAACCTCACGAGCCGAACTCGATGCTAACCAAAGACGCGCGCCAAATGCCAGACGCCCCCAGCGCAACCCCACTCTGTATTGAAAGCGGTCCGCGCTTCTCGAGGGCGCCGCTCGCCTTGCCGGCCTCACGGCCAAGAGCTTGAGCTAACGGCTTTCCATCGGTCGCGGATCCATCATGCTGCATTCAGTCCCTCGATTCCCGGCGAGCCCCGTCTTCTCCCGCTTCGGTACTCGCCAGAGTTGGAACAGCGTTCTCAGACCACTCCTCCCAAGCTTCGTTGCCGACTACCTCTTCCCCGACCACAGGCCGACATGGCGACTGCATTCAACCTCGTACCTGGACGGCCTGCGCGGGATCGCCTCGGTCATTGTCTTCATCTGCCACTACACGGAGGAAAACTTTGGGGCGCTGACGGCCTCGTACGGCATCCACGAAGATGAACCGCCTGGTCTGCTGCAACTGCCGTACCTGCGCATTATATTCTCGGGCCGCCCCATGGTCCATATCTTCTTCGTCATATCGGGCTTCGTGCTCTCGTATAAGCCAATCAAGGCTATCCATGCCCGCGACCTCGACCAGTGCTACACTGCGCTGGCATCGTCAACGTTTCGTCGCGCGTTCCGCCTTTTCGGGCCCTGTATAGTGTCGACGCTTATAGTCCTGTACCTATTTCAGACAGGGTACCTCGTGGACCCAGCGCCGCTGGACACCTGGACGAAACAGTTTTGGAGGTGGAAGGGGGCCGTCTTCCACCAGATATCTTGGCCGTGGGCGTGGGACAGGGACTTGCGGCCGGCCTACGATATACATCTCTGGACGATCCCAATCGAATTTGTGCACTCGATGCTGCTCTTTATGGTAATTCTGATGCTTTCCAGGGTTCGGCTGCGCATTCGGCAGGCAGCTGTCTTTGGTCTCATGGCGTACTGCCTCGCGTGTGGGAAATGGGCAGGATTCGAGTTTCTGGCAGGCTTGTTCCTTGCCGAGGTGCACCTGCTGCAGCACGCCCAGCCAAAGGCCTGGGAATCCTCCGACGTGGGCGATGAAGCAGATAAGGATGTATTGGCGTCGATCATGAAGGTGCTTCACCTGAGCCTCATCTTCGTGGGCCTGTTTATCGGAGGGTGGCCAAACTTCGATGCCGACAAAACACCAGGGATTCGCTATTTCCTGGCTCAAACGCCCTTCCCATTTGCGGCCATGGACCCGCTAGCGCCGCAGAAATTCTGGTTCGGACTTTCGGCGGTTTTTATCGTGTGGTCCGTCGGGGAGCTGGCATTCCTCAGGAACTTCTTCGAGGGGCCTGTAGCGCAGTACTGCGGGCGTATCAGCTACGCGGTGTACATTTGCCATGGGCCAGTGTTGGGTCTTTTTCAAGAGCCGGTACTGGGCCTCCCGTATAGCCCTCCAACAGGCTCGCCAGGAATGCCAGGCTTCAAGAAGCCCATCATGGGATGGGGAGTCAAAGGGCACCTCGGAGTGGCGAATTCGACGCAGACCACGGTGAGTTGGTTTTTCGGCCTCTGCATCATCGGGCCCATGGTTATATGGGCAGCAGATGTTTTCTGGCGAGCCGTTGATACGCCTGTTGTCAACTTGGGGAAGAAGCTGGAAAATGCATGCTTAGATAACGCCGAGCCGAGTCCGCGAAGTCAGGGGTACTCGGCAGCCGCGTAGCATGTTGCGTGGTTCTTTTTTTTTTTTTTTTTTTGGACAGTTGGGGTTCCGGCTGGAGTCCCGGTTGGAGTTTCTTGGTTTGAGCCGTAGCCCGCTGGGCCGGTTCAGAGTTGGCTGGCGTTCATGGGGGTTGCATGTTTTGGATTCGTATATCAGCAAAAGAAAATGCATGACATGAAAATACCCATCGGCTAGCAGGTTTCCGTGTCGAGAGCCCGTACTTTACTTAACAATCATCATAGGAGCATTCTTTCGGCTAACTGTTAAATTTATTTACTTTACCGACAGGTTTTGCTCGCAATTGGTGGTCAGTTTCTATCTGAACGACTTGTTGAAGCACACCTGGCCGGCCCTTATGCCCAGGGCTGGAGTCAGGCTTCTAGCTAATGACTGGGCATCTAGATGACTCGAAGCTGTCAATTAGACTCGATACAAGGGTATAGAAGGATGAATTCAATGTTTGGCCGTCAGCAAAGCAGCCATGGTAGCTTACGAGCTTCGTCTTGTGCAGGGGCAGAATGTATGCTTAATACAGCTCCACTAACAACCAAGACAGCAATTACCCCCGGTAACTCAGGACTAAGATGGGAAATTAGCCCGAGTCCAGTGTCTCTATCGGAAGCCGTCGAACGGGCCGTGCGTGTCATGCAGAAAGAAAGATGATGTTCAGTCATGGGTGGTAGTGGTGGGATGAGTCACAGAACACGAACAGGATACTAATAGCAGGGCCGACGCGTACCTGCTTCGCGGCCTGCTCTTTTTGGCAGTACAACGACACACTTGACTCTTCTTTCGCAAGGCAGAAAAATACACTTGTCGAGCCTCAGGCTATCGGTGGCGATCTATGTATGTATGGGCATACCTACGGCGTCTCTTCCAACAAGTCAAGCCGGCAGCCAGCCCCGCAATCGGCGAAGCAACCCCGCGATCCTGATTCGACCTTGCCTCACGGGCAGTATAATTGACACCTAAGGTATTACTCTCATCAGCCTACGAATGCCCGCTTTGTTTTACTCCCATTCATACGGGTAGGTACCTGTACATGCATTCCTGACATCGGCTCACGAAAGGATAGAAAAAAGACAGAGTGAAAGAGAGAAAAGGAGAGAGAGAGAGAGAGAGAGTTGCTACTCAATCCCATCCAAACCATCACCGTCCCGTCCCGTCCCGTCCCGTCCGGTCCCATTGGGAAGAGAAAGAAGAAAAGCAAAATGGAAGCCCGCTGCGAGTGTGGAGCCGTCGTCTTCACAACGCCGCTGCCCAAGCCGCTGGCGCTGTACATCTGCCACTGCTCGGAATGCCGTCGTCAGACGGGATCCGCCTTTGGCACCTCGGCCATCTTTCCCAGGTTCCCGCTGCCCGAAGCCGAGCTGCTGAGTTGTTACTCGTGAGTGCCTGCCCTTGTTCCTTGGTTTTTTTTTTCTTTTTAAAATGGTCTTGGAGGGTTGAGATGGAGATGCGGGCGTCGAGGGATGATGCATACCCTCTATCTATCTACCCATCCACTCAGTGCCTCCCATTCGCGGTGCCCCGGTCTTATTATGCCGACACGCCGTTCATAACGGCAAGGCCCACTGTCCAGAACTGAATGGGTGTGATTTGTTGACCTTAGCATTTTACTTACTTCCCATCTTGCTAGCCGACCCACGACCTCCGGCCAGACACTCTACTGGTACGTTTGTGCTCTATTTAGACCGGAAAAATACTTTCTTCTCACTTACTCCCTTCTTCTCTTCGGGGCCGGACTCGGTTGCCGGTTTTCCGTGTGTGTGTGTGTGTGTGTGTGTGTGTGTGTGTGTTTGTGTGTGTGAATTGGGCTATGACTTGATCGGAACAAGCAGAACCCAGCGACGGAAATAACAATGACAAGCCAAGTCAAGATACGAGAAAAACAGGCCGAACTTCTCGTGCTTATTTATCCACATTCCACAGCTATTTCTGCAAGAGGTGCGGCACGCGCTTGATACATAGCTCTCCGGTAAGAGTCTCTCATTTCTTTGTTCTACACATCTGTCCCCGGCTCAAACGTCTGGGCAGGCACGCTATACTCTACTAGTGGCACATGTGTATGCCGCCTAGAGTTTCTCCTGCCTCTACTTTACCCTTTGAACCTGGCTGACAGTTCCGTCAAGGACAAGAATGTTGTCTCGGTCAAGGGCGGCTGCATAGACGGTTTGGACTGGAGGAACGCCATACACATCTGGTAAGGTTTCCCTCTTTCTTTTTCTCTTCACTCTCCCTATCTAGGTATCTACCTATCTAGGCTCTATATAAACCTAAAGAATATACCCTGCCCCTGAAGTACACCAAACTCTCTTTCCTAAAAAAGAACCCCCCCCCCCGGCAAAAAAAAAAACACAATAGGAGTGATAGATGTATAAACCCAACCAGGCACTCCCACTTCCACTTCCACTCTCATTCTCACTCCCGCACTTACACACGCACAACCCAACAGGACCAAATCCGCCATGGTACCCATCCCGGAAGGATCCGAGACGCACTCGGAAGACTCGGCCAACACGGACTACGGGTCGACGCAGGACGAGCTGGACCAGCCGTACGACGCGCCGGCCGAGCTGAGCGGTAGCGGCGGGCCGGCCGAGTGCGAGAGAGCGCTGAACCTAGGCCAGTCGCTGTGAAGGCCCCGCTCAGGCAGAATGAATAGACGGGACACGCACGTAGTCTATTATTAAAGTCTCGACATCTCACTTTAAGTCTGTAATTTGTTTTTTTCTTCACGTCGTACCGTACCGTGCCGTTGGTTCTGGTTATGATTGTAATTAGTAAAATATCTTTGGGTGGTTAATGGGGGGTTGTTGTTGAAGAGAGAGGGGGGTGGTATAAAAGGGGGCTTCATGTTATGATGCGAGGGCGCGCACTCTCTCCATGTCAGGCAAAAAGCCAATAGATCTACTACCTACCTACGTATCCTACTTGATGCAAAACGACGAATAACCTGTCCAACATAACCAAACTCCATTAAGCCTGAGACGTCTCTACCAGGCCATCGGCGCTCTCGCGCTGCTGCTGCTCGTTGACGACAACCGCAGTGACGGGCTCGGCCGCCGTCTGCGGCTGTTGCTGCTGCTTCTTTTTGTCGGAGTGCTTGGCGGGGTCGAAGACGTAGATGGGGAACTCGAGGAAGAGAGTGCGCTTGAGCAGCGCGGGCAGGGGCTCGTAGAGGCCGGGCGGGAACGGGACCAGGATGCTTGTGCGGCGGAGATAGCGCGAGTAGGCCTCCCACTCGCGCGGGCTGCCGCTCTCGTAGCGCTTCTTCGCGCCCGGCCGCTCCGACAGCGTGAGGCCCGACACGAACATCAGCAGGAAGGTCAGGAACGCTGGGCCGACGATGGTCGCGTACAGCGCACCGTACGCGGGGCCCTCGACGTAGCCGTCTGCGGCTGAGGAGACTGCGATCGTGTAGATGGCTGCGGCGGGGAATGTCTTAGTCAGTCTTGTTGATTTGTAGAGGGGTTAGGCAGATCCAAGACTTACCGAAGTGGACGATTATCTCGCCGAAGTAGTTGGGGTGGCGCGAGAAGCGGAACAGGCCCGTGTCGCAGATGGCGGCCTTGTCGGTGCGCGCGGAGCGGAAGCGGTAGCGGTGGGCGTCGCTGACCGTCTCGACGACAAGGCCGAGGGCGAAGAGCACGACGCCGGCGATGTCGCGGGCCGTGCCGAAGGGGTGCTGCGCGTACTGCTGGACGGCGGGCGAGTTGAGCACGGTGACGGGCAGCGACACGAGCCAGACCCACAGCATCTGGAAGACGAAGAAGCCCAGGAAGGCCCAGAAGCGCTCGCGGATCTCGTCGAAGCGGTCGTCCTTGCCCGTCTTAAGGATCCGGAAGAACAGGTAGCCCGAGAGGCGTAGCGCCCAGACTACCATGCACAGCGACACAACTAGCTGCCGCGCATCTTGGTGGCCGCTGAAGGCGAGCGTGATGATGGCGAGGATGATGAAGTTGGTGCCACCGGCGATATCTGGGGTTGGGCAGCCAACGAGTTAGCATTGTATGAGTGAGAAATGCGGGGACATTGTGAGGTGCTACTTACCAGTGACTTTGTCAAACTTGAAGGTATAGGCGATGGAGAAAAACACCAGCTGGTAGCCAACAGTGGTGAGCAGTGTGATGGCTAGATAGTAATCATCCAAGGCATGGATGGTGATGCCCGCCATTTCTGGAGACAGGCTCGACCTTGACGGTCCCCGTGTCTATGGCTGTGGCGAGACTCGTGTGAATGATGGGTGAGCTTCGGCCAGCGCAATCGAGTGCTTATTCGTTGCGTCCGAGTTGTCTCTCGCTCTCGCAAGTGAGTTTCGTGAAGAGAGGTTTATCAACAGACTGGACTCGACTTTGTTTGCGAGATGGTCAGGATTGGCCGTGCCGTAGCTAGAAGTTTGCCAGTACATACACAAATTCGACAATGAATAACCGAGCTCACGAACAGTCGGTTTATTTCTGAACAGCCGAGTTCATGAACAGTTGAGCTCTTTCCGAGAAACCACGAGATTGGCGCCTGAGGTCACAAGCAACCGAAGTTATGAACAATGTGAACGTGGAAATGGAAACAAAACATGAGGGGTCATAGCTCGATTTTCGTCATTTTATTGGGATGAATTGGCGACAACTCGATGGGCGAGAACAGATAAAGAAGGCGGGCGGGGGCAGCGCGCATATTGGCTGCTCCCACCTGGGCTCGCATTCGACTCGGCTAGGCTTAATTCCTGCTTGTCGCCTCCATCATGTTGCGAGGTCCGGCCTCTTCATATCCAAAATTTTCAACGATGGCCGCGATGCTGCATGCACTTCACGATCGAAGATCTCCAACGAACGGTTGGAGAAGCTTGGTGTTGAGCCCGCCTTCTGGCCGCTGGTTACACGCTAACGCAATTAAGGTAGATAAGCTATCTGCCCGGGGCTAGGGTTATATAAGGACTTTGCTCGGGGTTATCCGTGGGCAATCCTCCATCCCATCTCGCGCCCAGTGCTTATTCCAGCCGCAGCAACACTGGGCAGAGATTAAGGTTTCAGCTCCCACCCCCCGGGCCTTTTCTCGGTTACACTGTTTCGTCCCTTCGACGCTGCAACACAGCGAGTGCTCTCCACTACAAATGTCGGTTGCAAGCAGCCCTCAAGCTACACGGGCGCGGAGTTCGGCGCCAACTTCAACTTCTGAACAAGCTCAATCCCGAAGCGAGTGAATCGCCGGCGTGACACGCGATACTACCTTTACTGTGTGTACTGTGTGAGTGGAAGTGGAAGTGTCCACCACTCTCCAGATTCTAAGTGGGGTTTTTTTTAGTGTTCGAGGCCGTGGCCATCGACGGATGGGGCTCCAGCGCCCCAAGACTCGCAACGTCTCTTAGCTTGCGCATCGCCGCAACAGCCGCCAGGGTCAGGGAAAATCGCATAACAATTCCTTATACTCTCTGCAACGCTGCATTGTCCCTGGCATCTTGGATCAGGCGATTTTTGGACTGTTTTCGCCCTCTCCTCCGAGGGGCCGCGTCAGGTTTTATTCTGGACAGAGTGAACAGACGGGGACAGGCGCCGCTTTGGATTGTGGGGCATGGGCCTGTTTCGCTTAGGCCGGCCTCAAACACAAGCCGTCAGGGGCCAGTCTCACGAACCCCAAAGCCCCCCTCGCCGCCGGGACGAGTCAGCCTCAACCTGGCTCGACCGCACACATTGCCACGGTCCCCACGGTCCCAAAGTCGCGGCAGGGGCCCGTCGGCCGTGGGGCATTGGGCCCGAAGGCGCCCAGACCGGCTAGCCGAGACTCTGTGAGACTGTGTCGGTCTCCCTGACATGGGACTTGGTTGCTTGGCCCTTGATTGACGCTGCAACAACGTGGAAATCGCCAGGGCTGGGCTGGCCCGACACCAAAACAGCATTGTCGACCTCGACTCGCGGTCCGACGAACATGGCGTGATCTAGGCAAACCCTCTCTCCTCCCTTGCTCCTTGTCTTCCTTGTCCCCCCATCCCCAGGTTCCAAGTTGCTGCTCCTGGACGAATACCAAGAAGCCTTGGGCGGGTCTGCACTGCCTGCGAAACCACGAAACCGTTTCGGGAGCCCGTCCAGTTGTTTTCTGTCTTTGAGCCTCTTGCTCTCCCATTTCTCTCTCCTTTCTCTGTTTCTAGCGTGATTATACTTCTCTTCGCCGGCCTGCTTACTGCGTGCCTGCTTCTTCTTTCTGCCGCTATGCTGTGACTTTCGCCACGCACGCCCATTCGTTTCTCTTCTCCAGTCTTGGCATCATCCCAAGTCTCTTTTCTATTCCCTACATCTCCTCGTCTCGTGGGTCACTGGTGTTCCCCCTTAGACTAGCAGTGTCCCTTCCTGTGGCGCTGTTTCTGCTCCTCGTTGCCACTTGACTCCTTGCTCGAGTCGGCCGAGTCTCGTGCGTCGTGTTCTCGCCGCCTTGAGACTCCCTTTTCACCTGGACCCCCGCCGCCGCCGTCCGTCAGCTCTGACAACCCTTTGGTCGTAACGAACAATCACGACCGCATCCAGTCCTTTCCATCCGCGGCTTCATTTCTCTGTCTGGGTTGATCCCACACGTCAATTCATCGACGGCTGGTCCTCTTACGACGCTCCTTTTGGACTTGACCATTCTTAGTGTTGAGGGTGCGGATCGAAGGATCTTCGCGCTCCTCAACATACCAGCACAATGAGGCGCCATGTGCAGTGTATACTATTTCTTCTAAGCTGCCTGTCTCTCACACGGGTATGTTAGCCTCTAGCACGCCCCCGTGACTGTCGCTTACCGGTTCTCTAGGCCGCCTCGAATATCCGAGATGGAAAGCTTGTTCGGCGAGGCAATGTGATGGACCAGATTATCGGTGCGCTCAAGGCAGCAGGAGGACCTGGAGACAATATCGAAATCAAAAAAGAGGACGGGCAGGGGCAGGTCCAACAGGGAGGCATTCCGACCGTCACTGAGACGTTATGGAAAACCATGACTGCAAAGGGCGCCGGGCACGGGAGAAACAGAACCGCCTCTACGGTTTACGTCACGGTGACAGAGCCAGCCGGTGTCTTGGGGGCGGCAGCAGCAGACGGGTAAGGCTCAGCCAATGGGATTAACTGGCAGACACGCACTCGTGCTAACCTTGCTTCAGTGGCGGCGGACAACTGTCTTTTATCACCACGACCATCTTTGCTTCGGGTCCAGCGCCCACCGTCACCATCACGGCTCTAGCGTCGACCGTCACTCAGACCGTCTGCCCGGCCGGGGTCCAAGGCGCGGCTCAGGGCGGTAATGTTCTAGGCGGCACGAATTCGTCAGCCCCAGGTGGAACAGGCGGCGCTGCACAAGCAAATCCCAATACACCTCACGGCGGTGTCGGTGTGACAATAATATCGCTTCCGCCCGGCACGCCCACTGGCGTGGCACCCGTGGCATCGGCACAAGTCACTGGCGGTTCCTCGTTCCAAAACACCTCGTCCCTCGTAGCCCTCCCCGGGCTCACGTCATCCTCGTCGCTCTTGTCTCTCGTGACGCTTCCGGGGGCTTCGGCGTCTCCATCTCTTGTGCCTCTCCCTGGCGCTCCGGCGGCGGCCTCGTCTCTTGTTCCTCTCGGGGGCGCCTCTGCCCTGAGCTCAGCACGTAAGTTAATCTAGTCACGCTTATCTCCCCAAGCTTAGAAGGCAATTACGAGACTAACAGCATCACCTTTAGTTACGTCTACCCCCCCGGCAGCCGCCACTTCAGCCCTCGCAACCGCACCCGTCGCTGTCATTCCCGCGGGCGGCGCCGTCTCCAGTACCCTTAACGCCGGGGCCGGAAGTGCTGTTCTTGCGACGCCCGTTGCAGCCGCCCCCGGCGCCTTCGGCGGCAGCGCAGGCGTCGTCCCCATCGCAGACGCCCAAAACCCACCACCCGCCGCCCCCAGCGCCAACCCCACAGTGCCGGCAGCGGCAGCGGTGCAACAGGGTGCCGCAGAAGGTCCCGCCGTGACACCCGCGCCGGCCGTCGCCAACGGTGCCGGGTCTCCCCAGCTCAGCATCGACGTCTCGGGCTTGACGTTGAACAGCCAGCTTGATCTCGGAAACCTGGCGCAGCAGACCGTATCCCGGTCATAAGGCCGCCCCGCGTCAAGGAAGGATGCTGGTTGTCATGATTGAAAAAGCCGAAAAAGAAAAAAAGCATATATGTCCACATATATAAATAGTTTACATACTCACGCTGTTGTTTCTTCGTATTTTATACCTACACCGATATATTTTTCGGTTGTACTTTTTAGGAGGTGGTGGGAGGGAGGAGGGAAGAAGGTGAATTGGCTCGTTGCCAGTTGCTTCCAATGGACTTTGGACTGGAGACGGGCAAGCTGGAAGAGACCACCTCTTCCCTCTCTATATCTCTGACTCTCCTTATTAGACAAGGCGCAATGCGCGGGTCGAGTTTTGCAGGTACATAGGCGGTCTTATTATTCTGTATTTTATTCATATATATACAAAACAAAATCCTGGCCCTGGGGATTATGTAGGTATTCTCGGGAGCACCCAGGCTGGAATAAAATGAGGAGGTTTCCAGGTTGCCTCTAATCGAAGGAAACGCAGAAGAGCATTCGTTGGACGTGGTCCTTGTGGCTGCATGCATGTATGTATGTCTTGCACTGTACATAGGATGTCAAAGTCCTGCGTTTGCTTTGCTGGGACACATGGATTGCGTTTCCTCAAGGTAGGTAGTTTACTCTGTGCTAATTAAATATAGGCAAGTAGTATTATACCTCAGGTATCTATACATTTATCTCTCCAAGGGGGGGGGGGGGGGGGGGGTATCTTGTCATTCACGATCCCGATATCCGTGTAGGCAGATTTACGCCATTCCGACTTGTGTGTGTTTTTTCTGTCCTCCTACCCCATCCATCCATTCATCCACTATTCCGATATGTATTTTTGTATGTACAGTAAAAAAAAAAGACAAGGGGAAATTAATGGCATTTTTTATGTCCGTGTCATCGCAGAAGAGGTTCATCTCGCCTGCTTCCCCCCCGCCGCCGCGCCGGCCTCCGCCTTGGAGCCTTCGAGCTTGAGTTTCTTCGCCTGCCGTTTGCTCAGCGTCTGCTGCTGTGGCGGATTACTGCCGCCGGCGCTTGACGATGACTCTGCCGCTGCTGTTGCTAGTGTCGTCGCATTGCCGTTCTTGCGCTTCTGTCCGCGGCCTACGGGGGTAGTGCTGGCCGAGTTCTGCGCCTTCCCGCCCCCAAGCAAAGAATTCTTGTTCTTCCTGCTCGCCGCCTTATCGCCGCTGTTGGCGTCTTCTGCTGCTGCTGCTGCTGCCGCCGCTCTCGCGGCCGCCCGCTCGGCAGCGGCAGGATCCGGGCCTGCGACACTGACAATGTCGACGATGCCCCGGAAGCCGCGGCGCTTGATGCCCTCGTTGACGACGACGGCCCGGGCGCCGGCCCCGAGCGCCTCGGCGCCGCGCTCCGGGCCGAGTCCCCACACGGCTAGCAGGTTGACAACGTCGGCGGGGGCGCGCAGGCCGAGCGTCCCGGTACTCCCGGCAGGGCCGCCGCTGCTTATAACAATGCCGCGGCCCTTGGTCGCGCGCAGCAGGCCCTGCACGTTGCCGATGAAGTTCGCGCGCGCTCGCGCTTCAGCACCACCCAGCGCCTGGCCGTAGCAGATCTCGAAGCGCGACCCCCGCGCCACCGCCGCCATGGCCGTGCGGTGGTGGATGTGCCAACCGAGAAAGGCTGCCAGGTCCAGGCTGATCAGCGCCGGCGCCTCCGTCGTCGACAAGCACGCCCACGCGAACGCCTTCTCGTTGGCCGGCCGCACTGCTAGCACGTCGTACGCCCGCGCGAAGTCGGGCAGCCGGTAGTTGGTCGTCGCCGGGTCTGTGACGACCAGCGTGACGCGGCGTAGGATGGTGGGGAGGGCAGCGGCGGCGGCGCTGTGGCTGGGCGGCGGGATGGCGGCGGCGACGGTGGTGCTGAGGTTGGTGGTTTTTGTTGTTGTTGATGGCGGTGGTGGTGGTGGTGATGTTGATGTGGGGTTGTTGAGAAGCGGGATGGGGTTGACGACGGCCGACGGCACTGTGGGGATGGCCCCCGTCACCGTGTGGTTCAGCGCGACCACGTCGTAGCCCAGGTTCTTGGCGAACCGCAACGTCCGCTGCAGTTCTGTTGTGGGCACGCCGGGCGTCCACGCTAGGTTGAGGTCGTAGAGCATGGTGAAGGCCTTCAACCCTTTGTCTGAGTGAGACTTGAGGATGAGACGAGATATACGGGCCTAGGCTTCGAAAATCCAGAACGAGTGGTCCTCAGCGCGTTAGAGCCTAGCCATTGAGCCGCACAACGAGCACGGATACAAGGGCAGAGTGACGTGTGAAATAATCATGTGCCGTAAATTGTCCTCTTTTGTCGAATTCCGGTTTCCAGTGCCGGCCAACAATGACAGGAAAAGGTTAATATCACCTCAGACTTGCCCTGCTGAGGCTGACAGTTCACAGTTGACAACTTTTTTTTGGGCTTTCTAGGATCGTGTTTGCGTACAAATTCCCGAGCCTGGTGGGGGGGTGGACCAGGGTGTCTGGAGTGCATATCTTGGAGAGCCAATCATGCGCCAAGGTTCGTGTGCCAGCACCATTTCCCAGGGTCTTGGCACGGGTTCGCGGGTGGCTGCACAGCCCCAGCACGACACGCAACCCACCGCACCAGGGGAGGGAAGTACTGGCCACCGTCGTCATCTCTTAGTCCTTCCCTGTCACCTCACCTCCATTCTTTCATCTATCTTCGCGCGCCGGATTGAAGACCGCAAGATCTATGTAATTGATCAATCACCATCGTTGACACAGTTCCTTTACTCGTCTTAGTTCGACCTACAAATACAGACTACCTTACATATCTGTCATATTTCACTTTTTGACTACCGACGTGTCTTGATTGGGCATTCGTTAATTATCGTTTTCGCCGTCGCCATCGCACCGATACTAGCTTAGCTAACTTCGTCGATATCTGCAGGCCCAAGGCATCAACACTCCCTTGCTGCGCTCGCACCTGCGCTATCTGCATACATTAGCGCACCGCGCGCGCGCGCACGCACGCAAGGCTAAGCTGCCGCCATGTGTCTCATATTTACGTGCGGCGAGCACACGTTCCGCAAGGAGGTGGAGGGATACGAGGGCATCGTGTGTCGCTGCTACAACTGCGGCAACTACTCTGGCTCCGTCATCAAGACCCACCCCTGGTTTACATTCTGCTTCATCGTGAGTTCTATTTGCCTGGCCCTTCGAGCGCTGACATGCAAGACTGTAGCGGATAAGCTGACCCCGTCGCGATCCGTCTCCAGCCCGTCGTCCCTCTCTCCATCCACGGCTACGAAGACGTCAGCTGCCGCATCTGCAACTTTGCGCAGCCCCTTGAGCACCGGCCCGACGTTCAGGCCATGCGCCACGGCGGCAGCGGGGTGCCGTTACAACCGCAAGTAGGATCTCCGCCGCCGGGCGGAGCTTCGCCATTCTCGCCAGTCATGTCTCCGCCGTACAAGGCCGGGGACTCGCCATTCCCCGCCGGTTCTCCGGGTCCGCAAGGAACACCAGGGCCCCAAGGAACACCAGGGCCCCAAGGCTGGGCCTACCAAAGTCCGCACCCGAACGAGCCGATGCGGTACGGTTGAGGTGCCCCGGCAGGGAACAAGAACCAACTGCGCCTGGTGACGGGGCGAGAGGAGACTTGTGCGTACGACAAGTCGCATGACCTGTGAAACTGGGCTTGATACACGAGGAGAGCCACAATAATTACAATTGCCGGATACGAGCACACCTGGATGACGGAGAGGAGGCGCTGACCGGGACGGGGTGGTCGGCGTAGCACTTCGCTGCTGCCGTTTGTCTCCCAAGAGCAAGGCCCCACATATTGGGCTTACCTCTTTATGGTTGATTTTGAGTCCTTCGCAAGCGAGTTTGTACAAGAGTAGGGGGGTGTACGATGAGACTCTGAGATTACGGGGTTTGGGGGGGATCTATTGCGACAGTCGGGGGCGTTTTCTATGTATCATTTTGGCGTTTGGTGTGTTTTGCAGCTAGCAGCCGTGGCTAGCAACGGGCCAACGTGTATTTAATCCGTGCTACCTCAGCATTTTGAGAGTAATCCGTGCTGGTTGTTTTGTTTCATTCGGTGCTGCTGCAGCTGTAATGCTGGCAATTTTCTCAGTCGGGTTGGTTGTCTCCAGGGAACCATCTTTTAAACTCATTTCATCATACATAATAGAAACTCAACCTCGGTCTCAAAAAAGGTTCGCAGCTCTGAAATTAGCCCGTGTTATGGCAAGCATAAAAATAGAACACATGTAGAGAAAGGGTGGGAATAATCGGAGCGGCCCCATGCACTAGTGGTAAGCATAGAAAGAGCGAAATATAGCCTGGAACTCGTTAAAATAAAACCGTCCGATTCCCGAGTGAAATTGAAACCGTTGAAAGGACGGCTTTGGATTAGATTGATGGTTGTGATCTGTATCTTGCTCAAGCTCCATTGGCCGGTTTCTTGCGGGGTACCTTTGTGGGTCCACCACATGACGTCGCCTGCCGTGGTTGCAGCAGTTGCAGTGGCTTTTTTTTGAGACCTCACCAACCAATCCACCCGAGACAACAAGCATCCAAGGGTCGTGGGTTCCAGCAATTCGGTACATACAGAACAAAGAATCTCCCGATCGCCACCGGAAAAGAACACCACGATCGCCCAGTTTGTTTTCTTTTTCTTATATGCCCTGTGGTCGCATGAGGAGTACGATATAGCGGCTCGTTAGCCCATAATCGCACCAAGAGCTCAATCGGAAACCGGCATTGAAGTCGTCCTCGAAACGTCGAGACCTCTATAATCACCCGTTCACAATGGCGTCGTCAAAACGCAGCCCGTCGGTGCTGGTAGGCTGGCCCGTTGCCATCTCCAAGCCCACACGCCGCTGGCTAACCGCGACCCCAGGTGACGGACTCGCGCGAGCGTCCACAGCGCGGCTCCTTCCCCAGACTCGCTAGCGCGCCAAATACCCGCCTATCGGTCGACAGTGTGCTGCAATACACGTCAGACATCCCGTCCGGCCAGCCGAGAATGCCGCCCGGCCAGCGCCCACGCACCGCCGCCCGCCGGATAAGCACAGGCGGTGGACTCCCCACGCTGGCCTCGGGCCGGACGGGCCAGCAGATCGTCCCGTCCCGGACAACAAAAATCAGCCAGAAGCTCGTGCTACTCCCGGAAACGGTAGACGAGAAGGACGAAGACGAAACGGCCGACAACGAGATGCTGCGCCACGCCTCCATATTACGGGCCCACGATGACGACGGCCCGCTCAAGGACGAAGAGCTCGACGTTCTCCGGAAGAGAGGCGGCGTCAGAGGCAAAAGCTATGCAGAACGCTTGCCTAAGGTGCAACGCGGCGAGAAGGTGGCACGGCTAACCGCCTACTGCACCGCCCAAGCCTACAAGATGAAGGCCACGACCGAGTTCTTGCGGACCAAGCACGAGGCCAAGACGAAGCTCTACGACGACTGCCTCTACACCGTCTACCACCTGCCCGTGCTCCCCGGTATTGACGGCTGCCGCCTGCGGAGCCGGCCCATTCTTAAGACGCCAGGGACCGGCAAGACGGTACTCGATCTTGAGATTGAGCGCAGCGAGCGCAGAGACGAGCACGAGGGCTACTGGGACGAATATCCCTATGGCTCCCAAGACGCGGCGCACAGTCCCGGCGCCGAGGCCCTGCCAGGCCGCCAGCGCGACGGAGACGAAGCTAGCTTCAATCCCATCAACCGACTAGTCCCTGATGCCAAGCACTTCGCCGAGATGTTTGTCTTTTCGTACGGAGTGGTCGTCTTTTGGAACTTCACCGAGCACCAAGAAAAGGACATCCTGGCCGACATGACGTTTGCCGAAAACGAGACTGGCGTGTCGCTGGCCACTCGGCCTCTTGACGAGATAGACTTTGAGACGGAGGAGTTCCACTTTGAATACAGCCCCGACGTACAGCGGCCTCGCGTCTTCAACGACATGATCACGCTGCTGCCCCAGTCCGACCACATGGTCAAGCTGACGATAAGCCACGCCATTGCGCAAAGCACCAAGCTGTGCTTCTTTGAGGAGCGCATGTCTGAGACCATGCAGGACGCCCAGCACGTGCCGAAGCGGCTGGCCCTGACCGGAGAGCTGAATATGACTCGGACGGAAATCGTCAAGATCTTGGGACGGCTGTTCAAGAGCCGCGTGGATATCAATCTCTGTGAGTTTGTCCCAAATCTTTGGTAGTCCGCCAAACTAACCCTTGCCCTCAGCATCGAATATCCTCGACGTTCCCAACTTCTTCTGGGACTCTGAGCCCACTCTGCACCCGCTCTATGTTGCCATCCGCGAGTACCTCGAGATCGACCCGCGCATCAAGGTTCTCAACGAGCGGTGCCGCGTGTTCCTGGACCTGGCAGAGATACTGTCTGACAGCGTCGCCGACGCCAAGATGAGCTACATCACGTGGATCATCATCATCCTGATCGTCGTCAGCATTATTGTCACTGTGACCGAGGTGGGTCTGCGGTTTGGCATCTTGTCCAAGGAGAAGGGCAAGGACAACGGCGGCCAGGGGAATGTCATTGGCGGCGAGAGAGGCCAGAGATTGGTCGATCTGCGCAGCCTGAACCTCGCCGAGGCCAACATCACTCTCGAGGACCTGCGGCTGTGGAGCGCCGCGCTGACGGAGCGCGAGAAGGCGGCCGTCTGCGGCGCAGACATTGTCGGCAAGACATTTGCCGGGGTATAGTATGGTTGTAATATAGGTATGCTCCACTGCAGAGAGTTGGCTGGGATGCACTTGGCCAAAGTTGTGATATTTCATTTGGTTCCCTGGTATCGTTTTTACAGTCTGAAAGTGGCTTTAGCATAGCGATGGCGTTCATACGCAGAGGCCAAAAGAATGAGTTGCTGGGAGGTTACTATCACTATTATCCGTATCAAGGAGTGAGGAGATCGTGCATGGTGGGGGTATGAGTATTTTGTATTTGTTTTGTGCAAGACGTGTCCCATAAAGGAGGTCGTTTAAATCTATCAATCATAACATGTGCTGAATCGGCACCTATCTGACATTCAGCGCCATTCTGTCCCGTATATATAGAACTTACCTGTCATTGTGTTTTTTTAGCTGTAAAGGCAATTCTTACTTCTATTTGCGAACTCCTAGGCCATGTTGCTGCAATATGAGATCTCCCTGTAGGAGCCTGTCTGTTGACTTACCTTTTTGAGGCCACAGATGGCATACACTTACCATGTCTGAAACCAGTAAGGATGCCGGTCAGGCACTTACTCTACCTGCCTGGTCCAAAGCGAGCGAGCGAGACGATCTAGGAAGGTATCCAGCTAGCTCATCATGCAATAAGCATGCAAGCAGCATCTTACGCCGTGATACCATGGGTATATATCTACTTACTTACCTGACTCCTCCCCAAGCCAAAGGCCAAAGAAAGAAAGAAAGAAATAAAATAAAGAGAGGGAGGGAGGGGATCAAGCAACCGTCTCAGCCCGCCGCACAAGCACACCAGCATCCGCCGTCTCAGCCCGCCGCACACGTCCTTGCTCGCCCGGTGCGACAGCCAGTTGCTGCGCCAGCACCGGCCGCGCAGCGTGTCGTCGCCGGCGAGTTTCGCAAGCGCGCACTTCTTGCGCTCGAGCGTCGCGAATAGCCGCGCCGAGCACACGCGGCATGTCACGGCGTGGCGCTGGAGGTGGCACATTTTAGTGGAGGGTAGGGGGAGGACTTGCTGTTGCTTTCAGCTGTTATGGTAGTTGGTTACACTTGGGCCTCCTTTCTTTTGGCCGGTTCGGAGTGTTGGTAGCACCGTTCGGGATCGAGCTCGCATTTGGACAGGCAATTTGATTCAGGGGCACGGGGTAAGGCCATTTATATATTTGATTAATTGGTATGTGCGACTTTGGGAGCGCCTTCTGAGAGAGAAGCCGGATGGGTTCGAAGCCGAGCTGGAGCACACAAAGGACCCTGACTCTGTCAAAGAGAACTTGAGTGTACAATAGTAACAAGCAAGAAGAAGGGACAGTAAACCAGGCGGCTCTAATAAAGAGAACGCAACAATGAAGAAAGAGTCTCCGTGCTATTCCAAAGCCGCAGAAGGGTTATATGGTTTATTCCTGGTAGTCATCACGGCTTATATTTGGGGGGGAGAAGGACCACGATGACATGCCGACACGTCCGCGTACCGTGGAAAGGCGAGACCGGCTGCAGGACATATTAAGTCTTTGAAGTATTTTCGTTACACTACCGCTCGTATTGATGCGCCCGCAGGGAGTATATGCAATAGGGGGATGCCTTCTGGAAACCCGAGACCCCTTCCGAGCCTCGTGCAGTTGCCAGTGGCTCTTGGAGCGGTCCTTAAGAACAACTCGCACCGAATTACTCGATATCTTTTTCTCTACCGCCTTGTCTCTTCAGCCCTCTCTCTACAGCAGATTCATCGAGCTTTCTCGCAGACCGCAAATCCATCATGGCTAGTGTGCAAATAGGGCTTCATATCCTCATCGACAATGTTTAGGCCGACGCGAGCCCCGGCCTGGCGGCGGTCGAGTAAGTATATGTGCCTACCTAACTAGGTAGCCAACTACCTAGTTATCTAGCTAAATACGATCTATATCACGCGCATTTACAGGGCAACGGAAATGGAGCATTTGATGCAGGGAGGTAAAGCTTGAATTGTCTGAAAAGGTCTGTCTTTTCATTGGCTCAGGCCTATGATAACTGTGGGGCCTACAACTCATCTTCGAAGTCCTATACCTTCGATAAACACTCTTCTGGTGCTTGTACTAATATCCTTCTACATGTAGAGTCCTAGACTCTATCAAAATATTGCCTTATAGGCACATTTCATCAGTGGTGAAATGACGTGGGCTTGTTTTGCACAGGAAGATAAAAAAGGCGCAATTGTGCTGGGGGTCGGATTTGATTGCCAAGTAATTGTGCGGTTTGACTTGACTGATTGACTAACGATGCAGAGAACTGCTAGCCGTTTTGCAAGGGAAGACGAATCTGTACCAGAGTTGGTCCGCCGAATCGACAACGAGGAAGGTACTCCGTACGTAGGAAGTCTTCCTCCCTAATCTAGAACATACAGCCGGCCACAACACCAATGAGGCATACCTATAACCTAACCTGGAAATTGGAAGTAAGGATGCCACGCCGGACAATAATACTCAGTATAGACACCTTTGGAGATGAACCGCGAGTCCATGCCAGCCAGCACCAACAGAGCCAATCGTAAAAGAGATGTGTATTGATCATTATGCACATGTAATATACCTAAGGTACCTACCTAGTACTGACAGAGAAATCTCGCAGCTCGCCTTCAAGCGATTACAAAGACAAGAGCCAACCATAATTCAACCCTGCGAGAGAGACCTAGCCAAGCAAGAGACACTCACAGAGTCCCCGACACCCATGCCCGCAATGGGGTATTTATACCGTAAAATCCGGATGAGTATAAAAGAGGAGAAAACGGAGAAGGGGGTGAAATCGCCCAACGAATCAGTACTACCACTGTATGGATGCCAATTCATGAAATGTAGATAAAAAAAAAAGAATAAAGAAAAGATACATGAATTACCGATATCAGCCCCCTTCCCACCTACGTAATCGTCTCGGCCGTCACCGGCCCAGATGGCAGCGGCGTCTCGTGGCCGGGCCCATCCTCGCCCTTCTGGCCCGCAGGCACGCGGGGCGGCGCCGAGGCGAGGCCGAGGCGCTGCATCACGGCAACAGCGACCTTGTTCTCGTCGCGCAGGGCGTCCTCGTCGTGCTTCTGGTTCTGCAGAAACTCCTTCTCCCTGGCGGCGCTCTGCGACGTGTCCTGGCGGGCAGCCATGTCGCGGCGGTAGGCGTCGGGGGCGAGCAGCTTGTCGCGGCGGTGGGTCAGCTTGCCGACGGCGTCCTTGCCCTTGCGGCGCAGGTTGACATAGGCCTCGAGGCCCACGAGCACGGCGTAGCTCTTGGAGATGCTGACGTGCGACGTGTCGACGCCCTCGTCCTTGAGGCTGCGCACGAAGGCGCGGAAGTTAGCCGCCGGCGGCCGGTAGTGGCCGCTTAGCGGTGACAGGCTCGACAGGCGACCGTCCTTGATCTTGATGAGCCCCGCGGCCGAGATGCGGCTGCCCTGAAGGAACGACGAGTGCTGGAAGGCACCGCTGTTCTTGATGCCTACGTACAGCCGGAAGCTCGTGTCGGCGACGAAGATCCACGTGTTCTTCTTGACCGTCTTGCGCAGCAGCTTGTTGAGGATGGTGCTGGCCGACACGTGCTTGATCTTCTTGACGCCCTTGGCCTGGTCGAGGCTCGGCGTCGCGTACCGCTTAGCGCGCGCCGCCTCCTCCGAGTCGGATGCGTGGTGCTCGTCGTCTGACGAAGACGACGACGACGACGATGGCGACGACGACGGCGACGACGAGCTGGAATCGCCCAGTAGCTTGGTTGAGTTGTCGGATATGCCCTGGTAGGCGGGGGTAGGGTCGTCGCTGGGGACGATACCGTGGACCGAGTCCTTCCACTTCTCCGTCGTGTCGATGCGCGCGCCGTTCTTAGCCCAGCACAGGCGGCCATGGTCGTCGACCTTGACGAGGTAGTACTGGCGCTCCTCACGTGTCAGGTAGCGGACCTGCTCCTTGTCGAGGCGCTCGCGCGGACAGGCCTCAATGTCGAGCTGGCGGCCCTCGCCGTAGTCGAGCCAGTAGAAGAAGTTCTCGTTGGTGTCAGCCTTTTTCCACTCCTCGTGGTAGACGCGCAGGTTGGACCCGTAGCGGTGCTTCAGGTCGACCATCTCGAGGAAGTACGACAGGCCCATCATCTTGGCGTTCTTCTTGCGGCGCGCCTTCTCCTCGTCCCTCTTTTTCCGCGCCAGCTTCTCGGCCTTGCGCTGCTCGTCGCTGGAGTCGGAGGACGACGAGGACGAAGACGACGACGAAGATGACGAGGACGAGGACGAGGAGCCGCTCGAGATGCTCTCAGCGTCGACGTCGCCGCCGGCGCGGCGAGCAATGGTCGATGCCTTCTTCCACTTCTGGCGCGCAGTGGGTGACCGGCTGCTGAGCACCCTGCGGGGGCTGTTGGGCTCTTCCGTCTCTGGGGCTGGGGAGACGTCGCCGCTTCCGTCGTCGGCGTCGCGGGCCCTAGGTTTTGTCATCTCGCGCCACTGGGCCTCGCGAATAGCAAGCACCCATCTCGTTGACGCATCAATGCCGAGCCCTTTTATCTCGCGCCGTGCCCGATAGCCACGGTAGGAGCGCTGGATGACGGTCGCGGCCTTTGTGCGCGTGCCGTCGTCGGTCGAGTGAGTTAAGCGGTGGCCGAATCCGTGGAGACCGAGGCGATTGAGCAGGCGGCCATGGCGGCTCTCGCTGTGCGGCTCTGGCTTGTCGTGCTCCTTATCGTCGTGGCCGGGCGGCGGGGCCGGGTCGGCGGTTTGCTGCTGGTGAAGCTCCCGCGACCGTCGCTTGAGGTCGGCCTCGCGCTGCCTCTGCACGTCGGCAATGTGCGCGAACTCGTCCTTGGACGGCGTCACTAAAGAGTCTAGATATTCCTGGTGACGTTGAACGGCGCCAAAAGAAGTCTGCGAGGCGGCGGTTCCCGGCCTGGCAAGCCGTTCAGGTTGAGGTTCAGGGGGACGTTGCGCGAAGTCGCCGCTTGGTGGTGGTGGTGGGGTTGGAGGGGTGACGCTGGTGCTGGTGCTGGTGCCGGCCGCTGACGGCTCTAGCTTGGCAGTGTCGTCATCCATCGAGTCTACCTGAGGGGATGAGAATGGAACTGGACTTTGGTCGCACAATTTCGCGGATTGTCTAAAAGCAAAGGACAGCGACGGGTTATCCGGGAGGAGAGCTTGAAGCAGATCCTATGGGACGCATGTTAGTTCGAATGCGCCGCCGGTTAACCCGATGCGCACGATGGAGGGAGGGAGGGAGGGGTCCATTCAGCTAATTTTTGTTGGCGCCTGCGCCCGCCCTGCGGCAACATGCGAAGCTCGAGAACGGGCGGGCTGTGAGTGTGAGCATGGCGTGCCGTCCGGCCTTGGCATTCCAAGGTTTGGACAGTTCTGCACATAATTTTCTACGACATCCAAGCAGCACCACTCAATTCGCCTGCCTGTAAGCGTCATTGCGGTATATTGACGAGTGCTTACCTTATAATACAACTTTAGCCTGCAAGAGGGATGGGGCTGGGGACGGGGACGCTGATTTGCGGGGATTTGGGTTCTGATCAAGTGTAAGGCAACCCTTTCTCTCAGCTTACTGCTCAACGCCGGTGGCTGCTTATCTACAAGTAAACACCTAAAATATTAAAGCACCGATAATAAGCCACCCAAGGCAAGATATGGTGAGTATATATCCCAAAGACCCGCCCGGTAGTAGCTTTTTTTTTTCTTTTTTTCTCGTGACCAATTTTAATCTATATATCGCGTATCCCAAAGACAAGATTGGAAACCTCTGCGAGCTGCCATCCTTTCCACAGTATTATCACATTATACTCCCCTGTCTTGGACCACAATCCGACACAGTTCTCCCCTGAGAAGATGCCTAAGCCGCAAACATGGTGGACGCCGACACGGCCTCCCACTCGTCGAGCAGCGCCAGCGTCTTGGCGCACTTGTCCCTGACGACGGCGAGGGCGTCGGTGCCTAGGACAAGGCGGACAGGCACGGGCCTGCCCTCGGCGGCGCCCGACCTGGTGAGGACGTCGACGATGGCGACCGCGCACTTGTCCACGTCGCCCGGCTGGTTGCGGTTGTACGCGTTGAGCGCCCCGCGCGTCGCCGCCACTGCCGTACCATCGTACACGTCCAGCTGCCGCGCCGTCGCCATCCGGTGGTCTCCTCCCCCGGTGCCGTTGCCCTGTACTAGGAACCCAGTCCGCGTGTACCCCGGCTCGACCACGCACACGTCGATGCCAAACGGCCCCAGCTCCTCGGCCAGGCCCTCCGTCATGCCGCTCACTGCCCATTTCGTGCTGCAGTCTGTTGTTTCCAGCCAGAACGTCAGCAAACTGATTTGAGGGTATCCAGAGCAGATAAAAATGCTCAAAACTCACAGTGCGCCACGGCCGGTCCCGAACCCCAGCTGCCGAGGCTCCCGAAAGTGGCGAGCGCCGCCTGGTGCCTGCCGCCGGCCTCGGACGCGGCGGCGCGCAGGTGCTTGGCGGCGGCGCGGGAGACGTTGAACGTGCCGAGGACATTGGTGTTGAAGAGGGCGGCGACCTCGCGGGCGCTGGCCTCCTCGATGGCGCCCTCGAGGATGTAGCCGGCGCAGTTGGCGACGTGCGTGATGCGCCCGTACACAGCGGCGGCAGCGGCTAGCTTGCCCGCCAGCACCTCGTCGTCGCTCGTCACATCCACGTCCAGCACCGCCGCGCCCGCTGCTTTGAGATTGCCCAGCTTGGAAGAGTCGCGTGCCGACGCGACCACCTTGTGGCCGCGCCGCAGCGCCTCGTTCGCGATGGCCTCGCCGAACCCGCTCGACGCCCCCGTGATGAACCAGACGATGTCGCTCATTTTGGTGGTGTTCTGTGTTCTGTGTGCCCGGGTCTCGTGTCTAGTGAGGTTTCAGGAGGTGAATAAGACGAGGTTCTTTTGGTATCTAGTTAAAATACGATGATATCTCGTGGTGATGATGATGATGATAATGAGCTCGACTCAGACCCCGAGGCGAGCGACCACTCCGGTCTTTATAGACCTTGGTTCCAGCATGTCTGTCTACCAATTCTATTTCGCCAACGTGTTGCTAGAATAAAGTCCGGTGCCAAGCTGGCATCGACGCCGATTTCTTGTTTGGAGACAGCCGCAGTCCGAAGGAATCGCACTACGTAGTTGCTCTGCGCAATTCGTGACGGTGGCAAAGACAAAAGAGCTGGCCTAACGCCCTTCTGGCCGTCGGCGATTAACAGCTGGTGGTGCGTCTACTTATCTCCGAACGTCTGCTTGGGACCCAAACCCCGACGTCAGAAAGTTACGAAACCCCCCGGGATTCATCTTCAACCCCGATTCCCAACGGAATCATATCATTACGGTCTAAAATCCGGCGTCAATTTGAGCTGGATTAGAAACACCACTGGGTAGAAAGACTCATAATGGCCGTGTACAATGCCCGGTGCTTTGTAACCTGAACAAACTTGGTTTCTGTTTCCGATTCACCAGCTCGGAATGAAACCGAGGCGGCTCGCATATACGGGCATATCATATGGCTCTCGAGCGCAGCCGAGTCGAGGTCACAGGACAATGGGCACTGCAGGTCAAACCGCAACCAGAGCCCAACCCACAAATACTCACATCAGAAGCGCAGACAGAGAAAGACGCGCAAGGGGTGTACTGAATAACATCAATGGATCCGCATCCACGTCCAAGCAGCGTGAGATTATCCAATACTATTAGAATTACTACCGAAGAAGAAAAAAAAAGAGAAGAAACGAAAAGAAAAAAGGGAACATAAGTAGGTAGGTATAGTGAATGCAATGCGTGCTAGAGGAAAATAAAGAAAAAGAAAAAATACTGGCATTGATCTTCTAGAGCCGCCGCTAGGAATTTCGGATCGGGGCCATGGGACGGAACGGTTGGGCACAATCATGAGAAGAGAAACTCCTTCAGGACAGGAGAGCCCGAGAATTCCGGGTTTAAGAGTATGCAGCTTTCGTGGGGTAAAAAAACGTGTTAGTGAATTTTGGCCACTTTGGTGTCCGCTTACTTCGATCAATGTACAGGCAGGTAGGTAGGTAGAACAAAGTCACTTCCCACTCACTTTAGGAAATACTGCAGACCAGCCCGCCTCTTCTCGAGGAAGCGCGGCTTAAAGTTTGAGAGGATGCTCTTGGGCGGCAGGACCGGTACGGCGGCCTCGAAGCCGGGGAACGTCTGCACGAGCCGGCGGCGCAGGTCGTCAAACTCCGAGTACCGCTTCCGGATGTTCATGTGCGAGCCCTGCGAGGGTTTTGCGGTGTTAGAGTTTTCGGGGCTCGGTACAGTATTGACTGTGCAATTGCGGAGAGAAAAGAAAAAGGGAAAAAAATAGGATAATAAGAAACTAACATTGAGCGTCTGGACGCGAATATTCCATACGACAAACGCGCCAATGTTGGTGGTGCTGCCGTTGACCATGACCGAGTCGGTGATCTCGACGCTCTTGGCCCAGCAGGCGCGGTTGCGGTCGCGGCCGATGACGTTGGCGGCGCGCCGGTTTTGGTCATCGTCGTCGTCGCACTCGTTGTCCTGCAGCGTGATGGCCCCCGCGGGCAGCACGCTCTCGACCGACACGTTGGACACGGTCCGGCCGTGCCCGTGGGCCCAGTACGGCGGCGACGTCACCGACGGCGACGTCATGGTCTCGGAGCCCGAGCCGATCCCGTCTTCCGAGCCGCCGCTGCCGTGTTTGTTACTTCCTCCATGGCCGTTTCCGTTGACGTGGAGGTAGTGTTTATCGGCGCTGGCGGTGGTGGCGGCAGAGGAGTCGTCGTCGTCGTCGTCGTCGCCCAAGGAGGGGAATCCGAGTTGGTTCTGGTGCTCGCCCACCGCGGCTGTGATACGCTTCCCAGCCTGTCTGCTCTCCTCTCTCCAATCTGTCGACACAGTCAGTGGAGCAGCATTAAAGTCGGTGAAGCTTCGGCTGGTGCGTGGCTCGTCGAAGGCGGTGTCGGCGTTGCTTCCGCCGATGCTGCCGGTGGGAGCTGTGGGCTGGCCATGATGGTGTTCAATCTCCGACGCCATTCACGCCATCTGGGGGTGAGGCAGGACGCGCTCGTCCACCGCGGACCCGTATTGTTCCTCCTGGATTGTGTCGGGCTGTTGTTGATGGGCGCGCACGTGAGAGACTCTTGCAAAGTGAAGGAATTGGTAAACCGCCGCAGAGCTTTGCGCTTCAATTGTGGGTTGCGACTGGGGCGAGCTTGCGATTGCGATTGCGCTTGCGATTGCGATTGCGGGTTTCTCGGTCGGATTCGTCGACGGCTCCCTCTGGCTAATAAAAGCAAATAATTCCTTCGGGCTCTGTAATGCTGTGTTTGCGCAAGGATTCGATAATGCAAAACAAGAGCGAGGGCTTCAACTAACACCAACGTGCGAGCGCACAAGAGAAGCACGAGACGATGAGGGTGAGGAGGGAGTGTCGCCGCTGGTGGCCCGCTGGCAGCTGCCAGGTGGGCACGAACAAACCATCGTCATTGCCGCCCGGCAGGCGGTCCCGCCCCCATCCATCAAACAGCGCCCGAGCCCCATTGGCCAACCACCAGCCGTCTTGCAGTGCGCAGGGTTTCAATTGAGGTACCCTAATGTAATCGTGAGAGATAAGATATGGTTAAGTTCCAGTTCCAGTATCACGGACCCGCTGAGGAGCTCTTTTCCTTCTCTTCATAGCCTCCGCTATCCTCGGCTCCTCCAACAAACGGAGTCAATCTCCATCAACAGACGTTCAATCGGAGCTCGTCAGGGCTAATGGTCTAGTGGTATGATTTCTGTTTTGCAATGAATCTTTCATCGCCTCTACAGACGGTCCCGCGTTCGATCCGCGGTTAGTCCAAATCATGAGGAATACCTTCATTTTTTTACCTCACAGCTTATCCTTTCCTTCAACTTGGATAATCCTTGTTTTAGTTGTTTGACCACGCATCCTTGTTGGCCTATTTTCTCGATTTTGGTATTGCCGTTGTTGTCATAGCCCTTCCATCATGTCATGTCATTGCGTCGTTCCCTTTCCTGTTCTTCGTTGTTCCAACCAACAATACTCCGACACCAAAACCTTCAACATCCAAAAGGATAAATTTCCGAAACCCCAAATTGATCCCCCTGCAGAGCCCTAGCCCCAACCTGCCACTTATACGCCGCGAAATATCCAGTTGTGTGGTATATGCCTTTATCAAGAAACCCAGAAAAGAATAGGAGAAGAAAACAAAAGAAAACCGATTCATCCCGTCATACACACACGTAGGCATTCGTGATCGTGACTATGTAACATGTCCTGCCCAACTTGGTTACCTACCGCGCATGGTAGTAATATCCACCGTCATAGCCTGCCGGGTCCGGGAGTTCGTGGCGTGGTTGTTGCCCTGGACTATCCCCCACTCCCTCCTGCTGTTGCTGCTGTTGCTGCTGTTGCTGCTGTTGCTGCTGCGAGAAGCCTATTGGTGCTGGTACTGGTGCTGGCCCTGCCGCGTGGGATGCATCTAGCTCGTTTGCACGCTGGGAGGCATCCAGTTCCTCCGCGTGGTAGAAACCCTGGCCCGGCCCTTGCATGAGAGGAGATAGTTGTTGGTCCGCTGGGTGATCATCGTAGGAGCCCTGTCTGTAGTGTTGCTGCTGGGGAGCGCCCCAGTGCCCAGCAGCTCCCGGCGGCGCGGCCACTGGATTGCTCCCGTCAACCTCGTACCACTCGGGCGGCGGGCTGCCTTGCGCCTCGGCGACGGCTGTCGCTCCGCTTCCCGTTGTCAAGGCCGACTGCCGGTCGCCTTTCTTTGCGGTAGGCGACGGCGTGCCTAGCAGAGTGGTGAATCCGGAACTGCTGCGCTGGTGATTGCCGCCGCTGCCGCCGCTGCCGCCGCCGCCGCCGCCCTGAACACCCGGGTGCAGGAATTGTGCCGCATGGTGTTCGGGCGGCGATGGCAAAAACTGCGGTGGTATGATCGGCAACGTAGGCTCTCGCATGTACGTATTTTCCGGCGGTGGCAGAATGCTACTGCTGTTGGTGGTGAGAAAGGGACGGCTTCGGCGGCGATGGCGCCGGAAAAAGAAGATGGCAAGCGCCACAACGAGGACGGCGAGAATGCCGCCTCCGACGCCAATGGCTGCGATGGCTGACGTTGAGAGGGCTGACCCGGGGGACGAGCTGGAGGAGGCAGGCAAGGCAGGCGCCGCGGATGAAGAGGTGGCGGGGTCGGTTGTTGTTCTCGTTGCTGGGGAGGTTGGCGGCAAGGTAGGAGTGGCGGTGGTGATAACGGTTGATGGCTGGTGCGACGTGATGGTGAGCGTGGAGGTGACATCGATAGTAGTTTGCGCCGTGAGAACTCTGGAGAGTACAAAGTTAGCAAAGCTCACCGAGTAAAGTGCGTTGTCTGAGCAAGCTACACCATAGTCCTGTATCTGGTCTTCACACAAGGGCTTGCTGCTCTACGTACCGAGTAATCGTCCTGAAAACAGTTGTCACAACAAGAGAGGTGGTGAATGCGGTGACAGTGGTCGACACAAAACTAGTAACATCGGTCGTCTGAGTGACAAGGCTGGTTATGTACGACGTTGAACTGGCGTCTCTCCGGACTGGGAGTACGTCTTCGATGGCATGATCCAGTCTTATGCCGACCGACGCAAGACCGCGAGAAGCAATATCAGCCCATAGCGACCTCAGAAACCCTCTACGGGGGTGCTGGGGCGAGTTTGACCGGATATGGCGGACGCCTCCCTCTCTGGCGTGGTACGGGTACGGGTACGGGTACGGGTACGGGTACGGGTACGGATCCGGGCCCGGGCCCCCTCGCTTGGCAACGGCGGTCACAGTTGCCCACACGACGTTTGTCTGGGTGGCAGCACTCGAAACGGTGACTTCGACAGTCGACACGACGGTTGATGTATCGATCTGGTTCACCAGCACGGTAGCTGTCTGTGTGGCCGTGTGCGAGACTGTCTGATATATTGTCGAGACCACGGTCACCACGGCCCTGCCCGACGGTTAGTCTTCGAATCATTGGCAGACGGTTTTCTAGCGGTGAGCTTGACATACACCGAAGTCGAAACATCTACGCACTGCCCCTGGGAGCACGTTTGTCCACTGGTACAGCATCCGGTTCCGCAGCACGAGCTTCCACCGCTGCAGCAGATGCCGGTGTCGAGACAGCATAGACCACAGTTGGGACAGAACTTGGTCTTGTCATTGAAGCAAAAGTTGGACCCGTTGGCAAGGCAGTCCCTCCTGCTAAGCTCGAGCGCCGGTTCCTTGAAGCCAAAGAGTGGCTTGGTTCCTGGGATAGGATCGATCCAGGACTTTGCTAGCCCGATATCGCCAAAAGCAATAGCCGTGGCCGAGCCAGAGCCGTCGTTGTCGACATCCTTGGGTAGTCCGGCGACTCGCCCAAGAGAAGAGAGAGCGAGGCTAAAAAGGAAAAGAGGCAGAAGGCCACGAATAATAGACATAATGAGCTCTTTTCATGATGTGCACGTCGAGGAGCATGAGCGGACGGGAATGTAAGGGGAAAACCGAGTAGCACCCTCCAAACTGCAAAAGCAAGAGCAGGCACTGAACATAGTCGACAGCAGCCGAGCCATGTTATAAACAGTCTGGAGGCAGCTGTGCGGGCAGCCTCACGGCATTGGACAGGACAGTCGAGAAAGACATGGCGGGGGAGCAAGACACGCATTGCGGCCGCAGATACTAGGCGACTTCGCCCCAGCCCGGGGCAGATTCACAGCTCCCACAGCTGGCGATGGAAGAGGCGGCCAACCACCTCCACACGAACAACCACACGACTATCACCCCACCTCGCCTCCCTTCCCACGTATGTATTTACTTGCACGCCATGCCCATGCCGATGTTGATGTTGGATAGCAGCAAGCAACCCGATGAAGGCGTCGGGCTGGAATCCAAGAGTACCTTAGGTACAGAGCAAGACTTGAGACTTGGCGGACAAGTCGCGCCTAGAGCAGCCGCGTCAGTCAGACGCCAGCGCCAAGCGCTGTGACTCGGGCCTCTGCAATGCAAGCTGTCGGGCGATGTGCTGGAGCTTGCCAGCCACATGGTGTCTGCGGCGAGCTTTCATTCGCCGTCCTGCCGGTTGGCTGACCGCTCCCGGCTGTGCAACTGTGCAACTGTGCTCATCGGGCCCTTAAGAACTAGGCCCTGCCACCACCACCATCATCGCCGTCAAAGCCTTCATCGCCATTCTGCGGAATAGGTACTTACTTTCCTTACATAAGGGACAAAGTGCGGTTGTTTCTCGACCTGTACCACCATCACGTCGGCTGACAGCTACCTATGTAATTCACTGGACTGGGCAGAGACTGAGCCGGAAATCCTTCCACGCCCATGTCGCAACTTCGGTGACGGGCGGTTATGAAGCCTCGACGTTTCATACAAAATGGAATATCATGTCGAGAAAAGGAGATGGCCCGAGTACGGATGAAGATGGTGAATTGGAAATTTGCACACATGCGACTTGGACAAGACGGGAGTTTCCTTGTGCTGGAGGTGGAAGACCCATCCCAGGGGAGGCCGGTTGAAGCTGAAAAGTCGCAGGGGCAGCCCTGTATTGCTTGGCGCGCAGGGGATCCATCCACGCCCGCCCCACACTGCAAGTCAGCGCCCGACGCACTTCAGGTCCATCCGCCAGCACTGGAACCTGTAGATCAGATAATAGAAAAAGGCCCTCGAACCTCTCCCAAACGCACGCGCTGCTGCCTTCCGCGCCTAGAACAGCTCGCCATGGATATTGACGATATTCTCCGCGAAGTCGACCCGACATTCCACGCCATCCCGCAAGAGAAACGCGACCTCCAGGACCTAACGCGTGCCTGGGTCGCCGAGAGATGTGCGCCAGAGCTCCTCCAGTATGTGCAGGATGCTGAAGGACCCCTCACCCTACGATGGCAGGCACCGTGCCTAGACAAAACACTGCTAACCCGTGCATCTCTCCGCCCGCAGATGGCCTGCCAACGACCTGTTCGAGCGCGTCAATGAAAATATCAAGCGGCAGATCGAAAAGGTCGAGGAGATGACGGGCGACATGGACCCCAAGACCAACTTCGTGCTCATCGTGCTGCAGACGGAGCTCGAGCGCTTCAAGTACCTCGTCCGCAGCTACCTGCGCGCCCGCATCGCAAAGATTGACCGCCACACGCTGCACTACCTCTCCACCGACGACCTGCGGTCCCGCCTGTCCGAGATGGAGCTCGCCTACGCCACGCGCCACCAGGCCCTGCTCCACAACCACTACCTCGCCTCCTTCCTGTCCTCGTTCCCGCCGGCCCTGCAGAACCTCAACGACACGGCTGGCAACGTCACCATGATCGACGCCCCCGACCTCGACTCGGCCGTCTTCGTCCGCTTGCTGAGAGACACGGCGGTTGAAGCGCGGGACGTCGATGTGGACTCCTCGACGGGCGGCCAGGAGAACGCCATTTATATCTTGCGCTGGTCTGACGCCAAACCCCTCGTTGACGCTGGTAGCGCCGAGCTGGTTTGATTATCGCTCGAGTCGGCCGAGCGGCTCTCGTTTGCGAATCGGCATCGGAGTTCGCTTTTGGCGCCGTCTCTCTACTTTCCGGATCGGATGGGTTGACGGGTCGAATCCCGATGCTTGGCACGAACTAGAGCCGAGATCCGCGCCAAGGTCGGCGTCTAGGAACGCGAAATCCTGTCTTAAGTCCTTAACCCCGGCCGCGGTGGAGGCCGGTGCCAATGAAAGCATATTCGGCATCGCGACGCGGACTTAAATCCTTCGGCTCGGCTCGGCCTTAAGCAAAGGTCTGGTGTGTATAAGTGGGAGCAAGTGTCGCTAGAGACAGGCGACTGAAAATCCATGCTCGGACTTGACCCCCAACTCCTCGCCATCCCATTCAGTTCGCCATCTGCACAGCTTCACCTGCTACCACAGCTACAATGGCCGCCACGCGTTATACTCACGTTGCCCTCGTCACCGGAGCAAACCAAGGCCTCGGCTTTGAGATTGCCAAAAAGCTCACCACCGAGCACAGCGACTACCGTGTCATCATGGCTGGCCGGAGAAAAGAGGCCATCGACAAGGCCGTAGCAGAGCTCCAAGGGGCCGGCCTCGCCGTCGAGGGCCTGCAGATGGATGTCACGTCGGACGAGTCCATCACAGAGGCTGCCCGGGTGGTCAGGGAGAGGCACGGCCGTCTCGACGTTCTCGTCAACAATGCCGGGGTGTTCCTGTCCGAGGACGGGTGGCCTCGCAAGGTGTTTCAGGAAACCTTTGACATCAACGTTTTCGGGGTAGCCCGGGTCACCGAGACCTTTATTCCTCTGCTAGAAAAGTCCGAGGTGACGAAGCGCATCGTCATGATGTCGAGCTCGACCGGCAGCAATGCGAGATTGACGGACCCTTTAAATCCAAAGAGAAGCTACTGGGCGTCGTCGTTTGCCATCTACTCTACCAGCAAGGCGGCCCTCAACATGCTGGCGAACGAGTACGCCACCCGGTTTGAGAACGACCCCACGTGGAAGGTCAACCTCAACTGTCCCGGCCATTGCGCGACAAACCTGAACGACTTTGCCGGCAGGGACACGCCCCAGAACGGCGCCATCAACGCCTGCCGGCTGGCGACGCTGGGGCCGGATGGCGAGACGGGCACCTTCACCGACAGGAACGGCGTGGTGCCGTACTAGGGCTTAGCATGGTTCCGGAGGGGGCGTGGGGGCAATGTCGAGGTGTTGCGAGAGAGTGCTCTCGAATATACAAAATACATATATACAATACCAATACAAAAAGTCTCAACTCGTGGCCGATAACACTAGAGAATGAGATGAATCTAGTAATTGCTCAATTCCTATGCTCAGGTGATCTTATATATGAAGACATGGCAGTGCCGTGCCAATTTCCTCTCTTTTATCACTTGCTCTCCTATGACTCCTTTCGTCTTGTCTTCTCAACTCCTTGCTGAGCCCACTTCCTGCTCCTTTTCTCTCCCCCTCTCTCCCACTTTGCAACAGCCTCTAGCTCTCTCGGATTACCCTCCCACCAAATCCTACTAGGCTAGTTTTTTTTGTATGTCAACACGAGACATGTCAGTGGTAAGCAGAAGCCCCTGAGATGATTATGTAAGTGATGCATGTCGATATACAGGTTTTGCTGTGACTCCCAAAGCACTCGACTATACTGTTTTAGATACGATTTATTATATGGTAGAAATATTGTTTTCGTGAGATATATCTAGTTCTTGTTGAGAGCCCTTCGGACGGGGTTGAAGTGCTTGTTTAGCAGTATAATCAGTTTCCAGTGCTGGAGCCTGGTTGATCCCTCCTCCTCCCTCAAGCCCGGTCTTAACATTATTCCTGGTGAACGAGTCAGTCTATGTAAATTGATATAATTGGCTAGGCGAGCAGCCTTGCCGAGTAGTAGGTAAGGTGCCAATTATGCAAGGGGCCTGAGAGAGAATCCTGTGACGCCTCGGTACTTGAACTCGGTAAAATGGCCGACCGCGGTGTTCTATTTAACGTGAGACTCAACTTTCCCCTGACTCCTATTTGCAACCCAGATTTTTCTCTTCATTAGTGTGGCTTTGGTATATTAACAGTCTTTAAAGTAAACTAGAGGGTTATAGTAGCAACGGAAATTCTTGTTCTATATAGGTTTGATATATTAGACGAGTCTGAGAAATTTGGGGCTCCTAAACTTATTGGTAACTGAACGTGCTGCGGACTCTAGGCTCGGCTACTCTCTCTTCAAATGATGAGGCATCAACTGGATGCCTAGCCTTGTTGAAAAGCACAAGTTACTCTTAAACAGGTTGCCAGGCCAGGTCTTGGGTATAGCTCAGATGGTTACCCTCGCCTTTGTCTTCTTTCGTCCCAGAGTTCTTAGCTCGTGATCTCAGATTGTGATCACTTTTTCGCCTCTCTCACACTTCGCCCCAGGCTTCACCTTATCGCCACAGGTTGAACAATCCGTCTGTTCATGGCCCTCCCGGCCCCCTCCATATCCTCCTGACCACATATCCTGCCTGCCCCTCCTGCCGGCACCTTCTGGCCACCCTCTCGCGAATTTCATCTTTCTCAATCGAGCCTCTCTCCTGCTTTCGCGCTCCCTTAGCTGGCTCCAGGCTTTTCGTCATTTCGCACTAGCTTTGATAGCTCGTCGCGCCTAGAAATTAAGCCACCATCTCTGACCTCACTCCGAGTCTATATCTCAATCCGACCTTACTTATTCCAGTCGCAACCCCCTCAGCTCTATCATTATCGCCACCGAAGCGCGAGCCAAGATCCATCTGCGTCTCATTCAGAATTCCCAAGTATCGGTCGCTACAGGTAGGATCCTGCCATCTTCCAAAAGTCAATCGCTTCACCAGCTTACTAACATCTCTCTCCCTCTCTCTCCTGACAGCACCGCGGTATCTACACCATGGCAAGCTTCGCAGCAGTCATCAAGGATTTGGCGCAGACCGAGGCCGATCTCAAGATCAAGGGCGACAAGCTGCAGAGCGTCATCATGACCACAAACGGCGCCACCGACCAGCCGGAGCAGCCGGCCGGGAAAGTGCTTGCAGCGCTGAACGCCTACGAGGACGCGCTGCAGGAGAAGGTGTATGTCGAAAACGAGATCGAGGGAATGACCGCGCGCGAGATCTGCCTCGGCACGCAGTCCATGCTCGAGCAGTCGCAGAAGGCTCTCGACGACGCAGCCGCTGAGAACGCGGCGCTGCGCGACCTCGTCACGCGCCTCCAAGACACGGTCGCCAAGAAGACGCTCTACAAGGCCGGCCTCGACCACAACGACATGCAGGAGCGCGCCTCCGACCTCAACTACAGGCTGAGGCAAAAGGCCCTCACCGTTGCTGCCGCTGGTTCCTGGGAACAAGACCTCGTCGAGCGCATTGGCGAGCTCGAGGAAGATCTCGCGAACATGTCGCAAGAACTCGCAACGACCAAGGACGAGCTCGCTGTGCAGCGCACGCTCACCGACATGCTGCAGGACAGGGTCGACATATACGAGCGTGACTCGGACTTGGACTCGGAGTCTGGCGAGGAAGCCCTCGAGGAGGCTGCTGTTGTCGTTGCTGAGAACATTGAGAGCTCTCCCTCGTCGTTTACTACTGGCCACCGCTCCCCGAAGAGATCTACTCAGAGCGCCGTGGAATTTGACATGTCGCCTGCGGCCAAGCGGCAGAGATTCTCAGTGTCGTTGTCGGAGGAGGAGGAGGAGAATTTCAAGACCGCTCCGGACTCCAAGGACTTTTGGAGAACGCTATTTGAGGAGGGAATGGAGGCGAAAAGGCTGTGCTAGCCTTCTGTTACCTGAGTGGTGGGTATGAATGGCCAGTGGTTGGGAAGCGGGAGGGGGAACTGGGAAAGGAGAAGAGGGCAAAGGGGAACATGGGAACTGGGGAAGGGGAGACTGGAGAATACGAAAGGGAGAAAGGGAAAAGGGGAGTGGGAGACACCATTTCTTTACATAACTAGCATACCTAGGTGGTGATACGGGTTGCGCATTGCCATGGCAACTACTGAAAGCTTTGGCACAAACTGTCGTTGAACGACGTGCGTCTACCTAACTCCTCCATTCCATTGCCTGGGTGATTCGTGCAGCGTTGACATGTAAGCGGCGATAGCTAAGCTAGGGATGTACCTTGCTGGTGCAGCTCATCTTCGGTCTGATGCAAGGTAGCCTGAAGTGTATATCGACGTTGGGCGGGTAACAAGTCCGAGCTGTCATGTTGCTAGTTCGCATCTTGGTAGAGGCCGTCATCAGATGGGGCCGGGCCCCGCCGAAGCAGAAGCTAGAAAGAACATTCTTTCCCAGCCACCCGTCCTACTGGATGAATGCTGAAGTATCAAATGCCATGCATAGGTACACCCAGTGCTGAACTCGTGATGGCATAGTCGACAACCTTGGAAGCGTCAACGGAAATCACAGCTATGTTGTGTTGTCTTCAACCTCCAATGCGTTGGGGGAAAGACCTCCAGGCATGTTCAGGAACCTCGAAGGCGTTTCGCAAGTCTATCCCTTAAATATCATAAAATCACCATGTGAAACGGCCCTCGGCTCCCGGCAACTCGAAAGCCAGTCTGCAGACAAGCTGGAAGCTAATAAATAACGTTAGCTGCATATTCGTAATTCGCACTACCACTCACTCTCTAGAAATCCTCTGTTCCACGCCATGGCAACCTGACCTCTATCACATTGATCTGCAGTAGTTGTCCCAGTACTGACGGCAGTCTGACAGTGAAGCAAAAAAAAGACCTCCCCAATTAAAGGCCTAATTAGTGCAAGGATTCACGTCGCACAGTCGCACAGATCATGATCCCCTCCCCTCCCCCAAATCAAATGGCAATTGGCCCAAACCCACGGCCCGAACTGACGTCTGATTGGTGCCCGGACAGGATCCGAGGCCGAATCGGGCAATTCCAGCACGTAATAATTTAATTAAAAAGAAGCAAGAAGGCGGTTCACGGTTCGCGAATCGCAGTTACCTCCATGGCACCCTAGGATCTGGCCCCCTAGGTATGTACCTAGTGCACGTCTTTTAACCTGGAATATTTTAGACTTTCCCATTCCCGCTGCTACAGCCGAGATGAGCTGAGCTGGGTGCGCTACTGGATACTACGTACCGTGCTTTTACAGTTTACTACAACACAGATAGATGACGCAGGGAGAGACGGGAGAGAGAGGAAAATCCGGGGTACGACCTAGGAATGCAAGGTTGCCATTTCGTCGGTCTTCCGATGCCTGCCCGTGTGTGTGTGTCTTGGAGGAATGCAGTGCGCGCGCTGCTGCTCGGTCTCACGCGCGCCTCTTGGCTCCTCTCTTTTCACACAAGGAAAGGCGCCGGGCTTTGACACTGTGCAAACACGAGAAGAGCAAGGACAAGACAGGACAGAGCGTTGCGTGCCTTGGTGGGCTAGCTTTGTGTGTTGCTGTTATTGCGGCGGCGGTGGCGGCGGCGGCGCTAGCTGTGCCCCCTTTTTATTACCTAGACGTCTCTGTGCCTTCCACAACCGATTCGATACGATATTCGCGTATATTTAATATCCCCCCCAAGTCGCGCCACATTCTCCAGTCGGCGTCATTGCCCAAAAGTCACTCACAGCTCCCCTTCTCCATTACCGAGTGCCGAACTTGTCTCTTGTCCCTGTACAATAACCTTTCGGTTGCCTTTTTCTCTTCCCTTGTCTCCCCCTTCACCTCGTGTCCCAAAAAGCTATCTTCCTTCCTACCTACCTACCAATCACGCTCATTTGCCGGCCCTCGGAATACACAACACACACACGCTCACTGGAAAACAAAGAAACTCTGTCGTTCCCTCATATAAAAAATTACTTCCATCCATCTCCTTATTAACATTAACCTCGAAACCCAAACCCTCCCCCCCCCCCACAAACGCCAAGATGCGTTTCACCTCGGTCTTCGTGGCAGGCATCCTAGCCGTGGTGGCCCACGGGCAGTCGACGGCGGGGACGACGGCGACGACCAAGAGCGCGGCGTCCAATACCAGCGGCGCGGCACCCGAGGAGGCGAGCATGATGGCGTGCCTCAACGCGTGCGCCGACGGCGACGTTAACTGCCGGTCGCACTGCATTGCCGTGCCCAACCCTAACGCCCAACAGGCAAGCCACCAGCCCCAGCCAGCTCCTTCCTATAACTCATGATCCCCCTTCGCCCTATGTTTTCACTAACACGCGGTCCTACCTACCTTGGGGGAGCAGGTGAATGCCACCAACGAGTGCGTGGCCGCGTGCCCGCAGGGCAACGGCACGGCCAGCGACATCGCCCAGTATCAGAAGTGCACGAGCGACTGCATTGGCAAGTACTACTACACGACGCAGGGTGGCACGCCGCAGCCGACGTCTGGCGCGGGAGCCGGAGCGGGAAGCGGCAGCGGCAGCGGCTCCTCAGGCGGTGGCAGTGGCGGCGGTAGCAGCAACAACAACAGCACCAGCGGCGGTGGTGGTGGCGGCAGCAACTCGGGGGCCACGACCACCGAGGGCGCAGGCGTGTCGGCGACGGGCACGTCGAAGCCGACGACGGTGCCGTCGTCTGCGGCTGATGCGCTGCGCGTGGCGGCCGGGTCGGCGGTTGGCGCGCTGGGCTTCATGGCGGCGCTGCTTGCCCTGTAATTAAATGATCATGAATAGAATGTGGAAAGGAAGAAAAAAAGGGGGGACCTTGTATGGAAAAAAGGGAGAAGCGGCCCGGAATGGGGTGGGCTAATGGATTGTGAAGGGGTGGAAAAGGGGGCCGAAAAAACCCGCGTTTACTTGTGAAAAATGAGTTGCAGTATCATAATGTGGCGGGAGAAAGTTCATAGCCGTTGAGCTTTTCTTTTCGGTGAAAAGCTGTGGACAGAGCAGACCATGGCGAACTGAAGCAGCCAACACTTAGACAGAGCTCAAAGAAAAGGAAAGAGAAATTTTGGTTGAGAAGATGCCGCGGTTAATGGTTCATAACTGGGGCGGTGTTTACTACAGCTACCTGCTCGACGATATCTTACCATTATCTCGTCGAGGTCGGCTTGACGGGCACGATATCCGTGATCCACGGCAGATCCAGCCTCTTCATCTCAACCGCCAACTGGAAAAGGTAGTCAAGGCTGCATGTGCACAAGTGTCACAATGTCAGCGAGATTGGGGGAGAAAGACTGGAAAGAAAGAGACTGCGAAGAGAAAAAAAAACGCACCTCTCGCACTGCGTCTTGGCCTTGTGGACCGTCTCACCCCAGACGTAGACGCCGTGGCGGCGAACCAGGACGGCGTACGTGTCGGGGTACTTGTCCATGGCTCCCTCGAGGAACTCGGTCAGGTCCTCCTCGTGAGCCGTGTTCTCGATGACGGGGATGCGCAGGGTGTCGTGGTAGCCGAGGTTCCCCGCCTGGCCAAAGCCGCGGCCGAAGCCCTTGATCTGCTCAATGTTGTTGATGCGGAACTCGCGGCTGTTGCCGTTGCCGCCGGCGCCGGGGGCGCCGTGCGTCTCGAGGATCAGCGTCACCAGCACGGCCCAGTGCGAGTGCGTGTGGATGCAGCAGCCGGCGCCGCGCTTGGTGAAGGCCGCCAGGAACAGCGGCGTGCACTGGCTCGGCTTGTACCGCGGCGGACTGCGCAGGTACACGCGGCTGCGCCCGTCCAGCGACTTGGCCTGCGCCGCCAACGAGAGCACGTAGATGTCGTCGGCCTTCATCAGCTCCTTCTGCACGCCCGACGGCGCGATGTAGACGAGGTCACTGCTTCTGCTTGTGAGTATCCTCCCTCTTCATTCCTATGTCGGGGCTAGGTGGTTCCAAGGACTTAGTCCAAGAGTCCAAGACCAGGGCGGGGTACGTGTATCAGGGTTAGGGAGAATGACGCACTCATCCCGAATCGATGCTCCTCCTCCAGTGCCCGTAACCCATCCCAGCGTCCAGAACTTGGCGCAAAGCGAGGGGATCAGGTTCGCCGGATGCTCGGGGTCGGCGGACTGCACCAGATGGTCATTGTTGTCGCCGGCCTTGCTGTCGTTGTTGTCGCCGGCCTTGCTGTCGTTGGGGACAGCCGCGCCTGGGCTGTCGATTGGGGCCATTGGCGGCGATCGCTATCAGGAGCAATCTGACGTGAGGCGGCGGGAACGGAACAACGAAAAAAAAATTAAATTAACCCAAGGTAATGCCGCCGCGGGGAGGGGTCCAAACGCTCCGACAGGGCAGAAATCCGCTTCGCCCAAAGGCCAGGGTGGTCCGATACTCTGTCGGGCGAATTCTCCAGTCGAAGACGCCAATTGAGTTGGGCTAGTTTGTACTCTGGCTTCTTCCGTAATTCTAACGAGGCGGCAGTGTCGAATCCCAAATGAGGCTATATGAGGCTAAATTGACGACAGGGCAGGGCATGGAGAAGTCAAGCGTACTGCGTACGGAGCCGCTCCGAGCGCAGTGCAAATGGCCCTGCTGCGTGGACATGGATGGAGCAGTCCATTCGTTGGAACTTCTCCAGTTGCCGCAACCGACATGCGGCGCTATCCATTCGGGCCCGCCCGGATAGGCAGCTTGGCTGCGTCTAGGTGCCTTGTCCCTGCCGCGATGCGGGCAGGTCAGGTCAATCCTCCTGGTAGAAACACTCGAAGAAGCAGGTGTCCCTTCCCTAGCTTCAACTTCGTTTGTTGCTCCACGTGGCCTCAGCTTGGCCCTGCGATGACAATTGCTTGCTTATCGCCTCTGTCCTTTGGGAAACACGATTAAGCCGTTGTGGCACAAACCGCAATTAATAGTATGCGTACTTAAAGTACTAATGAAAGCGGGAAAGAACGGTCCATGAATCTTTGGTCCATATTCCGGATTCCGCTCATACTAGAAGCCTGCGTGAAACTGGCCTTTCAATGCGCCTCCTGGGCCGCGAAGTAAGATCAGAGTTGGCCCAGACAATGCAAGGACGTTGTGGTTTCGGCAGTGACTCGCATATATGACGGTCGAATTGAAAATTCACGCTGCCTCTCTCACAAGGTCTAGGTTGTCACAAGAGGCAATAGCATTGACTGCTTTACATGAGAGCTGTTGGCCTGACAGGGGGTTTGGACTCAAGATGTTGCCCCACTCAACAGGCCTATGTCGATAGGAAACCGATGCGCCTAAACCACTCCCCAAGATTCCGATGACGATGCAAGTTAGAACTTGGAAGAGCAGCTGTTGAATTAAACAGAGGACGAAGGCAAATAAGATAACAAGAGCCCGATTCACAAATATGGATCCGTGCAAAGCAAAAACAAAGACATTCGTAAATAAAATAACCCCCGACGGGCCTCCAATTGAACCAAGGACAGGCCTCTCGGGGGGGACTCTGCGGGACATGAAAGGCTTCAATACCTTACGGCTCGCCGTAAAGGTTTTTCGCCGAGGGAGGTAAAAGCTATTAGAATGCCTATTTTAGAATCCTTGAGGTCTATCTCTTCTCTTAAAAAAAATACCAGTTAAAGGCCTTTTCTGCTGGCTTAGTGTTTTAGAGTATGGCTGGGGGGCCTGCTAATCGAAGTTTCGAAGGTTTTCCACAGGTCCGGCGCTGAGGCCAGGTTTGCGCCAAGACCTAGCTCCCCAGCCTCCGCTGCCCCCCAAAAAAGACGCCGATGGTCCCCAAGCTTAGCTCTGTTGAAGACACGTTGTCACATCCACTCGTCGAGCTTCAAATTCACCACACTTTCTTCGCCCGCCCTCCTCGAGACTTTTCCCTTTCCTCGAGCTCTGGAAGCGAAGCGACATCCATCGCCCAGCCTGACGCCTTTGTCTCCCTTTGTTGGCGACTTCTTCTTCGTTTCTCTTCCCTTCATTAGTATTTCCAATTGCCCCATTCAAATTCGATTGCAGGACTGCTTGAGACAGCATTCCGCTCTGAAAATGAGGTTCAACGTCGCCGCTGCCGCCAGCGCGGCGCTTCTCGTTAGCGGTGTCTACGCCCATGGCGACCACGGTGACCATGGCGACCAGAAGGTGCTCAAGGACGACAGCGCCTCGAGCGCGGCCGCCGAGTCATCCACCGCGGTAGCACCGGAGCTACCGACTTTTACTGTGAGTGCTGCACGAACCTCGCCGCTTTGCACGCTTCCCCGCCCCTCCATCAATTAATTGCCTGCGATACCCGTCCTGAATTGACCGCTAACACGGCATTGCCACAGCCCACCAAGCTCAAGGCCCCGTTCCTCGAGCAATTCACAGATGACTGGGAGAAGCGATGGAAGCCATCGCACGCCAAGAAGGACAGCAAGGATGACGAGGAGTGGGCGTACGTTGGCGAGTGGGCTGTCGAAGAGCCCATCGTCTACAAGGGCATGGAGGGCGACAAAGGCCTTGTCGTCAAGAACGCCGCTGCCCACCACGCCATCTCGGCGAAGTTCCCCAAGAAGCTGGACCCCAAGGGCAAGACCCTGGTTGTTCAGTATGAGGTCAAGCTCCAGAGTAAGCCTTTCTCTTCCCGCGTCGCGCACCCGATTGCCCATGCTGACTCCGGCTTCTTGCAGACGGCCTCGAGTGCGGCGGTGCCTACATGAAGCTCCTCCGTGAGAACAAGGCCCTGCACCTTGACGAGTTCTCCAACACCACGCCGTACGTCATCATGTTCGGCCCCGACAAGTGCGGCCACACCAACAAGGTCCACTTCATCTTCAACCACAAGAACCCCAAGACTGGCGAGTATGAGGAGAAGCATCTCACTTCGCCTCCTGCAGCCAAGATCGTCAAGACCACCGAGCTCTACACCCTCATCGTCCACCCCAACAACACGTATATCATCCAGCAGAACGGCGAGCAGATCAAGGAGGGCAGCCTCCTTGAGGACTTCACCCCGGCTGTCAACCCCGCCAAGGAGATTGATGACCCCAAGGACAAGAAGCCGGATGACTGGGTTGATGAGGCCCGCATCGCCGATCCCGAAGCCAAGAAGCCCGAGGACTGGGATGAGGATGCGCCGTACGAGATCGTCGACGAGGAGGCCACGAAGCCCGATGACTGGCTTGTTGACGAGCCTCTGACCGTCCCCGACCCGGAGGCCCAGAAGCCCGAGGACTGGGATGACGAGGAGGACGGTGACTGGATCGCCCCCACGGTTCCCAACCCCAAGTGTGCCGATGCTTCTGGATGCGGCCCGTGGGTCAAGCCCATGAAGAAGAACCCCGACTACAAGGGCAAGTGGACCGCGCCGCTCATTGACAACCCGGCCTACAAGGGCGTCTGGGCTCCTCGCAAGATTAAGAATCCTGATTACTTTGAGGACAAGACGCCTGCCAACTTCGAGCCCATTGGTGCTATCGGCTTTGAGATCTGGACCATGCAGAACAACATCCTCTTTGACAACATCTATATTGGCCACTCGGCCGAGGATGCCCGCAAGCTGGCCGACGAGACCTTCTTCGTCAAGCACCCCTTGGAGGAGCTTGCCGAGGTTGCCGACAAGCCCAAGGAGGACGAGACCAAGCCCACGTCACCGACCGACCTCAAGTTCACCGACGACCCGGTCACGTACATCAAGGAGAAGCTTGATCTCTTCATCACCATCGCCAAGAAGGACCCGATTGAGGCCATCAAGTTCGTTCCCGAGGTTGCCGGTGGCCTCGCCGCCCTTACCGTAACTGCGATTGCCATCCTCGCCAGCCTCGTCTCGCTAGGTGGCTCTCCTGTTCCTGCGGCCAAGAAGGTTGCTACCGATGTTAAGGAGAAGGCCAAGGACGTGAAGGACAAGGTTGCCGAGGCGGCGGCGACGGGGGCTGAGGCGGCCAAGGCGGAGGTGAACAAGCGGGCAACACGGAGCCAACAGTAGAGGATAGGCTAGATGTGTTGGGTGGTAATGGGGCAATGACGGCTGTAGGAGGAGAATAAAAGGAGCAGTCGAGAGATCACAATGGGATCAGAGCTCAGGTTATTGGGCTCCAGATTATTATTTTTCTATCGTTATCTATGCACATTTTCGACAGGCGGGAGTCCCTTGGCGCATATGTATTCTACGTTAGGCAGCCCAAAATACGATGGCATCAACAAGGATAGCTATGTGATGGCTCTTGTCAGCACGAGACCCGGGATTCTGCGACGTGTCCAATGCCCCAGATCCCCGCCGTCCGGCCGAGGTGGAGCTTTCGGCTCCAGTCTCCCCACAAACTGCTGTGGGCTTCCCCAATTGAACAAGCGAATTGGGGATTTGCCATTGGCTGCGGCACACAACGGCTTAGGTTTGGGCGGCTGGCGTCCAATGTTCCCCGCTCCCCTCCCCTCACCAACAAGCCGAGCGACAGACAACGGCACTTGCAGTACTTTGACCTTGGCCGCCCCACGACTTAAAAGGGCAGCCCGACCCTGCGACATCGCTCGCAGGCCGGATAAAGGAGGGGGACACAGAGACGGCCACCTTACTGGACACCACTTATACATGCCCGCTGCACTGCCAACACGTTCGGCGGTTAATAATAGAAGCCGCCTGCCGCAAGCCGTTCGTTGGCTGACTGCCCTGTCGGGTGTCCTTGCTTGACCGCCTTCGCCTCCCTCCGCCTCTGTCGCCGTCCTCGAGACCACTTGCACCATGCATCGTCTTGCCAGACGGACCCTCTCATCAGTCTCTGCCAACAGCGCCCGCCGCCTCTCGTCGTTGTCGTCTTCTCGCCTTTCGCTCCCCTGCTCTCCCCTGCTCGCCTCGAGGGCGGCAGCAATGGCTTCTCCGGACAAGTCGGTGGCGGCCACGGCTGCGAGGAGGATACACGCCACAGCACAGCACCTATACCCGTCCGTTGGGCTCTCGAGCACCGCCACGAGCTTCGCCAAGACGCACGACAAGATGGAAGAGGTGCACGACACGCACTACTTCATCAACAACGAGTTCCTCGCCTCGAGCACCCAGAAGTTCATCGACCTCTACGACCCCGCCACCAATAACCTTGTCACGCGCGTGCCCGAGAACACCGAGGCCGAGCTCAAGGCGGCCGTCGCCGCTGCCGAGAAGGCCTTCCCAGCATGGCGTGCCACGAGCGTGCTCCACCGCCAGCAGATCATGTTCAAGTTTGTCGCCCTGATCCGCGAGAACTGGGACCGCCTGGCTGCCAGCATCACGCTCGAGCAGGGCAAGACGTTTGCCGACGCCAGGGGTGATGTGCTGCGCGGTCTGCAGGTCGCCGAGGCTGCCTGTGCCGCCCCCGAGTTTCTCAAGGGCGAGGTGCTCGAGGTCGCTAAGGACATGGAGACGAGGACATACAAGGAACCCTTGGGCGTCGTGGCCGCCATTTGCCCCTTCAGTAAGCCGCCGTCTCTGGCAACTGCCCTCGGACTCGTAACACTGACCCTCATGTCCAGACTTCCCCGCCATGATCCCTCTCTGGTGCATCCCCATCGCCACCGTGACGGGCAACACGCTGATCCTAAAGCCATCGGAGCGCGATCCCGGCGCTGCCATGATCCTGGCCGAGCTCTGCCAGAAGGCCGGCTTCCCCAGCGGCGTGGTCAACGTGGTGCACGGTGCCCACAGCGCCGTCAACTTCATCCTTGACGAACCCGCTATCAAGGCCATCAGCTTCGTTGGCAGCAACAAGGCGGGCGAGTACATATTCACCCGTGGATCCGCCAATGGCAAGCGGGTGCAGGCGAACCTGGGCGCCAAGAACCACGCGGCCGTGCTGCCCGACTGCAACAAGAACCAGTTCATTAACGCCGTGGTTGGTGCCGCGTTCGGCGCCGCGGGCCAGCGGTGCATGGCACTGTCGACGCTAGTGCTTGTCGGCGAGACCAAGGAGTGGCTGCCCGACATCGCCGAGCGCGCCAAGGCGCTGCAGGTCAACGCCGGGTTCGAGGACGGCGCCGACTTGGGCCCTGTCATCAGCCCGCAGAGCAAGCAGCGCATCGAGTCGCTCATCGCCAGCGCCGAGACCGAGGGCGCCAAGATCCTGCTCGACGGCCGCGGCTTCAAGCCCGCCAAGTACCCCAACGGCAACTGGGTGGCGCCGACCATCATCACCGACGTGACGCCCGAGATGCAGTGCTACAAGGAGGAGATCTTTGGCCCGGTGCTCGTCTGCCTTAACGTCGACACGCTCGACGAGGCCATCGACCTCATCAACGCCAACGAGTACGGCAACGGCGTGGCCATCTTCACACGCAGCGGGCCGACGGCCGAGACCTTTCGGCGCCGCATCGAGGCTGGGCAGGTCGGCATCAACGTGCCCATCCCCGTGCCCCTTCCCATGTTCAGCTTCACGGGCAACAAGAAGAGCGTTGCCGGCGGGGGAGCCAGCACCTTCTATGGCCGCCCGGGCGTCAGCTTCTACACGCAGCAGAAGACGGTCACGGCCCTATGGAGCAGCGCCGACGCCATCAGCAAGAAGGCCGACGTAGCCATGCCCACACACAACTAGAGGGAGCGTCAAGCAGGCCGATTAGACGTGGTGTCATGGAAAGGGGGTTTGATTTTTTTTTTTTGGATACATTCGATGCCTTGTCTTGGTGCGAGGAGTATCCGGATGTAATGAATAGGTATGTAGGGGGGCCGGTGGGCTGTTGTTGTGGACGGCCTGCTACGCTGGAAAAGTTGAGCAGTAGACCAAGTACGTAATTAGCTAGGAATTTATCTAAAGATGGGACTTGTAAATAAATCTGGGGCGTGGTTGATTACTTGGAGCTTGATTTAGTTGGTCTGATTCCTGTCGCATGAGGGCCTCTGGTGCTTACCTGTCTGTGGCCCTCTCAGCCCCTGGGGAATTGCAGTTTATGTGATATATAGGTTAGAGTTGGTCACGAAAAAAAGCCAATACCCAGCGGAAGCACGAAGCACAAGTCCAACATGAAAGGTTCTCGGATCCGGCTGGCTACAACTGGCGCATCACATACCGGCCGCTCCGCTCCACACACCCGAACGACAACCCGAAATGGAAGGAATTTCTAAACGACTACCTATTTAGTCAGGTCGTCTATAGATATCCCATCCCCCTCTTTCACGTCGGATCTACCCCATCCGAATAGGATCAACTTCGTAAGGTCCTCCTAGCTTATATTATCGTCGATTTCGATATCGGCTACGTTTTTAGCGTCGCCGACGAGCTTCTTACGTACGGGGCCTTTTCGCGGCAGCTTGCACGGCAAGGTGATTGTTGTCGTTCTACGCCTAGGGCGTACCGGTACGGTATATATCTTTATGATCTGGATTTCGCGGTGAGCTTCATTTGAACCGCATCCGATGGATCGGAACGTACCGGTTGTGCTAGTTGGGCCGCGTTAAGTATATGCTTGTGGTTGACTTGATGGATTTAGGTGATGACTGGAAGGAAGGTGTAAGTAAGGAAGACCCTTTCGTCAATTACAGGTCCTGTTCTATCTATACTCGTGCCGGCTGATCAAGTTTGATACTACCGTACGGCGTGAGTCTTCTCCGTGTACGTGTCATCAGGTAGCAAATCTATGGTTGTGCCGAACCTCGACAGCTCCGGGCCGTTCAAAGTTCGGGTGTGTAGAGCGGAGCGGCCGGTATGTGATGCGCCAGTTGTAGCCGGATCCGAGAACTTTTCATGTTGGACCATCTAGCGTGGCCTCTAGGTCGAGCCCCACCGCGCCCGGTTCCCGGTCCGAGTTGACATTATGGACTCTATTTCGGCTTCGGAAGCTGCCAATCACCTCAGCCGTAGTTTTCTAGAACGTCTCGATGCGCCTTCTGATATTGTCCCTGTTGTCGTCAAGCCTATTACGACCAGACAGCGTGAGTCGCTCTAACATCGTGGATTCCGGTCAGCCGAGAACGATAAGAAGCGTAATTGGACCGATCGACTGCTCAAAGTATTCGCATTGCTCCTTATTGCGCGGGAACCCTCAATGTGTAGTCGGCTCCCTCGGCTGCTCCACATTACCGCATTGAAGAGACATCCCCAAGGTACTTACCGTCAAGAATAAAAGCGCGCATTCCCTGCGCAACACTTCTCAGTATATGGTCTCTCACGATCGAGATGGTGATTTCCTTTGGGCCGACTCTGCCAGCAATCATGTTCTCGCGGATGATATTTGCATACTGACTGCTAGGGCAATTGATCTCCAGCCGCAGCACATCTCCAATGCTGATATGGGCTAGATCGAATCTCCGTGACAACATCTGGCATTGCGTTCTCTTGCTGGATCTAGGTCTGCTAAGCATGCTAATAATCACGGGTTCCTCTAGAGCTGGCGGGCGTTGTGAGAAGTCGTCAGGCGTATTGCCCTTAGGCGTTGCCATGCTTGCAATCGAGCTCCCTGGCCCGGATGGAGGTCGTGTGCACACGTCGGGATCCATCCTAGATACCGGTGTTATTCTGCAGGTGTTTGTGGACGAACGGGGCAATATACCTATAGAGATGCAAGAGCCCACTCCCACCCACGTAGGGCGGGGAGACAGTGCTCATACGGCGTTGCTGGTGACTCATCCATGCCGTCAGCCATTTTCATATCAGAACGCCCGCCAGTTTTCGGCTGTGGAAAAGAGAAAAACGAGACTCCGATATCGCGCGAGTCTCCTGGCTCCCGCCCCTCCCCCGCTCACTTTACCTTTCCCACTTCCTCGAAAGCAGATTTTACGAATCTTAGTCCTTCTAATTGACAGTCAGACGAGTTCTGGGGAGAATGGGTTCCTATTTCTCCAAGTCATCAGACGATAAGGATCCCATATTTGTCTCTTTGGGAATGGTGGTCTTGGACGAGATACGCTTCTCTAATGGAACAGTCCTCTATGATGTTCCTGGTGGCTCAGGCTTGTATAGTAGGCGTTTCCCACCGAGGCATTGTAGGCAGCTTGCTTATTTAGGACAGACACACTTGGCGCTCGCATGACAGACACGGCCGCAGCTCACCCCAAAAAGGTCGGCTGTTGTGTTCTAGCAGGGAGCGATTTCCCCGATTCGGTGGAACAGGCCATCGTGAGCTGGGGTATCGCCTTGACAATTAAACGAGACCCCTCCAGACTGTCAACTCGAGGCCTCCTCAAGTATTCGGGAGATAGCTTCAAAGGTCAGCAAGAGGCCTTGAGATGTAGTGCGCGAGGCTAACTGAAACTTGAGGGCCCTAGAGCGAACATTCGAGTATACTACCACTCCGCTGCAACCGATTCCCGCTGACCTCGCGGGCTTACCGCCACTGCGATCGAAAGCCTTCCATTTTCTGGCTTCTCCAGAGCTGATGGTCACGTTTGAAACCGACCTCACCGTGCAACGTGTTTCAGCCGGAGCCGCCTCGCATCCAATGATAGTCTGGGAGCCAGCTCCATCTTCCTGCATTCTAGGGAGCCAAGACGCACATCTTCGGGCCGTCAATTTGGTGGATGTATATTCCCCCAATCACCTTGAGTTCTTGGCTACCTTTGGCTCCGGTGACGGCCATCGGCCATCAACGGAGTTTGACTGTGCAATGATCGAAGAGTTGGTGGCTCAAGTGCTGAAATCCGGGGTTGGAAGAGACGGAGGCGGCGCCGCCGTGATCCGCTGCGCTGAGCATGGCTGTGTGGTTGCCGCTCGTTCATACTCTATCCAATGGTTCCCTGCATTCCACTCATCATCTCGTGTTTTGGATGCCACGGGCGCGGGAAACGCGTTTCTTGGTGCCTTCGCAGTCACCCTGAGCACTACGTCAGACCTTACCGAGGCCGCCATCGCGGGCTCCGTTGCTGCGAGCTTTGTCGTAGAACAAGTAGGGATGCCCCGAAGAACAAGCTCGAGCCATGGCGAGGAGCAGTGGAACGGAGAAGCATTCTCAGCCAGGATTGACCGATTTCGTACCATGATGGAGACAGCAGCCAAAGGATGAGTTATGGTGGAATGATTTAAAGTTGCTCAGCAGCACATAGAGTATCAGCGCCTACTTGATCACCCGGTGGGTGGAAGCCACACATCTCGCCTTCACACCTGGGTTCTCTTGAGACACGCAGCCCACCCTTCAGCCTGATACTGCTTCGCAGCTTCCACGGGGTTTGCAGAAGCGTAGATTCCTCTTCCGGCAATGATGAAGTCGGCTTCGTGTTCAACAGCGCTCGTGGGTGTCTGGTATTGCTGGCCCAACTTGTCGCCTTTGCTTGCTAGGTTGACACCAGTGGTGAAAACGAGGAAATCTTCATTCTGGCCTGGCTGGGCTTCGCCAAGCGCCCTCGTAGCCACAAAGCCAATCATCGATCGTGGGAATTTGAGGGCTATATCGAAGCATTTCTGGGTATAAGAACCGGTGGCAATGCTCCCCTTGGAGGTCATCTCGGCCAGAATAAGAAACGCTCTTTAATCTGGAAAGGGGAAACCGGGCGCCGTTACAACCCGGTCCAGCGCTTCGACGATTCCATCCCCACCCAGGATGCTGAGGTTCACGATGTCAGCCCACTCGGAGAGGCGTAGGACGCCGCCGTGGTACTGTTTCTGGACCGTGTTGCCGATGTCCACGAGCTTGCGGTCCTCAAATATCAAAAAGTTATGCTTCTCGGGCAACTCCTTGAGCCCACGAATGGGCTCATCACCAAAGTCGGCGACCAGGTCGACATGGGTCTTGAACACTGCGATGTAAGGTCCCAGACCCAGATTGGAGGAGAGGGTGTCAGTATCTGCAGCACGGATGAGAAGCGGCCGTTGCATGTAAAACTAGACGAACTGTCTGCGCATTGGACTAGGCTCTCGCTATCGGCAAGATCTGCAGATATCACAAGGTTGGTTTCTTGGTCTCGGCAACCTCGAAGAGACGTTTGGCAACCGGGTGAGGGTGGGTGGATGCTCGCCCAGAAAATGGTAGTTTGAAAGAGAGGCCATGGCTGAATTGAGGCCATGGCTGAACTGAAGTGTCGCGTGCAAGTGGTTGTAAGTATTCGGCTGGAGTGCAAGGCGACCCTGTCGACACGGTCAAATCGATAACCAAGCAACCTTGTCGGCCGCCGTATAGAGAGCTTTTTGATTGTTGCCACGAGAAGTGATGCGGTGGGAGGGAAGTGAGCGGGGCCCTTGTGGGTCCATTGTGGGCAAGCGCCGCACAGAAGCCCCGCCCGTGTTTGCCCCACCCGCGGTATTGGATAAGGCAGGGTGTTTGCATGGTGTTTGCATTCTTGTGCAGCACAGCAGTAAGGCGGGCATGTGGTAATTGCATCAACCGTGATTGCAAACATGGAATTTCTGGCTGGGCTGTCTCGAATCGGGGTTGGTGCAGGGGTTGGTGCATGTGCCCGCCCGGGGCGAGAATACCGCACTCGGCCGCCAATCATGTTTGAAGAAGCAAGACTCACCGAGAATAGTCGCTGCAGCCGCCTCTTGCAACCACCTCATGCGCTTTTGCCACACTGCCACGCAACTAACCTATGGCTTTGTAGGCACCACAACGTGAAACGTGAGGAACTAGGGCGCGACCTTTTAAGTGTCCCTACAATCACTTCATGGTGGGCTCAGACTTTGGGCACATGGACCATTCTACTTCTACTGTTAATATGAATAGACCCTGATCTTTAGCCATATTCCTGTTAAGTGGTCATGATCATCCAGTTGGAGGGTGTGCCCAAAAGTCATAACAATAAATAGACCGCAGAGTCTGAGCCGGTTGAGATGTGATTGTGGAGCTTGGCAAGGAGACGAGGCTGCGCTTCGAACCAGAATCAGTGCTATTCTGGACACGGTATGTTACACTATGCGAAGTTTTTTCACCTAGCTTGCTTGAACTCTTTCTGAGAGCATAATAGGCAATGAATCTGCACGCCGTGAAGCAGGCACGGTTCTCCCAGAATATGATGGAGTTGCAGCGCAAAGATGCCGAGCTCGCCTTCAACTAGAATTAGAGCATGAGAAGACTCACAGTCCTCAATATGGTGTACCTTCCCGCCACCTTCATTGCGGTACGTATTCACGAGTTCTCTTCACACAGACAGCCCCTTTCTGTAGATATCGGTGATCAAACTTAGCACTTGGTGATTGTCGTGTACTTGGAGATGTAAGTCAGAAATACTAGTAGTTTTTCGATGACAGACTGTCTATGGGATGAATATCGCCGAAACGGGAGACCCTAGGGCCTGGAACTTGTAGAGCTTCGATGTTACCGCGAGCATACTGACTATCTTAAGGCTCGTCGTTGCTCTATTCAGGATTGAGATGACCGCGACATATTCTCTGAGGAGATATCTTCAACGGCACAAGCCGTCATCTTCCTCCAATGCCCAAAATGATACAAGATTCACTTCCCGGTACGGGCTCGGCAGTTGGATGAAGAAAAATATGAAGAGGAAACGCAGAGATCCTGCAAGTAACACTGTATAATCATATTATGGAAGAAGAACTGATCCAAAACACTTCCTATCGAATCTCGAATTACTAGTCTCGCGACGGTCTTTGCGTCCTCCATGTGCGCTTGTCATTGTCCTTCCGGTTTCATTGTGAGACTTTGATTTCCTGCGTGGGTGTTATGGGAGAAGAGGCGACAGCTCCTCATCATACCCGACACCTCCAAGCTGATCAATGGCCACGTTGTGGTTGGGTGGCTAGCGACTGGCGCACTCTGGAAAGAGGGGAACCGAGTGCTGCGTGTCGTGTGCCGCGCAACGCAGCCTTAGCATTGTCAGACTAGCTTCAAAGTGGCTGCATGAGGGGTAAGCTGTGCATAGAATGGAAATACCATGAGAATAATCAATCCCGTGATGATAAGCAAGAACCGCACTAGCCTAACTCTGGGGGCTAAGAAACTGAGGATACTGAAATGAGGCTCTGAGAGCCTGACACGTTGTGCCCTGGAGTTTAGGCATTGCTCTGGCTGAGAGAGGGGTAATTAATAGTTAAGAACAAAAAAGGCGCAGCAGAAGACTGGAAGGCCATCATTTCTCGGGGGTAGGACCATAGGATGTCCTCCATGATTCGGTGCAGTGGGATTCGGTGCAGTGGGTGGGTGCAGGGATAGAAGCCACCGAGATATTTGGCTGACCAACAAGACCTTGACTCGCCAAGATCCCTTTAGGGTTCGATTACATTATTCGCAAGGCTTCTGACACAAAAACGGCCGCTCGAGAGGCGTGGAAGATCCATATCGATCAGCCGCCTGAGGGCGCTTTACAGCGGGCCCGCCGCCATCTCGACCAGAAAGCCGCTGCCCTGATTTCGAGCGGGGCGAAGCGGTTCTCCATCATAAACGTGTGAAAGTCGATCAAGGAGACCGTCGCCGATCATCCTCTGACATTCGCCGATTGTCGATCGCTCTGCCAGTCGGATTTGGTGCCTGTCACGCAGATATATCCGGACTACATCGGCGAGACGTACGTACTCAGGAACCGGAACACGCAAGTGTTTTGGTACTGGAGCAATGTGAGCGAGGAAGATATATTGCTATTGCAGTATTTTGATAGCGTCAAGGGAGATGATGAGACTGATCAGGATTGTCCAGACGGCGATGACGGTTTGCATTATACGCAACGTGCGCATGGTTCCTTCGAACTCAATGGGGCAAGGGGTGCCCCTGAGAAGCTCGAGAGGGAAACTCGTTGGAGAGTACTTATCTATATTCGGCTTGGTCCGTTCTTATCTCTTGTTCGCATACCAAGTTTTTCTTTGTATCGATCAAACCTCTATTTCTGTATAACGTAACTACCTACTCAGCGAGCTATATCACTCATGCGAGCCAAAATTTCCTACCTTGCCCCCCTTTCCTATTGTTGAAATATGTGGTGCTCAGAGGCGTCAGGGGTTGAACCCCTGGGTGGGGGTTCACACCCTCTGAAGTCACGGTTGCCGCAGGCAAACATAACCACTACAGGGCCTCTGACTGCCCTGCAGTCTCCCTGACTGTCCTGCAGTCATCATTGACTGTCCTAGAAAATCATACCTTACAGGGCATTGCAGTGGTCGCGTTGGTGTGGGGCCGCTATACCCAAGCAGTCACTTAGCCCCATAGCACCTTCTCGAACCTACGACAGGTCTGGGCACACGTCAACGAAGCTATTCAGAACACGCTAGAATACAGGGCTCGGTTGAGCAGTCCCGGACCTGTAAAACCTTCCAAAATGATACTAGTTAGCCTAAATATAGGCCTGTCCTTTCCTGTAGTTAAATTTCCGTTAAAAATAAGCTACCTGACCAGCCAGGAAGGGGCCAGGTGAACGGATGCCTCCGGCGGCGCCTGCCGCGGGCTGTCCTCGCTTCGCTCGAGGGAATGGGTGGCTGGGCCATTTAACTAAGAAATTAGTAAAGACAACCCCGCTTTGTGCCATAACTCGTAGCCAAAGGTAGACTCAACTGTGTCAACTGTGTCAAAAGTAAAAAACACAGGAGAGTCATTATAACGTAAACAGCATGGTATTGAGACAGAAAAAGTCGATTCTGCTATCTAGGCTACACCCGGAACCAACACCTCGCCGGCCTCAACACGGCACTGGTAATCTGCCACACGCAAGGCACTTGCAACGGGGAACTGACGGCGAGAGCAGGCCGCATTATGGCTCTGGAAGTCCCGCAAGGACTGGAAGATCGGCACCACATTTCTCGGAATAGCCTCATTGTTAGGGAAGCAAGCCGGGCCGTCATACTTGTACATCTTGACAAGCAGAACAAAGGGAGCCTCGCGGCGAGGGTCTTCCACGTCGGCAGCCCAAGCGATATCATAAAACTTCGGAAGTAAGGACTCTGCCCAGCTGAACTTCGGGACAACGGATTTACAGCTATTCTAGCCCCTCAATACCAGAACAAATTCTCATGATAATTCGATGTTCCGATGTTCATAGTCTAATTGTTGGATTTCTAGGGGGCAAGCCCCCTAGGACCCCTAGTGCCTGCGGCGCTCTTAGCCTGCCGCGCTTTCCTTCATACAGCTTACGTGTTATATCTACTAATTGTGAAATTGCTCCTTCCTGACACACACACCCACGACACAGCAAAGCGGCATTTCACGGCTTAACCTGTCCGAGGTTCATCCGATCGACTAGTCCCTCGAGTCTATTTCGACACGGACGAAAACTGGCTAATCGGTGTGCAAGAAACTTTCGGCGCCCTCACGGTAATACAGAATACAGCCTCTCTACGCCACCTCCGGCTCGCAAGCTCGCCTACGGTGGCTCCGTTCAGCTGAATAATAATGGACCGCACGCCGGGAGAGTGGAAGAGGGTAAAAAATGACGCTAGTAAGCCAAAGTCTGAGTCCGAAAACTTGCCGTTGCGGAGGGCCCATTGCTGCTGATGTCTACCAGACACCGCACTTAGGACATCTAGCTTGACTTGTCGCCTGAGGTCGGCCGAGGTGGTCTAAGCGGTACCTGCCTGCTCTGTAGGCTTTTTCCGAGATTCGTCGAACCCAACGATGCCTGCGCCCCATTCGATTAGGCGTCCAGTTCCAGCTTGTCGACAGAGCATCAAGCTTCCCCACCAATAAAAAACAAAGTCGTATGCACGGTGAGATTTCTTGTCAGCCCACTACTGCTGCCCGGGACTACCTGAGCGTTGCATTGGGGTGCCTCGACACAGCCGAGCCTTATCGAAACCCCAAGGCAGACTTCATTCTATCAGCTGGTAGGCGCTGCTCGGTCAGAGAAACCCCAGAGCCAGCACTCCAGCAAGGCTCCCGGAAGGGTTACCGTATTTCCGCCAATAGAAACACAACCCTTGGTGACCAGCTACCACCGCGGCCGAGATGGAACTGTCTAGCATAGAGGCCGAGACAGCCTCTCTCCTTGAGGACATGAGCAACGAAGAATTTTGTTCTTTCGCAGAGTTGAACGACGACCCCGCGACGATGGACAAATTGAACTGTACATCTACGCCTACATCCTCCTCTTCAAGAAGTCAGTCTCAACGGAACACCTGGAACGAGCGGCAAGACTGGCGCAGAGTTACAAGCAAACCGGCCGTCTCGAAGATCTAAAAGGAGCCGTTAGGGTTATGGAACAGGCATTAGAGTTTGGAGGAGCATATATCGAGCCCGGCATGTTAACCAACCTTGGGGCGATGCTTGGTATACGGTTTCAGCAGACTGGCTCGATAGACGACCTCAACCGTGCTATTGATATTGCTAGTATGGTAGTAGACGCCACACCTCAAGACCACCCCGACCGAGCTGGCCGGTTGAATAACCTTGGAATTTGGCTTAGTATACGATTCGACCGGACCGGCTCGATAGACGACCTCAACTATAGGCTTTCATCGTGCAAAGAAGGCTGGCCTTGTAATAACACCCCGCCTTTTATCCGCATTCGACTCGCTCGGGCTGCCGCCAACATTCTTGCTCCGCGACAAGAATGGGACGAATCAAGCCAGCTACTAGAAGAAGCGGTAAAGTTTCTCCGAAGGTGAGCCCGCGGTCTCTAAACCATACCGACAAGCAGCACATGCTCGCGGGGTTCGGTGGCCTGGCTTTAGTAGCAGCCGCCACCGCTCTAAATGCCGGGAAGGCGGCCTCCCACGCTTTGCAGCTTCTCGAACTCGGCCGCGGCGTTATTGCAGGTCTACTGACGGATATGTGCAGAGATATTTCTGATCTTAAGCGCGAGTATCCGGGTTTGGCGGACGAATTCACATCCCTCTGAGACGAGTTAGACTCGCTATCGGACTGATCAACTCCTATTACCTCCAATGATAGCTCGTCTTCGTGGGAGTCGCAAGCAGAACGGCGTCGTGAAGCAGACCAGGAATTCGTACTCAGCCTGGATTTGAACGGTTTCCTCTTCCGCTGGCTGAAGATGAGATAATGGCCGCAGCGGATTCAGATCCTATTATCGTTATTAACTTAAGCTCGTGGCGTTGTGATGCGTTTCTGATTGAGCACAGCCAGATCACGGTGCTGGAACTACCTAGTCTAGCAGAGGAATAGGTCTAAAAATAGGACCATGACCTTCGACTCTCTCGCGCAACTAGCTCTTTCCATATTATACCTCTATTGGAATGGCTATGGAATACCACCGCTCGTCCCAACCTGAATGCTCTTGGATTTAAGGACCCTGTCTCTGATGACAAGTAGCGCCGCGTGTGGTGGATTCCTACAGGACTCCTCAGTCAGCGTCCCCTTCACGCGGCAGGACTATACGTGCGAGGTTCTACCGAGACTGTGCTGGACAAAGTCATGTCGTAGTACGCCCCGCCGATTATGGCGTTGATCCACGGACGGCGATAGCCTATTCGGGAGTCTGCTGGACCGTTCAGCGATTATGCTCTCCTGGTTGCCATACGCGAAACACCAGGCCTAGCGGCTAATCGAATCCTCCCTTTTGCTAGAGACGAAGTCTAGATGCTAAAGAACCTCTGTCGGCCGCTTAAATTATGGTCGCTCACACCGATTATGCGCAAGGACAATGTGCTCCAACACCTGCAGACGTGCAAGATCTTCCACCTTGCCGGCCACGGGCAGTTGGACCCGGCGGAGCCTTCACAAAGCTGCCTGCTCCTCGAGGACTGGAAAACCAACCCGCTCACAGTTGGAGACCTCCGTGACCACAGGCTTTAGGAGAACGGGCCGTTTCTTGGATATCTCTCGGCTTGCTCGACCGGATCCAACCCTATCATATTGTTTAAGGGTTCTAACCGTGTTAAATACACAAGCGACATATATGCATATTCAGTATGCCTTACGAGAATCGGAATGGATTCATTGCCTTTATCTTTAGACCCTTCATTGAGTTTTTGGAAAGTGATAATGGCGTTTGAAGAGCAGCAACTGCATGCTTGACTTCTCCTAGAAGATATATCCTAGCTCTATTTTTCCTTTGTTGGTATGCTAGTTCTTGTAGTAGTTGGCCATTCTCTCTTGTCTTTCGTTTAATTGTCTCTAACAAGCTAGCAAGAGGAAGGATCTTTACTGCTTGTAAATTTTCTCTGGTTGCTTCAACAGCGATCGAGGTCCCTTTATGTCACGCAATTTTAAGGTCAACTGCGGTTGGCTCCGGTGGTCTATCACTGCTTCGAAGAAGCTTGATTTGTGGTTGTTTATGTCCTAGAATGGTGGCAGTTAAAGGGCTATTCGCATCTTTCGATCCAGATTATAAATAGAGACACGACGGTTCTTATCCCTTTCTGAATTTACTAGTCACCTTAGGGCCCGGATTCTAGGCCGTATTCAGGATCATGATCCTAATTCTGGGGCCAAATCTTCGACAAGGTCCGTGTAGTTGGCAAAATAGTATCAAAAATAAACATAAGATGACTTACAACGTGCGTAATAAGCTAGTGCCATTGATAAAGAAACAAGACCTCTCGCTCTTGGCTGGGGCTGGAGAAACCAGCACGCTGACACTAGGTTCTACCCCATAAGCCGCACTCTCACAAGTTCAGGCACCAAACCAGCGCTGAATTCTAAATTGGTATTGATTCTATTTGAGTCTTATCACATATTTGCGTGCAACTCAAGCCCAATCCGTCGGAGTGCGGCGCTCGGCCGTCCGCAGAGTTCAATTGTTAGAGTTGAATTTAATTCCGATCACGCCGCGGAATAATACGGTAATTGTCAAACTAAGAGAGATGCCCACCCTAGGTCAATTCGATTATGTATCGCAAACCCCGAATCGTCGACAGCAGCCTTGTTTCCCATCAGATTGCGTAGACGCAACTAGCTATCACTAGTCAGGGCCTCGAAGCCATGATTATAGCGCCGCTCACCCCCCCCCACCCCCCCCTCCCCCCCCCATCTAGGAAAAATGCGGAATATTCAATGTCCATGTGGACACGTACACATCTGGGGGGAGGAAAAACAACGTCCTAAAGATCTCAACCAGAATGAAGAGCCTTGAAAACAAGTATATCCACGAAGCAACGCATTTACCCCACTGCATTACATTGTAATATCCAGCCCTGGCGGATTGTGAAAGTAAGTAAATCACAACTCCGAAAGCTGCAGTGTACAGACTCGCGGTCCGCCACGCAATCTGCTCTGCCCTTGTTGGAAACACAAAATTCCACCCGGCAACATGCACACCCCCAAAGATCATGGCCGCCCCAAGTCCTGACATCCTGAAGATCCACTCAGTACCCTGGGAAACCTTCGTCCACTTAGACCCTGTGTTACAAAAAGGCTCGCCGGGGAACCCGGTATTCCGGCGCAAGGGTGAGAACCCGGGGGGAAAGAGAACCCGTACCATGCTCCTGGTTTGGTTTTTGATTTTTCTTTGTTGGAGAACATTGAAGACGTCAGGGGGGATGCTACCCTTGTACTCGAGAATGGTGACAGAAGATAGGACTGACTTGGGCTTCTTCCAGTAGAGGGCGTAGATAGCAATAGCGCAGGCGGCGAAGGCGAGAACGGAGAGCTCGAGTAGAGAGATGGTGAGCTGGCGACAGGCGCGGATCGTAACCTGGAGCATGGAGAAAAAGATCTGAGTGACGGCGATGGCCTTTAGCGCAGGGTCGGCTTTAGAACGGTCGTGTAGTTCTTCTTCGGTTATCGAAGGGAGGCGACGAATGTGTCCCTCTCGCCGAAGGTCAAGGATATCAGCTGCAGAGAGGTGATAGGGGTTGTGGTGGGAGATCTTAGAGTCGGGAACGAGTCCGGCTTCAGTTTCGTCGGCCACCCGGATGACGAAGCCGCCCATATCAGCAAAGTGGCTATGGGATAGAGTCCAGGGCACATTGTCCTCTTTGAAATGGGCGTTTATATCGCGAAAGCTCAGGCGGGCGAGTATGAAATCGCTAGTAGCAATAGTAATGATAATCTCAGGCGCAATGACGATAGAGAATGCGAGTTTGATACTTGTCCAGAACCCTCTTAACCCCCATCGTAGATCCCCTTTCCATCCAGGATAGCGGCCCCGGCGTTGCTCTGGGACGTTTGGATGTTGAATAGTCCAGGTGCAGGCAAATACGGTAAAGAGCGAGCTCCATAGGATGTCGAGAGTGCCCCGAAAGTCGGGGTTTAATACAAAGTTGTACGATGTAGTTGGCCTGGAGCATTCGGGATTGAAGACCGTATAAGCTTTGACCATTACTATTAAATAAAACAGGACGAAGCAGTAGAAAGTCCTTGAGAAAAACATGGTATTGTTATCGCATAGACAAGACCAAAAGGAGATACATTAGTGAGGGGTGAAACCGCGACACCAGTGTTGCGCGGTGAGCATTTAAACCCAAGTCGCGTCAGTATTGACCAGGGTGTCATCACGGTTGACCAGGGCGCAATCTATCACAGCATCTGCAAGCCACAGAAACAGATGACACGATACTATTGGTGCTGAAGTACGGGCCTACTATGGTGGAAATGCGGTGGAAATGCGGGTGTTAGGCTCAGCGAAAATTAGGAGCGTCTCAACCAAATCAGTTGCACCTCGGTCAGCGAATGACGAGAGGAAGCATAGACGTCGTGGTGTAGGTTGGTCCAGGCAGCTCAGTGGGTGTGGTTGAGAAAGGGGTCCTAACTAGGCAGCGAGGTCGTGGCCAAGTGTCGCGTGCATCAGCCACACTGCATTTCTACTAGTTTATTCTTCGCGACCCTCATTTGGGTCTAGCGGTTGCGATATACACTATTCGAGGGCCTCTTCAACCTCCGATATTTGCATGTCGTAAACCCTATTTTCCCCTGCGCACAACCAATTAAATACCATACTTCGACTGGCGCACTCTCGCGGGCTCTCGCGCTGCAATCGCGGGGGCGACCACGTTGCGGGCGCGAGAAGAACCCCTAAGCCCTGCTGAGCGACCTAAATGCCCTGAAGTGTTTTGTAAGTACAGGGCCTACAGTGGATGCACCTTGGTGGGTGCCCGGATCCGGAGAAAGTCGGTGGCCGTGGCCAGGTCGGACTTAGCGATGGTAGCATGCGCTGTTTCCAGATCTCAGAGTCTGGTGGCGTGTCTCGTCGAAAATGAAATTGGGAATGGGGATGGGATTGGGATTCGGCTCGTGGGAGGACGAAACAAAAGACCCGATCTGGAATACATGTGCCGTGGTCGAGACTGCCGTTTTCTGGTTGCTCTGTTTTGCCTGCGCGACCCACCGAGGTTAGCCAATCAGATCTCACGCTCAGACCACAATCTTCTACCTCAACCAGCGAGCCTGGGCACCAGCCCCTTCACTGATCAAGTCGCCAGATCTTCATAAATACACCGGTCGTGCTGGCGGCGTGGCCTGGTGAGAGGTGAAGCGCCGAGCAAATGAGGAGCCACGGGAAAGCCATCCCTGGATAGCTAGCCTGCGCTGGCGGCTGTGAGCTCAAGAACTATGCCCAACCGTGTGAGGCCCAATTGGGTGAGCTGGCGCCAGTGCGCGCGATATTTTTGGTAGAGAAGCGCGTCCCTAATATCAAGCCCTGAACCAAATAAGCACTAGAATGCCAACAACAGAACCACGCCCTCCACAGGGCGTAAAAAAAAGACCAGGCAGGTAGGATCGCCTCCCCCCGGAACCGGGGAAAGTGATAGGTAGGGAAATCTTGTCTCGGGCAGGAGTAGCTGAGCGCGCAGCTCAACCTTCGGGTCCGTAGGTCGAAAGCTGGGTAGGAAGGTCGGGAGTCGAGTAGTGGAAGTCGTCAGGATGAGCCTTTCAAAACCGTCAGGGCAGATAGGTCAATCAGGTCGGTGGCTGACAGATCGAAACCAAGACAGTATTGATAAGTGGAAATGGGTTACCTGGGCCAGGTTGATTGATCAGAGCAACACTCTATACAGCTGACAGAGTTCGTGGGAGGTACCGTCGGCCAAGTAAAAACAGCTCACAGGGCCACAAGCGGAAAGTGCGTAAGAAGGCCTCTTTCGGACACGCAGGGAAACCGTCAGGATCGACTCGTCAGCCGTCAGGGCAGGTCCTTAGCTAAGCTCAGCAGCTGACAGGGTTCGTGGCAGGCGCTATCGGTCCGGTAGAAACCACGCTCAGGGCGTAGGCAAAAGGAAGAAGAAGCCGGGGTCTGCATTCCGAATAGACAGAAGCCGAACAAAGTCCCCTAGACGAGGTCCATATGCCGGAGAAGCTGAAAAACGTCCCCTAGAGGAAGGCATGCCGGTGTCGGTAAGTCGGAGGTCAGAATTCAGGCCCCGGGAGATTAGGTCCGTATTTGAAGATCGAAGTTGGTCTAACTTGTAGGAAGCAGTTGGAGTTTGGTCCTGGACTCCTGGTATTGAAGCCCCTCCGGATATGCTGCACCTTGGGCATCTCGTCATTCCACCCTCTCAATACGACCTTTTCGTTGATTGACGATACTCGAGAACTTTGACCTCCTCGGGCTGACTTAAAGTCAAGGGCAAAAAAAGAGAAGAAATTGGTGGAGATGAAGCGATAAGCCAGAGGCTTAGACAAGTGATTTTTCCAAGGCAGGTAACCCCAAGGCACCACACACGCGCACACACCAACAGCAGGGACGATGGACTAACCAGACGAAGCCAATTATTACAAGAGCAGTAGAGGGCGACAATGCCTTCTCCAAACCCGCCGATGACGATTACTTGTATAACGACAAAACAAATTCCGGAACGGCGGCTAAAGCGGGGGTAGCGTGGGGCGCGGCTATGACCGGTAATGGCGGTTGTGCTTTTGCTATTTGCCTCTTGGTCTCCTAGATCGGTACAATATGTCAGCGACGGTGCCCTTCAATCTGGGGCATCATTGGGGAAGAAGAGACTAGGAAGGCCTTGATGGATGCGACTGACCTTGGTGGTACTGGGCGCTGCTGGAGCAGGGGCTAGAGGCGATGATGATAGAGACCGCTAGTCCGTTTCGGGCTGCAGCTACAGGAACAAAGCGGCCTGAGCATGGCGACGGGGCGATTGAGCCTGCGATGGAGCTTGACGCCGAAGAGTAGATTACGGGCCTGTCTGAGGGTGTGTTTTTGCTGTTCTGACGAGATTGGTGACGTAGTTCTCGATGACGTGAGAGGCATTGGAAGCTGGGATAGCGACTGAAGTGGATGAATAGAATGCGTACAGGTAGTATTGAGAATCTCCGAGATACGGCGGACCACTTGGTGCGTCGAGCTGTTCAATTTGCTGTTGGTCGTACGATGTGGTTGAAGTAAATGTGGTGGATTACGGCTGTTGGAATGACAAGGTCATTCGCAATAGTCACTATAGTAACCGTAGCGTAAGGTTGGGGGGTGGTGGTGGTATTCATCTATCTATGTTGTACACGAACCAAGGTAACAGGGTGCTGGTGGTTTTGGGGAAGTGGGCTGTCCTCGGCCACGTGCTAGGGCGGATGACCCGTACGCCCGGACTGGGCCCACTATTCTTCCTGACTGACCAATCAGAGGAACTCTGATTGATCGGTAATTCCTACAACGGCGGTGAAGATGTAATGTGGTCGAAGCAATGGAAGGGAAAGAAGGGAAATGACGACCTGGGCGGGAAAATTTTTTTTTTTAAAAAAAAAATCAGGTTGAAAGCAAATTGAAGGCCGTTATTGCTATTACTACTATTTATGCTCAGTCCAGACGTTCTGCCCCGTCAAAGTGGCGATATTGTCATTCATGACACTAGCGATACGGTAAGCGCTGTCCAAAAATGTGGAAGCCGTATCCAGCATGCAGCGAGGCGACCCAGCGGGTCGGCAATGTCCAGATTGCCATCACGATATGGCGGTAGATCTGTTCTGGGAGCCATGATGTAGTGGTCTGGAGGGCTGCTGGGATGAGGCACCACTTTGATTTCTTGACGGGCACTCCGTCGCGAGAAGCGTCGCCACAAATTTCTAAGATGGCGTGGCATTTTTGTCCAAGGCCAGGCAGGTAGGGGGGTTACCTTGAGACGGGAAGACAAGAACAGAGGGCACTTCGTTTGAATATTTGCGGGCAATCAGAGTTCTCACTCCAGGGTTAGAGTTCCAATTTCCAAGCCTTAGATACATCTGAGGTATCATAGGGCCGGTCTGGAACGGTCTTAAAAGGCAACGCTCAGTTTTATTTCATACCTTCCTTATACCTTATAGATAACGTAATACGCCCGAGTTAAAACGATTTCGAGATGCAGCAACTTTGAAAAGGGGGGGTCAAAGCTTGGATAGTACGCTGTCCGAAATGAAGGATGTCCTCAATGGAAGGCACGGCTCAGATTTGCCAACTTCAGTTCGAAACTTTCGCAACTTTAGAGTGTCCGGTCCCACTCGAAACTGGCAGTGGCAACCCGGGTTTGTCCCCTGCGGGATGGTGACCCTGAACAAGCCTTTCTTCCGGGGGAGGAGCTATTCGAAGCTTCTCACCGTTGCGACAACTGTCCGCAAAACCTTGAACAACCGTTCCAGGAAAAAGTGTTGCACGCGATCGAAGTTGACAGCGCATTGAATTGTCTGCTCAATAGGTCTAAAAGTACAGAAAAGAACGCTTCCTTATACTCGTGGAGAGAGGGCAAGGGAGGCGTTGTAATCAGCCCGAAAGAGGGCATTCCGAATGAAATGAGGACATTCCGAGTCAAGAATGGAGGAAATAACAAAGAATGAAGGAAGCTCAGAGGCATGTCAACCAGGCCTGTCCAATTCCATGAAAAGTGGGTCAATTCCAGACGACAAAAAGTCTATTTTTTTATTGCAAAAAGTGGGAGGCTAGCTAGCCTCTCTGAGCGTGGCTGCGCCGCCCCGTCGGGGATCATGGACTATGAGTGGCTTCGAGCCGCCCGGGTTCGAGGCGGAGCCTCAGGAGTACGAGACCGCGATGAAGAGCTCCGGGTTGTTGGCTTCTTCCTGGACGATTTCAGAATCATACTGCTTGTCGGTGCTCCGGATCACGAAATGCAGCCTTCGAGCCCACAGTTGTGATGGAGCGTCCGAAGACATTAGCTTCTGCGCTTTCTCTATCTCCTTTAGAACTCTGCGCCTCCCGATGGACTGCACCATCGTAGAGTGTCGTCTGGAATTGACCCACTTTTCATGGAATTGGACAGGCCCTGGTTGACATGCCTCTGAGCTTCCTTCATTCTTTGTTATTTCCTTCATTCTTAACTCGGAATGTCCTCATTTCATTCGGAATGCCCTCTTTCGGGCTGATTACAACGCCTCCCTTGCCCTCTCTCCATAAGTATAAGGAAGCGTTTTTTTCTTTACTTTTAGACCTATTGAGCAGACAATTCAATGCGCTGTCAACTTCGATCGCGTGCAACATAGAGCTATCGTTGTAGATTTCCGGCTCTTGTCGATCGACGGCCCCGCGATTCATCAGAGCTTCGAACCACGGCCTCGTGTCCTCTCTCAGCAGCAAACCACCGAGCCGTCCGGCCGGATTCACCGTTGCTTCGGGGATTGGCGCCATGGTATAGCGGGAGAGTGACGATGTCGAGTTTGTTGTTCTAGACGGCCGAATGCAGAACAGGGTCCCCATCGTTGTCGATGGCACCCACATCGGCGCCCTTCTGCAAGAGCAAGGTGGCCATTTTCAAATGCCCTCTCACTGCCGCATCCAGGAGGGGAGGGGACCCAGCATCGGTGATCCCGTTGACCTTGGCTCCGTGGTCCAAGAGAATGTGTGCGACGTCTAGCCGGTTTCGCCGGGCGGCAATGTTGAGAGGGGTGATGAGATCAAAGTGGCATGCGGCGTCCACCTCGGCCCCAAAAGCGAGCAGCTGAATCGAAGCCTGGTCGGTTCCGTAAAATGCGGCGACGTGCAGGGCGGTAGACCCCTCAGGCTCTACCGCCGGATGAGGCCAGTCGTGTCTGCTCCTGCCGTTGACTGGAAGGCCGATGGCGAGAGGAAGCTGTAGTGCGATAATATGGCCGTCCCGGACGGCCAAATGGAGCTTATTTCCTCCGTCCCGATCGTTCTGCTCGCGGGCCCACTTGGAAATCTGCTCCACATCTCCCAAACGACCTTGCTCAGTGTAGGTGAGGCGGAGGTTATTGGCGGCGTTGAGAGTGGACAAGTGATGCCATCCGCGAGCCTTCTCGAGCCCGTCTTTTCCCCGTTTGTACATTTCTTCCGCTTTCATCGGCAGGCCCCGAGCGGCGTAGATGTTGCCAAAGTTGGTGACGGCATCGAGAGTCGTGGGGTCCTCGGGCCCTAGAATCTTCTCGAAGCCCTGCATGGCCCGTTGGAACATGTCCTCGGCCTCTTGCAGCCTCCCCTAATGCCTGTAGACCATTCTAAATCCATTGGCGGCGTGAAGAGTCAGTGTATGGTCACGTCCGTGGGTGGCTTCGAGGCCTTTCAGTGCCCACTCGTGCATCACCTCGGCCTCGTCAAGTCGGCCCAGGTCCTTGGATAGCAGGCCCAAGTTGCCGTCTGTGGCGAGAGTCGACTCGTGGTTTGGACCGAGCGTCCTTTGCATAACTTCTAGGAAGCGTTTATACAACTCCTCGGCCAAATAGACCTTACCCTGGGCAGCGTAGACCACTAGCTAGATTATTGGCTGTGTCCAGCGCAGACATCTGGTCCAGTCCTCGTGTCCTCTAGAGGCCCGCCAACGTCCAGCTAAGCATCGTCTCTGCGTCCCGTAGCCTACCTTGAGTGCAGTAAAATGTGCCTAGATCGGTAGCTGCGAGGAGGCTCGATTCGTGATCTGGCCCGAACAGCCGAATGCATGCTTCCAGCGAAGCTTCGAGCGGCCCCCCGGCGGACGCCGACTAATTTTGGCTGGACGGTCGTACGGACGCTATGTTCGAGGTGGTCAAGTATTCAAGTAACCATACGGCGCGTGAGTGCCAACGGCCTAGAGAAAATAGTTCGGGCTGAAGCGTGGAGTCCTGCGATAGGGATGGAATTCAAATTCTCAGAGTAACAAGAGCCCAAAGCTTCGATGTGTGATTGTTGGAATAACATACTGGAATGACGCGCTGATCCAAGGAATGCGGCTCCGCATTCCTGGCCACAGCAACGTCTGTGGAGGAGCGGGCCTGACAGATGCATATATATTGGCCTACGCCCACCTGTTCAGATAGATAAAAAGACAGACACAAACGAATCCATCACTTGAACCACCACCTTACGGCGCGCAGCGCGCCATGCTGTTTCCAGTACCGGTACCCTGGTGATTCCTACAGTGATAAACGAGCCTCGTAAACGGCGTCAGCTTTTATGAGCAACCTAAACATTTTGGGCGCTCAACCAAGCTTAGCTAGTTATTCTGTCAACTCCTATTGTTGCGGCTGAAGGTAGAATACGAGCAGTAATGCGGCTAAAGGTCGGATTTGAGCTGTTATACGACGAAGCACACAAATTGCAAAAGGGCTTACAGTCTGCAACCCTTCCAGCTCCTCACACTAGTCAACATTAGCGTGATCGAAGATGCTCTAAGCCCGACGAAGCGCATAGCCGCCACAATCTGTCACGACAATAGGGATTAGTGAGCAAAAGAAGAACCTAGAAGCTGCCACTTGATTCTTCGCCACCAGATTTTGCCACTATTCATAACTATAAAAGAGAGACTTTTGGACCTCCTAAAGGAAACAAAAAGTCAGACCTTTTCAGAAAATTCAAGCCTTACCTCCCTGCATCAAATGCTTCATTTCCGTTGCCCTGTGAATGCGCGTGACACAATCACATCTTACCTTGAGCAATGCAATGAAAAGATGCTCTGAGCCCGACGAAGCACATAGCAGCCGCAACCACACCTCACATTAAGCAATGCACTTGTCCTGGCCCATCGAATTTCTGTCCGCAACCAGCTGCCGCCTCCGCGCCTCCAATGCTCACCTTTTAGCGCGCCGCTGAGCAGCTCTGCTGTAGTCTTTCGACGAGCGTCTTGTCGGAAGCTTAGTAGTAATGGCTTGTCAGATATCTAGATTCATATTAAAGAAACTCCTGTCTACAGCTCACCCTCACTGATCACCTTGCGACACGAAATGAAATTGCTGTGCAGCAATTTCTGATTTCCTTGTGTGACAAAGATTGCCAGTGCGCTGTGAGTCGCCATTTTGTGGCCGCCCACCCTCAGCACGCTGGGAGCTGGGCTGGTTGGTAACCATTGGTCTTTGTGACTAGCTTTAGCTCGATCCTGGACACCTCGAGGCCTGCTGGAATGTATGTGCCGTGGTCGGGACTGCTGAATTGTGATTGCTCCATTTCTTCTGCGTAATCCACCAAGAAGACTAGCCAATCAAGCTAGGTACCGGCCACTTCAACGATAAGTTACCAGGTCTTTATAAATACACTGTACCCTCGCTGCTTGCTCATTTTCAACTCCCCGCTTCTTCCTCCTCCTTCCTCCTCCATTCAGGTTCTAGGTCGTCCTTTAGCCAATAGGAAACTCAACATCTGTTTCCAAACGCCCTCCTTATCGCCGGCAGACGTCCGCCTTGGCCTTCGCTCCTAGGGAGATCATTTCCACCTGCCTCCCCGTCTTCTTCTTCCTTCTTCCTCCTAATTCTACGCCGTAATCCGGCCAATGGCGGAATTGCCGCACGCACGCTCGTCACAGAGGTACATCTGCCGTGGTGCCCCTCCCTCATTTCTAAAAGGACGAAGAAGAAACTGAAACTTGAAGACTACTCCTCGCATTCGCAGACAAGGCGGTCCTACAGAAACACACGGGTCACAATAAGACTCCTTCGAAAAGACGTAATAATTCATGTCCATTCTAAAATACCGGCTAATAATACTATACCGAGTTTTTGCAAATGTGGACGCCTCACGAGGCTTTTGGTGATCGTGCTTGTATGAGATTACCGTGGTAAATATGTTAATAATAATCACTAGTCTACGTAAATTACTAAATATTACCGACTTCGATAATTTCCGTACCTAACTACGCAGTTTCTAGTTGATTCCACTTGCTATAGATAACACTATACGAACAGTACTTAGGAGCAGGTAGTAGGCAGGGTGGAGGCTAAGGCGGTGTAGTCTACAAAGGTTGAGTCCTATATAATCGTAGCTGCTGCACGATTGCCTCGAATTACAAACCACTCGACTGTAAGGGTCGTCTGTCTATAAGGGAGTAGGGGCTCCACAAAATACAGAATTCTGGGGTTGGTAGTTGGACGCTCTCTGTCAATATCACTTGGCTGTACAAATCCCAGAAGTTCCTTCGCAAATGCCGCAGCTATAGTAGCCGCATGCTCCTGCCAATCTTGATTCTTATGCGAATTCGCATAGTCGCAGATGCCTCGGACGGCGATGCATGGAAAGTTGTTCATGAGCCCTGCTGCTTCCATTTCAATGCAGAGAACATTGCCGCCGAGATCTTTGTTGAGTTTATCCCGGAAGGAGGCGTTTTTCATGACCTTATTGCCCGACGCGATCAGACCATAGTGGATGCGCATATTTCTGGGCTTCCTCTTGACGAGCTTAGTCCTATCACAGAATTGGCAGCTCTCTTTCTTCTCCTCTCCGTCGTCAATATCCGCGGTGGCTTCGCCGTCTGCAATGCTCTCATGAAAATGGTCGTAATCAGCCTTGAATAAGATATCCTCTAGCGACTCGGGCCTCAAATACTTTGGCGCCAGCCCAGGCCATTTTTGTTTCATTTCCTCGAGAAACTCCGGAATCTTGGAAGAACCAGTCAAATCGTGCTCTGACTCCAGTTTTGTCAAAGCTGTGAGCAGCAGATTAGGCGGTGTATCCAGCGCCCTGGTCCGCTCGAAGTTGTCGCCCTGTTATGCCTTGCCGAAGTCCCATTGAACCACGCCAGGAAACTCGCTCACAGGGGTGCTAACTACCACATCGCCGAGCCTGACCTTAGGTGGAACACCACCACCGATGCCAACCATCAGGCCGAATTTGATAGACGGAAAGGTGGAGACCATCCGGGCCGCAACGGTGGCTGCTGGAATGGTTCCAGTCTTGCCTTTTGGTAAGCAAGCTATGACGACGTTGTGATTACGAATGGCCCCGAGAGTGTAGGTGTTTGGGTCATTCAGTGGCTTTAGGAGATCTGCATGCCTCTAGTCTAGCATGGCGGTTGCGGCAGTTTGTTCCTTAGGCAGCGCGCAGACCCATCCCACAGTGTACTTGTCATGCGTCAACCCTGCGGTGTAAGAGGAGCCATCCACCTTCATCCTCTTCGGCTCCGGGGGTGCGGCGGCTTCGGCTCCTCCATCCTTGACAATCTGCCTGTTTCTCTTGGACATAATCAGGAATTTAAGCGGATAGGTCTTGGAAGGCTTGGTGGAAAAGACGGGACGTCCGATAGGTCGAATTCGACGGCCGGTCGCGTTCGACGAGGAGGCAGTGTGGCAGCAAGATGCAGGCAAGTCGCGATTTCAAGACGGAATGCTGGACTGTCCTACGTTGCCTTCAATATACGCCAGATATAGAATACAGTCAGTGGTGCTTAGGCTGTGGGCGTTTACGGGCGAGGGAATGAGATGATGGCGGATCGAAAGAGCTCCCGTAGCCTCGTTGGTGAGGAAGTAGACTGGCAAGTGCGACAAAACGCAAAGTCGTGGGGAGAGAAGGAAGAAATTGCGGGGCCAGCCGAATGCCACAAGCCACTTTGTAGCGAGGCTGCGGCGGCTGCTAGATATTGTTACGGCGCCGTGTCGGGCCACCACCTTGCATCCCTTTGGTTCGGTCGGAGTGCTTTGTGGCTTGTTAGACGGAATGTCAGAGCATGTGAAATTGATATGCCCGGCTATTATTGCGAGCTGGAGTGCAGACGCCTTGCCCTTTTTGACTGCAAGTGGAGCTTCGCGAAATTGGCTAGCGATAGGGAGGAGGATATGTAGAGGGCAGCGAGGGGACTTAGAGGTCGTGAGGGAACAAGATAGGTACTAAAATCGTCAAGTCTCGTTTCGACTAGGGGGGTGCCTCGCTACGCTCGGGCGTAAGGCTTATATTTTAGGCCTAGCGGGGCAACGAGCACTGCAGGCACCCGGGAGCGAAGACAACGGCGAGTTGCGAGCTCTCGGCACGCCAGCCAGCCCGGGAGCGGAAGTGAGCAAACTCGACGTCACAGAGCTCCCGACACGGCACGCTAGTTAACCCGGGCCGTGACCGCCCGGGTACCCGAACTTATATCGCTTTTCTTTTACAATAGCTAAACGACCTTAATAACAAAGCTTTTGAAAATGAAAAATAAGTATTCTATTCTAAAATAGACCCTCTAAAAGCATCCATCGTGGTTTTATTTCTTTCCTAGCGTTTAAAGTAGATTTTTCATCTTTTAAATAATTTACGACCGGGCGGTTTGTTAAGAACGTACAGCCAAAAGGTACTTGGAACCTTGACAATTTTTACTAGATGCGCCTCCTAATCGGGATTTAGTTCGGGCCTGGATAAGGGCTCTCGCTCGCTCTGGCTCGCCCTGCTCGGATATATAGGCACCCTCTGCTCCTTCTTTTATATAAAAAACAACGCTCTTTCAACCTCTTCCACAATTCCCTATGGGGGCCTTATTTTCCGGTCACATTATCCTTCTTCTGCTGCTTGCGCCAGCTGACCAAGACGTCGTCGCACATGCGCGACATGGGGTACGTGTCCGACATGACCTTGATCACCGACACGTCGACGCCCATCTCGCGTAGCATCCACTCGCGGATCCGGATCGCCACCAGCGAGTCGACGCCTAGGTTGGCGACCGGCCGCGCCGGGTCGATCGTAGCCGGGTCCATCTCGAGCAGCTTGCCTAGAGCGATGGCGAAGGCCTTCTCCAACACGGCTCTTTGCTGGCCCACGTCGTCGTCGGCGCCGACCTCGGTCAGCTGTGCCTGCACGCTCATCGCCGCCGCACCACGCTCTGCGCTGGCGTCCAAATCATCACCCTCGCCGTCCCGGAGATAGCGCGCAAGACGTGGGTCTTGCGGCTGCTGCTTCTCGCCCTCGAACACGGTGCGCAGACCCGTGATGAGCTCACCACCGGTCGTGCTGTCACTGTCACTGTCACCGTCGCGGACACGGCCGCTGACAACGGCCTCGGCCAGCATCGCGTGCAGATCCGGCTCCGCCTGGTTGTGGTAGCGCGTCCGGAGGGACCTGTTCATGGTCTCGGCGTGCGCGGCGTCGCTGCGATGAATGTAGCCGAAGCCCGTCAGGATGGCGATGTGCAGCACCGACGCGGCCAGGCCGTGCCGGCGCCGCTGCCGCACCAGGCCCGTCATGTACTGGTTCGCGGCCGCGTAGGCCGACTGCCCCACGTTCCCGGCGATGGACGTGATGGACGAGAGGCAGATGAAGAAGTCGAGCGGCTCCTTCTTTTCGTCCTCGTACAAGGCGGCGTCCAGGTTGCGAGATCCGGCGACCTTGGGTGCTAGCACGGCCGCGAAGTCGTCCCACGGCATGTTCTGGAAGAGCCGGTCTCGCAGGATCATGGCCCCGTTCATCACCCCGCCGATGGGAGGCATGTCGGCCCTGATGGCGGTGACGGCAGCGCGCAGGCTGGCGAGATTGGTGATGTCAACGGCCATGGGACGCACGCCGGCGCCGAATTTCCCGGCCATGTGGCCCAGGATGCGAGACGAAATGTTTGGGTTCCGACTCATCAGCACCACGTGGCGGGCGCCGTGTTCGACCATCCAGAGGCACACCGAGATGCCCATGTCGCCCGTCATACCGCAGAGGAGATAGGTCTTGTCGGGTGCAAACAGCCCGCCGTGCTCTAGTGGGGAGACGTCAGCCGTGACGGTCTCGGCCGCGCACCAGTCCACCACGGCTGTGGGGGAGAGCTGCTGCTCCACGGGCAGCAGTCCGGCCGAAGCCTGCTCAAGCGTCACGACGCTCTCGCCGGTGCCACCACTGTCCGTGACGACGTCATGGTTCTTGGCTAGATGGTCCAGTTCGCAGACCTCGGAGCCGGCCTGGGCCGTCAGATCAGCCAAGTAAGTCTCATTGGTCACGATCGACGGGGCGGAGACCTCGAAGCCGGCCGTCAGGTCAGCCCAGCCAACTTGCTTGATCTCGATCGACCGGGCAGAGCACAGAGCCTTGACGGCAGCACCACTTTGACTTGTTGAGAGATTGACAAAGGTCCGCAGGCCCTCGGGAAGCGGGAGATTCAGCAAATCATCCTCCCGCGCGTAGGGATGCACAAACGTCGTCACGCCTGCTGCGCCTGCGGTCGACGTGGTTTGGAAGATGGCGATGCCCTTCTCGCGGGCCACCACGTCGAGAGCTTCGCCGAGCTGCGCCGGAGCGCCGTGAATCCACGCAGGCCCCTGGACGTCGAGGAGCAGGCGACTGGCACACGCCCGCGCCAGGAATGTTTGCAGCCATGCCAGGTCGTCGCCGTTGCTGTCCTTGCCCTCGTCCCCTTTGCCGGACCGCGGCCAGCGCCGCAAGACGTGGTGTCCTTGGGCTATGGAGACAAGAGAGCCGTTTACTCGGGACAGGGCGACGACTCTTTCGCCGGATGACACGTCTCGGCCGATGCACACATGCAATGCCTGTGCTGCTGAGGGCGAGCCACCGTCGCTGCAGGTGAATCGCTGCAGGGAAGATGCAGTAACCTGCACGCGCACCACTCCTCTGCCCTCACTCGGACTGGTTCCCAGCGGCTCGGCTGTCTTCAGCTCCCATGACGCCTCCTGACCACGCTCTAGCACGACAGCCGCCCCTGGAGACGGAGAAGGCAAGACGGCCTGTTGCGTGACTCTGCGTTGCCGTGCGGCGTTCCTCCGATTCGGCGCGTCGAGTGCCAGCACGCGGGGGATGTAGAGCGCGCCGCCCTCGCCCAGGGCCAGCTCGGGCTCTTGCGTCCAAAGAAAGTCATCTCCGCTTGCCGGGTCGAAGATGGTGAGGCGGAGGAGCATCGTGGCCAGCAAGGCGGGGCCCCCATTCGGCGACTCCAGCAGCGCCGAGGGTTTGTCGACGTCGAGGAACTGCAGCCGGAGCGACGGGCCGCGCTCGGCCCGCAGCGTGCTGCCCATGCCGACCACCATGTTGGCGCAAGGATCGCGGCCGGAGCGCGCGCCCGCCGTCACCCAGAGGACGGACCCGGCGGTGGCCATCATGTCCTGCAGCCCGCGGAAACGCTGCGCCGTATCGCCTTCGTCGCTCTGGAAGACGGGATGGTCCAGCTCGGCCAGGCACAGCACGGCCGAGCCCGGGGAAATGTAGTGGGCCGTACTCACGGCATCGAGGCCGGGCACGATGGTGACTGTCTTGGAAGACGTGGCGGCTTGCAAGAGATTCTGACACTGGGATGCGAGATTGGAAGTGATAGCGCCGCCCCCAGCCACGATGAAGACGTCGCCAAGCGATGGTGCCAACGTCTCGGGCGTGGCTGCAAGCGGCTCCCGCAGGAGCCGGATCGTGTCGTCGACGGCGTGCGCCACCATGACGGAGCAGTACGACACCGTCCTCGTGCTCGTCCTGTCCACGCCGGCGAAGCCGGTGGCCCGGAGGAGCCGGTCCCAGTGCTCGAGGTCGACGGTAGGACCGTTAACGCGGCCGTCCTCGAGGCCGACAAAGAAGTCGGGCAGTGCCAGCTTGACAATCTGAGACATGAGGAAGTCGTCGGTGGGCTCGAGCAGGATCAGCTGGCCGCCCGGACGCAGCATCTGCCGGCAGCGGCGCAGCGAGTCCGACAGGCTCTTGAGCTTGTGGAGGATCTTGGACGCGATGACCAGGTCGAAGGTTGCGTCCGGAAAGCCCTGGCCGGCCGGGTCCTGGTCGATGTCCAGCTTCTTGAAGGTCACGTTCTTGTGGTGGCCGTGCAGGACGCGGGCTCGGTCGAGGACGTCGGTCGATTTGTCGGTGTAGTTGTACGACGCGTACTGCAACTGCTGCTCCTGCAGCGCCTTGAGCACGGCCCCCGAGGTGCCACCGGTGCCGGCGCCCACGTCGACAATGTTCATGCGCGGGTACCGGTGCGCGAGCTGCGCGATGAGCGTGGCCGCGTCGCGGTTGGCGGCACTGTAGCCGATGCCGTCGGCGTACACCCACTCGAGTTGATGGGGAGTCCAGATACGCACCCACGGCGTCATGCTGCGGACGACAGAGATGAGCTTGTCGCCCACGGAACGCAGAAAGTCCCAGTGCATTTCGCAGTGGTACCTTTCCTCGTCACTCTTCTGGCTGCTGATGCTCTCCTGCCTCAGAGCCTGTATTATCTCGGGCGTGTCGTGTCTCCATTCGGGCCTGAATCCCGGCAAGCCCGAGTGTGCGCCGGCCTCGATTTCCGGCAGCAGATGCTCCAGCGCCCACGTCACGTTGCGCTTGTACGACTTGCTCATGATGAGCATCTCCTGCGGCAGGATGGTGCGGAACTGCTGGAGATAGAAGTAGGACGCGCGAGACAGCACCTCGTACTGCACGTTCAATTCCTCGGACAGCGTCGCCGCACGCTCCGGTTCGATGCCCGAGTCTGCATCTCGCACCCACCTCGTCCCGGCGTATAGCCAAGCATCACGCTGCTGCTGGCCTACGGCTGTCAGGCAAATGCCACGGATCTGGACCTTGACCTCGTCGGCCGCGTTGAACACGTCAATGTCACCCACAATGGTGGAGCCGGCTGTCGAGGTCACCATTGCGTCGGCAGTGAGCTGCTGCTGGCTGGGGTTCTCATCTCTGCCCGCGCTCGCAGACGGTCGGCTGTTTGGGGGGATGATCCGGACACAGTCAACCCGTGTTGGCAGGTAGAGAGTCGACAGGCGGTCATCGCCCGGGAACGAGAAGGCGGCGAGCAGGCCCTGGGCAGCCGTGTCGACAGGCGCAGGATGCATGCAGGCGTGGAGCGCAGAGGACTCGGGCGGCGAGGACAAGGTCACCGTGGCTCGGTGGAGTCGGCGCAGCACGGCTTTGGCCTTGAAGGGGCTGGCGTACTGCAGGCCAACTTCAGCTAGGCTGGAGTAGAGCTGCTCTAAGTCTAGCGCGTCCATCGGCAGGGGCCTGGCACTCTCCCCGGTCCGGTGCGGCAGGACCTCGTTCTCCTCCTCTTGGTCGGAATCGGACCGGCCGAGCCATAGCCGTACCCCTCCCGTGAAGTGGGCAGAGAGTGCCGTCTGCGGCGCGTCCAGCGGCAGCGGCGCGTCCACGGGTCCACTGTAGCATGCCACCTGGGCGGTGATGCAGTCGTCCGACTGGCTCGTCACGCGAACAGTAAGCACCACTTCCAGACCGGAATCTTGCTCGAGGCGCATTGCGCGCACAATGTCGATATCGTGGAGCTCGACAAGCCGGACCAGCTTCTGCTTCTTCTCGTCATCGTCGACAACAAGTTGGAGAGCGGCCTCGTACGCCATGGACAGGTAGCCCGACGCCGGAAACAAGACTTCTCCCTGGATCACATGTCCCGCCAGCCAAGGAAGCTCCTGCAGCCTGAGCACCTGCTTCCAGTGGACCTCTCGCTTGTTGTCGCGCGCGCCACCGCCATACACAACAGGGTGGCCCAAGAGCTCGTGCCGGCCGTAACCACGGCGGCCGCCGACGCGGAAGAGACGAGAGGCCCGCGACTCCTTCCAGATGGGACTGTCATGATTCCACGAGTAGGGCGGCAGACCCTTCAGGACACCAACGTGTTCGATTTCCGTGTTGTCGGCGGTATCCTGCTGCAAGGCCCGACGCACGCCGTCAAAGGTGACAATGGGGCGTCCGGTGGGCGCCGACGGGAACAGAGACCAAACAGTACCCAGGGCTTCCGTGAGGGACTCGACCGCATCCTGCCCTCGCTTCAGGGCGCTGGCGTAGGGCAGCGAGACAAGACCGCCCGTCGACGTCTTGATCGTCTCCGAGGCCGGTCCCTTGAGCGCGGGGTGCGGTCCGACCTCGAGCGCCAGATCAAAGACGTGGTCTTGGTCCAGCGCCCGCGCCAACGCCTGGCTGAATTTCACCGGCCGCGTCAGGTTGTCGACCCAGTATTGGCCCTCAAGAAGCTCGCCGTCAGCCTTGTGATCGTCGTTGTCCCAAACGCTCGAGTACCATCGGCATTGCTGCTGCTGCTGCTGCTGCTGCTGCTGCTGGCCGCGACGTTTCTGCGGCGTCTGCAGCTTCACGCCGCATTCCTTCATCGACTCGAGGTACGGGCCGGCGCACGGCTTCATGTGATGCGAGTGATAGGCCGTGTCGACCTGCAGTACCCGCGCAAACGTGCCCTCCTGCTGCAAGCGCGCAAAGGCCTTGTCGACGGCGTCAGCATCGCCCGCGAGCGTGCAGCTCGTGTGCGAATTGCTCGCCGCCGCGACCAGGGCGCCGTCGAACTCGGCGCAAAAGGCGGTCGCCTGCTCCCAACCCATCCCGACGGCCATCATCTTGCCGCGTTTCCCGAGGCCGGCGCCGGGTCCCTGCGCGAGGTGGGCGTGCAGGCCGCGGTAGTACGCCACGCGGATCGCGTCTGCGGCGTCGAGGTAGCCCGCCGTGTACGCCGCCGCGATCTCGCCCGAGGAGTGTCCGACCACGGCGGCGAACTCGATCCCTGCGGCCCTCAGCGTGTCGACTAGGGCGATCTGGAGCGCCGTGCACAGGGGCTGCGAGACGGCTGCTTCGGCGACGCGCGAAGTCCCGCCGTCCGCGAGCAGCTGGCCGGCCAGCCGCCAAGTCGGGCGATCCTCGGCGGCGGGCAGGGCATCGAGGCTCCGCTGCATGCCGTCGATGGCAGCTCGGAACGGCCCCGAGGCGGAGGCGCCGTGGTAGAGCTCCCGGCCCATGGTCGCCCACTGCGCGCCCTGGCCGGTGAAGATGCCCAAGATCCGTGGCGGTAGGGCCTCGGGAAAGACCGAGTTGACGCCCGCTCGGCGCTCGAGAGACTTGGCTGCTTCCTCGAGCTTGGACGCGAGCTGCGCGGCCGTCGAGCAGGCGGAGAAGGAGGCGCGGAAGGCGAATGGGGTGCGCCGGAACAGCGTGTATGCCAGGGCCGTGAGGTCGATCTTGTCCGAGTGGGCGCGGAGATGGCTGACGAGGGCGCTGGCATTTGCGGCTAGAGCGGCGCTCGAGTGGGCCGACAGGACGAACGGTCCGACCGCAGCCTCCTGGGCTTCTTTGACTTTGGGTCCATGGCCACCGTCACCGTCACCGTCACCGTCACTGGCTTCGGCCTGAGAGGAGGTCGAGGCCGAGTCAAAGCCCGAGTCGGAACCATCGGCTCCGGCAGGTCCGGTACCGCCGCCCTCGAAACTCTCGAGGATGGCGTGGGCATTCGTGCCGCCAAAGCCGAAGCTGTTGACGCTGACCCGTCGCACGCTTCCCTCCGGGATGCTGGGCCAGGGGACCGTCTCGGTCGGGATGCGTAGGTTGGCGTAGTACGGCTGGATCTTGGGGTTCAGGTTCTGGAAGTGGAGGTTCGCCGGGATGCGGCCGTGCTGCAGAGCCAACGACGCCTTGAGCACCCCCGCAACACCGGCCGTGCCCTCGGTGTGGCCGATTATCGTCTTGATGCTGCCCACCACGAGCTCACGGTGCTCGCGTTTGTCGACGTCGGTGTCGCCGTCATTGGGGAAGAAGACGCTCTGGATCGCTCGGGCTTCGATGGCTAAGGCAGAGAGACGGAAAGATGGTTTGTCAGTGCAGGCCGGCCACCAGATTTGACAAGGAACTTGGTTACTCACGGTCGCCCGCCGGCGTGCCAGTGCCGTGAGCCTCAAAGTATTGTGGACGATCGGATTCTCGCGACGGATCGAGCCCGCACCTGGCGTACGTGTCCCGGATGAGCCGTGCCTGTGACTCGTAGCTCGGCATCGTGATGCCCGGCGTCTTTCCGTCCGAATTGACGCCCGTCTCGCGGATGACGCACTCGATGTGGTCCCCGTCGGCGATGGCCTGGCTCAGCGTCTTGAGGAAGACGACGCCGAAGCCTTCGCCGCGCGTGTATCCATCTGCCTGCGAATCCCACATATATGATCTCCCATTCGGCGACAGCATGTTGAGCTAAGGTAGAGAGGCGTCATTTCTTCGCGTCAGTAGGTATTATCAAAAAGACGTCTAGCGGGTGTAGGTGACCGGTTGGTCTAGTTACAAACCTTGGACTCGCTGATGAAGGGCTCGGGACCCAGGATGAGATTCGAGCCGGCCGCAACAGCTATGCTAGCCTCGCCGTTCCGGAGGGCGCAGACTGCCTGATGCAGGGCGACCAGACTCGACGAACAGGCTGTGTCTAGGGTCACTGACGGACCGCGCCAGTCGTAAAAGTACGACACCCGGTTGGACAAGATCGATGACCCGGTTCCTGTCGCGTGGTACTGAGGCAGGCTATCGACGCCCCGGACCGCCGTGTACTGGTAATCGTAGAACATGCAGCCGACAAATATAGCTGTAGACGATCCCCGGAGCTGCTGTATCGAGTACCCGGCGGATTCGACGCCCTCGTATACCGTCTCGAGGAGCAGTCGTTGCTGGGGATCCATGGCCTCGGCTTCCTTGGGGTTGATGGAGAAGAAGTCGCGGTCGAAGCCACGGGGATCTTCATCAAGGAGGTAGGCGTGCTTGACGTTGGTACTCTAGGCTTTTGGTAAGAGATTTCCTGCATTCGCATACCCACCGAAGGGGAAGGACGGGAGCTTACTCCATGGTGCTGGCTGTCTGTATGGTAGAATGCCTCGGTGCTGAAGCGGCTCGCTGGTATTTGCTGCACCACATCGCGAGGCGTCTCCAGGAGTTCCCACAGCCGGGACGGCGAGGTCGCGCCGCCCGGGAGACGGCAGCTGCTGCCTACAATGGCAATGGGCTTGCTTGCGAACATCTCGGGCCGACTACCCATGGTGACGCGGGATCAGGGAGATAGATGATAGGGCGAGTCTTGAGATGACAAGCGGGCGAGTCTTGAGATGACAAGCGGGGGAGTCTTGAGATGACAGGCGGGCGAGTCTTGAGATGACAAGCGGGCGAGTCTTGAGATGACAGGCGGGCGAGTCTTGAGACTCTGGGGACCGAGTCTCTTGCTTGGATTCAGGTGAAGCGCTGCATACGAGTTGGTCTGGTTCGAGAGTGCTTCCTCGGTTCTCGACCAGTCTATAATAATAATAATGATACTGCGACGGCGTCGAGCTCGAGAATTGAGGTAGACTATATCAAGCTGGAGGAGTGGATTCTTGGCCGATCGGGTTAGAAACAAGACGCGTAATACCTTGGCTCCTTCGCCTGGTCGGCCTTCATTTGCAAACTGTGGCGACATGACAGTGACGGTTCCGATTCCGGTCCGACAAGATTAAAGAGACACAGGAAGCCTCAAGACGGAACACGGAAGCGGTCGCTGTTCGGATTGCAACCGTTACAGCTAACGAGACTTGTCTTGGCCAATGCGGCGGTCTTGGCCAATGCGGCGTTTACCGCTCCTGATTGGTGCCGGTGTGTACTTTACATCGGTATTACCACTCCGGCCCGATCGGAAATTCCGGCCGCTCTTACGTAAGATTGGAACTATTTTACATTGGTATTACCACTATTTTACACCGGTATGACCACTGTCTTACATCAGTATTACCACTCTTTTACATCGGTATTACCACTATTTTGCATCGGTATTACCGCTCCGGCCCGATCGGAAATTCCGGCCGCTCTTATGTAAGATCGGGACTAAACACAACGGAACGGGCCTGTTGCTGCGCCGTTCGATTCGTTACTCTTGTGGTTGAGCTGCGTTCTACAAGTCCAGAACACGGACAAGGAATCTAGAGCAAAGTTGGGTTCAAGTCAGGAGGGCGATAATGATATATCCATAAACTCACAGAGATTCTCGGGTCTTTTTTTGTAAACTTCGGTGAGCCTAACTAAGCCTACCTGTCAATCCCAATGCCAGACACTATGAGAGCTCTTGTAGGCGCCGACTCGGGCAGCCGCTACCGCCTCGCCCAGGACGCCCCAATTCCCGTCCCTCCACGCGGCATGTTGCTTGTCCGCGTTCACTCGGTCGCTTTCAACCCACGCGATGCCAACAAGATAGTCGACTACTCCTCCAACGCTGCTGCTCCCGGGTCAATCGGCGGTGGCTGCGACTTCGCCGGCACCGTCGCCCGGCTGGGCGAGGGCGTGACGCGGTTCCAGGTGGGCGACCGCATCCTCGCCTTCTCCTTCGGCCCAGACGCCACGGACAAGAGCAAAGGAGGCGCCTTTGCCGAGTTCGCGCTGGCCGAGCAAGATAGCAGCTGCCGCGTGCCCGACGCCATGGATTTCGCCGAGGCGTGTTCGATCGGCATGGGGCTCGCCGCCGTCGGCCAGCTGTCCATACTGCACGGCGGCGGCGACGACAACAACAACACCAACACCACTGTGCTCGTTTCCGGCGGCGCGACGCCCGCCGGCACCATGGCCACACAGCTCCTCAAGATGGCCGGCTACACCCCGATCGTCACCTGCTCGCCCGCCGACAACGCCCTGTGCCGGGAATACGGCGCCGCCGCGTGCTTCGACGACCACTCGCCGGCCTGCGGCGCCGACATCCGCGTGCACACCGACAATAGCCTCCTCTACGCGCTAGACTGCATCGCCGATGACGCCACCATGAAGATGTGCTACGAGGCCATCGGCTCCGGCTCCGGCTCGTCGTATTACTTCGGCCTCGAGAAACCCGCTAATGCCATCGCCGTCAAGTACACGCGGCGGGACGTGCAGGCCGACTGGACGCTGGCCGACGGCGCCCAAGTGTTGGGCGGCGGCCTTGACAATTTACCCGCGGCCTTGGAGGACTTGAATACGCGGAGGGTGCACAATACGAAGAAGCTGATTGTGCCGCTCATGGCGTAGTAGGAGTACCTAGGTAGTCAGTAGATGGGCTGTAGGCTTCATACAGCCATCGCTTGACATGATTAGACCGAATTAGATCTTGGCTCGAATTTTTGCATTGAGTTCTGTGTCTACTGTTAAACAAGAGTACTCAATCCGAAGAAAAGTTCAGCTTCATACATGACTTCATACATGACTTCATACATGACTTCATACATGACTTCATACATGACGTCATGCATGACTTCATACATGATGCTGCGATGTTTCCACCCCTGGTATAATAAGCCGATTCCGCCCAAACTCCGTGATTCCTGAGGTTCGTCTCGATTTTTAGGCGTTCGGAGCAGAATGCGACGCTGAGGTAGCCTACCTTTCGTCCGGCGCTCCGGACTACCTAATGATCGCTGTATTTCCGAGTCGGAGAGCGTCTAATAACGTAAGCCGGAGTCTTCAATCACCGACCCGGCCGTACAGGGCCGACGCGACTCAACCCCGATGACGCCTGATTTCCAAATTCCACCATGAACTGTTCGGACCGGATCGGTCACCTAGAGGGGCGGCACAGTCAGCAATTCCCCTTCCAGGATACATGTCAGACCGTGCTCTCGGACGCCGACTTACGTCGTTGGTTGATTGCCCCTGAAGTCGGCACACGTTAGTCTCCGTCTTCAAGTTCAAATTGATTCTTCTATCTCGGTCGTTTCCACCCATGACCCATGACTACCACCTACATTTTCAATTTCATCCAGCCGGCTGCAGGTATTTCAGTAGGTAGGTAGTCAGCACTGCCCTGCACTCATCTCCAGCATCTTGCCAAGTCATTCTGCTCTCCTCCCGTGGCACCGAACACGCAAAATGGCCGACTCGGCTCCTCCACCTCGCGTCGATGCCGATATCAAAACTCTTGACGGCACTACGCTGCGCGGATGGCTGTTTCCCGCCGCCTCGCGTGGCCCGGCCATGATAATGACGCCAGGGGTAACTACCTACCCAACTTTCGTCTATTTTCTTGCTATTTCCCGCTCTTGAGACCTGTTTACGAAGAAGACGGCGGGAAAACTGACGCGTGGGGTGTGTGCCTGGCCCTTCTGTAGTTCAACTTCCCCAAGGATGCCAATCTGCCCGACATTGCAAGGTGGTTCCAGGAACACGGCATCACCACTCTTCTCTATGATCCGCGCGGTATAGGCGCGAGCGAAGGAGAGCCCAAAAATGAGGTAATCAAGTGTTCTTGCTGGAGTTGGTGGTTCTTCTTCTCCGCGAAACCCCGCAACCTTTCAACGTTCTCGTGTCCGCTGACATTTTTCGATTTTTTTTCCCGATGCGAACAGGTCGACCCTCGTCAGCAGATCGAGGACCTCCATGACGCCGTGACCTGGATCAAGCAACATCCTCTGGTCGACGAGACCAAGATCGCACTGTGGGGTTTATGCTGGGGAGGGAACGTCACCCTTGCGGCGACCGCATTTGAGTACGTGTGGGCTGCCTTCGGGTTTTGCGCAACGATTCGCCCAGACGTGCCGTGGCCCCTCGCAGCTGATTTTTGGATTTTTCATTCTAGCAAGCGTGTGGCGGCCACCATAGCCATGGCACCCATGATCAACACGGACGGCAGCCCCGAGAGGCGCAAGCCTCTGCTGGAGCTCGCCATGCACGACCGGGCGAGCCAGCTGCTGACGGGCCAGAGCCCCATGTACCTGCCCTACATCGACGAGGACGGCAACATGCCCAACGGGCAGGAGATGGCGCCCGAGATCGTCCCCGCGCTCGACCGGCTCGGCATCGCCCTCGAGAACCGCATATCGGTGCAGACGTACTACAAGTGCCTGGCGTGGAACCTGCTCCACGTCGTCAAGTACGTCACCCCCACACCCGCCATGATGGTCTCGCCCGAGCTCGACGAGACGAGTCCCCTAGATAGTCAGCTTCATTGCTTCACCCAGATGGGGTACCCCAAGGAGTTGGATATCTTGAAGGGAAGCGGCCATTTGGACTGGATGTTCAAGGATCTAGAGCAGATTTTGCGCAGGCAGTTTGACTTTCTGAAGAAATACATGGAGTTCTGAGGGAGGTGACAATTGGTAGATTCAGGGGCCAAGTAAACAAAGATGCGCCAACACGCTCTTGTTCCGAGTATAGAATAGGGGGGGCCGTCTGTTCGGTTCTTAAACCTTATGTTGAATCTCTATAGCCACAGGTCTAGAACAGGGGTGCATAACGTAGAAGTCTCGCTGCCTTTAGTATATTTCCGCATGGTCCATTTCCGCCTGCAGTTCCTGAATGATAAGCCTCAGTCTCTCACGCTCACTGGCTATGTTTCCGACAATCTCTTGCACATGCTCAAGCAGACCGCTGCGGCGCGTCAAGTGGTGGGCTGGTGTGGCTGACGACGCAGTAGACTGACCGGGGACGATGTCAATGGCATAGTCGTCGGGGGCCAAAGTACTGCAGTCGAGCATGGCCGCGGGTGCGATAAATTGGCTCTCCTGCTCAGCCGTCGTGTGCGATATCACCAAGAAGCGGCCCATGCGGCTGATGAGATGCATCAGCAATTGCAGCACCATGACGAACTGGGCGACATGGGCGGCGTCTTGTTGTTGTTGTTGTTGTTCCGGCTCTTCTTTCTTGGCCTGCAGTCTACCCTGTATGGCATCGCAAATGGCTCGGAAGAGCGTCATGAGGTTTTGGTGACAAGCGAGAGCCGAGAAGGCCAGTCCGGCGTAATCGGTCGTGGTCATCGAGTCGTCGCGTCCTGCTGTCGGTGCCGCTGCCATGATGTCGTTGACGGTGCTTATCAGCGTATTCGTGCCCTCCAAAGCCTCGTTCACCTCGGGCGACGACACCATCAGGGGGGTTGCACCTGCGCCTGGGCCGGAGCGGGCGAGACGGCGGGCTGTCCGCATGGCCCTTTGGCTCACGGCCGTCAGCCGTGAGAACAAGAAGCTCGTCGTGTCTTCGTGGTCGGCGTCGATCTCCATCAATGGAGCCGGGGCGGTGGCGTCGTAAAAGGGCACCGCCGGCATGGATGAAGCAGATACAGCCTCTGCTAGCAAGGTGGCGAGTGACTCGAGCGAAGTTGGGGGGATTTGAAGTGGCAGCAGGTGGTGCTCTGCGTCTGGTGCACCGAAGCCGCCGGCAGCCGTCTCGCTTTCGTCAACATACAGGTCGGAAGAAGGGTGGCCCATCAAGGCGGTAATGACGTGGGGGGGACCAGTCGATGACCTGGGCGTCCCACCAACATTACCAAAGGCCGGCACGAGGTCGAAGAGATCTGCGTCTTTAATTTCGCTAGGCGAGCGACCAGAAGAGCGACGGCGATGGCCTCGTTGTTTCTCTGTGAAAGATTGGTCAGCTTGCTGGGTTCCATCGTCTGTCCGTCCGCTCTGGCACCCGTACCGCGGGCCGCACCACTCTTTTTTCCCGTCAAGCAATGCTACTGGACGATGAGAAGGTCGTGCGGTTGTATCATTGATGAGAAAGTATGAAACATACCACTGTACACACAGTCCGCCCCTACTTTCGTGCAACGGTCGCACAATAGGGAAGCGGAAACCCGGCCTGGGCCTGGGACAAAAGTATTGTTGTCTCGTAAGCACCTCACTTTCTGCTGACGACAGCGGTCGCAGGACTTGCGATGTGCAGGTGACATGGTACGCCGAAGAGAGGCGACCAGAGATGAAGATTGAGGAAACTGAGAATTGGCTAAAAGAAGCAATTCTTTCAGATGAAGAGTGCACGGGGAGTAGATTTAACCACGGAATCCGCTTCGTTCTCACTCGGGGTCACCGATCGTGCATTCTTCCTGTAGTGCGAGGCTCACAGTTTCCTACTGCGCCCTCGGGCCTGGCTCACGGCGAGCCTTAGTTCTCCCTTGTACACCAACTGCCGACTCACAGTGCAGGGTGTCGATGATGATATACGCGGTGTCAGCAAATATCTGCCACGTCGATTGAGATAAGGTTCATAGGTATTGTGACATGCGTAATATGGTGCGCCGAAGAAACATTCCTTGCCTCACTGGTTTGACATACAAGAATACCTTTCTTGTAACTGCCGTTTACAATACCTTAGCTTATACCAAAAGTTCCTTGCTGTTGCTGTAAATCGCCGATTCGGGCCGGAATTTTTCTTCAACGCATCATATTACGCAAATCACGGACTCAGCCGTACAGGTGCAGGGCCGACGGAGAATTGACCAGCCGCAGCTTACATAGTAGCACGAAGCGATCTCATCATTGGCCAGTGTGACGGCCCGTATAGGAAGTTAAAGATTGAATGTAGTAACGAATGTGGGAGCTACCGTGGGGGGGGAAAAAATTGTAGCCCTATAGTACATTGGCACGTGCCATTTTGGCCGCACTTGGCCTAGCGCCTCCCCTCGGAAAAGAGTCTGAGATAAAGCGAGCCGTGCCGTGACAGGGGCGCAGCGTGATAAGCGCTTCCAGGTCGCAGCGAATGTTGGGTAGGATGGTGGACGAAGTCGGTCAAGCTCGGTCCGGAATGACGAGCCGCGTCTTTATGCAACCCCAAGACGCCTCCAGATCCTGGCTGTGTCTGTGCCTCTCCATTTGCTTCTTCAAAGTGCCATGATTACCTTTCCCCGTATTTGTAAGCCCGCGGAGCACCGCGCACTGCCGCGGACATTCCGTTAAACGAAAACAAGCGAAATTGAGAAATTGAGGAAGGCTTCCAGCTACTTTTACAACGCCGTCACCGACTTGTCCCTTGTTTCCTTTTCTCGAGATCCTTTGCCTCTGACTCGCACAGTCATCAATTCCCCGTCCCCCAAAGTGGTCTTTGCAAGCAGGAAAACATGTCTTCAGAAAAGACTGCGCCAACCGACAGCGATACCGGGGAGGGGGTGTTCCAAACACCCGACGAATCACAGCTACCTCATAGTCTTGACAACAAGCCAGATAACGGGGTACAGCTGCAAGCCGACGGCCCCCCTGATGGTGGCACCGGCGCCTGGCTCGCTGTTCTCGGCGCCTGGTGCTGCTCCTTCACTAGCTTCGGCTGGATGAACAGTAAGCCCCGCCGGCCCGTCCCGAAGGCTGACATAGAACACTTACCCCGCACCGACTTCTTCTTGGCACTCAGGCCCTAACTCCCTTGGCAGGCGTCGGCGTCTTCCAAAGCTATTACGAATTTGGTCCTCTCAAGGACTACGACAGCGGCACCATTTCGTGGATCCCGTCGCTCGAGATCTTTTTCCTCTTTTTCCTAGGGCCTGCCGTCGGCTTTTTGTTTGACAAGTATGGCCCGACGCCGCTCATTCTGGTCGGCACGTTCTTGCATGTTTTTGGACTCATGATGGCATCCCTGGCAACCGAGTACTACCAGTTCCTCTTGGCCCAGGGCGTCTGCAGCGCCATCGGTCTCAGCTTCTTGTACTCGCCCGGTAGGTTTCTTCCGGGTCCCACGACCTCATGGTCCATTCCTTGACCTCATCCGGGAAATCTCGATTCCTTGCTGACAACACAACCCACAACAGCGATTGCGACCATCGCAACCTGGTTTAATAAAAAGAGAGGCCTTGCGATGGGCATCATGGTAACCGGCTCGTCTCTCGGCGGCGTCGTCTTCCCCATCATGATCAATCGCCTGATCGAGAATCCGAGCACCGGCTATCCCTGGGCCATGCGGATCGCCGCCTTTCTCATCTTGGCCTTGCAAATCATCGCAGTATTCACCCTCCGGCCGAGAACAGCGCCATCGCCCAAGAAGACGCCGGCCGCAACCCTGACCGCTCCCTTCAAGGAGTTCCCTTTCGTCGTCATGTTGCTGGGAATGTTCATCCTGATGTACGGCATCTTCATTCCGGTCAACTACTTGGCCTTGCAGGCTCTGCAGGAGGCTCACGTGTCCGAATCCATGTCGCTCTACCTGGTGTCCATCTTCAATGGTGCGAGGTGAGTTCAACCCCAACCCTCGAGGTTTACCTACCTGGCCTACCGTATCCACCTTGGGCTGGAAACGCTGGGATTTGCCTGACAAGGTGGCTGACCTTGCTTACATTACAAAGTCTTTTCGGCCGTCTGGGCTCTGGATACTGGTCTGATATCGCCGGCCGATGGAACGTGTTCGTCATCGCTGGTGCCGCCTCGGGGATCGTCGAGCTGGCCCTCTGGATCCCGGCCACATACCAGTCCGCCGCCATCGGCTTCGCCGTCACGTTCGGCTTCCTCTCGGGCGCCTTCGTCAGCCTCCTCGCGGCCCTGCCGGCGTCCGTGTCCCCTCTGCCCCAGATCGGCTACCGGATCGGCGTCGTCATGCTCGTCCTATCGCTTCCCGCCCTCACCATGGCGCCCATCGGCGGGCGCATCTTGCAGAGCGCGAGTTCGCTTGACGATGGCTGGCTGCACGTCAAGATCTTTGGAGGTGTCATGTCCCTCGCTGGGTCGGCCGTTGTCTTCTACGCCAAGACTCTCTACTCCAAGAAGTTTTGGGCGGCTTTTTAAAGACAGTGGAGGCGATGCACACACACGCGCCCACGACTCAGATTCACAGGGGCGCGTCGAGAGAAGGCGCGGCATTGGTCTGATACCTATAGTGCTTTATTACAGCAGTGGGGGATACTTTATTACAGCAGTGGGAGATACTTTATTACAGCAGTAGGGGATAAATAAATTTTCGAGGCTGGTGAAGGGCGTCAGGCGTCAGGCAATATGGGATAGAAATGTCTTGTCACAGCATACTCGATCGTGCAAATTGCTCTGTCTCTTCCAGACACGAGGCTGTGGTGCCACGGCTTTGTTTAAGAACCTTAATCAAGAGAATACCGAAGCTTGCAACCAAATTCTCTTCTTCGTCCTTCCAGCCAGGGCCTAGGGAGCTGGATAACCCCGGTAGAGTGTGCACCCCGTGAGATGGAGGCAAGGCTTTTAGCATGGACGTGAGGAAGCCGGGCTCTACATGGACGACCATGGTTCGTTTTGCCCCGGCAGCTTCCGGCTTACCACACTGATACACGAATTTGATTGACACAGGACGCAGGTCATCCGTGGCTCGCTCCCAATCTGACCACCAAGAACTCGAAAACAATACCTTCCTAGGTAGTCCTAGTCGACGCATGCCAAGGCGTGGCCGTGAACCTCGGAGACTCCAATGCGTCCAACGACGGCTTCTCGGAAGCCGTCAAGTCTCTAGCTGACTAAGGGCCGACAACTCGGACCGACAACTCGGACCGACTTGGGAGGCAAAACACCGACCGGAAGGAATTCAATCGGGAGGCAAAACACCGACCGACCGACCTGAGAGACAAAACACCGACCGGAGGGAATTCAATCGGAGCCGACGACCGGCATTCTACAGGTACCGAGCTATACCGCCGTCTGTCGATTTGCGGTCCGGGGAATCGGTAATCACGCCGGCCAGCACGCCGATCCCGAGCACATCAAGACATTGCTTTCTTTAGAGGCGATTTGTCAGCTAGAAGTCGGGTTCGGAGCCTTGCCAAATGTTTGGGAAACTTGAGCCGGGCCCGATGGTCTAGTCCGCCATGAGCCACAGTCTATATTACGCTTTGGACAGGCATTGTGCGTCTCACAATACCCTTCTCCCTAGCATCCTCAGCAAGCCCTTTCCCCCACGAACCTTCCAAGTCAGCATCTCCAATATGATTTCGACGAACTCGAGTGCCATGACGGACATAACTGCACTCATCCTTTCTCCGAGCTTCCTCATCTCGGCTGCCCTTCTTGTCGCCGGCAATGTCGTCTTCTTTCTAATTTCTTACACTCGCCGCCCGAGGGGCTTCCCCCCGGGCCCGCTCGGTCTCCCGGGCCTCGGCAACCTCTTCCAGATCAACAAATCGATTCCTGCTCTGACCTACAGCGCCTGGGCGCACAAGTACGGCCAGGACAGGCCGCTGGGCGTCAAGCTGGGCGCCACCAACATCGTGGTGCTGAACAGCGCGCGGATGGTGCGCGATCTGTTTGAGCGGCGCGGCGCCATCTACAGCGACCGGCCGCGACCGAACGGCGAGGACGAGAAGTGGAAGTTCCAGACACACGAAGTCCCCGCCTCCCTCTTCCACGACAGCGGGCCCTGGCTGACGCGGTGGCGCCGCGAGTTCAACGGCGCCCTCGGTAGCGCGGCCGCCGTCGCGCGCCTGCACCCGATGAACGACGCCGAGACGGCCCGTGCGCTGGTTGCGCTGCTCGAGGCGGGTCCGACCACCCGGCGCGCCGAGCTCGAGGACATCATCCTGAGCTGGGTCACGAGCGTGCCGTGCATCGCCGTATGCGGGCGGCGGCCGGACGCCATGGCCCACCACGGCTTTGACATGGACACCTTCCGACGCCGGACCGCCGGCTACATGATGCTCCACAAGCCCAGCCTGATGGACTCGATCCCGGTGCTCCGGTACCTCCCCGGCAAATTTGGCATGGCTGGGTGGAGGGCGAAGTCGCGCGCCGTCGCGAAAGACGTGTTCGAGATCGCAGACCAGTTCCTCAGCGCCGCCAAGGAGCACCGCGCGGCGCTGGACGGCGCCGACGCCGCGGCGGGAAAGGGTCTCAGCAACAGAACCGAAGGGTACTACGAGAGCCTGGGGGCCCGGATGCTGCGGGAGCAGCGGGAGAACAGAGACAAGGACATGTGGACGGACCTGGGCCTCTCGGCGTGGAACATCGTGGCCGCCGCCATGTACACGTCGCTTGCCACCTTTTCCACCATGCTGATGGTCGTGGCCAAGTACCCAGATGTGCAGCAGCGCATCAGGGACGAGGTGTTGCAAGTGTCGGGCGGGGACGGGGCGCCGCTGAAGTCTGCCGACGTTGGTCGCCTGGTCTACACAGAGGCATTTTGGCACGAGGTAAGTAACTCTCCAAAAGATGCTGACAAGGGAGAGTTTGGGTATTTGCGTTAACAAATGACAATACACAGGTTAATCGGTGGCGGCCTGTAGCCCCGCAGGGCATCCCTCACGCTCCCGCTCAAGACGATGTGTACGACGGATACCAGATTCCCAAGCACACGGCCGTATACGCCAACGTGTGGCACATACACCACTCTCCGGAGGACTACGAGTCGCCCGAAAGGTTCGAGCCGGAACGGTTCCTGCGCCACCCCTTCGGGATGCGGCCGGGCGCGGCGCACGACCCGGCCACCATGGAGCCATCGACGAACTCTGCATCGGCGAGCGCTCGGGCCACGTACTCGTTTGGATTCGGGCGCCGGGTCTGTCCCGGAATGCAGTTGGCCAAGCAGAGCCTGATACTGGGGCTGGCCAAGATTCTGTGGGCATTTGATGTGCTGCCGGCTCAAGAAGGGGAGGAGCTCGATCTGGGCGTCGACACGGGCTTTGTCCAGGGACTCATCACTTTCCATCCGAAACACCTCGATGTCTCGCTGAGACTGAGACCTGGACGCAACAAGCAGGATATTCTGGACCACTACTCTGAGACCTACAAAGCCGAGGCGGAGCTTATGGGCTGGTAGGATGCTCCAGGGCCCGAGACGACGCAGGGCTCCATTCAGAGTCACTTGCGTCTTCATCTCACTCCGAGTCCTTGGCCAAGACATCCCGGCGTCCTCTGCGAGCCGTTCTTATTTCTCCATTTTTTTTAACTTGCTTTTGGGCAACGTATTGGACTTTTGGTGCAGCACCTGTCGACGATCGCTAAGGTACATGGCCACCTGAACATCGAGCCACTCGAAGGCGCATTGTCTTCCAGATTGCATTTACTGCAAATTGAAAGTTCTGTCAGAAGTCAGTCCTTTCTCCCGAATCTCCTGAGAAAATATAAAACATGGTCTTGGATTGTGGGATCGGCAACGAAGCCAGGTGCCAGGTGCCAGGTCGACCATCGACCGGACCGAGTCCCGAGAGGATTGACCAGCGGGGAAAAGCGGCCGCGGGGAGACGCGGGTGTTAGAACCACCGGCCCCAAGTTGGACAAGGTTGGATAGAACTTAAGTCGGAAATCGTTCCGCGTCTCTATTTCGTGTGACCTGTTTATTTCTGCAGAGCAAATTTCGTGATTTGATGCAAAACCCTTTTCAGGACGCTGAGTCCCGGTGACCTGAGGCGTTTGTCAACCAGTGGTAGAATTCGACGACGGCGAAATGGCGAACAGGCGTCTTCGGAGGCATTGGGCAAGTGCCGTTGGAGCAACCTCCGACAAAACCCTGCGACAAACCCCTGCGACAAACCCCTGCGACAAACCCCCTGCGACGACGAGAACAAGCCAACCCCTTCCTCTCTAACAGCGTTCGTTTTGCTGAAGGAGGAGGAGGAAGTGAACCCGGCGACAGTGATGACGACAGTGGTGATGGTTACCGCCCACGTCGTCAGCCACATGATCCTAACCTCCCAAGACAGGGTAATCCGAACGAAAGAATTCCAAATTTCCGTGAACAGAGCTACGAGATGTATAACAGTAATTACTCTTCGAGAATCGACTCTAAGATCGGTCGTGAAGACATTGGTCAGTTCGATCCACAGGAGGACTCAGATGACTCGCACGCTCTCCTGGACTTCTTTCACAAAAAGCTTCGATGGGCTCGTGTCATCGGAAGCCTTGGACCCAACAATACCAACTGGTACGGAACCTGTATCATCATCTGGAACGGCGTAGACCTCAATATCAAACGGCATCTGCGTGAGCCGGAAGAAAAAGAGGGCCTGGAAGGCTGCATGAAAGTCATCACAAAGGCCAAGTCAGTCTTGAAGGCATGCGCACGAGAAGAGAAGGATAAACATCGCGATCGCGCACATTTTGCCGATCACCAAGCTAAATCTGATGGTGATCAATCCACCCACTCTACAAGCAGCAGCTCATCTTCTCATAGTCAAACCAACGATGGCGACTTCGTCATGAATCGAGACACCACTTGCTACAAGTGCTATAAGACCTTCACGACACCGCGAGAACGCAAGAAGATGATGAAATCTGTCTTGGCCCAGGCACCAGCCGAACCATCATTGGCCGAGGCTTCCTCAAAATCTTGGAGCACAAAGTTGAGAGCAGACAAGGCAGAATATGCGGCGTGACCAAGAAAGACTTGACGCTGACAGAGTGGCCGACGTTCAGTTTTTACTTGCCTGGAGAAGATCCTCAGGGAAACTTCATCCCCACAAAATTTGCCAAGCCTGGATGGGTAGTCGATAGCGACCTTGCTCCCAAGCTCTTGCTCGGAAACGACTTCCTTAACCCACACGGAGCAAACGTCGACTACACCTTCGAAAAGGCTACCTTGTGTCACCTCGACGACTTCTCCATCGATTTCCAGACCCAGACCCGGAGCAGACCGTGTGTGAGGAAGGTCACTTCGCAAAAGAAGATCGTGTTGCTGTCCGGACAAACAGCACACATCCCAGCCAACTACAAACCTTTGCCGAACGACAGAAGCTTTCAATTCAACGCGAAACACCCAGCCGCAATGAACTCGGTACTCGAAGCAAAGACTCCTCGAGTCGTGGTGGTCCAAAACGCCACCCCTGGTATCCTCACCATCTCCAGGAACTCGACGTACACGGCAGAAGAATGGGGCAGGGTCTTGACGAGACAATTTTTGCTATCCGACTAGGGACTACCCAAGGGAATCATATCCGACCGCGACAGGAAGTTTACTTCAGATTTCTAGAAAGGAATGTGGAAAGGTCTCGGCACGAAGCTCTTGATGACAACCGCCTATCACCCCCAGGCTGATGGATTGGCTGAGCAAAAGAACCAGGCCGTCGAAATCGCGATACGTTACCACGCTTTCACAAACCCCGAAGGCAATTGGTTGGATGTGGTACCTCCTCTGCAATGGAACCTCAACAACGCTTACTCCGATTCGATACGGTCCTCTCCAAACGAACAGCTCTTTGGATTCAAACTGAACGGACCTCGTGGACGACTACTGGGACCGGAAGGGAGGCAGACCAACTGACGACTACGGTATCGCCAGGCTGCTTGGGTGTGGGCAGAGAAGCTTGGCGGCTAGGCGCTCGAAGGAGGGTCAGATTGAGTACTTAAAGGCGTCCTACCCCCTACTGCCGCTGAGCAAGGAAAATCCATGCGGGAAGGCAGTGCTGTGACTGCCATGAGGCCATAGCACATGAGGCTGATCAAGAGGGTCAGAGCAGCATCACCCCTTTCGAGTAGTATACCGTCGCCTCTCGGCACTATGATGGTCGATGTGAAGAGAATCGGTACCCCGTTTGCGCGAGCCCCGACAGCTTCTCCGACATCCTCGCCCATGACGCTGCTGTGCAGCGGTGCAGCGGTGCAGCGGTGAGTAGGTACCTTAGGTATAGGAAGACTCCTGCCACACCTTGCAGGACGCCCATCGAACCCTATTCCATGTCAATCAACCTTGGAGGGAGTCACTGCCATTATTACCTGTTAGCTATTATTGTTTTTCGCTCAACTAGATATATATAAAAGGCCGCTCGAAATCTTCCAAACTGGATCTGAATTCTAGCAACCAAACGCCTCAAATCGAAAATGCAGCAAAGACACCAGGCCTGGGCGGCCCAAAGCTTTAACCAACATTCGGAGCCCCGACGCATCCACAACCACACCATCTGCTACCACATTTATCACCTTAGCTACCCTCAGCGCATTGGTCATCCTCTTTAGACTTACCGCTACCAGCTTCAGCGTTGCAGCTAAGTATTGCGTCACTCTTAGAACCCCTATTTTAGAATCAAGGCCTATCTCTTCTCTACAGACCCCTATTCGACGGCTTTATTAACTAGCTGGTTTGTTATGGTCTTTCCCTTCTTCCAATATACGTGTATTTACATGTCAAGTAGCACCAGGTAGGCGACGCGAAATCTCTACAATTTGATTACCGAAGCTGGTGTCAATTGTCTAGCAGCCTACTTGGTGATGACGCTATCTTGATTAGCCATTGCCAAATCCTGACAGAAGAATCGCCGTGGACTTTGCCATGTTTAAATTCCAAACGTCACTCGTTCCGCCCTCAACTCGGAGTTCCGACTCGTGGATCTCCGGATACTTTCACAAGTCACATGCATGTGGGTGGTGATGGAAGACAGCGTGCCTACCTTGGTTAATATTACTTGCAGCCATCCATTACGGAAGTTACTAATTCGGGGAAATTTCACAAGGTATAAAACTTATCGAACCCCCAGTAGTTCTACTCCTCCTTTTTCTTTTTTCTTTATCATCATGACCATGGCCACCACCCGCCACCCCCCCCCCCCCCCCCTCCCTCCCCGCGCCGTTATCAACCCCGCCGACACGGGCGACGACAAGGATGACAACCGCGACGACCAGCCTGCCGGGCCCGCCAAATTTATTGATTAGCCATCTGGTCTCGAATGGCAAGCACCGGCTGGTATGGGACGACGGACTGGCATCTTCTCGTGGTGTCCTGGGTGAGTACCGATACCCCAATCTTTCACAGGGTGTAGGGAAAGACTGAATCATTTGCAACTACAATATTGTCCTTAGTTCAGGCAAATTTGGAATTCAGTAGGACTTTGCATCCCCCACGGTGTGCAATGTAGACTGATTAATTTTGTAAAAGAGAAAGCGCTGTTGCGCGCGCCGGATTTGGCACCCTTCCAGATCGGGGCGTAGCTGCCCCACCACGGTCACGCTCGCGCATAAATAAACCTCCCTCCTCTCCTCTCTTCCTTTCCTGCAACTTTCGTCTGCTGGTTATCACGGTGCCCCCGAGGCACTTAGCTCCTTCCCGCTTCGGCCTCAGCTACGCTCCAGATCTTTCCCCTTACGTATCGAGTATTTCCGGCGACGAAACCGTGGTATTGAGGTTATTTTGTGGAAGAAAGTAAGGTAGAATTGATTGAGCGATATCAAAAAGAATCTATGGTGCAGTATGGGGTGGCCGCTTTTGTCAAATGAAGGATATTCTAGTTACGATATTTATTTAAGAAAAAATAGTTTTTGATACCGTATCGAACGAGTATCGATACTGGTACAAGTCAGAATATTGGGGAGAGGTTTCTAACGAGGGAATCGACTCCGACGAAATTTTTGCTACTACCGTTAAAACTATAAGATGGAGAATGCTCCTACTAAGTCGGCAAAAAGAGTCATAGGATAAATCATAATATAACTAATAATCGAGAGCGTAACGTGTGTGATAAGCGAGATGAACAGACAAGCGAGTTGAACACTTTTGACGCGACGCGCCTCCTCTCTACAAAACACCAAATTCCTCAACAAACTCAAATGTCTCTTCCTTCATACGAAGCTAGGGTGAATTTGGCCCTCAGGGCTATTCAAAACGACCCAAAACTCAGTATTCGAGCTGCAGCAACAACATATCAAGTCACGGTAAATACTATACGCAACCGACGCGACGGCAAACCTGCACGACGTGATACTCCAGCCAATTCGCGTAAGCTTACGGATTTGGAAGAGAAAACGATTGTTCAGTACATCATTGAGCTATGTGCACGCGCATTTCATCCCCGGCTTTCGTACGTAGAAGATATGGCCAATCGATTGCTACGCGAACGCGACGCGCCCTCTGTCGGTACACGCTGGGCTCACAACTTCGTCAAGCGCCAGCCAGAACTTCGGACGCGTTTTACGCGTAAATACGACTACCAGAGGGCCAAATGCGAAGATCCAAAAGTTATTCGCGAGTGGTTTGCGCTTGTGCACAACACGAAGGCCAAGTACGGTATCCTTGACGAAGATTTGTACAATTTCGACGAGACCGGCTTTATGATGGGCATTATCATCCCCGCTATGGTAGTTACTACCTCTGATGGCCGTGGTAGGGCTAAGCAAGCCCAGCCTGGTAATCGAGAGTGGGCTACAGTCATCCAAGGAGTGAATGCTCTAGGCTGGACTATCCCACCATTCATCATCTTAGCTGGGCAATATCACCTTGCTAACTGGTATCAAGAGTGCAACCTTCCGGGTACCTGGCGTATCGCAACAACCGACAATGGCTGGACTACTAATGAGAAAGGCATGGATTGGATTCGGCACTTCGATTTCCACACAGCATCTCGTACGAAGGGAATATACCGACTGTTAATTCTCGACGGCCACGATAGCCACCACTCCGAAGAATTCGAGACTTACTGCCGGGAGCACAACATCATCACACTCTGTATGCCTCCGCACTCTTCACACCTACTTCAGCCATTGGATGTTGGTTGCTTTGGGCCGTTGAAGAAGGCGTACGGCTGTCAGATTGAGCAGCTGATGCGGATGAACATCACACATATTAGCAAGCTGGAGTTTCTTTGTGGGTTTAGAGAGGCGTTTTTTGCTTCGGTTACGGAAAGGAATATCCAGGGGGGGTTTGCTGGAGCCGGCCTTGTGCCGTACGATCCAGAGAGGGTGATATCCAAGCTGGATGTGCGTATTCGGACTCCAACACCCCCAGCTACAAGCCCAACTACATCGCTACCTTGGGTCTCCCAAACGCCACAAAACCCGAGAGAGGCTGCCTCACAGTCAGCGTTCATCAAAACTCGAATTTCAAACCATCAGGGCAGCTCTCCAACACCAATGCTGACTGCTGTGGATCGATTAGCTAAAGGTACGATGGCTATGATGCACGAGGTGGCTCTTTTGCGTACAGAGGTCTCAGCACTTCGGAAGGCCAATGAGGGGCTTAGTAAGCGACGGAGAGCCAAGAAAACACGTGTTCGGCTTGGAGGATCACTTACTGTACAAGAGGCACAGGATCTACTGGATCAGAAGGCTGTGGGTGGGCAGTTGGTCCAGGAAACACGACAAAATGGTGGTGGTGCAGGGGGGTCTCGTACGAAGATTCGATGCTGTGGCGTATGCGGCAAGCCTGGCCATAATGCACGTACGTGCAAGGAGGCTGCAGAATCGTCTGATTCATCTGTTTCCGATTCAGTTATTGTTATTTCCTAGTGTTGTGGTTGTGTAATTGAGGGTAGTTGTGGTGAGGTTGTGGAAATTGTTCAACTCGCTTGTCTGTTCATCTCGCTTATCACACACGTTATGCAAATTCAAACGAACTTCTAACGTATTTGATAAGCGAGTTAGCCATGATAAGCAAGTTGGCCGCCTTAACGAGACCGGGTAGCGTGCGCAGCCAAATGCGATAAGAAATTGATAAGATCACTAACAATTTACTAACATCTTTTTGCTTGTGCCCCACCAAATCTCGTTAAGGTGGCCAACTCGCTTATCATGGCTAACTCGCATATCATGAACGTTACTTCCCGTACCGATAAATATATTATATATATATTATGTCGCCCACTTTTGAGCCACTTTTGAGCCACATTGTCAAGTCACATACCTGCATATCCCTACATATCCCTTCATTTGTTGCTTTCAGCCCTGATCCCTTTTTCTGGACTCCTGGACTTCCGAATGCCCTCTTTTTCTCCCTTGCTACAGCTGAGTCCCTTATGTAGTATGTGAAGGCAGGGATATACGAGAGTCAATGCTGCAAGTAAAGAATGGCTGTATTCGTAAATAACTAAACTAAAGAAAGGAAAAGGAAAAGAAGAAGCCTGCGGTTCCTGCAGGCCGTGGTTTTGTGGTTGGCAGGGGCGATTAGGCTAGTCCTAATCGGGAAGAGTGGGGCGGCGGAGTGGAACCTACAGCTAGGGCATGGTTGCGACACCACGGACCATAGTTCGGCCGTGCCGTGACATAGTACGACTGAACAGACTGCTGAACCAGGTTTCCTTTGTCCTTTTCTTGGAAGCATAAAAGGCATTCTTTCCTGTATTATTAGATTGGATTTAGACAGACAATTCAAGACCCTTCAAGCCACTGTCAACTTTGATCACGGGCCAGACATAATTATCTCTCGCTCTCGATAGTAATAGTAACGGTGGTAAGATGGCTACTAACGGTGGGTCGTACTTCAGCGAATCCTCCTTCGAAGGATCTATATTCTACGGTATTGATAAAGCAAAGGCGCCGAAGCTACTAATATAAAAAGAGCGGCTAGTCTGCAAGTTATTAGTTATGGCGGGGCTGGGTTTTTGGGTAGCAGCACTTACGAAGGGAGACCAAAGTCTGAGCGATTAGCGCCGAAGTTATTAAAAATAACCGATCAAAATCGACGGTGTTGATAATGATGTAAAGGCGCCGAAGCTACTAATACAAAAAGAGCGGCTGGTCTGTACAAGTTGTTAGTCATGGCGGGACTGGATTTTGTTTTTAGGCACTAGCACTTACGAAGGAAGACCGAATTCTGAGTGATGGATGCCGAAGCAACCAATATAACGAAGAGAGAGGGCGCGAAGAGAGAGGGTAGGTAAGGGGAAAGAAAAAAAAAACCTTAATATATTGCGAGTGAAAAGAGGAAAAGGGAATGAAGCAAAGGCGAGTGGAAAGAAAGGAAAGAATTTTTTTTTGGCGAAGCATATGATTAACAACCCCATAATCTCTACCCTATAGGTTTGAGGGAAAGTACGGGGGAGGGGGAGGGTGGGGTCACCTGGGTCGCGTGATTTATGTATAACTCAGTCCTTCCGAGGGACCGGGCCCCCCGCTGTTAAGGCCGCCTCAAATGGCGGCATGTGCCAGCTGGCTTCGGCGGCCATAACAGCGCTTTCTCGCATTAACCTGTAAAAGATGTACTTCGGAGACAAGTAAGCTTCTTAACCATTGCCCCAACCCTGAGTGAATTCAGCGATTATCGCAATAGTACCTAGGTACACAACAGTTTGAAGCCTTTTTACAATGTTATTATTGTTACCGCGGCCCTTGCAGCCATCGCATATTTCAGCATCTGGATTCATCACGACATCCACCACCGTCAAACCGATCACACGTAGGAAAGGCTTTTCCAGGTCGGTTCTATTTATATTTTTCAATGTGGGCAGACGTTTCCGGTAGTTGGAACAGTCTCGCCCCTTATAGTAAATATTCGGGCTAGGAAAGGCCTTTAAGACTCTAAAATGGGGATAACAATGACGACTATCTCCCTTGACGAAAAATCTTAAGGGCGAGCCGTAAGTTATCAAGGTCTCTTAAATCTTAATTAATAATACGGATAATTATAGATTCGAGTAATATAAGTATCAAGGCCTATGATGTGTTTGAATTTTCAAAAGCCAATAGGTAGTCCAAGAAAATGAAACAACACACCGAATAAACGTCTCATTCGACGCCTCCACCACAGTCTCGACAACTCCCGCTCCCGCCCTCGGCACGCACCATAATTCCCAGAGCCGTACAAACTCCGCACCAGAGCTCGCACGGTGGGCTTGAACGTGCGCGCGCGGGAACCGCAGCGAGCCTCGTACCAGGCGCCGCCGTAGTCGCTGGCCGGCGCAGTGTTGCGGCAGTGCGGACAGGCGACGGGGAGGGCGCGGAAAGACTGCGGCAGGTCCCCGAGGAGTCCGCTGACGGCCTTGTCCTCGTGGGCCGTCCAGGCCTTCGTCTCGCCCGTCGTCAGGATGCCCTTGGGAGTCGTCGCTGCTTCCGTCGGATATCAGCATCATGACTTTGGAGCCGTATGTCTGGCTGCGGAAGATGGGCTGGATGGTTCTCGGGGCCTTGTACATGGGAGTGTACCCGTACAAGTGAGGCTCGATGTAGTTGAGCAGGCTCTGCCAGTTGATGGCGAAGCCCCCTGGCGAGTTGTTGGCCGGATGGGGCTGTCCTGTGTTCGCAGCCAGCGCCGGCTGGAGTCGTTTGAGCAGCCGGACAATGCTGGCCAGCGGCTTTGGTGCGGCAGTACCTTGACCATCGCCGTCCATTGTGGTGGTGGGCATGGGCAACAGCAAGATGGGAATTGGTAACTAGGGACAAAGAGCAAGTAGCTATGATGGAGCCTCTCTCTTGGAAGACTATCCTACTAGCGAGGGAGCGTAACTTCCCAGCCCCTGCATGTTTCCGAAGCAATAGACGCCCTCCCGGGCGCTGTTCCCCTATCCCAACAAGCTGCCTTTATTCGCATCGACCACGATGTCGCCTCCCGAGTACTCTGACTTCACGTGTTGGCCCTTTTGGGTTTGCCCTCGGTCACAAAAATCGACCCGGCTGTAAGATCCAAAAGAAACCTGTAAAACTTTTCCAAGCTACTAAGCTTGCGGGAACTGGCGAGCGGCGGTTTTGGTGGCGGCTCTCGCCTCTCTCTCCTTGTCGTTCTCTTGTTGTTCTTGGAGGGGCCCTTCGTTCTGCTCCCCTCGGGTTCGGGCGACGACGGCGACGGCACGTGTTGATGTCGATGCCTTCCACGGCCCCAGCCCCGGCTATTCTCCTCTCGGATCGCGGCCGCCGCCTCGCGGTACCGCGGCTGCTGCTCCTCGGCCAGCTGGAAGATTCTCACCCCCAGCCCGTCGCCGTCCCTAGCGCGCCGCGTAGCCCGCGTCGTAATAGCTTCTCGCTCAGCCTGGATAGCTTCTCGTGCCCTCTCGTCGCCGGCCCGCTCTGCCGCTACCAGGCCCGACTGCAGGTCGTCCAGCTCCCTCGCCGCCCTGCTCCGCTCCGCGGCGATCTCGTCAAAGAGCACCCAGCCGGCCGCCGTCTCGCCTAGCATCCTACGCTCGACCATGAGCTCGTGCTGGATGGCCAAGGTGACGACGGGGGCCGCCGCCTCTTGCTCTTGCTCTTGGTCCATGTCCATGTCCATTGCCACCAGAAAGCGGACAATGTCTAGCGCCGACCGGCGGCTGCCGCTGTGTTGCCACACCTGGCTGCCGGCCTGGACCATGTCGGCCCAGAACGTGGCTTCGAGCTCGGCCTGCCGCTCCGCGCCGACGGTCCCGGCCCCGCCCAGCGCCGACCACATGGTTGTGGCCAGCACCACGCGCCTGTAGTTGTGGGCGCCGACCAGCGCCTTGAACATGCGCAGGTCCTTGACGGCGGACCCGGGCACGCGCGCGTCGGATATCCGGTGCAGGTAGACGAGCCCCGCGAGGCGCACGTTCTTGCCGTGCAGGGCCGCCAGGAAGTACGAGACCTCTTTCAGGATCTCGGCGTCGCTTCGCACCGTGTCGTCGAACCCTGGCATGTCCACGAGGAACACGGTGCGCTGGCTCGCCTCGTCAAAGAAGCTGTACGCCTGGGCGTGAATGGTGTCTGCGATAGATACAGTTGGTAATGTTCTTGTGTAGTTGTTTGGGACTCGGGGACGGCCTACGAGAATGCAAGCCGTGCGAAACCTCGACGTGCTGGTCGGCAAGGAGAGAGACGAACGAGCTCTTGCCAGATCCGGTAACGCCCATGACGGCGATGACCACGTCGGCGCTAATCGGACATGATTTCAGACTTGCTTCCTTACATCTGGACCCATTTCTCCCATGTACCTCACTCACAGTTCGGAAAACTCGTCCTGGGGCTCCATGTCTTCCCCGGATGGAGCTTTGAGCCTCGGAGTTTTTAGCCTCAACCTCAGCAATGACTACCGGGCAAAGACGAGCCGAAGCTGCTACTGTACCAGGTATGCCGAGAGGACTCTTATAAGTGACCCTTCGCGTTTGTATCGCGCTTTTATGGTTGGTTCGAGGACTAGTAGAACTCGGCAGCAGAGCTTGTCGGTAGGTTGTTGGGTATTCGGAAGAGCTCGAAGCTAGATCTGTGGCCCGATGAGCTGCTCGGAGCCTGGAGCCTCGCGCGGTTTGGTTGGCTAAGAAGACTTGTGCTTTGCTGGAGGATTCCGAAGACTGCAGGATGCTAGTGCTGCGGGCGCCAGCCTCGGCTGCTTGGGATTCACTGAAACAGCCATGCGCTGTTCAGTTGAGTCTCGGCCCAGCCCCCTTTCAATGTAAGGAAGAGGGACATTGCCCTGGAGAGGCCAAAGCCTCGTGGGGGAGTGACTGCGAATGGCTCGTTTGGGCCACACTGCGAGGTATTCGCTGCCCCTCCCCCCCCGAGAAGGGGTTTCTGCATGGTCGTGTCGAGCCGTTGCGCGGATTTACGTCCGCAACCTCCTCTTTCTCTAGGTAGGCGACACTGCCTTTGTTGGGCCCGGATTACTAGCTATGCGTGCCTATCTATGCAGATGTAGTTAGGAAGCTCCAAAGCTCCAAAGCTCCAAAGCTGCCATGGAACCCCTGCCCCGCTCGTCCAGCACCGGGCCTCCCAGCGGCTCCACAGCCCGCTCCTCACGGAACGCCGCTTCGCACACGAGCTCCCACTCGCGAGGCCCGATACGGTCCACACGCGACCCTCGGGAGCAAGAACCACCAGCGCGCCGGCTACGCAGCAGCCAGTACTCTTCACGGCCTCCTCCCCGTGACAACCGCGACGCCAGGAGGGGCTCGTCGCAGGACACCACACGCTCCTCGCGCGACGTCTTCCCCGCCGCGCAGGTCGATCGCTACGACGACAACTGGGCAACCCCGCCGCCGCCGCCGCCACCGCCGCCGCCGCCTCCTCCCTACGAGGCGCGTCCTGCATATGTCGAGGCGCAACAAAATGCGTTCCGGCAGGAGCAGGAGCAGGAGCAGGAGCAGGATCCCGAGGCGGACGAGCCACCGACAATCTCAAGGTGTGTCTGTCTGCCGGAGGGAGCTGTCCAAGACTGGCTCGCACAGAAACACTGATTTGCTGGGGCTTAGCATACAAGACATGCGAGAGGGCGACGCCGTGATTGCCGTCATGGGCATGACGGGCTCGGGGAAAAGCACCTTTATCTCGTACTTTTGCGATACCGCCGCTGCCGGCCACGGCTTGCGCTCCGGTACTTATTTCTAGTTCACGTTCCTCTCCCTCTCTCCACCAAACAACGCATTGGCGTTATTAACACCATGCCGCAGTGACGGCGCAAGTGGAAGCGCACGTCTCGCGTGAGCGGATCTAGGGGCGGCGAGTCATCTTAGTCGACACGCCGGGGTTCGACGACACGACGCGGTCCGACACGGAGGTTCTGCGCGAGATCGCCAGCTGGCTGGCCGTGACGTACGCGCACGACATCAAGCTGGCGGGGGTGGTGTACCTGCACGGGATCCAGATGCCGCGCGTGGGCGGGCCGGCACACACCAACATGCGGCTGTTCCGCGACCTGTGCGGCGATGAGTCGATGGCGTCGGTGGCCCTGGTCACGACGCACTGGTCGCGGTCGTCTGAGGAGCGCGTCGCGCAGCAGCAGCGGTACGACGAGCTCGTCAGCGACGACGCCTTCTGGCGCGGCATGGTGCAGCGAGGGGCGCGCGCCTTCAAGCACGACCGCGGCCCGATGTCGGCGCGCCGCATCGTCGAGCACCTGCTAGGCCGCGATGCCGAGGTCAACGACGGGCGTGGCATCGGGCTGCGTGTGCAGCGCGAGATAGCGGGCGGCGCCACGCTAGACCGCACTGCCGTTGGCGTGGCCATAGAGGCGCGCATCGAGGCCATGCAGGCCGCTTACGAGTCGCAGCTAGGCGACCTGCGGCGCGAGCTAGACGATGCGAGGCGCGCGACGCAAGTCAACGAGCGCAATATTGACGAGATTGTCGAGGAGCGCCGGGCCCTGGAGGGCCGCTTGAGGGACGAGCAAAGGAAGCGCCGTCGGCTGAGGGTCGACCTGGAACGGCTGCACCAGGAGCGCAGCGCCGACCTGCAGAGGGAGGCTGAGAACGTGAGCCGGATGCTGGAGGAACGCATCGCGGCCATCATTGCTGAGAATCCCCGAGGTCTAGATCAGCGGGTTGCGAGGGAACGGGTGCAGCGGGAGAGGAGTAGAAGGAGGAGGTACAAACAGGGGCAAGGGTGTTTCGTCATGTAACATGTCAGCAGACATGTCACTCAACATAAACACGGCGAGAGAGAACAAGTATAGTGCAAGGTCTCAGACGCCGACATTGGTGTGCCCTACAATAGCCCTGGATTAGCAACTATCGCCAGCGAATTCGCAGCACTGCTAAGCTATTATACAGCATTATTCGTGGTTCTTCGGCAGTATGTCATGGTATGCTGGCCATGTCCAGCCAGAACGCTTGCGACCCACAGGCGGAAGCCTTACGTGACGGCTACCATGTATTTAGCCTGCAGATTAGCTACACCTCTACCTTTCTTCGGATAACAACGAGTCCGTTTGCCTAGTCCTTGGTACGGTGCCGTGATCGAAGTAAATAAACCGCTTGAATAGGTGCTTTTTTGGAGAAGAGACAGGGACTCTAATCGTTTCATGATAATTGCCTTAGTTAGCCCGGGACTTCCCAAGATCTAAACGGCATCTCCACCTACTTGTTTAATGTATGGCTCCCGTTCGCCTTTCGGAGCAAGGCAAGGTGTTTGTGTAACTGGGCGTTGAAAAACTGTCGATAGAACGGGTTGTCTTTTCTAAGTTCCCAGGCCGAAGGCCAGAGGCTACGAATGCTGGATCAATCTCTCAATCTCTCAATGTGGGGTCAACCCTAACTCTACACTAACCCCTGGCGGGGCTTTCAGCGTTGAGCTACAGTTCATCCCGGTCCACTTTTAGATTTATCCACTTTCATTGGCCCAACCAACGTCAAAAAGAGACTCTTGGGCGTTACGGATACACATACCGAGACAATCTGTAATCACGACAACAACCAGGCAATAATTACACCAGTGCAACTTCATATCGGAATGCTCCCTGAGCAGAAAAACACAAAACTACGCAGCCCTTTATCCATGCATGGCACTCAAGGCCCAAAACACTCCGCCCAATGATACCCCCAAACAATGCGCCTCGCAAGCCTGCGTATGCAAATCCAGACAGTCGTGTTTTCCAAGAAACACACATTAATAGTCCAACGCCTCGCCGCTCAAGATGCTCCGCAAAATTCCCACGCCTAATCCCTCAACAGCTTGCTCCATCTCCTTTTCCCCGACACAGCTGGCGACGCGCTTCTCGTCCGCGAGCCCATGCACATTGGCAAAAATGTCCTTTCTCCGTCTCCGGCCCGGCGTCTGGAGCACCGCAAACGACCCCGTCTTGCCGTCTACGGCAGAGATAAGTGACAGTGTCTCCAGACTCCCCACCACCTCCCGAAACTCGGAGCTCGATAGCGGGTGCAACACCGAGTCTCGCGTGCAAAGAAGGCCGTAGGCGTCGTAAAGGACCTTGACCGTAGGGGCGGCAATCTGCAACTTGGATGGTGTTGCTGCGGCAGCCGCAGCAGCTGCTGCTTGCGCCGCTCGATTCCTCTGCTCGATCGCTATCAGCGAGCACAACGCTGCCTTTTGCTGGAGGTTGAGCGTCTTCAGTCGCTGGTTCGTTCCGTTGCTGAATGCGGCTGCGGTCACCTTGTTGAGGTGGGCAATGGTAACGCGCGGCGCATTTTCCACGGTCAAACTCTGCAGCGAATTCATCAAGGCAGTTGACACGGTTTGGGAAGAACCGGGCCCTGAAGCCAGGTTCTTGTTTTCGCTCAGCACCTTCCTCGTCGGGCTCATCTGCAAAAGCTGCTCCTTGACTTCGTTTTCGTGCTTCAGCCGCGTCTCGTTCTCCACCAGATCCAGGGCTCGCCGGCACACCTCAAAAGCCCTGCGCAAGTCTCCGGTCTGGGTCGACACCTTCCGAGAGCACAACTCAACGGCCGCGGGGTGGAAGAAAGGGATGAAGTCTGGCGTCGCAGCGTCTTTGGGCATTAGGCTCTTGAGGCGTGTCGTGATGATCCTCTTGACCTGCAGTGCCGAGTATGGCAGAAACGGGAGCAGTTCCGGCTTGAGGTTCCGAGACTTGAGACGGGGAAGGAACCTGTCTGTGAGGTCCAGGGCGTTGGCGATTCCCACCAAAGCAAGCCGCGAAGTCTTTTGCAGAGACCACTCAAAGACGCGGTACAGACTCTCTGGGTCCAGCGTCAAGATGTGATCGATCTCGTCCAGCACAACCAAAAACACGTCCTTGGTTTTCCTCTTGGGCACGAACAGCTTCTGCAGCGCCGCCACCATGTCGCTCTCTGACAGGCCGGACTCCCCGCCGAGCTGGTCGAGCAGTGTCAGGTATAGATCCTTTGATGACTTGATGCTCATGCAGTTGACGTATGCTTTGCGGACGAAGCCGGCCGATTGCGAGACCGCCTCCTGTGTGACTTCATTGACCATAGCACTCTTCCCGGTCCCGGGTGGACCGCTAACGTAGAGGCACCCGCTGGGGTGGGCGTTGGCGCAGCGACCGACAAACTCCCCCAGCTGACACCGCTCTTCATCGCGACCGATGAGTTGGCCCGGGTCGGCGCTGCGCGAGAAGAGCTGTCTCGCCTGGTGATAGACTGTCTGGCATGATGAAGGTGTGAGGGGTGTTTGGGGTGTCATGCGTCTCGAAAGCTTGCCCACGGTCATGACTCGATGCCGCGGGGTGGTGGCAGCTTTGGCGAAGACATCGTAGTGACGCGGAGTGGAGGGCGTGACGGGAGCAACGGTCGCTGCAACAGTCCGTCATTAGCAAAAACACTTGTCCGGCGTATTGGGAAACAACTTACCACTTTTGACCGGGCTGGAAAGCGAGACGCCCCGAGCGATCGGCTTGAAAGACGTCGACTCGACAGACTCGGGCGAGTCGCACAAAGGCTGCTGGTTTTCCTGGTCCTCGACATCGTAATCAACGGCGATTATTACGGGAGGGGTGTTCTCGTCGTCGAATTTGGAGGCAGAACTTCGGATAGAGCGTCTCGGGCGCTTCGCGGGGAGAGCTTGGAGCAATTCCGACTCTGGAGCAAGACAGGGTCAGTTATGGTTCGCAGCTACACCGGAAATCGAGAAACTCACCAGCGCCTCGTGTGCTCCTAGTCCTCTTTCCCAAAGTTGCAGACGCCATATTATGCAAGCAAGCAGGGCAGCGACGTTGACAATGACAATACGAGAAGGAGTGATGAGCGAGCTTGGTTGTCCCGGTGGGAGGAGAGGCCGAGCATTGAAGAAGGTGCAGTTGAGAGTCGACGGGAGAGTCGAGACCCGCTTGTCCACTAAGAATCCTGAATTGCGTCGCGCCTGCTCCCTGGTCGAACGCGACGCTAGGCCAGGTGGGGCGGGCAGACGCGCCTGCCAAGCGCGAGCCCCTGGCGGCCTGGAAGTGAATTGGGTGGCTGGATGGCTTGTTTCGCGTCTGTGGCTTGAACCGTGATGCAATGTGGCGCTGTAGCGTTGATGGCCCCACCACCCCCACTTCCCCACACGCAGGGAGGCCAAGCTGACTTGAGATGGAAGCAGGCGATCTCCGCCGTCACCAAACGGCACCAACGGCGGGTTGGGCCATGGGCTTCAACAAACATGGGCAAGCTCGGCTTGCACGCGACCATTGTCATCCTTCCAACCGCGCATCAGTAATACTGTATTCTTCAACCTCTGCCACTTCCCCAATGTCGCAGCCAAGGTCCTTTGGTTTATTAGCAGACGAGGAACAATTGGCACCAACCCGCCGTCGCTCTCTTGCTCACGCTGGCTGAAAGAAACCAAGTGGCAAAATGGCGACCTTCGATTCTCTAGCAGGTGCTGGCTACAATATTACTATTGAGGCCCTCAGAGATGAGGAGTATCCAATGCTGCAGGGTGGGTTACTAGTAACTACCAACCTAGGTAGCACTTTGGGAGAAGCTCTGACCTTGATGCTCACCGCCGCCAGTAGGGTCCGTTTATCTCGACCATGCCGGCACCACCCCGTACGCCAAGTCCTTAATGGACAGGTTTGCGCGAGACATGACGACGAACCTTTTTGGGAACCCGCACTCAGCCTCAGCCTCTTCGCAGCTGTCGACGTCGCGCATCGAAGACGTCCGCCTCCGCGTGCTCCAGTTTTTCAACGTCGACCCCGTCGACTTCGATGTCGTGTTTGTCGCCAACGCGACGGCCGGCATCAAGCTCGTCGTCGATGCGATGCGGTGTCTCCCCGGCGGCTTCGACTACGTCTACCACCGGGACAGCCATACCAGCCTTGTCGGGCCTCGGGAAGAGGCTCGAGATAGTGTCTGCGTCGACGACCGCGGGGTCCAGGACTGGCTGGCTGGAACTAGCCCCCTCGGCGCCGATGCCGCAAGCGCCGCCACCTTGTTTGCGTATCCCGCGCAGTCGAATATGGACGGCCGCCGGTTGCCGTTGAGCTGGGCCGCGCAGCTGGGCCAGAACAGGGCGGCCCATGTCAACAGGACCTATACTCTGCTGGACGCTGCTGCGCTCGTCTGCTCCTCGCCGCTCGACCTCAGCTGCGCCGACACGGCCCCAGACTTCACTGTGATGAGCTTCTATAAGGTTTTTGGGTTTCCGGATCTGGGAGCTCTGCTTGTCCGGCGCGGGGCAGAAGACGTGTTCGCGTCGAGAAGGTATTTTGGTGGCGGCACTGTCGACATGGTGGTCTGCTTGAAGGAGCGGTGGCATGCCCCAAAGAGCCAGTTCTTGCACGAGCGCCTCGAAGACGGGACACTGCCGGTCCACAGCATAATAGCACTGGACGCGGCCTTGGATGTTCACAAGCAACTTTTTGGCTTGATGCGAGACGTGGCGGCGCATACAGGGTTTCTGGCAAAGAGACTATACGACGGGCTCGGGTCACTGCAGCACGGGAACGGGGAACCAGTTTGTGTTCTATATTCCTTAGATCCCGCGTCACCTACCGCCGGCGCTGTCGGAAATGGGCCAGTGCTGGCTTTCAATATCCGCAACAGCTTTGGCGCGTGGGCGAGCTTGGCCGAGGTCGAGAAGCTCGCAACTCTCAAGCAGTTCCACATCCGTACAGGCGGCGTCTGCAACCCAGGAGGCATTGCGTCGGCGCTTGGTCTAGAGCCGTGGGAAATGAGGCAGAACTTTAGCTCCGGCTTTCGCTGTGGAACGGACAATGACATCATGGCCGGGAAGCCGACCGGCGTCATCCGAGCAAGTCTAGGAGCAATGAGTACCATCTCGGACGTGGACAAATTCGTGGGGTTTGTGTCCGAGTTTTATCGGGAAGAATGCGTAGTTCCACAAAGTCCCCCAGCGCCGGCGTTGAGGCCCCGAGACGCGCCTTCTTCCCATCTCTACGTCCACGACATCTTGGTCTACCCCATCAAGAGCTGCGGCGGATTCCAAGTTCCCGAGGGGGTGGACTGGGAGGTCAGACCGGAGGGTCTTGCATGGGATAGAGAGTGGTGCTTGGTGCACCAAGGCTCGGGCCAAGCGCTGAGCCAGAAACGACACCCCCAGATGGCCCTCGTCCGGCCGTCGCTAGATTTTGACCGAGGCGAGCTCCGGGTAACATTTGCAGGATCTATCCCGCGTCATTTACCACGCGAAGTCGTGTTGCCGCTGTCCAAGAACCCAAACGTGTTTCAGTCGCCCGAGTCGTTTCGATGGCGTTCGTCGCGGGTGTGCGGCGAGGAGATATTGGCGCAGACGTATGCGTCGCCGGAAATCAACGTTTTTTTCACAGGGGTCCTGGGGGTGCCGTGTGCGCTGGCGCGGTTTCCTGCCGGCGGGCAAGGTAAGAGCATGCGGCACTCCAAGGCGCACCTGCAAAAATATCAGCTGCCCGCAGGGTTTCGGAGCCGGCCCGTCTGCATCCCCGGGTCCTTTCCCGACCCGGTGCCGCCGTCGCCTCCCGACTCGGACTCGGAGAAGGCGGAGCAGCGGATCCTGCTGTCCAACGAGAGCCCGATCCTGGCCATCAGCATGGCCAGCCTCGATGCCCTCAACCGGGAGATCGCCAAGGCCGGGGGCAGGGCGGTGTCGGCCGCCGTGTTCCGTGCGAACGTGGTCATCGCGTCGTCGGACCCTGGGGCTGCGCCGCCATATTCCGAGGACAGCTGGCGGCGGCTGCGCGTGGGCGGGCGGCATGACTTTGCGATGCTGGGCGCGTGCAGGCGCTGCCACATGGTGTGCATAAACCAGGAGACGGCCGAGAAGAGCGAGGAGCCGTTTGTCACGCTGTCCAAGACGAGGCGGTTCGACGGCAAGGTGTTCTTCGGCACGCACATGTGCTATAGCGCGCCGGCGGCGGCGCAGGCGCTGACGAGGGACGCGCAGTGCCCGACAATCCGAGTGGGCGACGCGGTAGAGCCGGGGTGGTGAGTGTATTTAACTGGTGTTTGGTGTTTGGCGTTTGAAGTAGACGTTGGATATACGGGATACGCAACCAATGCTGAAATGTGCTATCCCCTCCAAGGGCAACCTTGCCGCGAGTTCCGCCGTGGGGGGTTACACTACCTAGGTTATACCCAGACCGACCAGATCTCCATTGCATAGCATCTATATATGCAGATAGGGCTGCACCAATTTCTGGTACACTAATAGGTACGGGAATTTTCGCTCTAATGCTGCAGCGAGGATACGGCGCAATGAACAAGAAACGGCTCACTGTGTTTGCCTACTACGTAACTAACTTGCACGTTTGTCTAGATCTGGCCTTCCATGCATGGGCCCGTCCCTTTTGACTAGGACAGAAATACAGGCAACAACAGACGGTGTATGCCCTGTTTGTTTGGTCATGGAAGTTTTCGGGAGTGATGATGTGATCGGGTGATCGACAGTGCATCCCCGTTGCAGATCGAAACCCTGGAACTACACTGACATTCGTGTGCGTACTGCGTACAGACTGCGTACTGTGTGTAATTAAGAGCTGAAAGGGACAATCTGTCGGAATTCCGCACACTGGCTACGATCTTTTTTTCTTCTTTCGATTCTTGCCGTTGCTATTGGTAACCTTACTCAAGCTGTGAAGGGTCGTTGGCCCTGGCGTCGCCCCAGTCAAGAATTGGACTTCCGGAAGACAGGGCGGTTTCTGTGGAACACGCCACAGTGTGCAATTTTCTTTTAGCGGCACTCTGTGTTTGTTCCCTTTCTTTTTCTTTCTTTCTTTCTTTCTGTCTATCTTTCTTTCTTTCTCGCTCTTGTCGGGTTTTGCTGGACTGCTTCTTACTTTGCGGTGGCAAGCAAGCGGCCTTTGGTTTTTTTCTTCATTGTTTACTTGCCTAGCACATGGCCTCTGATTGGACAGAACTCAACGTTTTCCGTTGGGATTTTTGCCGGTCTTTGGAGGTTCAGCTTCCTTTCTTTGCCATATAACGACAATCCCGGAGGAGCGGATCTCACCGTTTAACAATGTCGGCGGTGGTGGTGGCGGCGGCGTGGGCGGCGTGGGCGGCGTGGGCAGCGATGGTCTTTGCTACTAACGGCAGTAGTTCTAGACCAGGGCAAGGTGGAGGAGGACCCGACAGCCTGGGAGCGCACTACCAAGCGCAGTACCGAGCGGCCTTTGACGCGGCAGTGGCAGCGCAGCAGGCCAAGCCGCTGGTGGTGCCGTACGCGGTCACCGGCGCCGTCATCATCCCCGTGCTATACCTCAGTACCCCCCACCGCACCCGCCCCTGGCTGTACCGCCTACGCTTCGCCGTGGGCGCCGCAGTGGTCGCGCTCAACGCCCGCGTGCTGTTCGCCGACGCCACGTCGGCCCGGAACCTGGCTGTCGCCTACGCCGTCGGTCTGATGCTCGCGTGGGGCACCATCTGGCCCCTGATCATGCTGCTACTACTGAACCCCCAGTTCACCGCTGCCCGGGTGCAGAAGAGAAAAAGGGCAAGTGCAGATGCCCATGCTGTGGAGAAACTAAGGCTGGCCCCCGACGAGAGCATTGCCGCCGTTGCCGAAGCGTACGAGCACTACTGGCAGCCGTTCCCCGAGGGCGGCACCTTTCTCGACCGCCTCGACTGGGTGTGGGACTTGTACTCGTCGTTCAGGGGCGTGGGTCAGTAACTAGTCCCCATACCTGTCTCCTTTTGAATTGAGCACCCTTCACATCTCCCTCCCTCTCGACATACGTCCGGTGGAGAACGAACGACCAGCAAAGCTCACACAAGACCACGCTAGGCTGGAACTGGGCCGCGAAAGCTCTCCCCGGGCCGCCACAGCCAAAGGAGAAACCACTGCCCGGCGGTGGCGGCATCACGCAGGGCGAGCTGGTGCGGCTCGACGCCATGCCGGTCGTATCACGCGCCGGCTTCCGCCGCATGACGACGCGCCGCGTCTTCGTGCGCGACCGACTCGCGCACATCGCGTGGTCGTACCTCGTGCTGGACGCGCTGTCCGTGGCCATGGCGCGAGACCCCTTTTTCGTCCTCGGGCCCGAGTACGAGTACGCGGTCGTCCACCCGCTGCCGGCCGCCCTCGCCGCGCTCCCGCTGCGGGCCCTCGCCGTCTGGCGCAGCGTGTGCCCGGGCCTCGCCATCCTCGCCGCCATGTACTGCTACGGGTGCACGTGGGAACTAACACAGTTCTCCCTTAGCAGCCGCACATCAACAAACCGCGAACTGTGGCGCTACCCGTCGCTGTTCGGCTCCGCAGCCAACGTTCTCGAGCGCGGCCTGGCCGGCTTCTGGGGCGGCTTCTGGCACCAGAGCTTCCGCGTGGCCTTCTCGGCGCCAGCAGCATGGCTGGTCCGTGCCGGCTACCTGCGCCCGGGGGGGCTGTCGACAAAAGCCGTCGAGGCCGTTGCCGCGTTCGCGCTGTCGGGCGCCCTGCACGCCGCCGGCTCGTTCTCGGCCGCGCCGCGCGCCACCAAGCCGCTGCGCAACGTGCTCTTCTTTGTACTCTCGGGCGCGGGCATCGTCGCGCAGACGGCCTTTTGCCGCTTCGTTCTGCCGCCCGTGCGGAGACGGTGGTGGTGTCCCTCGCGCCCTGTCCGCCACGCCGCCAACCTCGCGTACGCCCTCGCCTGGTTGCACGCCACGCGCTGGGCTTTTCTAGACGACATGAGCCGCGCCGGCCTGTTCATCTACGCCCCCTTGCCGGCGTCGCCCCTGCGCTTCTTGGGGTGCGGTTTCCCCGGAGAGCACTGGTGGCGCTGGGATGCCACCTATCTCCCGCGCTGGTACTCGTCGCCGGTCCATTGGTGGGAGAGCGGCATCGCGATAGGATGAGCCAGTTCAGCGTCTGGTGTGGGTAGTGATTTGGTTGTGCGTGTCTGTGTGATATCTCGGTGCCTCATTGAAGAAAGATAGATCTTGGTTGGAATTGGATTCGGTTTTGCATCTCGCCAGGTGAAGCAGGTTCTGGCGTGGCGTCTGGTTGATTTCGCTGCTTAAAGAGGCGTTCTGTTCGGAACCAGAGCATCAAAAAGAATGTGCAGCGCAAGCATAGAAGTTTTGGCTCTTGTCGCGACGTTCCCGGTGTGGTGACATCCTAAAATACTTTGCTCGTAATTGAAAAATGCAGTTACAGTTCAAGTTACAGTTTACTAGGTATACAGGACAGACACACCACAGTGCCGCCGCCAAGTCGCATCAAAATACAGGACAGTAGATCCCTAAGTCCACCACGGCTTTGCCGGCACCCCGGCCGCCGACGACGCAGCCGCAGCCTTGACGACCTTGACCAAGGCCACGCAGTCCACGTCCTTGTGGCCGGACAGCTTCCGCGTCTGCTGCTCCAGCCACGCAATGACCTCGCTGTAGCCCGTCTGCTTCTTGACGAGCACCTGCCGGCACGCGACCGTGGCGAGCCTGGGTTTGTTTCTCGCGAGTCAACAACAATTACAACCGCGGCAGTGGAGTGTGAATATCGAAGGGGATATTAGATAGGAGGTTGAGCGTGGAGTATGTATAAATAGAGACAGACGGGAACGGAAGCGGAGGGAGCCAGAAAGCAAAAACGGAGACAAGGACAGCAAACACATACCACGCCAGCTGCGCCTTGTCGACGGCGAAGTCGTACCCCGGATTGCGGAGCTTCCGGGACCTGCTGGCCAGCAATAGGAACGCGACGTCGATCAGGCGCCTAATGGTGTCTAAGGCCCCAGAGGGAAACAAAAAGGCGGTCAGCAAAGTTGAGGTCTGGCGCTTCTAAAACCCCCCAAAAATGAAGATCCGCAAAACGAAATGATGGTGGTCGAGACATCTGAAAGTCACCTGAGGGGAGGGAAGGGCTAGTTCTTGTTTACTTACCAATCAGCAACGGCGTGCCGGGCGCCGCCGCTGCCGCTGCTGGGCGGCTGCTGCTGCTCCCGTTTACGCCTGCGCCTGCCCCGGACCGAGCGGGTACTGCAGACGCAGAACCGAGACAGCGGGCGTAGGCCCACATCTTGGTGGCCGTCTCGATGAAGGCGGTGTAGACGTTAGCTCGCACGGCGTGGCGCGAGTTGTGCGACGTGTCGAAAAACATGAGGTGAGACTGGATCTTGAAGGTGTCTGCGCGGCCGCACCCAAGACACATGGCGGTGAATAAGCGTTTGTTTCTCCAATGAATGGACGGAACATGGCATCTTGACAGAGGAAGGACGAGTGGATTCGTGCGAGGAAAGAGAATAATGAATAAAAAGAAAAGAGGAAAACGATACTAAATAATATAACAGAAAATAACGAGCACGAAGAAAGACAGAGGGGCGACTCACTGATGACCTTTCTGCTAAAGTTGTGACCGGGACGCCGCGAATAGTCGACCGTAAGAGAATTGAACACGACTTTATATGTTTATCCCCAAGAGTTAGCAAATATCCACCCACACGCACACGCACGCAAGCAGACCAGGATTGGCCTGTTGCGGTCTCTCCAAAAGGGTGGCTGGTTCAATGACAGAGATAACAAACGCACCTGGGTCTTTGGTCGTGTCGCGCTGCTTGGAAATCTCCAGCGTCTGGCAGTCGATGGCCAGGCCGCAATAGGGGAACCCGCGCCCGCAGGCCGACCGGGCGACTGTTATCTCGCTTCCGTCGCCGCCGCACGGCACCGCCAGGCGGAAGTTGACGAGCGTCTTGGCCGGGCTGACGGTGACGCCGTACCGCGGGAGGCCGCCATGCATCGTCTCGACGAAGCGGCGGGCCTTGGCTTGATCCGTGGTGATAAGCAGAAAGTCGTCGATCAGACGCAGCAGGAGACAGTCGCCGCCCTCTTTGTCTCCCCCTCCTTCCTGCAGAAACGAGAGGTGCCGCCGCTCCAGATCGGCGTAAAAGTAGTTGCACAGCGCCGACGACAGCACCGAGCCCTGGGGGATGCCGCACTTCTGGCGGTAGTACTTTTTGCCGATGCGGACAATGTTCTGCTCGATGTGCGTCGCCGTCAGCTCTAGCAGCTCCCGCTTCTCGTGCGTCTTGTGGGCGGCGCTATCGATGAAGATGGTCTCGGTGCGGCTGACCCCGAGCGTCGCCTCCACCACGCCGGGGAAGAAGCTCGCCGTGTCGCCCGTGGCCTTTGCGGTCGAGCGCCACCTCTTGGACGCTCTCACCCCCTTGCCGCCCTGCGCCATGGCCGTCTCGGTGGGCCGGACTTCGACGTGCTTGGCTAGCTTGTACTGGGACTGCTGGGGAATCCGTCTCAGCACCTTGATCATGGCGTCCTGGGGGATCGTGTCAAAGGCTGCTTTGACGTCGACCTTGGCAAAGTAGAGCTGGTGTTCGCCCTTGCCCAGCCCGGCCTTGAACGCCTTGATGCGCGAGTAGATTTCTCCAACAGAAAACATTGAAGACCCAAGCCGCTTTGGATGCAGTGACTGAACTCGCCTGTTAGTTAAGGGGGGAAACACCATGGACAACGCGCGGCCAGCAAGAACAAACCTTTTCGAGATTGAGCATTGCGCTGACAGGGTTCAAGACGGTATTGATGCTAGGGCCCAGAATCTTCTGGTTTCCGCGGCTCACGGCGCGCCGGCGAAGGTTCATGATGGGGCGCACGTCGGATAGTTTTGGGAGGAGCCGCACTTGGGCAAAGCCCAGGCGCCGCGAGTCCAAGATGCGGAGGGCGTCCTCGAGGCGTACCTCCTCGAACATGGTCTCCCTCAGGGCGGCCATGGCGGGCTCGGCCACGTAACGCCAGACGTCGTGGCGAAAGAAAAACAGGCGGTTCCGGTGCACGCTTGACTCGGTGACGTAGAAATTGCTACGAATAAGGGGCATCAAGATAGAGTCAAACAGATAGTACAGAAACTCGTAGAAGATCTCGGTCCGCTTTTTCAGGTCCGACTGCGAGCAGCTCTGCTTGGCCAGGCCCGGGGGCGTGAGCCACTCGAGATCTCGTATCTGTGCAGCAAGTGTCAGTGTTTTTGGTCGCTATATATCAGGGGTCGGTTGGAAATAGGGGCGCTGCCAACTTGCCTTCATGCCTTGCACAACGTCGTGGAGACACATGCTCTCGAAGCGTCTCAAATGGACAAAGTGGTTGACCATCTTGAGGAAAGTCTTTTTGTTCTGTGCCTGCAAAGTGCCTTCCCCCCAAAAGTCGTTTGGAATAATCCTTGACAAGATAGCCTGGCAAAAGGCAGAGACGTTGGCAAGTGGGGTTGCCAACTCGGTGAGGAGGTTGTACTGCAGTGGAGGCACAGATGACTGGGCTGGCTGTGACATGCTTCGGCCTTTGGTGCGCTTGCTGGTCTGTGGTGCTAGTTGTGGTAGCGGTGGTTTGTTCGTGCTCGAGTCGGACGTTTCCTCCTCGACCACAACTTGCTCGGCGATCTGTATATCATCACTTGTGAGCAGGGATCATAGATCCAAGGAGAGCCCGTCCACCAAAGGGCCTTACCGGACAGTAATGCTGGAGCATGCTGGCATATGAGCAGCGCCCATGGAGTATCTGGAGGCGCTGGACCAACTGTTTTGGCCCCCCTCTGAGCCTCTTTGGTATATGCTTGATGGGCTGGTCATCCTTGTCCTTTTTGGGGAACTTCTTTGCTATCTCGTCCTCGCGCAGCGTGTAGTCCTGGAACTTCTGGGTGGTCTGCTGGCGGTCTACGACTGACGTGAAAACGTTGTGGAGGCCAAACTGACGAGGAAAGATGTACATCATGAGCTGGATGCAGTTTTCATTATGGCTTTCAACGCTCAGGCCGTTGTCTTTGCCCTTGGGGGGCTCTGGGCTGTGCGGAAGCCGGTTCAGGGCATCTACGAGTGTAAGCCAGGCGGGTACTTCCATGTTTGGAGAAGAGTCACGACATACGAATATGGCGAAGCCCGAAACTAACGGAGCCACGGGCGTTCAGGGCAGCTTTGGCAAACATGATCCGGCTCCTCACAAAGGAAATCTCGGACGGGCGCAGCTCTACAGTCTTTGGGGTGTTCTTTGCAGGCTGTGACGCCGACGAGAGCGGCTCAAGTTCTATTATAGAGACGCCGCTCAGTTGATAGAGGTTGCCCTCTCCAGCCTTGACGGACTGGAAAATGGCACAGTCGACCAAGAGATCGATCATGACGCGCTCCCCGGCCTTGCCGAGCAGCATCAGCAGCTGCGGCCAAGGCGACTCCTTGAGAGCCTTCACACGCTGGTTGGGATACGCTGCAGAGAGGCCGGGAATTCCAGTCCTTTCTGCCCCGGCTGGGCCCGTTTTCTGGTGGAGGAACGAGCCTCCCTGCTTCCGGAAGCCATCGCAGAGTAGATGGTTGGGCCAAAAAGCACCCTTGTGCGTCGAGAACAGCAGCCAGACGACAAAGTCAACAATCTATTCGGACACGTTTATGTGAGTTTCGTTGGGTGCATGAAATAGAGCAGCAGCACGGCAGCCAGCACCGTGTCCTGAACCGGACGGACTGGACTCTTAGTCTACGGCAGTTTTTGTTGCTTGCTTACCTCGGACTGGGAGAAGATGGAGCCGCGCAAGCCATCCGACAGGGTCACATACGACTCGTCTCCTCCTCCTCCTCTCTGGGAGAAGCTGACCCACTGCTCCCACCGGCGGTCAGGCTTGCCGGCACCGGGTTCAGGCTCGGGCTCGGGTTCGATGACACGGCGGGTGGCGACTATGGTCGAGTCGAGGAGGCTACCCAGTGCGAGCTCCTCGTCGGTGCACGAAGCCCCCGCGGGAGATGACGGGCCGCGCCCCATCAACAAGATCTTCTTGCGCCGGATGCGGGATGCGACGGGCAGTCTCGCCAGGACATGGGCACGCAACGTCTCCGTTGCGGAATAGTAGTGAGAAAGCAAGACGTGGTTTACGGCCTGGTCCTTGGACTTGTCGGCGCCTTTTTTGGCGCGCTTGCTAGGCCGGTCGAGGATGTTCATGCGGGCATCGCCGCCCCTCTTGTGTTTTGTCTCCATGGGATGGCATCGGTTATGGTTATGATGATGGCGATGTCGACGAGACTTGGGTGTGGGCGCAGACGCAATGAAGGAACAGTACCTTAATGGGTGTGCCAGGCCACAGCCCAGCAAACAGCGAAAGACGGCGCGGCGCGATGCCTACCTGGGACCCTAAGTTGATACGTCTACTGAAGCTTCTCAGCCTCAATCCGCAATTGTCTCATTCCTGGTCCAAATAGATGATGGCGCGTTCCAGTGGATTGGCTTGTTCCCGTCAATCGTGGCCAGAAATTAATTACCTTACGTACAGTGCTTCCTTCCCAGGGTGTGACCTTTAGGGTATTATCCAGAATGGAGGGGTCTGATTGGCCAAGAGGCACGCGTGAGGCAGGAGCGTGAAACTGTGCAAGTCGCGACGTCGTTATTTGGCCATCCAAATCGGACTAGCGTGCTTTTGACGATGGCTGCGCTAGGCCCATTTAAGGTTGCATTGCACCCCGAGTCGGGAGGAGGGGATCTTGGACGATCACCAGCCCCGAGGAAATACTACTACGTAGAACAACGTTTACACTAACTGCGTGTGCCGCAACAGACGCCGAACCTAAACCACATCTTGCCAGGGTTGTTGATGTTGATTTAGAGCATATGCCTAGAAACATGACGCACGAGACACCGAGTACGCATAGAGTTACGGATGTTCCCTAGTGGGGTCTTGTCAACACAAGCCTTGGGCTTGTTCAACAAGTCATCATCGGCCTATGTAGGGCTGGAGTTAGGAAGATGGAAAGCCAAAGTCAGCACTTCTTTCTCACTTCGCAGACGGCTGTTAACCAGCAAGGAATTTCTGTCTACCCTTCACCGACCTTTGATTGACTGATGCCAAGCGCCCTCAAAACATACCGATTGCCCAATCCTGTCCGCTCTCTTTACGAATAGTAGTAAGCATTTGTGAATTTTCCCACCTCTTGTTGAGTTGAACTTTTTCTATTCCGTTATTTGCTGCCTTGGGCAGCACTCCTTCGCAGGATGGTGGGGGAGGCATTGAGTTGGGCAAACACTCGATTGGAGTCAAGTGCGCTGGTTGATTGGCCTTGCGGGGCTTGTTCCGAAAACCCCCTGTCAAACACTCGTGGCATTAACTGCTGGAGGCAGCTCCGTGGCACTGGCTGCTGGCTGGCTTGTGAGTGCACTGGCTAGCTTGTGAGGGAGCGACTCCGAACTGCCCCGCCTCGTTACTTTTTTAGATGCGAGCTTCTCTCCATCCCACCACCACCCTGAAGTGCAACGGACCCGACGAGTTGACGCTGATACTCAGCCGGCCTCTGCTAAATTATCATAGCAGCTAGTGTCTTCCCAGCCAGTATTCTGTCCGTGTAATGTAAACCTTGGCGGATGCATTTCCCAGGTTTGCGAATAATGAGCGCGATATTGACATGCTTCCCAGGTCAATGCAATGCCCGATCTGGCCCAAAGTCCGTTGTCACGACTTTAGCGAGACACCCTTTTCAAAGTCAAAGCTTGGCGGTCATCCAGCTACCTTAACTATTGAATACACACCCGACGTACTGCGTAACTGTAGGTAATAAAGGCTTGGACGGACGGGTAAAGGCTCGGCCTCCGCGTTTCCTCCAAAATCCAGAGCTCGACGGGTGTCCAGTCCCGTCGTTAGGTATCCTGATACGCCATGGATAATCCAAAATACCCTAACTACCTGGGGCATGGAAGGTAGCTAGCGGGGCGGTCTGACAGGTTGGACGGACCGCGGCGGCGCAGGATTGGGCGGATTGCGGCATCCAATGTCCCCAATGCCCCAAGAAGGCGCGGCTTCAACGCCGCGGGTCGGCGAGCGAAAAAAAAAAAAAAAAAAAAAAGCCCCTGGACGACCCTGCGTCATTGGGCAGCCCACCTGAACGCCACAAACCCCTCGATTTGCCTTGGATGGACGAGGGGAAATGTTTCAACGAAAAGAATTGCCCATCCTGAAGCCCTCAGGTTTTGGAGCCCTGAACACGAGAGCCTGCTGACCAGAAGCTGGGAAGCTGCCAGAACCAGAGGGCGGCTGCGCTTCGTGAGTGTCGACAGACACGGCTTAGCCTTCTCGTCGGGCGCATCCTTCTGACTCTTTCCCTCGTCCAAGCCGTCTGCTCTCATCCACTCCTTCCACGACAGCACTGGGCAGGCACACGCCCGGAGGTGTGCTTCTGCTGCCCCCACCCCTTCTCGTTTTCACAGTATTATTAACCCTGACTGGGTTTCCTTTTCTGCCCAGGCCTAGGCTTGCTCTCTCTGCCTTGCCCATTTATCATCCAATTGTCGCGACTTTAGCAGCCCCGTAGCAGAGGTTCGAGACCCAAGGCTCCGGGCACCAAATCGCTCGCTCGCAGTACAACTGGGCCAAAAGAACAGGACGTGGAAAAACCTCGTCCGCTTTACGGATATTATATTGCCATGTAATTCATCCGGCCTCGCTGGAGCGACAGCAACAGACCCGGACAGACTAGGCTCAAGTAGAAAAACAGCAGAACCCAAAGAGGCAACTGCGATCCCACTCTGGATATCGGATCGAGTGATATTAGATACAAGTACGGAGTAGGTAGTGTATGCAAGGTAGTATTTCGTACTAGAGCCCCTGAAGCATCGGACTTGCATCGTAAATTTCCTTTCTGACCTTTGGCTCCTTCGCTATCCGTACTTGGCTCGGCAAGCACTACCTACAGATCCCGTTCGTGTGCAAGGCGAGGTCGGGACGTTGCTGTCGTTGGGATAGCTAGTCCGACCAGCCAATTAAAGGCGAAATCTTGTAGCCCCCCATTAGCAAACGAAACCGACGCTTGGTGCCCGTTTCGCCAGTTGTCACCTAGCACAAGTAGAACACAAGTTAGCCCGCGCATCCATCGCAAGGCAAGGCCGGGCCTGGCCTCGCCGTCTTGCTAACTTCAGTTGTTAACGCTCCTGGCATCCGAGCGTTTGAACGGCGATCCGTATCCGTACCCGAACTACCCAAGTCCCTGATTGACCATTGACAAGGTTCGGTGCTTATTTTACGGTTTTGGGTGGGTCTCCTGGCTGCAGGCCCGGCTCGTTCTGACTGGGGGGTGCTGGGGTGATTTTTCTGGGCGGTGGTGCTGGAGGAGGTGGTGGTGGTGGGTGTGTTTCTGGCATTGGAAGGGGAGCAGGGAAGGCCCGCCTCAGTCAAGCGCGGCTTCTCTAGACCACCAATCCGGCTGCTTGCCAGCACATCAACGTCCCCAAGCCCCGACATGCCCCCAGCTCGCCCGCATAGATCTCTAGATGGTCTCTGAATCCCGCAAATCCTGTCGCTCGCGAGCCGTCCGTCTGGAGAGCGTGCAGAACTTTCAGCAGCCCGCCAGGACGTGAGCGTGAGCCCGGTGCTTTGAGCCGGCCAGCAGCACTGCACTGGACCTTCCCAGCAGCAGCCGAGACGATTGCAGGCGGCGGCTGTGTCGGACGAAAGCGAGAGCGAAAGCTGGAGGGCGGTACCGGCAGCAGCAACAGCGCCAGCAACAGCACCAGCATACGGAAGCCGAGTTATGGTCGCCTCGCCATGGACCAAGGCAATATCGGCGACGAGGCCCTCTCGCGCCCTGGCCCCTTCTACGACCACCATAACCACCACGCCCAATTCCACCATCTCCACCACCCCCATAGCCACTACCACGACGACGACACCGACAACCACTACGCCGTCGCCCCGCCCTCGGCATTCGACGCGCACTCCCGCCCGAGCCAGATCCCCATCGCCTCGTATGCCACCGCCAATCTGCAGGCCTTCGCCGCCAATTCACTCTCGCCGCTGCCCGACGACGATGCCCTCGCCGACTCCCTAGATCCCGACGACTTCTACCGCAGCTACCGAGGCGTGCAGTCGGCGAATGCCAGCCCGCCCCTGAAGGACCTCATGGCCCCCGGCCCAGCAACCGTCCGAAAGCCGCCCTCGTTGCGGTCAAACGGCAATGGAACCACCCCGAAGCACCCTCCAGTCCCCTCGGCCACCCGCATCGGCATCCGCCCCGGCTTTCGCTCTGCCTCCAACCCCGTCGACGACCGCCCCGCAAGCACTACGCCAAGGCCGTCGCCCGCCCCTGCTAATGGCTATGGCCCCGCCCCTGGCGTCATACCACCGAGTGTCAAGGACCTCAAGAAGAAGTTCGATCTGCCGGCGTCGCAGTCTACCTCGCTAGGTCGAAAGGCCGTCCCAAGAACATCATCCCGAGACGCGACTCCCGCCGCCGCCAACGCGCGGTCGTCGGTTCCTGGAAGCGCGACATCGCCCACGTCGTATGCCTCGCTGAGGTCGAACACAACGCAAAGCGCGGGCAACGACACGGCCAGGGGATCCGGCTCGCGTGGAACACAACGATCTAGGTTTACCGCCGAAGATCAGCTCTCGGCGAATACGCAATCTTTTGCTAGCAGGATCACCAAGCCCCGCACTGCGAATCCTACCGATGCCCAGCCTTTGAAATCAACAAGCCAGGTTCCCCAAGGCATGTACTCGGAAATGCTGACTTCGTCGCTCGCGCAGTCGCGCTCCAACGGCCTCCTCTTTGGCGAGATACTTCCAGACGAGAGCGACTCGGTCACCGCTGGGTTTGGCATCGACGTTGTACGGCCTCGACGGACCTCGGAATCCAGCCTGCACACCTCTGCGAGGCCTCACCAGAGGAGCTTTTCGGATCCCGACGTGGAACCTCCATCCCCGACCGACTGGTACCGTAGTGCAGCTTCCGGGCAGCAGGACTCGGGTCAACAGGAGTCCAGGACGACGGTCAAGAACCACTCGCGCGCCCGCAGCGACTTGGTAGGGTCGTCAAAGCCAGATCTCGGCCGTTCTGAGCGTGGCACGACGAGACATATCATCAATATTTTACCGCTTTCGCCCAACTCGCCGAAATCACCGGCCTCCCTAACCTCTCCAACCTCGCCAATCTCGCCATCTTCGCGTCTTCCGATACTAGTCAAAAAGCTGAGCGATCCTTCGGGCCGCGGAAGTCCTGGGTCGACGCGTTCAAACTCGCCAGCTACCTTGAGGTACACGGGCGCAAGTGGAAGAACCTCTAGGCAGCGCGGTACGACGACCGCACGGGCGAAGACGCCCACCAACCGTTCTCATACCCCTACATCCCAAGCGAAGACGCTCTCTCAAGCTCCTGGGTCGAGCCGAAAACCTCCCCCATCAAACATATCAACCCCAAGCAGCAGTCGGCTCAATGCATTTGTGTCTATCCCTGTCCCGAAGCTGTCGCCCACCCTACGAAGCTCCAGGCCTCGGCAGTCGGTCGCCACGGCCACTACCACAGCCTCCAGAATGAAAACTGTAGAGGGCGCGCCGTCATCTAATAAAGCAGCCCACCGCGGCGCGCCGTCGAGGCCCGATGATGCCGCCCCGCGGAGGCGCAAAGTTTCGGTAGGCCCGATCGACTTTGCGCAGCGACGAGAGACGATAAAGCTGGCATACAGCAAGTCGGTAAAAGAAAACCAGGCCAAGGAGGCGAGGAGGACGGCTGCAGAGAAGAGAAAGAAGGAGCTGGAAGCCGTGGCCCGGGCAAAGGTGGAGGCAGAGGCTGCTGCGCTGGCTGCAACGGAAGCGGCTGCTGCGACAACGCCTACACTATCTCCAGCAGTCGACAGCGACAGGTTATCGCAAACGTTGGCTCAGAAAGAACGAGAGCGGGCGTCGGTTGAGGTGCCGCTGAAGATTATGACAGACTTGTCTCAACTCCAGCACGCAGCTAAAGAGACCGGGCGCCATTTTGAGTCGCTCGAGCTAGGGATGCCTGGGAGCTTCCCGACCACCGGACCTCCGCAGGTAGAAGACGAGGAGGGCGTGCCACAGTCTGCCATTTCCAACGCTACGGCCACTACCGAGTTTGATATAGACGAACAAGCCGAGTCACCGACGGAACCAAACACGGCCGCGATAGATCGTGACTTGGGAGGTTTGATAATTGGGCACATGCAAGGTAGGACCGATGTAGAGCCTCTGCCTCTTAGGCGGCCACGTCCTCCGGTCCCGCACAAGAAGGCGTCGTATCACTATCCATTTGCGGACGAGGACGCCGAGGACCAGATTATCGACGAGGAGATTGTCGACGGCGAGGACATCGACGACGGGAATGTGTCAATCAAAATTTCTCTCGACACGTCGTCGGTCAAGCCGTCACCGCAGCAATCGCCGCAGCTCACGCCGACCCGCAGCGATTTCGATCCAGAACCCGCCCCGCCAAATCTGTCGCAAGACGAGTATGAGCCGCAACCCTACTCATTTTCATCTCCAAACTACGAAACAATGGTCACCATTTTGGGCCCTGGGATTGATTTCACGCCGTCGTACAGGAATGGCTCTCGTAGCACCATGTCGGCTGCCGACCTGCATCAGGCAAATAAGTCGCTAGCCGCCGAGACCATGGAGATTGTTGCCTCTGGCGATGCGCCCGTGGGAAAGGCGCAATCCGACGAGCCTCGAGCCGAAGTCGAGGGGCTCGACCGCCTGGAGGATTTCTATATCCCCGTGCGCCTACACGAGAACATCGCTTCCCTGCGCGACCGCGACCGCGACTCCACCTTCACCTCGTCCGACCCTGACGTCTCTTATGACGCTCAGCCATCGTCAGCTGATTACCAGAAGACGCTCGACACGTCACATAGCCTGACCGTGCCCGGACTGCTCTCGCATGGCAACCGACTGAGCCAGCAGTCTGCCTGGACCGACTTTTCCTTCGGGAGCGACGATCCTGATCTCGGCGCGGCAAGTTCCGGCAATCTGGCGCACGATCCCACACCCCAGCGCGAAGCGAGGAACTCGACCAAACTCAGTGCATCGCCCGTCAATCTGAGCGCTCACGATCTGCGCCTGGACCTAGGCGGCCTCTCCCAAAGCCCAGAGCTGTCACCGCTGGACAACCCCAGCGTGCCGTCCCCGCCTATGCTGGCGGGTGAGCCAGCTGCGCAAATCCACCTCCCAGAGCTCGACACTGGCGACGGCTTTTCGGTTCCCTATTCGCCCTTGTCCAAGAGGATACCGGCGCTGCCAGACCATGCGCCTCCCCGTCCGCCCGGCGACGAGTACCAGCTCGACGGCAGCGCGTACGTTGTCGGAACTCGGCCGAACAGCTATCTACACAGTCACGACGAGAGGGAGGACTTGACCCAGCCTATCCCCACACCCCGGTCGATTGGCCAGCTGTCTATCGAGTCCCCAGACTCGTCCAGTGCTGTCCAGAGCGACTCCAAGACCCCGCCCGCCGAGGCTCAAGGCCCCTGGGCTGAAGAGCAGAAGCGTCTTCGGCAACGCCTACTAGTCATTCGCGAGCTCATCGACACCGAAGACCTGTTCGTCAGAGACATGAGCGTCGTCGAGGAGCTCTACAAGGGGACGGCCGAGGCGTGTCCGAAGCTCGATAGCAAGGCTATCAAGCTGATCTTTAGGAACACGGACGAGGTCATCGGCTTCCACGGGACGTTCCTGGCCCAGCTCAAAGAGGGGGCGTCGAGCGTTTATACGCCCAAAGGGAGGAGGTCGCCGCTCTTCTCACAAGACTCGTCCAAGGATTCCGACTCAGTAACGTTGGTCTCGACTAATTCCGGCGGCACGTCAAACAAGCCGGAACTCGACAACGAAAAGGACCGCCTTACATCGATCGGCCCGCTGTTCTTGAAGAACATTGACCAGCTCAAGGTTGTCCATGAGGTGTACCTGCGCTCCAGCGATGCCTCTACCAAGCGCCTTATCCAGATCCAGGACGACAGCACCGTCATGATATGGCTCAATGAGTGCAATGAAATGGCAAAGGAGTTGACGTCTGCCTGGAACCTGGATTCGCTCCTGATTAAGCCCATGCAGCGCATTACTAAGTATCCAGACATCATCGCTCATCTTCTCAAGTACACTCCGGAAGATCACCCCGATCGAGAGGCACTCGCAAGTGCCAAGACGGCCGTGATCAACGCCATCGATGAGATCAACAAGACGAAGAAGAATTTCGAGCTCGTCGGACAGATCGTTGGCAACCGGAAGCGCAAGGAGTCCGATGTCAGGGCCGGGCTGGCCAGAGCGTTTGGCAAGCGCGTTGACAAACTCCAGGCATCCAATAGCAACAACAGGCCACCCGAGGATGAGGAATATCTCAAGCTTCATGAGAAGTTTGGGGATGACTATCTGCGCCTCCAAGTCGTGCTGAGAGACGTTGAGTTCTACACGAGAAACGTGGCGACGTATGTCCAGGACTTTCTGAAGTACCTCTCGTCGATGGAGCTTGTTATGCGCTTGCAGCCATCCCGAGAACACGCGCACATCGAAAGCAAATGGGTTCAGTTCAACGTCTCCATGAGGGACATTGAAAAGATCGCCCTAGAGAAGCATGTAGGTTTTTATCACCTTTGGTGCTCGTGTCTCTGTCTTTTCTAACTCGGTTCTAGCTCTCGGATGTTCGGAAGCACGTTATTGAGCCCTTCGAGCAAGTGATAAAGTGTTACGGCAACCCCACCCTAGCGATGAAGAAGAGAGCAAAGCGGCGTCTCGATTACGAAAAGTCCGTACAGCTCAAGGCGAACGGCAAGAAGGTGGACAAGCAGCTCGGCGAGCTGGTGGAGCAGTACGAAGCTCTCAACGTCACGCTGAAGAAGGAGCTGCCTAAGCTGTCCGAACTCACTGCCAAAATCGGCAATATCTGCCTCGGGAAGTTCGTCAGCATCCAGGCCACTTGGTTTTCCATATGGAAGGAGAAGGTCAAAACGCCCCTCCAGGATGTCGCCCATGTTCCCGAACTTCCGGAGATTGTCTCGTCGTTCCAGAGAGAGTTTGGGCTGCAAGAGGAGAGAGCCAAGGCCATTGGAATACTGAACCCTGCGCTCAAGGGCAGAAGCTCGCAATCCACGACAGACGACTCGTCGTCCATCATATCAAGGACCAAATCGCGGCCAAGCGATCTCGTCCCTCCTCGTGGGCGAGGTATGTCGGTCAACAGCGACTATGTGCCAAGCTTACCGACTCCGGATTTTGCGAAGCGCAATAGTGGTCAATTCAACCTGTCGCCCACAAGCAGCACGATCCCTAGCCCGGGATTGTATTACCGGGATTACTATGCCGGCATCAACGGAGGTCAAACGCAGAAAGCTTCTGGCTCACCTGTCGCGCCGGACCCCTCGTCTACAGCCCGTGCGTCCACAAGCACGATAGCCCGGCCCAGTACCGGACGGAGTTTTGAATCGGCGAATATGCCTCGGCAAAGCACCGAGTCTGCGACGCAAGCCCTGGGCTCGTTCATTAACCGGCGTGACTCAAACTCGACGTACAACTCCAATTATCTGAGTACCGAACCGAGACGGCTGTCCGGTCTATTCCATTCAGCCCTGCCTCTTCCGGACGGCCCCGATGAGAGCCGGCGGTCGTCTAGGGCATCTTCTCGTGAGCGCGGCCCGGCCAACCACGGTTACAGGGTCATGTGGCTGGCTGCGTCTCTCTTCGAGTTCAACATTGAGACTACGAAACACGAGGCCGGCTACCCGTATCTTACCTATCAAGCCGGAGAGGTATGTTTTTTCCCCTGTTTGAAGACTTGATGTGAGAATTTAGCTAACGGTGTAAACTAGATTTTCGATGTCATTGCCGAAAAGGGCGAGCTGTGGCTTGCCAAGAACCAGGACGATCCTCGCGACCTCGTCGGCTGGATCTGGTCCAAACATTTTGCCAAATTGGCCGATTCTTGACCAATCTAGTTTCTGTCACCTAGGTCGTCTTCTTTTTCCTTTTGTGACTGTCTGTGTGTTTTGACATGTAAAACGGACGCGGCATGGCGTAAGGCCTCATCTTTTCTTATGTCTTGATGTGCACTCATGAGATGTGGACACACATACTTGACGGCGATGTGGACCGGTAGGACAAACAAACAAAGCATGGCGTTTTGAGCGAGATGATATATCTGGACGTTGTTTGTTTTGGTATTTTTTCTTTTGCTTTTATTATTTTCTCTTTCTTCGGTGGTGCATCTGTGGTCAACTGCCATGCACCCACCCGACTACCTACCTACCTTGGCCGATTGAGAACTACCCAGGGGAAGAGAAAGAGATAGGAGAAGGAATTGGTTAGTGATTCCCACTTTCTTTTCGCCTTTTTATTTTTGCTTTTTCGGGGCGGGAAGAAAAACCAAGGGGAGGGGGAATTCAGATTTCTACTGTACATTATTCTTTCTCTCTCAAGACTCTTGAGAAGAGGCTTTGGTACTGGCCCGGTAACGGCGGTTAGCGATGGGTCACGGCTGACAGGCGGCGGCGGCGGCGACGAAGCCAAGAAGGATCTGGGTTTTTTGTTTTGAAGAGAAAATGGATCATTGCCGACGGATGGACGAAGCGACGCGATGATGCGGGATTAACTTTAAATACGTACATACATAACACATACGTACCTACGTACCTACGTAAAGCGTAAAGGTATTATTTTCTCTAAATTATAGTTGCACGTGCAAGCAAGCAAGCAAGTAAGCGATGCAACGGAACGAGGGCTATCTAGGCATGTTTTCTTTCTCTTTTCTTTTCTTTTATTCTCTTTTTTAACATGCAGGACTGTACACTTGGGTCTCTCCGTCTAAATCGCGTCAAGTCTGCTTACGTTGGTATCCTTAACAAGCAAACAAGCAAGCAAGCAAACATGCCTTGTGTATCTACCGCTTGCAATGGCGGAGTCCAGTCCAGTCCAGTCCAGCACAGTCTAGTTCCAGGCTAGGAGGGGTAATCGGGTAGATTATATTTGTGTACATCTACTGGTTTGTTTTTTTCCTTGTTCTAACGGCTTGCTTTGCTTCTTCTTCCTCTTCCTCGTCTTATCCCTATCTCTCTATTACGTACGTCGAAACCTTTCAAAGGATATTACGGGTCTGTCATTCGTGTGATAACTTGGGAAGACAGAACATGATGTGATATGATGTGATACGATATGATATGACAGATCAAAGCGAGGAGGAAGAGGAAGGAGAGGAAGAGGAAGAGGAAGAGGAAGAGGAAGAGGAAGAGGAAGAGGAAGAGGAAGAGGAAGAAGAAGAGGAAGAAGAAGAAGAAGAGGAAGAAGAAGAGAAAGAAGAGAAAGAGAAGATTAAGAAGAGAAAGAGAAGAAGAAGAAGAAGAAGAAAAAGAAGAAGCGTATCGTGGATATATGGCAGAACCCCATCTAGTAGACAACCAGCTAAGTGCCCGACTTGTCTCGCTGGATCACCGAGGTCTAGGTAACCGACGAGTCCAACAAGAGGGAGGGCAATGCAGACGCCGTGGGTGTTCAAGGAGAGAGCGTAGATGGGTAGGACGCCTTGGTGGACACACTCAAGCGTGGCGGTTGGAGCGTCACCACTCGTGGTTTTCCTTCTTCTTTCTTCTTGTCTTCGTGCTATAGTGTCTCAAAGAGAGAGTTGGAACTGGACGAAGGGTGGAATATATAAAAGAACAGATGACTTACCGGGTGACTTCCTGCGTCTTTTGTCAGTAGCATCACAACCGCACTTGGCAAAGAGCTTGGCTCTGCTTTTCTAGAATCAACCGACAAGGTCGTGAAACTTGAACCTGGTTTCTTTTCTTCTTATTCTTGGGTCTTTCTTTCCGTGCCCTGTAGCCGCTGTCACTGCCGCTACCGCTCTCTCCGGTCCCGCTAGCAGTCAAAGGTTGGATATCCGTCTGAGGAATAGATTCCCAACAAGAGCGGCAGGCTGCTGTTCTCTCTGCAGGGTAGATGCCGGCGGCAGCGGGCTATCGAGACTCGGGCAAAGCGCTTAGTTGGTTATCTGGAAGCCAGCCAGCCGTCCGGCCAACCAGGGAGATAGCCTGCATAGGCGCCCAAAAGACGAAAAGGTATCAATCGTCTGTCTCCATCCATGCGTTCCGCAGTGTCAACCCCTACCCCAGTTTACCTCCCTCCCTATCCAGGTATGTATTGGGTACAAATCCAAAGAAGTTTATCCCCCCCCCGAAAACAAACACGTGCTTCCAAGTTGGGACATGTGTAGACACACAGTGTAACTTGCTTGCTATATTGGAGTGCGACACTCGGGTAGCTACCACGTACCTCGTCTACCTGCCCGGCTTCGTTGTACCGACTGATCTTGGAATGAGACGAACGTGCAAGCCCCCCGCCCTGTTTCTCGTATGCCGCGGTGCCTTGGGCAGACGTACAGGCTTGCTTGGAGTGGGGGTTATCGGCATCTATCTTGGAACAGCCGCGCTCTAGACTTGCTCAGGAGCATACCTAGCTGTTTGGCGACTGCTGTAGCTCTGTCGAATGACCACCGAGCCATTGTAGTCCGCATCCGTCCAGCAAGCACGATCTGGGGAAGGAAGGCAGGTGGCTGGCCGTCAGTGCCATACTGGAGGACTTGGTTGCAGGAGCACCAGAGACAGGACGGAATATGCTGTACGACCGTGCCTGCCCGCGAGGGACCTGACAATATCAAATGGGTGATCCATATGTCGCTTACCATGCCGCCGATGTAGGAGTCGGCGGTTCTTTGTCAGCCCGTAGCGCAGCTCCGTTACTCTTCTCTATGGCATAAGAGACGAAGCCACGCTAATGGGCTTTACGGGAGCTGCATTGCACTCGCAACGCGATGTTCCGTGTTCTTTCTCATCTAACCCTCCTCGGGCCTCGGGGGGTGTGACGATGGCAAGGTGACTATAGGATGATGAGGGGGGAAGTGGGACAGGCTCCGGAGTTATGTGGGTGGTTCGAAAATGGATAGGTAGATAGCTAGATTGGCCTTCATGTCCGAAGCAAGCAGGTAAGCTGCGTCGGTCTACTGTTGAATCTTCTCTTTCTGTCGACTCTTGCGTCTAGCTGAGATGCAAGCAGGAACCCTGTGCGCTTGCTTAACTGGCTTTCGCCCATCTCGGAAGGTCAGGAGGTTGCCAATCCTGCCGCATACATGCCTCGTATGCCCCTTTACCTATTGGTGCGGCGAAGCTTGTCCGAATTGTCTGTGTGCGCCTGTTGCTTGCCAGTCTACGGACGAAGCTCAACTAAGCAAGCTTACAGAGTGCGTATGTGTGATAACAGTTAGGTCAGTAATATTCCCCGTACCAAGAGGCGAGGGCAGGTTTCGAAAGAAGTCGATCACATCGCAATGAGCCATCCCGGGGAACGCTTCCGGTCAGTATGTCGTGTGTGCGTGCGCGTATTATCTGGTTATCTTAATGGTGTGTGCGCTTGTGTACGTGTAGTGAGAGAGAGAGTGCGTGTGATTGTGCGTGCGTGTATGAGTGTGTGTGTAGAGGCGGAGTGAATAATAGGCAAGCCCGGTTCGGGCCACAACAGATGTAATAGGGGGTGTATGGCAGAGCGCATACGTACGTGCGTGAGCATACCTACCGCACATCATACACTGATAACAATACACCTTTCCGAAAGCGATTGTCGAGAGACCCAGTCGAGAGTCGAGAGACCCAGTCGGTTGCCCAAATAGTGTGTCGGGTGTGTATATGAATTAGGCTCGCGAGCAAGGCGAAACCAATATTGCTCGGGGTCGGCGAGTCAAGTGGCGTGGCCTAGAACCAGACTAGGTAGGTAGGTATGTCTAGTTGTCCATGGTGCGCTACAGTACTGAAGACAGACGGCATTGCGTGAATATGTCTTGTGTATATTCCCCATTTTTCCCTTTGTTTTTTTGGTTGATGCACCTCCCTTTTGCAGATCCCAGGGGGCGGCACTGCGATATGCATCCAACCTCGTCATGCTCGCCAGATGCCTCTGGGCCGATCCTGTCTCGTGTGCACTCTTTCGCTCTCGGCCGACAGATCACCCGTCGCATCTCTGCCTGGCGGGCGATCATATTCTTCTAGAATCCATTTTCGGAATATTCGTGCGGCTCGTCCAGCTCCCGGGAAGTGCACATCGCTGCACCCAGTTGAAAATCTCCCTTCGCGCTTGGTCGTCAGAGAACCAGGGGCTGTTGGTGCAGTATTCGCTCTGTTCCGAGGTTACTTTCATGCAGGGCTGCTATTGTCCCCCTAACCAGCGGCTCTCCTTATCCATCGTGCATAGTCACGATAGTTGAGCATGCTCGTCCAGAGCGAATCGAACAGCATAGCAATTGGCCCCCAACGAACGCCCGAGTGTCTTTTTCAGAGGAACAACGGAATGTCGTTTTCGCATACTACTAAGTATACTTCGGAAATTCAGCATGAATCCTTTCCAATCCACGAGGACAGGTTCGGTGGTCTGGAGCTCCTACAAAGTCTCCGTAAATTATGTATGCTAGCAGTTCATGAGCAGCATTTTGATGCGTTTAGCGGCATCATGTGTTCCGGGTATCCAATTGACCCCGATGATTGAAGGGAGCACAGTGATATCCTGCCGTCTTTTGTTTCTTTCATTGGTGCTTCTGATCTAAATGGACGCCCCATATAGAAACATTTCGGACGCCTTAGGCTAGAGAGGGTTAGGTGAGGACCTCACTGTCGGTTTCGAAGCGCGTGCGAGGGAAGAGACGGGGTATTGCGGTGGGTTGCCCAGAGCGACAGGATGCCGCGAGCGGTGAGGAACATGCTCGCAAGCACAAGCGTCCCAGGATTTCTAACATACGGCTCGGACTCTCCCGAGAACGAGATCTCGTCACCGCCGCAAGTGCTTGAAACAAACTTGTTCTTGTTTGCACAGTCTCTGCCACAATTTAGTGTGCGGCTCCTCCCATGAACACTCCTAGTCGTCATGGTCAGAGCAGACTCTGCGTCCATGG